GGTCGATGCGACGGGCACGCGTGCGCACGCGCGATGCTCGCATCGATGGAGTCGTGGCTGGCGTGGTGGCAACTTTCCTGTCTAGTTCCGTATGACGTAAAGCGAAGGCGGTGCAGTGCGCTGCACGGTAGCATGCTGGCTTATGATCTTTTCCAGTGCTCCTGTTGCTGTGCGACGGACTAGAACGCGACGCACCGGAACGTGACGCGCTAGTTTGTCTGCAATACGCGTTCGGGGCGACAGCCCCTGCCCTGCCGCCCTTTTTAGCATTCATGGTGTAGCGCGGGTGCGTACTCCCTCTGGGTGCTACGGGGTTCGTCGTGCGGGGGCGATCGCGCCTCCTCCAGAATATCGGCAGGTGTTGCGGTTCGTAGTGCGGCGAGATCGCTCTGTGCAACCAGGCCTCCGCAGTTACCCACTCGTTATCGTCGTCGATCTGGACCACCGGTTGCAAGTGTATTCCGGAGCAAGCCGGCCTCACAGTGCTTCCCCGCCAGAATACCCGGCTCGCGTCTGCTGCTGCGCGCTTTAGAACAGGTCACCGCGACGTGGTGGCAAAAGCGAACTTGCGTCACTCCCGTTTCCCGTGCGATCCCTCATCACAGTACTCAGAGAGCCCAATGCTGCTTAACTTCGCGATTCGAGATGGGACGCGGTGTTTCCAGCTATGGTTTGAACGCAAGTGATGATTGAGGTTCCATATTCATATATATACCCGTGCGCATTCGATCCGCCTGCGTTGCGGCGACGGCCGCCAGTGCAGGATAGCGCTTGACGGTGCGTCGCGCGCTGTGCGTAGCGCTGCGGCCTCGTGGCGGCTGTCTGCGATCCGTTGCGTACTCGTACTGGAGCTGCAGTTGCGAGCTACTGAGCGAGCCGCTCATTCGTCGCTGACTGCGGCTGTTTGTGGACCGAGTACGTTGCGTTGCTTGCTGCTGCTGTTGCTGCTGCTGCTGCTGTTATTGTCGGTGGTATTCGTGCAACTGCGAGAACTCGTGACGCGGACTGCATCGATCTGCAGCACCCCCGTGCATCGCGGATCGGTTTTGTTTTTCGCTGTGCTCAGCTTTTGAGCGTGCGTGTTGTCGTAGTGACCGTGAGAGACTTGAGCGAGCACCTGACGTCAAGTCGCCGAGTGCTCGCGCCGGGGCACAGGATCGGCAGCTGAGGAGTCCCGGAAGCAGCACCAGACGGCCAGTCGCTGCGCGCTGCCCCGTCTAGAGCGCGGCAGACCGAGGAGGCGCACCCGGTGAACAGGCCGGCCGCCCTCGGTCACGCAAACTACCTGTGGATCGCCTCAAGGATGGCGACGACAGCGGGCACTCGCCGGAGTCCCAGTGGCGGGGCGCTGTGCTGGGCCGCCGCACCTGTCGCTGCGGTGCGCTTCGGACGCTGGGCGCCTCCGCGTGCGCACTCCTGGACACCCAGGCGTACGTACCCGACATGGAGCCTGAGCTTGGTCCGAAGCGCTCGCTGGTGCCTGCTCCGAGGCCGCCGCGCACAAGTATGTGGTGCTGCCGTCATGTCTGCGACGGAGGGCTCGTCTCCGTCGAGTGCTGTCCGGGAAAGCGCGTCGTCACATCCTGCAGGTCGCGCAATATCGGACGCGGGTGTCATTGGCCTTGCGGTCATGGGTCAGAACTTTGCACTGAACCTAGCGTCGCACGGCTGGCGAGTCTCTGTGTACAATCGAACGTATGCGCGGACGGCGGAGACTGTTGAGCGGGCGCAGCGGGAGCTCGCGGCAGATGACACGACAGCCAGCGGGAGCGTTACCGGCTTTGCGGACCTGCGGTCGTTTGTGCTTTCGCTGAAGCGTCCGCGGCGGGTATTCCTGCTGGTGAAGGCGGGGAGCGCAGTCGACGCAACCGTCGAGGCGCTGGCTGAGGTTCTGGAGCCGGGCGACATCATCGTGGACGGCGGCAACGAGTGGTACGAGAATACGGAGCGACGTGCTGCGTCTGTCGCGGCACGCGGCCTCCTGTACGTAGGCATGGGCGTAAGCGGTGGCGAGGAGGGTGCGCGCTACGGGCCTTCCCTGATGCCGGGCGGTTCACGGGAGGCGTACCAGCAGCTTGCGCCGCTGCTGGAGCAGGTTGCGGCGCAGGTGCCCGGCTCTGGGCCGTGCGTTACCTACATTGGGCCGGGCGGCTCGGGGAACTATGTGAAGATGGTGCACAACGGGATCGAGTACGGCGATATGCAGCTGATCGGCGAGGCATACGACCTGCTTCGGGGTGCCGTTGGCTTGGATGCGATGGCGGCTGCGGAAGTGTTTGCCTCGTGGAACGCGGGCGCCCTGCAAAGCTTCCTCGTGGAGATTACCGCGCGCATTCTACGCGTGCCTGACACGTCTTCGTCGGCAGCGTCGGCGCCAGCGCTCGTAGACCAAATCCTCGACCGGAGTGAGAGCAAGGGCACTGGCCTGTGGACGATGACGGAGGCACTGCGGCGGGGCGTGGCGGTGCCGACCATCGCTGCCGCGCTCGACGGGCGCTACCTCTCAGCGCGGAAGGACGAGCGCGAGCGTGCGTCGCGGGTGCTCCGCGGACCCGAGCGGCTCTCGGGTACGGGGCACGCCTCCGAGTTGGCGGCCGCCGGTGCCTCACCCGGAGCCGCTGGCGCTGTAGCTGAAACTGGACCGGACACAGCTCCCGAGCGTGTCGCCGCCCTAGCGTCTGGCTCTGTACGAGCGTCGGCGTCGACGTCGCGTTCGGATGCATCGGCGGAGCGAGCATTGATCGCTGCTATTGAGGACGCACTCTTCTGCAGCAAGCTCTGTAGCTACGCGCAGGGTCTCAGTCTGCTGCAGCGAGCGAGCGGTGAGCAGGGCTGGTCGCTGGATCTCGGGGAGCTTGCGCGCATCTGGAAGGGCGGCTGCATTATTCGGGCACAGCTGCTTGAGCGGATCGAGGGCGCTTTTCGACGAGACCCCAGCCTGCCGAATCTGCTGCTGGACGCTGACCTGGCTGCGGAGATTGGACGTCGCCACGAGAGCTGGAGGCGTGTTGTCGGGCTGGCGGCATCGCTGGGTGTGCCGGCGCCGGCGCTGACCGCGAGCCTTTCGTACTACGACACGTATCGACAGGCGGTGCTGCGCTCAAGCCAGCTGGTTCAGGCCCAGCGGGATTGCTTCGGCTCGCACGGCTACGAGCGTCTGGACGATCCGGGGCGGCGGTGGCACACGCGCTGGCTCAGCGGTGGCGACTCGGCGGAGGTCTCGAGCTAGGGCCTTGGGCGGGACGCAGGTCTGTGTGTATGATCTGGATGTGTGTACGTCCAGTTTTCCTGGTTGCCGCCCAGAGTATCTGCGAAATGTTTGCTTGCATGGATCTTTCGGGTGGTGTACTGTAAATGCTCCTGGTTGCTTGCCGAAATCCATGCTTTATAGGTGTGCATTTGCATCTCTCCGTCAGTGCATTCCGACTAGGCCAGCTCACTGCCAGAGTCCAATGTCGTACACGTGTCCGTAGGCGTGTCTCCATCGATGCACCGCGTACACTCCTGCACGTCGCAAGCTCGATGCTGGTGAGGCGTTACTACTTGCTCCCTGAGCCACGTGCCTGTCGCTGGACCCGGCTGCAGTGCCAGAAAGAGCGCCCGCCAATGCACACGCCTCAATACCGCCATACGCCCGCGTGCGTGCATGCGTGCGTGCGTGCATGGCCCATGCGTGACGGCGATAGCGACTGCACGCATTCAGCAACGGACACGTGGCAAAGCGTTGGAGCACCTGTCGCATTGAAGGCGAGCGGATCGCGCGATCCGAGCATGCGCGACGATCCACACACAGCGACGCTGGCTGGGGCGATCTGCATGCCGCCGCTGTCGATGCAGGGCGATGCGGCAGCACCGGGGTGTCTCTCTGTGGAGGCCGAGTCAGGGCGCACCGTCCCAAGTGGCTGTCGTCGAGTGGACGTGCCAGTGCTCCGCGGTGCCGTGACCCCATCACGTCATATGGCCTTTCGAAGCGCAATGCGAGCACCCAGGATGATGTCTGGTCCAAGACAGTCAGTGAAACGGAAACATTCCCACGAACACAAAGTGAATAAACATACCCACTCACAGACGCCACCCAGCCTTTTTATGACAGACCGCCTGCAATCCGTTTCAGTTTCTGCTCACACACTACGAGCCTGAGAGGCTGCCCCACAAAGATGGATCGTGGCAGGTCCTAGGGTCTCGTCTTTAGCACCATACATCGTCTGATACCAATAGCGTCGTTGAAGTGTCGGGTCACAAACTCCATACGTGCATTGACGCTGACTGAATTCACAGGCGCAAAAATTCCTAATACTCGTGCCATATATGCCACTACAATCTCGTCATCATCTCGTTGGGCAAACACCTTCCCTCGAGTATCGTCGCTCTTGTCGTTGTTCTTGTTCGCCCCATGGTCAGCGAAAAGAGGATTTCTTCGTGTTTTTCCTGCAGCCGGCGATGCCGATCCTAGCAGATCCCCGACTTCTTCGCCCATATCTCTCCTATGGATTTTCTATTTCTTAGAGTGAACTCACTTGGAACGCGTCTGCTATACACCGCGAAAACGCACTTGATGAAACTCACCTGAAGGTGGAACAATTTTGTGGTCGAAGGCCGTAATTTTGTGCCGAGGGTGTCCCTCGCATATCACACCGGCTGATTCTTGCTATCGTTTACTACGAACCGTACTTTCGAAGATTCCCATATGTCACGGCCCGCAGATTACGTATCATAGCTATCCATGGTTTGCACTAGAACCTGGACAAAAGCTGTTCATAAGGAAAACCTGGTCCAACACGTTGAAGCTGTTCGAACGAGTCTCCCAGCGAGAACGCTGCCTTCTGTGCCTGCATTGCCGGTGCCGATCAGCGGGTCTTTCTCAGCGCGCACAGATGGCCCCGGTGCACCGACGCAGCGCACGGCCCTCAGAAGACGCAGCCACTGAGCTCTGCACTAGTGTCGACGCTGTATCCGTGTGCCTACTCCCATAACGCTGCGTTCTACCTAGGATAGAGCATATGTCATTCAGCGCAACGTGCTTCGTGAATACCTTTCCAAAAAATGTCTCTTATTCAAGGGAGCAGCGTTTCCAGAAACTTGTCAAGAACTGTCCCGCATCCAGGGCGCCGACGCGGCGGAGAGCTCCTCGCCGGACGTGCCTAGTTGCGAAGGTCGCCCGGCACCGGATCGCCGTCCTGCCTGGTGACGGCATCGGGCCAGAGATTATGAACGTGACGCTTGAGGTTTTGCGAACGGCCGGGCGGCGCTTTGATGTCGAGTGGGAGTTTCTCGAGGCACCTATTGGCGGGGCAGCGATCGACGCCGCCGGGGACCCGCTCCCAGTAGAGACGCTGTCTCTGTGCCGCCGCGCAGAGGCTGTGCTACTCGCTTGCGTAGGTGGTCCAAAGTGGGATAATCTATCCAGCAAACAGAGGCCCGAAGCTGGCCTGCTGAGGCTGCGAAAAGAGCTAGAAGCGTTTGCAAACCTGCGTCCGGTCAGAACGTTTTCTCAACTGCTTGACGCATCGCCCTTGAAAAGTGAGCTCGTGGCTGGAGTCGACCTGATCATTGTTCGCGAGCTCACCGGTGACGTCTACTTTGGCGAGCCGCGAGGCATCGAATTTATTCCAGAGGGAAATGGTGAGCGCGAAGCATTCAACACCATGCTGTATCGCGAATCGGAAATCGATCGCGTGGCCAAAGTCGCCTTTGAGTTGGCTATGACTCGACCGCGACGGAAGCTCTGCTCCGTCGACAAGGCCAATGTCTTGGAGACAAGCATGTTGTGGCGCAGCAGAGTAAGTACCATGGCTGCGTCGTATCCGGATGTGGAATTTTCAAGCATGTACGTGGACAACGCCGCTATGCAGTTGGTGCGTTATCCAAAACAGTTTGACGTCGTCCTTACGGGCAACATGTTCGGTGACATTCTTTCCGACGAGGCAAGCATGATTTCTGGTTCATTGGGAATGCTACCCAGCGCAAGCCTCGGGGACGGCACATTCCCTGCCATCTACGAACCCATTCATGGTTCTGCCCCGGACATTGCTGGCCAGAATAAGGCGAATCCAATGGCATGTATTTTGTCTGCGACGCTGATGCTCCGCTACAGCCTCAATCGACCCGACATGGCCGATGCGATCGAGCTGGCGATCACGAATGTTCTGGATCAGGGCTACCGAACTGCAGATATCATGTCGGCCGGTAAGCGACTATGCAACTGCTCGGAGATAGGCGACAAAATTCTGGAAGCGCTCCAGGAGAGCGCGGTATCTCGAGTCGCTTGAGTCAGTGTCTGAGGATGTAGACTCTGTGAAACCGGGGCGCTCATGGAGTCGTAGCCAAATCCCCGGGGTTTTGCGTGCTTCGCTTTTTGCTGCTGTTGACGGCTTCGCGATTTATAAAGAGAGGTTTCATGCTCCTGAAGCCGAAGGAATACGAATAAATTGGTTTTCTGGGCTAGTTTTGAGGCGCCCTGAGGACTTGCGTCCTCAGGGCTTTGCAAAGTTTTCGTTCCAAGTCATGGACTGCATTTTCTTTGGAGAGGTGCGGCATTCTCAGTTACGCCCAAACTCGAATTAAAACACCCGTCTGATCAAACAGGCAACATGCTTCCAGTTACGGTCTTTAGTCGTTCAGTGGTAGCGCTCAGTATTTCCCGGGCGGCAGTGGAGGACTCGTGCTTTGCTCGGCAAGCGCCAGTGCACCAAAGCTGCAGACGCTCCTGCTTGGCTTCCAGAGGCAGCCCGCCCTGGTCTTCGTTCCCCCTAAACCGGAGAGGCAATTTGACTAGTGGAAACTGCTTTCTAGGCGCACTGCAACGCAGTTCTGCGCGTGTGCGTGGAGCACGCCCTCAAGCGTTTGCCCTGCCAATATTGTAAAGCCACGAGAAAGCTCTGGAGGAGGCTTCAACAGCTTTGGGAACGAGCTGTCACCGACCACAGCCCTTACGCTCAGCTTTATAGTTACATTCCAACGTGCAAAGCGTCCGTCGTGTCCATTTTCAGAAAAAAAACCTTTGCAACCGAGCGAAGACTCTTGACGCTGCCCGGAACGTCACCGAGGCGCCAGATACCCAAACAGCGGGTGAAGTGGTGGCGTTCTTGGCCCTGGTCCCCCATTGCATTGTGATAAACCATTTCAAGAAGAGCGCCTAGCGCTTTGAAGACGCACAGCTCGCTCGAAAAACAGCCTCATCCTCCTTCTCACTTGCACCAGCAGGCGATCGTTACCCGGCTAGATACGCCCGCTACGACCGGCGCACTGTCTTGAGCCAGCGGGTGCTGCACAGCCGTGGACGCAGGAACGAACACGACTGCGTGACAAAAAGCCTTGTGAACAAGAAAGCAGCGTATAGCTTGTGGTTCAGCTCGCTGAGATTTCCATTGCCGCGTCTTGGTTGGCCATAGTGCTGAATCGCTTCGCAGGGCAGTTTGCGGTAGTGCAGACGCTCTAGAACGACGGACGCATCCGTTTGCTGCACCAGAGGCGGTCAACTTGCCTCAATGGCGAGCGCCAGCAGCTGCTTCTGTGGGCAGATCCGTCTCCGAGCTTTGAACCCCCCTAAAACATGCACTTCCAACTATGTTGGATGCAATGGGCGGTTGTTGCGTCCTAACGGTCACCGGTGGCTCGTGGCGTCCGCAGCGAACGCGCCCCAGCAGCGCGGACTAGAGTTTGCGAACGGGCCGAGCCCGAAACCAAAGATTCGTGCAATCGCTTCGGATATGGACGGGACTTTTCTCGCCAGGGATCACTCAGCGCCGAAGCGAAATATCGAGACGGTGCTCGACTGTATGCAGCGCGGAATCTTGTTTCTTCCAGCAACTGGAAAGTCTCGGGCCGGTGCAATGGCGTCTATTGGACCGCTCGCGAAACATCTGACGTCAAACGGTAGACACGGTGCGCCTGGAGTATATATACAGGGCCTTGTGGTGCACGGCCTCGAGGGTGAGCTCGTCTATCAGCGAACGCTGCCGCGCGAAACCGCCCGGGAGCTGGTACGCATCCAGCGCCAGCTTCGGTTCGGGAGTCTCGTGGCCTACTCTGGCGACCGGATTATCTGTGAAAAGCGCAATGAGTACACCGAGCTTCTGATTGCCTATCATGAGCCCGCGCCCGACGATTCTTTCGGTGAAGTTTGGGAGCGTATTCTTGCCCGGCCAGAACAAGAACTACCCATTCACAAGATGCTCTTTGTGGATACGGTGGAGAGGATTCGCGAGCTGCGTCCGCTTGTTGAGGACGCCATGGGACAAAACAGCGGATCAGCCGCAATTTCGGACGGAGGTTACAACACAAAGATGCAGGATGACACCGGAAACGGGGCACCGAAATCGATGAACTGGACCCCAGCAGAACGAAATCCCTGCAAAGCCGTCGAGACGGATATGCGACCGTCGCCTCGAGGCCGCTGCGTCCAGGCCTGTCCGGAAATGCTGGAGGTCTTGCCACTGGATGCCAACAAGGGGAACGGCCTGCAGCGCCTACTCCATCACCTCGGCATATTGCCGTCTGAAGTGCTCGCAATAGGTGATGCCGAGAACGATATCGAAATGATCCGAAATGTGGGCCTGGGTGTCGCAGTTGGAAACGCCTTGCCGCAACTCAAGAAGGTTGCCGATGTCGTTCTCGAAGAGACGAACGATGAGGCTGCCGTCGCCGCTGCCTTGGAGCGATTCGTGCTCTGTCCATCGAAGGCATAGCGAAAGCGTGCGAGGCGCCCGCCATAGAGACGTTTCCGGATGCGCGTGCAGAGGCAGTCACACTGGATGCCCCGCAGGCGGAATGCGCCGGTGCGCAGGAACTCCCGCAGAGTCCGCCACCGAGGGCGGGTTGTGTTCATGAACCTGTTGCAACGATCTTGAATGTCCTTCATGGCCCCTCGATAGATGCGTATCCTTTGCAGCACTTGATGGTGTTTGGAACTGCAGAATGCTGTGTGGCGGCGGCTCGACGTTTCCGGTATCAGCGAGGGAAGAGGCCCTGTACCCAATGATGCAAGATTTTGCATCATGGCGTCATTAGTTATGAGCGTCGTCGCAACACCTGCTTCTCTCTTCAGGTTGTTGCGTCGCGTTTTCAAGCTGCCTCTTCCTGAGTCCATACGTTTCACAAGACATGTACAATAAACGAGCCCTGTCGATGGATATACCGCGGCGCACCTGCAGCGGTAGCAGCTCGTCCAACGGCCTCGTCCCGAAGACGCACCTCGGGGTGCGCAAACCTCTTCCAATTGTTCAGCTTCCGGTCGCCTTACCTGTATAACTAGTACTGCCTTGCAGTGCTCGAGCAGCGCCACTCGGTGAAACACAGCATCCATCGATTGAGGGGTTCATCATGTTGCGGCGCCATTTGCGGATTGCCTGACTCCAATCAACACTTACGGGCGTCGTGTTGAGGATGAGCTTTCCGGTGCATCGCTTCGTGAATAGACTGCCACGCGCTGCTGAGCTTTGTCATGGTGATCCCGCATGCTCTATCCCATGAACTACGGATTGTGGAGTCAGATGCGCTATCCACGCGCAAACGCATGCTGGCGTGGCCACGGATACCACGATACTGTCTTTGAACGATCAGCAGAGGGCACTGCTCGCTTTGTGATCGAAGAGAATGAAGGCTGCGACTCGTTAATCCTGCATCAGCACTGCTCGTAAGCGCCTCCATCAGGTGTTTGATTTGGGAATATTGTTGCGAATTAGGTTTCTCAGAAACCCAGATGCGTACGATGCGGCATAAGCTGTCGGGCTCGTTCCACTCTGGTTCCTCTGTGTTCTCCAGCGGCACTTGTTGGGGTGCAAGCACCGGACAGAGGCGCCATGGCGCATGAGGCCTCTGCTCTCCGACCAGTGGACGTCTACTGCATGTGTATAAATTCTGCGAGAGCGCTCCGGCCTGGCACTGAACAGTGCAGCTGAACTGCTGCAGTGTTGACACAAAGGCTGTATCAAGTGGGTCCTGCAAGCGAGCGGACGGTATTCTGCGCGATCTCGAAAGCGGCATTGTCCAGCAGCGAGCATGTCTTCATGACTTCGCTGGAGCGCTTGCGGCGTCTGAGAAAGCACCTTGAGCGAATTTTCCCAGGGTCATCCATGGCAAGCTCGGCACCCGTATAGTCACTGGATTCATTTAACCACAATTCACGGTCAGATGATTGGTCTGAAGTCAACGGCATGTCATCAGATTCCGAGAGGAACGTGCAACTTGTACCGTGTTGCTGCTAATAATCTTGCATCCGGGACACGCTGATCAGGTTCAACAACCTTACGTTATTGGAAACGACCTTTGAGAGCGCCAAGGCAGACTGGATATAGCGACGCGTATGGGCAGTGGCCCAAAACACTCATGCACTTGCACTGGAATCAGCTGGTGCCCACGAAGAGACACGAGATGGTCTCAGGTGCTCAGCGGTTTGGTACATTCATAGAAATCAGTACAGTGGTACACCCGTGTCATACTGAAATGGAGCGGGTACAGTACCTAATTCGAGCATCCGCTCTAAATTTTGAGTCTCTTCCCAATGTCATCGATACGTGCCTATGCGGGCTTCTTCGGCGACTGCTTCCTTTTCCGCTACCCCAGCTCTTTCTCCAGGTACGCCAGTCTCTCCGTTCCTCCATGCTTCGTTCCCTGTAGTCGAATGATGCTGAGGGCTCTGCTAGAGACCTGATTTCACATCTGCCGGCTGTTATGGACACACCTCATTCACAGACGCAAGTCTCGATCAAAGAATCTGCTACCGTAACAGGCACGGTGTGCGCTTCAGAGCTATGCAACACTTGGTTGAGGTCAGACGCTCCCCTATATCCACCTCGGCTCGTGCTCCTCTGAAGGCCGCTCTGTCGCGACAGAGCACTCTCTTTAGCGCTCGATACTTTTCATTGACGGGTAGACGAGGCCTCGCTCGATGGACCATTCTGTTTCCGCGCTCAATGCCCGACACTACGATAACGCGCTTCTTCTGGGCGATCCCTCGGCAAGTGATCTTGTCCGCTGCACACACAAGCCCGTGTCGTTCCATTTCGTGGAGCACTTCTGTAACGAAATGTGGCCAACGATGAAACAGGTACCAGATATGAAATCCATACCGCAAAACAAGTCGACAGATATCGATCGGCCTGCGCTCCCTCCGTTCCAAGCGTTGACGCACGCTTTACTGAAACAAGTCGCCACGACGACTAGTGTCAGAGTCTACGATCGGTTTCCATGCCACTGGAAGAGAAAGAAGTCTCGAGGGCATATCTTGTCGGAGGTATCAAGCTGGTGTCGAATGTCGTTTCGTTCATGACCGCATCAGGCGCAGGTTTTGTCCTTAGCATGAAATCGAATGTTTCACGCGACAAGTCCGGCGAATTATCGGCAGGAGCTTGTGAACAAGTCGCCAATGGACGATATCCAATATTTTTCGACGTCGTTCTATTGGAGCGAACTGCTGCGACCACGCGTCGCCTTGAAACCAAAGAATCGGAAGCTCGACGCACAAGCGATTCAAGTATGCTGTACCAACTAAAACACGAGAAGCATGGCGGCTTCCACCTATGCACTGGATAATGATATCTGTTATATTACGAACCCTTATCCGATGGCGTCGCGAATCATCTTGCTCCCAGTGACGTAACGAATGCCAGCGTCAAAGCGCCGACGGATCGACTCTGGAAACACACTCGAGACTCCTGAACCCAACAGTGAATCCGAGAGCCCCTCTTCATGCGCTTCGAATATCCAGCGTGGTACGTCTAAAGAAGAGGTAGATGAAAAATCGAAAGGCAGGAACAGATCGAGCTTTTCAGTAGCTCATTCCAATCTCGCACGGGTTTCGAGCTCAGAGCTCTTCAGCCGCTAGTATGCAATTCCGGATAACGCACCATTCCACAGCACCTGCGCTGCTTCTACTGGCTCGTCCTGCTTTCTGAAGCGCATTCCGGCATTGTATTTGATTCGATTCGAAAAGGGGCCAAAGAAGCCACGTCCTTCAAACTCCCCTGAAGAACGTTACGCTTTAAATACAATACACATAACATCCTAGCCTATTACAACCTATGTAGCGCTAAGCGCATTCAACGCCACGTTAATGCCGGTACCCAGCGTCGCAGGAAAAGAGCGGCACTCTGCACTCCCTCTCTGGGCTGAACACATAATGCAGAAATCCTCGACAGACTCCTCGATGGTGGTTGGAGATGCGCTGCATGGTTCGCTTCCCGCAAACTGTCGAAACACGTTCTGGCACCTTCGTAAAACTCGCACAATAAAACACTCGGGCGGACTTGGGCCATGGAATGATGCATTACATGGGAGAGCGTGCGTAACTTCGCCTTCGATATACAGTCGGCATCTTTGAGCGAGTCCCTCTTCATCCGAAGGGAGCGCACCGCCCGCAATGTACGGTGACGTCAACGCCCGAGGGCATGGACGCGACGATCGTTGGTTCTCGTCAAGGCGCTTGTACGCTGCTCGGTCGAAATGTGGTTTCCTTCCAGTTCCATGTTCGACATCTGCAACGAATTCACTGCGCATCGATTCTGTGGCGTGGTACGGCCCTGGTGAGCCGCCCCTGAGATGCGCATCGGCGGACAGCGGTCGACCGCCAACCCTGTCCGCGAGCGTCCCGGGCATTCGCGGCTCTGTAATTTGTGCGTCATCTACCCAGGCTACATAGCTTGGATCCACTCGAACAATCAGGGCTGCGCCCTCCGTGCCCACGTGGATTAATTTGGATTGTATCTCCGCTTGTAGCGTTTGCTTGTACAAGTTATCGTTAGAACCGAGTGAATAGAACGTATATCGAAACGCTGCGGTTGTGAGCTCAGTTCTGGGCCACGATGCGACCGCAGAACTATTCATCGGACTTGTTCCAGAGGCGCCTCCAGCTTTTGATCTCGATACAGACGTGTCTTGCGCGCTGACAGTTACAAGCGCTGGCGCTAAGGATAGCGCTGCCCTGGTCAAGGCAGGAAGGCGCAGCGCATCCGCATCCCCGGAAAATGCAGGCTCCCGGTCGCTACGGCCCGATCTCCCAGTGTCCTTGGAATGAGGGAACCCCGGTGTAAGTTGCAGCCTCAGACCTGAGGAAAACTTTACAGTTCCACGTTCGCTCGGGTGTCTGACACCTCCCGCTAACGTTCTATCCACAGCGCGACCCCGGAACTGGTTTCGTCCGCCGGTTCTCCTCGAAGCGAGCTGAACGAAGGCCATTGTTCCTGGCCTTTGCTGGCGCCAAACGTGCCGAACAACCGTGGTTGCGACAACCACGCAACAAGCTCCCAGCTTTTGGATGACCAGGAGTCCAAAGCCCTGCTCTGGAGCAAGCAGGAGCGCGCATGCCACGGTTACCGTTCCTGTGATGAGCGTGATGCTCACCGATGCCCGCGTCGACGGCAGGTGTCTGCGCGCTGCACGCGTGCCGGACACGCGCCGGACACGCGCCGGACACGCGCCGGACACGCGCCTAACACGCGCCGCGCTCGGTGCCGGTGATCGACGCTCGTTCCCGTTTGTCACATGAATTGTAGTCCAAGCCGCAGCGGGCGAGCGTCAGCAAATGCTCTGTCGAGGCTCATAGCAGACGCGTTCGAAGTGCGTTCATTTTCAAAAAACGAAAAATTCAAGGGAAAGGTATGGATGTGGAAATGGGTGATCCTTGATGGCCGTTATTTCCGGATGCTTGAAGCAAACGAAAAAATTATCCTCTTGCCAACCATCGAGCAAAGTAGAGCATTCGACGATGAAGAAGAAGACGAAGAAAAGGCGAGATAGGCGAGCAAGGGTGTTTGCGAGACGGAACGATGACGAGGTTGTATTGGCGCAGAGGGCACGAGTTCGAGTGCTCCTTGCATTGGTGAGTGCAAACGGAGGCAATAAACGAATGGAATTCGTGAACCGAGACTTTCATGCTGCAACGAGCATCAGGAGATGTGCTGCGCCGGAGAGGAGCCCCGGGGAGCTGGCGCGCACGCCCTCTGTGGGGTAGCCTCTCAGGCTCGAAATGTATAGGGAGAAGCCGAAATCGATAGCATGCGGCTGGTCGGAAAAGGCTGGCAGGCGTCTGCTGATGGGTCTTCATATACCTCATTGGAGCGGTACGTTTTCGCTGCGTTGAGCGTGCCGACGCTGCGAGCATGCCTTTGCGCAACGCCTCTCGCTGAACTACCGTTCATTGCGGGTCGGCCCAGCGCTTTGGGCACCTACCCACTGGTGGGTGCCAAGCACAAGTCCGTGTTGCGAGCCGCACACGAATTTCACACACGATCGCGCAAGAGAGAAGCGGCCCCCAGGATACATCCTAACAGCCAAATTTCTCCAACGCGCAGTGCACCGAAGGCAAGTCTGCATCCACAAACCGGCTGAGCACGAATCGAATTTGAGGCTCGATTCTGTGGCGAGTGAACCGCGCCCCGAGCCGACGCCCTCTGCGGTATGGCAAAGTGGTTCTGTCGCTGTGATGCATCCAAACTGGCGGCACAGGCGCTATCACGGACGATCAGGGCAGGCACTCGGCGCACGACAGAACGTAAAAAACCACCAGCACATCAAAGAAGAAGTATGGGTTATGGAACTTGGAATGGAAATGCTGGACGCATCTCTGAATGGTACCATCCGTACCGCAATCTGGGATCCCCGATCAAGGTAAGCGTCTATGAAACACAAAGCAAATCGCGCTGACCGTCCATTTCTAAATCACTGGACAAGCGTTGCAGATCGGCGCTGGAGGCGGCGCAGCAAAGCCTGCAATGAACAGTTACTGCTTCGACAATCTTACTTCACCTTATCGGAGTACCAGTTTTCAGAAACTAGTGAATGCCCACAATGTTTGTACCAAGCATCACGAATTTTTGCGTCTATGATAGAAGCACATCGACAAGAACTACGCTCAAGACGAACACTATCGGTTACGACTGCTTTTGTTCGGAGGTGAGGAAACGACGAGGTAGCGCGCGCTTCACGCTTCGTGCCCAGCTCGCGCCGGGAGCAGGCGGTAGCACCCCAGCATCGGGGCGCAATCAACCATCTTCCGCCGGCGCTAGCAGGAACTGGGACGAGAGGGTTGAGTTGGCGACGCCGTTTGGTGTCGCCGTACGCGAGCTGCTGTCGCTGCCAGCCCGGGTTGCAACGGTTGCAGAACAGTGCCGCACTGAGGGCGGCATTCCCCAGGCACAGAGCCGTTTCGAAAAGCTGCGGGAAGCCATCGCGAACGGGAATATGAGAAGTCGTCTCACCGCAATGCAAGAAGCGCACTTCTACCCAAGATCCCTCGTCGTGCCGGTGCTATTGCAGGTGCTCCGCTCTGCTGTTGAGCACGCTCGTGAGCGCAACCGACTCGAAGGAACCGGACCAAGTGCGGCGGACTCCTCGCGGCCGAAGAACCTGTCGACCCTGGTGCTACCGGATCGAGTTTTCGATGAAATGTCACGCTCTCAGGCAGCCTTTTCCCTGGCTATTCTTCTGGGCCAGGGTCAGGCGACGTCAGAGGCAGCTGTCGAAGAGTGGCGCCAGATGGCTGTCGAGGCCCTCATTGAGGTACTTCAGGAGGACCTTGACCCGGCTGCCCGTGCAGCTTCTGCAGGCGCTCTTGGCCATGTTGGCAGCCGATGTGAACAATTCAAACCGATGTTGGTGAGTCCTTTGCTTGGGTGTTTTGAGAAACAGAGCGAGGACTGGATTGTGAGGTTGAGCGCGGCGGCGAGCCTTGGGCTGGTACGCGCACGTGAAGCGCTGCTCCTGTTTATCGAGGAACTGAACAGTCATGAAGTGAACAGTGAGTCTGGGAAATCGCTCCTTGTTCAGACGGTGATATGCGCTCTTGGTGACCTCGCGTACGCAGACTATTCGCAGTCGGAGATGGACCAGGAACTGCTTCAGCGCTCAGTTCGAGCGATCGAGCGCTTTACCCGAAGCGAGGATGTTCTTGTGCGTATTTCCGTGACCGAGTCGCTCGGGCACTGGTGCAGGCACTCGTCCAAGGCACGCGCGGCGGTTGAATCACTTCTGTTGGACCCGAACGAGAACGTGGCGAAGACCGCTCGTTTCGCCTTGGACACCTATGCGAAACAGGATCAGTGATAGACTGTGACACTACAAGACTGTACAGGTTTGGTCGTGGTGTGGGCACGGGTTTCCTAGGTTGAATCTACGTGAAGCGCAAGCGTTTCGTGTTTGATGGGGATTTTGATACGTGGGTTGTAAAGCAAAGCTTCGAAAAGTTTCGGCGGATACGTCTCCGATTTCATAGGATATTCGGAGAAATCCAGGTTTTCACAGTGGCGTCGACGGAAACATCATCAACGGAGGTGCGGACGGGCCTCAGGTCGCTAGCTCGCTCGAATCAGTGAGAACAGGAATGCTGGAGCTTTGGATCTCGGACACAAAGTACTCTGTCGGATGCTCGGCGACGGTGCTTGTGTTATGATGGACGATACTGGGTTCCACAAACGCTCTAAAGAACGGAACAACGTGCGATTGTGTATGCCGCAGGTAGCGCAGACGGCGCCGGGATCGCCCAAAAAAATGCCCGTGATCATCGGGCACTGCATACGCGGCGCAGCAACGGGGCGTACATCAAGCAGTCCCTCCAGTACCTGTCAAGAGCGTATATCCAGCCAAGAAGCAAGGATTCGCACGCCACAGGGCGGCACTCTGAAGAGCAGGAGCGGGGGACGTATGAGTTGCACGACCGCAGTCTCGTGTCCAAGCCGCGGATGGCGCAAATAGGCTGTGTATAGAGAAGATCTAAAGCAAATAAATTGTGTATCGCAACTTTTGCTTGCTCTTAGAGTGCGTCAACAGCAGCCGGAAGCAGCGATTTCGGGACTCCAACGCTGACGTCATATCCTTCGACTCCTAGTGACGAAGCTGGAGAAACAGGAGATCCCAGCGTATTTAGCGCCCAATACCACACAGCAAAATAAAGCATTCACTAAAAAAAATTTCGCAAATACTAGTGTTCACGACTACTGGAAAAGACCCGTACGTTAGTGAGTACGCGACAGTACGCTGCGTATGCTTGTTTTCCAGTTGCCTCGCATCAGTGCGAAACGTGGCACTTGCAATGCGCGGAAACGCACCACGACCATGTATATACAGTTATGTCTAGAATGTGATCATACGGTGGCGCTCCTGAACGGCAGACGCTGATCACGCGACCGGTCCGTTGCCCTCTGTGTCACGTTACAGGCCGGAATCTTCGCGAGCGAGACCGTGTCCGAGCTCGGCCCGCAGATAGTCCGATTTCGATGCCTCCGTTATAGGTGGCGTCAGAACTTTCGTTCGTGTCGTTCCGACGTTTACATAGACAAGGGGTTACTTCCGTGTCCGCTCACTGGTTTGTTTTCTGTTTAGCGCTGTTTTTGAAACAGACGCGTTCTATCCAGCTGCGCTGAAGTTTGTGCAGTCAAGAGCGCCGAGCGGTGAGCGTAACGCACCTGAGTTCCACTGCATAGCGTGACTTGTGTTAGCGACGCGACGTGCGAGCTGCGCACGAGTCGTGAACGCTTCACAAACGCAAGCTGGAGACTTGAGAGGTGGGGTTCTGGGTGTTCCTTAAAGCTGAGAACCGGGCACGTACATTTTATTGTTTTGACTCGAGGTGAAACACAAACTGCATTCACGAATACGTCTCCCACACCGCAGCTTTCAAGTTGAACGACTGAATTCTCTTCGCGGACGCACTTGCGGCCAGGTTCGGCCCAGCGCGTGCAAACGCGCTCTCTTGCGCGGAGCAGTTACGGGTTTGGTCTTTGTCTGCACAGTGGACAATATAGTTCGGGGACACCGGGATTCACCTTGGGGTGGCACGACCTCGAGATTCACGTCGCAGCACATTTTGAGCGTCCCTGAAAGCGTCTCTTAGCTCCAAACTCTGGCCGTGGGGCAATCTGGAACGATCGCTACACTCTTAATCACATAGCCGTGCATATTACGATCAATGGCATCGATGAAAGCAGGTACGCATTTTGAAAATGAAGACAATGGGAACGTGTCGACGAACAGCGTAACGCTGACGCGCCATGCGGTACCAGCTGCGTGGAAAGGGTCATCGTCTTTGCCGTATACTATGGTAAGTTGCTTCTCCTGGGCTGACTTGTCCGACAGTGAATCAGATGATGAAAATCAGACTTCGAGACCAGGTGCGGACTTGAGCAAGGGCGTTTCAATCATCGAAGAGAGCAAGAGCATGGATGATCAAGTCGCAAACGCCTTGAACAAGACCGTCTACGATGATTTGTCGATACAGCTTAGCCCATTGACAAGCGGAACCCCGACTGCAAGTAGCAATTGGCTCCGGAGTCTTGAGGCTCGTTCTGCGCTGAACCTTATACATGAGTCGTGCCTTGGTCACTCTAGTACGACAGAGGTGAAAGCAAATGTGAGTAAGTTTCCCGAAAACGGCGATCGATCAGACCCGTATAGCTCGGTTTGTGAGAGCTTCGATCTCTTTGGGTACGCGAGTCGCAGCTGCGCGCGTTCAGCGCCAGGCAAAGTTGCATCTTCGCGCAACTGCGCAAAGGCATCGCAGGGTACTATAGAGGCGGCGGACGCAGAGATCGCGTTGCTACCTCTACGCGGAGAGAATCCGACAGAAATGGGTGCGCAGCAGGGGCACAAGCTTTGGCAGTCTTCCCGAGCTCTTTTGGAATCTACCCGCCGTCATGGCTGCCATCGCAATGATTACAATGAACGTAGTAGCGATCAGGGGTTTTCTCTATATGCTGCCGTAGCGGAGCGCGTAGAACTCGAAGAAGTCATCGATGCTGCAGAGCGTGCCTCAAAAGCGATCACAAACGGTGGGGCTCGTCTCGAGCGACCCTACCGATCGGGTGCATCGGGTGCCTATCTCATTCGGAATGCCACAGGCACGCAGAGCGTGTTGGGAATATTCAAACCGTTTGACGAGGAAACTGCTGGTACGGAGCTGCCTTTGCAACCAGCGCGCATGTATTTCCATCCCGCCGAGGGTGCATTTAAGGAATGTGCAGCGTATTTACTGGATCACGGGCACTTTGCGAATATTCCGCAAACAGCTCTCGCAAAATGTGAGCTTGTGGACAACTGCGGCGACACAATGACGAGGAAGACCAAATGCGGTGCATTTCAAGTGTACTACAGGAACCGCGGCGACGCCGAAGACTTTGGCCCTGGTGTTTTCGATACTGAATCAGTCCAACGCATCGCCGCTTTTGATATACGAGTGCTGCAGTGCGATCGGAACGCATCGAATGTGCTCGTGTGTGACACTTCAGAGCTGCTTCGGCACCGAGGCCTTTTGAAGGACTCGGAATCATGCGAAAAGGAATGCAAACAGGCCTCGCAGCGAACCCAAATGCAACTTGTCGCGATCGATCATGCGTACATTTTGCCAGAGCAGGTGCCGACCGTTCCTCGGGCATGCTGGATGGATTGGACGCAATCCCAGGAGGCTGTGTTGGACTCGGTTCGGCGCTACGTCTTGGGACTGGACTCATTCGCGGATGTGAAGTTGCTGACGCGCGAACTTGGACCACGTGCGCTTCGCAAGGGCAGCTTGCGCAGCCTCTGTGTTGGCACCCTGCTTTTGAAGCTTGGAATCCAAGCAGGGCTCACACTCTACCAAATCGGTCTGCTTGTGTACGGAGACGCATCCTCGACCCGCTCTGCAGAGTCTTGGCAATCAACTCGTGCTGCCCGTTCGCACAGAACACAGGACTCGTCTCCTGAGGATTACGGTCGAGCGGAACAGAGTCGTTTTGAAGGTCGAAGCAAACTGGAAACTGCCGTTCTGGAAGCGGAACGCGTTTGTGCTGCACGAGACAAGCGGCTACAGTCGTTATTTTGCGAGCGTCCTACGAAACCTGTTGGGTCACTCTACGTACCGCTTGTGGATGACGATTATGGAGTCTTTGCGTTTGAGGAGCAGCTTCAGGCAGCAATAGCGACATCAACATCAAGTGGACCGATAACAGTATCCACAGCCATCGCTGGGCCCGAGCAACAGCACCAAGAGCACCAACAACCACGCAATACCTCTGCCGACGCGGAAACGCCATCGAACAAGACGCAGGGTATGTTCCACTGTTTCGATGACGCCGAAGCGGATTTAGTGCCCATCTGCGCACTGGAATCGCCGTTTTTCTGCAAGTACCTCTCCAAACGCCTTACGATCGAAATCGAAAGGCTGAAGCAGAGTGCGCCAGGCACCAACTCCGTTGCCGAGTCAGGTTCCGTCCAGAGTCTCATGGATATGATTGCTGCGCGCCGTTCCATGTCGCCGGAAGCACCTGTAGCGAAAACCAGTGCTCCTGCGAGCGGCAGTAGTCACCCGAAGCACTCTGGTATACGTCGTTGCTCGTCGGAGCCCAACCTTCAGATACCATGATCGACTCCGTTACGCCCATCTTGGTATTCGCATATTTTTCAGGATTAGTATGCGTCGGTGATCTATGCACTCTTTCGAGGGAAAAGCGGCCTGGACGAGTCGGAGTGTCTACGTCGTTTGCGTGCCGCTGAAGAGGTTCAGGTAACTGGGTAAAGTCCTTTTGCACGCTCGTTCGCCAATGAGACAACGATACGCGTTTGGGACGCGCCCGAAAGCAGGCGCCGGTTACTGCTATTCACCGCAATTCAAAAGATGACTAGCTGGAATCTGGCGAGACTCCAATGAAAACGCGAGACCGCTGCGACAGCTCACCCTAGCACAACACGCTGACTTTGCTCCAGTCCGTGGTGGCATTCAGAGGGAGCCTGATTCGATTCACCGGAGGTGCGTGATGTAAAAAATCGCACTGGCGATGCTGTTTGTACAGCGCACTGCTACGCTGCAGTGATCATGGGTCAGATATATTTCCATCGTCCATGCGTTGTGAGATGGTGCTGTTTGTACAGCGCACTGCTACGCTGCAGTGATCATGGGTCAAGATATATTTCCATCGTCCAATCGCACTGGCGATGCTGTTTGTACAGCGCACTGCTACGCTGCAGTGATCATGGGTCAAGATATATTTCCATCGTCCAATCGCACTGGCGATGCTGTTTGTACAGCGCACTGCTACGCTGCAGTGATCATGGGTCAAGATATATTTCCATCGTCCATGCGTTGTGAGATGGTGCTGTTTGTACAGCGCACTGCTGCGCTGCAGTGATCATGGGACAGATATACTTCCATCGTCCATGCGTTGTGAGATGGTGCTGCTGGTGTGACGGACGCTTCGCGGCCTGAACGCCGTCAAGCATTCCGACGTGACAGTTGATGTCGGGTCGCGCCTTTTGCAACACAGCACTGAAACATCTATCCAGCGGTTTCTGTACGCTTTTAGTGGATTGTAGTCAAGAAAATGACCGAAGTTCCATTGAAGGCGCTCCCGAGGGCCGCTCTCTGAAGACCAGCCTTCGCGTCGAGGCTGGACGCTCAAGTGATGCAGGAGCGCCTCGCTCCGCTTGTGTCAATGCCGTCAACACTCCAGCGCCGAATCGTCTCTAGTCTGCGCGTCACTCAGCTGCACGGCAATCGATGCTGCAATGCCCACTGACACTGGCCTGCCTAGTCGTTTTGAACATGAACGAGTATCTCGGGAACAAGTTGTGAGCTGTTTCGGAAGCGCGAGGGAGCATGTTTCAGACGCAACCAAGGGCCCTCGCGCCCAAGCTGTTGTGTGTGGTACTCTATGGCGTGAACGCTTTACATTGCAGGGCTCGAACGCATGGCTTGTGATGGTCGAGCAGAAACACGCCTACACGATGATCATGATGAAATCGAGGATAGTTAACGTGATTCGTCCGAGTAGGCCGAAGAATACGCAGTCATGTTGAATCATGGAGCACCATGGTCGCTCAGTAAATGCCCCGGCAAACCGTTATCGATGCACTTCTGACGTCTATCCGGATCGCTGAACCATAACCTGCCAGTGGATGACGCTAGGCGAATATCCCGTTCTCGCTCTCGCCTGGGCACGGATTTCTGTTCATCAAAACACTGCAGCGCCTTTCGTACAGTACCTCGGCTGCGTTACGAAACAAACGTTCCCTCGAATGTCCGCTCAACACAGAGCTGCTGGACGCACCGGAAGCACCAGGCAGGTCCGGGTGTTGAACGACGCGTTCGATACCGCGTGCAGAAACTCCTCACACGCGTTGTTCGTGGTGCAAGCACGCCACATCGCGAGCCGGTCGTCTTCGATTGTCTCGCCCGCTGACGTCCGATCGGCTTGCCGCACACCATGCCGTGCATCCGTCTCTGCTTCATGTGCTTCTTCGCTACCTGGGGATCAGCGAGCACCCGAGCCCGTGACGCGTGGATGTCGTCGGAAAGCCAACCACGGGAATCGCATGGCATCGAGTCCTGCACTCGTTGGAAACGCTCGTCGAGGGAGCAGAGGCGTGCAGCGCTTGGGTGCCCCGGCACGCCCGGTGCCAGCGGGTGCCGCTACGCCCACCGCCATCACCACCATCGAGCGAAACGATATATCGGCCAGTTGCCCTTCGTGGTCATGGAACATGTTGGCGAGGGCACGCTCACTGGCCCCGTACGGCCGCAACGGCCGGCGACTCCATTGCGCTGTCTCGTGGACTCGATCAAAAGACTGTCCGCGTGAGTCATCCAGAGTCTCGCGTACTCCCTGAGCGAAGCGTGAAGCGCATCCCGCGCTGCTCGATACGGCACTCTCAGCGCGTCCACACGGGTCCTGGGGCCGTCACTCCGCTCGTCGATAGGCCTGGTGGCATCCGTCGCGCCCGACTCCCGATACTACCACGCCCTGGAAGAATGAACTCGTATTGTCCCTGGGGTGCCGAGCGTCAGCTGCAGTGCCTCACGAAGGTTGGATCGCAGGCTCTCTGAGGGACGCGGACCGCTGGCAGCCCCGCGTCTGGAACGCCTAGCAACGTTCTCGGAATGAGGGGCGGGGACGCCAGACAAGCTGCGCACTCCTCGGCTGATTTTCAGTGATGGGCGTCGTCGTTGTCTCGGGGCAGGGCAGCGGCATGTGTGAAGGAGAAGCGACGAAGCGTGCACCGACGAAGGACCGGCTCTAGAAGGATTTCGCGCGTTTGGCGAGTTGCAAGCGACCGCTCGACTGAATCGCCGCAGTGGCTGATGCAGTCGGCATGCTGGCTGGTCTTCTGTAGACGCCCAGCGGCATGTCGCTCGCTCTTTGAATGCCCTTGTCGAGGCGGTGTGGCGTCTCGCCCGGATACAGGCGTGCCGAGTGCGGCGGGAACCCGTGCTTGCTGCACGCAGCGTTCGCGTCTCAGTCGGAAGTCACCGGTCTGTGTTGTTCGGCGTGCTTTTTGCTTTCCCCGGGGGCGTCGCCTCAGGAGCGTCCGTCGCACCTGGGCGGAGCATTCATATTCTGTGGCTTGTCTGGTCGTATTTGATGCGGCACGCATGGATGGAGCGGAATGGACTGCTCGGACGACTGTCGCGTTGACGGCGTTGCAGAGGCTCTGTTCGGGTGCTCGACGTTTAGCGCACGGCCCTAGAGAGTACTGGTTCACCAAAGTGCTGAACGTAGAATGCCTGCACGCTAGAGGTAAGCCCCATTGATTCGCATGTTAGCAGCGCTTGTGTAGAGTGTATCTGCTATGTCTGTCGAATCTGCAGGATCCGTTTCTTTTGTTGAACGTCTGTGAGAGAAACAAGTAATATTAGCAAGATCACGTCCGAATGTCCCTTCCAGAATTCGTCGCTCTACGTATAAACACCAGGAAACACGAACCTGCGGCCGCGAAGCGCAGCGCATACAAGCGCCGTTCTCGCCTAGTGCCGCAATGCTAACCCTCCGAATTGGTTCTGTGTTTCACCTTGGGTGCGTCAAGTACTCCTTACAGCACCTTATTGCGCCAGGAGGTTGCAATGCCAAACAGACGCCTCCACGACGATGTCAGTGCCTTTGTTAGTCTCGCGACCGGGAGCGTTCTAGGGCGGCAAGCCGAGTTCCCGCTCAAGCGCACGCGTTTCCGCGAATGTTGTCGTAGCCGCTTAGCACGCGCTGCAGCGCGTCGCGCAGTTGCGTGCAACCTGAACCGTCAGGAAACAGAATCGAAGAAGGGTCCAACGCGAGCGAAAAACCAGCTTGGAGAGGGCTCGCGGCCCGCGTCCAAAACGTACGGCTCCTCTGGCGCGACTCCGAAACGGTTAGAGTCCATCGAAGGTAGTCGAAAGTTTCGCTACATCGCCGGGAACAAAGGTCCCGACATCTGGCTCGTTGTCGCAATTCTGAGTATACTTTTGCCGATTCTTTTCATAGCGTGGGCGTTCAAAACCGGTATTGTGGACCCTTCTGGGTACTGAGCCGGACGCGCCTCGACGGAGCGCCAAAACACACAACCATAGGGGTGAACCTGGATAGCAGCGGCAGCATAGAGGCATGGAAGAGAAGGTGCTCAGTAGCCGCAGCCGTACCAGCGCGTTCACGTTGCATAGCGAAGAGAGGTTCTGCCCTAAACGAGTGCATCGTGCTGTACAGCGAGCATTGTCAGCGTGACGGGTCGTGAGCCCTGGACTCGGAACGTTCAACGATCCTTCGTACCGAGATACGCGCACCGCCCGCACATGCTACGATAACTGAAGGGCAGTATCCATGGACCGCGACGAAAGACCCGGTATGCTGCTCCGTCTGTGCTGCTCAGCCTCGAGAGCGTGATCCCATGGTCGAAGATCCGGCCGACGCGGCAACATGACGAACAAGTAAATGATAGATGTTCGACATTTTGCCGTGAATGCGTACCCAGATATCCAGAAACGGGTCGTATGCGACTTGAGTGCCTGGGCGCCCCAACGTCGCCTAGCGTTGTTTGCTGATCCGGGTCCGGATGCAGCCGCTTCGGGCATCCATGACCACGCCTTCCAGTACGCTGTGGTATCTTCCAAAACACCGCCAAAAGTCCCTGATATGCGCGATCATCAACGCACGCTTCCATCCGGTGCGGCATTCAATATGATGGACAGCGGTGCTGGCGTTCGATCGAGCCACAGAATGCACCAAACATGCTCCGAAACAACTGCATTTACTGGTCAAGCAGGAGGCTCTTCACGAAGTCGAGATCCGGGCAGCCTTTTGTGTGCGCTCTTCATCACGCTGTGCATAATACTTCTCTATCCAACGGGACACTAGTTCATATGCGAGGAACATGAGCGCGGTATTCGGGACCACGCGCAGTAAGTGTGTGCCCATACCGCAGTACAGGCCGCGTCGTCCTTCCTCGCGACCTATGACCCATAAGGCGTGCGGCACGGATCGATATTTGAGGGGGCCCCCCGGATAGACGGGCCGTTGCTCTCTGAGACGCGTTCGCACGACTTCGTGTGGGTAGGTGAGGGTGCTCGCTACGAGCTTACTGAAGCCCGCGGCCAGAAGGTACTGCACGGCAGGAAGCTTGTCGGCTTCATGTTGATCGACGCCCTCATCGAGCTTCGCCCGTTGACGTTGCTGGAGAAATTTCTTCAAACGCTCATAAACCAAAAAATGGATGGCGCCCTCAGAAACGCCCCAGAAACTCGCAGTGAGTCCCTTGTAGAAGCCTGCGATACCTTCCTCGGCCAGAATGCGCCGGCACGCGTCACCATAGCCCCGGTAATGAAACCCATTGGATCCACCGGTATCGAGCTGCATACGCGTCTTGACCATCCATATGGGGTTCGTGAGGGCATTCGATACCACGCCCGCCATCGCCGCAGATGCCACATGGGTTCGTGCATCTGACTCCCCGAAAACGTGCGCCAATACTGATTTCGTGGTAGAGTATGCCCAGAAGTAGGTGGCACGCGCCGGCAGGATACCGACCCATGTCGGCAACAGGCCCCGGAAAAATCCACGAACGCCCTCCTGGCGCGCAATATTTCTCGCCACGGAGAGAAAGGTGGCGTGCTTTCCTCCGCTCCCTACGGACGAAATCGATTGAAGCTTTGTTTTGATGACTTCGAGTGGGCACGTAATCGTGGAAGCAAAGGTGCCAGCGAAGCCACCTGCCATGAGCGAAGCCAGCTGCTTGCGATGATTGAGGCTTGAAAGCACTGCAGCCTGCGTGGTATGAATATCTACTTCCGTGCGCTGTGTTTCATCGTGCTCGTTCATGGGTTTGGATACGGCGACGAACGCGACGTGCTCGCAAGTAATGTTGCGACGAGAAACACACCAGCCTGTGCTAGAGCTCCCTTTACTGAGCGTCACTAGTCGCGCTCGTTCGGGGACCGCTGAAGTCGTCTGTCGGACGCCGGAATCGGAGTGCGTGTGCGTTGGACTCGCAATCATAACGTTGAGGGAAAGCGCGGGACCTAGCTCCCACCTATACCCACTGCCACTTGAGATCCAGTGTGATGAATCAGCAATGCTACCATGAAAAGGCTCTTGCCCAGGGTGCAGGAAACTAGAGCCTAACATAACCAGCATCTTAGAAGCTACAGCCAACTCGTGCGCAGTGCATGGGCGAACCAAAAGCCTACTAGAGGTTGCGCGATCAGTTACCAAGTTTTGGGAACAATGTCAGAGCATACACCTGAGGTCGGTGTCAGAGCCTCCACACGCTTCTCGGTCGTCCGCGAACAGGTAACCTCTGGGAACTCGAAAGTATCAGTGACAGGCACTCACCGAAACCTTCGAATGGGGTAACGCCGACTCGATTGAACGGAGAGGTTTCACGTCCCGTAGTAGTGCCGTAGCTTTTGCTCGTAACTCTCGTGGTCGATCCCAGATGCTGGCTCCCAAGAAGCGATTTCCCGTTTCGGTCGGTTGCTGCCTCAGGCACGCACCTGAGAAGCGACGCGCTCACCTTGACGACGAATCGCCGCTCAGCCGGCGATCGCCTCGAAACGACGCTGACCAAGTTCGAAGTCCAAAGCGCCACCGCACTCGGCGAGATGTAGTGGCGGCTAGGGGCAAGCTCGACACCCGCCGTACTTGTGCTCAATGAAGGCTGCATATATCGCTACGAAGCCAGGTGGATGCGTGATCGGTACGAAAGCCAGCGACATGACGATCACGCCTCGCTCCGTATACATAACGAGAATCGTTTAGCCCCAGGCAAGTCTTACCATTGGAATCGCATTTTGGTCCAGCGACATGACGATCACGCCTCGGTCTAGACACATAACGAGAATCGACCAGCCCCAGGGAAGTCTTACCATTGGAATCGCATTTTGGTCCAGCGACATGACGATCACGCCTCGGTCTAGACACATAACGAGAATCGTTTAGCCCCAGGCAAGTCTTACCATTGGAATCGCATTTTGGTCCAGCGACATGACGATCACGCCTCGGTCTAGACACATAACGAGAATCGTTTAGCCCCAGGCAAGTCTTACCATTGGAATCGCATTTTGGTCCAGCGACATGACGATCACGCCTCGCTCCAGACCTACAACAAGAATCGACCAGCCCCAGGCAAGTATTACCATCGTGATAGCGGTACACTCCAGCGGCATTCCTAGTGCCGAGCCTACCTCACGTGCTTCTGGAGCGGCTCCGCGCACGCCGCTCCCTGTGCATCGAAAGCACCACCAGCCCACACCGTACATGCATCGACACTGGGGGAAGGACTCGCCTGCTACGCTCCTTATCGATAGCGGCGGAAGCGCGCGGCATCAGTATCCACGCTACTGTGCCTGTGTGCCTTTGTGCGTATGTGCGTGCACAGGTGACTTTCAAAGAGCCTGCCCGCGCTTCAGCGTACTTCCTCACGGCGCATGGCGCATGGATCGTGGGTTCGTCTCATCAAGGCTGTCGTGGAAACGGAGACATGACGGACCAAGGAGACAGCGCGTTGGTTTCCGCCAATACTCAGATGTTCGAAGACTGAAAGCACTTTTGTGCGATAGCGTCTATGAGAGGTTTCCCGGGTAAGCAAGGTTTACAGGCGCCCGCGGTACCTAGGTTCGAGCGTCATAACACAAGCGCGACTCTCGACTTGAGCTCGGGTGCTCCGAGCTATTTCGATGGCATTCAGGTGAGCGGCAACTATGTGGACAGGCATCGGCAGCTGGGCTCCGTACGTATTTGTTTGGACGGCACAACGTATAGGTTACAGCGGCGCTCGGAGAGAGCCGAGGTGCACGCGCCGCAAGCTCACCGCAGCGTTTGCGTCGTGCCCGAAACCAGTGATGAGGCTTAGCATCTCGCGGGCGTATTCGTCGCAACTGCAACAACTACGGCGCGATGATCGTTGTCATCGCTCAGCAGGATACCTCTCTGGACTCTATGGATGCTTGAGGGAGATAGAGAGAGAAAGCGTCGATCATTCCGTATGCTGCCCAATTCAATACGTCGCCAGTTGCACGCTTTACAATGTGACTGGGGTAGGGTGGCGAATGCGCTTTGAGCCAGACGCTCACGAGACCGCTGTGCCTCGGTCTGCGGCGCGCATGGATCGTCTCGCGGGACGTGTACTTCCTTTCTTGCATCAAGTCCGGCAGATAGAGAGAACACTCCAACAAGTGTTCGCCGAGAGCGTTTCTCCCTGTGTCAGGCACGTTTATCCTTGCCTGATCACCGACATTCTCCGCGCTTTCGGTGGGATGCGGACAAATGCATCGATCCTCTATTGTTCAAAATCGTATCATGCTCGGATGGCTTTCTGCGGCATACGGCTCATTGCGCGATCCGGATCGCCGGAAAACGCCGCCACTGAAACAAAGCTGGAAATGCTGTTCCGGAGAGGTACAGAACACGAGTCAGGCGGAGTACGGTTGATCGCCAGTGCCGCCCAGAGATTCCGAAACCTCGCTTACGCGTTCGAAGTGTCCGAGTTACACGCAGTAGTCGCTTTGCATGCCAGTTCGTCGCCAAGTCTACGACAGATAGGTGATAATCCTACCGCCCTGAATCCATCAGTTTCGTTATCACATCGCGCGAGACGACTTGCAACAAGCGAAATAGATTAACGCAGAGGTCGACGCCCATCACTTCTCCGTAGTATCGAACTCGGAACGGCGGCATGTATCTGGGATGCCGATGGAGCAAATGGACGCCTCCTGCGAACACCACTTGCAGTTCATGCACGTCGACATCAAGTCCGAGAATAGGAAGCAATAGGTGCGGCGCGCTCCAGGGCCCTCATGCAAACCGAACTCGATGCCTACATTTGCCTACGGATATCCTCTACAGGGTCCTCTAATCTTCATAGACAGTTTTTCATTTCGTGGGTGCATCACTCGCAGCAACGACATGGCGATCGGTAAACATTGAGACCGGGTTATCATCCGCAAATATCGTGCACCTCCAAGGCGCTGTGGACTCGCCGCTGAAGATTCACAAAAGAGAAGTCGCGCTCTGCGTATGATATTCTCCAAATTTCGGCAAGTTTCAGCAGACACTTAAAACAGATGATGCGGAGAACGCCGCTCCATGTGCGTGTCAGCGCGTGGGGCCGATCAGCTCACGAGCCGCTCTCCAAAGTGTCTCCGTTTCCCGCCTATCGTGTTCCAATACTTCGAACACATGCTCCATACCCTGACGTTCACGCTCCAGGATCTCGAGCAGATGTCGCTCAGAAACAGTATCCGCGGGGCGGATCCGCCCTATAGTGGAGGATTGGCCACCGCTCTTCCCCGAAGCTGACGCCGCTGGAATCGATTCTGGACTGCTACTGATATCTAGTCCAAGGACTGTGGCGGTGGCCTCAAGCGCCCTCAACGCGCGAGCGCGCGTACCATTCGCACCGTCAAGCTGTTTCCGCACGGCATCTAGCCGTGCGCGGAGACGCGACTCCGCTACACTGTCTCGTTTGAGGACGAGCGCGCTTCGACCTGCGGCGCTCGGCGGCACCGCTCCGGTGGCCGTCTCAACAGCCGTCCTGGATACAAGCGTGCATTCCAGGAGCGCCACAACAGTGAGAAACTTTGTCTCCAACAGAGAGTGCTGTGCTCGAATTCGTTCCAACCTGTTGACGATATGCTGCTCAAACGTGACACGTAGTCGAGATATCCGCTGTTCGATGTCCTCGGTGGCACGTCGGAGCTCTTCCAGGCGACGGGTTTGCAGGGCTGCACGCTCTTGCAGGCCTGGGAACCCTGCGATTCTTACCACGGCATATTTTTTCGGATCCGGATTAGACTCTACAGCTTCGATCCACAACTGAGCGAGAGGTCTCGGTGGGCAGGGTGGTGCCTGTACCGTCTCCGCGCCTGGCTGCGGCGCATCTGCGTCCTCACGCCGATTGTAGGAATAAAAAGCGAAGGGATAGTCCGGACTTGTTGGATCCAGTGCATAGTAGCAGAGCTCGAGAGCCTCCGGTAGCCGAGAAGCATCCATTGGTGGGTTCGGTGTACCCGCGAAGCCCTGCGCGGCCAGTGCACTACCGGCACCAGGCCTGGGTGCGTTGCCTCCGACGCTGCCGACACTCGTGGGGTCACCAGAACCGACACCGCCGACGCCAAAACTAGGCTGCGCTGCATTGGACTGCGTAGCGAGTCCCCTATTATAGCTACCGAAAGCCGGTGTAGACCCTGAACCGAAAGAAAACGACATGACGCATACCCGAACTGTATTTTGGCGGCCAGCTGCACTTGAGGTGCGACGCGGGTCCCAAGAGCCAGCCTGATGGGTAGGTGCGCGTCCAAGAGCGCGAATCCGCCGACTGGCGTCGTGCGTTCCGTGATTTGACAGCGGTGGATCGCGGAGCGCTTATCGTCCATGATGTTGAACCATGGAGCACCATGGTCGCTCAGTAAATGCCCCGGCAAACCGTTATCGATGCACTTCTGACGTCTATCCGGATCGCTGAACCATAACCTGCCAGTGAATGACGCTAGGCGAATATCCCGTTCTCGCTCTCGCCTGGGCACGGATTTCTGTTCATCAAAACACTGCAGCGCCTTTCGTACAGTACCTCGGCTGCGTTACGAAACAAACGTTCCCTTGAATGTCCGCTCAACACAGAGCTCCTGGACGCACCGGATGCACCAGGCAGGTCCGGGTGTTGAACGACGCGTTCGATACCGCGTGCAGAAACTCCTCACACGCGTTGTTCGTGGTGCAAGCACGCCACATCGCGAGCCGGTCGTCTTCGATTGTCTCGCCCGCTGACGTCCGATCGGCTTGCCGCACACCATGCCGTGCATCCGTCTCTGCTTCATGTGCTTCTTCGCTACCTGGGGATCAGCGAGCACCCGAGCCCGTGACGCGTGGATGTCGTCGGAAAGCCAATCACGGGAATCGCATGGCATCGAGTCCTGCACTCGTTGGAAACGCTCGTCGAGGGAGCAGAGGCGTGCAGCGCTTGGGTGCCCCGGCACGCCCAGTGCCAGCGGGTGCCGCTACGCCCACCGCCATCACCACCATCGAGCGAAACGATATATCGGCCAGTTGCCCTTCGTGGTCATGGAACATGTTGGCGAGGGCACGCTCACTGGCCCCGTACGGCCGCAACGGCCGGCGACTCCATTGCGCTGTCTCGTGGACTCGATCAATAGACTGTCCGCGTGAGTCATCCAGAGTCTCGCGTACTCCCTGAGCGAAGCGTGAAGCGCATCCCGCGCTGCTCGATACGGCACTCTCAGCGCGTCCACACGGGTCCTGGGGCCGTCACTCCGCTCGTCGATAGGCCTGGTGGCATCCGTCGCGCCCGACTCCCGATGCTACCACGCCCTGGAAGAATGAACTCGTATTGTCCCTGGGGTGCCGAGCGTCAGCTGCAGTGCCCCACGAACGTTGGATCGCAGGCTCTCTGAGGGACGCGGACCGCTGGCAGCCCCGCGTCTGGAACGCCTAGCAACGTTCTCGGAATGAGGGGCGGGAACGCCAGACAAGCTGCGCACTCCTCCGCTGATTTTCAGTGATGGGCGTCGTCGTTGTCTCGGGGCAGGGCAGCGGCATGTGTGAAGGAGAAGCGACGAAGCGTGCACCGACGAAGGACCGGCTCTAGAAGGATTTCGCGCGTTTGGCGAGTTGCAAGCGACCGCTCGACCGAATCGCCGCAGTGGCTGATGCAGTCGGCATGCTGGCTGGTCTTCTGTAGACGCCCAGCGGCATGTTGCTCGCTCTTTGAATGCCCTTGTGGAGGCGGTGTGGCGTCTCGCCCGGATACAGTCGTGCCGAGTGCGGCGGGAACCCGTGCTTGCTGCACGCAGCGTTCGCGTCTCAGTCGGAAGTCACCGGTCTGTGTTGTTCGGCGTGCTTTTTGCTTTCCCCGGGGGCGTCGCCTCAGGAGCGTCCGTCGCACCTGGGCGGAGCATTCATATTCTGTGGCTTGTCTGGTCGTATTTGGTGCGGCACGCATGGATGGAGCGGAATGGACTGCTCGGACGACTGTCGCGTTGACGGCGTTGCAGAGGCTCTGTTCGGGTGCTCGACGTTTAGCGCACGGCCCTAGAGAGTACTGGTTCACCAAAGTGCTGAACGTAGAATGCCTGCACGCTAGAGGTAAGCCCCATTGATTCGCATGTTAGCAGCGCTTGTGTAGAGTGTATCTGCTATGTCTGTCGAATCTGCAGGATCCGTTTCTTTTGTTGAACGTCTGTGAGAGAAACAAGTAATATTAGCAAGATCACGTCCGAATGTCCCTTCCAGCATTCGTCGCTGCACGCCTAACCAGATCCCATCGGATTTGCCAATGTGATTCTTGGTTTACCACGCAAGCCATTGGCGTGTTGTACCGGTCGCTTCCAAGATGCGCCATTCGAAGCGAGCCTCACTTAAGACGACTTGGACCGAATCGATTCAGCGCCCACCTGGGTACCAGATTCTCCTGGGGATGCTTTTTCTTTGGCATTGGAGGCTTTGCTGCTGCCTCACAAGCATGCGAGACAGCTTCGCGTTGCCCTTTTGGGCTACCGCAAGTGATGCATGATGAGCTTCGCCTAGAAGTACCGCTCCAAACATCGGGGGGCGGAAACCTTGGAGACGGAACACTTCGAGTCCGATTCTATAGTCGTTTTGCCCTACACTCTGCTGTCAGTGCGAGTGCATGGCCCGTGCCGAGCCGGTCTGGCAAGTACATCGGACAGGTTCAACGCACACGTCTCTGGAGAGCATCCGGACAACATCAAAAGTCAGGTATCCAGAAAAGATCGGCACCTCCAAGAGTGCTATCGTTCAGCGACGAGCATGCATCCCAAGGTTCCGTATCGTTGCTCCGGAAGCACGCATACTCTCCATACACCCAAACACCGAGCATACATGGTTCCATGCTGGATCGCTCTGTGCGAAACCGAGCGTCCATTCGACACCAGTTCGGTACCGCCATGCATCGCGCTTCGTCTATTTCTGTTCACAAGCGAAACGCCAGTGTCGCACAGGCCTTTGTCTCCCGCCGACTATTCGCTCACGCTGCATTATCTACGGTCGAGACGATCGTCTGCAAGGCATACGGACACGGATCAAACGTTTGTACAGGCTGCACCCTAATCAGATAACATCCAGACACATACACAGCGACATGGACGCCACGCGAGCGACCATCTCTCCCCGCTGCACCGAGGAGCGTATCGCTCCGCAGCCCCAGCGGCGCGCCGTTCCCAGTGCGATACGCGCGCACAGCACCGGCCAGCACCGAATCAGCGGACGCATGCGCAGACGGCACAGCGCCGCCGCTACAACCGCTGCATGGGTGAGCACTCGATGCGTCATCGCATCGCACAGCGCGCCACGTGGCGCATCGTGCAGCATCAACGGCACGTGTCTATCTGCGTGCGCGCTGACGCATTCGTCCCCGCGCAGTGTACAATATCGCGCAAGCGATCGCAGGGCTGATCGCATCCAGCACTCGGCAGGTAGTGTAGTGCGGAAGAGTTCGCGTTGTGTCGCACGTTCGTGTTCCGTTATGAACGGGTATCAGGAGAGCGAGCTTGAGGGAGATCTGAAGACGGAGGAGGTGGCGGCGCAGGAGCTCAAATCGGATAAACGCCACCAGCGGAACCCTGCGTGCCGGGTCTACGTTAGTAACCTCGCCTGGCGGACGACGTGGCGCGGTCTGAAGGACCACATGCGCAGCGCCGGCGAAGTCACCTACGCAGACGTTTACTTAGACAAAGAGACGCGGCGCTCGAGGGGTTGTGGGGTGGTGGAATATGAGGACGAGGCCTCAGCGCAACGGGCGATACGTGAGTTGAACGAAACCACTTTGGACGGCCGTCAAATCTACGTGCGAGAGGATCGCCACTAGTTTGCTAGCGGTGCTGTGCGAAGTCATTGCCGATACTTCTCAAGGTGACCAGGAACTTTAAAGGGATTTTCCGTGGACGGGCGCTCGACAATGGAGGGTTGGAGGATACAGTAGACGCGACCTGGGTGCCCAGGGTCAACGACGGATCATCGCCCTTTGGCCGCGCAACGCGAAGGCATGGCGTCCACACCCAGGCACGATGACGCTTCCAAGTGTGTCATCCGTGAGGATGCATTCGAACGTAGGATGCCACGACGCCATGCTGGTTGCTTCCATAACTGACTCGCGTGTCAGGGGAACTTGCACCGCATTGTTGCTCATGTTCTGTGCCGCTTGGCGAGGATAAAGTGTTGTCTTTTCGTGTTGTTGTAATATTTTTCGGAATGACGTATCTATCTGGTCTTTTCCGGCTTGTTCTCATAACGCTTCCGCTCGCGTTCCTCCGCTTCGAGTTCAAGTACTGGCTTGGACAGGCCGAAACGTTCCATGCGTTTCCGCCGCCGTTCCTCTTCCGCCTCATCAACCGGGACGAGGCCTCCGTGTTTCTCTAGTGCTTTCTCGAAACGCCTTCGTTTGCGGTACCGGTTGAGAGCGGCGCGCCGGAGCTCCGCCGGCAGACCCCCATAGGGCACCCCAAACCGAGCAGCTCGCGCCATGGTTTTCGCAACTTCCTCTCGCTCGGCGGGCGTGAGAAACTGCTCAAGTTCTTCGTCCGTAAGTTTTCTTGTTTCCTTCTCAGGTGAAGAGGAGTTTTCCGGTGCGGGCGCTGATGCTCTTGGCGCACTCGTAGTGTCGAGGTTCCCGGTTCCTGTGTCCTCTGCGCCCGCCTCCAGAGCGCCCTGCTCCTGGTTCGAAGCACTTTGCTGATCTCCACGTTCTGGTCTGGTGCCATGCTCAGCAGACTCCGCCTCGGCCTCTTTGTCGCCTTTCGAAGGCACTGCTTCTGCTGCGGAAGTTTCTCCGTGCGCCTCCTGCTCAAGCGCTTTCTGAAGTCTCTCCTGTAACTCCTGCTTTTTCCCCGTGGTATCGAGGCCTCTTCTCTCGAGCTCGCAGCGTAGCTCGGCAACTTTCATATTTGCCACGTCCATTTCGAGTGCGTGTCCCAGCTTCAATACAGAAGCGAGCTCCACAAGCTATCGAAGAGGTATTGCGCGGGCGCGGTTTCCGACAGAGTCGGCGTGAAATGTTGCATTCTTGAATTCCATGAAACCTGGACCTAGACCAGCGTTCTGCGACTGGGCGCTCGATATCAGGGCACAGTGAAGCATCCATCATTGCGCGCTCTACTCCCAAGTTCCATAACTTCTAACCCTTCCCGGATATACTGGCCGCTTCAGACGTTCTACCTCGGGCGTAGTGCATGGCCTGAATGTCCGGAATAGCGCCTGTAGTGCCGGTGCGGTCATGGCACGGACAGAGGTCGGCGTTGCCATATCGCAGAGGGCATCGGCTCGAGAGGGTACCCTGGAAACCACTCACAGACGCCTCCTAGCCTTTTTTGACCGGCCGCATGTTACTGGTTATAGATTTTCCTTGTATACTTTGAACCTGAGAGGCTGCTCCACAACGTTGGCTCGCGTCAACTCCTGGGCTTTCTCTCCCCAGCATCGCAAATCGTCTGATATTGATGGCGGCGTTCAAGGTTCGGTTCACGAACTCCATGCGCTTCTTGCCTCTACTAGAACGCATTATTGCAAGGATTGCTAAAACTCATGCCCTTTGCGCCAGTTTCTGCTCTGTCAGCGTTGCGTACTTTTCAATCCACTGAGCGCTCTGCCGGCCCTTCTGCATCTCGACCCTCTGCAGTGTACAGCGCAGCTCATCGCTTGGATTTTTTATTTCTTTAAATGAACGCACGTGCTAATGCCCTGAGGTAGGGACCTTCCCAGAGGGAGAAGGACCCGCGGAAGAGAGACGACATATGGTCCGGTGTGTCACCGTGCGCTGAAATCTTCAGCGATTCTTCCATCTGAGCGATCATTACGTTTCAACATAGAAAAGAATTCTTCGATGCGGTTGAAGTACGGCGAATATGGCGGAATGAAATGCAGGTCTACCCATATAGAATCGGTAAAAGTTCGAACTCGAAGGGTGAAATGCCATGTTGTGAAAAAGAAGGATGTCGCCTGACGCCAGGGAAAAGTCTTCAAGGGTTCCACGAAGTATCCGTGGTGGTAACAACAGAAACACGTGACGTACTAGCTGCAAATGTGTAAAAAGAACAGAAAATATCCATTAACGAGCAACTCGATAGCATTCTGGTGCCACCTTCATGGTAACCTTTGAAAGGGAAAAATTTTCCGTATTCTCGAAAGCTTATCTCCCAGGCGGAAGGTCCCGCGAGCCGAACTTGTCTACCAGGCCCGTGCTTCGCGTCCCCTCCAGTGGCGGATGTTGTAATGAGACCTGAGCGACTCGTCCGCAACGCGGGTTATTCTGGGACTAGGAGCGGGTAGGCTGCGTCTGGGCATCGCCCATGTTGCAGTTATCTCCTAGCATATCGCTTGGCGCTGCCGCAGGCAGTAAGTTTCTCTGCGCATATTTCAGGTTCCCAGAATGACCATTAGCCCTGATTCCGTGTCAGGCATAGCATTCCTCCATCCGACGCCCGCAGTGGAATGGCAAAGCCGCTCTGTCTCCGTCATACATATGCACCAGCAGTATAATCGCTGTTGGGGGTGCTCACGGCGGGCTTGGTACACAGTGGAACGTACAAAACAGTCGGTACATCCGGAACAACGTATAAGTAATGGAACTTGAAGGTAGGGTATAGCTCGATGAACGCATACCAGGATACCAAAATTCATCGTTCAGTCTGGGATCCAAGATCAACGTAATCGTTTCGTCAACGAAAAATTGATTCCAAGCTGCATTTCCGAAGCGGTATTTGAACTGTGGGCGTTCGCCGTTCCGTGCCTGTTTTAGTCGACGGCGCTGTACATACACTTGAACTGCTGGCACTGTGGAAAGTTGCCGCTTTGGATAGAGCTGCTGTGCACCGCATTCCAAAAGCAGTCTCGATATTCGAAAGCAGCCCCTCAAGGTACCTTCTTCAGGCGGCGACTTGTGCGTTCAGCGGTGCGGGTCCAGTTGGTCTTCGGGACGAGGGCGCTCCCAGGGCCTTTACCTTGGAGAGAACACCGGCGTGAGTCGTCGCAGTGCGAGCGGGTTTACGCCCCCGGTTGTACCATGGCGGGATCGCCCGGAACTACGCGCTAATGGACCTCAGTGCTCAGGGTTCTGGGGTGAGCCCGACGCACCCCGGTCTGCGCGAGGCCCCCGAACCTGACCTCGAGGCAGTCTCGAGACCCAGCGCCATTATTTGTGCCTCAGAGTGCCCCATCTGTTTCGAGCAGCTTGCCAGCGCTGGTGCCCACCAGATATGCTGCTTGCGTTGTGGCCATATCTTCGGGCGCTCGTGTCTGGAACGATGGCTGCGTCAGCAACGGCGCGCAAGTGACCGTTGCTGTCCACAGTGCAAGCAGCGGGCACAGCTCTGCGATATCCGTCTCCTCTACGTACCAGGTACGCACATGGAGCGTGACGCTCGACCAGGTGGAAATCGCACCGGAGCTGCAGACGAGCGTCAGCTCAGTCACGTTCAGAGAGACCCTGCTACCGTTCAGCTTGTTACAAGAGAGGTGGATGAATGCGAAGAGCTTCGCAATGCATTGCGGGTGGAGCGTAAAAGGCGGGTCAGGATGGAGCTAGAGCTCTGTCGTGTGAGGAATGAATTGCGCACGCTTCAAGCATCATCAGGACGCGAACAGCGAAAATCAGAGCCAGAGCGATTGTGCACTAGTGCCCAGATACCAGGGGCAGCGGGTACGGCAGAACTGCCCCCTGCAATGGTGAGTGTAGACCCCAGAGAGCGTGCTGCCGCCTCGTCAGATTACTCGATGCTCGAACGTTTGAATATTCGATTCTGCGGCCAGACGCGTTGTCTGCTCGATCGAGCTCGCATTGCGTACATTCATGCCGATCGCGCAAGCATTTACGTATCGACAGCGGTATCGGACATGAAGGGAGTCCACGATGCGCAAACCTATACGCTGAAAGAGATTCCACTAGAGCTCATGTCGTCTCCGGTGGTGCCCGCGTTGGATCCGGACCTCCATCGAGGCCCCATTCGAGACGTCACTTCAAACGGACAGCTGCTCGCATCTGCGTCGCTGGACGGTAATGTGTCCCTCGTGGATATGCAAACGCGTCTGTTTGCCGCAAAGATTTTCGTCGGAGAGCCGCTGTGGTCCGTTAAGTTCGCGAATTCGTGGGAACACGGAATTGCTGTCGGATCGCAACGTGGTCTCCTGCGACTCTTTGATCTGCGCAAAACGCTGGAGCCACTCGGTATTTTCCGCTGCGCTGTCCCTTCTGGCGGTATCCACTCGATGCATTTGGATTCTGTGGGAGACTCCTGCAGCGAGCAACTTAACTTTTGCACGCTGCAATCGTTACATACGGTAGAGTTTTCGTGGAGCACGCTTTCCGGGAATCATGCTGTCGAGGCGTATCGCTTCCCTGACTTGTTTTCAAGCCCGACACAGATGTATTGCATGCGAGTCCACAGGCGCTTCATGCTTCTTTCGGGACGCCGCGGCCTGGCCTCCGATGGAGAGCACGTGCTCGTGGACGTTGACCATCCCAGTGGACAACCGCTCGTCGTACACAGAGCGAGTGGCTTCCAGCCCGGTCCTCAGCTCTGCAGCACGGATTTCGCGATGTTGCCGAACCGACAGGCACCCGAGGACGATCCTGTGCCTCTGCTCCTGTCCGGTGACGCGAAATCGCCTGGAGCGCTCCGCTGTTGGGCGCCAGGAGTTATTTCAGAATCCTTTTGCCTGAACCTCGGCGTTGCGTGTGAGCGCGGTTCAGAACAGCGGTTCGTACCGAACGTGGTTGCGGATGAGAGGCTGGGCGTTTTCGCGGCTGTGGCTCCAGAGTCCCTATCCGTCTTCAGTTGGACGAGACAAAAGTCTTAATCAGGCAGAGTACGGCACAGCGCAGTACACGAGTGCGAGCAGGATCATTAATGCAGCAGGCACCGCGTCTCGGCCAGCTGAAGCGTCGCTTGATCGCATTTTTTTCACCGTTGCAACGTCGTCGAGGAATCTCGCGACGTATCCGCTCGTCCAGAGGCATACGAAGACATGACGGTGATGAGCGAGCGCTGGCCAGGCGCCTGAATCTTCAGCGGAGCCTCCGATGGCTTCTGCATACCAAACGATTCCGTTTGCTTGTACTCGGCAGGTTTTCGGCAGGAGGCGCAAACGTCACCTCTTCAGTATTCGATTGCACCTTAACGGAACGGAGTCGGTGCGTGATATCCAATGTCGGCGCGTCTGGGGGCTATGCGACGCACAAACACTTTATGGCCGCACTGCGTTTTTTCCAATGCTGCCAGATAGCAGAATGGAATACGCTTCTCGTGCGTACGCGAGTGCGGCTGGTAAACAGGACATGAAGCTGGACGCTTCCGCAGATGCCGTTATGTTCCAAGAGCCCTAGAGCATTGATGATCTATGGAGTAAGGGCTTGATGGATCCAGCGAACACGCAGGCGCCGCACAGCGACAGAATGGGTACACATTGCCTCTGCGGATGCTGGCTCGTACGGTCCATTATATGCGGCCCACTGCCGTGAGTCTCCTTGTCCATCCGGACGCTGAACGGCTGTACAAGCGGGTCCATGGCTGGGTGAGCAGGCCAATACGCTGGAGGAACTCGGCGACGGGGACGCGGCCTGAGCGCAGAGCGCGCTTCCCACGGCATCGTCCATGGACTGGTGGAGGGCGCTCGAGCGGTGCTGCAGCGCTCGCCCTGCCTGGAACCACAACGCACCGCCAAGCGAACTACCCGAGCCCGCGAGACATTCTGCATTCAACGTCGCTTTTGGAAATGATGGCAAGAAGGTTTCTTAGTGTCGTGGACTTGAGAGGGCTCGCAGGGAACCGAGCCGCAGCCAGGAAAACTTTCGCGCGCTGAACGGTGCCGACTCGTCGGTTCCCTACACCGGTATTAGGCTGAACGGAAACACTTGGCTGATTGCTCTATTCCTACTTTTCGATTTTCTTTCCGCGTGTTTTTTAGATGTAGATCCTCGACATTCGACATGCAGGAGGAGGTGCGATCGTATGGCACGTAGATTTGGGGTTCTCGGGCACCATTTCCTAGTGGCGGTTTGGAATCTTTGACGCTGGAATTCGTTGCATGACCGTCATCAGGATGATCTGTGACGCCATCGAAAAAGCGTCTATTAAATAACCAATATGATCAATCGATTCTTGTGTACGAGCGTCCACGCTCTGTCTTTCTTTAGGTGTAGCATGCTCAAATCAGCCATCTCTAAAGTCTTCCACTTTTCCGATCCGAGGCAACTCATAGGCGCAGCAATGCTCCCTGCTGGGTTGACAGGGAAAATGCAACGCGATCGTGACCCGTGACGACATCTTCACAAAATCATGCCCAGAATGCACTATGTTCCTCCATGCCAATATTAGATTTCGTTCGAAGAGCATGTCCTCCTCTCTCTGTGGCCGTCGACGAGACGGTATTCGAGCGCAGCTTGATACTCCTCATGGAATTCGATGCCGGAGGCTCGCGACCTCTGTGTTTGCATGGCGTAGAGTCTTGTACTCGGTCATGAGTCACCACTGCGATCGATTTCAGCGGGGACTGTGTTTCGGATTCGTTTGGAGCGCGTGCAGACGAATCGAAGATTCGCGGCTTGTACTATAACCTGGATTTTCCGTGCGGTACCTGTTCATCATGGACAGCAACGCATTCTATAAATCCACTATCGAAAGGAACAACGTACGCTTACGAGCGCAGCGGTCAGCGTACTCGAGACGATAATCTCTCAGAGGAGGCTCCTGACTGCAGTAGGGCAGGGCATGGGGCACGGAAACGGAGGCGGGCACCAAGGGGAGACTTCTGTACCCGACACGGACAGGTACCGAGCGATTAGGCAAGCGTTCACGCGTCACAGAGCGGCCCTCAGAGGAATAAGAGGTGTAGTGGACATATGGGAACACCCGACCAGAGTCAAGTGTCATTGCTGCGGAGAGTGCACAGAGTCTATGTACAAAAAGGAACAGGGAAACGGCGAGCGCAGCCCAGATCGCGACCTGCGTCTGTGCATGATATGCGTCGACTGCAGCCAGAATTCAGAAGCTATCACTGAAACGCAGCCATCACCATCGCTCGACTACTGACAACGGAGCTGGATAGTCATGAGAGACCGCCTTCGTCAACAAGCGTATTTAGAGACAGGAAATGAAGGCAGTCGCACTTGAGGCGCTCAAACGCCGGTGTTCATGACTGGTGGAAGAGACCCACATTTCAGCGTGTACGACCGTGTTTCATGAACGCTTATATTTAACGCCGATCTAGGTGTATTCTGTACGCCCGAGTTTGCCAGGTGGCCCCGTTTCATTTTGTTCTGACGTAGGTCCCGCAGTCCGAGGATGCTCTGGAGCTGCCGCTGGGCGCTCCGTGCGAAAGCGATCGCTGGTGGATGGCGCGCACGCCGGCTGGCTGGCTGAAAACCGCCCGGGCGCATGGGATGCACCACCCGCTCATTCCCGCTGGTGGATTCCCGAAACCTGCCTGCGGTCGCTGGAGCCGAACCTACGTCTACCGACGACGAGCTGCGAGTCGATCTCTCCAGGTGATGCGTACAGAAACCTTTGCACGGTAGAGGACAACCTTCACTGGTTCGATCCTCGGTTGGTGTTTTTTTTGCGTCTTTCCGTACCCGGCACAGAAATGCGCCGTTTCAGCGGCGGTCGAACAGTACACGAGGTACTGAAAAAGTTGGCTCGGAGTTTCTGTAGACAATACATGCAAAGGGGCAGTGTCATATTTGGAGACAGATCGAGTTGGCTGGCGCTGTCGAGTGTTCTACCGCTACATGAGCTCTTAGAACTGCCTGTTGACATAGCGGCGATCTACGACTGGGAAACGCCCGTGCGAGAGCTGGCAGTGCGCGAACTCTGGACCAGCCAGGTAGGAGCAGTTATTCCCATCATATTTTTGATCGGGTGTGAGGTGCCGAGTTTGCTCGAGGACGGTCTAATCTCAGCTATTGTCGAGCGTGTTCTCGCTGTCATAGAGCCCCTCAGTATCGTCACTGAACGAGACACTGACCCGAGCGTCGCAGACGCACTGCAGCTCCGGGTGTTGCTCTTTACGACTTGGACGAACGCCGAGGCCGCCCAAGCCTGGCGAGTACGTCAGTCTGCAACGTCCTGGAGCGCCTCCGAGATGCACCATTCCTCTGAATTGTCTCGCGATGTCGGGCGTGGTGAAACTTCGCGAGAATCCCTTGGTGAACTTTTTCCTTACGCAGCGCTTAAGGCACGTATCGAGCGAGAGGTGCTTCGTCGCTACACCGCAACCTGTGCGGCGTGTCGCGGTTCACCAGGGGAGATTCCTTGTCAGCGTCACCGACGGGATCTTGACGTGCAGAGCTGGATACTGTACGCACCTCTTTTGGCGATGTATTCGGCTTTTCCGAGTCAGAACTTGGGGGTGTTATCTCCAGGATCGTGTGCTTGGTATCAATGTATCGGCTTTGGGGACGACGTTAAGCCCTGGACCCATCCAAGGATACTTTTTGAGCAAAGTCTGACGGATTCTCTCGCCGATGCCGCTCTACGGGTGTCACGCGAAGTCGCTGCTCTATGCGCAGCGTTGAAGTGCTCGTGCACGGGAGCGTTTGTACTCGGGCGTGCTCCAGTCGCAGATGCTATCGCGAAACGCTTCGTAGAATCTTTAGAATGTGCAGAATCGGAAATGGCGGACCTCGAACTCGCGAATTACGAAGGATTACGGATCGATGACCTTCAACGCCTCGAGTCGGATTTGAGTGCTACCCCCGTGCGCATGTGTGTAGTGTTTATGGATCGGCTGTTGGACGTTGCGTCAGCGGTTCGACACGCGAACGGCATGGATCCAGCGATCCATGACTGGTTCGGATGTCTATTGGCGTCGCAGGGACACGTATTGGAGAAGGTATCTCGTCGGTTTCTATATTCTGAATCCGATGCTGGCTCTGATCTCGACTGGTTCATTGCGCCGCTGGGGGGTGTTTCCGGGACAAGGGCGCTTCTCTCGACTGGTGAATTCACCGAAGCGTTGCTCGAGCGGCAGCACGATGTGGCAGCGTTTCTTTCCTTTGTGAAGAAGCAGCTTTCTTTTTTGGCGACGCCGCAGCAGACCTTAGCCAACAAGGCGGTGCACACACGGCCTGCAGAGACTGTCCGTTGTTCATCGATAGCAGGGCCGCCACGTCCGCCACGCCGAAAACTGGGCGCCACACGTCTGGGGCGCGTTTCCACCGCTGGCGTTGGCGTAGAAAATTCACAAGCGGTACCCAGTGCGATGTCTCATCCAGATACGGAAATTGCAAATGCGTCATCAGTGGAAAAAACCGCAAGTCTTGGAGATCAGGTTGAGCAGATGCGTACGCTGATCGAAAGCGTCTGGGATGCTCTGGAACCTCGCCAGCGCGTTCGCCAGAGTGGCCTATTCATCTACGCTGCCACTGCGATATGGTGCGCGGCGACAATGCTCCAGGATGCGGACACGAAGCAGCATGCAGACCCCAGCGTCGAGGCGGCATGCACCGATGAACAAAGACTGCAGTCGCTGCTCCAGCTGGCTCGGAACTGGGCCTCTGCCGGCTTTTCATTGCATCACATCATGGACGAGCTCCTTGATGTCATTTCAAACCAGAATCTCCACCGAGTGGTGCTACCGTTCCTTGCATACACGTGCTCGGTACTGGACTGGAAGGCGGACGCATCCGAGGCCGAGCGTACCCGCTTGTCCGGGGCTATTGAAGCTGCCGCGACGCGAGCCGGGGATGCCTGGATACGAGACACCGCAAACCTGCTTGTAGATCGCCTCTTTGAATTGAGCAGCATTTCAGCCCACAATGGACCGGATTATGAAGCTGTTGCAAGCGTTTGGACAAACTGGCTCAATAGCACACTGGTTGAGGCTGTGCAGAGCGGCACGGCAAACGCGACGCAAAGCATGGGCGTCTTGACCCTGCCGGCCTTATTATTTGCCTCACTCGAGGGTGCCAACACGAATCTGAGTTTTCACCCACGACGAAAAGGAAGCGCGCTCGCTGCGATCGCTGAAATCATAGGCTTTCCACGCGAGTCACGCGGAGCGCAGGCGTCCAACTCCAACGTCCCACAACTCCGCGACCACGACCTCATTCTAGTATGTGTTCCGAACGGTATCACCGTTTCAGAGCTGCGAGCATTTCAAGCACTCTCGCAATACTATGAAGCCTCTCACAAACAAATCCTCTACTTACAACGCGGATTCCAATTCGTAGATCGCCGAAAGCTCCTCGCGGTGTGCTTCGGTGTCGAGGGCGACGGGCGCATCGACGAATTGCCAGCGGCGGGTGCCGTCGATCAGCCGGCGATGCGTGCGCGCTAACGACCACGACTTTGCCCTGTGCCGCCTAGGGCGCTGGTTGAGGCACTATGGAGCTGGCGAACGGCGCGGGCTGCTGCTGCTGCGACGATCGTCACGTTGACACGGAGCGCCCTCTTGACCGAATGTATGAAGAAGGTCACGAGGACCCGGTTTCCGTCATAACTGGGCTCTGTAGGCAGTTTTACCAGCTCGGCTGGGTGACTGGCACTGGCGGGGGCATCTCCGTGCGACAGGGTCGCTGCGTCTACATGGCGCCGAGTGGAGTACAAAAGGAGCGAATTCGACGTCAAGACATCTTTGTGCTCGACCTGGAGACGGGGGAGATCCTCCAGCGTCCCGTGAGTACGCCGTCGCTACGGGTCTCGCAGTGTTGCCCTCTATTTTACAACGCTTTTCGACTGCGGGATGCTGGTGCGTGCATTCACACGCACTCTCCAGCCGCTGTTATGGTAACGCTGCTGCCCCGTACGCAAGCAGACGCGGAGTTCAGAATTACCCATTTGGAAATGATAAAAGGGATCCCTTTGCACGGGTATCATGACACGCTGGTTATTCCCGTGATCGACAATACGGCGCACGAAGAGGAGCTGGCAGGGGATATGGCCAAAGCCATGCAGCGCTATCCGAAATCACCGGCAGTTCTGGTTCGACGTCACGGTCTCTACGCTTGGGGTCGTGACGATGTCGAGGCCAAGACAGTGACCGAGTGCTTGGATTATCTTTTCGATATGGCCGTTCGGATGCAGCATGCTGGCATTGATTATACAGAGCCCCCGGTCGACTGTCGACAGTGCTACGCTTCAGATGTTTAAAGGGTTTAACTCTAGACGAAGTAGTCAAAGACTACTGGAATGTGTCCGGGTGCTGCATTTCGTTGGTTGAAATTCGCGGACACACCTCCAGTCCGCAGTTCGTTGCGATCGTATCCATGCGAAGCGGCTCGAGCGAGCATGTGTCGTCACCAGCGGATACCGTCAGAGCGCCACGCTGGAGTTACCGCGCCAGCATGAAACCTCGGGAATCCAAGACAGAGACGCTCGACCGCGAATGTCTGATGCCCGATGTCAACCAGGGCGCTTCAGAGTGCTGGCGTGGATACCGTTGTGGGATTTTTACCGTACTAAGAGCGGCACGGCGCGAACGACACGGGTCGATACGTGCGAGTCCGCCTTGGCCGAGCGGGCAGCATTCGCGCCACCTCCCTGTTTGCGTGGGTGTATGACGGACACCGTGCAGGGTGAAGGAGCAGCCGACTGAGGCCACTGATCCAAGTGAACAGGATGCGCAGTCCGCTGTTCCGCAGTGCGCGTCCAAGACCGCCTCAGGTGCTTTACTCGTCATGGCGCAGGTGAGGCGGGCTCGAACCCAGCATATTGTGGCGGTTCAGTCCGTTGATTCGGTGCCGTTGGTGAGCGCCTTGATGCGCGCCCTCAAGTCCTGCAGACGCGACGTGAGGTGGACTACGCCGAGCGTTTCCCTCTCTCCTTGTCTTTGTTTCTCCCGATCGAGCGCTTGTGCCACCTCCTGAGACTCTCGCTCAAGCGTTGATACCTGTACACCGTGCCGCCTGTCGTACCCCAGGATCCTGGTTCGCAGTGCGTTGTCCCTTCGTTCTTTGCAAGCGGCGAAGAGCAGCAACGACTCTTGACAAAACTCGTCCGCTTCACGCTCGAGTAAACACTGAATCATGAGCTGCAGTTGCTCTGCGCATAGGTCGATCGCTGCAGTAACCTCAGCGCCGCCATCCTTTGGCAACGCCGGCGCTGGCTGAAGCGCCAAGTCCACTGCCATCAAGGTGCGACCTTCCTCGGCACGGCCACTGAGCGCCATCTGAGCTCGGGTACCACGTCTCTATCACTCTAATTCTTCACGCTCCAATAAACTCGCCATAGAGAACGGACCAGTGTTTTGGCCTGGTAAAAGTCTCGCTCGAAGCAGGTGCGTGTGGTGTGCGCTGCTGCTTGGTGCTGGGCGCGAGTAGACGGGCAGAATTGCGCAGGTCGAACAACCGAATGATTTTTATTTTTCATTGATAGAACGTTGACAGGCCAGTGTTTTTTGCCGAGTGTACGCTTGACATTAGCGCCATGAAGCATCGCTTGTAACACACCCTGCTACCAAGTTCCATGAGTCATACTTCTTCTCGGATATAGTGGTCGTTTCAAACGTTGTATCGACCGACGAGCCTGCCGTGAGCAACCGCAATGGCACCCATACCGCAGGTGCGGATGCAGCATAGAGACAGAAGGCGTTGCCACACCACCGAGAGTCAAGGCTCGAGTCGTGCTTCATTCAATACGGATTCGGGATGCACTATCATTCTCGGAGGCAGCAAACTGTGTAGAAAAGCGTACGGCCTGCGACAGCGCGAAGCGATATACAAAGAGGTCACCGCGACTAGGGCGATATCCAGATGCCGCTTACCGGCTCCAAGTCCCAGAATAACCTGCGTTACGGACAGCTGCTCGGAGCTCAGTACAGCACCCGCCACCAGGAGGAGCATGAAACACGAGCGCGGCAGACTCGTCAGGCTCGAGAAACCTTCCGCCTAGAAGATAAACGTTCGAGTGTTCGGAAAGCTTGCTCCCCTTTCTAATGTATACCGCACAGAAAGAAAGAATTTCTAATTGAGTTGCTAGTACGTGGTTCTTTTCTTTTCCTTCTTTCTATAGCGTCGTCGATATATGCACGTCGATATCTGGCAGGCATGAGAGATGACGCAAATGCCGCCTATGGAGGAAAACGCGATCCTGATCATTAGCGTGGTGTTCTGCTGTACAAGATGTACTAGCGTTCGAGTTGTAGCAAAGTATAGTCTTTCAGTTCGGTAGGGTGCCAACCCTCACATTAGTGTATTCGAGTGCTTTTTCGTGGTTTATAGGAGAAGCGTTCGAAGTGGGTTCGTTTTCAAAAATAAAAAACGATACTTATCTAGAAGCAAGTGGAGGATCCTGGAGGATTCGTGTCGCCGGCTAGCGGAAAAAAACGAAAAACAGTCCCAAGCAGAGAGGGACTGGAGAAGACGAAGAAGCGAAGGCAGGAGGTCCGACGTCAATGGCTGCAAGAAAGACCACAGTACAACGAGACTGTGGTGAAAGCCTGTCTTCTTAAATATATCAAAAATCCGTACAAGCAAAAGCTGCGAGACGCTATCAGAAACCATGTCGATTCGTACTCCAAGAGTATTACATAGGCGTCGTCAGGACTAATGCATTTGGCGAGGGAGATGTATCGCGACGTGACGGCCATCAAAACAGTCGAGGTTCCGGAAGAATTTTACGACTAGAGCTTCATCAGCCACCTGAAGGTTAGCACGTGGGAAACCTCGCGGAGAAATGAGCGAGTGCACGCCCGCCACGAATATCACCCCGAATTCCGCTTCAACAGTACTCGATACAAGGGTAACTTGTGCGTTTACGGATGAGGGGCAATCAAGTACCTCATGGGCCTGAAGAACCACATGATCGTGAACCTCAAACGTTTCATGATACGCTCCATTCTTCCACTCTACCCAGGCCTCTCTCGCAAAGGAACATGGGCCATCATCAATGGCATCATGAACGATCCCCAGCACGAACAGGGGATCGAGTTCGTCGACAAGAAGACATCACGCAGAAGCACGAATGAAGCTTCTGCGATCCGTGTGGCTATTTAAGAGCATCGGGCGGTCTTGGGGCTGGTCAACCCAGCAGAAAAGGTATCAGAGATTAAGAAAAGTTATCCTCTGATGCTGTGCTATTTTGTGGTCCTGAACCGGCAACTCGATCGCAAGGCCGCAATGGAGCAGGATGTGGAAGCAAATGAAGAGTCGGAGAAACGGAACGCTTCCCTACTAGAGAAGCGCTTCAATGTCGTTCCCATACGCAACATCAAGTCGCACTTGGTGACAATTGGCTCCAGAGCCCTTTACGGCATCACGAGGGAGATCAGTCTGGAGTACGATGTCAGGAAGAAGGAGTTCCGCAATGTGACGAGCCGAGGTGCGAGCTTTCAAGCTTTTCAGGAGTCCGTGAAAATTCGCGTTGCTCATTCCGAGGAGATGTGGAAAGAGTACACCAAGCGCCGGTGCGCTCGTCAGCGTATCGACTTGGACTGTGGGAAGCAGCGTGCATTCGCCAACTTGTTCAATAAGTTGAGCGCCCTCAAGGAGGACAAGAGTCAACGACTCGTGATAGCACTCGGAACAGGGCGCTTGACGCATAAAAAAGGATGTGCACCAGCTCCGTCGACAAGAGCGTACAAAGAGTATGCACACCGTTTTTTCACAATACATACATAAGAGTTCCGAACATCGTATGTGCACCACGAACTGAGGTGTACGCTTCAGAGGTTCGAGATGGAAAAGTTTCACAGGAGCCCTGCGGATATCGAAAAGTACGGAGCGCTGGCGGAACAGAAAATGCCACAGAGGGCATGAGTTCGAGGACACCCTGCACTGGTGAGTACAACCAGCGGCGGCAAGAAACGCATGGAGGCTGTGACCCGAGACTTTCATGCCGCCATCACTATACGGAGATGTGTCGTAATGGAGAAGAGACCCAAAGAGCTGACGAGAGCCAACTTTGTGGAGCAGCCTCTCAGTGTGGAATTTTACGGGAAGAAGATGAAGTCGATAGCAGGTGGCCGGCCCAAAAAGACCGTGAGGCGTCAGCATGGCAGCATCCATTTACCCTCTAGTCGTGAAATCCTTCTGTTCCGATAACCACGCCTGCTGTTTTGTGCCGCAACAGGCGAGAGTTTCAACCTGGATGGATACCGGTACGAAAAAGACTCAGGCAACTGCGTTCTTGAGCGTTTCTAGTTTTGTTGCAGGTAAAACGCTCGCACAGCCGAGACTACGTAGGCTGCTTCACGGCGGACGAGGCCTTTCTTTCAGAGTACACCAACGCCCAAGTCGAGTCTGGACACTTGTAGCCTCGCTCGAGCAGCGCGAGTCGGGTCGTAAGCTAGATTCCGCTACAGAGGCTGTCCAGAAGCTGTACAACGCATACCCGTTTCCGCCGGATCCGCCTACGAGCGGGGCTCCACCAGGCTATAACTGGCGCTGGCACTACCCCACGGCGTACGCTTTTTGTGCCAAGGGTCGCGTTCCAGCGACAACGAAAGTTCGTATTCTGGACGCCGGCTGTGGAACCGGCTGCGGCACGGAGTATCTGGTTCACTTGAACCCGCAGGCAGAAGTGGTTGCTTTTGACCTGTCGCCGACAGCCCTGGCGACTGCACGTGAGCGCCTCGAGCTGTCGGTCCCCGATGCCCGGCATCGCACCAGCCTGTACTGCAAGTCCATTTTCGATCTCGAGGACGGAGAAATAAGCGGTCGATTTGACATGATCAATTGTGTCGGCGTGATTCATCATACACCAGACCCAGCCAGAGCGCTGCAGATGCTGGCGGGAAAACTAGCCCCCGGTGGCATCCTGCATGTTTTCGTCTACGCCGAGGCAGGTCGGTGGGAAATTCGTCGGATGCAGGCAGCGATTGCCCTGATCCAAGAGGCTACCGGCAGCAAAGGGGATTATAAAAAGGGAGTCGCCCTCGGTCGGGCACTCTTTAGGGCGCTTCCGGACGAGAATCGCTTAAAGAAACGAGAGAATGAGCGATGGGCACACGACAACCGCTCCGATGCCACATTCGCGGATATGTATGTCCATCCATTGGAACACGACTTCGATGTACCGTCCGTCTTGGCGTTGGCGGAGAAAAGCGGTCTGCGATTCCTGGGCTGGTCGAATGCTCGAAACTTTGATCTAGACCACTTGCTGGGGAACGATCCCGAGGTACGTCAGCTTGTTCAGGGGCTCAGCGACGCGGAGCGGTGGAGATTGGTGGAACTTCTCGATCCCGAGCGCATCACGCACTTTGAGTTCTTCCTAGCGCGCGACCCGTTTCCCTCGACAGAGCCCACGGATGATGAAATCGCTGCCAGCATTCCCGAATGGAGCGAATGCGCGTACGGCGCCCCGTCTGAACTTGTCCTCGATCGCGATTATAGGCCGGTGTCGCTGAGCGCGGCACAAGTCGCCTTTGCAAAGCAGATGGTCGCTGACGCTTCGTCAGGTGGGGCACTGTCGAATCGGCGAAGAACTCGTGAACTCATGGAGGCGAGTGGGTGCACTTTAGACCAAGTTCGCATGCTCATACGAGCTGGCCTGGTGCACATCCGCGCACCCTAGATGTTCCGAGATCTCGATTTTACACTGGAGTCGGAAGAGCAAGGCTGCCTTCCGGTATAAGGATACTGCTACGCGAGCGAATGCGTCGCGGATCCACCGGAGACGCTTCACTTGCATCGTAAAAAGATTGGCCTTGTTTTACTTCGGCTTGTAGGTATCGAGCGATGATCCTCGCTTGGAGTTGCGGTTGCAATGAAGTGAAACGGCCCTGGCGGCATACCACGATACCGACATTGCTCGTGAGCACGGGGCCTGTCGATGACAGGGTCAGAGCATGCAGGCCTCGTAGCCTATTGCCAGGTTCCCGCTTCGTCTCTGAAAGGCAGCCTCATGGGATAAAATCAGCAAAAGAGGGTTTCAGCATCCGCCAGGCCGCATAGGGTCAGTCCATGTCGCAGGGCAGTCTTAGGATTCATGGGGCGAGCGGCATTGTCGGCTGACTCTTTCCTTGTGTAAATCATGGAGAAGCTCATTCACTTTCGTATAGAATTGGCCGCTGCGCTCAGCGCTCACTTGGTTTGCACACAGGTTTCCAGCGAGCTTCTCCGCGGTGCTGCAGTCGACGGACTGCCTACTCCAGGTTGCTTCCGTCGACTTGCGCTCCGAGGAATCAGTTCCGTTGCTTGCCGAAGTCCCCTGCGACTGCACACCGGCTGGTGGTATAGATTCAGAGTTGCCGTGATCGAACGGTGGCCGGCGCTGGTTCGCTGGCTCCGCTGCCCAAGGAGCCTGGCGAGGCCTCTTCAAGCGGCGTTCTGACTCCGGCTGGTGTCCTTCGCAGTCGCAGTCCTCTGAGCCCTGAACGCTCGAGCAGGACGCAAGCAGGTCCAGATTTGATGACGCAGTAGCGCCCTCTTCACATAAACTAGCAAGCGAGACTGTGGAAGGGAAGGAGACGGGACCTTTGGTACGCTGTGTCTTTGCGGGTTGATCCGGTAACCGCTTCCCTGAGCGCTTCGCGTCGTCGTCCCCGTTCATTTCGGAAAAAGTGGCGCTCAGTGCGAGTCATTTGAAATCATCTTGCCCGCACAACCTTGGCAAGTTGCACACTCCGTCCCGAGAGAGCGCTACGACTGAGCCTGAGGAATACGTGGTTTGTTGCGAGGACCCGATTCGCAGCGATCGCTCCGCGTTTTCGCGCACCTCTGCAGCGCGTTGACACGATTCTCCAGATAGGGCACTCAGGGTCAGATGTTTTAGATGCCAGTCACATGGTCGCTTCTCTGGCCGGGGAAGCGAGCGCTCATCATGGGATGCAGGTGCATGCCACGAGGACAGCTGTACAACCAATTGGCATATGCACCGAGCGGTGCCAAGGCATGTAACTACACCTGCGCATGCGAGGAAGCATGTGCGAGCGGACCGGCATTTATGGTGAGAGGATAATCAACTGCGTACCTTGACCCGCGGATACGTCTAAAGCTGGCGTCTTCCGAATGAGATATTGTTCTTGAGGCCACATGGTCCCGAATTCCCCAGTAATTCGTCGTGAACAGCGAACGAGAACATGTGTCATGCAAACGAGACTTGAATTCCACGCCCTGAAGCGGACACCTCTATGATGGGGTCCATTCAGGTTCATCGATGCCAATGACAACAATCCGTCGATTCGGTATTGCAAACACGGGAACTTTGTCGGGATTTTCATCGTGAAGGTTTTGAGTACGCATTGTAGACTGCCAGTGCTCACGAGCATAGCACGTCTTTATGGAACGTACATCGATCCACGAAAATGATGTTCGCAGGCCTGTTCGTTGCGCTGGGCCGCCGTGCGCGCGGTGGCATTCAGATACCCGCGCACGCATCGTCTCTGCTCTGCATGCCGAGCGGGCACATGTCGCGTTCTTGCGACGGGTTCAGCATCTGCCCGCTACGGGATGCACTCGTGCAGCAGGCCAGGTACCTGCGTCGTTATACTCTTTTATCTGCACTGTGCTTCATCCGAGGTGCGCGTTATGAAATGCTTTTTCGCGGTTTACGGCAGACGCATTCGAAGTGCGTTCCTGCGAAGAACTAGAGAAACCCGAGGGAAAGGTATGGACAGAAAATTCGGGGATACTGGGTGCCTGGTGTAGCCGTCTGCCAAAAGAGGGCGAAAAATCCTTTCCGCATCCTTCGATCCCCGTTCTGCCTCTTCTAGCTCTTCGCCACTTGCTCTTCTTCACTCGGTGTTTAGGGAGAACAGGATTTTTTTGTTTCTCTCCCGCAACTGGCGATGACATTACCCAGGATCCCCGAATTTTCTGTCCATACCTTTCCCTTGGATTATCTATGTCTCCAAAACGAACGCACTTGGAACGCATTGCCGTAAACCGCCGAAAAAGCATTTGATAACACGCACCTGCACTGGAACACCATTCAGGTGAAAGATGATCATCCCGCTCCAGCGCTGCGCGCACCAGTCGCGGGTGGCGCTGCGCATGCCATTCGCGATCGATCGCACGCTGCGCATCGCACCCGCGCGATCGCGCGTAACGCCATTTGGCCCAGCGCTGGATCCGACGCAGGGCCGCAGCCGGCACTGCAACGCGGCCAAACTGGTGACGCCGGCCCTGCTATGGATACGTTTTGGACCGGCCGGCCCCATTCGTGATGCTACCGCTTGCACGGCATGAATCCGTCTATGTTGCAGCAATTCATGCGGAGAAGGTATTGTTGTTGTCGTTAAACATCGCGTGAGTGAGTGTGTGTGTGGAACTGTGCACGCTCTGCTCTCCACAGCTGCTGCATCTAGCATTTCGTTGTAGCGTGTAGCGTTCTAAGCAGGTCGTCATTTAGCGCTTGGGCTCTGTGCTCTTCTCGATCGCAGATCTCCCGTGACGATATATCGGTGTGTGTGTGTGTATCTGGGTACCGTTGGAACCATATACACGTCGTGCGCGCACTCCATTTCGAAGGGTGCTAATCGTTTTCATTATTCGTTCTCAACTTAGCGCGCGGGGATTTCCGCATTCGTGTGTTGTTTTTTCTCGTCGTCGAGAGTGTTCGTGTGCACTTACGAGCGAAGCTGAATCCAGATCGAAAACGACCGGTTTCATCTGCTCGATCGACTGCAAGCCGAATCATATCTCTTGAGAAGCGCCTCTTTTTCAGTGTCTGTGACTCAGTACGTGAAGTGCTCGTCGTTCGCTCTCGCGCATACCAGCACATCGTGAACTGCAAGTGACGCTGCAAAGAATCAAGCAAGCGCTCGTTTCATCGTTTTGGGAAACCTCTGCATTCAACAGGGAAACCTAGTGCACATCTCGTAACAGAACGTATCAATTACCCATGCGTAAGTTATTCTCTTTCATCTCAGCGGCGGCAGCAGCAGCAGTGCTCGCGCTGCTGTGTATGGTGGCCGCCATGGGCGGCGTCAACGCAGCGCCGTCCATGCTGGTGGACTCCAACCTGGAGCGGTGGAGCTCCCTGAACTCGACCTATATTGGAACAACCTGCTCGATCTATCTCTGTGGTGACGCTGGCAATGACCAGCAGAAGTGCTTCGACTACCAGTGCTGCTGGCAGACTCAGGTGAACTGGGGATTCAACTACAATGGAGACGGTGTTTGCGTCTCGTACGAGCCGACCTCCATCTGTAATATTTCCGCAGCCGACCGTGTCGCGATCGGCTATCCGCAGATCACTCCGGCAGAGTGTCTGCAGCAGGGTGGCTGCTGGAATCCCCTTCCACCGACGGAGGTCGGGCCCTGGTGCTATGCTCCAGTGGGCTACTCGCCTCCACCGCAGCAGCAACTTCCCAATGTGAGCTGTAATGTTGGCGACTACAAGGTTCCATGCTACTCCGGCTGGAATAACATGAACCAGCTGGATTGCGAGGCACAGGGCTGCTGCTGGGAGCAGAACCCGAACCTGACATATGAGGATTCTATCCCGAGCAGTCAGTCTCTGCAGAAGCAGCAGAAGGTGAATTTCTTCGGCAACAGCTACGGCTTCTGCTATCAACCGCTCATGACCTGCAACGTCACCTATCGGGAGCGCCAGAACTGCGGTTTCCCAGGCATTTCTGAGCAACAGTGCTTGGAGCGTAACTGCTGCTTCGATCCCATATTGCTGCCTCCGTACCTCCAGCAAAAGTATCAGACTCAGGATATTCCATGGTGCTACTACAAGAATCCGGTGGTCAACTTTCCCAGCGGATGGAACGCAACTGCTGTCTTTGGGCCGTTCAACTACAACAAGAGTTATTACAAGAAGTACTACCCGAAGCAGCAGGTGCAGCCGTTCAACCCTTACAGCCAGAACTCTGGCCAGCAGCAGCCGGTTCAAACTGAGCTGGAGCCGTCTTCAGGAAGCAGCAGCAGCAGCAGCAGCAGCAGCGGTGGCATCGTCGTTACCGGCAGCAGCGGCAGCAGCGGCAGCAGCGGCAGCAGCGGTGGCATCGTCGTTACCGGCAGCAGCGGCAGCTCATACGGATCTTCCTCGAGTGGATCGACGACCTCTACAGATGGAACGACGGTAGTGGGTCCAGTCGCCTCTCCGATGGCGAGCTCTGGCCCCTCCACCGTGGTGGTGGGCAGCGGCACCGGCTCCAGACTGGTGATGCAAGAAGCTGCTGCGATGATGCATTAGATAACGACGATTCGAGCTGGTGTACAGCGGCGCAACCGGAAAGGAAGGACAGGTGCAAGCGGGCGCCTCATGGGCAGACAAGCTAAGACGTTGGCCCGCTGATTCCGCCGTGCTGATGTTGGGGGCGCGCCTCTGTCAAGTCGGGGCTGCATCTCTCCCAGAGTCGTATCACATCGAGTGCGCGAGTCATTTCGATTATCGTTACGCCGGCGAGATGCCATCTGCATAACAAAACGAGCCGTGAGATTGCAGTGCAATGCGGAAGGCGGCGGCACGCACATGTGAAACTGGCGCAAGCATGGAAGCGTTACTGAGTCGGAGACACAGGGGGAATGCGGGGTGCACGCTCACCCAATACCCGCCCTCAATGTAGTCTAACCGCTAACGCGAGAGGGTGAAGCGTGGCGCGGGCTGCTCTGCGCACACAACCCACCTTGAACAGAGGCGCGTCATACCCGCACCGCTGCATTCCCCGTACTGCGGTGCGCTGTGGCCCCTGCGGAAAGAAGCACGAAGGAGGCAACTTCGAGCTATCGATAAGCAGCGTAGTTGCCGGAATGGCGGTTTCCACTTGACAGGGGACGGAAAGTTCGGTTTTGCCGTAGGGCATATCTGGTACGTTCACAACCAGCATATATAAACGGAAGGTATTATTTCTCTGAAATCCAAAGCAAGTGGCGGGCAGCAGCAGCAGCAGCAGCAGCAGCAGCTCAAGCGCCAAGCTCTTCGCGTGCACCAACGCAGAGGCGTGTGTCCCGCGTCGAGCTTTGGTGCCTTTTAACGACAGAGTTCCGCGAATTTGATCGGACGCTACCGTGTCCACAAGCGCTGCTGATAACCGGAGCAAGAACTGTGTCCTGGTTGCCGATTTCAGTCTGCGATTAGGTCCGTGTGGCAATCAACAACGACGGCGCCGTTTGCTCGTTACTTGTTTATCGGCTTGCGTTGCTTCACAGGTGACATGAAACCAGGTCCTTCATCGCAATGAAAAGCCGTCCTGTATCCGTACGACCTGTAGCGGGACACTAGGCCGATCAAACCTACCGTCCATGCGCGAGCTCTGGCTTGGGGCTCTCTGACGGCAGTCCCTGCAGTCGGGATCGGGTGTGTGTTCAGGGACGGTGCTTCCCGTAGCTGACCGGCCTACGCCTCTGCCAGACTAGAAAGGAACACTAAACCACTCACACTGACCCTTGCGAATTTTTTTAGACGCGTCGTCTCGACGCTCGACGTGTGGCAGCCAGAGCTCACAAACATCTCTGTAGCGTGAAGATTCCCAACTGACTTTTCTGGGTGACGCCTTCGACGCTTTGCCGCTGGATTTCGTGACATCACCAGAATCAGGATGACTCGCAACGCCGCGACCAGGGGTTCACGAAATAACCAACGTCATGATCCAAATCGAATGCACATGCTTCCAACTTTCTGCTTCTCCTACGGAGCGTATGTCTAAACCACAGATTTTCAAGTTTTTGATCGTTCTGTTTTTTCTTCGCTGAGAAGGCATACGGCCTCGGAAAGGCGAAGTCGATTCGTCCCGTGGATTACGAAACTGCTGAAGAAGAAGAGCTGATCCCAATATCGAGCTCCCGAAGCGAGCCATGCTGCTTCCGTACCAAGATTCGAAGGAACTCATGAAGCACCATAGGAGCGACAAGCGACTGAATGCAAAAACAGATGTACAGATGTAGGAAAAGGTTAGATATTCAATTTTTTTTGTAACGGCTTGGAGATTTATTGTTTTCCATTGAGACTGTATTGTTGGGGTATCCATCAGCATCGTTAGCGAACTAACTACACAGTTCATCACCGTTTCAGATCGCTAATGCACCCCTGACCATCAGAGGCAATACATGGAGAAACAACGAGCAGTTAAGACGCATGCCCTGGAGAGTTTGCTCCGAAATGTGACCTGCATCTGCTAGGTTCTGTGGAGAGCAAACATCTACACCTGTGCTTCAGTAAGATCCGAAGAGAAGTCCAATCTCCATGTGGTAAGCGACGGTGCTCTCGAGTTACGAGCCTGGAAACTGCTGCTTGGACCTTCAGTCGTAAGTTCCACTGAAACGCAAGTCATCTTTGCATCAGCGGAAGCGAACAAATGAGAAAAGTGTCCGACCAGCGAGCAAGGGAAGAAGAACAGCGTCGCAGAACCCCAGGACACATTGCCATGAGTGGATAGAACGTATGAAAAGGATGCAAAGTGGTGATTAAGATACCTCGAAGCCCGGCACGATAATCGACATGATTTATTGGAAGAGTGCACAGAAAAGAGGAGCGCGCGAAGATTCGGATCATGCAGCATCGAATGGAACAGCATGCGCTTGCTCGTGCAGCGGACAGCGTACTCGTCAAAGGGATACGCCCTGCAGAAGCCCCTTACAGTGGGATGCAGCGCCGGGCGCAAACACGTAGGAATGCAGGCAGGTTAGCCTTCTGTACGCGAAGAGGGCATGTACCGAGCGAGAAGGCGAGCGTTCGCACGCCACAGGGAGGCCTTTCTTAAGATGGACGATGCTGCATTTATAGGAACATCTGACTAGAGCCAACTATCACCGCTGCGAAGGATGCATCAAGGCTGTGTACACACAGAAGATGACCAATGGCTATCGAAGCGTTGATCGCAAATCTGGCTTCTGCGTGAACTGCGTCGACAACAGCCCGAGGCAGCGCAGTCGGATCTCTAACGCTGCTGTGAACATCATTCGACTTTTGGAAACGGAGCGGGATGGACAGGCCTGACCGTCGAATTAAAACTCGAGACAAAAAAGAACACGAAAAGGAACCAGTCAGAGAAAAAGCCAATAAAGGCTTGTGCTGATGCCATCTGGATGCCACCAGAAGTGCAGCATGCACGCCCATGTTAGAGCAGCTGTTATCTGTCTTTCTGAAATGGGTATACGGTGTAAGCCAGAGCTAGTCAAGTGGTCCTGTTCCATTTGATACCGCCATAGGTATCGGTGAGCGACCGCGTGTTCGTAACCACCATGAACCGTGGTCCACCGACCGGGAAAACCGGTAGCTCCATAAACTTCTTCTACACTCCATGAGATGTTGCAACATACTTCAAGATCATCCGCGTCGCAGTGCGAAAACCGAAAACATTTATCCACATTCCAGCGCAACGAATTCCTATTTCCGTCTCGCTCGTTCGTGTGCGAACTCGTGCGGCGTCAGCGCCCCGTCTGCCGTGCGCACATTCCTTTTACACCTCGGTCAAGTCTGGAAGCTACCAATGCTGTGAAGCCACGGGGTTCCTTGGGTGGTGAATGAGCTCGACACAGCGCCTAGTGGTCCTTGAACTGTATCGGAAGCTACTCCGGGCGGCAAGTCACTATCCCTCCATCCGACGCCAGGCTGTATACCAAGCTATAAGGGAGGAGTTTCGGCGAAACCGTCACCTAGACCCAAAGGCAACCGAAGAGCAGCTTCGACTCGCGGTATGCGAGCTCCAAAGGCTCTCAGTCTGGCGTGGAACTCGCGACGCCGAGGACCCCTCAAAACCTAGCAAGCAGAAAGACTGGTTCGTTCAACTGTGAGTGAGCAGGCATAATAGACCTGGCTCTCTTGCGGAAACTTTCCTCGGTACGGGACGTTGCCCTGGAGGTTTAACGCAGCACGAGCACTGGGCACAAGTATGGAATGCGTCTTTACAGCGGCTCGCTTTCCCGTGTCGAGCGGGCAGGCGGGAAAAAAGCCGTTCGCACTTGCACGAAAAGCGTGTGTGTAGCGGCTTGCTTTCGTATTCCAGACCGACGGTTGGAAAAAGTAGCCAATCGCAGAAACACGGAAAAGCGTTTGAATAGCGGCTCGCTTTACGATATCAGTTAAAGAGTCCGTCACGCTGACAGACAATAGAGTAGCCAGTGGAGCTTGCACTGAACCGACGAATACCCGAGTGCTTGGTTTCACCGAGCGCATTGCGACTGCAAACCGCTATCTCTCCCGTCCGAATCTATCCACGGAAAGCGCTAGCCTTGGCATCTTCAGCAGGGATATTCAACCAACAGCGGATAGCGAGTTGCTTTCAGCTCAAGAAAGCTATGATGGAAGCATCTGGAACTATTGGCTATCCCTTGGCAAGTTTTACCATCATCACCGCTGACGAGCATCGGCGAGCGCGCTTTAACGAGTTCGAGCAAGCGCCAGTGCTTCCGATCCAGGAGCTCAAGGCATACGCAGCTCTCCAGAGCTGAACCAGTTATCAAAAGAAGCAGGTCGTCATGTAGAAGAAAATTTCGTATCGGATGTAGACGCTTCGTCACACACAGGCACGGTGGCGTCAATGTATGCTCGGAGCAAGCTTTGCACTCTTGCATGCCCTGAATACAACAGCGACGACGATAACGACGAGGAATGGAGCCAGATGCTGTGTGCCTCTGCTGATGATTTGCAGTATTAGCAAATATAGCAGATACAAACGCCTCGGTCGTTGCATTCAGATACCCGGAAGAATATGCAGCATATCCGCTGTGTTCATCTTCTCGCGACGCGGTTGCGCCGTCGCGAGAACCCGCCGTACACCGTGGGATACGCGGTCGCCTCGCGCCGCACCGGGACAGCAGCGCACATACCTTCAACGGTATAATGCGTCTCAGAAAGAGGCGATATAATCGAAATTTCGAGCGATGCCGGGTACCTCTGAAGCATGCGATATATTCGGAAGACTTAGGGAAAGAGGCGGTCGAGGATCTCCTGAGCGTTGGACATGCGTCCGCCGGGATTCTGGCGCATGTACTCTTGCAGAATGAAGATGGCTCCTGCGCGCGTCACGTCAGTAAACTCCATAATCACGGAAACTAATTCCTCGTCAATGTCGGCACTCGTTTCCGAGTCGGACGTATGCAGGGCACCCTGGTGATCTCTCGAGTCGTCGGGGATCAGCTCGAGGCGATTTGATACCAGAAGCGGTTCTGGTGCCTCGGAATCGCTCAGGAGGTAACTTAAGCGCGCTTGCAACCAGCCCAGTCTGGAGCAATAGGATGTGCGTATTGCGGCAGAGAGCTGTCGCTCATCGAGGATTGGCATTTCTAATACATTAATCTGCTCTATTTCACTAATGAGTAAGCATTGTTCATGCCAAAGCGGCTCCTCGGTGCGCAGTGCGCTTTTTTGCAACCACTCGTGCCGCATGGCTAGATCAGATTCGAGGCGAGTGCGAAGCGGGGAGTTCGTCCCTAATGCCCTCGAACAGACGGCGCTCGCAATGGCAACGCACAAGTCCTGCGGAAGGCGCTCGTGCACCTGGCACTGACGGGGTACGGAGTCGGCCGCCACAGCGCCCCGTTCGTACTCTGCAAGAACGAGAAATCTTACGAGGCGCCGAAACATCGCCCACAGCATTGGCGAGTTCAGGGCTATCGAGGCAAGTCGAGAAACATACTCACCAAGTGATAACTCGTGTAGCGCCTGAATGTACAGCAGCACAAAATTCAGAATCCAGGGAGACCTGGGCGTTTCTATTCGTAACCCCGGCATGGGTAATATATGTTCCGCATCGTGTGCGGGCGTAATTTCCGCGACCCCTGCCCAGTCGCCACGCTCGATGAGTGCGCGGACCCGCTTCAAGAGCCCAAGTCGCTCCTGTGCATACGTCTTGATCGCGGACTGGAGTTCAGGTTGCAAAGCGGTTCGCGTGGACTCCAGCAGAACTACCTGAGGCAGGGCCTCTCGGACAGAGGGAGGTCTTTCCCACCAATCATTCACATAAGATCGAAGCAATTCCAGAGAGTACTGAGATATTCCCAGCGCATCGTGACAGATCTGGAGCGCTTTCTTCTCTTCCTTGCTGATGACGTCGCTGTCGGGGGCGACACGCTCGGCTTTGCGTGGAGCCTCGATGCGCCGGACCGGGGTCGAGTCACCACCACCACCACCACCACCACCAGCTGCTGCTGCCGCCGCCGCCGCCGCCTGGTCTGGGTGGTAGTCACGCCCCCGATAGCGTTCCAGATAGTAGAGAACAGCCTCAAGTCGTGTCAGTGGGATGCAATCATAGCCTAGGGATTCCTTCATCACTCGATGATCGCCATCAAGCGTCGTTGGCGAGCAGACCTGGATCGGCGTGCAACAACGATACAACTCCGTTACGCTTTCAACAATCGCATCCTTCTCCTGACTGAGCGTACGCGCGACCGCCGCATCATCCAGAATCAAGCGTAGCATCTGCTTAAAGTGGCCGAAAGCGTCCGGGTGTAGCTCGAGCGCCTCCTCAAGCAGCGTCGGGCGCCGCAAATACTCGAGCACTTTCGTCCACGGCACCGGGTTCTGGATATCCCCGCTCGCTGCAAGACGCTCGCGTTTCTGCTCCCGTTGTATCAGATCCGCTAGAGCCGCTTTTCGTAAACCCATCAAAAGATTCGGCTCGTTATGGAAAACACGAAGAGCTCGCTCGCCAACTCTGGTTCGAGCAAGCTCGCCATGGCAAAGTTCATCGACATCGACCTGCTGCAGCGCTTGACGAACTCGCTCTAGCACTGTACACTTTGGTTGCGATCCGTACTCTTTCCGTACTTGTACGTGTTCTTCAACCAGTTCGTCGACCAGGGCCGAGTTTACACCGTTCATCAGTGTCACTTCCGACATGGTCCGCCCAGGACAAACCGCGCTCGTGCAGAGCGGAGACGCTTGCTCGAAACGACGTTCGCTGTGCCCAGTCCTTCTCTCCACCACTTGTTCTATTGAGTCAAAAAGGAACCCAACGCTGCACGCTTGCGTACGCTGTGGACGCTTCTACACGGCAGTCTGCCAAACTTTGCCCTAAAGAGCGGGTTCTGGGCAAACTGCCTTTCGAGCGAAGCACGATACACATACACCAAGCAGGAGCGAAGGATTCGCAGTGCGTTTCGCCTGCGCTTGCTGTGCACCAGACGCTGCGCAGTACTGCGCGCGCTACGCGTCTGTCAGGTTGAAGCGGAACACTGGATGCGTTGCTATGTCCCTGCCTTGCGCCATTTTCTCCAAATTTTTTCGGATTTACAGCTTCGATATTCGAAGTACAGCAACAGGGGTTTTATGGAATCATACGTCGGTTTGGCATGATCGGTCGTCTTATCGGAAAGGCTATTTCAACGCGTTTTCGCTGCAACTCATTACGTCACTGTCATCAAGAGGAGTCGCGACGCTTTCCAACAAGGGTTCGTAAAACAACCGTTATCATTGTATCAATGACGCTGCAGTAACCTCGACTATTCTAGTTTTACGTATGTGAAGGATGTTCAAATCACAGATTCTTCATTTTTTGGATGTTTCTGCTTCATCGCGTTTGCACAGCAACTCGTACTGCTGGATTGATGACGAAAAAAAATCGACTTCGTCTTGACGGGTTCTTCACAAGTCTATAGCGAACATTCATTGAAGTCGTCAAGTCGAAATATCGATTCCGTTCGAAAGTCGAATCCTCCGTTCTTTGTGGCCGTCACGAAAATGGGATTCCAGTGCAGCATCATTCGTCTTACCGGATATCCTCCGAAAGGCTGCGGTCTGCTCTCTTTTTATGGCAAGCACTCTTGGACTCGAGGTATCGAAGCGATCGTCGTCGGTGGAGATTGCGTTATCGCTTTGAACGAAGCGAGCGTGGATGGACGAAAAATTTCGTGAGTCGGTCTCCAGGCTGGATTTTCCTCCCGGCAGTTCGTTAATTATGAGCAACATCGCGTTTCACAAATCCCGTATCGAATGGAACACCATGCGCTTGCTCGTACAGGGGACAAGCTAATCGCCGAAGCGTTCGTCCGTGAGGAGCCCCAGGGCGCAGTGTACGGCCCCGGGATTGGAAACGGAAGAAGGCATTGAGGTTAACCTTCTGTATACGTAGAGGGCATGTACCGAGCGAGGAAGCGAGCATTCACTCGCCACAGGGATGCCTTCGTAGGATGGACCATGTTGAACAGACGGCAACATATGACTACAGCCTAGTGTCACCGCTGCGATGGGCGCATCAAGGCTGTCTTCAAAGAAGATGGCAAATGGCTACCGAAGCGTTTATCGCAACTTCTCTTTCTACAGGAACTGCGTCGGTAATAGCCCGAGACAGCGCAATCAGATCTCTAACACTGCTATCAACATCATTAGGCTGTTGAATACGGAGCAAGAGGGAAACGAGAGATCGACACGTTGACAGTAGGAGAACATAGAAAACCCAAGGGAGCAGTCACAAATTTTGGCTTGCATACCCCCGCTTCGATCAAGGAACACGTTCCACTGTATGCATCCATAGGTCTACCGCAAAAGGCGAAGCTTTTATGTTGAGCATTGTGCTACGAACAGATTTGACGCCGGAGAGACAAGTTGGTTCGGTGTTTAGAATAAGTGCGTAACCCCTGGGCATTCGCAGGGGAGGTTCTCAGTTTCGCTCGCGTTCGTTCGCTTCGCAAGCGCTGTCGCTGGTACTGCGGTGCTTCTGGAGCCGGCTGGTCGAGACAGTCTGCCGGACTCCAAGCGGCACAGTGCTTTTGTTGCACCGCTGCAGCTAGTACTTACAGTCTGGGCAGCCTGAAGGCGAGACGGGGCCTTTTACTTGAGACAGAATACGGTGTTCGTGTAGGTGAGCGAAAGCAGCGGCGTACTGGATCTAGCTAGAGCGTTTTTCCCAGAGGCGCCCTGCGCACCCGCTTGCTGCAAAGAGACACAACGAACAGCAACACTTGTGTTGATGATCGATCAATCGGGAATATGGAGGGAAACTGTCGGATAACGGTGCTCAACGAGCGACTCTTGCGCGTAGAGTACAACGAACGGGGCCGGTTCCTCGATAGCCCATCGTTTGCCTTCATCTCTCGTGCTACCAGGTCTGAGCCCCGCATCTACACGATAGGGCGGAGCGGCGCCCTGGGAACCGCACCAGACATTACGGAAAGCGCTCTCGGTTCAGAGCGGCATGCAAAGGACGATCTCATTGTACTGGCGGAGAGCCATCAACTTCGACTTTGCCTGGACACAAGGAGCGGTAACCTGCTGGCGATGACGCAGCAGTGCCGCAAAACAGTCCTAGAATACGTCGACTCGGGCGTTGCGGATGCAGCCGAAACCGCAGCAGCGTCGAAAAATGATCCACCTCGGATGAAATACCGTACAGTACGGGACCCACAGAATCAGGGCGGAACGATTCAAACGCTCGATGAATGCGATGGTTGGTACCACATCCGAAAGCTCGTCGATATTCGTCAAAACGGTATCGGAGAGGGATTTTTTAGTGCCGACGGACTTGCGATCATCAATGATAGTAACTCGTTGGTATTCACGGGCAAAAACTGGAGCGATCCCCTCGACGAGCAGGGGTTTGTCACACGAGCGGCTTTTTTCGGTGGATCACACGATCACCTGGACCTAGTACTGTTTGAGCACAGTCCAAAAGGGCCCGAACAGAGCTTCCCGGAAATTCTCCGCAAGTACCTCTTTCCATATATAGGGGCACCCCCAAAGCCACCCTTAGAGGTTTTCGGTGTGTGGTTTTGTCGCTACTGGCCCTATCGTCAGCAGGATATTATGGACCTTGTCCTTCGCTTTGAAAACAGATCGGAACCCGAAAGCGCGCCGCACCGAGGCCAGGCGAACGCCTCGCAGCCATGTCGCCTACCGGCAGTAGACTTGTCCATCTTCGTTATCGATATGGACTGGCATCAGCCAGATCAATGGACCGGATTTAGCTGGAATCGAGCTTTGTTTCCGGATCCAGAGGCCCTGATGGCATGGTTGCACAGCAGACCGTGTCCGGTGCGGGTAGCGCTGAACTTGCACCCCGCAGACGGGATTGCTCCAAATGAGGATATGTTCCTGCAGGCTCGAGCACTCGCATACCCCGAGCACAATGAAACCGAACACATTCCATTCCACATCATGGATTGCCGTTTTCGTCAGGCATACTTTAGCGTCGTCCTGAACGCGTTGGAGAATCAGATTGCTGCGAATGAAATGCGAATGATCAAACACGGTGTCGATTTCTGGTGGGTTGATTGGCAACAAGGCGTCTCCAAGAGGGACGGGTTCGATCCGATGCCCCTGCTGAACCACTACCACTACCTCTGGGCCGCGAACGGCTCCCGCAACGGACGTCTCCTGCCGGTAATCCTGTCGCGATGGCCAGGTCTTGGTGGACATCGCTATCCCGTGGGATTCTCAGGGGATACCCTGGCAACATGGGATTCTCTAGCGATGCAACCGGCGTTCACCGCTATGGCGGCAAACGTGGGGTTCTACTACTGGTCGCACGACATTGGTGGCCACTACGGAGGCTACGAGGATCCCGAGCTTTACGTGCGCTGGCTTCAGTGGGGCTGTTTTTCGCCGATCTTGCGCCTGCATTGCAGCAAGAATCCATTCATGAGTCGAACGCCCTGGGCATTCGGCTCTTTCGAAATCGAGGCTATTGCTCGAAAGATTCTGAGTCTGCGCGCTTCGCTTGCTCTGTTTTTCGCATCGATTCCAGCGCATATCCCAATTTGTGCACCCATGTATCATTTCTCCTGGAGCGAAGCACCAGAGCGCCGGAGCTGGACACCACCTGCTTTTGACAGCTGGACCAACCAGTATTACCTCGGGGGCAACACGGTCATTGTGGCTCCTTTCTTGAGCCCTCGCGAAGCATCCACGCAACTCAGCTCCGTTAGCGTGTGTCTACCTCCACATCGGCAATGGATTGCTTGGGATGAGGGCATTGCGACGATGCATCCCTGCACGGACCTGGATGGCATAGCGCTCGACGATTCCGCAGTATGGAATACAGCATTGCCGACGGATACTTGTTTTCGCCGCTTTGGCGAGTTGTCTAGCCTGAATGTCTTTCTAGGTGAGGGTGCAATCGTACTGCGCTTGATTCGAACAAATAACGAAGCGATTTTGAAAGTAACCATAGTAACCGGTCGACAGAACACCCTTGAGGTTCCACATCTAGCGCTACGAATTGAAATCGGAGGCGTCCATGGAGACGTCGTAAGCGTTGAGCGCCTACAAGCGGAATGCCCCAGCTCTTGGTACCGGCCACGTCCAATCCGTCGTCTTCGTATGGTGCTGCGGAAACCGAATCATACGACGATGTTGCACGATTTTACAGCGGAGGACTTGTGGGGGCGTCCCAGTGCTGCTCTGAGTCTGACTTGGGCCGCAGCATCCAGGGCGTCATCGCATGCGCAGGCGACGGCCCGTAGTGTGGTCAAGCTCTTCCTGCACCATTTCCGTCTCCGAAGCGATCAGAAGGAGCACTTGTTTCAACGTTACCTCGAGTCGACATTTAAGGCGGGAGATGCTGCCGATTTCGAACGATATCTGGATGAGTTTGCGATGGTGCTCTCGGCTGCCCAGCGGGAAGCGTTGCTGGCAGCGCATCTGCACGGATGGATGGCATTTGCGGCGCCCTTTGTTGGTGAGGTTTTCACGTCATGACCTCGCTTTCCGTGTCGAATGTATGAATAGGAGTGCGCACGCTTCGCCTAGGATTTGTATCTAGGAAGAAGGACTGGCAGTGGCGATAATGATTTCAGAGAACAGAGATATTCGGGGTTACTTTCGGACTGATCCAACCGATAACCGCAGAAAGTGTAGCGACTTGGAGAAGCCTGCAGCGTACGCAGTGTGAGAGGTTTGCTGGCCCCAGACACTGATCCTTTACATCCAATTCCGTTTGGAGCGCGCTTCCAACCGAGCGGTTTCTGGCGTATCGAAACCCCTGGTGACCGTCCTCTGAAACTACAGCAGTCGGTCTGTTTTCGCGAAATTCGTAGGCGTCATTATTTCTGGCACAAAAAAGGACTCCGTTACTCGGCCTGAGGGCGCAACGCGCAAGAGCCAAGTCGTTTCGTTCTCGTTGCACTTATAACTCGGCGCCATTGCACCACGGCTTGTACAATAGCAGGGTACTGAGCAGAGCGGTTGCAGGGCTGGCTCGGTCATAAACTTGCATCGCCGCTGCAGCTGGTCATATTTCGAGCAATCGTTCTGAATTCCGCATCCGCGTCGCCACGACAGCAGCATATGCTCAGAAATATTGAACCATGGAATACGATTATCAGTGAAGATTTGACCGGGAAAATCATTCTTGGTGTTTATAACCGGCGCTTCAGTCTTGTTGAATTCCTGAACCGCTCTCTACCAGTGTCTTGGCCCAGGCGAGAAGTTAGTCGTAACAGATAGCTCTCTGTTTTTTCGTCAAATGTCTTCAGCGTTTCAACTGAAGGTCAACGCCGAGGACTCAGTCATCCGCTCGAAAGTTCGCTCGACACCAAGCCGCTCGACGCTCAGACAGCATGAGACATTTCCGAATGTTGATCAAGGCTCTGAGATCGCGGTACAGGGCGCGCCTATGCGCTCTGCTGCTGGTGCAATCACACCATGGAATGCTTTTCAGCTATGACTGCCTCGCCATCTGACGTTCGGGCTGCATCCCGAACACCATCCAGTGCATCCGACTCTATTTCACGCTCGTATTCTCCTACTTTTCCAGCGAGCAGCTGTGCCTGTGATGCGTATACGTCGTCCCGAATGCATCGATGGGAACCGTACAGAATCGATTCCTGCACTCGTTGCAAGCTTTCGTCGCGGGAGTAGAGCTGCACCCTCTGCACATGACGGTACGTCGAGCGCCGGGATGCAGCACCGCCAATCAAGACGAGTGTCCGGTCACTGCCGTTTTTATTGCACTCTAGAAGTTGGTTATTGCACGCCTCTCGGCTGCGTACAACCGAAACGATTTGCGACTCCAACGCAGTCTCACGCACTCCAGGCAAAGATAGTTCGCATGAGTCATTTGGACGCTCGTGTGCTCGCTGGATGAAGCATACGACGCAAGCCCTCTGCTCAGTACGGTGCTCGTGGCTTCGAGCACTGGTCCAGACGCCCTCGTGCCACTTGTTGGTTTTTTATGCTGGCGTCCGTGGTACACGGCCCCGTATAATACCGGGTCATGGAATATTCAGACCGAACTGCTTCTTGAGGCCTGAAACCCACTTGTGTTTTCGCATGAAGAATTGTTCATAAAATTTCCAGAGAAATTTTTACAGCTTACAGCCCCGCGTTCGGAACGCATACGTGCAGGTGCTTGACAAGGTACATCAAAGCGAGAGACGCTAGACGAGTCTTTCTCGAGTGAGAAGCTTCGCTATCTTTGGCAGCATCCTGCATTCCACATATTCGTAGATGCTTCCCGTTGATGTAGTTTAATAGGAAGGTCTTGTCAACAGGTTCTGCCTGATCTCTCCCGTCCGAAACGTGTCTCTTCGCATCGCTCTTCGTCCTCTTTTCGGAAGATTCTTTCTTCTCTTTGTCCGTTTGACCAACCTGCTTCTACCTTTTTGGCGGTATGATATGGATGTGGTCGCTTGACTCCATAGGCGTTTGTATTCGTTTGGATTCAAACGCACTGGGTGGAGAATGGCATTGAAGCTCACCCTTTCTGTGCATGTATTTACCATTCTTCAAGCACCTTCCCGCCATATTCGTCGCGAGCATGCCCACGAATCGAAATGCACCTTTTCGCACCTTCCCACGAACGCCCAGAGACGCGACAGAGCCATTCAGGCCTGGCGACCGCTGAGAACGACATGTAGAAACATGGCCTTGCGGACGCGAACGGCGCTTCTTTTGATCTGGCGACGAAAAAATGGCGTTTGACAACGGAGAAGACGCCTTCAAGGGATTGAATCAGGAAGAATAGGCATGCACGAAGAGGAGCTCAACAAGAGTCTCAGCTGTGTACTCCTCGACTGCTTTTGAGAGGTGGAAAGCGACGTCGCCAAGTAACAGTGCACAAGAATGTAGGATAGAGAAGCCGTGCACAGTGTCTCGACAAAACACGCGATGCTGAACGATCGTATCCGTTTTCGTGACTTGGTGGCAAGCATACGATCATATTGCCGTTAGGGCAGACAGGGCCTCCATGCTCGCTCGCGACATGTTTATGAACACCGGTGTGCGTTTCTTTTGGTGCCGATGTGCCGGTCTAACATTTCTCCAAAATGTAGTCTCATCGACTGAAACCGACATCCGTCATTACTGCATAAAGCATTCGCGTTGCCGTGCCGAATCCACGGTGTGTGTTGTTCGATGCTTGACACTCTGCCATGGAAGCGCGCTTTCTTCATCGTCCACCCGGTGTCTTCATTGCCGTCCACATAAACGGTACAGAAGCTCCGCATCCCCTAGCTTCATTGAAAGCACTTGTTCGAGAACGGAAGGAAGGGATCAAATTGACGAAGATACAGCTGGGTATACACTTGGATAAGCTCTATTTTGGGTGTGCGATGCGCACTGGATACATACAGGGAGAAGGCTGGTTCATCAAGCGGGTGACCAGTGAATCCCTGACTAGCACAAGTACGGTCATTTTTCTCTCCACCGAGCGGTGACAGGACAACTTTTTCCCGGAACCTATTTCTGTTCTGCAGGAGGCATGCCTGTTGTTGAATACCTGGGAGAAAACAAACAAACTAAAACGGGTGCATTGGCACTGCTGTTCCAGAATTCACTGCTTTGAGGAGAAGAGCAGAAACCAGGCACTAGAGCATCCATGCGAGGTCCTCCGACAAACCCGGGAGGCGATCGAGCTTCAGAGCGTGTCGGCTGCCGCAAAGCGTACCGTCGTCTGATCGTACACGACGAGCGAGCATTCCCGACACGAGTCCTTCGCTACACGTCGATAGTATCGAGCGACAAGCGCCGCCACATATTCCCATGAATGCGAGCAAGTCTCGGGAGGCTCGAACAATACGCTTCGCCAAGACCGGCTTCGCATCGCGCTTGACAAGTGTATACCAGGTTGTGGAGTTCGATACTGCACCGCAAAAAACGCACACCGCTCCTGGTGAACTCTTCGATTCAATTTGGTTCCAAGCACGATCCGCTACCCGAAATGTACCCCAAACATCGTCTATGCTGGATGCAGAGAGAAAGGCGGCTCCTGTTCTCGCCTGCATTCAGTAAGCAGATTCCTTTACAGACTCGTTTCGGGTTGCACAGCTTCTCGATTGGCAGCTTTCGGAGATACCAAGCGCGTTTTCACCTGCTGTACCAACCGTTGCGCAGCCTCATAGCCGCCGGTTGCAACGAGTCGACGCGCGTAGCCACCGTAAGCTACCCCGTGGACCCCGTCCACGCCCTCAAGGAGCGGAATCGTATGGGCATTGGTACCGCCAGCACACTGAATGAATCCCCGTGCGGCAAGCAAGTGCGGATTCCTTCGAAAGTATTCCGCTAAGCTGGTGGCATAGCGCACGGTCGCCCGAGTGGTGGCAGGTGCACCCAGATCACCGGTCATAGGCTTACCATCACACTGCCACAGAAGAATGGGCGTACTCGGTGGCGTCGCTGGTGCCTCCTGCACAGTTCCCGACTCGTCGACGTGCGCCCCGTACACGAGCCGCGCAATGTACTCGAAAACACTCCAGTCATTGGGCTCCGGCATGCTAATCGCGATGAGTTTCATCGTCGCTCGCAGGGTGCGCCCGATTTCGCTGTACCAGAGGGCAGCAAACGACTCGCTAAGCGGATCACGCGTGTGAACCTCGACTGCATCGATGGGATAATTGCGCACGAGTGCCATCACTTGCTGTGGGGTCTGCTTGCTCGAGTGCGTCTCAATCAAATGATACGGACAGGCGGGGATGCAGCGCCCACAACCATAACATCGGGTGCTCGAAATGCCGAATATTTGGAATTGGTTCACGTTTTTCGCCGTCGCTGGCAACGTGAGGGCGTCCGCTGGACAAAGTTGAGCACACGGAGCAGGGCATTGCCAGCAAGGTGCGTGCGCGTCGACGTGCACACGCGCTTTTCGAAAGTGCGGTTCCATCTCATCGTCGGTAATTGACACCATGATCCATGGACGTGCGAAGCTCTTCGTCAATCGATCCGGACGGGCGCAAGACGAGTCACTGGTGAGGGTCCACCGCCACCGACGCTCCGCCTCGTCTAGTCCGTCCAGGACTGCTTGAACAACGGCTGGCTCGGCCGCGCAGTCTACGCAATCAGCACCTGCTAGCGCATAGTCTCTCGTGAGCGGAGCAATCTCTGTCACCTCGTTGAACGAAGCTCCGCAAATAAGCTTGAACCAGGTCCCCGACTCTAGAGAGGACCGTGGCGCAGCGCTGGGGTCAAGCGTTTGCCCTTCCCGAGCGTGTCGCACAGAGAGTGCCAGCACTCGACGTATGAAGCCGGCCCGGGGCACGCGCCCACTGCCCGCGTTCCGAGCAACCCGAAACGTTCTCAGTGAAACAACGGCCTCGGGAACGTCCCAGACGCCTGCTCGCCGAAGAGCCTGCGTTCGCCAGCGCTTGTTCTGCTGAAGCAACTGGTTCGGTGCGACGAAGCCGTAACGTTCTGTAGCTACTGAACAAGTTCCCTGCATGCTTGTTGGCTCGCCAGGGAGCTTCGGTCCAGTGAAAGTCGACTGCAGCTCCACGTGCGCTTTCAGCGTAGTTGCGTGCCGGCAGTGCACCTGGGTGTGTTCAAGTGTTTCACCTGAATTGTGTTCCATAGGCAGATGCGTGTAACCAAATGCTTTATCGCAGTGCATAGCAAATGTGTTCCGAGTGCGTTCTTGTGAAGAAATAGAAAATCCAAGGGGGAGGTATGAAGATGAAAGACAGGGATCTTGGAGGCAGACGTCGCTCCCTGACAGAAACAAACAATGCAAAATCCAGTTCTCGCCGACCAGCGAGCGAAGAAGAGCGAGTGACGAAGAGGAAGGAGGCGAGCGATATGAAGGGCGATACGCGAGAGAAGGCGTTTGCTCAGTGGGACAATGATGATACTGGCGTAGCACAGAGCGCAAGAATTAGAGGAATCCTTGCAATGGTGCGTTCAACCAGAGGCAATAAACGCGCGGATCTCGTGAATACAGACTTCAACATCGCCAGCTATATGAGATGATGTATGATGTTGCAGATGAGATCCGAAGAGCTGACGCGATCTATTTTCTTGGGCAAACTCCCAGGATCGAAATGTCCAAGGAGAAACGCGAACCGATAAGAAGCCGCTGGTCAAAAAAGGCTGGGAGGCGTCTGCAGGCGGGTATTCATTTACGCTGTTATCGCGGGACTTGATCGTTTCACTGCCATAGTGCGTATCTACATATCTATACGAAAGCGAGTCTCTAGATTGTGTCGTTCGAGAGTCGATAACATGTTATCCAATGCTCTGGATATTTGTCGATTACTGTGCAGACGACGCACGGAGCCGATCTCCCCAGGTGCACAGGGAAGCTCCAGTTTACTTCTAATGTACAGAGATCAAACAGTCTGCGAGCAGAGTTGTTTTCTTTCCATGGCGAAGCGTGCGCCTCGTATCTATGTTCTGCATCAGACTCGTCAATGCTCGCGAGCGGCTGAAAAATTTCAGCTGACCGAACCGATTGAGTCTCTTTGATGGCATACTGCGTAACCTCGATCCATTTCATGAGCTCCATGTGAAACACCCCGATGTCGATTGCTTCAAGTGATCGAGCGTATGCGTAGCAAGAGATCCTAAAGCAAAGGGTTCAAGACCGTATGGATCCCTTGTACCTAGACAACCGAATACACGCATTCTTTTTTCGCGAAGAGCCGCTGCAAGATGCACCTCTAGGCACGGGGCAGATGTTCACCATGTTGCGAGTGCCGGTCTGCTGCGCGCATTACGCGAAGGCTCTTGCAGCGCCACACAACCTCACAATGGTGCTTTCGGATTGGTGCACCCCGCGCGACCATACAACCAGTCTAGCATTCGTTAGTTCGGAGCCGGATACTGTCAACAAATGCCAACTCCATCTAGGATGCTTGCTTGTGTACCTGCATGTATGCGTCGATGCGCTCCAGTGTATGTATGTTCATGTGAGGCACCCGTCGCCGCGCGCTCTCCGGTCCACAACGCTCACACACGACAGGCAAGAGAGAATGTGCGACACGTCTATGCATTGGAACTGCCTTTCATCCACCAGTCTCGCTCCGGAATGAGCATGCGTCACACATGAGAGAGCGTGTTACCCATGCGTCCCGATTTCGCTATCACCACCTCTCCTATCAAAAGCCGCTGCGGTGTACGCTGCCCTCGTCAAAATTAGGGATAGGTTCAGCATCGACACCCGCGTACAGACGCGCCAGCAAAACGGTAGACAAAAACGCGACGCCCTCAATGACGCTGGACAACAGGTCGATTCCCGTACGTACCGCGAGGCCGCTCGGCGAAGCGCTCTGCTGGATGGTGTCCAGGAGAGCGCGGCGAGCGATGGCCGCCGCCGCCGCCGCCGCCGCCGTCGTCGACGACAACGACAACCTCGTGTGTGTACCCGACTCGACCTGGCGTCTACTGACAAACGCGGGGCGAGGCTATCGGGGGCAGCGCGTGAGCGCTCACAAGCTTTGACTGCGTGAGAGCGTGCGACTCGTAGGCACCGGTTTTGTGTCAAAGCGTGTTGCCCTCGTGAGTGCTTCCTGTTTCTGAGCTGTTTAGGGCCGAAACTGAGTTTGAGAGCCTCTTTCGGTCAAGAGGTAGAACCCCTCGTTTCGTATCCGCGCAGCCGTAACGCCTCCTTCACGAACATGGCAGACGACGCGCCGGAGCGCAACATCGAGGACCCTGATGTGATAACGAAATATAAAACAGCCGCGGATATCGCAAACCAAGCGTTAGAGGCTGTCTCTCGAGCGCTACGGCCAGGAGCGTCCGTCGCTGCGCTGTGTCGGCTGGGTGACGAAGCGATCCGCAACCGCTGCGGAACGGTATTCAACAAAAACAAGGGGAAGAAGCGGGAACCAATTGGAAAAGGCGTGGCGTTCCCGACTTGTATCGGGATCAATAACTGTGCAGGTCATTTTTCTCCGCTAGAAACCGAGGACACCACGGTAAAGGAGGGCGACGTTTGCAGTATCGACCTGGGGGCCCATATCGACGGTTATGTGGCGCTCCTGGCAGCCACTGGCATCGTTACCGAATCTGGACTCCAATGGCAGGCGCATCCCCTGGAACTTTTTGCGTGGTCTGAGGCGAAGACTCGCAACGAGACCTCGGAGGCACCTGGAGCCTCGGAAACTGAAAGCATGCAGGTAGAACGGAATGGAAAAGATCAACCGGCGGTTCCCGAGCGAGCAGCGGATGCAATTTGCGCTGCCTACTATGCAGCGGAAGCTGCTTTGCGACTTCTAAGACCAGGGTGTAAGAATTCGCAAGTGACAGAGGTCCTGGCTAAAGTGGCCGCAGATTTCGGGTGTTCCGTCGTGGAGGGTGTGCTTTCCCATGAAATGAAACGATATGTCATAGACGGGAGGCGTGTGATCTTAAGCAAGCCGACAGTCGACCAGCGGGTAGAGGAATGCGAGTTTGAGGTGAACAGCGTCTTCGCTATCGATGTTGTGATGTCGACCTCGGAGACCGGCAAAGTCAAGCCTGGCGATGCAAGGACAACGGTGTTCAAACGAGCGATCGATCGGGATTACTTGCTCAAAATGAAAGCCTCCCGCCAGTTGTTCAACGAGGTGAATCGAACTTCACCAGTTTTTCCGTTCACGCTCCGGGGGATCGTCCAGGATGATCCGGAGAACAAGGTTGCGCGGCTCGGTATCGGAGAAATGCAGAGCCATGGCCTCGTCATCCCTTACCCAGTTCTCTATGAGAAAGAAGGCCATTACATCGCCCGATTCAAGTATACTGCGCTCATCCTCCCAGCGTACACGCAGCGCATCACCACGATGCCCTTTCCAACTGGGGTCAAAAGCTCGAAAACAATTCAAGACCCATATGTCCGACAACTGCTCGAGCAGCCAGTAGGCAAAGAGGCAAAGCGCCTTCACAAGCAAGCAGCCAAAGCAGCCATGCGGATCGATAGTAACGGAGAACCGCGTCCAGTATCGGCAACAGCAGAAGATGCGCGCATGTAGTCCACACATAAGCCGTGGGCGTTTCCGCAGGCGCCCTAGTCGGTGCGAGCGGCCGTAAAACTGGTAAACACGCATTCTGACGCCATAAGACTGGAACACTGCGAATCGTGTGCTAGTCGAGCCCAGGACTGCTGGCAAGCTCGCCCGCCCCGGACTTGAGGGTCATCAGCTCACGGGTTGCGGCTGTGGTGCTTGCTCCACGCATCGCACTTGGATCCACGTTCGTCGCTCTTGGCCCCCATACTGAACGCGGTTTTATGCACAGCATCATAGCAGAGCGTTTTTACGTCATACGCCTGATAGATACGACTTGGTTCTAGAGCGTAGCCTCGGAGTGGAGCGCGCTCTGTTCAGGCGAGCGACGGACGGCAACCTCGCCATCCATGTCTCTATCGTCCGGTACAGGAGCGCTTCCCGAAACGCCGTTCGCTGGGGATGCATCCTCCTCGAAGAACGACGAACGCTACGTCATATATTCATAACGCACACGAAGATGCACACGCGCATCTCCATTGAACCACGAGGCGTTCAAGCGCATCGAGCGTTGTTCGCAAACAGATCCGCACGTGTAGTGCGTATCGATCCAACACTTCATATCGAACGCACTGGAACGGGGCGTTTCTCCGGAAAGCTACGTAGCGGCAGCGTGATCCATCGAAAGCCGATGTGAGTACGATCCCACATTTGCGTGCGACTTGAAAGCTGGTGGCATGGCTCCTGCGGTTTCCGAACAGCGCTTGGGATTTTCTTTTCAAATCTTCCGTAAATGATGCAGGTTCGCTGGTTCCGTCACATGTCCCGCGGGCTCAGCACAACTGGAGTTCATAATCTGCTCAGATAGCAGACAGGATGAAACCGCTACGCCGAGTGGCGGCTGTCAAGGTGTCCGCTGCTGACCTCTTCACCGGCTTGTAGCACGCGCGCTTCAAAAGCTTTGTCAGCGTCTTCAGAAAATATAGCGTTACATTGCTTGGAGACGAGTCTATACCTGCAGAACGATATCTAGGTAAACATTTGATGGCGCACCAGTCCTTCGCCACAGCACCGCGTCGAACGTTTCACTCGGACGCAGAGCTGCGGGCAGCGGCAACGTTCGCCGCGTGCTGCGGCCCGAGTTCCCTACGCAGAACCTGGAGCTCGACCTCTTTCGCGCATTGTTCAAAAGCTGACACCTCTAGACCACACTGCAAGGGGTTCGGGTTTTCCTTATAGCAGCGAAAGAGCGCTCGGCGTTCAGCGGAACACGGCAGGGCGCCCACCGGTGCCGGAGCTGCATAGTCCTTCTGCTCCAGTTCCTGCAACTTGCGCTCCGCTGCCTCCCTTGCCTGAAGGAGCCTTCGTTCTTCGAGCTGCTGCAAACGTGACTGAACACGTTTCGCGAGCTCAATGCGTTTACGTCGCTCTATTGCTTGAACTTGCTCCACGAGCTGTCGCTCCCGAGGTGTCCGGACCTGGACACCAACGTCTCCTTCCATCGGCGAACGCCGTGAAAATCCGTCGCCTAGCCTATTTAACAAGCTTTCGGTAACCCGAATCGTAAATCCTTGGATATTCCCCGGATCCGGTAAGTTTTCTGCGTCCATAGCATCACCGCGACACAGGGCACTCAGGCCAGCAACTGTGGTACGCGCAAGCAGCTACCCGCAGAAAAACAGCGCCAGCGATCTGATCGAGTGAATGCTTTTGCGACATCAATGCATTTCAAGGACATGTCGCATCCAGGGCGATGCTGCACGCTGCATACGCTATTAGACGTTGTTGATACTTTTGCGACATGAATGTATGGAATGGACATGTCGCCGACGCTGCCTCCTGCGAGCGCTTCCGTCCATTGCAAGCATATTTGCAACATTGCAGCTTGGCTACGCGCTGCGACTTCAGTTTGTCACCGCGCTGCGTGAACTTCAGGACTTCTTGACCCAAGATGTCTTCATGATCGCATCGTGCAGATCATGTGCCGCGTATAGCATTGGTTAGAAACTTCGCGAAACGAGCGGATCGTTTCTTCGGCATAGAACACACTGGGGAACTGCTGTGGTCTCTAGAGTTCTATCGGACTAGCCTGCACACTGCAGCCTGGCGTTCTCGAGTTCCATGATTTCAGGAATCGACTGACTTTATCTAGAGAAAATCCGCGCTTGACTTGCAATTCAAGTGCGGTAGTGCCAACGCTACAAGCATGCAGTGCTCTGTAGGCATCTGCGCCGAGAGCGTACTCTCGACTCTTGAGGATCCTTTACCCAGCTCTTGTCGGTACAAGACTGATCACCTATAGATGTATCCGTTACTGTATCCAAGAAGACTTTTTAATGGCTGCGTTTCAAGCTGGTCCAGCGACGCGTGCACGCAACACTGACGAGAACTGAGCTGCGGGCCGAACCCAAGCTCCACTACCAGTACCCCAAGGAGCGGGTTTTCTGTATCAGAACGCTTCAGGTATCTCATCAGCTCATTCCGTCGTGATTTTTAATGGAACTCAACTTATCACACACTCATCTGAGGCCGTAGGCGCCCTGAAAACGTACGGTTCTCGGAAACAACGCGCGTTTCATTGACGACGGGCGCATGTCGCTTGCTCGCGTCATTTTCTATGCTTGAACTGTGGCTCCTTCGCTGCACTTGCCGTGCGAGTGCGCCATGTATGGAGACGAAAACCTCGGGGATTTTTTAATGACCGCGAAATTCAGCGAGTCGGACGCCAGTGCGATACGAGCGACTAAATCTGCTGATCTGCATGGAACGATGCGTCTGACAATCTTCTCCCGCGGGATTCTTCAAGTTTTCACTCGCATGCAAGAGCTTGCTGGTTTGCCATTCGATGGGGCGCAAACGCGGCCATCAGCATTGCACGCTGTACTGAACATTCGTGTTTAGGCGCTCGCACCACACAGAACACCCCTTGGAGAAAGCACAAGCGCTCAACGAGTTGATTGCCCGTCAGTCCACCTGATTTCCCGCATCCGAAATTCACGTTTCGACACGAGCAAGAAGACACTATATTCTGTGAAAGTGCTGTTCTTCGTGATACCATGGATGGCGTCACCGAATCGAACCGCATTCGTCTTGGTTTACGAACTGTACCAGTGCTTCGTACCCGATATATCCCATGGGTAGTGTACGACCCCGTCCAGAATACATACCTCATTGCCCTGCATGTATCTCTATGATGGACCTTTTGGAGATCGGATACGGGCCAGGACGCCTCGCAATCAATGCTTTCTTGATCGTGCTGGAGTAGGCAATTTTTTCTACCAAACCTAGCAATCTTTGACGGAACACGACAACTTCATCTGTTCCGCGGACGTTGTTGGCGACGGCGGCGACATATTGTTGTACGCCATCGCTCACCAGTGCCCATATCGAAGCGTACAGGAACTGTGTCTTGCGTGAGAGGCAGACGCAACGTGCATCTCGCCGCTCGCCTAGACCCGATTCCAGCGTGGCGATCCCTAGAAGGTCGCTCCGTCAAAGTGACGTTCAGTTCGAGGCACACGTCCAAGAACAAACTGGTATCAGCTTTGTTTTCAAGGCTGACACCAGACTCCCTATATTCCATCGCTTTCAGCCAACGGCGTCGCCGGCATGGGCTGCTGAGATAAACCATAGGGTTGACAGTCGCCTCCGATGCGAACATGAATAGCAGGTCCTGATGGAAGATTTCGAAATAGACATAATCAATACGGGTAAATATTAGAGATACTGTAGATCTAGCGCCCATCAACAACTTTAGACGTTATGAAACCTCGTGTCCAGACGAGAAGAACACGAGTATCACTGAAGTGGCGTCCATCATGAGCACTGAATACAGGGAAGTGTTGCTAGCGTAGGGGTTTTCATTTACGCAACGCTATGGGTATTGGCGAATGCTAATCATCACACGACACAAGCACGACTCCGGAGGCAACGACAGTAGACCACATGCGCCGGAGCGTTGACCGAGGCAACGCTGAAAGCGATCTGGCAGTCGCGGCCCCGCGGGTGTCATGGTGCTAGCTGACGCGGCGTGCGGAAACGATATCTTCAGTACCTGGATATTGCTGTGATGATCACACTGGCCAAGGTGAACTCGACATCCGTCGCCTGACGTCAACATACTGAGTTGCCGCGTCCGGGCTACGTACAGTCGCTATGGCATTCGCTGGTATACGCAGAGCAATGACTTGCCGAATGTCTGGTTCAGGATGCAATGTCTGTCTTTGCATGGTTTCCAGCGGGTATCTAGCAAAAGAAGATGTATCCGATAGATTGGAGCAAGGTCGCTGATAGACTTGAGGCACCCACCGCGCTCCCGGGAGAAAAAGGATCCCAAGTGTCCATGGCAGTCCTTATCCTGTCAGACGGTTGATGAAAATCACCCTTGTCGTCGCCCTTATCCTGAACGTCGTGCATCGAATACAGAACGTATCAGACATTATCTATACGACTGTCTCCTTGCCAATCCATTCCAAACCATATGTTTTTCTGAGAAATACCATCAAAGAAGCCGCAGAATGTGAAGTATCCGTCCAGTGCTCCCAACGATGATGGAGAGACGCAGATGGACAAACAAAAAATGCGCACCCCTCTGGGAACCCGTCACGCACGGAACTTTATCTGATCGATTTTGCCCTGAAACACGAACGTATCTGACCGAAACAATACGCGTTCGCCACAGTCAATCAGATAGCATTCAGGATACATCGTTGACCTCTAGCATATGCGTATTCAATGAGGGAAAAACCGCCATTGGCAAAGAAAAGACATGCGAGTACCACGACAACACGAGCCCCTGCGACGATGTTATTGTGTGCTCGTCTACGAATCGCCAAACGAACAGTATCGCTCAACATCGTATCCTTCGTCGATGCACCTCGAGGTGGTACCTCCTTCCCGTATTCCCCTATCCTGTTCTTAGAGTACGTCTCTTGCGTTCACTCAGCAGCGATCATGATGTGCGCTGTTGAGATTGGCGGCAAGTTGCTCATCGTGCAAGCCAGTGCTGCCGAGTTCAATGCACGCGAACGCATCTTTTCTGTTGCGAAAACGCGATTCAGGCGCTCGCGGATGAATCGACGCGTCGCTCGCATCCGTGGCACCGTTCTCTGGCAAATTGTTCTTCTCCAGTTCCACTCTCGCTCTGAGTAGCTCTGTTGCTCCTCTACTCGTGCGCTCGAGGGAGCGGAAAGTTGCGCTTCAGTTCATGGACGTTTTTCGCAACTGACAAGGTGACAAAAAGGTCCCTCGCGCATGGTAGACACAAGCGTGGAAATTGCAAACTTCAGTGCAACACTCAATTCAATGGGTCTGAGTCCCGTGATGAGTATCTTACCTGGAGAATGGCTGCTTTATCCATGCCATGCAATGAGGTAACGGGGGAACAGTAGAAACCTAGGGAGAAAGAAAAGAAAGATCATCACCAAAAGAGGACGAGATGGGACAGGTAGGAAAAGCCATTGAAGCGGAAACACCTTTCTGGAATCCCTCCAAGGGAAACGCATGAAAAGCGGAGTTTTTAAAAACTGAGCTCCACCACGTCATGAAATATCGTATTGCCTTCCACGCGCGCAAGACTCGCCGAGATTTCCTCGCTACGACGCACTTCGTCACGCCAATATTCGTAGGAATTCTGAATACAAAGCTACCTATAGTCCACGGTTTTTTAACAAAGCTCGTGCCCGAACCTTCGTGCGACGACGCAACCGATGCTTGGCGCGAACGGTGCAACACGTCTTCATCGTAGGACCAGCGATTTGCATACGCGTATCCCAAGAATATCTTGATGCTTTAACGCTCCACACCGGCGATAAGAATACCTCTAGCGCCGGTTCCGAATGTATCAAACCAACACCGAATACCAAGACCGTATGTAGGCAAATATCGAAGGTTTCATGAGGCCCATCCTATGGGCGCTGTAGCCTGATCCTAGTGGCCCAGGAAAGCGTGAGCTACCGGACGGAATGCCACGCTTTATGTAGGATTCGATCGTCCGAATGGGTTAGGCGTAACATCCTCGGCAAGAGTGCTGCAACCGCCCGGAGGTCGCGAAAGCTTTCAACTGCACAGGGACAAGACGTGAGCATTCGCCAACTTGTTGATTGAGTTGGGAACGGACATGAGAGGCACGACACGTCGTTTAGTGATGGTGGCAGTGGTGGTGATGGCGCTGGCCATTGCTGCAACGCTCACGGGCCGCACTGTGTCGTCCTGGACTCGAGGACGCAACGAGTGTGGGAATCGATTGTTCACGATTCCCATCGATGAGTTCGGGACGATATCCCGGCATCATGAGCAAGAGTACGCGCTGAAACTAGCAGACAAGTCGCGCGTAAAACAGAGATGGATACATGCGATGGTTTGCGGTTCGATGAGTAAACGTCAGACGGCGAAGCTGCGAGGCTTGTTACGGGGTGATTGTGCCAGCCAAAATGCGCCCAAGCACTATCGTCATCTGCGCTTGAAAGCCTTCTTCATCATGCGCGAAGGACTCGGGCTTCCGTACCGTCAAGCGCCTTTGTCCTGAGCGAACGTTCGAGAGCGGCATTCAGAGCGCCGTGTCGGCAAAGTATTGAAACTCTGAGGGCTTTCGTCGGGAAAAAACAGTCTCCCAGGGAGCAAGCATTGGATTCTTGTCTGCAGTAACGCACTGACATGATACGGTTTCCCAATGCAGCAGGCCTGAGGCGCCGAGTCTATGCATCGGGAAGGATCTTGGAGCACCACGAGTCGATGGTACAGAGCGCATCACACTCAGTGTGTGAACATGGTGAACCCAATACCTTCTAACGTGGAAATGGAGAGCGCGCTTCCATTTCAGAGGCATTTTAGTTCGAATCTTCGGCGAAATACCTACTTAAACCATGCTTGATTGGCGAAGCATCCTCGACTCGGTGCTGCGCTTCCAAGCTTGTTGGCTCAGCGCGTCTCTACTTGCTGCGCACTAGGCACAAGTACTATAATCCGGCTCATCAGCACTGTTATCAGGGCATTTTCCATAGCTCGAGTAACCCTCGCGCGCGTTGCTAAGCATAGCAGACGTTTTATCGCGCTCCTGGTGAATCTGTGGCGTTGCGCCGGACGGTACAGAGCCCATCGGAACGCTCGTAGACGGGTCCAGCAGCAGATCAAGTTGCTCATCGTTCGAGTCAAAAATTCGATTTCGCAATGCCGCTTCCAGAGTCCCGTCTGCGACCATATCGCCCTTGCGTGACGCCAGAAACATCTGTAGCGTACCCTCGCGCAGCCGGCGAACTTCATCCCGCAGTCTCTGCACCTCCTCCCGTAGATACAGCTTGTCATTCCGTAGATCTGCTTTTTCCGACCGCATTTCATCCAGCTGATGATGCAGGGTATCGAATTCCTCCCGGATGCCGGCCATAAGACGGTTAAACGCATTCAGCTGGCCCATGCATTCAGAGAGCACTGCGTCTTTGTCGCTTGGAATAACAAAGCTGTGCGGCATTGCGGACTCATCAAGCGACTTGCCAGCAGAGACCTGTATATCTGCTCGATTGCTACGCTGGCGTCTGTAGAGGTCCCACGACATGAGGTTGCGGCGACCTTGCCGAAGCAACTCGATCAACGCATTGTATTTTGTGCGCATCGATTCACGACGCTCCCGCTCCCGCAGCCGCTTGCGGCGCTGAATCTCCCTGACTTTATCGCCATGGTTTTGGGGGTCAGAGTCCGCCTCAGACGACCCCGGCGATGCCCTGCGACTGGAGCGTATGCATCCCGTTCGCGATAGACTGTGACGTGTTTTCGCCGCGGGCGCTAAAGTACCCTCCAGTTCAGGTTGCGTGCGCTTTTGTGACGCAGCGCGCCTCTGGGTTCCAGCACGCTCGCCATAGGGGGCATGCGACATATCGCCTTCGGTCAATGTCTCTTTTCGGATGGTAATATCTTGCGTGAGTGTGTCCCTCGTTCGGCCGGTTGCGGTTGTCTCCCATAAGCTTGCGCCATGCACCGCTACGAGCGCGTCTTCACCAGTGAGACCTTGAAGAAAGGGGCTCAGTGACAGCGATGTCAAGCCCCCAGCGTCTACAATGCCAAACTCCTTATCTTTCGGGCTATCACGCGGCATGCTGCCTTCCCCACGCAGGTACTCTGTGGCATGTGCTCCCGTTCGTGTCGCACTTGGCGAGTTACTCCCTGGTTCGGGCATATATTTAGGAAGCGAGTGCAGCCCCGGCGAAGATTTTTCTTCTAAAGCCACAACTTCAGAACTATCTCCAGTATTTTGCCTCGAAAGCAAGGCAGGGCGTGCGCTGAGAGCAACGCCCTTCGCCTTATTCGTTGCCGCACTTCGCCGTGACGCAGCGTGCGCGAGAGCGTGATGCGTTCCGCGGAAAGCGGTGTGTACCAGCTGCGCACGCGCCTGCGACCTTGAAAGCAGCTTGCGAACACGGCCCGCGGGCAGAGAGGTTCTCGCACTATCTAAGCGCCAGGTAAGGTCTCACACGAGCCTTGTCACCTACAGCCTTCCGATGAACGGTTTCACAAGGAGTTTGCGGTGTTGCGCATTTCGCGGGCACTACGACGGCGCTGGCACAGGGTCCGATTTGGGATCGGCGCGCGGAACGGACAGCGACTTCTCGGTTCGTCCTCTACGTAGAGGGATCGCTGCTTCCCGTTGGATTCCGTGGATGCGCCCGTCGCGCGCAAAACACCGCTCATAGCCGCCAAACAGGCTTTCGTTCCTCAGTAAACTTGCCAAGGTTCCATCAATCCTTACTCAGACAAGCCCTCTTGAACAGCGGCTCGTGTAGTGTGATTCGAAGTTCTGGGTTCCGAGTCTATCGCTGGCGCCTGCTCCAGCTCTGGACGCTCTACCGCTGGAATCAAACCGAGACAGGACAGCCTTGGAGTGCTTTTTAGGGCACCTGCATAATAACTGAATAATCTGGTGTGGGTTCTGCTTCGATGTACAGACGAACTGATACGGGGTCCACGGGTAGAGCTCGAAACGTCCGACGCTCGCTGATGCCCGCGGTGACCAGGGAGGTAGCCAGAGCGCATTTCAGGACGACACGCTGTCGAATATTGCTATACGGGCCGCGGGCGCTCACGGCAGGCTTGGCGCACGATCGAGCGTATGCAACGACCAGTATATCCGAGGAGAGGTATGGGTTATGGAGCTGGAACATCGGTTGCTGCATGTGGACACTTTCCCGAATGCTGCGATCCATCCCGCAATCCAGGATCCATGGTCCATGTAAAAATTTTGTTAAAGAAAAAATCCAGCGTGGCGTTCATTACATTTCACATTACAAAAGACAGTTTCATTTTGGTTGATCTACGGAGCGTACAGAGGAATGAAGAGCAACTCTACCCTGATAACATCAGCAAAAGCTGGAACCCAAAGCGAATGTTTAACTGCGATATTGTACGAAAGAAGGACGTCGCCAGAAGTCGAAAGAAAAGTCTTCAATGATTCGACAAAGTGGTTTCCGAGCTCCCTTCGGGATCGATCGTACATATAACGGGCTCCCGTCTCCGCGAATACGCACACACGCTTCGACCGGTTCTTCGGGCGGAGGTATCACCGAGGTGCAAAACAAGCCGTCGTCTTTGTGCGTCATACCGGTCGCGACGTTCCAGGCACGCTGTAGGTGCCATTTCGGTGAAGGATGGCCGTTCGTGAACTAGAACTCTGGTTTTGTGTTTACATCCCAGTGATTTCAGGTCCGCACGAACAAACTGTTGAGAAACAGCCACACATGTGGTGGCTACTGTCGTAGCTTCTGCTTTCCGTAATGCGATCAAGTGTCGTGTTCTACCATAGACGTCAGGCACACTTTATCAATACCAGTTTTTGGCGATGAACGTATCTGCTTCTTTCCGTCCAGTGTTCCTGAATCATCAGAGTGCTGTGGTATAGCAGACCTTCAGGAGGAATGCAGTCCTCCGCGCACTGTTCAGTACAGGACATATCCTACAGGCAATTCATCGACAATCTATACAAAACATTGCATATTGATTTCGGTTGCCTGCTATACACCGCGAGAAAGCTTTCAAGTTCACGTACGGGATGTGTCATAGAATTCAGTGGAAAAACGATCAGCTTCGGGATGCGAATCCAGGAGCGCAAAATATCGTGGCCTCCTTCCGTTGATTCGAACGGGAACGCTGCGATCGCGACCGCTGCACCATATCCATACCTTAACGCTTCGCCGAGGTGCGTGTGTGTGTGCGCAGGCGCTGTTTTTCTTATCGATCATCCACGTGATTCGAATGCTCGCACTAAACTTTGTTCCTAGTTGCTTCTTCGGTAGATCGGGGCAAAACTCCACTTGCGGTGCGAGTCGAAAACCGTTGCAGTGGAAGTTGCGCACCCCGTTGCAACTCGGTAAGCAGGGCTTCGTGCGACTGCAGCGTCGCACTGCGCAGAGCGGACAACCAGCAAGAGGGCGTTCGGCTTTCCAGATAAGCTGTACGCACGGAAGGCCAGGTGGTAGCTCGGACGCACGGGAAGCTTTCGACGAAAACGACGCGGATTTCATCCTCTCACCAGAAATCTACCAAAGCCTCTCTATCTCGGATATCGACAGCGGTAGATATTTAAAATCCATACCACGACTGCAGGACTTTTTGCCGGCAAGTCAAATACCCCGCGTATGCAACCCGGCTACGTCGAAAGTTTCGTTCCGTGGGCTCGACAACTACGACACATCGCCAAACGACGTTGTTTTGAAGCAGACCGTCATTAATCCCGACAAGCGTCGCAACTTTGCCCGCTATCTACGGGCCGGTCCACGAAGCTGGATTGCGTTTCGACCCGAAGAGGTTCGTGCTGCCATCGTAACCTGCGGCGGCCTCTGTCCTGGCATCAATACAGTTATTCGAGAGCTGACGGATGGCCTATGGCACCTGTACGATGTACGCAGTATCGTCGGAATACGCGGCGGATACCGCGGCTTCTACAATGGCACCCCGTACCTGGAGCTCTCCCCGCGAACCGTGGACGGTATCCATCGACTGGGTGGTACGATCCTGGGATCGTCGCGAGGCGGCTTCGACCTCGAGCAGATCCTCGGTGCGATCCGTCGCCACGGCCTCAACCAGTTGTACATTATCGGAGGCGACGGTACCATTCGGGGCGCTGCCGCAATAGCGGAGGCGTGCATGCGTGAGCGTCTTCGCGTGAGTGTTGCGAGCATTCCCAAAACAATCGACAATGATATTCCAGTCATTGATCACAGTTTTGGGTTCATGACTGCAGTGGAGGAAGCGCAACGTGCGCTGAATGCGGCGCACGTCGAGGCCACCTGTTTCCCAAACGGCATCGGTATCGTACGCCTCATGGGTCGCAACTCGGGCTTCATCGCGATGTACGCTTCGCTTGCGAATCGCGATGTGGACTGCTGCTTGATACCCGAGTTGCCCTTTGAGATTGAGGGCCCGAATGGCCTGGCAGCCTTTGTGGAAAAACGATTGCAGGAAAATGGCCATTTTCTGCTCGTGGTGGCGGAAGGCGCCGGCCAGGATCTCCTCGCCGCAAGCACCGAAATCGACGCTAGTGGAAATCGCAAGTTTAACGACATCGGACTGTACCTGAAAGAACGGTTGCAGGCGTATTTCAATCGGGAGAATATTGAAGTCTCCATGAAGTACATCGATCCAACGTACATGGTACGCGCAGTGCCAGCGACGGCGAGCGATCAGATGTACTGTGCAGTGCTGGCGCATAGCGCCATCCACGGCGCTATGGCTGGTTTCACGTCCTTCACTGTGGGACCTGTCAACGGTCGACACGCGATGATCCCTCTGCAGGACGTCGCTGGGCAGCAACAACGAGTGGATATCCGGGATCGAACCTGGTCGCGCCTCCTGAGTTCCACCGGCCAACCCAGTTCTTTTTTGAATCAGCCAGCCGCTGCGTTGCATCAGACTGCCTAGACATCAGGGCTGCTCGCCGCGTCCCTTGCTGATCTCAAGTTGTGCTGCTTTGCATTCGTCTGCGTAGACATCGGCGGTACTCGCTCTGAAGCTACAATTACCGGGGTAACCGTTGCATCGGGGTTAGAGATCAGCGGAACATCACCAGGAATCATCACGTCGAGCTCGTTATTTGCCAGGCTGCATCGCGCTCACTCGATGCATATTCGTGGAAGGAGAAAAGTGGCTGGCGGCAACGTCGCAGGCTTCTTATCGAGGCGTTGTTTACGTATGTGTGTCTGTGTGAGTGCGTCCGCAGTTGCGACGGCCTCGTGCAGCACGTGCTCCCACAACACGTCGACTGGGCCAAAGGGAGCACGCGCGCTGGCTCGACCCTGCTTCCCGAGTAGCGTGTATGCTGAACACGCCTGCACAGCGAGCTGGCACCCTGCTGTGCAGTGCCCGCTGAGAAATTGAGGTCTGCTTCCTCGGTACGGACATCGATGACGTATCCGTGGGAATTCGGTGCGCTTCATGGATCGGACATCATAAAATCACATCCGGTGCTGCTTATTGGTGATAGTGCACGTACGACTCGGGCTGTTTCCGCATCCACCTTTTCATTGGAGCGGCAGCAGCAACCGCACTAGACCGCTTATGAGAAATCAAACTTCACACCGCGTCCCTCATTCGTGCTGAACACACGCGCTTTGCCCTGTGCTGCGAGTAGCTCCAGAATATGCTCCAAAAAAGCGATAGGTATGGCTGTTTGCAGGGCTTGTGCGCGCTGCTGTCGTCCGAGCGAGCAGCGCTCACCAAGCATGCTCGCTAACTCTGGCAGTGTGAACACGCCGCCCTTGTTCTGCCCGTACTGGGCCACGACGCGGAGCAGTTCATCGGCCCAGAGTCGTGGTGATCGCCAGAAAATAAGCAACTCCTCTTTTTCCTCGGGGTTGCTCCAAGCTGCGTCTCCACTCAAGACGAGTTCCTGGAAGATGCACTGCAGTGCTGAACGACTTAGCCGGCGCTGGATCGCACGGTTACAAAATAACGGCATTTGGGGGCTTTCCGCATCATACAAACGCAGGGTCAATATCCAAAAGTGCTCACAGTAGTCCAGAATCAGACGCCTCCATAAATAAAGCTGTCTTTCTCGCGTGCGTGCACACGGTTGGATCGTATACAGTGGCGGGTATTGGTGCCAAGGTGGAAACGCAAACGACGCTGGCTCGGTTTTTGGCTGGTGGTTCCCAGTCTCTTGGACGGGAGTTGTGCGAATCAACATCGCTTTAGTGACGAAAGCCAACCGAGAGGTGTCGGAGTGCAGCGCCAAGTGGAGTCTGCTGCATGGTTCGTGCGTACGTTCGAACGGTCGGGTCGCGCAGTCCAAAGCAGCGCTCTTGATGGCTGGACAGCGGCTGTTCGTCGTTTTCCGTTCTACGCAGGGCAATGAATGCTGGAACTCTAGTATCCGCTGAGCCTTCAATTTTTGTGTCTTTCTTGTTGTCGCAGGCGTGCAACAGCGGAGTGCATCCCCGGCACTCGAACATGAAAGCCGTGGAATGACGTGTGATTCCATGCTCAACGATGAACGCAAGCGATTTCTAAACCGTGACTTGAATGCTTCGACTAACAGCTGGCATTGTTTCGAGCTACCGTTGAATGGAATCTTTGAGTACTCAGTGTGAGCATGGAAATGACATGTTTCTGACCTTTGATGAAATAGATCAGTGACCAGGAGACAGAGCAGTGGATTCGAGTTCGGAGCCAGGCGCTGGTATGGTACGCTTCAGGAATTCGGTGATGCTGGGGTGCGGTCCAGGTACACCGGCAACCGTTTCCCTGGGCAACTGGTGATCAATAGCTTTGTTCCGATGAATCGATATTGCAGAGTGCGCTTCGTTACGACGAGCGCAATGCACAGAATTTATGGCAGTTGCGACCGCAGCAAATATCTCGAGAAGGTTGGTGATAGACATGATCGGAAAAGACGGAAACGTACGTTTTTGGAGAGTTTTCCCTCGCGCTACCAGAACGTGGTGCTCTGCACTAGTCAGATACGGTGCGTGTTCGCTTTGACTTGTATGTTTTGTAGCACGCTGCCGATAGTCCTGCAATGACTCGTTGTAACCAGCGACTGGCGACGTCGATGCTACAATTTTGCTCCACGAGACACTGCGGGGAGTTTTTTTTGTGGCACCAGCAGCGCACTGTGCTGCTGCTCGTTGCGAGCATAACGTCTTTACCGCATCTTGCGGGAATGTTTCGAGGTTACGCACACCTCCTCGCGCATTGCAACGCCACAAACGCTTTTTAACGAGAGACGTAGACGGCGAGTTTTCCAGGCTCCGCTCATAACAATGCTGGTAAGCGTATGCTCGTCATGAACGGTGCTACCACTGATCCTGCTGCTATCTCTGATGCGAAATGCTGCACAGCAAGTCCCAGCATGACCAGACGGCGTCATTCGACGGCCAGGAGCATTGCGGTGAGGTAGCGACCCTCTGGCGCGGCCGGCGACACGACATGATCCAGAGCAGCACCGCGCTCTGCCAAGATGGTTATCCTCCTTCCAGCGTCGAGGGCAGCCTCCATGAGCACCGCCGAGAACTGACCGCTTTGCGTCATCGATGCAGAGCACGTGCAGGTGAAGAGAAAGCCGCTCGAACGAACGAGTCGCAACGCTGCAGCATTCATTTTGCGATACCGATGGCGAGCCCTGGGCAGGCTCTCCACTGTGGGTGCCAGTTTGGGCGGATCCAGCACCACAAGATCGTAGCGTTGAGTGCTCTCTGGGTGATGCTCGATATGTGATTCAAGGCGCTCACAAAAACGCTGCACGTCGTCACGCACCAGCCATAGCGTCGGTGGCGACTCACCCGGTATACCCGGCTCCTTGTCCAGAATCAGCCTCGATGATACTTGATTGCGCTCTGCATTGCGATGTGCTTGCATCAGGGCCTGGCCAGATGAGTCTACAGCAGTGACATGCAGCGCACCGCCGAGCACTGCGTTCAGCGCAAAGCCGCCAGTATAGGTGCAGAGGTCCAAGACCCGCTGAATGCTCGCTTCTTGCACAAGATGGCGTATAAAGAGTCGATTGTCTCGTTGGTCGCAGTAATGCCCTGTTTTCTGGCCGTGCATGATGTCGACTTCGTACATGAGGCCGTGTTCTGTAATCCAGGTAGCAGCGGTGCTCGATGCCCGGCGCGTCATCGTAGACGCTGCCCCGGGTGCTGTAGCCCGACTCGGGTCGTCGCTCATCACGAAACCGTCTTGTCGTAATCGATCCGAGTTTGACCGCCACACGAGTTCGTATGCATTCTTAGTCACGTTGCGCAGCGCCTGCTCGATCACGGGTCGATGGTGCTCGACCCATCGCGCTGAGCTCTGTACAACGAGGTACCGTGCATAGAGGTCAATACAGAGTCCGCTGACGCGGTCGCCCTCGCCGTTGATTAGACGACACGCAGCATGGGCGCTACCAACGAGACCCAGTCTCTCTCGAAGTCGCCAGGCTGCAGTGAAAAGACGCGTGAGCACACGCAACAGGTCCACGCGGTACGATCCATCTGGATACTTCAGGAGCGGCACGGAATCACCGTCCAAACGATTCTGCCAGATCAAACGCACGCGATACATGGAGTCTGGATTGTAAAACCCATAGCCAAGGACCGGACCCGGCGTATCGGTGCGGCCTCCCTGCCCTTCTAGGCCAGAGGTAGCCAAACGAACGCATACCAGGTCATCTGTGCGCGGCTGGAGCGCCTCGTACGTCCCGTTCGGGCGCGTGGTAGGCACTACAATCGCTCTACCAAAGATTAGTGGCCGCACTTGTCGCGCGAAGAGGTGCGCTTTTTCTGAGCGAACGTACACCGTGGGTACATTCGGGGCGCTCGTAGTCCCGTGGCTTTCACATTCCCGATTCGAAACGCTGCAGATCCATGATTTCCGAAAAGTGCCGCCTGCCAGTGACCTGCACGCCGGTCTCGTGAGCGGCACCTGTCTGCGCGACTGCAACTGGAGAGTTGACGAGCAGAAGCGAGAACGTGCGGCAATGCAAGCAGGCATTATCCAGAGCGCAGACTGATTCCTCGCACGTTCCGGGCATGTACGATGTACGTGCACGACACGCTCGAGCGTCGTGCGAGAGCCCAGCAACGTACGTCGTCCAGGGATTCTCTCTAAAAGCCGGACAGTGACAAAAGCAACCCCAGAGCCACCACTGACTTGTACTGCTCGAGTCGAAAATGATCTCGTACGAAGCGCTGTACAAGTGACAGCGCACTGCGGCAGTCTGCCGCTTTCGTCATCCATGCTGACACGTGGTGCCGGAGGTCTGCTTGCAGCGCTCCGCTACTGCCGTCTCTGGAGACACGTGTCGGACGGCGATGCGTCGCCCGTGGCAGATGCCTTGCTCTCGAGGAATAGAGGTGAGCGGCTGGTCAGGCTTCAACAACGTCCCGTCCGAAGCGACGGAGGGGTGTCGAACTCGAAACAGCTGCGAATGAACCTGCTCTTTGAAGGCGTGCTGTACGCTGTGCGTCTTACGAAGTGACGGAAGGGTGTCGAACTCGAAACAGCTGCGAATGAACCTGCTCTTTGAAGGCGTGCTGTACGCTGTGCGTCGTAGGCTTGCGTTCAGAAACTCGCAGTGTCTTCTGATCTGCAGTGCAAACCTGTCTATAGATCTAGTCCTCGTATTCCATTACAAGCAAGCCACGGCACAGCGTGCAGTTCGGAGCACGATTCCGGTACGTAAGCTGCTACGCAGTCAGACTGCAACAAGAACGTTGTCGTAGACAGCCACGAAACGAAGCACTCGTCACTCTCTGTCCACTGGCCAGCAAATGACTACGCAGCGACGGCAGTAATATTATGCGAAGAAGAATGTCAACGTTCACGGACACAAACACACACACAAACACACACACACACACACACACACGTGAGACCCAGAGCACTGCGTTGCCAGCCACTCGCCGAATAGCTGCGGCTGCGGCGTTCACTGCTCCTCTATGGAAAAGCACCCTCTTGCGCTCTGCCCTGAGCACCGTTCCCGATCTACTGCAGAATTGCAATTGTTGCCCTCCGAACACCTCTTACAGACTAGAGCACTCCCCGGTCCCGTAACGACAACAACCGACACGAGACAGCCTCGACGACTGCGTCGGCAACGCTCCGCTCCGGTGGATCCGCAGGGCCACGGCAACGGCAGCGCTGGCCAGCGGAGCGGCCTCAGCGGAGCGCTTCCGGGTACAGGGCAGCTCGTCGCAGCGTCGGCTGCTGACATGAGCAGTTTGGAGACCCCAGGCACCAGGCAACCGGCGGCGTCGAACCTGCTGCCGACCTCTCCGTCGAGCCAAGACTTCCAGCACTGTCAATGGCGGATACGCGTCACGCGGGGTGCCATCGCAGGCGAAGAGGAGCGTTCGCTGCTGCAGCGGACGTGCTTGTGTGACCTGCATAGCTTGCCTAGCATGCTTTTCACGCAAAACAACATCCATATAGAGCGTTACTGCGGTAATGACGCTGCAGAAGGGTTTCAGCCTATCCTTCGATTCAACGCTGTTGATGCGCTTCGCGAGGTGCAGCCGGCACCCGCAGCGCCGCCCCAAGTCCACGAAGCGAGCGCCTGGCAGCGGCAGGTATCGAGCGTTGCGCGGGTCCCGCTGACGGTCGCCAAGGACTGGACTTTCACCACGACCTATGCAGGTACGCTGGCGGATCACTTGCAGATAGGCAGCTGGCGACCGGTGCCTGTATCCAAAGCGCTGCCCCTAACCGAGCTGCAGTCGCGTGAGATACCGCCGGAATTTTATACCGAGTTAATTCTGTTTGAAGATGAACTCGATGACCAGGGGATATCGAGTTATAGCGTGAGAATTCGGGTCATGCGGCAAGCCTTTTGGTACTTGTTGGCCCGGTTCTGGCTTCGCATCGATCGCAAGCTCGTACGCATCTACGATACGCGCTACTTTCACCGATTCGGGAGCAGCGTCCTAGTTCGTCAAGTGCAGCGACGCGAAGCGAGCATGGAAACCGTACAGCGAGCCATTCTATCTGGCTGGCATGCCTCGATGTCCACTGGGGCGATGCAATGCCGTCCCGACGACAAGGACAACGAAGACGACGAAGACGCTGCCGAGCCTGGATGCAAAGCCTCAGAGGGCGTATCCCCGACAAATGCTTGCACGTCGGTCGAGGACATCACCCAGTGGCGCGCTACCTACCATTGTACAGATGCGGATCGTGTACTTGCATTTGTTCCTATCATAGAGCAGAGCGCAGAGGTCTTGGATCTTCGGAGCTAGCGCCGCTCCACGACGTAGGAGCCTGGGCGCCCGTCGAGCATTCTCACGAGACACGAGCAGTGTCTGTGTGTGTGTGTGTATGCGATTGCCGTTCCGCAGCAGAGGCGGTCTGCGGTTTGCAGCAGCTGCCAGCACGGCCTCGTGTTCTTTTTCTCTCGGTCTGAAGCAGGTTTCTTCGGATGCATGCGCGCGCATGAATGGTTAGCACAGGGAAAACGCTTGAGCTCCCCCAGTAACGCTTCTAATTCCACCGACTTTAGAACAAGATTCCGCGAAGGAACGAATGCTTCATCAATCCGGCGAATTTCCATGCACCAAGCCGAACGCATCATCCGGATAGACACGGGAAGCCTCTGCTGTACTGGTACGCGCGTCCATTCCGGATCATATCGAGGGATGCGTTTGGTATGGAGACGCGTTTGCAAGCCTGCTTACCTATAAGGGCGCGAGCGTCGGGCCGCTTTTCTTCCTGCTCATTGCCAGCTGGTGTACGGCTCTGACAAGCGCACTCCACGGGATTTCGTAGAACGCTTCATGCTCGCTTCAACCTCGTTATCGTATCTCGTCAGCTTTTCCGTAATAACGATTCACGAAAGCTGTTTTGAGGGCCTGAATACTGGGCTCTCGATTCTGCGGATAATACTTGATAACACGCATGGACTGGTACGACTCGCGCTCAGCGGGCGTCATTGCTTGCAGGCGTCGTTCCCGCGCTGACTGCTCCGCTCGCAATGCGGCCTGTCTCTGTTGAATAGCTTGTTGAATCGTTTGCCGCAGCGCTGTTCGATTGGCTTCAGTATTCGCCAGAGACTCGCTCTCCAGCAGTTCCGTTATATATTCCTCGAGAATATCCATCTCCCAGTCGAACTCAAAAAGGACCGGTTGTCCGGGGCGCTCAGGTATCTCAGCGATACCGTCGACGGTTGTATCAACAACCAGGTCCGTGTTGGCGTCCTGCTGCAGCTCAGCCCGCAGCGCATACGGCAGCACGTAGTCATAGCGGTGGAGTCGTTCCGCCGACAGCGCCCGCAAACTGCTTCGACGCTGTTCGCACTGCAAAATCTGGACTCGATCGGTCACGCGTTGCTGAGTTTCGAGCTTTTTCTTAGACGGCGTTAGGTTGTGCGCATCCATCTCGGATACGTCGAGTGGAAAGAACTCCATTTTCACGGCCCGCATCGGAACGACTTGCTCGGTTGTGCGCTGGACGGACTTGATGCCGACGAGTGCCGGCGGCGGCACTTTACTTTGGACGACGACGACTACCGGAATAGGCAGAACGGTCTCCTGTTGCTGCCAGTGCACGAGTTGCGGTTCAGTGGCCCCGAAGAGATACCACCGAAACGCCGACGGCTCTTGCAGAAACTGAACCACGTCCCTGTCGAGGTGGCTGAAATCCCACGGAAACCTGTAAACCTCGTCGATCTGGTCCCATTCGGTGCCCACGAAGAACACTCTCCGCCAGATCGGCGTGAAGCTGGAGCCTGTGTGCTCACTGCCGTCCACCAGTGCTCCCTCTTTCATTGTCTCGCGGCAACGCGTGTAGGCGTCCAAGACGTACGAGCAGGTCATTGCGTCACATCATGAGCGCGCATGCGGCTGTGGCCGGCGCATCGCCAGTCCACGACCGCAACTACCGACGTCGTATTCCGCTACACAAGCGTCAGAAACCGGAACCGTATAGATCGACGCAGCGAACCCGAGCGTACGCTCTAACATTTGCATCGCTCCCAAGTGTTGTGAGCAGTGGCCTTTTGCGAGCCTTTCCTACAACTGCCTCCATATCCTTTCTATTGGATTCGAATGTAGATGCTTTGATCTCTAGTTTCCCTCGAGCTGCCTTGTCCGTAGTCGAGCGATACTGGTGGCAGCGTTGAACACCTGGATGAGTAGCGTACGACCTTTATCAATTCGTGTCATGCACAGAGGCAAGTTAGGATCTCCGAATTGGCTGCCATTTTCGTCGTCCATGCATACAGCCTCGGTTCTCTCGTCGCAGCGGTGACATTTGACTGTGATCGGGTGTTTCTCCTTGTGTACCAGAACTAGTTCTAATAAGGGCCGGCCTGTAGGATGCAAATACGAACTGCACCGTTCGGCACTTTCTACTGACGGGTACAGGAGGCCTCAGTCGACGCTCTCATGCGTTTGGGCGCTCAGGGCCGGACACCAGGATCACGGGCTGCTTCTGGGCGATTCTCTCGGCGAGCGGTTACGTCCGGTGCACGCGCGTGCCCACACATTCGCGTTCGATAAGGGATTCGTGAAACGTCCTGATGTCTATGATGAAATGCGTGATGAAATTCCAACGTCAACGCGTCGAAAGAGGCGCTTCGAGAATGTACCTGAAAATCCGGGAACTCTCCATGCATCCCGAAACCCTTATTGCTGCATGTCGCATACCAAAGCAATGCATCTAGAAAGGTCCCGAAAAATTCCAAAGGCATTCACCCAATGATGATGCTTCACAGGTGTTGTAGGAACGGGTCGAAGCAACCTGCCGAGGCGCCTCAGCGGCGCTCAGGGTCAGCGTGCGCCCGGCGCGAACGCGCGCGCACCTCTCCCACGGAATCGACCTACGCCGGGGAGCGCCGAGTCTACCACAGCTGGCGGGTACTTGCAAAGGCGACAGGCGTTGATCTACTTCCTTTCACCGAGACATTGTTTCGAAATGGTGAAGTTTCTTCTGATTTTGCTCTGCATCTCCGTGGTTTTGAGCGGCGTGTGCGGCATGCAGCCAGTACTCGGTTACCAGGTTGCACGAGCAACGCTCCAAGTCGAGCGTTCGGGTGAGCCACTCCGCATCAGCGGAGATGCGAATACTTTCGGGCAGAGTCTGGCTTCGCACCTGCCACTGAGACTAAGTCGCGGAGACGCACTGCAGTTTTGGGTCGAGCTCGAGCCCTTCGCCACCGCTCCTGAGCAAGCTTTCTTTCTGCTCTTCAATGAGCACACTGGGGTGCAGCACGCCCTTACAGCGAACGTGAGACGCGAGAACACGATAGGTTTTCGGTTCTCGCCAGCGGAGCATCTGGTACAAGAACCATACCTGGTGGAGGACTCGTTCGCGACACTGGTAGTTATTGCCGGGAGCGCGCGAGACGAGGCACCGCTGGTGTGGTCGCTTGAAGCGCCGCCTGGCCAACGCTCCGCTGATCGTCGAAGCGCGACCTTAAAAGTCGACCTGCGACCGACACCGGTACCCGAGAGGCCCGGCATCTTTGAACGAAACTTTACAGTGCACTGGGGTCCTCGACCCGAATTTGCCGTTCAATATTCGCATTCGACACCGAAAACGTATCCTCTGGTCGCAGGCCTCTGCACCGCGACTGTCGTTGCCGCTGGGTTCGCGTGGTGCGCACTGGCGTTCGCACAGGGCCTGCTTGTAACGCCTTGGGCGCTGGATGCGTCCCTGGGAACGCATGCACTGGCGTGGCAGCTTTGTCTGGGCAGTGCGCTCGCGATGCTCGTGATGTTTTTCACAAAATGGAATTTAATGCAAACCCTCGGGTACCTGGGATTTGCCATGCCCTTCTGGACCGTGAGCGGCTTTTTGGTGCTCCGACGGCGCGCTGCAGCGGCCGCTGCAACGCGACGTGCGCTATGAGCGTGTCAGATTCTGAAGGAAGGCTGCACTGCTGGCTCTGTTCCTGCCTTTCGATTTTACCCGAATGGTTTCTAGATGTGAAAGGATGAGGGCTTGCGGATTCATTCGTAGTTTTAGGATGATCGGTTGGCGTTTCAGATGGGCTTCCTTGACGCTTTCCTGCTGGGATTCGTTACATCACTGGAGCCTAGATGATGCGCGACGCCCGCGAACACGGGTCCGTAAACTAGTCCACGCCATGATCCGAATCATACATACGAGCCGCAGCGATTGCCAACTCCATACATGCAACATGTTCAAATCGTGCATCGATCAAGTTCTTGATTTTTCTTTCTTAAAGCATCTCGTTGGCGCAAGGATTCACGTCGCTGGATGAACCAGGACAAAACGTCGACATCGTCCCTTTGAGACTTGTTCATAAGTTCATGCGCAAATTTCACTGGATTCGTCCTTTGAAGTAATCGATTACGTTTAGACGATCAATCAACTCCTCTTTGCAGCCAGTGAAGAAACGGCATTCGAAAGCAGCATCACAGCGCTCACGAGATATGCTCCCAGAGGCTCCCGCCTGTTCTCCTCGTATGGCAAAGGGTCCTGGTATCGAACCTGAGTTCTTTCAGCGATCTCCTCTGGAAGAGGTTGCGTCATCGTTTCGCATGGAGAGAGCATCGACGGTTCGAAATCTCTCGACTTGATCTCCAGTCTGGATATTGCTCTCGGCGCTTGGTGCATCGTGCACAATGTCGCGCTCCACAGATCCTCTACCGCATTGGCCAGCGTGCAATTGCGCGTGCAACTGATCAAGAGACTCGCCCAGGTGAATGGCCCACAGGAGGCCTGTGATCAAAAGATAAGACATCAGACGCGGAAACGGAGGAGCACATTGAGAAGAGCACTCTGTACGCGTCACGAGCATGTACTGAGCGGTGACGCAAGTCGTCAGGCACCACACAGCGAGGATCTCGCAGGACTATGAGGTGTCGTGGACCCATGGAAACACGTTACGCGAGGTAGGCGTCACGATTGTGCACGCTGCGCCACGGCTAGACACAAAGAAGCTTCGTTGCTCGCAAAGACTGCCAATGCATGAGATGCATCAACAACACCCGTAAGCAGCGATATCGTGTCTCTAGCGCTGCTCAAAAATACTCATCAACTGCAGACAATACAGCAAAAGAGACAAAAGCGAAGAACGAATGTAAAGCTGGAGATGAAAGCGTAAAAGGAAGCAATCGCAGAGAGCGGCTCGCAAAACAGACAGGTATTCTCAAGCGTCGTACGATACCCAAACTTTCGTATGCACGTTCAGGTCAGCTGACTGGAGCGGTGCTCTTCTCAAACGCACAGGAATAGAGATGGTAGCGATGTCTATCTCGGGTACGACGCTGAACACGGATACCGAGGTGCGCCCGCGCCACGCGGATGCGCAGCACAGCCTACATCTGGGGCATGTTGAAAGCTGTACAATCATGACAATTTCGTCCACTTGCGTGCAACGGCGGCGCCTCGCCGATCGTCGCCGCCGTCGTACTCGATAGGATGCCATCACTGCGCACATTGTCGAGCGCTTGGCGCTATCACAAGACACTTTTGGGGGTATCGTGTTGGACGCCACGTTCGACGCTGGCGAAAGACGTCTCGACTCGGTTCACAGGGTATCTTTCGTTTTCCCAGTTCGTTGCTTGTGTTCGTGTCTGTTCTGATTCTAGACAAATGCTTTCTAGAATAACACTGGGTTTTGTTCAAGCACCTCTCGCGAGGGTTGCACCGGCGTCCTGCGTTGCGGCGTGTCGCGTGCTGCCTGCGCGACCGGCAAGTGTCTTCAGGGGCGCTCCGTTGATCCCCAGCGTGCCAGTTCCGCGTTTCAACTTTGCGGTTCAGACTCGGGTGCCGGCTGGAAGTGGCGTTTTGAGCCTGGAAGCGATGCGCCACGGAGACCGTCTCAAGAAGTTGAACCGGCCTGCTGACCAACGAAAAGCACTTATCCGGGCGCTCACTACAGAAGTGCTACGGCACGGACGCATAAAGACAACTGTAGTGCGCGCGAAGGTTGTTCGGCAGTATGCAGATAAAATGATAACGCTGGCGAAAAGAGGAACGCTTGCGGCGCGACGGCAAGCAATCGGTTTCATCTACGATAAGCAACTGGTGCATGCGCTCTTCGAGGCAGCTCCCGAGCGCTACGGCGACCGCAACGGTGGCTACACCCGGATCATACGTGCTGGGTTTCGGCGAGGTGATAACGCTGAACTCGCATACATCGAGCTTGTCTAGAGCACGTGGCGGTACGCGACTGGCTGGAATTCACAAGCAGGCATCTCTGCAGTTGAATCGATTAGGTTTTTGGTGTTGGTCCGTACTTTGGAGCTTGCGGTGCATACTGGCTACGTCCCGCATTCGGGTTGTTCAAGGCGCACGACCGGCCGTTCGCGGCTGTGACACGCCAATACCGTCTTTTTTCGAAATGTTGTCTGCGATGAAGTCGATCCCTTGAACAGTCTAAATGGTACACGAATGATGCATCTAAACTTAGCACTGTCATGCTGGTAGACGCAGAGCAGTAAATTCTGGAATACCTATACCATCACGCCGATTGGGTTCTGTTTTCCCGGAAGTATTCAATAGAAGGAATGCATCCACTAGTCGGGAGCCAGACCGCCGAAAGTCTGGATTCCGTCACCGGTAGCAGGCGAAAAATCTACCGTTTTCCCCATGGTACTCATTCTACGATAAGCGGGTGCATGAGTCACCCGTCTCCTGGCCCTTACGCTGAACACCGTGCACCCGAAACGGAATCTGTTTGACTCTATCAACTCGAAGGTCTTTTGATCAATTGATGCCGCTGCAAAAGTTGTCTGAGAAATGCTACCAAACAGGCCGCAGCATGTCAAGCTTCGGTACTGTTCACAAGAACGTTGATGGAGCGACTGGGTTGGGATCCGAGATCCCGTTTCACATAAACGGATATGAGGCCGTACGCGTATACGAAAAGACCCGTCATGTTCCCAGCACCAGAATCGGACAGACTCGACTCGAGCATCTCGTTGACACGCGATCGTATCCGTTCGTCTAGCAGGAAGCAGGAGCACTGCCTGCACTCCGTGTTTCATGGGCGCTATCTCGTAGAAAGAAAAAACGGACACGAGCCCTGGTGGCTCCAAGCGTGGAGATCGCCGCTGCCGCCGCCATCGCCGCTGCCGCTGCTGCTGCTTCTCCCAGCTGGATACGTATGAGCAAAGCGGTTGGCTCATGCCGTTCGGGAAAGACTTTGGTTGCACCATGTTTCTATGTATGGTGGAACATTGCGTCGATTAGACAAGCCTGGTCCATCGAACTGAGTGGCTGAACTCTCACTGCGAACGAGAAACTCGCTGGTGCGTTTCGGAGCCTGAGCGATACGTACGGCGAGGTCCGCGCTTCTGCACGAAAAGCGCCACCGCTTGCGTTGGGTTGCTGTACATCGACCGACCTGAAGTGTCGCGGCTTCTAGAATACAAGCGACCGGCACGGTTAAAAAGAGCTCGGTGGAGCACTACAGCCTATGGAGCTCCAGACAAGTTGGTTATCAGACAAAGACAGCTGGTGCTCGTCTGACCAGCAAACGCAGCGGACGTCTTCATGCTTGTCACGCAGGGAACAAAACAGGCCTTGGTTTTGCGGAATGCCGCCAACAACGAGTGCTGCACAGGAGTCGGAGCCACTTCACCCGGATACGATGCGACAAGCGCAGCTTTTGGCTCCTTCAGTCTCCACCTTTGATCCGGTAGGTATTCTGGCCATTGAAGTATACTTCCCACGCAAATATGTCGATCAACGGGCGCTGGAGAGCTTCGACGGCGTCACCCCTGGGAAATACACCATCGGTTTGGGACAACAAGCCATGTCGTTCTGTGGCGATCGCGAGGATGTGCGCTCGATGTGCATGACAGTCGTGCAGACGCTCATGGAGAAATACCGAATTGAATACAACGACATCGGCAGGCTCGAGGTCGGCACCGAGACCATCATCGATCGAGCCAAGTCGATCAAGACGGCGCTCATGTCCCTCTTTGAACAGAGCGGCAACTTTGAGGTCGAAGGCATCGATTCTACCAACGCCTGCTACGCTGGTACCAATGCCCTCTTCAACACCATCGCTTGGTGCGAGAGCTGTACCCTCTTTGATGGTCGCTTCGGGCTCGTGGTGTGCGGCGATATTGCCGTGTATCCGCGCGGACCAGCGAGAGCAACCGGTGGAGCGGGCGCAGTCGCGCTCCTCATTGGTCGAGCGCAGCCCCAACGCTACCCGCAGCTAGAGCCCATCCTGGTGCTGGAACCGGGCCTTAAAAGTAGCCATTTTGAAAACACATGGGACTTTTTCAAGCCTGCTCGTCGACAGGATACAGAGTATCCTATTGTGAATGGCACGGAAAGCATTGCTTGCTATTTTAGAGCACTCGATATCTGTTACACCAGGTTTACTGGACGAGTCGAGCAGCAGACTCGACGCACACGAGTATGGCTGGCGGAAACCAGCGGTCGACCCGGTGCCGAGCAGGTCACCGAACAACAGTCGCTTCGATGCACCCTGCTGACAAGCACCGCTTTTGCTGAGCCTTCGGTGACACCGGTCGCGGATGCCGACGCAACGCAACTCGATTATGTGGTTTTCCATGCACCATTCAACAAACTGGTGCGCAAATCGTTTGCGCGACTCGTGCTCAACGACTACTTGCGCTATCCTGAACTGGCTTCACAGCATCGTGCCGTATCGGGTGCGTTACGTGCGCAACTTGCCAAGCTGAAACGCCTCCCTGCGCACCTGAACCCGACTGGTGTGTGCGTACCGCCACCGTCAACCTACTGGGATCGAACCCTGATGCAGCTCGTGCTTGAATGCTCGGAGCCACTGTATCGCGCCAAGTGTGCTCCGTCGACGACGCTGGCTCGACAAACCGGCAACGCGTACACCGCCTCGCTTTTTGGTAATTTACTGTGCTTACTCGATGCCGAGAGGGATCGTACACTCGGCAAACGGGTGGTTCTTTTCGGTTTTGGCAGCGGCATGGCAGCGTCAATGTACGCCATGCGGGTCGTGGCCTCTCCGGAGGCGCTTCTTCGACGAGTTGGTCTCATAGAACGACTAGGAGCACGGATACCGACGTCGCCTGCTTGTTTTCATGAGACGCTTCGTCTTCGCGAACAGAACTACGGCGCCTGTGATTACGAGCCCTCCGAACCGTTGGAGGAACTCTTCCCCGGAACCTACTACCTCGTTCGCATTGACGGACGTGGTATTCGATACTACGATCGATACCAGGGCTCGCGAGCTTCCGATCAAGCAGCTTGCTGCAATGCGCTTTGCCCTGATAAACCCTAGCATCGACGCATCGACATGCGTACGCGTTTGTGTAGCTACCTAGGTACTGGGGTTCGTCCACGGCACCGAATTCGTTCGTCTAGAGAGGTGTGCTAGCATCCATGCCCGCGTCTAGACCAAAGCGCTTCTTTGTGTGCGTATCTTTGCGCGTTGACACTGCACGCCGTCTGCAATGAAGCCGAAACCCAAGCGTAAACCATATTTGCGTGACGAGTACGTCCATGACGCTGCGACAACTCGAGTAGCCGTACGTCTAGACAAGCACCTCTGCAGATCAGAGCCCGCTGGGGTACCTCGCCGGAATCGTTGCAATGAAAACCCCGGATTCTTTTCGTGTTTATGACTTGTGCTGGTGCATTTGCGCGTTCGCAAGCGTCGAAAATGCTCCGTTGTCGTCCATGTATGTTTTCCACGACCGAACGTCGTGGAAGCTCCCCGACGCCCCCATAGGTAAACAGCATCGCGCGGCAAACTCCTGACTCTGGACGAGGCTGCCGTTGCCATCGACGTCGGCGTCGACGACGATGACAACACCACCGATGCAACCCGCGCAAATCGTTCCAGAGTCGTAGCGCACTACCCGAGGAAGCGTCGCAGCAGACCACGACCCGACAAGACACGTCGTGGTGCGGCCTGCTCACCCGAGCTGGGCGCCTCGAGATCACCCAAACCGGATGAGGTGTTCTCGAGTCGCGCACTAAGCGTTCGTAACCATTCGTTGCGACCAACTTCATCCATTTGTACGAGAATACGCTCAATTGCCGCAAGCAACGCCTCGGGTGCTGTATTCCCCAGTTCCACAGCTTGCCAGGTGGCGCGTGCTTCGCGGAGTTTGTGCAAACGCCGCTCCAACTGGCTATCCAATTCGTCCTCGAGCCATTGCACGACACGAGGATCATCAAGTTCGTAAATATCACCGTCCAGAGCGGGGTCATGTGCTCTTGCCCATTTCCGCAGCAGCGCATCGATCTCCGCGTCGCTGAGTTGCGGATCCGCTTGTGAAACGCGACTCCGCAGTTCCTCCTCGGCGAGCCGACGTCGAAGGCGCCAGTAGAAAAACGTGCGACTTGTTCGCCAGGGTACCACTCGGCGAATCGCGCGCTTATGTTGCATCCGACCCGCTGTATCGTGCAGATCCGCAAACGTCATGGCTATCTGCTGAAAGATGGGCAAGAGTGTTTGCTCGAGCGAACTCCGACCGTCTGCCTCGAAGGCTGGCAAGCCGTCCGCCGTTGACTTTGTGACCCGCGACTCGCTACGCCCAGCAGTCGAAGAGGACGTCCCAGCGGTACCTGCTGTTGTTGTTGTTGTTGTTGTTGTTGTTGTTGTTGCTGCTGTTGCTGCTGCTGATGATGATGATGCGTCCAAAGACAGCATGCCGACAACGTCGGACGCACTCGAATCGCTCTCATCACGTCTAGACGATGGTAGCAGGCGCTGCATGGTCTTCAGCAAATCTCTGGTGCGGAACTTGATATCCACGGTACCGGCAGGTTCGAGCACACCACCACGTGCACTTTCATCGGCGTACATTTCGATAAAGCGGGGATTGATGGCGGTATCGAGGACGACCCAGGCACCGCCTCGAAGCTCGCCTCCCGGTGGTATGTACACAAAGACGGGTTTCGAGTACTCGCGAAGCGCGTCAACGATCTCTGAACCAAACTTGAGTATTTCCTGGAACATGTCGTGTGCTCCGCCAGAGAAACCGCGCCAGCTGGCCAGAACAAACAGAGGCAAACCCTCGCGATCAAAATCACGAATACTTTGGGCAGTCTTGAAGGATGAATCTGGATACCAGACTTGACCGGCCTGCTGTTCACGAAGCTCACGCGAGTCTGGCGCCGCTGGATCCGGGGGAATAACCTTCTCTGTGGTCACCGTCTGTGTCGCAATAACGCCCACGGGGATACCACCAAGGCGTGCTCTACCAACCACAACGGACTTCGCCCAGCCAGCGAGCGTCTCTCGAAACGAGTGACGGTCGAAGAGGCCTGCCAGGAACACGTACCCTTGGTTGTCCACCACCATGAGCGTATTTGGAACGTACGGTAGCGGCGGAAGGTTACCGCTCCAAGCGGTCAGCGAAGCTGTCGCACCAACACCACCGCTACCCAAGATATTGTTGGTATTGGCATTGGCATTGGTATTGGTATTGATGCTACCGGTGGTGTTGAGCGGTGCGCCTGCCGATGCCACGCTACTCCCAGCATTGTTCATGGTATTCGTATTCGCATTGCTGCTACCGTTGTTGCTGCTATTGCTGGCGCTTGCTCCCGCAGCCGCCGACGTACTCGATGACGCAGTGAACAGTCGCGAGCCCCGGACGGCACCTGCAGCCATCGTCGTCGCGCTACTCGAGTGAACGCTGTTGCTCGTATCCCAGGCGTCGGTCGCGTGTACCAAAGGCGACCCGATCCGCATCCGATCGGTGTCCGTGAAAGCGATGTGATCCTCGTCAAGGGACGGCTCCAATGGAGAGCCACTCTCCAACGGGCTATACGCAGAAACAGAACCCGGGGACTGTGGTGGCGAGCGTAAACCTGTCGTCGGCAATGCAGCGGGCGCTGGTGCAAACCTCGCAGTCTTCAGGGCATCCAGTGTGGGCGGCTGCCGGGTGTCAGGGCTTGCGTGCGCCCCAGCACCGCTGGTATCTGCGCCTCGGGCAGTTCCAGTGGCCTCCAAGGCATCCGCATCCGCATCCGCATCCGCATCCGCATCCGTCTTTGCTCTCTCCTGAGGTACAGGCGCAGCGACAGCGGTCGAGCGGAGCGCCAGTGAACTCGAACCCGAAGGCAACGCCGCGGGAACCTCCTCGACACCGGTTGCAGGCTTGGTCGATACGAGGCTCACCCGAGCCGCTGCTCGTCCCGTAGCATTCGCAAGTGCCGCTCCAGAGGTCGCCAAGCTACTTGCTCCTGGTGCTGCTGCTGTTGCTGCATTCGCACCCGCATACGAAGCCGTCCGCGACCGCGAACGATACCGAACTTCACCGCCGACACTCTCCATGTTGACGGGCGGCAGTCCAGCGCTCGCACCTGTCGCAACCGGACCATTGGACGACACCGACGAGCCCGACGACGAGACCACACTTGCCCCGTCGGGAGCGAAGGGTCCGACCCACTTGCCTTCAATGGCGTATCGAATATCCTCGTTAGCCACTCGTGGATCGTAGTCGACTTCGCGTACCACAGCATCGATGGAGTCGATCATCGGAGGTCGTTCCCCTTGCATACGAGGCACAAAAGCGAGCCAGTCCAGAATTGCCCGAACACCCTCGTAGTCATTGGATACGCGCAGATGGGTAACCCCGTTCGGATACATGATCTTCGTACCGCCCAGCTGTTCGTGGCTGGTGTAGACTTCGCGACCCAGAAGCTTATTCAGCGCTGAGTAGCCAGTGAGGATGATCGGTGCATTGTGCTCGCGCTGGATAACGCGCTGCCCCAGGCGCACGAGGTACGCACCGATCCCCACACAGCGCGCTGCGACGTACGTGATGGTGAAGCAGTCATTGTAGGCGGCTGAGGTCTCGGCAGCGATGCACGCTGAACCCATGAGGTTCTCGACACCAATGCCATCCTCAGCGCCATAGATATCAACTAGAGCGTACTTGCCGCCGCCGACGTCTCGCGTTCGCACGATGCCGAGTTCATCCTCGTACTTGAGCTTATCCGCCAGTCCCAGGTAGAGGTAGTCGAAGCCTCGGCTCGGGTCATGTGCATCCTTCCACTGAACTTGGAAGACGTTGCGCAGTTCTTCCGCGAGGCCGATTCGGGCTCCGCTATTCGCAGCGATGTAGATGCGCGGTATACCGAGCTTTCTCGCCTGCTGAGACGCCTTGGCAAAGAGGCGATCCTCTCGAGGTCCAAACGATCCACTCAGGTACGTGATATCGTTGGCAATGACGATCGCATCGCGACCCTGGGGATACTCGGGCGTGAAGAAGGTGTAGCGCCAGGCGACCATACCGATTTCATTCTCCCCGGCGGGGCGGTTGGTCTCTATCAGCTCGCTCTCGTCATGATCTTCATCCTGGAGAACGAGCTCCGTGCAGGTCAGCAGTTTCAGCGGTATCTTGTGGCGGCGAAATCCTCCCAAAAGTCGTTCCTGCGAATAACGCCGCCACTGCTCATGGAGTGCTTTGGTGAAAAGCTCCTGGTAATCGTAGACGTAAGTTGTTTCGAGCGTCTGGGCAACAACTCGCCGGCGCTGGATACGGTTCAGTACCTGGTACGGCTCATCGACGGGTGTACCATGTAAATGACCCGGATCGCTGGAATCCAACGACAGGAGACGATCTCCCTGTTCCACGTAGCCTTCAACGCGTAACGAGTGTCCGGTTGGATTATAGAGAATAAATCGAAGCGGTTTCGGGCCCATTTTTTCCACATGGACTTTGATCTCTACCATGAACACGCGCAAACGCCAGCAACGTGAGGAGAACCGATAAAAGAGGCGCGTACAGATCGCCTCGACGTCATCCACATCGATGGAGACCCGGGGAATCAGGTGCAAGAAGAGATGATTAAAGTCCGTTCGTCGGAAGCGCCTATCACAACGGGCGGTTTCCAAGGCATCCAGACAGGCCACAAAAGTCCTCTCCGCTTCCGGGATCGAAACCGCTGCTGTATCGCTGGGACTGGCGTAGACTTCCGCTTGCCGTACAAAAGCGCGCACGAAGAAGCGAGCGTCGCCCTTGTCGGTTCGATCTTCCGCGTAGAAGACGTGAATGGAGCGGTTCGGATGTTCAAAGCGGGTGATACGAAAGTTCGCCAATCGATTCAGCTCCAGCTGGAAAGCCGCTGGTGGATCAATGTGGCGATAAATGGGATCCTCGGCGTACTCGAGCGATGCCCGCAACGTATAGAAACCCGGATAAGTGCTTTCACGAGGCAGACTGGAGCCCAGCGTGCGCTGGCACAGTTCACCGGGTGCCACCAAAAAGGTCACAAGTTTGATACCGGCAGCGCGCATCGAGGCTTTGCGCTCCGCGGAAGAGCGACAGAAACGCGTGAGCAGGGCGACAACCTGCTCCGAGTCGTTCGCATTACTTGCCTGCAGACGGTCGTCCGCGTCTGCAACGCCCAGGTATTTCGCAAAATCAGCGACCTCCACGGCCGTCCAGGGAATGGCGATGGTCAGTACATTGACACCAATACCTTCAGCACTGGAGTCTGCACTGGAATCGACTGCGGCGCTCGACTTGGTACGAGGCGAAGCCAGCGTTTCGCCGCCGGTTTCCGCTCGAAAAACCTGGAGCACACGATCGAAACCCTGCACCATCGCCCGCAGCGTCTCAAAGACGACCAACATACCGACTCGAAAGCCCCAGTTCTGCAAATTGTCCGCAGAGTCGTAGCTACGCAGCTGCCGGCGGGCTAGCGGAGCCGACGCCGCCACCAATGCCGCCGGAAACGACCGCATACTGGAATGACTACCAAAAGCGTTCAGGTTTGAACGATACTGGAAACGCCACAACGCCCGCAGGAAACCCAGTTCCTCGTCAAGTTCGACAACCAGATCGTACACGTGGTACGCTTTGTAGGCCCGCAGGATCTGGCACTGGACAGCGGCTTTGCGAATCTCCACCGGCACCCCCGGGTTCATGGTTAGGCTCACCAGCGCATCCAGGATGCTTTCCTGGGACTCGACCACCGCGTGCAACAGACGATAGCATTGTTCTTCAGTGGGCGCATGTACAGCCTGTTCGATCTGCTTGCAGAGGCGCTCTCGACGTTCGGGGAGCGCTCGGCGACGAGAACTCGCCAGCAAGAGTCTTGCTCGCAGCGCCAGTTGGCTATAGTCGGGGTGGATGAACGCAGCCACCTCGTGAAGGCACTGCCGGACAATGACACTGCGCAGAAGCGATGCATCCGCGGCTATGTGATCGAGCAAAGCGAGCATCAGTTGGTTCTTTCGCGCTAACTGGGCATGTGCGAGCATGATATCCGCAACAACTTCCAAGTGCTCGCGGTGTTGTTCGCGCAGATCGAATAGAACCTCATCGAGCCGCCGACCTTGCGCAAAATACTTCTCCGTATTCACATAGCGTTGCATGAGGCATACAACGAGATGCTCGTGGTAGCCGCGAAGGCCCCCGCGAACATACGCCTCCAGGATACTGGTCAGGGGGCGCAGGGTAGCCTCCAGCGCCTCGCGGTCCGCTGCGATGGCAAGTTGCTCGCAGAAATCGCTGATCATGCGCTTCATTTCGCGGAAATGCTGTTGGAGGCGCTCGTGATCATCACGAGCAACGGAACGCAGTTCGAAAACTTGTCCTAGAAGGGCGGCATGCAACGTCGACGGAATACGACCGGCTAGGAAAGAGAGCGCCTCCTGCAGTTTCCCGGCCGGTACTGCCGGTTCGGTGCTCGCCAGCTGCAGAAGCATGCCGAGCGGCTCCATATCAACATCGTAGCCGTCCAGGAGCGCTTCGATCTGCTGTTTCGCGCTCTCAAAGCGCTGGTGCGGTTTCTTTCCCAGTCGCTGTGGAGGCAGCATTGTCGGAAAGCGCCCAGTAAATGGCGTCACCCGTCGAACTTTGCTCGGATCGTCGAGATCGAGCTGCGCAAAAACTTCGCCTGGCTCCAGGGCCGCTCCCGCTGGTTTCAGCAAGTGAATGGTGCCCGGTTCGGGAGCCTGCACGCTCAGATACATTTTCATGACTTCAATCTCCGCAATGACTTGTCCCTGATCGACGTGTTCCTCGTTGGCAACCAGGTATCGGACGAGACGCCCCGAGGCCTGTGCTGCAATGCGCGTAGGGTCCATTTCGCCTGGGAACACACAGGTTCGCCCGTCGATGCTCAGACGCATGCCAGTGGAATCCTCCTTGGAGTGAGTATTGAAGGAGCGACCATCGCACATGATCAAGAGACCACCGTCCAGCAGAGGTCGGAAATCAACACGCACCCGTTCCTCGGGATGCTGTGCTAGGGAGACGTGGAAGGCATTCGGACCCGCTTGCCTGACGATGAGCGCGTACTTGAGCTCATCGTAGATCAGCTCGAACTGAAATTCTATGAAGGTAGCGTCAATACGCTGCGGCACTTGACCGCGACTCAGCGACTCAACAAAAGATCGCCGGCGCTCAGACCAGGCTCTGTACGCCTGATGGACTGCACCAAGCACAACAGCGATATGGAACGGCGGTCGCTCTGGTTTCACTTTGGAGGCAATGAGGTTGTCCAGCCAACGGGTATGGATGCGATTTTCGCGATACGATTCGAGCTCCAGCAACGTAATAAGATACTCCACCGTTGTGCGGATATCTCCGCGGATGCTGAGCTCTTTCAGTGCCAGCACCATATTCCTCCGGGCCATCTCGCGATCCGCACCCCAGGCAAAAAGGTGCCCGAATTGCGAGTCAGCGTACTCGTGGACACCACCCCAGGCGCCGACGCTGAAATAGCCCCACACATTGGGCGTATTTCGAAACGAAAGCTCCTGAATGGAGCCGCTTGTCGGCTGGAATCCTTCCTCGGGATTTTCTGCGGTAACGCGGCAGGCGATTACGTGGCCATGCGGCGGGTTCGGCTGGTGTCGCTCGAGATCCAGGTCCGGTCTATTGCCGTAAAGTGCTTGGATAGCTGCAATACGCTGGAGCGGAATCCCCATGGCAATCTGCAGCTGGACTGCAGGCAGGTTCACGCCAGTGATCCACTCGGTTACTGGGTGCTCCACCTGCAAGCGCGGATTCAGTTCCAGGAAATAGAAACGTCGACCGTCGTAGAGATACTCAACAGTGCCGGCACCTACGTAACCGACCATTTTGGCAAGACGCACCGCTCCATGTTCGAGCTCTTTCCAAACCTGCGGTGGCGTTGCCGTAACTGGCCCTTCCTCGATGATCTTTTGATGCCGTCTCTGCACGGAGCAGTCACGCCCATATAGCGCTATCGCGTGCCCGTATTCATCGGCAACAATCTGCACTTCCAGGTGTCGCGCTTGATCCACCATTTTCATGATGAAGATCGGAGAGCCAGGAATCTCTCCGGCGACCTGACGAAAGGCATCTCGAACATCCTCTGGTCGACGGCAAAGACGGATGCCTTTGCCACCGCCTCCTTCGCTGGCTTTAATCATCACTGGGTAGCCAATACGATCGGCAGCAGCGCGAGCCTCGTCGACATTCGCAACGCAGGCACGGCGATAGCGTTCTTCATCAATACCGCCGCGCTCGCGGTGAAAAGTTACCTTCAAGTCATCACCGTTCCAGCTGACGACTGGAACATCCGCAGACTGAGCTAACAACGTTGACGAAATCTTGTCGCCGAGCGCCCTCATGGCAATGGCATCCGGTCCCAGGAATGCGATACCAGTCTCCGCAAGGCGAGCGGGCAGCAGCGGGTTCTCGCTGGCGTGACCCCAACCCGCCCATACTGCATCGCACTCGTTCCTTTCCGCGATGTCGACGATGAGCTCCACGTTGGCGTAGTTGTGGTTGTTGCTTCCCCCAGGTACGGGAACGAAGAGGTCAGCGAGGCGAATGTAGTCGGCGTTGGCTTGAACATCCTCGGGAGTGGCCATTGCTACAAACTCCAGCGCTCGTTCACTACCAAACGCTTCGTATGCCCATCTTCGCATTGATCGGATGCACTTTACGGCGGCGATTCCGTTGTTTGCGACCAATAAGCGCTGAATTGGTCTACTACCGCCGTGTTCCTCAACATAGCGCCGAACGCTATCCTTTGCGGAGCCATTCGACGGTGCATGTTCACCCAAATCCCCCATTAAAGTCACTATTCCGATCCTAGGGGTGCGTCAGACTGTAGTCGATGCGCTCGGTAACGCCTCGCGACGCAAAAAGACCCAGGCTCGTTTGCTTCTGCGTCCACAAGGACTATGTCCAAAGTCCTCGCTTGACTGACGTGTTCGAGTGTCTTTCAGCCAGCGTCTTTTTGGGAAATACCTTGCTGCCCTGGACCCAGTTCGTTACCAACACCGTTCAAGCAAAGTCCCCCTCCAACGAGTACAGAAAACGCAATGGCTACCTAGTGTTTAAGCGACGGCGGACAGGCGCTAGGTAGAAACGCCACCTCGATGGCGACGCAGATCGTCATCGTCGTCGTCGTCGTTTGACCGCCACATACGCAGGCGATCATCCATCGCTCCAGTGCTTTAAGATACGGACAGTTGCTGGGTTATACGAAATAGGATCGACTGTGACGATCATCCATCGCTCCAGTGCTTTAAGATACGGACAGTTGCTGGGTTATACGAAATAGGATCGACTGTGACGATCATCCATCGCTCCAGTGCTTTAAGAAACGGACAGTTGCTGGGTTATAAGAAATAGGATCGACTGTGACGATCATCCATCGCTCCAGTGCTTGAAGATACGGACAGTTGCTGGGTTATACGAAATAGGATCGACTGTGACGATCATCCATCGCTCCAGTGCTTGAAGAAACGGACAGTTGCTGGGTTATAAGAAATAGGATCGACTGTGACGATCATCCATCGCTCCAGTGCTTGAAGAAACGGACAGTTGCTGGGATGTAAGAAGTAGGATCGACTGTGACGATCATCCATCGCTCCAGTGCTTTAAGAAACGGACAGTTGCTGGGTTATACGAAATAGGATCGACCGTGACGATCATCCATCGCTCCAGTGCTTGAAGAAACGGACAGTTGCTGGGTTATAAGAAATAGGATCGACTGTGACGATCATCCATCGCTCCAGTGCTTGAAGAAACGGACAGTTGCTGGGATGTAAGAAGTAGGATCGACTGTGACGATCATCCATCGCTCCAGTGCTTTAAGAAACGGACAGTTGCTGGGTTATACGAAATAGGATCGACCGTGACGATCATCCATCGCTCCAGTGCTTGAAGAAACGGACAGTTGCTGGGATGTAAGAAGTAGGATCGACTGTGACGATCATCCATCGCTCCAGTGCTTTAAGATACGGACAGTTGCTGGGTTATACGAAATAGGATCGACCGTGACGATCATCCATCGCTCCAGTGCTTGAAGAAACGGACAGTTGCTGGGTTATAAGAAATAGGATCGACTGTGACGATCATCCATCGCTCCGGTGCTTGAAGAAACGGACAGTTGCTGGGAGGCGCTTTGTACTCGTGGTTTTGATAGGAAGCGCCTTTGCCCTGTGATTTTCAGCCAACGTTTTAAGTGCTTCTGTTTCGGAGTGTGCATCGCGATGTGCTGATGCTGGTCTGTAAGGGGCTTGTTGATTTTTTATTCATTGTTTGACATGCGATCCCGAATTGGGGTATGCACATGGCGAATATCGAAGCGACAGCCGAAGAGGTATGCTCCGTATTTTGATTCTTGGAGAGGGTCCGCGCATCCCGCGAGATCAGGGTAGATGCCCTCATTCCACAAGAAACGAAAAGGATATGACGCATTGCTATGAAGCTGTGCGTCTGGCGACATCTGATTCACTTCAGGGATCCTGAGCGGAAATCCAGGAGCCACCATGATCATTGGAGACGCTAGCAGCGTGACGCACGTCCGGGTCGGAAGCTTGCCGATGAAGTGCCAAGCAGACAAGCTTTTTTCCGAAAAAGCCGCTTCTAGGATCGACGGGCGGCTTGGTACCAAAACTGGACCGGGTATCCACGGAGCAGCACCAGCTCATACTTTGGGGAAAACGGCAGCTGCGATGCTTCTTGGTAATGCCTGGCGCAAGGGTCCTTTCATGGGCATTCCAAAGCGGAGACAGAGTCCCCTGGAATGGTAGCGATGCTCGGGTGCGAGCATCTCCGAGGCGCCTCGGAGCTTTTCTGACATCCCAGCGCACGGGTCCATTCGAGCCGTGGTGCCACTTGTCATGGTACGGAATCGATTGGTTTACGGACAAGCTCTCAATGGATGACGGGCATCCTCGGGCCTTCATTACCTGTGCCCATCGAGAAACAACGCGGCATAACAGAAATCTACTCACGACCATGTCCAGAAGCGCGGCAAACGAGCAAACAATATCGGCGACTCGCCAGTATATGGATTCTTGCCGCCAGAATCCACCTTGAGTCTCTGTGATGCTTACAGCGACCATGGCTCGATGTTTGGCGCCTAACCAACTACCGGGCACAACGAGCCCACTGATGCTCCAGAGCCGTCCGTGCTGACCACATGCTCTGGAATCGGGGCACATGAGGATGCGGGAGATAACCCGTATTGTCCGAAAAGCATGAGACTGAGCGCCTTCTCGCCGTATGGGAAAAGATGCATCGCGCGTGCGCTAATGTTAAAGCGTCGTACGGAGCGCCCGTTTCCATACGGTTCTCTTTGCACAATACGATGCCGACCAAGACCACATTCTACCACGTGGGCAGAGCGCTTATTCTGAGTGCTCACAAGTCAGGAACTGAAGCATTGCGTAATCGACTCACTGTCAAGGTGCATTCATCACTCGCGACATCGGAGTGTTTTGCGGTGAGGCACAGAAGCGACGGCTTGGGCTGGACCCCGATCAAGCTGCCACGCTGATGCCGGAACCTTCTCCAAATAGTCCAGAGTTGGTCCCAGGAGCAGCAAGTATACGAGCAGGCCACACAAAGGGAGAGCCAAAGCGACACGAAGGTATCCGAAGCGGTGCGCTGCACCGAAAACCAACGGGGTCGCCCACGTTCCCCCCAAATTCGATGCAGTATTCAAAAGCGTGAGGTACGTGCCTCCAAAGCGCTTATCGCTAATCCGAGCACAGTACGAAGACGTGGACACAAACATTAGACCATCGCTGGCTAACTGGTAAAGAACACTGACGATGAAAATCGCGACAAACATCCAACGGGATCGTGCGCTTTCACCACGCGGGAAGAAATAGTGGATGAGCAGCGGAGTGAACATTGCGAGCATCAGCCGCAGAAAAAAGCCCCATCGCCAGAGACTGTCCTTGAGGTTACGGCTGTTCCGGGCATACCGACCAACAGCGATTGCTCCGATGACGTCGAACGGCCACTGGAGCACCGCCATGAATGCCAGCTGTTGACGCGGGAACCCGCGACGCACCAGCTGCAGTGACGATATGTGATCATGAGCAGCAAAGGGAAACTTACTGAACAAGAGGAATACAACCAAGCGCTGAATGGAGCGCTTGCGCAGTATGCTCCAAAGCGCGGCATACGCATCTCGCAGAGCGGACCACAGGCCTCCGGTGTCGGGTTGCGGAACAAGCGTCAAATCCTCCGCCATTTCTTCTTTGACAAAAACTGCCAACATTAGCGTGAACGCAATGAATGATGCACCCATGATTCGCAGAAAGGTATACAAGCGAATCACGGCGGATGTTTGCTGCAGCCATCGGACGCAAAATTCATCGCTGTTCAGCGCGAGGAAAACTGTATAGCTCGAAAAGTACCCTAGACTAAGCCCTAGCGATTGACAAATCGATGCGTACCCGGATCCTGCTTCACCTAAGAGCGTTAATGCCCAACCGTCTACCGCAATATCCTGTGTTGCCGCAAGGAAAACGAGCCCCCAGCAGAAAAGCGTCAACTGCATCACTCGGGCATGTTGAACCCAGCGTTCCACTGCTGCGGCCATGGAGGCCATGATGACCCCTATAAGGAGTTGCGCAGGTACAATCCAGGATTTGCGACGACCGAGACGCGACGCGTATACCGAGTCGACGATCGGTGACCAGAGAAGCTTCAGTGAGTACGGATACGACGCAGAGGAAAATACACCGAGCTTGGCGTAGGAAGAGCGCGTCTGGAGCAGAAACGGCAGCGAGCCAAAGGTGAGGCCCATGGGTACGCCCTGAAACAGATAGAGTACAACGAGCAGCAGGCCTCGAGCATACAAGCTCCGCTTGTGCACGGGCGCCGCCACACTCCCTTTTGCAGTGCCTTTGCGGCTGCTGCGGTACTGGTGCTCGCGTGCCACCGCCGGAGCACCGTCACGGTCCCAATGGTTCGTCTTACCTCGACTTTTGGTTTTCATGATCCAAAAAAGTTCGTTGTGCTTGTAACTGCACCCAAAACGTCGACGATGAAGCGCAGCGTTTGCAGCTGCTTCTCGCCGAAACTCGTCTCAGTTGACTACTTCCAGTGTGCAGATGCCTTTCATGGCGAGAACTTTGAAATCGACACGGACCCTGGGTCCGTTAGCTTTCTACAGTTGCTTGCGCTTCGCAACGCGCCAGGAGTCGTGACTCTCAGGACACTTCTGCGCAGCTGAACAGGAAAGTTGCAGCTGTTCTGTTCCGCCGGCTGCCGGGCAGCAGTTCCATGCCGCAGCGGTGGCAGCGCATCTGGGCGTTGCTCTTGACCTAGTAGGACGTGGAAGCGTCTGTACTGGAGCTGAGACCTCTTCTCGGGTTACCAGGAACAGCATCAGCACGTGATCACCCCGAAGAACTAGTGAGGCTTATCAGTCCTGGACCATAGACTGGAAATACATCGCTGCTGCGTTTGCTGACGACTCAACTAGCGGGCAGCTTGGTGTCGGTACGCGTGAGCCGGGAACCAGGATCCAGCCTAAGTGCTTCCATGAGCTCAACCAGATCCTTCTGTGTGCAAACTTGAACGCTGTCTGTCGTTTTCGTGGATATGTCGGAGCGACCGTTAGTCCGTCCGGACGAGGACGGTGTCGTCGACATCTCGTACAGCGGACTGGGCGAAATCGCAGAGGCCTATCGACTTCCCTGCGGAACTGACGCCGCTTTTAGCAATCCGTTCCTAGAGTTCCAGGCGACGAACTGCAGAATAAGTCGAATCCAAAACCTCGATCGTTGTACTTCGTTGCGTCGTTTGGTGCTTCGCCAGAACCTGATCACGGAGCTACGTGGACTGGAGACGCTGTCGGAGCTCGAAGAAATTGACCTCTATCTAAATCATATCAGGGAAATCAGCGGACTTGAGCATAAGCCCAAATTGAAACGCCTGGATTTGTCTTTTAACCGCATCCACAGTATGGCAGGGCTGGAGCGTTTCCACTTGCCGGCCCTGGAGGAACTGTATCTCGTCCAAAATAGAATCAAGGAAATCGCTGGCCTCCAAGCACATAATCTACCGCAACTGCGATTGTTGGAACTGGGATCCAACCGCATAAGAACGCTTGGAGACAATCTATTCGAGGTAGGAGGCTCGCTAGAGGAGCTATGGCTCGGACGGAACAAGATCGTTCAGCTCCCGTCGCTGCACTGCTTCCGCCGACTCAAACGCCTTTCACTGCAGAGCAATCGTTTGTTGGCACTAGGGAGCGCCCTCGAATATTGCCGAGACTCGCTCGAAGAGCTCTATCTCAGTCATAACGGTATCTCGGCTCTAAATGGGACGGAGATGCTCCGAAACCTGAAGCTGTTGGATCTGGGTTGTAACCGCATTGCGCGCCTCGATGACTTGTTGGATGACTTACAAAATCTCGAAGAGCTCTGGCTGAACGATAACAAAATAGACAGCATTGAACAGTTGCGCCATCTCTCGGCACATGCGAAACTGCGGACCCTGTACCTGGAGGGAAACCCGCTCGCTGAACGGCTCCAGACTCAGCACGGAAACAAGTGGTATCGAGCGCTGGTGCTGCGTGTTCTGCCTATGTTAACACAGCTGGATGCGGAACCCATCGACGAGGAGACGCGCGCGCTCGCCGATTCCGAGCATTGTGAGTGCCTCTGGAATCGGGAGGGTTGAGCGTGCACCGAGCGCCAGATGCAACGCATCAGCGCCTGCCGAGCGTCACTTGTCCGATCTACTGCTGAAAACGATACGCTGCAGCTCAGTGGGGAATCGAGTCCAGGGTGGGCATTCGTGGTGAGCCGTGGACAAGGCGTCTGCGCACGTCGCTAGCCCGATATGTGATTTTCCTCATCGTGATGGATCCGTTGAACCGTTGACTGCAGGAGACCAACGTTTGAGGTGTGTCGCGATGCAGCGCTGCAATCTACGATAACTGGCATGCGGAGCCCATGCGCTTCGTGAAATGCTGCTACAATTTTTGCATCTAGTTTTGGTGGCGATTATTCGTAACCGCCATTTAGATCTCTGCTGGCGGCAAGCTGTGATTGTGGCGGGAGGTTATCCGCTGCGTGCTGTACCAGCACCTCGAAGAAAGCAGTGCGCTTTCGATGCGCTCTTGTGATTCGACGGCGCGGGTGCCGCCTCTGGCTCGAGCTTGGTTATCGTAGATTTGGCGTGGTTTATGATGCGTGGACGGGATTCACGGTCTGCTCACGGGGTTTGCTCGTCTCTGCCTTGGCCCGATGGCAAAACAGCAAAGCTGCCGTACATCTGGGATGTCTTTCATCAGGAATCATGCGCCGCGGAGTCCGCGCCGAATCATTACCCACAGTGCACTTCATATCGAAGATGTTTGGTGCTCAGCACTGCACACGACTTGGAGGCTTTTTTTAACACCTGGTCAGAGGCAGTTTCTGTGCAGCCTAATCGGAATTCTGAGCAGCGAACCTGCCGGAAAAGATCCAGACATTGCAAGTATCGCGAAAGTCAACGATCGCGCCGGATATCCGTTAAACATCGTTTTTGAATTCCGAGCTGTTGCTGTGGCGAGATAGATACCACTACCATGGTGCGTGGCATTTGCAGACCGCTTTCCGATGTGTTTAAACGACTTGCGCTGAAGCGTGCCGCGGATAACGAGTGGTATCTGCAGGCGGCTCGGCAGAGCAGACTCATGCAGTCAGGAAAGCACGCATCACACCCCGTATATTGCGAGAAATACCGGATCGTGGATACGACTATGAAAGTTTTGGGTATACTGAGATCTATCATTAGGCGATCCTGCCAGTCGAGAGAGATCGTCAACCCAAAAATCTGCGACAGAAATCTCTGGCATCGTTTGTGCTTTGTTTTCTGTGGACGCTGTACCGTGGCGCTGCGTCCCAGATACGCGACGCTCTAGACGCCCGTCTTCCTGCGCACAGATGGACACTGTGGCGCGGAAACCAGGAGGCCTTTCTCGCGTTGAGTACACTAAATGAGCAGCTTTCCCATTTTTTCTATGCCGAAGCGCCGGGATCTCGATAGACCTGCTCTGGCCGGCAATGTGATCCAAAGCCTTCCGTATGGAACTCTGTTCCAAAGCATTCCGTTGTGGTATCCAGAGGATCCGTGCAATTTCAACCCACCGGCGCTTGAAACCAGCGTCATCTCTGGGATGGGAAAAGCTTGCCACTGATCTCAGGAAGTTTACGCTATATAGCACTGAGTAGCACAGGCACGGTACATGACAGTCACCGATGTTGTGCGGTGCTTGGACTCGAGCGCTGGTTTGTGCCTTGACCAGCCCGCAAAATGCAATTCAGTTCGCCAAAGCGATCCGATACCGCTTACACGAGTTTCGCTTACCGAGTCAGCAAGCGCGTGCGTGGGTGCGTCCGTCGTTTCCTTCGCTACGGAGCGAAGATACTGTCCACAAACCCGTTCTTCGAATCAAAGAAATTCGCAGCAATCCTACTAAAGCCAGCTTTCTGTGCCAGCGCAGAAATGTCCTCTAAAGTATACTTCCAGCTGTACTCCGTATGGATGGCTTCCCAGGGGCGCAGCTCTATCGCGATTTCGTTCCCAGTCGGCAACGCCGTCGTGTCCATCGCCAGATTTGGAAAAACAATACGCATATGCTCGGTGGCGACAAGGAAGCTCTCCATCGCCCCGAGTCGAACATTGTACTGGGCAAAATGTTCAAACTTCGCCGGATTGAAATTGGATCCAAGTTCTCTGTTCACACGACGGAGCAAGTTGCGGTTAAATTCTGCAGTAATACCCTCACGGTCACTATACGCTCGGTGCATGATTGCATAAGGTTTTCGCAGATCGAACCCGACAAGAAAGTGATCCCTGGCAGGCTGCAGCAAGCTCCGAACCTGCTTACAGAATGCTATAGCGTTCGTGGGATCAAAGTTGCCAATCGAAGATCCAATGAACATGACTAAGTGCCGAGCATGCTCATGAGCTGACTCGGGAGCTGCACCATACCCCGCGTTGCCCGCGTTTGCCAGTAGTCGATCCTCAACAGGGTTCTGCAGACGCCGTCCTGGTGCGCGCAGCGCATATCCAAGTCCTTCGAAGAAATCACCCACAATACCATGGAAGGTGAACTGCGCTTCAACACTCGAATGCTCCAAACGCTGATGACCATTCTCGGGGTCGCTCAGCGTTGCGAGGATGCGCTCCGCACAGTCCGTCATGGCGCGCTCACTGATGTCAATGGGACGGTACGTGATGTGCAGGCCACGTTGCAGAGCACGCTGCACCAGCACTGCTGTTTTGTGTCCGTCGCCAGCGCCCAGTTCGATGATATGTAAGGCTCTCTCATTGGGAGAGTGCGATCGAATAGGTGCATCTTCGTCCAGTCCAACTGCGATGTTCAATATCCGATCGCAGTATTTACGGAAAATCTCCCGTTCACATCGCGTGAGATAGTAGTCTTCAGTGCAGGTGATGCGTTCATACAGCGCTGTTCCAGCGTCGTCATAGAAAAATCGCGAAGGTATGGACCGCTCGTTGACTTTCGCGTTCACAAAATGGGTTCGAATTGCATCGGAAAGCTCGTCACGCGCTTGGTGCGAGTTCTCCTCCCGCAGCACGGTGTAACAGAAACCAAACGGCTTCGATGCGAGCTGCTCGTGACGTGCGCTCGTCCGAGCCAGATTCGCTTTACACTCTTTAGTCATCTCGAGAAAAAAGAATGCGAAGAAAGTCGGAACATCAACCTATCCTATAAGACTCCCTAGCGAGCTCCGGTCATCGCTGTACAGCAGTGACCCGTATCTTTCTCACAAAAGAGATCGAGATGCCGCTCAGGGCCAGCGTGCGAGCATCATCGGCTGCAGTACGACTGGTGGAGGCTACGGCGGTGGTCGATCTCGGCGTGCGCTGTTGTGCGGCAGTGTATCCAGAAGACGCAAATCTACGTTGCCGGCTTCTGGCTAGCAGCACCGCCTCTAAGCCGTATAGGGACACTGGAAACGCACTGGGAATCACACTGTCCCTGCTGTGGAAACGAGACCCCCGGACGCTGCCATATTTAGGCTTACAGTGCCCGCGCTGGAAGCAGGAGCACAGCGAGCTCCTTGAAGGACAGCAGCAGCTGGGCAGCAGCGTGATAGTCAAAGGCCGGACACTCACTTTGAGTGTAGCACTGGCATGTGATGGTCCGCTAACCGAGCCTCAGCGCTCATAAGTGGCGAACAAACTCACACTCTACCTTCTAGGCGGAAGGTCGAGCGAATCGGATGCGCACACGGGTTTAGTGCTCTCTACGCCTACCCACTGTGGTGGGTGTCAAACACAAACCCGCATTGCCAACCGACAACGACGCATTCCATGCATGATCGCGAAGGAAAGAGGCGGCTCCCATGATATATCCTAACAGCCAAGTTTCTCCAGCGTGTCGTGCAGCGAAGACAAGCCTGCATCCGCAGACTGTCCGAGCACAAACTGAGGACGAGACCCGATTCTACGTCGGATGAAGCAGGCCTCGAGCCGATGCCCTTTGTGGTACGGCAACGTCGTGCTATCTCCGTACAGCGGCGGCGCAGGCGCTATGGGCGCTAATGCGGACGAACGAGTCAGGTACTCAGCACACGATAGAACGTATGAGACGGCCAGTATATCCGAGAAAAAGTATGGGCAACGGAACTTGGAAGTACGGGGTTTGATGGATACTTTACCGCGCACTACAAAAACAGAAAAATAGTATGAGAAGAAAAAGCGCTCAATCGGAGGCCGCTGGCCTAAGTAAACGTTCTGTCAATGAGAAAAAAAGAATCGCGCTTAGTGAGCGCACCTCGGAGGTCGGGCAGTCAACTGGCGCGACGCGCATGCCGCCATTGAAGGGAAACATGATCCTGATCTCTAGCATGTAGATCTCATGTAGAATTTGTATTTTCGTTGAGGTCGTAGCCAGGTACAGTCATTCAGTTCATTTGTTTTTGGAACCTCAAACAAGTGTATTCAAGTGTTTTTCGCGGTATATAACAGAAGGGTTCAAAGAGCGTTATTTTTCAAAAGAACTTAAAAAAAGGAAAGTTATGAAAAAGCAAGTCGACGATCCTGGAGGCCAACGGTCGCCGGCTGCCAGAAAAAAACAGTGCCGAGTCCGGAAGAAAAGGAAGAGAAGAAGAACCGAAGGGGGAAGGTCCTCCGTCGAAGGCGCCAAGAAAGACGGCTGTACGACGAGAGGGTGGTGAAAACCTTTCTTCTTGGACATATCAAGGATCCCTACAGGGAAAAGTTGCGACACGCTATCGAAAAAGTATCGACTCGTACTCCAAGAGTATTGTCAAGGCGTCCTCAGGACTGATGCATTTGGTGCGGGAGATGTATCGCGAGGTGACGCACATGGAAACGGTCGAGATTCCGGAGGATTTTTCGATAAGAATTTTAGTCGGCACCTGATGCTTGGCACAGCGGAAGCGCGGAGGGAAAATGAGCGAGTTCACGCCCTCCACGAAAAAAATCCCTTTTACAGCTTCGATGGTACTCGATACAAGGGTCACGTGGATATTTACGACTATCGGGCGATGAAGTACATCACGAACCTGAAGAAGCATTTGACTATGAACCTCGAAAGTTTCATGATACGCGCCGTATTTGCGCTGTGCTCGGGCCTGTCTCGCAACGGAGTATAGGCGATTATCAATGGCATCACGAACGATCGCAAGCATGAACAGGATATCGAATTTGTTGGGAAGAAGGTGTCAAACAAGAGCACGAATGAAGCTTCTGTAATCTGTGCGGCTGTACAAGAGCATCGTGCATTCTTGGGGCTGGCGAATCCAGCAGACAAGATATCAGAGTTGAAAAAAGATGAGGAAAGATACTATCGCCTCATTCTGCGCCATTTCGTATTCCTGAACCGGAAACTCGAACGGAAGGCGGAGATGAAGCTGATTGAGGAAATGGAATGAAGAGTGGGAGAGACGGAAGGCTTTCCTAATGGGCAAGCGCTTCAACGTCATTCAGTTGTGCAACATCAAGGCGCATTTTGTGACTATCGACCCCAGAGTCCTTTACGGCATCATGAAGGAGATCAGTCCCGAGTTCAATGTTAGCAGGGAGGAGTTCATAGGTGAAAACCGAGAGACGTACAGGAAGAGTATCTTCGATTTTAAACGTCTCCGACTGAGCAAACAAAAGGTATTCACTGGGATGATCGGAACCGATTGGGTAGCCATGTGCGTACACTATCGGCAGTCGAAGACAAATCGCCCTGTCCCGCCCTCGGCTTCGACCTCGGCGAAGCATGAATAAAACAAAGAGGCGGATCCTGTGACGCAGGAGGTGGAGGGGAACGACCTTTTCGTAGGCGCGGCGAATCATGAAGATGAGAAGGAGGCGGATCCTACCACGCAGGAAGTGCATGAGAACGACTTTGTCGTTGGCGCGGACCCCGGAAACACAAATATCATAACCATCGCAGTACCCAAACGTGCGGAAGATGGTACTGCCGGCAACTTGCGTCAGAAAGACATGCGTCTTTTGAGATTCTCGAGAGCACGGTACCATCGAGAATCCGGTATAATGAATGCAAGGAAGAAAATCGTTACGTAGAATGCAGGAATGAAGGATCACCTGGAAGCTTTGGGCGAGGTGACGAGCCGCGGAGCAGACTGTCAAGCGTTTCGGAAATTCATGAAAGTTCGCCCTGCTCACTGGGAGTCGCTGTGGAAAGAGTATACCCAGCCCCGGTGGGCTCATCTGCGAATGAATCTATACTGTGGGAAACAGCGGGCGTTCGCGAATTTTTTCAATCAGTTGAGCGCCCTGAATGAGGATGAAAGTCAGAGGCTCGTAGTAGCATACGGGGCAGGGCGCTGGAAGCCCCAAAAAGGGACTACGCCAGCTCCAACGACCAGAACGCACAAGGAGTGTGCACGGCGTTTCGTTCCGATACCGATAGATGGGATCTGAAGGTGCTACACACACCACGAGCCAGGTTGTACACTTCAGAGAGTGGAGATAGAAAAGGGCCAGCGGAGCCCTGAGGATATAGCAAAGTACGGAGCGCTGACGGAAGAGCGAATGGAAAGGAGAGCGAAAGTTCGTGGACTACTTGCATTAGAAAGTACAATCAATGGCAAGAAACGTGTGGGGTTTGTGAACCGGGACTTTAACGCCGCAATCATTATAAGGAGATGTGCGGTGATGGAGAACAGACCCCCAAAGTTGACACGAGAGAATTTTGTAGGAGAATCTCTTAAAGTCGAACTATATGAAAAAAATTGGAAATAGTAGTAGGTGGCCGGTCGAACAAGACCAGGAGGCGTCCGCACGTCAGTTGGAGATTTCTTGTCAAGGGCGGGCTTCTCGCCACTACTGTAGACGGTCGGCGTCGTTCGAGTTTAGAACGGCGTTTTGTGTGCCTTTGCGGTGATGTTCATTTGTTCTGCTTTCAGCAATTGCAAAATGGAGCGCTGCGGTCGTAAAGCGGTTCCCCTGCGCTGCAAGTTACACACAACGCGTGACGTGACGTCCGCCCTGACCCTTGGGCTGCAAAAGGGTCAGCGTTGGGTGCCACACGCGAACGAAGCTCTCTCGAGTTTACAGAGCCTCGGTTTCAGGAGCTCGCGAATTGCACACAATATCCTAGCAAACGTAGTGGGCACAGCCACAACGGCACTGACACCTGAAACGTACTGTAAATCGACTGGGGTGGTATTCTCTGGGCAGCTTTTTCCAGTGCCTGACGACGTGAACGAGAAGCGACAAGCTGTGAACGCTAGGCGGTCTACTCCAACAGCTGCAGCAGTAACCGCGTGCACAGAACCAGAGCCGCTTGACCCGGAATCGAAGTCCCCGACGGCACCACCTGCACGCAAACGAACGCCGAGCAGCACCCGTGCAGAGACGATGCGATTACGCTGGACGGACCCACTGCTGCGCGCTCGGCTTTTGCAGAACAGGCGGTCGAACGGGACGATCGCAAAGCAAGCTGCATCCCTATCTAAACGTTGGCAAGATCCGGCGTTTCGAGCACGAATGCGTCAGGCCTTGTCGGGAAAACCGGCCTGGAATCGCGGCAAGAAGCATTCTGAGGCGACCCGAGAAAAGATTCGGCGAGCGATGCTCCGCCATTGGGTAAAGCGAAGAGGAGACCGTGCAGGCACCGAGGCCCGCACTAACAGTGACACCTCAGAAGAGAACGCCTTCGATCGGCTGAAACGGCAGTTCACGGCACTCGCTATGGACCTCAAACTCTGGAGCGATGGCTTCTATACGCGAATGGGCAGACGTCCCCGAGCATCTGATATTGAAGCGGTGACTTTGGGGGAGTCTCAACGTCGAAGTGGACGGGGCGCAGCGCTTGACATGATGACGCCTGCGCTTATGTTCAAATGCCAGCGCTTCCTGGAACTCAAGCGATTAGTGACGAATCAGGATGAGAGCCTGCAAGGCCTTGGTGACGAGATTATTCAAGATGATTTGAACCCCTGAAAACAGCTGCCTCATAGGTCTCTTGATATGTGAAGGCCGCGTTGTGCTGCTGCTCGGACCGCAACAGCGCTCCGGTTGTCTAGCGTCAGGAGCCATGCAAATCGGCACCGCCTTGCGCTGGCATTGCCCCGCACTGCCTCGAGCCGACGCCCTCTGTGTGTGGTACGGCAACGCCGTTCTGTCTCCGTGCAGCGACCGCACCGGCGCTACAGGCGCTATTGCTGTCGCCGCTTTCGGCAGGCACTAGGCACACACGATAAGACGTATGAAACGACCAGAATATCCGAGACGAAGTATGGGTCATGTAACTTGGAGGTAGGGGGTTTGATGGATACCTCACCGTGCACTGAAAAAACACAAAAAAAAGCAAGAAAAGAAAAAAGCGCATAATCGGAGAACGCTGGCCTAAGTAAACGTTTTGTCCATGAAAAAAATGGCTCCGCACTGGTCGGTACCACAGTATTCGCGAATACCTGGGGGGCAGAGTCCGCACTCATGCAGAAACCACGCTTGGACATGCAAACAACGTGGCTTGAATTCCGAGCGAACGTATGGGTACCAGACGCGTCCACTGTGCGAGGTTTCGTTCATCAGCGATACCGCGCATACGCAAATAGATCTACCGTGTCCGTACCTCGATTCCGTTCATGGAACAATTGCCGTCGCTGGATGATGATGGGTCCACTTCATCGGTTCCACCTCTATCCGAGTCGTGCATAGCGGCAATGCGCCTTGGTAATAACGCGAGCGCGCGCACGAGGTTTCCCTGATGTTTGCTGATGCCCAACGAGGCACGCGTTGCCAGGAGCGCTTCCGTTCTCCGGGCATCGACGAAGCAACCGCAGCACCTGGACCAGAACACGACCTGTTCTACAATATGCTTCTGAGCACGTCCGGCAGCATTCGAGCTGCGACGGGAATCACGCAACGCTTTACGGTACCCTGCACTTGCGACGAGGCAAGTCTTAGCTGCGCGCGAGGGTCAGCGCGTGCGACTGGGACACGAAGTATTCGCGTGCTGGGATCTGTAGACGTCTCATGAAGGCGACACCTTCGCTTTCATCAGGCGTCTGCGGAGAAGATTCTTCCGTGAAGTTACCACAGCATCAGAAGCCGTATCCTCAGCGGTTCCGGTGCACCCCAGACCCAGAAACGGTTCCGCTTCCATGCCTCCGAGTTGCAGAGCTGCTGCGGGAAGCTGCACCTCGGGGCTCATCGCGAGAGCAACCGTGCTTTCTAGGACGCTGAGGGGTACGCTCGTCACGATGTAGAGAAGACCATTTTGTGGGTCAATCGATCGCACGAGCCCCAGACCAGGGGAGCGCAGGAGCCATCGCTGCGGCGCCTGCAACGATATCTCCTCCGTCGGTTCCTCCTTATCGATCACAGTAACACACAATGCGACGACACTGGCGTTCAGCATGCTGTATAATCGCTCCGAATCATGGCCAGGCTGGAGACGATGCATCCCGCACGGCTCGATCATGAATACTGCCGCAAAGAACTCCAGGGGCACGCACCACGGTGTGATGCTGCAAAGCAACTGAACAATCGGGTATGCCGGTTGATTCTGCCATAAAAACCACCGGAACTGATCCGCAATGATTCCGCGTGGTAATCCATCTTCACACTGCTGCACAAGTTCATGGATGAGTTGGGACGCACGCGCAACTGCTGGTAACAGCGATCGCTGCTTGTGAGCCGAACTCGGGGCTCGCTGGACGTGTAGCACCTGAACACGTGACCCGGCAGTGGTACCGAATGCTTCTATTTCTGCTTCGCCACCAGCGTGTTGCGCATCGGTTCCTTCGCTGACCCAAACGATAAGGTCGGGGCGAATCGTGTCCAGCACGGAGCCGAGTAGCACTTCGCCATAGCCACGAACCCAACCCATTGTGTTCACGAGCACCAGTCGTTTCCCGCGCCAAGCTTCGCAAGCGCTCCACAATCGCTGCACCGCCTGTCGATACAACGCCGGATCCGCGAATGGTGTGACGTTCCCGCAGAAGACGCTCTCGAGGCACGCAGTCGATGCCCTCCATATCGGCCACGCCAAGTCGCGAACTTCATGGAAAGAGACGTACCCAGGAGCTAAGAAATAATTCTGACCTAAATCGAGTTCCAGAATGAGCGGCTGCGGGTGATAGGGCCAGCCCATGAAACTCAACTGCGATACGAGTGTTGATTTGCCGGTATGGCGGGGTCCAGCAACCAGCACAACAGGAGCTTGCTCCCCTGGTAGTGCTGCAACAAGGTTCTCTAGCCCGGAAAAGTGCAGCGGCGGTGCGGTGTAACGAGCAACGAGTGACTTCGGGGTCAAATGCTGGCTGTTTTCTGCTGGCGCTGATAGACGAATAGGCCACGGATAGGAACCGCGGCTACGATCCGTGATGAGAAGTACGAGTTGCCCCTGTTGCACCCGCCAGACCGGTGCACTTTGCCAGGCAGGTGCATCGACAGGCACCGGGTCCTGCCAAATGCTCAGTGCTGTCTCTGCACTGTTAAAGAACAAACGCTGCCGCAGGGGACCTTGAGCGCCAGCAATGGTAACGCTGTACTTTCCACAGAGACAGAGTTGTTCCCCTTCAGAGAGGCGAATTCGATAGACTCGCTTCCGCACAGGTTGTAAACGATCGCTGTCTGTAACGAACCGGGCGTCCATACCGACTGCAACAGGAGTTGTGAGCTTGAAACGCTTACCTCGAACTCGCCGAGTCTGCTGGTGCTTTTGGTTCTGCGACTCCCCGTGATAACTATGGTCACCAGGGCACAAGAAGGAGCGCTCAAGTCCTCAGTCTAACTGACTGCAGGACCTCATGACTCACACCTAGCGCGAGCGAAACCACAAGAATATATGACTCGAACGGTGCTCCGACACGCGAATGCACGGAAATGGTAGTGTTGCGACTCCCGCGTTGCGATAACGCTGTTCCACTCGACGCGCGCTTGTTCTGTTGAGCGACATAGTTTCTGTTCTTTCTGGGGTAAATTAATACTCTCCCGCAGACGCGTTCGGGTCTATTTTGACGGAGCTCCTGATATCGATTTCTTTTTTCATTCGGACGCAGTACGACCCTGAGAGGCTGCCCCACAGAGCTACATCGCGTCAGCTCCCTGGGTCTCGTCTTCAACACCAGATATTGTCTGATGTTGATGGCGGCATTGAAGTCTGGGTTCGCGAACTCTATGCATTTATTCCCGCTGGTGGAACTCATCAATGTAAGAATTGCCCGAACTCGCGCCCTCGACATCATTTGGTGCTCTGTCATCTCTCCGTGCGTTTCTATCGCCGGTGCGCTCTGCTGTCTTCTCGCTCTCTCAGTCTCGACCCTGTGAAATGCGCATTCGAATTCATCCATTATTTTTTTAAAATGAACCTACTTCTTTACGCCCTTGCGTGGAAACCTGCCCGGAGGGAGAAGCACTTGCGCAAGAAAGGCGAAATATGCTTCCAGTGTGTCACCGTGTGCTGAGAGCATCAGCGATCCGCCCAGTGGAGCGATCATTATATTTCACAATAGAAATGAATCCTAAAACGGAATTCAACCATGGAGCGTACAGAAGTATGAAAAGCAGCTCTATCCACATAGAATTCGCAAAAGCTCGAACACAAGGAGAATGGTGGAATACCACTTTGTCCAAAAGAAAGACGTCGTCAGACGTCAGACAAAAGTCTTCAATGATTCGACAAAGTGGTTGTTGCTATTCGATGAGCCTTCTCTACGAGCCAAACTGAGGCCGTCAAATGAATTTACCACGTCGAGAACAGATGGTGTCGTCGATCTCTTCACGTTCGATCTCACATACAACGGGCTCGCTTCACCGCGAATACCCGTACGCACTCCGACCGTTGCACCCGAAGAAATTCTCATCGACTGGAAACAAAAACCTACGTCCCTGTGTTTCATCCGGATCGCAACGTTACAGGAACGCTGTCACCGCTATTTCCGTGGAAGATGGCCGTGATTGAAATAGGACTCTTTTTTGCAACTGGATGCCCGTGCTTTCAGGACCAAAAGAACAAGCTGTTGAGAAACAAGGACGCCTATGGCGGCTACCATCGTCGCTTTCGCTTGCCGGTAGGGATTCGCCAGTCATTTTCCATCATTGGCCGCAGGCAAGCTTCGATAATACCATTTTTTGACGCAGAGCACATCTACGTCTTCCGTTCAGTGCTCCTCAACCATCAGAGTACCGTGGTATGACTGAACTAAAGGACGAATGCATTCCTCCTTGTACCGTTAAGTGAGGAATCTATATCCTCTGGGCAAATGATGGACGGTCTATAAAACACATTACATCGTGAATTCGTTCTCATGCTATCATCCGCAGCGAGGGCGAGACAAAACTGACTTGATAGACTAGAAGCAGATACCTGGAGTTGACACCGCCTGCAGGAGAGCGGAACAGCTTGCACATCCACGACAGCCGTCACTTGAGCGCCAACGCTGTCGAATCACAAGAAAACGGCACCGAAACGCATCTTTTTCTCTTTCGATGCACTCGACATCGTTCCGGACTCGGAATCCTACACATCAGGTGCGGGCCACGCAGGTACTTGGACAAACCCGATCAGATCATGACTCTAGGTCGAATATGAGCGACGTCATCGCCAAAGCGTTTTCCAGTGCAGATCACCATCCACTGTTTTGCGTCGAAAACACATCCGCGACATGTGCTAGGACCGGTACAGAAAGTTGGCAGCCACCACCGTCACAATACAGCTCACGAGCTGAAGAGGCACGCCGAGTTTCAACCAGTCGGAGACGCGGTAATTCGCGGCGCCGTGCACCATGAGATTCGTTTGGTGGCCAGTGTGCAACATGAAGGAGCAGTTTCCTGCGACCATCATCGTATAGAGCGCCGCATACACGTTCACCTGCGTCAGGTAGATAATCCCTGTGCCCTTACTTGCCACGATCGCAAACGTCAACGTCACTGCTCCAATGCTCGTAATGGCATTCGTCAGCAATGCAGTGATGACGTAGATGCCAAAGAGGATTCCAATCGACCCCAACGGGCGCAGGATCTTCACAATAAGCAGCGAAAGCTGGGCGGCTACCCCCGAAACCTGCATCGCTTCACTGATACCAAAGGCCGCACCTATGGTGAGCAGAATCGGCAATTGCACGGAGGCGCCCGCTTGCCGAAAAGTCATACACCCCGTAATGAGCATCCCTATGGTGGCGAGACTCGCACTCACGAAAATCGACATGAATCCCGTGGTTGCAAAAGCGATCATCAGCACGACAAAGAGACCCGCTGCGAGCATATGAGGGAGATCCTCCCGGGGCCGCTCAGTGCCACTCACCTCACTTACGAGGCTGAAGTCGGAGTCTCGAGCGTAGCGTTCACCGAAATCTTCGCTCGCTTCAACGATGAAGGTCTCTCCACCGAGAATCTGAATATCACCGATTTTCTCCCGCACAATGGCGCCGCCACGATGAACGGCAATGATTGCAGCATGGTACTTGCGCCGAAAGTTGGTCTCCCGGATGGTGTGGCCCACCAGGGAGCTGAACGGCGAAACAACGACTTCGTAGAGTCTGCGCCGGTGCATCTGCACCGAGAGTTTGCGAGTATGCGTCGATGCTGGTATGATCCCGTCGATTAAGTAGAGCTCGGCGACGGTTTCCAAGCGACCAGCGAAGAGCAAAACGTCCTGCGCCTGAATCACCGTATCCGGGCCCGGGGCAGCGATCAAGTTACCGTTCTTTCGTGACAGCTCTACCAAGAAGAGACCCTTGAGGGCGCGTAAGCCTGCCTCCTGGATTGTTAGACCAACAATCGGTGATCCTTCGCGAACCATAACAGCGACTGTGTACTCGCGCGGGTGCTCAACTACGTCCTCCACGACGTTTTCACGATCCTTGAGCAGCATGCCGCTGAACACGAAAATAAACACGAGGCAGGCTGCCAGATTGATGATTGCCAACTTGGTGATGCTAAAGATCCCAAACTGGACGACATGGTTCGTGGCTGGGTCCAGCACGTTCGTCTGCTGGACGAGACCAAGCACTACGAGGTTCACCGACGAGCCGATGATGGTTGTCGAGCCACCAAGGACAGCAGCATCGTTCAGAGGCATGAGAATTTTCGCTCCAGAGAGGCCGTTAAAACGCGCCCATCGCTGAACCCCGGGAATCATCATCACCATCGTAGGTGTATTGTGCAAGAAAGCTGACACGACTGCGGCTGGCAGACATGTGCGTACCTGTGCCATCAAAAGCGAAGATGGGCGTCCCAATAGTATTCGAAAGATCGTGCGCAGAGCAGAAGTTCTGTAAACACCCTCCGCTACCATGAAGTAGACAGCGACGGCGGCAACACCGGTGTTAGAGAAGCCGATCAGGCCTTCGGCTGGCGAGATCACGAAAAAGGCCATGAGGGTGACAACCGCATACGCAAACGAAACCTCCGTTGGTAGCCAGCTACAAATGAGTGAAGCAAGCAGCAGGAGTAGGACAGCGAAGGTAAACCAACCCTTCCAAGAAAGCGGTTCAAAAACGAGTCTGCCCAGTAGAGCGAGCCCGACGCCTGCAAGCGCCAGTAGCAACAGCGCAACCCAGTAGCGGCGTACAAATGCCGAAGATCGACGCACTAGGTCCGAAAATGAGTCGAGCAGCCACGTACCAAAGTCTGTGATTAACTTGGAGCACACATGTGGTAATTGGCGTCCGATAGTAGCGAGCGAGCGACCGAGACGTTTCCAGTCGAACCGAGGCTGCATAGGACACGCCCCAAGGCGGCCTTGGTCTCGTTGTTGAAAACGTTGGCGGCTTGGAATGTGGTCTCCTCTATCACTACCGTTTTCAAGTTGTCGCCCGGTGCTTCCGAGTAGAGACGCGCCAAGCGTATGGAAAACGTTTGGTGGCTCTCGCAACTTCTGGATGGAGTAGCGAGGCTGGCCGTTCGCGCTGAGATCCAGGGAGCTCGTAGGCCTTGAGCGCTCGTTCGGCACGATTTCATCGTCGGTAAGGGAAACCTTTTCCGTGCTTTCCACGGAGGGTGTACCGTCCGAGCCGTTTGGAACCTTCATTGACGATGAGACTCGGAAACAGGATGCTCAGAACCAATAGTGTTTCGCTTCGTGCCTCCGACTAGTCAACGTCGCGCTTATCGGTTCGAAACATGCAGTACGATTATCTCCTTTTAAAAGCCACTGCTGCCAAACGACTTGACGCAGAACTCACGATTCAAACAGCACTTGTAGCGTACCGCGGACACCGCTCTGGGACGGTATCTGGGACGCGTTGCCGGCAACGCCACGAGCAAACGTTTCTCGCAGACTTCCAGGATTTACCCATTATGAATCATATAGTACAGCTATATACAGTTCGGTCCTATACTACCGTGACTTTAGCTCCAGATTTGGCAAAGCGACGCGCCTCCGATGCGATCTGATGGATCCAGTGCATGTGGATCCTGCATCCGATTCGGATTCAAGCGGATCACAAAGCTCGGCGATATGTTTTTGCCTGAGGATTTTGTCCGGGCATATCTGACATGCCCAGTCTTTAGATTCGACGTTAATCAAAAAAGGTTCTCGATTCATATCTTGTTTTAGGATCTTCGTTGGACTACTCGCTGACGTTTCTTCGAGTCTCCCTGCAGCTGGAGTTTGCCATGGCCCCAGAATAAAAGTGGTTCGGAAAGTCGTCGAACACGGTTTTGGTGCGATGATTTGCACCAACATCCAATGCATGCGTGCAAGCCTCCACGAATCTCCTCTTCTTTCGGGGTGCATGATGAAATCACGCATGTCTCAACATTCGGATCTTTCTGTTCCAAGGCAACTCGTGGGCGCGACAAAACGTGTCGCTGGATTGACGAGGGAAATACCCTAATTCGATTGTTGACGACTTGCTCGCAAGCTCATGCCAACTATTCAATGAAATTTTCACGTCGAATACTAAACGACCCGATGTAAATGACAAATCCTTGTCTCTTTCAGGCCATCAATGGAACAGTAGTCGGCAACAGCACGATACCGCTCATGGGATATGCTCGCAGGAGCTCTCGTCCGATTCGTTTCCGTGGAAAAGGGCCTTGGATTCGAAAATCAATGATCCTAATGATCGCGTCACTCGGGGAATGCGTCACCGCTTAGCACGTAGGGAGCGTAGACGAATCGAGATTTTGTCGAGCTGCTCTCCGGTCTGGATTTCCCGTCCGGTACTTGCTTCATAATGAAAAACATCGTGCTTCCCAGATGCCCAATCGAGTGCAACAGCATACGCGTGCGTGTGAAGCGGGCAGCGTACTTGCCGAGGGATCGCTCAGAGGGAAGTCCGTGGGCGCACAGTACCGCACCGCGCACGCAAACGGAGGATAGCAGCATCAACACAAGCCTTCTGTACGCGTCCACGGAATTTCGCAAGCGATGAAGCAGACGTTCATGCGAAACAGATCGGCCCTCGGAGAATGAGGCTTGGTGGGTGTATATGAACAGCTGCCCACAGCTAAATATCGAAGCTGGAAAGCTAGCACTGGTGCTGCATATGAACAATACGAGAATGGCAGGAAACGCAAAGATTCTTGCGACTGTGCGTGTGTGCAGAGCGTTGACATATGTCGCAAGCAGCGAAATCGCACCCTGTATGCTGCCATCAATATCCTTCGCCCACTGAAAAATCATCCGGAGTGAACGGTGCGACCAGCGTATTTCACGCGGGAGGCAGGTGAAACGACAAGGAAGCGATTGCCGAACCATCCCACAATGGCTGGTTTTAATGGCGATTTGACTGGACTCAATCTCTCTGCTGTACGCCGGAGTTAGTCGATCCGCAGTTTTTTGGTCTTCCACAGGTGTACGGAGGTGCTATCGCTGTCGACGTTCTTGAAGGAGATCACCCTCGCTACTCAGAATCCTCTGCGTTCTGCATGCGTAAGCGTACAGTCTGTACGTTGCGAACGAGCGCAGGACTTTGCTCCCGTATACGGTTCAGGCACTGCCACACCATAACGGGGCGGCGTTCTCATTAACCACTGCTGGTGATGCAGCAGTCATTGTGAACTGATGGTAAATCATCCCCCGTAGTCTCGTTATAGCTGCTTAGAATGGAGCGGGAGCCCCCCATGTCGCAAACGTGAACCTGGGAGCATCGCACCATAATGACATTATCCTTCAAATGGCTTCGATACGACGGTGTATTGGTTCCTTGCCCGAATCTCGCGCAAACTGTAGCAGCAAAGCGCCAGTGACGTTGAGCCTATCGAAAGCTAGCGCAGCTCTCAGCCTAGTTCAAGATTGTCATGCGGTTTCTCTAGACTAGGTTTCCGTACTGGCTTTGCTGACCCAGAGCAGACTCACCTGCACGCAGCAGCGCACGGCAAAGATACGAGATAGGAAGAGCTGTAGCAGTTTTGATATAGAGCCGAGTTTCTCATCATCAAGCGCGTTTTCCAGCAGCTTCTTTTCCGGGCGCGCATGCGGCCGCGGAGTCACCCGAATGCCCTCTCTGGGAGACCCCGCCACGCCGATATCTCGATCCACTTGTCGCATACGCGGCTCATTATGACAATTTCGAATGCATAACTTGACTCAGAAGCATCACCAAAACGTATAGCATCATAAGACGAGCTCCCTGTGAAGCGCCAAGGTGCTGCATAGGTCGTGCTCCCCATGAACGGGTCGTACGCAAACACTGCGCAGAAACGCAGCTTCTGCGCAGCGCCGGAAACGGTGCAGCATGGCGCGAAATAGCGTGCACGTTCGTTTCCGCAAACTTTGCGCTACCGTTGCGCCGCACACAGTTTCTACGTCCTAGCACGTTGCAAACATCCAGCTTCTTTTCATCTTGATGCGCTTGCCAATAGTGTTCAAGTCGGAGAACTTGCCAGAGTGGACGCTGATGGAGCTGCAGGGTTCGCTCACGTTTGACGCCCCCGTAAAGCAAAGCGCCGACGAGACACCTGGCGATGAAACACGCTGTTTCGGAACGGTGCAGTCCAACGCTGGAGAACGACAACGCGTACTCACTTTGTCACAGTATGAGCTCGCTGGCAATATCGTGACCTTGAAACAACCGTTCCTTGTGTTGCGGAAAGGAAAGCCAGTTGCAGAGCACGGAACCACCCAGTGGGAATGTGTAGCGATTATTCGCGAAAAGACGGTGTTCAGAGACAGGCCGCGACCGCGCGTACCGACCGAGCTGTTGAACCTTAAACAGAAACGGTACAGATAGAGAGGACGATAAACAAAATTTTATGGTTCGTTGTGTGGGTAACGCATGACGAGTTCGTTATGCGCTTGGTGCCAGCCGCTGACAACATCGGTACACACCGGTATCCGAAGGAGGGATGCGCGCCCTGTTCTGCCGGGGCGCTCGCCGCTTCCGGTTTCAAGGGATGTTTCGCATCCTTGGTATATGCGCTGGGCGGCAACATAAACACATGGAAGAGGTGCAGGCGCATGACCGGTATCAGGAACCATGTGTCAGAACGCTTTCCATTCTGAAAGGAAAAGCAAACCGATGGCTTCGCTCTCTAACCATCTCCGAGTAGATTTGGCATATCGATGAGGGAGGCGCTCATCCAAAACGCGAGCCGTCTGCTCCCTCCGGCCCTTTTCCAGTGCGCTGCACTCTGTCTCCAGCTCTGGAACGGTGCCGGTGAATACTGCGTTCGACGTCACTAATCTGTTGGACGGAACCATTGTACTGACCGTTGACCCCTGACTGCTTGCTCGATATCAGCAATTGGGAAATCGTTTATCATTCAGGCAATCTTCATCGCCGAGTAACGATCGCGGATCCAAGAGCGTTCTTCCAAGCTACCCGAAATGTTTTCGCTCATGCCCGCAGACACGCAGCCACGGCGAGATGCGACGCACAAAAATATCAACCGCCAGTCGCCCTACAATGGTTATCGTTCACTGGACCTGCGAAGCGCGAGGGCACGTTCCCCTGCTGCAGCACCGAAGACTATGGGCTGGAAGCGCCGAGCTTCGACAGCGCCCAGCGCGCCGTGCACTGCAATGGGGCGATGATGTTGTGCGCTGGGGCACGCTATGTTGATGCTTGCGAATGGATAATGGACCTTGGATGTAGGCAAAACGACCAACGCTCTCCCGAATGTCGGTATCCACTGTAGCATCGCGGATTGCTGAACTATGCAAACACGCTGTTAAACAAAAAACTGTGCGTGCATACGTATGAATATGCGTGCGTGCATACATATGAATATGCGTGCGTGCATACGTATGAATATTTGTGCGTGCGTCTATGGATATGCGTGCGTGCGTCTATGGATATGCGTGCGTGCGCTGGACGCTCATCGGGCAATTGCGTACTCGTTCACGCAGCGCGTTCTGTCAAAGTACCATTGACCCTACGATCCCGTATACCACGCGTAGCTTACCTGTGTGCGAAATGTTTCTTTCTTTTTCAGCAGTATTCGCTGGACGCAACTGCTGTCGTACGCAACAGTCCCATCGCCAGTCGGTCTTTTCGCCGACTGCTTGGCCGCACCTTTTCTCTGGTGCACAGCGAGTGGAGCGGGGGCGTCGAGCTACCAGCCAGGGCAGACGTGCACGCTCGCTGTTGAGCACACGTACCTTTTGTATGTCGAGTTCACAAGAAGATCAACCAAAGAGCAAATCCATGGCATCGTTGAGGCCGAAAGTTTGCGTTCTAGGTGGCGGTTTTGGAGGCCTCTACACGGCCTTGCGACTTTGCCAGCTGCCGTGGGGACGTGACCTCCGTCGCTATGAGGCAGCTGCGCGGACGCCCCAGCGCGAGTCCACTTTTTCTGTAGACAATTCTGAGCGCAGGCGCGCTTCCGATACTTCAAAGCAGAGCGCAAGCCAGCGACTTGTTGCGGGACAACGCACCCGACCGGAGCTGACACTGATCGATACCCGAGAGCGGTTCGTTTTCCTGCCTCTGCTTTATGAGCTGGTAACCGGAGAAATGGGCATTTGGGAAGTGGCGCCACCGTTTGCGGAGCTTTTAGAAGACACCGATGTCGACTTTCTGCAGGCGCAAGTGCAGCATATCGATCTCGACAAGCGGCGAGTAACTGTGCGACCGATGATGCCCAGCAACGCTTCTGAGTCGAAGGAATCCGATGAGATCATTTCCTATGATCGCCTCGTGATCGCTCTTGGCAGCGAAGATACGCGGGATATGGTTCCTGGAGCTCGCGAGCATGCGCTGGGCTTTCGCAGTGTCGAGGATGCCATTCGCATTCGCGAGCGGGTCCGACTATTAGAGTCGTCTTCGCAGCCAACGATTCGCATCGTAATCGTCGGTGGAGGCTACAGCGGCGTAGAACTGGCATGCAACTTGAGTGATCGACTCGGTCCGCGCGCCCAGATTCAAATCGTTGACCGAGGGAGAGAGTTGATGGCAGCGTCGACAGCGTATAATCGATCCCAGGCGACGCGTGCGCTGCGTCTGCGAAATATAAGCTTCGTACCTGAAACAAGCGTGGTCTCAGTAGGTCCGAATTCGTTACGCCTTTCTTATGCCGAAAAAAGCGGCGACCGTGCTCCTCCAGCATCTGAAACCACACTCGAACAAATAGACCTGGTGCTCTGGACAGCAGGAAACCGAATCAATAAGGTGATCCGCGAAGGGCTCATTGCTAGCCGGCAAGTAGAGCGCAATGAACGAGGCCAGCTACTTACGGATCGATTCCTACGCTTACCGAACTATCCCGAGGTCATTGTGCTCGGTGATGCCGCCCAGATCCGAGAGCCAGTTGCAGCTGTTCCCGTGGTAACGAGGGAGCAACCACGCGGAATGACGGCACAGATTGCGCTTCAAGAGGCAGATTTTGCTGCGTGGAATACCTGGGCAAGCCTAACGGGTCGGGAACCGCTGCCCTTCCAATATGTGCATCTGGGCGAAATGATCACACTCGGCCGCGACGACGGCAGCGTCCAACTGCTGGGTCTTTTGAACCTCAGTGGACCGCTTGCCCATCAGCTGCGACGCTTGGCGTATATTGCTCGAATGCCAACAGATGCGCATCGGTTGCGTGTTGGTGCTAGTTATGTGGCACAGCCCCTGCTGCGCATCCTGGAGGGAGTTCTTGCCGTTGGTAACGATGTTCTAGACGCGCTTGGACAGGGGCGTGGCACACGCGCCCCCGGGTGCCCATTCACAGCGAACCAGGACACCCAGCAACAGCAACAACGGCAGCAGTCGTGGAGCTCTTCGACCGCACCGCGCTCCGACGAGAGCTCCTGAGTTAAGTCTTGCGATACAAGATATGACGCAATCAAAAGAGTAACTCGCAAACAGCACAGAGATCGTTGTTCCTCATATCGTACACCTCGTTGCTTTCGCGCAAGACGTTTTCTACGTGCAGCCAGAAAATATTGGGTAAGTATGCACCGCACTGGCACTACGTTGTCACCGCCTTGTCAACGGCGGAGACAATGAAGACGGGATCGGAGCTGGGCCACACACAAGCACGAAAGACGGCATTCGTCATCCACCGATGGCAGGAGCCGCTTGTCCGTGGCATCTTTCGCGAACCAGGTCATGGTGAGCGTGCTCTTCAGTGTGCAAACACTCAAGTCTGCGGCACGACAAGCATGGGTTGCCCCCTCCACAAACCGACAAATACTGTGGAATACCGGATTCCTGGTTTGAGTCAGCTGATGGCCATCCGGTGTAGGACCTCTGAATGCGCACTTGTTCTGATTATTGTGACAGGCGGAAGGCAGCGTCGGACTAATTTGGCGCGACAGCGGTAGCCACAATTCGACCAGCAGCCGTCGTCATATTGCAGACTTGTACATGGCACCGCGCTTTCTGTTTGCCGGAGGTATATCGTGCAAACATCGGTCGGCGCGCTCTCTTCCCATCTGATTTCGCGAACGCCAGTGCGAGCCATCAAGGATGCTGCTACCACTACTACTGCTGCTGCTGCTGCGCTAGTGCTCGACTTTTGGGGTCTATCTGTACGTGTTTCGAGCCGAGGGTTGCGCTCGGGAGTACCGCCCACGCCCCTGCAGTATATGATCGGTGTAACGTTTCCCTGCGTCGACCTTACGCAGTGTGCGAGGCGACATTTTGTATCTGACAACGCGCTCGAAGTTGCCGCGTTCCGGGGCTGAAATGCTACAGAGCGCGGCCCAAATTCGTTCGCCGCACTGATCTGCTTGCAAAGTACCGCACCCTGCCATGCAATGCGGTACCGTATCCTGACGCCACGCACGATACCACGCCACGTTCACGCATTTCCGCAAGAAGCCGTGTCGATCGTTTCGCAGAGCGAACGAACCAGCTCGGTGACTGCCGCTGCACAACCCCAGGACACGGTGACGCCGCCGCCTCCATGCCCGTAATTGTGGATAATCCACCGCGAGGCATCCGCATTGTTCGCTTCTCCGGCCGCCGGCCAGCGCTCGAGCTCAAGGCGAACACCTCCGGTGCGTACTGGACGCAGGCCGCTCCACACCTCGGCCACTGATAATGCGACATCCTTGTTTTGCCACGGCTTGTAGAGTTGCCGGCAGCGCTCGAGCATGTCGCGAGCAATTGGTGGTATTTGCTCAGGCTCCAAGTGGTCTGCGATGGTCGACAACTGCACAAGTCGCTCCTGCTCTGCTGCTGGAAGATCGAACAGCACCGTTCCGCCGCAGGTGCACAGCTCCTCGTTTCGTGGGATTACATAGGTGGGGTACTGCGGATCTCCGAGTGGACCGCCTGCTACTTGCAAAACGAATCGCATTGGGTAGCGAACGCGGACGAGCACACCCAATGCTGGACGTAACTCCGAGTCAGCACAGAGCGTACGCGCACCCAGACCCGTAGCATTCACGACAATGGTCATTCGGTTCGTGGTCGGTATGCGACATCGACGTACCACATCTGTCAACCTTTGTAAAGGCAATGGTGGTTCACCAGAGTTCTCGTTCCAGAATATGCCGCCAAGTCGACGGAATCTTGCGACGAGCCATTCGAGATAGCGGGGCATATCGACCACGGCCGTACGCCATTGAAGCGCATACGAGTAGCCGTCCGGGAACGAAGGCATTGTGTCAGCGACCGCCGTTGACTCGGTACGTGCACTGCTCGCCAAGGTCTCCTCTGGACGCTGATCGCGTCCAATCACGGCCAAGTCGAGCACGTCTGCGTGCCAGTAGGGCAAACTCTCCGGTGGTTTCGGGTAAAACTGGTACGCTGGTACGAAACGTACGCCCGTGTCGGGGTTTTCGGCGTCCTGCAGAAACCGCTGGTACGTGGAGCGAGCCCAGTCACGCACTTTGTCCTGTGGTTCTATGTGGAACGGCAGCCATAGACCCGCACAACCACAAGACGTGGTCTGATTCAGTTGTGTCAGGTCGCCGTAGATGCCCACGAGGAGCCGTCCTGAACCGAACGTCTCCAGGAGGTGCACTGCCGTCGTGAGCGCACTGATCCCGCAACCGACGACCACGACTACGACCTCGGCAGCAGTCTCAGGATGCGTCGATGACGACATGCTGAGAGCCAGGTGCACGTAGGCCCGCGGACGTGACGACACGCGTTGTCCGGTCCGAGATAGGGCGACTATGGTACCTGACGGTTGAAAGGCGCGGGCGCCAGCACCAGCACCAGCACCAGCACCAGCACCAGCACCAGCACCAGCACCAGCATCTCCAAAATGCGGGCTGACGTCACCGGCGACACGAATCCGCGAACGTGGAGTCCCTTGTCACTGCCGGTCTCCGGGATGGTGCTGATTATTATGGGAGCTGTTCAACTGAAATGTGCGGAAAATTGGGCAATACGTTCAGTCAATACAAGTATGAAACGTGCACGACCTACTTCTCGCCGTAGCAGGGGTTTGCGCGGCAACAATCGGCATCAATGAAAACAGACCCCATAGCTGCGCTTCGTCCGAAAGTCGATACCCGTGCTTTCCCCCACTCGAAGTGCAACAGATACCCAGTTTATTGCTTGGGATGAAAAGGTTGCTGAAGCGCAGGTTGCATGTGCGAAAGCGTAGCAATGTCAATAGGTAATATGTGCATCATTCTAGACACGCACTGGATGGACACGTAAGCATTTGGCGCCAAAACGCTGTGTACATGCACCACATGTGCATCACACTCGACATGCATCATTCTAGACACGCACTGGATGGACACGTAGGCATTTGGCGCCAAAACGCTGTGTACATGCACCAGCATGCATGCACCACATGTGCATCACACTCGACATGCATCATTCTAGACACGCACTGGATGGACACGTAGGCATTTGGCGCCAAATCGCTGTGTACATGCAATTATATCCGTTGCAGCGTAACGTGCACTGCAAGTGCTTCCTGGTGCATACTATATACCGACAAGAGCTCCTTTCCTGGTCCTCATGCATTGACGCCAATCGTTCACCCCGGTCTTTACACTGCGTCCAAGATATCCGTTTCCAGTGCCGTGAGCGTTTCCGCTGCCGCCTTGTTCGTACTGGTGGCTCGCGTTGTCGACGGCTCGCGGCTAGGCGGCAGAGAGGCCGCCTCCATCGAGGCCTGTCGTTGTCTCATCAACGAAACAAGCTGCATAAACGCGTCGAGCGACGGGCTCGGTGGACGTGTCGGTAATGCTGCCCAAGTCATGACGACAGCACCACCACCACCAGCAGCAGCAGAAGCAGAAGCAGCTGCTTCTGGCTTGCTAAACAGATAGGCACGTCTACTTCGTCCGCGTCTCGGACGGGCCTGGATCCATAACCAGCGAATGCCCGTCGGATCGGAGCGCTCACGAATGGCCTCAATACGAGCCAGCCGACAACGCCACAGAAACGCGCCATTCCCGTCGACAGCAACAAGATATGAACGGGAGAGAATGACTGCCGCTGGTACGGCAACCGTGATGAGCGTTTCCTGAGCACCAGCACCAGCACCAGCACCAGCACCAGCACCAGCACCAGCAGCACCAGGATTCTTCCCGAGACTCGAAGCCAACCTGCCCTTGGATATCCAGCCGATTAGGCGCCTTCTCGAGACAGCACCCCAAACCGAAGGGCGCTGCGTCGCCTCCATCGACGAGTCCCGTGCTTCCTCTTCCTCTCTGTCCTCCAGCGCCGACATTTCAAACTCAATATGTATGACGTAGGGCTCTGTAGCTAGCGCTCCGCGTTGAACCTGGTGCAAGAGCCGCTGACCCCGCGCCAAATACGCCACATACGGTGGAAGCGGTGCATCGCTGGCCCGGTAGAGCACACGTGGATCACGGAGACGTTCTCGTGTTCGCAGATCCACCCGGTTCTGGTTGCGGATACCCATGGCAAGCTTCTGAACGAGCACCAGAAAAGAGGCCAAAGTCAGGGGTAGCCATCCCCAGAGACCCGCCACAAGACCCTGAAACAAGCCGCCAACGCCGGACTGACGGTACCCGCGCACCGGCTCCACGAATATGCCCGTCAATGCGGCACCGAGCGCAGTACCAGCACCCAACATACCATACGCGATCCCGAGAAAGATATCCTCCGGTTCACCAAGCGTGCGATCTTGACGCGCTCGGGCGATCTCAAAGGTCCTGTTCAAGCTGATCGTGCCGAGTGCACGAGCCAAACTACCGGCTAGCTGTGCCGCAGGTTGCGTTAACGCAAAGGTGAGCGCTTGACCCTGGGCAAAAGCCCCGCGCCGAAACCCCCGCCACAGCGCCTCATTGGACTCGAACAGACCACTGATAGGCTCGTTAAAGAAATCAAATGTGCCTTCACGAAGCTCATACAACCAGCCGGCTGGATCACCGAGCCAGCTCAATCCACCTATGAAGTTATACGAGCTCAGGAACGACTGCCACAGCACATGCTGTACCATGCGCTCAATGACCTGTACAAGCGGTGCATACACCTGACGTAGCTGGAATGCACCCACCAGAACCAATGCATTGTCGAGTTCCGTGAGCACCAGACCCGCGTTGAAGAGCGTTTGGCGTGTCAAGGCCGCAGTTTCCAGTGCGCGTTCCCGATCCGTCTTGAACGATAGCCGCAGGCGCATACGCTCGACCCGTACAAGCTGGAAGAAAGAGGGCGCTCGACGCTGCTCTGCAACCGCTCGACTGGACGCAAGCCACAAGCTGGGCGCATCCACGGCCTCCAGCACACTCCGAAGCACGGGGGCAGTGCGCTCCAGTCCCGCCCGACGTTGCGAAAAGCTCGACCAGAGCTCACGCGCAGCCTCCAACAACTGCCATAAAAGTCCATCATCCAACATCACCAGCAACTCGGCGATACGCAGCTGAATGCTGTAGTAGTGCCGACCACCGGCATGTTGCCGCCACCGCGCCGCACACGAGAGCCACGGCTGCTCGCGGGTCAGCATCAATACCGGAGATACGTAGAAAGGTAACGTGTTATCGCATTGAACGCTAGTCACCTGGAGAGATAAAGACGACTCCGGTCCGCAGGTATGGAGGAAGAGCTCCATTCCCGAGGCCGCCGCATAGAGCATCTCGAAGAAACGCTGATGCGAATCGCACAGCACCAACGAGACTGCCGCGCGCTTCAGTTCTACCTGGAGCAGGATTTCCAGCGATGGTGCTCCGCGCTGCCGGTGGAGAAAAGCGCCCAACAGCGGGACCTCGTTGGATGCAGACGCCTGGGCACCAGCGCTCATGAAGGAGGTTTCGATGAGCGCCCGCGCTTGCGCTGACGTCGACGTGTGCTGCGCTGTATCCGTTGTAGTCGCAGTCGTCGTTGCTGTTGCGGCAGTATGCCGGGTGCTACTGAATACCAGCTGGGCAGTGCCGGTCCCAACGAGGTCAACCTGTGGATAAACCAGGTCAATGGCGGTGCCAGCTTGTCCCTGAACAGGTAATGCTGCATAGCGTTGCGGCTCCATGAGGTCGTAGACTTGTCCATGCCGCCAGAGACGCCATTCGAGCGCCTCCCGCAGCGACGCAAACGCCATCGCTTGCAAGCAGTAGTGTTCCGTGACCCAGGCTGGACTCAGTGTTAGGCGCGCGTACGGCCTGGCGACTTGAAACATACAGCGCCGTCGATGGAACAGGCTACCGCCCAGCGCCAGGGTCTGCGGTGGCATCCACCGATAGAGGATCACATAGGGTGTACGATTCCAGAGCGCAAACCGGGGACTGGTGGGTAACTCGTCGCTCAGGATGACGATTTTCTGACCCAAGAGGTTGCTGCTGACCTGAACGTGCAGCAGGCATTCAAAAGCTTCGCGTAAGTGGGCGCTTTCGTTGCTGCTGTAACGTTGCCAATGCTGGTGGCGCTTCGTATCTGGAAGCTCCCCCTGTCGACAGGTACCCAACTGAACCTGATCCTGTTCCTGGTACCGCGTCGGATACCGCTGCTTATGCGGGTCGTCATTGCGCTGGTGTCGTCTCTGATCCACGTTCGATTCAAGCAACCGTGCTTTCGACCGACTTGCGCCAACCGGCTGACTCGCTTTCGTTCCATGCTGATTACCCGTTTCCAGCCGCGAACACGACTGCTGCTGCTGCTGCTGCTCTGCTTCCGTTCCGTGCGGATTCATGGAATGCGACTTGAGCCCAGTGCTACCACCAGTACCAGGTCGCTCGACCAGTTGTACACGCTGGGCGCCCAGATGACTCGCCAACAACAGATGCTCCATGATAAAGCTCAGCGTGAATACGCGATCCTCTTTCAGCGGCAGGTCACGATACCAGTGCCAGTTGATTGCCGAGGCTTCCTCACAACGATCCTCTCGAACAGCTAGCGACAGCACGGGTCGACTGAGCCAGGAGCGGGCACTTCGTCCTCGTCCATGCTGCCAAAGCCGCAGCGGACGTACCGAGAACGCACCAGACGCTTCAGAGCCAGCCGAAGCAGGCAGCTCCAGGACTGCTGCAGATGACCCATGCAAGGCCCTGACCGCCACTGCGAACGTCGACGCGTTCTGAATGAGCAAATACGGATGCAAAGAGACCAGCGTGACACCGGTCAGTTCCCAGTGAGGCTGACGATGAATCACCAGCGGCCAACCGTCGAGCACAAACTCGCTGCGTCCCAGGGTCTGATACCGCACGTCCACCGATCCGCCAGCGAATCGCCGTTGTCTACGACTCTGATGACGATCGGATGTCGGTGAAGCCTGTACCCCAAACCGGGCACGGTTCGCCATGGTAGCAGCCGGAGCCGCACTCGTGAGCGAGAGCATCCACAAGCCCTCGGTTCCTCTCTCGAACGCAGTGCGAGCATGCTGCTGCTGTGGAGCGCCGGACGCGAGCTCAGACCTCGACTCGAGCGACGACGACAGCGCGGCCTGGAGTGCCGGAAAGACGCCCTGCGACGATGCTGCTGTTACGGACACTTCAGGATAACCCGGTACGCCGGGCGGTACCGTTGCATTCGCCCTGTGCAAGCGCACCGGCGACTCGGTATCGAGCTCGTGCGTCGGTTGCCGGGTGGCAGCGTCTCGTGTACACGGTGCCTGCAGCTCTGCAGCGACCTCGCCAAGCACATCAGGTCGCTGCTTCTTCGTCGACGACGATACCCAGCACCAGCGGCTCGAGCGGTCCGCAGACGGTGTCGCTGGTGGCACCGGATTCAAAGGCAGCACGTCCAGGGCGATATTCGTAAAGTTCAGCAACCAGTAACTAGCCGTCAACGTGAGCAGCCAACGCGCACTCGACCGATCCAGGTCGCCATGAGGAGCGAGTTGCAAGCGCCAGCACCGCAGTGCATTCGTCTGTTGACCGCGGAACCAGCCATCCCAGTAGGACTGGGATGCATCAGGCAGGCTGCGAGGCGCCTCCAGGGTGAACACAGAAGGCACCCGGCACTTGTAGGTGTCGTCGGGCTCACGAACCGACCACTCCATGAGCCAGGGGCGCATCCAGTTGACGCCAGTGATGGTGTCCTCGGCGCCACTGGCCAGCGATAGGCGTCCAGTGCGTTGACCGTCCTGCAGCAGGTCCAGTGTTGCAGGATACGGAAGCGCATTCAGTACCTTGACAACTGGTAGAATGGATAGGGCGAGCCACCAGGCATCCGATCTCATACGGAACGCTTGCATTCGCGCATACCAGAGCACTCGTCGTTGTGAAGCGGCAACTCCAGCATTTGCTCTCCCTCCGGTACCAAAAGCGGCGTATTTTGTTTCACTGTAGAGCGGTAAGCAGACGGCGCTGTGCCGCGCTTCCATCAGCAACGGCTCCAGTTGCGTCGCTCGCAGAAACGCACCCATTTCCAATGGAGCGTTTGGTGGCGGCTCTTTGCTCCTCAAAGCGTCAGACGAAGAAGACTGCGAGTCCAGGGCCTCAGCAGGTGTTCGCGAAACCCCGGACGAGTCGCAGGCATTGGCCGGGACTCGCGACTCTGGTCGGCGATACGCCTGAATGTACAGTTCTCCGTCGAGCGTCGAGAACGCGAGCGGTAGCGAACGAACGCCTTGTGGCGGTATCACCGTCTCCAGCACCAGCTGGGTTTCCACGGAACGTGTCCGTGGTGTTGCAGATGCGCTACCAGGTCTCTGCGTCGATGCAGCAGTACCAGTACCAGCAATAGCAGTACCGGTAGTAGCAGCATCCGCACATGGCGCTTGGCTTGGTGCCCAGTTCCGATCCACACCTGACCTCTGGTACGATGCTCCGGCTACATCACCCGGTGCTTCATCTGATGGTGCGCTAGTCCCGACACTAGAGCGCTGGTTCACGTCCAGAGACGCGTACGCTAGCTGCGAGTCTGCCGCTGTACTCGAAGCGTCCAGTGTTGCCGCAGTCGCTGGCCAAGCAGCGCGTTGCCAGCAGTCAACACCTGCGGGCTGTTCATCGGTGGCACGGTGACGTGTTTTCGGGACTGGTGTGGGGTCGGCTTTGCGACTCTGATGATAACACGCGAACTGATGTGCGTACCAGGAGCGAATCTCGATCGCATGGGGCTTGTTCGACGCGGACTTTGGCACTGGAGACCCACCAGGAACACGTAGACGTAACCGCAGACTTGTTCCCGTCGTATTCTGTACCAGAACGGGGCTGTGGAACGATACCGTGAGTTGCTCACCACGCAGGGCCCCAATCATGAGCAACTCCAGGAATGGCGCCGCAGCCCCAGCAGCAGCCCCAGCAGCAGCCTTGGCTGGTATCGAGTCTGTGGCAGCCAAAGCGGCCCCGATACCCCCAGCCTGCCACTGCAGACGCAACAGCTGACGCCCGTAATGACTCAGGTTCAACCAGGCCGGTGTCCAGGGCGAGGTCAAGCAGGATGCAGCTGCAGCGGTTGCGTCCTGGACCCAGAGTCTCGCGCGAAACGCAGCATCTGCTCGCTGTCGATCGTCATCAGCGGGATACCAACAACAGGTGCTGGGCAGAGGCGCTACCAGGGGCAGCGCAACTCGCGCCCCAGGGGCAAGCTGCAGCGGTACCAGTTGCAGTTGCGTCTCTAGGCAAAGCACCAGCTCCGTCGCGTTGTACAACTCCAGCAGCTGCGGCTCCGACCGAGGACGCGTCCATCGGACCCAAGCTCGCTGTCGGTGCCGCAACTGACGATGTCGACCGAGCTGACGATGCTCCATTGCGAACTCGTGCCGGATTCGTTGATCCGTCTGAGCGATAGCCTGAATAAAACGATCGCTGACGGTGCATTCAATGGACTCGGGCACCTCGATGGCTACCCCCAGCGTCATCGTGTCCAGTGTCTGGTTGATCTGGGAACGGCTTCGAATCCAGAGATTGAACGGGTCCACCAGTGGATCCCATACCAAGCGATCAGACGCGAAGGTGTGCATGGCCATGCGAAGGTGCACCGTCACACCCAGCGCTTGTTGGTCGGGTGCCCAGGTCACCTCGAGGTCCTCGGGGCACAGCGCTAGGCTCACAAGTGCGTACGGTACTTGTGCAAACGTGTCCATGAGCGAGAAGCGAATCGGACCGATACTTCCTTGCCAATGGATCGTCTGCTCGGGCGTACCGGTTGACGCAGCAGTAGCACCGGCTGTAGCACCAGTATCGGGAGTAGTACTCGTGCCGTCCAAATGCATCGGTGAACGCGGTGAGGTGCTATCGATACGCTCGGCAGGCCTTGGGGCGCTTTGTGCGTCTGAATCCATGGATAAGCTGCTCCTGAGTAATGAAGCGAGCGTCCTCCTCTTGCCGGATTCACGACTCTGATCCAGGAAGCTTTGCTGCTCCTTTGCCTGCAATCCAGCTTCCAGATCGATCCCCCGTGTCGTTGCAGCAGCAGCAGCTGCTGCTGCAGCATCCACGGCATGCCTTCGCGGAACGTGCACATCCAGTGACTGAGCCTGTTTCGCTGAAGGTACAGTGCGACGACGCCCAAGTCTCTCGCTTAACCAGGCCTTCAACGGACCCGAGTTGACTGCCGCAGCTGCCAGGCCCAGTGGTCGCCGCCCCGAAGAACCTCGCTGATGTAAGTGGCGCGCTGTTGCCGCTGCACCCGTGCTCTCGTTACCAGCAGCATGGCCTTCGTCATTATCGGTATCACGAGCACCATGATCCAGGTGCTCCGAGTCGCGTTCTTGGTCGATGCTGGGCGCACCACTACCACCAGCACTATAACTACTCCTGATACTGCCACTGAAACGTCGATGATGGAGGTCGGTGTCCGCGAGCCCCAGTAGAGCTGCCCCCAGACGTCCACTGGCGCGAGACACAAACGCCGCACTCCGCAGCGCTAGACGATGTCGGTACCAGGCTCTGCGGACTCGCGCCGTCTGCAGTCGCTGAAACAGAGTGTTCAAGAGTCCATCCAGGGTGCGCAGACACAGCACCAGGTCATCGACACCAAAGCGCAGTTCCAGCTCCTCGGATAACAACTGTACCTGTATGGTGGATGAGGATGCCTCGTGGCCTCGTGGCGAGGTCAGTTGACGCTCCACAACGATCGATGCAAAGTACGGCTGGCACTGGATATCGTAGACGCTGCCGCCATGCCACACGTTTTGCTTGGGAGCTGCTTGTTGCGCTAGCCACGCCCGAAAGAAGAGCACTTCTTGAACACCAGAAACGAGACGCTCGAGTTTTCCGGTAGCGCTCAACTTGAGCGCAGCGTGCATTGCCAGTTCAATCCCGACTCCAGCCAGCATGGTTGCTCCAAAGGTACGCTGGTCCAGGAGGAGGAGTTCCAGCCTTGGGAGCTCCAGCTGCATGTCCCAGCCGCTAGTTCCAAATAACGACTCCACCGAGAGGTCGTGCAGGCGCAAGTACGGCCGCAACGACTTGGTTGTCTGGCCGAGGGTTATGGTGTAGACAGTGAGCACCTCGAGGACGGCAACGTCGGAGATGCCGCGCATCGTCAGCTGCAACGACTTGTCGGTTTCAAAACGCCAGCGGAACGGATGACCGGGCTGGGTCCCCAGATCCAGCGATACGGGGCCACTGCAGAGGACCATACCAGTTCGTGTCTGTCGCCAACGCGTCTTTCGAGTATGCTGGGCGAGGGTCGGCGTATTGGCCTCTGGCGGCTGGGCGGCAAACGCCTCAGGAGTAGCAGACGGCAGTTGCCATGCTGCTGTTGCTGCCATTTCTGGGGTCTGCGAGCCTGACAACGTCACGGAGGAGGCCAAGGCCGGCTTTCTGAGCGCTCTCGATGTCGGAGCAGCGAATACATCCTGTTGCTCTTCTGTGCGCTCTGCTTGATCGCGTCGACTCCAGAGTTGCAGTTCAGAGAGGGTGAAATGTCCCTCACTTGCACCGGACGGCAGCGTTAGCGCGAATACACCTCGAAAGTCTCGACAGTCCATTAGGACTTGCGCGGGTACTGTTTCAGTATCAGAAGCGGTACGGGTTCGCGTATTCGAGTCCTGGTTACCGCGGGAATGCAGTACTGGGCGGCTTTCGTTGGACTCGGAGCGTTCCCGTACCATCGACCTGAGGGATCCGGTGCTGGACCAGTTCGCTGCACCTAGAGACGATGCACTCGCCGAGACCGGGTTGCGTCCAGGCTCGCTGGTGGCAGGTTTGCGGCTGCGGTATCGACGCTGTTGTGCACCTAGCGAAGAGGTTTCCCCCGGTAAAGCCACCGGAGCACGCGCTTCAGATACTGACGACGTGATAGAGCCTGGTATCTTGCTAGCCGAAAATGCAGATGCAGTGCTGGAGGATACGCTCGGTGCTTGTTCCGCGGAGCGTCTGGTGTCTCGAACCGCACCTGAAGCGTCGATGGCAGGCTCGGTATTCGTCTCTGTTTCTGTTTGAAGCGGCGTTGTGCTGTCGCTGGAGTTCACGTTTCCGCTAGAGCCCCAGAGCTCTTCGAGTTCTGGATCCGTAGCATCGGCAAAGAGCAGGCAACGCTCGAAAGAGAGCTCCACGGTGATGCGCTTTGGTTCGTAACTCGATACCGGGAAGCAGCGCTGGCCATATGATCGTAATAGGTTCGTGAGTAGAACCAGTTCCAGGGCAGCGATCACCGTGGGACTCAGGTGGCATTCCAGCTCCGCAGCCTGTGCTTGCAAGACCAGCGATGTGACGTCCACCGGCTCGTCACTGACCTCGAGTGGAAGCGTAACGGGTTCCGGACTGGAACGTTGCTCCGTCCGCTTCTCTGCTGGTGGTGCTGTTTGCGACGATCTCGTAGGTATTTCTCCAGGGACGGTGACTGCTCTCCGTATCCCAGTCGACGTGCCTGCATTCTCCGATGCTGTTTGCGACGATCTCGTAGGTATTTCTCCAGGGACGGTGACTGCTCTCCGTATCCCAGTCGACGTGCCTGCATTCTCCGATGCTGTTTGCGACGATCTCGTAGGTATTTCTCCAGGGACGGTGACTGCTCTCCGTATCCCAGTCGACGTGCCTGCATTCTCCGATGCTGTTTGCGACGATCTCGTAGGTATTTCTCCAGGGACGGTGACTGCTCTCCGTATCCCAGTCGACGTGCCTGCATTCTCCGATGCTGTTTGCGACGATCTCGTAGGTATTTCTCCAGGGACGGTGACTGCTCTCCGTATCCCAGTCGACGTGCCTGCATTCTCCGATGCTGTTTGCGACGATCTCGTAGGTATTTCTCCAGGGACGGTGACTGCTCTCCGTATCCCAGTCGACGTGCCTGCATTCTCCGATGCAGTTTGCGACGATCCCATTGTGGGCGATGTCACTTGGTGCCCAGTGTCGAGCTTTCCAGTCGGCAGCGTCCAGTAGATGGATGCCTCCAGTAGGGGAACCGGCTCGAGGAAACAAACCGCAACCCGCTCTTGATCCGCAAGCCTGCAGAAAACACTAACCTCCTCTGTTTGTGCTTCAAAGTAACTCGCAACAATAGCATCCCCGAGCATCGGAAAGGGTCGCTCTGCCGATACGGATGTCGCCACTGGACTCGAGAGCGCCGTTTGCTCGAGGCGCAGTCGAGCCGTTTCCAGCTTCACCTCGACGAAAGACGCCTCATGGAGCTCGCTCGGGAAGCATACTCGAGGTTGAATACAGTGTATCTCGATGTGGACTGGTAGACGCATCGCTGTCGCTGTATTCGGAATCTGCCCCGTATCGCTGATCCCAGCTGGAAGCGCACTGCTGGATGCAGGACCCATCCGTGCGGAACCTTTTCGAGACACAGCACCAGCAAGAGCAACAGCAGCAGCACTAGTTTCATCTGTTGGCGAAGAAGCGCCCAGGATCACCGGTGGTTGCACGTGCTGGCACGCTGACACCATCGCAAGCGTATCTCGCCAGGCGTATACCGTCTGCACCAGCAAGGCGTAAAACGGATGGAAGTAGACGATCTCAGGTGCGTTCACCATCATACGCAGTTGAAGCCCGGGTACCACAGCGGTTCGAAGTGAAGCCTCTGGTGACTGCAGGCGACGACGACGTGCACTCGTTGGCGCTGCAGTCGCGACGGGACGCTCCTGCTCGAGTTCACTGGTAGCACTGGACGATTTTGAGGCGCCTGACGATCCGGAAGCGTCCAGTCCAAGAACTCCATGCACTTCGAGCGCTGCGCGTGTGCATGAGGTTTCTTGTGAAGCGCCCGCTGGAGCAGACTCGAGCGCTAGCGTCGCCTCTGCAGTTGCATCGCGAAGCGAGTCGCGTAACGTCGCTCGTGAGCTGCTGCTGCTGCTACTGAGTGCAACAAGCGACATTGGCCCCGAAGATGCTCGCCCGGCCGTTGGTGACTCATCCTCGACAGCCTGCTCGTCCAGCGTACCAGAGTAGAAGCGTAACTCGCCACCAGTATCGGATCGCAGCGACAACAGATCCCGCAGCGCGAGTCCCGATAGCTTCATCGTCAATTGCAAGGAAGACTGATCCTCGCTGCAGCATTCCAGGTCCAGGTGTCGAGCAAGCAGCTCCGCAAAGATGCCGAGCTCCTCGGAAACAGAACGCATCGCAACCAGCGCTTCTGCAAGGAAGAGCACCATCTGAAAAGTGCCGTCCAGTCCAGTTTGCTGTTCTGTCGTTGTCGTTGTCAGAGCGTCTCCACAGCGGCGCTCTCCTGGTGCTGCACCTAGCATCATGCCTGCACACGGGTCCGCTACGGTATCTCCGAGTGTCGTCTCTGCGGCACATCTACGAGCAGCGGCTGCATTCTCAGTGGCTATGGCTTCTGCGGCGTCTGCTGCGGCGTCTGCACCACCTGCCGCCTCTGCATTGGCTCTGTCTTCGGGTGTTGGTCCTGTTGTTGTGCATCCCGTTGGGGAAGACCCACTCGAGGTTGAGCGGGGTAACCAGGAAGCCGTCGCTGTCGTCGCTATTCGGGAGCGTCTGTGCCGCCATTGGCGAAGGCTTTCCCAGTTTGTACGTCCCAGAAAACTGCTGTGCTGCGCTGCAGGTGCATCGATGCGTTCTGCCTCTGTTTGTGAACAGGTCGGAGGCGCGTTCACCGGGACGCTGCGCTCCAGAAGCAACACCCAGAAATGAGACGCAAGTCGCCAGCAACGGAGTCGCCGACGAACTCGCTGCCAATGCATATGTGAGCGCTGCTGTCTGTTGCTCCAGGAGTTCTTCGGCATTGAGGCTGCCGCATATGCCTCGGCTCCAGTTGCATGAAGCGGCGGGCTGTCGCTGGACCTCAGTGTCGAGCGCTGGATCCCTGCGCACGCCAGCTCGCCAGACGGACCGGCTGCAAGCATGATTTGACTACAGAGTTGGATCAGAGCCTCCATCCAAGTGCTCTGCAACAGCAGAGATACCGAGGGTATCAGAACAAAGCCTTGCGTTCGATCCGGTGCTTCGCGTGGGTGCCGAAACGCCACCCACAGTTCCGTGGACACCCATGTCCGCAGACTTGGACCGTCTGCAAAGCCCCACAAACCGTCATGCGCTACGTACGCTCTCCAACGAGGGTCGCGCCACAACGCTCGCCTCGCGGTATCCACTGCAAGCTGCGGCGTAGCGGTAGCCGCTGGTGAAACAGCAGGGATCTGGATCAGGGGCGTCCCGCCCCCAGCAGTGGTGTCTCCGCTCGATGTCCTTGTTTGCAAGCGGATGGAGAGCTGCTCCATGCGCACAAGTGCACTGTCCACCGGTACAATGGTGCATGCGCTCCGCAACTGCAGCCTCAAACTCGAAAACGAAACCTCAAAGCAGTCCAGCGGGGTTGTGTCCGCATTCCTGGAGAAGGGCATCGACTTTCTGGTGCCTGCGACGCCATGCGCTCCTGCTGGATGCCAGCCGTTTGTCCAGCGACCAAGTGGCATCTCCAGCACAGCTCCGTGTGGCATCTCGACCTGAATCCAGAGCGCTACAGCAGCGAGCAGCGGCGGATACGCTTCCGAAGACAAGACAGGCGTCCGGGCGCCCGCTGACACTGCGCCCGGAATGGTGTCGCTTCGCGAGCACCACCGGTACCCCGGATGCAAGAGCGCCCACCAGCCGTAACGTTGCTGTTGCTGTGGGTCCTCGAACTTGCCGCAGCGCCATCGCCGGTACCATAGCTCAGCGTGCGCTGCACTGGCGAAACGCAAAGCGAATGCAACGACTGCTCCAGAAGCAGTACAAGTAGTAGTAGAAGAGGAGGCGGACGAAGCATGCGCAGCTCCACGACTCGGACGGGCATTCGTACTGACGGGGGTGTTCGTATCTGCCCTGGGACCTGTGGTTGCTCCAGTTTGCGTCGTTTCATTTGACCCCTGGAGCTGCGCACTGTCTGTGGTGCGTTCAACGGATTCGGGTGCTCCAAGGCGCCCATGTTCCGGTGAAGCAATCACTGGTGCAGGTCGTTCATCGGTGGAGCGACGCAGCAGCATCAGCAGCAGCTGCGCTCCTCGGGTCGATGCGCGTTCCAGAGGCCACGGCAACGGGTCGTGTAGCGGCTCCAGCTGCCAACACGGGAACTCCAGCGCCATCCCGATGATGCTGGACAGTCTGTCAGCGCTAGCATCCACCAGCTGCAGCGACCCTGCAGCGTCCATACCCAGAATACCCAGACACAATGCCGACTCCCCGCGATGCCAGGCGTGCTGCGTCGCCAGCCGTTGCCTCCATACGACAGGAATCATCACGAGTTGCTGCCAAACAGGTGCATTGGAGCGCATCTCCGGCGACAAGCGCGTGTCCTGGACCCTGCCCCAGAGCCAGGGTCGTCGCCTGCCTCGCTGCATCCAGCACTGTTGCCAGTGCCGAACCTGTTCAAAGAGCGCACCAATCACGACGGGCGCCAGCTGCAGTCGTACCGGAACCCGCAGCGACACCACAATATGCAGACGAGGCTCTGTGGCTACAGTTGCTGCAGCGTTCTGTCCTCGCTCTAAGCGGCCGAACAGTTTCAGGACAAGCGGAACCGGCTCCAGCAGCGATATCGTGGCCCCAGCGTCGTGCGGATGGACGCTCATGCTCACCTGCTCGTTACGTTCGGAAGCGGCAGCATTCCTGCCCGCTGCATTGCTTCCACGGCGCTGAGGCACAAAGTGGGCATGCATACTCGCGATGGACAAGAGTAAGGGCTGCGGTTCGTCTCGTTGCGCTTCTCCAAAGTGCGCCTTGACCAGGGAACGCGTACGGAGCAGCGAGAGACGCTCCAACTGCAGCAACCACCGGGATGCGTACCAGACCTGGATCCACTCGCAGAAAACATCGACTCGGAAACGTTGTTCCAGTTGCAGTGCCTCTATGGCTCGATGTCGCGCTCGACTGGGATGCTCCTGCATGAGGCCAGCGATTCGTTCGGCAAGCGACCGCGGAATACAAGCCCGCCACTCTTGGAGCAACGACAGCAGTGGCACCAGTTGCTCCGTCTGCAAATGTACTCGCAGCGGCTGCAGGCGAACATAGAGCGCAGAGGCTGACTCGGTCTCCGTACTGGAGGCAAGCGAGTTGCAACCCGTCGCATGCGAGGCGGTTTCTCTCGGTTGCAACGGAGTCTGTGCGGTGCCTGGTGCAGCAGGCTCACCGGGAACACCTCCGTTCCCATTCTCATGCAGCAGCGGTAACGCGTCGGTGGTGGAGTTGCGGCGATCGACCCGTTTCTGAACTTGCAACCGCATGTAGAGCGCAGCGCTCGGGGCTGTACTCGGCAGGTCAGCGTAAAAGACGCTCTCTGTCTGGGCTTGCACGCGCACGACGTCTGGGATAACCTCCCAGTCGCGGACAACGACTTGCGTCTGCAGCGGACTCGTCGTCCCGAGGTCGTGCAGACGCCACCATATGCCCTGGAGGCGTAGCGTCAGCAGCGATGCCGACACGCTGCTCTTGTTCTTGTTCTTGTTCTCGTTGTTGTTGTTCTTCGGCATGCTGGCAGCTCGTGTGCAAGACGGCAAGTCGCCTGGCAGACGCTCGCTGTCGCCGATGCCGTGCAGCGTCCACGAGGCTTGCTCCAACTGCATCTCTAGATCCAGCGGTACGCTGGTCTCGAATGCCTCCACCAGGGACTCGGTGAAAAGAACAGCATCGCGCCCGCTCTCGCCGAAGACTGCCACCCAGGCCTCATGAAACGCATCACGAAGACGTTGCAGGAACTCGTCCATATCCTGGTGATCGGCACCGACAGCACCAGCAGCAGCAGCAGCACCCGGATCCACGGAAGCAGGAGCAGACACGTCCGTAGCAGGCGCACGAGTCGCAGCACTGACAGGAGCACGCGCACCTGCTCCACTATCCATGGATGCCTGCGTCACCAAAGCCTGAGACAAGTGCTCGGCTCTCGCGCTTCCATCCGAGGCAGCCTCTGTTGCAGTGGCTATCCAGCGCAGCGCTCGGCGTGACTCGCGTCGCTGCTTCACCACCTGGTAGAGCTGATACGTCCCGAACCAGGAGCTCACAGTCGACCGAATCCATTGCCATGAAGTGCTGGCCAGGCGCCAGATGTGCCCTCTGGACCAGGAAGACGAACGTTTCTCGTTCGCTGCTTCCGCTTGGAGGCGTTTTGCACGCTCATGCACATGAACAAGAAGTCGTGCATTCAGCAGCTGCTCTAGAGGCATGCGCTCTTCCAGATACCGTAGTTGAGCGACCAGTCGCCGTGGAAGCGCTGTCTCGGAATCGTCCGCAAGGTTCAATCCGGATCCAGGTTGTGAAACGCTCCGAAAGCGCAGCGCTCCGTTATTCTCCCGAGGACACACCCGATGACCCCCGACGGCATCCAGCGAGGACATGACGCACTCGAAGAGCTGCTTCGGTGCAGATTCCCCGTACACCAGTTCGCGGTAGAGCGCAAAGTACAATAACTGAAGTCGTAACCAACGAGAGAGTTCCGGTAATGCAGCCGGCAGTGCGGCCTCTCTTCGTTGCCGTCGACGTAGGCCCAGGACACAGCGAACCGCGTAGCGCCACCAGGCCCGAGCGGGATGCCTCCGACCCGGAAGTCTCGCCAAACGATACGGTGATAGGCGCCGAGGTCGTTCCGCAGGTACGTCGTACTTTTGATGGAGATAAGCACGCCAAAACCAATGCGCCAGCTGTTCAGCTAGTCGCGTGAGACTGAACAACGTCGCTAACGTCAGGTGACCGTGCACATACGGTATACTTGCATGCAACCGAATGGTGGTGGTATCGGCAGCGGCAGCACCAGCACCAGCACCAGCACCAGCAGCGAAAGGAAGACTGTTCTGGTGGAGTGCATCCATTGTGTAGCGCGTGGTATCCTCAAAGGCGGCCATGTTGATTCCCAGACGAGCTAATAGAAGCAGATCTGCAATGAGGTAGCTCGTAGGTTCACGATGGCGGAGTCGTCGCCACAGCCAGTCCCAGTCGGACTCTTGGAGTGGTGGCAGCGGTGGCTCGTCGGACGCGCTACCACCTCGACTCTGTTGTGGTGTCTGTGCGAGCAACGGTAACCAGCGTTCATCGTCCACGGCGAAGCGTATGCGCAAGCCTCGGAAACAACACCCTCTCCAGAGAAATACCGATTCTTCGTAGCTGGCATCCTCGGATGGATCCAGTTCGGGAAGCGATAGCCCACAGCGTTCCAGGACCTGTGCACGAAACGCTTCATCCGGAGGTTCAAGGTACGCGTCTTCGAGGGAGCATTCCAGGGCGTACGGCGCTGGAGCCATATCTTTGTGATCTTTTCCGTTCGGTTGCGGACTCGCTTCTAGCCGGATCCAAACCCGACGGAGTCGAATGCGTACTTGGCGAAATACTTGGATCCAGGAGGAACGCTCGAAGATTTCCAGAAAAGGGGCAGCGTCCCAGTCGAGCGCCAATGCTTCCGTGGTGCCGGTGGTGGTCGCGATACCGCTTGCTCCGGTCTCGGAGAGCTGCGGTGCATCGTGTGGTTCCGTTGAGGCTTCCGAGGTCGCAGCAGGGGATGCAAGCAATCCCGTATCGGACGGCAACTGCGGCTCGCGAAGTTCATCACCGACTGAAGACGATGAAGCGTCAGCCGAGTCTGGTGCCTCTCTTGTTGCCTCCGCAGATGGATGTTGCCGGGCAGTGCACTCTGGTGCATCCGCAGTTACCGTGGATTCTCCATGATCCGATACGACATTGTTCGATCGCATTAGGTCGCTCGGTTCCAAGGTGGATGCCAACGCTCTGCTCGGTGCATCCTCCATGGAAGGCGCGTTGGGTACTGCTGCTGCTGCTGCTGCTGCTGCTGCTGTATGTTCTGGTGTGCAAGCATGCGCATGAGTTCGCCTCGATGCCTCCAGTGCTTCGCTTTGGGTCGCGTTCACGAGCTGCTTCGCTGGTTCACCATCAGGCGCTGCGGATGACGACACTGGTGCCGCTGTCCATGAACAAGCCCCGTCAGTGGATACCGAACCCTGCAACACGCTCTCGTGCGGTACTTGAGTGGTTACGATGCACCGATCATTGGAGACAGGATCCGCTCTGGCGTTGCGTGTGATGTCGACGGCCTCGTCGGGCGCTTCAGTGTTCCCTGGACGATGCCGGGCATCTTCCAACAAGAATTGCCCCTCATTTCCCTCTGCATCCAGAGAAGCATCCCATGCGGCACCGGACTCCAGGGCACCCATCACAGGCAGCTGGAGCACGCGAGCAGCGAGACGTTCACACTCCTGCAACTTGGCTAACTTGAGCTGCAATTGCAGACGTTTCCAGAGCGCTCGCTCCAACCGGGATTCCAAGTATGCTTCCGTATCGTCTGTACATAGCAGACCCACATCCTCGATCTCAATGCAAAGCAACTCAGACAAGAAACTCAATGATACACGCCGGGTGTCCGGGTCTGGCCCCTGGTGACGACTACGAACTCGCCAGCGAGCCAGTTGGCGAAGCGCTCGCCACGATACCTTTATACGAAGTCTACCCACATGCAGTCTCACAAAGCGCACCGGCAAGCGTACCGGCAGATAGCGAGTCATACTCGCGGGTACGTTTAGGTTTCGGAGCTCAAGCCAGCCGCGTCGCCAGTGCAACCGCAGCGAACGCAGCGTCAAGCCCGGACAAAGCCAGCCTAAAAACAGCTGCAATAAGGCCTGGAAAATACCGAGAAACCACATGCTCCTGATGGACACTAGACACGAGCCCTGAAAGAGCGCACGTTGACGCCGTTTTGTGTGCTACTCCAGAATGAAGGCAACAGTCCACGATTAGCCAGTCGTTACGAGAGCGTTGCGATCTCATCGACATCTCGAACGGTGCAGGTCGTCAAGGCTGGCAAGCATCTCGACCGGTAGGTTGCAGTGTGCTGGTGTTCAGGAAGCGTCTCGTGGAAACAGAGACGATTCTTTGGTGTGATAGTGACGAATAGGTCGGGTTTGCATACGTACAAAATCGACTCGAGTACGGGCGAAACGAGTGCGGTTTTTGCCCAGGTTAGTGTCGTGAGCGTCTCTACGGAAGCGAATCGGGAGCAAGCAACTCAAAAGCGCGCTCACTGGAAGCCCTTGGAAAAGCTTTCGCTCCCTACTTTATTCGAAGAGTCGCTTCGCTTGTCAGATAGTGCTTGCGCTGTGCGACTGCGACGCCTCAGAGCGAACACTTGGCTCACTGGACGCACTGGGTGAAACGTGTGCGGGTAAAACCTCCAGTCCAGAGACGTGCGAGGTAGAGGCCTTGTTTTTCAAGAGTTGCCGTCCACAAGCAAGTCTAGGTCGCGGCGGTGTGGCGGCATGTTCTGTGGCTATTTCGCTAGGACGAAGGGAGCACACAGACACTGGGTCCGTTTGCTTCGTTGCACGCTTTGGGGACAAGGTGCTTTGTGTACTTGCGAAAGCGCTGCTCGTACAGTGGTGTTGGTACGGCTCCGTCGCGGGATACCGCATTCCGCTGGACACCGACACGCCTTGACTATGAGTTCGTGGCAAGCAGCCAAAACGTATGTTCTTTACGCCAGCTTATTCGTTCTCAGCTTCAGTATGATGACTTGGTTTAGAGAACCAAAACTAACCGCATTCTTCAGGGAAAGGACGGAAACCGGGGCTTCAGCGGTATTGGCGCTCTGCACAGCGCCCGAGGCCGCCACAGCGGAGAGCATCGCACAGGCGCTGCTCTCAGCGCACCTTGTTGCCTGCGTCAACATTGTGCCTGGCGTACAGTCTATGTACTGGTGGGAGGGCAAGATTCACAACGACAAGGAAAGTCTCCTCATCATGAAGACGAGGTCTGAATTGCAGGACGCCGTAATCGATACCATTCGGAAAGTTCATCCCTATCAGGTGCCTGAGGTTTTGTTTCTTCCGATTCAGGGCGGCTTACCCGCGTATTTGGACTGGCTCCACGAAATGACCAGAAAATCTTCGTGAAATCCGAATAAACGGGGTGTGCTGTGGTAGGATGGCAAGCGCGGTTTCCGCGGGGATGTGTTCCGCGAATACATGCTCTAGAGACGCAGTGTTCAGGGCGATACCCGCGAGTGCCGTTCAAGGCAAGGGCAACATGCGGATGCTCGCATCATGAACAGCGCGTGCTTGTGTTGTGAAGATGCGTCCTGGTGTTGTGCGGAAGCGCTGTTTTGAGAGCGCTGGAAGTGTGGCACAGCAGGAGTACGGATGAGCGCTGCTCACGCATCCGCAACAAGTTGTTGTCATCGACGCTGGTGAGCATTTCCGTAGTGCGGCGGGATACGTCGTAAAGCAGCTTACGTCGCCTGGTATACTCAAGAATATCGGAAGATGCATTATGATGGTCGTTCGAAAAATGCACCAGGAATATGGTGGCGGGAGTCTCGGTATGCCACTTTAGCGATTCCGGATGAGTGACCGTACCATATAGGTGCCGTGCACCGCGCGGGAATCCAATGAACGCTCTTCGAGATACTGATGTTTTCCATCGGAAATATGCAGCGTTTCCGCACAATGCTCAGACTGGTAATAAAAACATCCAGTCCAAAGTTCGCTGGACACGAAGCCCTTGGACGATCATGAAGCATCAGACATTATCGGATATTGATCGAGGCGTCCGAGCCAGAGAGCAGAAAGTGCTTTTGGGTACACTTTTGGTGCTGGAATCCGACAAACGCAAGATTTTCACCGACGATCGGTTCCCAAATCATGTTCAGCCAGTTTGCGTTGCAAGTGGTCGTGCATGGAGCCCCGGTTCACTCTGTTTCCATCTGGCGGCCTCGGTGCGAACTTGTGCTCTTGTTACCCGGGTGCCGTCCTGAATTCATCCATGGCAATCGTGCGGTATCGATATTCGTACTCTCGTAGTACGTGTTTTTGTTCGAGGATCAGGAAAGCAACCATGCGCGCTCCAATGCGTCCAGCAACTTAGGCTACCACGATACGAAGGGAATTTTCAGTCGTTTCCTTTTTGCAGCTCCTTGAACAAGTCGGTAGACTCACGCTTGTTTCCGCCGTACGTTTGCTGTCGCAGCGCATGGTGTGCTGCGTATACGGTAACACCAGACCATAGCCCTGTGTGTCCGTTGTATACGTCGCACACAGCCTGGATACAACGATGATGATGGTGACAATGGCAAGCGATGTGTAGACCGGAGCTTCTACCTATGCATGTAATGCATTCACTACAGCCCGATGCCATGAAATCGAGGCATGAAAGCTGCTATGAACATCCTTTGACAGCGAAACATTCGGCTGGATCCACATGAGAGATCGGTGTATTTCAATACGGAGCTCGGAGCCAGGCATGAGAAGCAGTCACGGGTAATGTCCACAACGACAGATATCGATGACAGCGGGAAGAGACCCTCATTCTAGTGTATACCTCTGCAGTAGATCTGTAGACCTGTTCCATTTTTCCTGATAACGGTGCCGAAGAGGCTCGGAAACGCGGCGCACCGAGTGCCCAGGCTGGCAATCTGTGTTGTTTGAGGGAGCGTCATCCACATACTGGAGATTCGACGCTTCCATTATCTCTCCTCTTATCACACGCGTCAATACATGCTCAACGGAGCAAAGACGTTTCGCAACCACACGGTAAATCAATACAGGCGGAAAGACGCCGTGCAGCCTTTGCCGACCTGTCGATTGCTATCGGCTGCAACTTCTCCTCGTGCGTTTCGAGCCTGACAAGCTGCTCCACAATATTGGATCGCGTCCGCTCTGCGAGTCGTGTCTTCAGCACCACACATCGTCTAATATGAATGGCGGCATTGAAGTCTCTGCACACGAAATCCACGCGTTTATTTCATCTGGGTGAACTAACCAATGCAAGGATTGCCAGAACTTGTGCCTTCTGTGCCGCAAGAGTCTCGTCGTCGTCCCGTTGGGCAAGCGACTTTACACGCGTATCTCCCTTTTTTCATCTTCATCTTCGTCACCTGCATTCCTTCGCTCGATGGGCCGCCAGAAGAGGATGTTTTCGTTTTCATGTTGTCGAATCCGGTGATGACGGCTCGCCGGGATCTTCGACGCCCATGTTCATACCTTTTCCCTGGATTTTTCATTTCTTCAAATGAACGCACTTGTTTATGCCGCTACGCGGCGACCGCCCCGGAGCGTGAAGGACTTTCGGAAGAAGGCGAGATATGCCGCCGATATGTCACAGTGTGCTGAATGCTTCATCGATTTGCCCAGTGGAGCGATCATCACACGTTTCACAATAGAAACTACTCCTGCGATGGAGTTGAAGCACGGAGAGTACGTAGGAATCAAAAGCAGCTACGTCCCGGCAGAATCGGAGGAAGGTCGAACGTCAGGAGAATGGTAGAGTACCATGTCGTCCGGTAGAGGGACGTCGCCAGACGTCAGGGACAGGTCTTCAATGATTCGATGAAGTGGGTTCTGTTCTTCGAGCCATGTATACAAGCGAAACTGAGGCCGCCGAATCAGTCTACGACAGCAAGAACAGATGGTGATGTTCTCATTCTCTACGAGTTCGATCGTACATACAACAGGCTCGCTTCACCTCGAATACCCATGAACGCTTCGATCATTTCGTCCGAAGCAAGCCTCATTGACTGGGAAAACAAACCGAGTTCCCTCTCCATTACATGGATAGTGAGATTCCGGGAACTCTTTGGTTGCTGTTTCGGGGCAAGATGGCCATGCAAAACCTGGGACTTTTTTGTCACTGTATCCCGGTGTATTCACGACCACATAAACAAGCTGTTGAGAAACAGGGACAGCCGTTGTGCTTTCTATCGTCGCTTTTGCTTTCCGTAAGGTGATCAACGGGCCGCTGTCTACCATTGCCCAGTCATCGACAATGCCAGCTTTTCCTGCAGCGCGCATCTATCGATGTCTTTCAGGGCTCCTCAAGCATCACCGTACAATATGATGACTGACCTGAAGGAGGGATACAGTCTTCCGTGCGCACACTTCCATAAAGAATATGTATCCAACAGGCTATTCGTCTATGTTCTATACGGTACATTGCATCGTCTTTTCGAGCTCCTGCTGTGCAGTACCAGATAGCACGCGATCACATGCAGCCGTTGTCCCGAAACATTGCGTTCAAACTTTACGGGAACAGCTCTTCGTGGCTTGCGGCAGGCGCTCGTGCAAGACCGCAGTGCTTCAAGGATTATATGATCTTGCAAGCGCTTCGGTGCTACCCGTGTCGAACGTTCACCCTTCTCTGTCTGGGTGCATGGACCGAAAGCGTTTGCAGCAGCTCAGCGCTTACGTTCACGGCGGGTGCAGCGGCTTGAACGAGGCTACACAGCTGTGGCCTCGCAGACGAGCACGCGCTTCACAGAGCAGCTGGAGCAGAAGCGCCCTTTTCGCGAAATACTTTATCGAAGAGAGAAATCAAGCAAGTGGGCGCAGCAGGGTCTTCTTGCACGACGAAGAACAGCGGCACTGGCGAGTCGTCCCTGAGCCACCAGCCGGCACTGCCGTGACCCGGCCTGAGAACTGGCCTCAGCGCCTCGTGCAAACACTACTGCTACCCGCCGACTATCCTTCAGCTGTGTCGAGCGATTATGATCGGTTTTGGCGCTGGAATATCCTGCGACATACACTGCTAGAGGCGGCAGAGGTTCTTGGAACCCAGTCCATGCTTCTGGCTCTGGGTGTCGGGGGAGCAAGCGCGCTGCCTCTCGCTGCTGCCTGGAAGTGGATACTGAAAGACGGCCTTGGTTATTTTGCAAAAGTAGCTTTGGCTACGCAGCTCGCACCGCGCGTGGATAACGATCCGAAACGTTTCCGTTTCTACGGTGACTTTGTGATGGCGCTGGGCACGCTCTTCGAAATGCTGACGCTGGCGTTTCCACCCTGGTTTTTGGCTCTAGCTTCGACCGGGAACCTGCTTCGCAAGGCTGCGGATGTTGCAACGGGCCCAGCATATCGCGTGTTTCTCTATCATTTCAGCATTCGAAATAATAGCGGCGACGTGTCGTCGAAAAGTGAATCTCAAGTAGTGGTCGGGCGTCTGTCCGGGATCGGAGCCGGCATCGCGGTCTCCGCAGTAACAAGTCACGATGCCTCTGCTCTGGTGATGGCGTATGGATTACTCAGTGCAGGACATTTGTATGCGACGTACCAGAGCGTCATTCGACTCGAGCTGCGCACGTTGAACCGAACGCGCCTCGAATACGTTTTGAACGTTTACACCGCGAGTAGCGGTAAGCGAGTGCCGTCCATCGCCGAGGCAAATGCAGCAGAGCAAAAGTCTTTTCTGAGACCCTGGTCTCATGTATATCGGATTCGCTTCGTGAACTCGCTAAATGAGTTACTTTCGGATCCGTACGAAGGAACAGGGCAGGGACGCCCTGAGCATCTTGCCCGTGCCACGATTTCGAGCAAGTCCGGAGATGGCGCAACAGCGCATTCCACTGAAAAGCCAGCCGGTTGGGAACGTTTTCTGGGCGATCCAAAGCTTCGGTACTTGTTGGCACGACGGGCACGTCGTCCTTATCACCGAACCCAGGGTCGCGCTGATGACTTCCTTATCGCTCTCCATTGTGATGCACAGGTGGTGGACATTCTGCAGGCGCTGCTGCACGTGTGGCAGTCAGGTGGACGTGACTGGCCGCCACCGGACCCACATCCGCTCCTCGGACAGCTCCGCGAAGCGGGCTGGGATATCTCCCGGATCCTCTGGTACACGGGTTCCGTGCGCCTGCTCTGGGGTCACGAGACTGCTTCAACCGAAGCGTTGAACCGTGGTGCTGACAAGGATGCAGCCCGACAGCGGTACTTGTAACAGCACTCGCATACGCGCGTTTGCCTGGGTAGATGGTTCGCTCCATTGGCCAAGAGTGGACCAGAGTATACTTCAAATTCTGCTTCTGTTCTGCTTCTTTACTGCGCACTGGGGCTAGCACAGCTGCATTCCATCGCTTTGACCGCGGTATTGCTCGCATGCGCTGATCCATGGCTGGACAGCTGCTCCGGCACACCGCATGGTAGTCGTAAGAGTAGTAGTGATGGTGACGGTGATGGTGACGGTGATGGTGACGGTGATGGTGACGGTGATGGTGACGACCCAGCACCCGCGCAAACGCAAGCGTTCGTCACCCAGCTGCTTCATTGCATTGCTCTTCACATCGTGGCGCTAGCATTTGCAGCGAGTGCATCGACTTGGGGTCCGAATCCTATCATGGACCGAGATGTGTCGCTTGACGGTAGCAGCGCCGCAAGATGTATGACCGCTTTTCATCGCTTGTATGCGTATCTTTCTATGACGCATCGAAAACCCTCACATGAACATAGACGATCGAGCAGGTGTGCTTTTCAGGGTCTCGGATTGTTCGTTCACTTTCCGTGGAATGAGCTGGACTGCTCCAGACCAAAAATCCGATCTCCTTGTTCTCTGTAAATGAAATGAAAACTGGAGCTGCACGTTGGGGGATTTCGAAACAGCGAGGTGCCTAGCGATGCGACGAATCTGGATGCTGGGGCTGTCCGGTCGACACACGTGCGTCCGATTACCACGGAATGCTGTATTGCTGGCTCTGCTCCTGCCTTGGAATTTCTTTCGAACTTGTTTCGAGAAGCATAACCCAAATATTCGAAGTGCAGTAATTAGGGCTTACGGATGTATGGTTCGTTTTAGGTTTCTCGGATATCGGTTGGGCGAGGCTCACTCGACGCCTTGCTGCAAGAATTCGTGATTTCACCGGATTCAGGGTCATTCGCAACGTCCTTGAACACGGGTTCGTTACATAATCTGCATCATGAAGCAATTCCTTCGTACAAGCGCCAAGTCTTGTAGTTTTCTTACGTGCAGTATGCTCCTATCACACATTCCTCAAACTCTCGATCTATCTAGTTTGAACCAACGTATGTGTGCAATCATTCACGCCCCTTCGTTGGCATTGAGGAATACGCGACGTTGACCAGGGACGAGTCGTTCACGAGCTCGTGTCGAACTTTCACTGACCTTGTCACGAAAAATAACCGACTCCGTTCGAAACCGGAATCATACTATTTTTCCGGCCATTGACGAGACGTTATTCGGGGCCAACATCATACCTGTAGCTGGAAACGCTATCAGAAGGCTCTCGTATCGTCTGTTTGGGTGGAAAGCGGGGCTTTGGACTCGGATTTTAGTGATCAAAGCGATCGCTCCGAGTGCAGCGTACGTTATCGTTTTGCAACGAGGGAGCGTACGCGGATCCAAAGCGCTCGACTTGATCTCCAGCCTGCATGTTCGTTCCGGTACTTGTTTTATCATGGACAACCTCGCGCACGAGAAATCATCCATCAAAAAGAACATAACGCGCTTGCGCATGCATCGGACAGAGCACTCGCCAAGGGGATAGTCTGGGGGCAGTCCGTCAGCGCAGGGTACCGCATCGCACGCGGAAGCCGAGGAGAGCATTGCGATGAGTCTTCTGGACCCGTCAGGCGCTTGTAGCGAGCGACGAAGCGAACGTCTCTGGTCGCAGGTCGGCGCTCAGATGACGAGGAGGTTCGGTAGACACAGGAGAGCGTCCCGTTAAAGTCAGGTGTCATCGCTGCTGCGAGTGCATCGACGCTGTCTACAGAGATGATGAAAATGTCACGGGCAGTGTGAATCGGGCACTGGCATCCGTGCATGGCCTGCATAGACAGCAAAATGGAAGGAGTAAAATTGTGAATCGGGCACTGGCATCGGCACGCTTCAACTGCTGACAACCGTGCTGGAGCAGCAAGAGAGAACAGCGTATTGGAAGCTAGATCGTAGAGAGAGGGAAAGGAAACAGTCGCTGAGAAGGCCCGCAAATGCTTGTGTTGATGAAACTGGGAAGCATACAAAACTTTAGAATGTGTGCACGATGTAGATGAACGGACCCGCTCCATTCCATAATCATAACGTGGGTTTGGGGTAAATGCAAGTCCTACTCAGAATTGTTATCTCATTGCGGATGTTGTGAGCACAGCTCGTGGAAACTTTTTCATAGGTATCTTTGAGTAATTCAACACCATGCGCTTCGGTGTCGTCTCGCTTAAGGCGAACTATCAGAGCTGCTTAGATAAGTGATGTCATGGCGGTTGGCATGGTAGTCGCCCGTGAACACTTATTTACAATCACACATGGTATTGTAAAGTGATCCAGTGCGGCTATCGTTGCCCGCATGCCGTCCAAAAGTTTGACCCTCTTTCCTCGTGGCGTGACAGAGGGGCATTTTCCAACACGGCACCGAACGTGTGCCCCAGCATGGCGCTTACATGCGATTCCCTGTGTCCATGTAGCAGCACTGGAGGAGACGTTGTATTCCAGAGGCCTACGGGACGTTCGAAGCTCCTTTTCGCAGGAGATGCAGCATACATTGCTGGAATACATCACCTTCGCGTTTGCGAGAATAGCTCGCAAAGCGGGTAACTGCTCAATGACTCGAGCACCGAACGTGCGCCGTGCACTTTCCGAAAACACATCTCGGTAGAAAGATTCATCAAAACGTTATTAGGGCCTTATTGTTTGAGCAGTCGCGAGCAGGCAAACTTTCAACGCACCTGCTGCGTTCCGCTCACTCGTTGTTCCGTCTGCGACGGACGTCCAAGGCAGCAGAGGCGAGCACACATGAGACGAACGGCTCGTGGCAAGCCATCGGTATTCAGCTCACGACGCTGTGTCCGTTGCAGTCGCAGATGGACACAACGAAATCGCCATGAGCTCCCGCCGAACAAGGTCGCCTGCCAAAATAGGGGGATACTTGACACGGCTCGAGTCCGTCACGCCCGCCAAACCCGCAAGCGGTTCAAGAACCTGATCTGAAGCAATGTGCGCGAAAAGCGTCGAACTAATGCGCCAGAATGGACGACGTTGCTTCCCAGTTGCATCATGCTGCTGCTCCATATGAGCCTTTGCAAGCGCCAAGGCCGCCTCATCCGCAACTACTTCATGGTAGCCGCGCTGAATGAGACCGCCTGTTAACCACTCCAACTCCAGCCCCGCCTGTACTAGGAGACATCCCGGCGGCACTTTCGCTGGGAAACGAGAACCCTCTCTTGTCCACAGATACAGGCCAGGGGCATTCGATTTCCCATGAATGGTGAGGAAGCACAAATCATAGTGAAAGCCAGCCAAGACGGTATTCGGTCTGTCCAGGAGACCGCTCAAATTCGAGCCGGTTGGTGCCAGCAGGTGCGGTCCGTCTTTCATGCGGGATGTAAAGGCGTCGCGCCCCAGTCCGAGTCCCAATGCGACCATCTCTGCAACGAGCTGAATCGCATCTAGGAGGCGATGTCCCCAGCGGTCCATGATCTGCGACCAACGTTCGGCAAAGCGTCGAGGAACTACTGGCGGTGCGTTTTGTTCTGGAAAACGTGAAGTCGCAGGGCGCGGACCGATGCGCCATAGAAACCGCTCTTTCGGATCCTGTGAGGTAATGGGCGGTACCGATTGAGGTCGGGGCGTGACCGGCGCATCGCCGTGAAAGTCCGCAGGAATGGGTCGGGGTCGCTCTGTAAAGGCTGGTGTCCAGCCCACTTGATAGTTCAGCTGAGGCCGTGCGTCTTCTGCCTTGTCAGGGTGCGCGAAATATGAGGCCATAAGCTCGATGAAGGCATTGTTCTCTTCCGCAGAAACCGTGGTGTCTCTGATAACAACTGCCCCGTAGCGAGCCAGCGCTTGGGCGATGCAAAAGCACTCGCGCTCAATATCCACAGGAAGCGAAGCATTGCTACTGTTGGCAGAACCAGTTTCGTTATGGTAACAACGATACGAACTGATGTCCACAACCGGTAGCTCAACTTGCACCATGGAAGATTTTATCTGGCGGATTCAGTGCTCATAAAAAAGCGCGGGAAACAAGCGTCGCTTTGCGACAGAAGAGTCGGGGAATTCCGTGACCGCCGTCTCCATGCGCGCACGCACGCTCGATGCCTTTCCGAACGCTACCCTCTCGATGGAGAGTCTCGGGATTCTGTGATGTGCAGGCGTTGCGGGCTTGTAGACTCTCAACTCATTTGTATTTCACTCCCAGGATCGTCTTGTTACATGCTTTTTCGCGGTTGATCGCAGATGGATCCCAAGTTCGTTCATATGCAGAAATGAAATGATGATGGAAAAGGTCTAGGGATAAAAGTCGAGGTTCCTGGAAGCCAGGTGTCGCCGATTACCGAGAAAAAAGAACTAGAAAATTCTCTTTCTGCCGACCATCGAGCGACGAAGAGCATTTGACGGCGAAGAAGAAGAAAAACTAGAGCGGAGACAGGCGAGAAGCAATGTTAGCCCGACGGGACGATGAAGAGACTTTAGTGGCACAGAGGGCGCGAGTTCGAGGAATCCCTGCATTGATGCGTTCCGCCAGCGGCAATAAACGCATGCAGTTCGTGAACCGAGACGTCAACGCCGACATCAATGTCAGACTATGTATTGTGTTGAGGACGAGGCCAGAGGAGTTGACGTGATCCAACTTTGTGGAGCAGCCTCTCAGGGTCGAGTTGCATGACGACCAGCTGAAACCGATAACAGGTGGCCGGTCGGAAGCGACTGGGAGGCATCTGCACGTAGGGTATTCATTGATCCCGTGGCCGTGAAGCGTTTTCGCTTCGTAGAACGCAGGTATTGTTGCAGTTCCGGGAACGTCTCTGCAAGTTCAACATTGGTCTCTGGACCAGAGAGCACGCCCTAACTCAGGAATCTCGTGGGATTGTCTCGGCCCTATGGTTGAGACCGTGGGAGATCGGGCGGCAATCACGGAGTTAGCGAGGGCGTTGCGAGCTCGAAGGGTACGCCGCCTCGTCTGTCGCTTTGACACGGAGCTGCTGGTTAGCGCACCAAAGCTGCTGTGGCTGCTTCAGGATGAGCTTTGGCGACAGGCACAACCAGATGAATCGGAAATCGAGCTCTTTTTGTCGCTGGAGCAGAGCGGTCCCCTCGAACGCGAAGAGGTATCGGGTTTACGGGCAAGCGCTGACGCGCTCATCTACTTCCAGGCTACTGACGAAGGCCGCCGTGTTCTCTCCGATCTACCTGTGATCTACGTCGATCGTTCCCTCAGGCTGGTTTGTGAATCTCGCATTCGCGAACGGGAGGCAAGCGCTACACAACTGCCAGACCGCTTTCTGCGGAAGAGGTTCGCAGTGGTGCGAAGCACTCGAGAAACCGCTCGAATATTCGGGCTGCTCACAGTGAATCTCAGCCTACCATTCTGCCTAGAAGCAGTGACTCGCGTACAGGAGCTTTTGCAACGCAATGAACGGAACGTGTACTGTCTCCATATGACGAGTTTGACCCCAGAGAAACTCGCGAATTTCGCTGAAATCGATGTTTTCGTTCTGTTCTGTGATCTTGGGTACTTTAGGGCGATTGCATCCTGTCTCGATGCATACTGGAAGCCGATCATTACCCCCTATGAGACGTGTATCATGTGCAGCATCGCCGATGAGGCGGCCCTGGCGTCAGCGTGTACCGACCCGGCGCGATACACATTCAACTTGGAGGTCATTGCCGGATGGAGCCTCCCGTCATCATCATCATCATCATCATCATCATCATCGAGTGCAGCGGGAGCGCACCAGCACGATCCGCATTCCAATGAACAGATAAGCGACTGCGCTGCTGTGGGCACTTTACGCGATTCAGCTGTACTGTCTGTCAACGAGGCGCACGGTTCGGACTTTGCGGGCGGGCGTCTGCAGCGGCGAGGCTGGAGAGGTCTCGAGCCCGCCGCAGCGACTGCGATATCGCATCGAGCGCTTCCGGGGCGAGCGGGCCGCGCCAGTGCATACGACGATGAACGCCAGCGTATCGAGCGACAAGCGTCTGGTGAGCGCTCCGCCCAGGGCCTCAGTGATCACATCGAATCGCAGTGAGCGGTTGTGCGCTTGCCAGGGCATGAATCACTGCGGCCTGGCGGGCACTTTCATGGATGCCGCTGGAAACAGTCGAAGCGGCTCCGTTTTGGAACGCAGCGTGATGCTATGAGCAGCAGCAATGTGCGGAGCGCGTACGGCTTGTTGGCGACAACGTTAGCGGTCCATGAGCACACAAGTGAAAGTGACTGCGATCGCCGATATTCTTGCATCGATTCCCAGTTATCGTTTATGCGCGTGATGCATGTAGTGCGTCAGTGGGACGATTCGCTGTACGGTGGCCTTAGTGAGGCGATACCAATTTTGAGCGCGATTTTAGAGTCGCCTCAGCGGCATCGCCAGTGGATCCACCGCTGCAAACGCAACGTCGAAAAGAGGGTTGCGTTGCCATGTTCTCGGCGCTCGGGAACGAGAGAGCAGACAGACAGCCATGAACTGTCGTCTCCAACTAGAGCGCCGTCCAAAAAGTTGTGCGCTGGATGCACTCGGTGCAAATGCGATCGCGGCGAGTACCTACGTGGTGGTGTCTGGGTATGTGCGGCAATCCAGCAAGGCCGAGTCACTGTCCCAGACGTACATATGCGCACGAGTCTGCCGAACTTTGTAGATAGATCACGTTAAAGTGATCAGCCAGCGGCGCATGTGCCGTGCATAAAAGATCAACGGTGGACTCCACGCCTCGTGGCCGGTTTCCGACTTTTGCATCATGAGATAGTGATTCGATCCAAAAAGCGCGTGTTTCAGAGACAATTCGATTCAACCTGCGGTCAAGAGCTGGATGTCAATGGGTATCGTTTCGCACTTCTGAATCCAAGCATTCGTGGCGTCCGCCCCGATTCTAGGTTGCGTAGCTCGTGAGCGCAATCGTCCAATGTCCACGCAAGATTCGTGAACGCGCCTATGATCCATTGTATAGTCTGCCGTGCACTGCGATACGCATTCGTCGAGGTACCTCACAGAGGCATTTAGAGCCGCCAAGGCGATCGGGCATCGTGCCCAGAAAGCATACCGATTCCCGAGAATATGCAATAAGGAGCGTGAACCTGGGATAAGTTTCTCTATAAAATCACTCCAGTACTGGTTATGCAAGCGTGAGCGGCACACATACACACACTTTTGAATGAATGTTTGCTGCTCTCGACGTGACAGGTCCATACCGTCAACTCGCCTGGCAGCGAATGTGGAGAAGCTGCATCGCTCTGACAAAGCTTCAGGCTCATCGAGAAAAAAGTCGTGCCAGAATATTCATCGGGCTGTGTACAACGGCTTTTGCATCTTGTGCGGAATTACGGCATGAAGCTAGAGAAAAAGCCTCCCAATGACATCATACGGAGACTCGGCGTTACGGTTCACGTGAACGACATCTAATGCCTGTTTCACCGGAGCATCTCAATCAGAATGAGCGCAGACGGAATTCTGGGATACGCAATGCTCATGAAATCATATACAACACCATGTCGCTGATGATACTACGCAGCATATCCATAAAAGGTAACCAAAATGGGAACCACGAAAAGCTCATGTTCTTCATCGGTTGCCGCCTTCTACCTACAATTCATCAACGGGCCAGAGACCGGGTCCTTTTCAGCACTCACAATACGACACAAAATAGTTATCGCGAGCTAGAGCCTCAAAATCCTCCGTGATCGTTCTCACAGTTTCAATAAAATGCGACTCTTCGTTTCCAAATCGCTCGTCGATCTTGCTCGGCCTACGACTTGTATCAGCAAACAAAAGCGTCTCCGTCGTGTAGCACCCGGTGCGGTAACATGCGTGCATACCAGGCGTTCAGCTGCACCAGCACCAGCAACTCAGGCCTGGAGCGCAAACGCAAACAAGCCCCCGCAAGGAATAACGAGCATCGCCTACCAGTCACGGGCCTATGCGTGTACATTCGCAGACCGCGCTGCGGGTGCAGCATTCCCTGGAACAAGCGCCGGCGTCGATGGTCGCACATGAAAGAAGTTGCCCTTTCCATAAAGCAGCCCAGCGAGCGCAATCGGCAGCGTCCATATCAAAATTATCACACTGCAAAAGTACACCGCTACCCAGTGGAGAAGCACTTGCGGTTTCCCTATACAGGCGTGCGTTCGCTGCGCCAGCCGCATCGCATGTAACTCGCGCTCCATCGCAAAGAAACTGAGAACCCGTAGAAACCAGCGATTCCAGAGCTGGTACAGAAAGCGTAGAACGCGCTTGCGACCGGTGAGGTGCGCCCACCACAGCCACCGGAAGAACCCCGGCGTCGACATGTTCACAGACACCGTAAGCCACCCCTGGAGTGGCTGCGGTCGCGCTGCACATGGACACGACACCCGCCAGTGCACCATATAGGTTTCAAGCAACCGCCTGTAGTCTGCATCGAGTCCGGACTGCAAAGCGCCGTCCCGAATAAGACCCAGGTATCGCATGGACGGTCGAATGAGCACTCGTTCCATCTCCAGTGCTATTCGATCGGAATGATCCTGTGGCAACGCCTGGGTCACCTCCAGCACATGCGCATGCTGCGTATACCACAGCGGGAGCGCAGCACTGCCGTTTTTCGGCAACCATGAAGTGGACGCAACTTGATCCGCGGCATTCGCCACGCGTTGCGCAGCGAGTTCTTGTTCGAGTGCACCCATAGCACTCGTCGCAATGCAGCGGAACTCGCTCGCGAGCCAGCGTCGTCGATAAACGTCACGTCGTAGCCAGCGTCGATACCAGGTCTCCACTGTTCGACTGGGCCGTGTCTCGAAGATGATCGCCTCGTGGAGCACCCCCGGACGCCTGTAGGTCTCCACGTGCACGCGCCGCTCCACGTAACTGGAGCCGTACTCGCGCCCGCCAAGGCCTCCTTCAGTCACCCAAAGCAACTCGTACGAAGCACGGTCGAATGCATAGAGCACGCCGTGCACCTCGCTCGGGCAGCGCCTACCGCCGCCACACTCACAAGCTCGCACGGAGCAGAACGCTGCTTCTGCGGGGGGAAACCCCGGCGTGTTGAACACGATGCGGTAGCCGCGAAGTACCGCCGGCTCAGCACTGAGGAACTTGATTTCGGCTTGATCACCAAGCCAGCGCGCTCGCGTACGAAGGCGTTCCGTGTTCACATTGGAGCCTATCGCAAAGTTGTAGATAACATTCGCCCGCCCTGTAGTGCCTTCACCACTGCCCATAGCGGTGCTTAAAGGTACAACGCTGCGCTGCCTCCTGCATCAGCCGGTGCGACCCAGCTACCGTCTGGCAGCGTCGCGTCGAGTCGCGGGCACCTAGCTCACCCAACGTTCCAGTTGCGGTTCATGCAAAGCTCGTAGTGTGTTGCGTTGCATCGGTGCTGCCAGGCCTCTAACACGTGTTCGAATTACGACGATTCGCGGGGCCGGGCGCGTCGCCATTCCCGTCCAGCGGCCTCTGCTGCAAAGTGCATCGGCCGCCATTGGTGATACATTTTTTATCGTCTACGGATGAAGCATCGATACCTTGTGCAGCTGATTACTCGTGACGGTATTTCGTGACACGGCATGCTCGCATGGACGCTGATCTAGCCTATGGATAGCCTGTGGTTGCTGGAAGCGCCTGTGATGCTTTTCGCATTCTGTATTGTCTACGGATGAAGCATCGATACCTTGTGCAGCTGATTACTCGTGACGGTATTTCGTGACACGGCATGCTCGCATGGACGCTGATCTAGCCTATGGATAGCCTGCGGTTGCTGGAAGCGCCTGTGATGCTTTTCGCTCATAGAATGATGCCTCCAGTGTGGCTTCCACCGATGCCCGCTGATCGAAGATGTTGACTGCAAGCGATCGCTTTCAAATCCGTGAAAGCTTGCTCATAACATTCTCCTGTGAGGTGTTGCGTTCCCTAAACGGGTACGTAAGCCCACACGCATCCACAGCGAATACGTCTGACGCCTTTTCTGTTTTCCCGAACAGGTCTACTTGGCAAGAGACGCTGCCATTTGTTGCGGATACTAGGCTTTGCGACGCTAGGGCGAACAGGCCGCATCGGTGCTCAGCAGGCATCCCAGCAGATGTTATGCCCAGCAATACCCGAGTCGCACAAGCGCAGAAACACAGGTTTCCGTTTCCCGGCTCTGGCGTGATGCATCACGTGCTGTCGGCATCGCGTGATGGACACCGGAGTATGCACCGATACCCCGACGGGAGCAAGGTCGGCAATCCACTGCCATGCAACACCACAAACCGCATGTTGCAGCCTGCACCACGGATACCTTCGGGATAGTATTCACCACGACGTCGTCCGAGCGTGCTGCATATCGCCAGCCTGCTGGAGCGTCAAGCGCTGCCCTCCAGCAGCAGCAGCAGCACGTGCATCGCAATTGTACAGGAATTTCTGGCGCGCTGTCGCAGCGACACACGTTGGACAACGCGGCAATCTCGCTGCGTGCTGCGGCTCTTTAAACGCGCCTGACTACATTCCGCTTCGAAAGCGGTGCTTTGAACGCGTTCGTGCGTTATCCGGCGAACGCTGATACGACTTTATGGACCCGGAACCGAACTCACTATGTTGGTCAGTACTGAATGGAAACAACCACGTTGGTGGCCCGACCCGAACAGTGCCCAGTTTCGTGACGCGGGTGGTGCGTCCCAGCCCCGCGTACGGACGCAGCGGACGTCGTTGCGCTGTCCAAAAGTCTGGGTGCGAGTCTGCTGCGCTGCTGCCGCGGAAGCGGTGGCGGCGATGGCGTCCGTACACCTCCCGTAGTGCGTCCGTCGCACCAGCAGTGGTTCAGGCGGTTTCAGAACCCAGTCCTGGCTCCGAGGACGCAGAACGGGTACCTCGCAGCGACGACGACGTGGACGTGCAGGTGTCTGCGTCGACCGAAGCCTTAGCGGAGCGTCTGCTCTCAGAGATACACCGAAGACTGCAGGAGTCGCTCGAGGGTCAGCTGAGGGTGGAGCTTGCTCGGCAACGGGCGATCGATCGGATCGACTTACTGGTGGCTGTCGAGCTCGTGAAACTCCGCGAGAAGCTGCAGCTGCTTTTCGACAGCTATCGAGAGCGGCTGACCTTGCGGACGGAAGAGATGGATCGGCGCGCTAACGAGCTAGCACCCTCGTGGGCACAGGTCGAGGAGCGCCTGGAAGCCGCGCAAGAGCGCGCTCGCGTCCTCCGTCAGACACAGGACGAGATCGAGTCTTTGCTGCGCGGATCACCGCATACACCAGTGCCCCGGTCAGGTGCGGCTCCCAAACACGCCGAACGCACGTCACTTGTATGGTTTGATGAGAGCGCTGGCGCAGCGCTTCCGAGTCGGCAGGCATTGCAGCAGGGCAGTGCATGGCGTCTCGAGGAGGAGCAAGCCCTCTCTCCCTACTGGGTATTTTTCTATGGCTGGCTCAGCGCACTCGCGGGTCTAGAGGCGAGCATGGCGGTCTCGAGTGCGCATGGTGTATCTGCATACACGGCGCTGAGCGGCACAGTGTGCCTACTCCTACTGGGTCATGCAGTGCGCCTTGGATGGGCAGCGAGACGACAGCACCAAGCGACTCGTGGTCAACAGCCTGCGTTGCCGTCGTGCAGGGTCGTGTCGTCCGGCACGCAGGCCGCAACAACGCCATCAACGGAGGGCCAGACCGAGCCAACCTCGCTGCAGCAAAGCGAATAGCCGGCCGCCACCGTGGACACACCATTGTCTATGTATCGAAAGCGAGGCGCGTCATCGCGGCTGGTGGCGCGCCTGTGCCGACAGCGGCATTCAAGAAGCCGCAGCTGCCAACACCCGCGGCGATTTGCTGAAACGTTTACCTCTGCAGAATCTGCGCTACTGACGAACGTCTGCATTTGCGCAGGCCACGGTATGCAAGCGTCGATCGCGAATCCATTCAGAATTCTGTACAGACTGATGTAAACTATGATGAAAGAAACAGATGCCTGTATCCCGTACATGTTCGGTGCTTGCGTCTTGGATGGAGCAGCGGCAGTGTGCTTCTGGATGCAGCACGCTCTCTTTACATGCGTTTCATGTGGGTTCGCGGGGTACAGCACCACACCCTTTTCCATCGCATAGCGACAGCAATAGGCTGATTATCAACGTGCACGCGGCTGGCGCCGTGTATCGCCCGGCGATCGCAGCGCGCTGCTTCCGGCGACGCCGCCAGCGAGCGATCCATAACCCCGACGGCTCTGCAGAAGCAGTCGTAACAGCAGCAACGCGTCTACGCTGTTGAATGGACACGTGCGTCATGTGAAGCACCAGTCGATGCTGGTCCCGCGCCAAACGCGAATGCATCATGCAGTGCAGTGCAGTGCAGTGCAGTGCATCGGGCAGCGCGAATGATCGCTCAGCAAGTCTTGCGCTGCAGTACGTCGCATGTGCACGCACAGATCGAGTGCGTGCGTGGCACGGGTCCATGCACCAGCACGCATTGCTATGGACACGTAGGCGTCACGCATGCGCCACCGTTGTGACAGCAATGCGAATTGCATCCAGTCCGCACAGCAATGGCTCGCTGTACCAGCAGCCTCGTCATCAATGCATCGTCTGCATGCCGGCAACGGTGGACAGCTGCGTGTCATTCACGAGTGCCGAGCACGAGTATTCAAGTTCGCTGATGTGCCGACTGTGCCAATCTCTGCTGAAGTTCATAAAAAAGTAGCGTAATCCCAAACAAAGGGCCAACAATCATGACGCGCGGAACAGCGCCACTCCAGAGAGCCCGAAAACCCTCCTCTCGAACCACCCGTACGAGCGTGTTCACTACCGAATGATACGATCTACCATGTCTGTCCCGAACGCCGCTCTGTATCCGAGTTTTCACAACATCAAATGGCGTGCTGAGCGCAGCTGCCGTCACACCTGACAGGATCCCTACGCCGAAAACAATCCGCATCGGCAGACCCCCTTGGTAATGCAGTGAAAGTCGCTCCTTCAAACTAGTATTCATTCCGAAAAAGACCATACTAAAAGGGATATCTCTTGTGAGTGTGGCGCTGACCCCACGGTAGAGACCGCGCAAACCCAGCATACGAATCGTATCCGTGACGCTGTGTTGCGGATGGCCATGCGCCGCACGAGTCTGCATCGTAATCATCAACACTTCCATGGGATTGGTCGCTATCACTTGACACAGACCGGCACCTGCACCGGCCAGCATGCCTTGCTTCACAGATAGGGGTCCATGCGGATTCGGTGACCGCTCCTTAAACTCGCTCACGAAAAAATCATTCGCGGCAAGTTTGATCGCCTTCTCAGGCGCGACCCCAATGAGTACCGGCGTCAGGCCACGGTAGAGGCCGCGTACTCCCTGAGAGCGAAGAATCTGCTGGAGCGTTTCGACCAGCCGCGGTCGTCGCTTCAAAAGCGAGGCAGCTTTCAAGGCATTCGTCCGCGGAGTCGACGCGAGCGTGCTTTGCGAAGCGGCAGCTGGGCCTCTGGACCCGTTCGATGCGACTTTGGATGATCTGGCCGGGGCAGCAGCTTCCACTGTTGGTAACTTAGCATGGCTATCTGTACAAGCCGTATCCTTAACGGCTAACGTTGATGTATGCTTGGCCGCTTCGGTAGCCAGGGCGGGTCCTGTACTGCTGGTTGGATTCGCGGTCCCGGTTGAGACCGCGTTACCCCTAACGGGCTCTGCTTTGCTCGCTGTGTTATAAACAGCCGCAGACTCCGATGATCCTCTGCACTCGCGCGAGCCCGTATCAGTCATCAAGTGGGTCTTCAGTGTGTACAGCGGAAAAATTATCGTGGTACCAGTTACACCGGCCAAGCCGCCAAACAAGATATTCGCTCCCAGGCTCTTCGTACCGAGCGAGGTCTGGCGCGGTGGGCATACCGCGGAGCCCTCGTTCTCTGCAGGGCTCTGTACATCGCCTTGTTCCGGAAAAGAGACGCCTGCTGTGCGCGGATCAAGCCGAGAGGCGTACGGCGCCGACGCGGTCACCTTTTGGGCGTCCATTCCAGCTCACAGACTCAAACTAAACAGAACGACAATAGTTTTTTTGTGAATAACGCAGCATTTCACTTGTGGATTCCAAGGCACTCTACGAGATCACCAGCATCCTATCCCAGTAACGAGATTTTCACGGGCAAACGTACGTTCCCCATTCATGCTAGTTGATGCAAATGCATTTCGAGCGCGCCCAACCGCCGCCGGCCGCGTTCGATGCCTTGTTCTAATTGACAGCTCCGTGACTCTGGGCTGTGTTCCCCGACTGTGCGCCTGGTATAAGCGCGCGGTGGAGCATCCATCGATCCCCTTACTTCCAGGTTCCATAACCTGGACTCCTTCTCGGGCGTACTGATCGTTTTCTACAATCCATTGTGCGTCGAACCTGTAGAGAGCACCAGCCGTAACGCGTATACCGCTGGTGCAGATGCATCATAGAGACAGAAAGGCTTTGCTATACCACTGGGGGCGCCACCTCGAGGCACCGTTCATCCGAGGCGGAATCAGGATAAATTATCATTCCGGGAGCCTGCAAACCGCGCAGACAGACATACTTCCCATTAAAGCGCGAAGCGATATATTAGGGCACTATTGCTCCCAGTGCGACGGCCAGACACAGCATACTCGCTCCGAGTGGCAGAGTAAACCGCGTTGCGGGCGAGTTGCCCAAGTCGCGCCTCAGCACCCACCACTGGGAAGAGCATGACGCGCTAGCGAAGCAGATCCGGCTGGCACGCGTGACCTTCTGCCTAGAAGGTAAGCTTTCGAAAATACGGAAAACTTTTTGCCGCCTTTTAGGTTTAGCATAGGGGGGAAGAAATTGTCATCTGGTTGCTAGCTAGCGGTTCGTTCTTTTCTTTTTCTCCTATAGCGTTGTCGATACGTGTACCTCCATATCTAGCATGCATGGGGTACGGCATGCATCTCGACGTTGAAGGGAAACACGATCCTGACCACTAGTTGAACTGTTGCTGTATCGGGCAAGATGTATTTGCGTCGAAGTCGTAGCAAAGTATAAATCTCTGTCCAATAGTATTTCAAGCCTGAAGCAAGTATATTCAAGTGATTTTTCGGTGTATATACCAGAAGTGTTCGAAGCGGGTCCGTTTTCAAAAATATAAAAGCATAGAAATGCAAGTGGAGGACCACGGACGCACAGTGTCGCCGGCTGGCGGATAAAAAACAGTGCCGAGCAAAGAGGACCAGGAGACGACCAAGAAGCAAATGCAGGGTGCCCGACGTCAACGACCGCAAGAAAGACGCCAGTACGGCGAGATGGTGGTGGAAGCCGCTCTTTTTAAACATATCAAGGATCCGAACAAGGAAAAGTTGGGAGACGCCATCAGAAACCGTGTCGATTCGTACTCCAAGACTATTCTAAAGACGTCGTCAGGACTAATGCATATGGCGACGGAGATGTATCGCGACGTGACGGACATCAAAACAGTCGAGATTCCAGACGAGATCCTCGAGAAGACCTTTGTTTGTCACCTCATCTTTGGTACAGGGGAAGCGCGGAGCGAAAATGTGCTAGTGCATACCCTCCACGAAAACCTCACGGAATTCCGCTTCGAGGGTACTCGATGCAAGGGTGACTCGAATATTTACATACACGGAGCGATGATGTACATCACGAACCTGAAGAACCATTTGACAATGAACCTCGAACGTTTCATGAGACGCGCCGTGTTTGCGCTGTACCCGGGCATCTCTCGCAAAGGAATATGGGCGATTATCAATGGCATCACGAACGATCGCAAGCATGAAGATGAGGTCGAATTTGTCGACAAGAAGGCGTTACGCAGGAGCACGAATAAAGCTGCTGCGATCCGTGCGGCTATACGAGAGCACCGTGCGGTACTGGGGTTGGCGAATCCAACAGACAAGATCACAGAGTTGAAAAAAGATAAGGAAAGATACAATCGCCTCGTCCTGCGCTGTTTCGTGTTTCTGGACCGAAAGCTCGAAGTCAAACCGGAGATGAAGCTGAGTGAGGAAAAAAATGAAGAATGGGAGAGACGGAAGGCTTTCCTAATGGGGAAGCGCTTCAACGTGGTTCCAATGTGCACCATCAATTCACATTTTTTGTGAGTATCGACTCCAGAGTCCTTTTCGGCATCATGAGGGAGATCAGTCCGGAGGTCAATGTCAGCAGGGAGGACTTCACTGGCGAAAACCGGGAGACCCACTGGAAGAATATCTTCGATTCCAAACGTCTGAGAGTGAGCAGAAAAAAGGTATTCACTGGGTTGATCGAAACCGATGGAGTAGCCGTGTATGTACACTATCGGCGGTTGAAGAAAGATCGTACTGGTTCGCCTTTGGCATCGCCCGTGACGAAGGATGAAGATGAGAAGGAGGAGGATCCTGCGACGCAGAAAGTGCAGGATAACGACCTTGTCGTTGACGTGACGAAGGATGAAGAGAAGGAGGAGGCGGAACCTGCGTTGCAGAAAGTGCAGGATAACGACTTTATCGTTGGCGCGGACCCTGAAACACAAATATCATAACTATCGCAAAACCCAAACGTGCGGAAGATGGTACTGACGGTAACTTGCTTCAGAAAGATATGCTTCTGTTGAGATTCCCGAGAGCAAGGTACTATTGAGAATCGGGAATCATGAATGCAAGGAAGAAAATTGACACGTGGAACGCAGGAATGAAGGATCACCCAGAAGCTTTGGGCGAGGTGACGAGCCGCGGAGCAGACTTTCAAGCTTTTCGGAAATTCGTGAAAGTTCGTGTTGCTCATTGGGAGGCGCTGTGGGAGGAGTATACAAAGCCCCGCTGGGCTCGTCTGCGAATGAATCTATACTGTAGTAAGCAGCGTGCATTCGCCAACTTTTTCAATCAATTGAGCACCCTCAAGGAGAATGAGAGTTAGAGGCCCGCAGTAGCATATGGAGCAGGACGCTGGAAGACCCGAAAAGGGTGTACACCAGCTCCAACGACAAGAACGTACAAGAAGTGTGCACGGCGTTTCGTTACGATACCTGTAGATGAGTCCCGAACGTCCTATACACTCCAGAGGGTCGATATGGAAAAGCGTCAGCGGAGCCCTGAGGATAGAAAAAAGTACGGTGCGCTGACGGAACAGCAAGTGGAAAGGGGAGCGAAAGTTCGTGGATTGCTTGCGTTAGTAAGTACAACCAGTGATGGAAAGAAATGTATGGAGTTTGTGAACAGAGACTCTAACGCCGCTATCAATACAAGGAGATGTGCGGTGCTGGAGACAAGGCCTCCAGACTTCACAAGAGGGAATTTTGTTGAACAACCTCTCAAGGTGGTATTATGTGAGAAAAAGTTGGAAGCAGTATTCGGTGGCCGGCCGAGAAAGACGTGGAGGCGTCTGCACGTCGGTTGGAGACGTTTTGTCTAAGGCGCGTTCACCGCCGCTACTGTACTTCCAACCGCAGCATCGTACGCCGATTTACACCCGGGTTGCCAACCGACAACAACGCATCCCACACATGGTCACGAAGGAGAGAGGCGGCTCCCAGGATATATCCGAACAGCCAAGTTTCTCCAGCGTGTCGTGCAGCGAAGGCAAGCCTGCATCCGCAGACTGTCTGAGCACAAACTGACGACGAGACCCGATTCTACGTCGGGTGAAGCACGCCTCGAGCCGACGCCCTCTGTGCTGTAGAAAAACCGTTCTAGTTCTATGAACTATCTGCCCCAGCGGTTCAAGCGCAAAGACGGATGATTTGGGCAGGTACTAGGCGCACACGATTGGACGTATGAAACGACCAGAATATCCGAGAAAAAGTATAGGTAATGTAACATGGAGGTAGGGCGTTTGATGGATACTTCACTGCGCACTGAAAAAAGAGCACAAAAAAAGAAAGAAAAGAAATATGCGCACAATTGGAGAACGCTGGCCCACGTAAACGTTTTGTCAGGAAAAAAAATCGTACATCGATTGGACGGCATTCGCCGCGGGGCGAGTGCGTAGAGTCGCGAGTCATTTTTCGCGTCACGTTGCGCTCCGCGTTTTTGCGGGAAAAGGTACACAGTACACGTCAATATCAGTTTTGAAATGGCGATTCCAAAGGTTGGCATCAACGGACTGGGCCGGATCGGCCGCCTTGTTCTACGTGCGGCGGTAGAGAAAGGCACAGTGGAAGTCGTTGCGGTTAATGATCCGTTTATTTTCCCCGACGCCGGTTACGCTGCGTACATGCTCAAGTACGACTCCACGCACGGCGCCTTCCCGGGCGAGATCGGAACCGATGGCGAACATCTGGTTGTCAACGGGAAGAAGATAACGTGTTTTGCTATCCGCGATCCCGCCGAAATTCCGTGGGGGTCGACCGGCGCCGAGTACGTCGTCGAGTCCACTGGCGTGTTTACGGTAACGGAGAAGGCGTCCCTGCATCTGAAAGGCGGTGCGAAAAAGGTGGTTATTTCGGCACCTTCGAAGGACGCGCCCATGTTTGTCATGGGCGTCAACCACGACACCTACTCCAAGGATGTGAACGTAGTATCCAACGCCTCTTGCACGACGAACTGCCTGGCACCGCTTGTCAAAATTCTGGATGAGGCGTTTGGTATCGAGAACGGCCTCATGAGCACAATACATGCCGTAACCGCCACCCAAAAAACCGTGGACGGTCCGAGCAACAAGGACTGGCGCGGCGGACGCGGCGCCTTCCAGTCTATCATACCGAGCAGTACTGGCGCGGCCAAGGCCGTCGGCAAGGTCTACCCCAAGCTCAACGGCAAATTAACGGGGATGTCTTTCCGGGTACCCGTTGCGGATGTGTCAGTTGTGGACTTGACGGCGAATCTGAAAACGCCCACGACCTACGAAGAAATTAAGAAAGTCATGAAGGAGGCGGCCGCAAGTCCCAAGTACAAGGGAATCTTCGCGTACACCGAAGACCCCGTGGTCTCCGCGGATCTGGTTCATAGTTCGTTCTCTTCCGTGTTCGACGCTGAAGCGGGCATCATGTTGTCTCCGACATTTGTCAAGCTCGTAAGCTGGTACGATAATGAATGGGGATACAGCAATCGAGTTGTAGACCTGATCACTCACATGGCAAAAGTCGACAGCGCGTGAACGGAGGATGTCGCACTACATATCTGGACCGAAAAAGGAAAGTGATTCCAATCTATTCAGGATTCAATGTACCATACAAAGCTTTGCATTGCGTTTCGACGGTTGAATCATCGACGCACCGGCTAGATGTTTTTTCCAGCCTGCTTGTCAGTTCTGAAGCTGTAAAGGAGGTCCAATGGGGTAGCTCTACTAGTTGGAAGCCTGCAAGAGAGACTACCAAGAAACCGCATACCAGTAGCCAATGGGGCAAACACTGCGCTGTCCTCTGAAAAAGGCCCCCAGCCGCGAAGGACGCGCTTGCCCTCAGGGTCTCGTAGACGTATTCGTCAGCAGTGACAAGAACTCGGACGCCATCGATCGGGACCTAAACGTCTTTACCTTCGCATTTGCAGTTGCGAAATACCTGGAAGCTCCCAAACGACGCTTCGCGTCACGCTGTCCCACGCTACTCCAAATAACAGAACAAAATGGAACATGTCATGGGATACGGGCGTGGACTCCAAAGTTTGGCCCTGTTCAGATTGCCATCGACGCCAGCCTTTGACCGCATTTGCTGAGACTGCTTCCTTTTCCACTCCGTTCTCCCTGGCTTCAAACGCGTCGGTCTCGCGTGCCCGTCCAGCTCCGTTTCCAACAGTCGAAGGGTGTTGATGGCAGCAGTTTCGTCCCGCTTATGTTGCTTTCGGCAGTTGTCAACGTAATTCATGCAGATGCGGTAGTAGCGATCTGCACTGCACTTGCCATTTTCACTATCCTATTTGTACAAAGCTTCGGTGCGTCCTGTGCAGCAGTGAGTTTTGAATATGGCCTGGCTTTCCTAAACGGCCGCCACACCGCTACCTCCAACGAGCGTCGCACCGAGGCGCGTCAACGCTTGCTTCATCTTTCGTTACGTGCCCGTGACGCGTACAGAAGGCTTCCCTCGATGCCCATCTCTCGTTCCTTGCCCGGTACCGTACTCTACGATCACGGGGCTTGTTCTGGGCGATACCCTTCGCGAGTGCGCCGTCCGTTGCACGTGCAAGCACACGCTGTCCCATTCGATAGAGGATTTGCGGAATACGATGTTCTCTATGACGAATCAAATAACAGACGCGAAATCCAGGCTGGAGAACAAGTCGAGATATTTCGATCTGTCTACGCTCCCTTCGCGCACATCCGTGACGCATGCTTTACTAAAGCGATTGCTGCAGTGGCTCAAGTCAGAATACAACACCAGTTGCACGCAAACACAAGACACTCTCGTCTCGGGGAGCATATTCCGTAAATGGGATTATGCTGGTGTCGAATCCAGTATCGTCGTCGATATAGAAACAAGGAGAGGAATATCCTTCCTTTAGTGGAATCTCTATACCTATATGACATGAAGAGCTCAGTGATCTTTCAGCAGAAGCCTCTGCACGGTTCCTCAGAAAACAAGATCGCGTATCATTCCTTGTCAATCCACAGGCGCGAATCGCAGCGCCCACGAGTTGCCCTGAAACAGCACGACCGAAAACCTGAAGAATGCGTGATTGGAACACGCTACACGTACGGAAACCAGAAGAGTGGATGATCATATGTACAAATAAAATGATGATACCAATTATTTTACCAGCCCTCGTTTGGTTGCTAAGCGAATCACTTTGATTCCGGTGATGTACCAAGCTCGATCGGCAATGAGCGAACAACACCGCTCCGAAACCCCAACCGAGACTCCCAAAGCACGCATGAATCCGCAACCACTTATTGCTGCGCTTTGTATATCCGAGACCTGCACCTAAAATGACTTTCGGAAAACGTCGATACCCAGGAAGAGAGCCAGCACTTCCGTGTATCACTTTCATCGTCAACAGTGCAGGGACATGCGCGAAGCAGACGCCGCCACCAGTGCCGCACGGCCGATTGCGCCGGTGCGCTTCGCCAAAGCGTACGCTACTGCTGCTGCTGCTGCTGCCGCCGCTGCTGCTGCCGCCGCTGCTGTGAGCCGTTCTGGTGTCGGAAAGCGTTGCAGATGTGGCAATTATGCCTGGATCCACATATTTCAAGGTCATCGTCACCCGTCGAAGAAGGGTGCTGTACGCAACGAGTGGAAAAGGCGACCAGACGTCGGAGGGCGCTTCAGAGGGCGCGTCACACTATGTACTGTCGACGGGTGTGGACTGCCCACCTCGAGGCACGTTCGGCGCGAGACAGTGACTGGAAGCCGTCCTCCGGACAGACCAGTGATCCTAGGCAGCTCAAAGGGGAATGGCGTTCCAGTGCTGGTCGAGACGCATCTAAAGCGGAAAACGCGGGCCAGAGTCAGTCGGACGACTGCAACTCAGTTGCGAACGGTGCGTCGCGGGGCGCGCCCAAGACCTGGTCTGGTGAAGCTCTTCATCCGTACGGGATTCTTGAACGAGCGGTGCGCTCGTTTCGTACTAGCGAACCTGCAGGATCTCGAGCGCAGGACACCGTTGACGAAGTTTTCGCGAAGCAGCCAGGCGCGTGGGAAACGCCTCCCTTGTCGTCACCGACTAACGAGGGGCTAGACGCGGCCGACGCGCTCCTGGCCAATGACGCCTCGATGGGCGGCAGTTTCCTGACGCTGCCGCAAACGACACCGAAGCGCGTGTTTCCCTGGGACACGACCACTGGAGTAATCGGTCTATCGCATTTTGAGCGACAGGTGGCTTTCTACCGAAGAAGACAAAGACTTTTACAGCAGGCGTACAAAGAATGCGGCCGAATCACATCCATCTTCGCCAAGACATTTTATCTGGGCACGCTATTTCTCCCGAAACGCAAACGAGATGCCATCTGGGCCGTGTATGTATGGTGTCGGCGAACAGATGACCTCGTCGATGGACCTCGAGTGCGACAGCGTGATGCCAGTCTGCGACAGAAGCTCAGCGAATGGGAGAGCCGGTTGGAGCAGGTTTGGGCCGGCTATCCGCAGGATGCTCTGGATCTCGCTCTAGCAGACACGGTGCGGAACTATCCCGGCCTCCGCATAGACCCGTTCCGAGACATGATTCAGGGCATGCTTATGGACGTTGATCGCGCCCGCTACGAGACGTTTGACGAGCTTTACCTCTATTGCTACCGAGTCGCAGGCACCGTAGGACTCATGGCGCTGCCCATCCTCGGTGTCGATCCAGAGCACTGCAAGAGCGAAGCCGAGGCCGTGGAATCAGCCCTCGCGCTTGGTATCGCCTTACAACTCACCAATATCCTCCGTGACGTCGGAGAGGATGCACTCCGCGGACGCGTCTACTTACCTCAAGAAGAAATGCGCTACTTTGGCTATACGGAAGATGAACTCTTCGCCAGCGTTGTCAACGATCGATATCAGGAACTGATAAAGTTCCAGATCGCTCGCGTGCGAGCCTATTATCGAACTGCGGAGTGCGGGATCGCGAAGCTGCACCCAAGCGCGCGACTGCCGATTCGGGCATCTCTCGACATGTACCGTCAAATTCTGGATGCGATCGAAGAGAACGACTTTGATAACTTTCATCGTCGAGCTTACGTCTCGAAGCTGAAAAAAGCCCTCACTTTACCAGTATCCTGCCTCCGAGTACAGGAGACAGAAGGTACGTGGCTGGGGCGATTGTGGGGCCCCTTTGATCGTGGTTTCATTCAGCGCCCGAATGTTTGAGCGGCTCCGTGACCCACCGGTGCGCCGTTTCCGTACGAGCAGCCGCAGCCGCCTCCTCACTCTGCCGACGGGTGATGAACTGCTGGGGGATCGGCGTCTCCCGCTCGGTGTCACCGTCTGGCTCGACGATCGTCACTGCCGTTGCGCAGCATGTGATGACTTGGCCCGGCATTCCGTACAATACGATGCTATCGCAGTTGTCGATCGAGATGGACGGTACGCAGCCGGTAAAGTGCAGTCTGCACTTGCTGCATCGGACAACCTCGACAGCTGAAACAACACTCTCGAAAAGCACCACCACGTCGCGACAAGCGTCCAGCATAAGCGTATTGCATTTGTTTCTAATTTTGATACTCTGTTTTTCGCATCGGTAAACGTAGACGGTTTCGCGGGGGTGACAGATCGACACCTGCAGCGGCTCCGCAGAGAGCGCCCGAAAGTGTTCAATTCGCCAGCGGTTTGCGGTGCGCTCGAAGAGTAGAAGCGGTGTCTCGCCTGACTCATGTGACTTCTGTTGAGTGGGTACCGTCGTGACGGGCGGAGCTGGCTCACAGCGAACAGGTTCCGTGGCGGCGGGGGCTTTTGCCGGTACTGCACGCGTCGGTCGCAACACGGTGGTGATCGCGTCCCCCGCTGCTTCTATCTGGGAAAGAAGCGCTTCCCTGTTCGCAGCTGTCGTCGAAACTGTACCAGGCGCCATTTTCTCAAGCGAGAGTCTGGAACTTTGTCCTTCATCAGCCGCTGGTGTCGGTGGCGGCGTCGGTGCCGCAAACGACAGCGTCTCCCCCGACTGCTCAGTTGCCGTTTCCGGTTGCGTGTTTGGCGTCGATACGTCTTCGGGTACTAGTCGTGAGCAAGCACCCTCACGATAACGTTGTGCGTACGACTGTAACGCCTCTAACCAGTCACGCACGCACGCCACGTATGCGGGAGTGCGCCCTTCGCGGAGCGGTAACCGAGCAAGCTCTTGCAGGCACCGCTGAAAGAGCGCATCCAACTCCTCGACCTCGTAAAAACGCAGTGCTTTCGCAACGACCGCTACGGGCGAGTCTGGACCAAGACTCGCACACTGCGCGATCTGGAAGTAAACACGCTTCTCCAGTTTGGCCCTGGTAGCTCCGACCGTTTCGCTTCCTGTGGTGCCGCCCCGGCCTACAGCCTCCAATAGAGCAGACGTACTCACAACAGCATCGTTTAAGAGCGCAACTTCGGGTTTGCTCTTGCAGCAGTTTGTGTCTGCTTCGATCTGAAGGCGTTTAGAGGGTTCCTGAAGCCACTCCTGGAGGCTACTGGATGTCATGATGGAACATGCTGTAGAAGAGAAATTTAAAAGCTTGGACACGCGTCCTGATGGCGGCGATCGTAGCGCCACGCCAGCGCAGGACTCTCCCAGAACTGGATGTATTGTTTGTGCCTTGCCTAGAATGCCTGTTGGGGTTTGCTCTAGCACCAGAACATGCACCTGCGTTCTCATTCCCGTCGCTGCTTTAGTCAGTGCCGCAAAAAGCGCGGCATAATTCGCAAGCGGTTACTTGCTGGCGGGTTTTTACTGGTGCTGGTTCTGCTACTGAGCAGGTGGCTTGGGCGAGGTCCGCTGCGGGCTTCTCCCGGTTCCACTGAACCCGAAAAGCTACGGGTCGTGGGAAAACTGAATAACCTTGTGCGGCCGGGTCATACGGGTCACCTTATAGAGGTGCTTCCAACAACCGGCTCCTTGGGAGTCGTGATTGCTCGTTTTCACGACAAGCGTGGGCAGGTGCAGGAGCTCTTTCAAGGCTGTTTCGCTGTACGGAAAACGGACACTTCTACAGCGAACGCAGCTCCGCAACCAGTTTACGTGCGAGTCTGTCCTGCTGACGAGGAAAAAGTGACCACAAGCGAGGAACTTGCTGAAACGAGTTCTGAGTACGAGTCGTTGGAGCTGTGGCGTCACTCGTTGCGCTCGAGCCCACAGGAAAGCATCTGGCGGCGTGTCGGATCCGGTGAGTGCCTTGGCGTCGATACCAAAACGTGGCAACTTGTGCTAGGCCTGGAGAACTGCATCGTTTGGGATGAACGGGAAAAAGGAACCCTCTCTGCCGGTCAGATCCGTCTGGAACTGCAAGCACCGCTCCTTCGACTGGATCGCCTGCGAGCCAAGAGCCTGCGCAACAAGCGGTCGAACAATGTCGCATCCGCAAATTTACCCAGTGCGTTCAAGGAGGTTCCTGAAGTGTTGCCTTGGCCACTTGGAGCGCAGACGGTGCGGCTCGAGTCGAGAACTGGGCGCTCCACGAAAGCGCTGTTGCTGGCACTGGACGCCCCCCGACTGGATGTATTGGCCGCTATCTCACCGGCGTTTCGGGAGCGTCATCGATCCACCATTGGCATGGTAACCGTGCGGCGCTATGTACCGCTGTCACGGTACACGCCTGAGGATCTCCAGCGAACTCGCTTTCCGCCGGAGCGCATGCCCCCAGTGGATCCGAAAGACCGAACGATTCGGTACCCAGCACCGGCATCAAATGTTTCATCCCAGCATCAGACGCTTGCCGGACACTATGTAGAAACCAAGGTTGAACGAAAGAACCGAACGCTCTGTCTCTCGGTGACGAGCCTCGCGGACCGCACGGTAGACCTGCTGCCGTGCGAGTCGAAGCATGATGATCCGGATGGTCAGCACCAAGTCTGGAACCGGGACGGGCAACGCATCTACACAGCGCTGAGCCATGAACTCTGTCTCGATACCGAGACGCAACGGAAACTGCTTCCGTGCCCACTGCGGAACGTCACCTGTGGAGGCGTGTACGCCACCGTGGCTTCCGTGATCCTGAGCTTTTGGCGCGATCCGGTGTACATGCCGACTGCTGCTGCTGCTTCTGCTGCTGCTTTATCTGTTGATGCAGCGGGGATGCCGAGCCTCTCTCCGGAACACGAGTTCATCGACAAACTGCACTTGTTTGCAAGCAACTACCCGCCCGATGACGAGTATCTGCGCGTGTTCCGCCACAATCCCACGAGAATCAACATTCATCGATGGGATGAGGCGTTTCGGGATCATCTTGAAACGTCGGGGGCAATGCCGCTCGAGCGTATTCAGCAAAGCCGGCACGCAATCGGTACCGTGAACTACTATGCTGCTCTACGAGGACTTGATCTTTTTGCATCACCAGAGCGCGACCTGGTCCTACTAGAGGATGATGTCAAAGCTGCCGACGACGCCTGGGTGAATATGCTTCACACGCTGCGCTCCATTGAGCACGATCTGGACAGTTTGGCACAGGCGCCGAACCGGAGATACTCCTTCCCGCCGAATACGAGCTACGCTGCGCAGCTCTATGTACCGGAGAAATGGCATGACCCGCGGCTGGGATGGCCGTACGCGTTCTTAGAACACTCGCGGATCTATGGAACCCAAGCTTTGGTCTATCCAGCGGGGACACGTCGTCGGATGGTCGAACACTATCTGCGCGGTATCACGCAGACGCAGGATCCGTTCCTGATCCCCAAGTACGATCTTCATCTGCATGACTTGGACTTTCCATTTTTCGGACTGGCACGCTCTGCTTTTGAGCACAGCGGCTGTGCGTCGACGGGTCTCGGGGCCGGTTTACATCGCTCGCGAACCTGGACGCCGTGCGAGCTGGTATACTCGCTGGAGCGGCTCGCCACCGGAACCACTGTACAAGCTGTCCGTTCCCACGTATGGAGCGGGACCAAACGGAGCCCGCCTCTGGTCACCGCCTCGGACTTGAACCGAGTAGAGCGAGCGCCCAAGCAACCCGTCAGGTTTGAGTTGGTCGTAATGGATGATCCCGCGACGGAGACGGAGGAAATCGTATCGCGGCCGATAGCTCGCTACGCTTCACTGTCGTCGCTTCTGGCGGCGGCATGGGCTGACGGTGCGACCACACTAGACCGCCTGGAGCATATCTACTTTGTGGGTGACGATTCAGGGCCGATTGCCCATCATCAGGTCATGAGCATGCACCCGGATGCTGCGGCGTGTGTCGAAGCCGTTGTGAGGAGTCCATCGACTCCGATTGCATCGGAGAAGATTCTCATATTCCTACAGCACCAGCGACCTCTCTTTGCCGAGTATGCGCTAGCGTTTCCGGATGGCTGGTTTACGCGCCTCGAAGGCCTGATCCAGCGCATCCGTTCTTCAGCTGCTGCACATACAAACCTGCCGCCGCTGGTCATGTTGGGTCTCTATGCAAAACCGAGCGATGGTGCATCGCCCGAGACTGTATGGAACACGACGGCGTCGAATATCTATCTAGATCGTGCCTCACAGAGACGTTGGGACGATTCCGTTTGTGAAAAACTAGATCTCGTTGTGATTGCAGGCGCAGCTGAAGGAAAACTCGGATTGCTGCGGCAACTACTGGGGTCGCAGCGGCCGCGAACGCTCGTAGAGCTCTGTCGCATTTTGCAGCAGAGCGACTTGATCTCTCCTGTGCTCCCGGACGTACACGAGAATGCAAATCTGTATCCAGTACTGGAGACGTACTAGAGAGCACCGTTGTACAACTTGAAATAAGCTGGCGTCTGTTTATCGTGCAAGTTTTGCGAGTACATCGATTCGCGTCGTGTACAGTCTTGTGGAAGCGAAACGCCGTGCTTTCCTTTCGCTCTGCAGCAGAGAGTGCGGCAACCGTGGCACGAAATTCCAACGGGAATCAGGTACCGATAAATATCGGGAAGACGAGGATCCCTGGTCAGTGTACGCTTTCCGTCGATAAAAAAGAACGTGACAGTAACGCGGTATGCTTTCCTGCATACCGGTAATCATCCAGTAGACGGGCATCCTCGGTCAGTATGAATGTTACGTCGACCAAAAAAGAAAACAGACGCCCACTGGAGACCGGCGCTTTGCGAGCGAAAGCGCTTGTACCCCTGTAACCTTATCGACACGTGCTGCAGTTGTCGTGCATAGGCCGCTTGCACGCCAGCGAGAAACAGGGCGCGCTTCCATGCATCCTCCACTCACAGCGCTGAATGGAAACCTATCTGGACGACACTGATGACTTGGATTGCAGCTGTCGTGGCAGCTGTTCATGGGGTGCATGGGACTGGATGCGTCCTCCCCGCGAATATCGTGTGCATCCTGTTGATGCACGCAACCGCGGTGCTCAGTCGTCCTCGAGCCCTGAATACGTCGCAGAGGCACAGCTGCTGGTGTCACCATGCTCCGTACGTGCTGTTTTTGAACATGAGCACGCGGAGTCTGAAGGAAGGCAACGGATCCCCAGGTCGATACATCGCAGAAAACGAGGGGGCATGCCTCGGTGGACTTGCTCTCCCTGGGAATACGCGATAGGCATTCGGCTCTGTAGACGACATGGAATCGATACGGGGGCATTGGAGCATGTGAGCTCCGCATAGCTCAAGTACCGACTACGGCACATGGGCCTTGCACAACGAAGAGCGCTTCGCAGCGAGCGCACTAACCGTCACCGCCGCTGGTGACAGTACCCCAGGTAGTACCCAGGCGACGTAAAACAAGCGTGTACCTCACTTCCCCCGGGATCGACTGGGCAAAACTTAGGCTGTTGTTGTCGCTGGCGTGGTCAGCTGACGCTGGGCTTCCCGCAAGCGTTGCTGCAGTTCCTGCAGTTCGCGCTCAAGGTTCGAGATCACGCCATCTACCCGTCTTATCTCGCCGAGCAACAGGTCCTGGCGTTGCTTCACGTTGTCAGCAACGTCGGCTCGCCGCTTTGGTAAAAGACACGGGCCGTGGAGTTTGTAGAGTCGCGCACCGGGGTCGCGCTCGACGAGCGTCAGCTCCTCTCGCACGAACTCGTTCTCTTGTAGCTGTGCCAACAACGACCGTTTTCGTGCAACTTGCTTTGTCCATTGATCCTCTTTACTTCGTACTTGTTCGATTAGGTTTTTGAGTGCTGCCACTTGTGCGACTGCTTGATCGTTTCGGTTCATACCGGACGACGAGCACGCTACAGGAAAAGCGCAAACAGAGCGATGCTGTCGCTCTGCAGCTCTGCTTCTAGTGCAGCGCTGCTGCTGAGCGCTGGAGGCGGCGATACCGGTGGCGCGCCTGCGGGACCCATCGGTCGAACGCTTGTCTCCAGTGTAGCGTATCCGTCGGAAACCGAAACGTCCACGCGTCAAGGAATATATTTGGGTGATTTCTTTGATGAGGAAACGAGTTTTTAGTAGATCAACCTCGGACCGGGGCGACTGAATGCCTATCAACGTTCTATGTCCGCGGCTGCATGGTTTCCAATCTTGCAGGCCTGAGCGAAGCAGCTCGTCCGCTTGCAAAGTCACCGGCTTGGGATCATGCCGGGTCGATGGGCGCTTCCAGCACCGATACAGTTGCTCCGCTTGTCGTGCGGATCCCGCCAGGCAGAGTGCCAGTGTGCGCCAGGCGCTCAAGTTTTCTCGAATGAAATGTTATCGTTGTATCGAACCAGGGATCCTCAGGTACCCGATGGCTATTGGCATCAGGGGAAGCATCCGTCGTGCCGTATTCGAGCTCGGGATTCCGGCAAACACCAGCACCCAGGCTTGCTTCCGGCAGGAGCGCAGGCGCTGCAGTCGGAACACTGCACGGTGCACCGAGCAGTGTCCCGGAGTTTTTCGGTCGCTGCAGGAACGTTCTCGCATGAACCGAGGATCCCTGTTGCCACGATCACGATACGCATTCGAGGAAGCAACCATGGTTCTGCATTTCAGCTCGTTCAAGATCCATGAAGCACTACGTATTCCGTTTTTCGGTTTTAGTGGTTCGTTTCTATGATACTGGGAATGCCAAGCCTACCGTAAGCGCCTACGATGACACACGAATAGCGCCGCTACGGGTGACGCACGCACCAGGGCGTGCGCCAAGTCACGACCTGGGGCGTCGTTTCGCTGCCGCAGCGCCTGACGTTACTGGTATGATCGCGAGTGCGCTCGCCGGGCTCGGCACTCGATGGGGTGTGTATGGAGATGTGCCGTTGGCGCGCCGCGTGCACCCGATCGCAATCATCATTGAGCATGTCGTTCACTGGAACGTACTGCCTGTCCATCGTCCAGTGAAAGCGATGCCAGTTCGATGCGTGCATGGACGAACGCAATGGTCTCGGCAACTGCGGATGCGGGTCCAAGCGCAGGCATTCACCACAGACAGGATCATGAGGCGCACACGCAGGCCGTGGTACCTGCGAACGAACGTTCCCGAAAGGCGCATACTGGCAAGGAGCTCTCCCGATTCCTTCGTCCAAGGTGCCTTTCGGGCATGTAGATGCAGAGACTGCGGAAAAGCTCATGCAGGGCTTCCCTGCCGGTTCGGATCCAGCGCAATATTTTCATGCATGATTCATGATCCTGACAGTGGTTCCCGAATGTGCGATAGCAACAGGAATCAGCGGTATAATCGGTTTGAAATCCCGTTTGAGAGTTGCCACGGGCGAAGTAGGCCGGCTCGATGCTCGAGGGCACAGTCGCACCTGCCCTAGGTTGGACGCTTGGGCGGCGGATCCGTCGCATCGTCGTGGCGCCAGTTCTGCATCGCTCTTTGCATGGGCGTATGATCTAGTTCTGTTCCTAATTGACCATGTGCATTCCGTAGGCGTATTGGCGCGTATCGTCCATTGACAGGCCGCTCATCCAGTGAGCGTATTGGCTAGTTTTATTCATGATTTGAATGCTGCATACAATGGGTATAGAGGCGTATTTCGCGTATGGGAAAGCCGCTCCTTCAACGGCCGTATTGACCAATATTGTCCATGATGAACAACGACGTCCAACGCGACACGCAGCCGCCGGCTTCCGAAGCATACCCAGCGACATATAAGCTACGGCCTCGTACCAGTGACACAATATCTGTGTTTCGACTTTACGCCAGGGAGCACCCGTGTGGTCCAGGTCTCCTGGCTCTGTGCATGCCCAAGCGCGTGGTCGAATGGCTTCGGATTTACCAGGTGGCGCCACCGTCGTGCTCGGGGCACAGTGGGGCGACGAGGGCAAGGGCAAACTGGTGGACCTTCTGGCCCAGCGCGCTGACGTTGTCGCCCGTTGTCAGGGAGGCAGCAACGCCGGACATACCATCGTCGTGAATGGTACCAAGTACGCTTTGCATTTGTTGCCAAGCGGGATATTAAACCCCAAAGTCCTCGTGGTCATTGGAAACGGAGTGGTGGTGCACTTGCCGACCCTGTTCGCGGAAATCGACCAATTAGAGAAGCAGGGCGTACCGAACGTCTCCGCTAGAGTTTGCGTTAGCGATCGAGCGCACATCCTCTTTGATTACCATCAGATTGCAGATGGTCTGCTAGAGACGGAGCGAGCGGGAACTGCCGGTGGCAGTATAGGCACGACCCGACGCGGAATAGGTCCCTGTTATGCGGACAAAGCATATCGCAGAAACCTGCGAATCGCAGACCTTCGGGAATTTCGAGGTATCGAATTTGAGGCTCACATACAATCGGCAGTGGAAGACTTGCGAAAGCGTTTCGGCTCGGCAGCGGAGCAGGCGCTTAAACACTACGATGTTCGCGCTGAAGTGGCTCGTTACTACGAGTACGCGCGACGTCTTGAGCCGATGATCGGAGACTCGTTTACTTTGCTCTACGACATGCTCGCAAATGGCCAACACTCGATACTCGTTGAGGGGGCAAACGCTGCAATGTTGGATATCGATTTTGGTACGTATCCCTATGTGACCTCGAGCAACTGCACGATCGGCGGCTGCCTGACCGGCCTCGGGATTCCTCTCGCATACATTCGGCAGGTCATTGGCGTTGTGAAAGCGTACACGACGCGGGTCGGTGCTGGGCCATTTCCAACGGAGTTACTGGACGCCCGCGGAATTCAGCTTCAACAGCTTGGTCAAGAGTACGGGACGACGACGCAGCGACCGCGCCGCTGCGGTTGGCTTGACACCTTCCTCCTGCGTTATACTTGCCGCTTGAATGGTTTCACGGCGCTCTGTTTAACGAAACTCGATGTGCTCAGTTGTTTTCATGAGATCCAGATCGGTGTCCAGTACTGGTATCGCGGAAAAAAATTGCAGGGCATGCCAGCCTCGCTGCGAGAGCTCGCTGAATGCGAAGTCGAATACGAGCAGATGCCCGGCTGGCACGAGCAATCGCTTTCTGAGATACGCGACTTTGCCGACTTGCCACGAAACGCCCAGGCCTATGTCAAGCGCATCGAAGAGCTGGTTGGCGTTCCAGTGCGGTTCATTGGCGTCGGACCCGGCCGCGACGCCATCATCTACCGAGACTGAGGAGGGTCAAAATGACTTTGCGGCAACCTGTTTGCAGGCGAGCCGCGGCAGACGCATCACTCTCCCATGAGAGGCATCGCAGTTGTACGGGGCACTGCGGATGCTGGTGCATGCCTTGGCGGACCCAAAGTACACAGCAACGTACCCGATAACGGATCGTTGCGCTTCCCTCGAGGTCCCTTTTTTCACGCATATCTCACGACGGATAGTGCGCATCGAGCATTCACAGCGACTGGGACGATATGCACAGAATAGTTTCTTGATGCTGTGCAGGTGCCCAGCGTCATAGCATCTGCGCAAAGCGTTACTGGACGCGCTTCTCATCCAAATAACAGCGGTCTTCGACAAGCACTATGGTGAACGAGCCGCTCTCTAGGAGACGACGAACGTGCCGTCTGTCGACCATGGCGTGATTCCAGGTTTCATGCGCACATGATCCGTGCCAGATAAAAATGGAATTATGAAGTGTTAGATCTGCCCCTGCCTTGCGATTGTTTGCGAGCTTGTTTAGACGCATAGCCTCGAGATTCCAGGTGCAGAAAGAGGGGCGTTTGGATTCATACGGAGTTTTGGGATTTCTGGGCATGGTCTCGGAGAATCTCCTTCGATGCTTTGGCTATGGAATTCGTTTCGTCACCGGAATCAAGATGATTTGCAAAGTCATCCGACACGGGTTCGTAAGATATCTGAAACCGTTATCCATTTCATACGAACCAGCCTCCGCGCTTCTCCATTGCTTCCGTGGAGCATGCTCAAATCTCGCATTCTTCAAGGTTTCGATCTTCCGGTCCCGACGCAACTCGTGCACGCAACGCTTCGCGCTGCTGGATCCACGACAAGAAAAGATCGTCGTCATCGTCCTTTGACGACTTGTTCACGAGCTCATACCAAAAGTACTTGGAATCGCTCACGCAAAATTGTTCGATTCCGTTCGAAACACAAAATCTACTCTCTTTGTAAACAGCAAAGAAACGATATCCGACAGAAGCGGGATACCTCTCGTGGGATATGCGTTCTGGGGCTCCATTTTCGCTTCTGTTTGCATGGAAAGTGGGGCATTGGACTCGATCATGAGTTGCCGCTAGCCCCAGGGCGAGCGTAGACGGATCGAGATATCTCGACTTGTATCCCAGTCTGGATTCTCCATAGCGTGCTAATTTCATCATGGACGAAACCGCGCTCCACGAATCCTTTGTAGAACGGAACATCGTCCAGTTACATACGCAGCGGGCACGGAACTCGCCGATCGGAACGCGGAGAAAAACCTCATGGTCACACGTCAGGACTCTTGGCACAGAAACGGAAGAAGTCATCCGCAGGAGCCCTCTGTACCTTTATGGGTATCTTCCAGGCAATGAAGCTTGTATTGAAGCACGACAAGGCGCCGCTCGCCGGGAGCGCTGTGGTCGACACGCGAGAACACCTGGCCAGTGTCAAGTGCAACCACTGCGACGGGCGCACCAATGCTTTACACAAACAAAATGGTGAAAATGTCAAGCCCAGCGTAGCGCGTGACTATCCCGTGTGCATGACATACGTTGGAAACAGCGTAAAGCAATATCATCGGGACTTGGACGCTGCCATCAACCTCTGTCAACTGCTGGCCACGGAGTTCCGGGGATATTGGCGGCCAGCGCGCTTCAAGCCGCAGATACCGGACGGGGAAACGAAGCAGTCGAAGAACAAGCCCGCACAGCCTGGTGTTGACAACCGTAAAACGATACCTTATGTTTAGAGAGTACATACGAGTTAGCCGGATGGAGCCGTTCGATGATATGCTTACATGGATATAGGCTGATGTTTCGCGCAACGGAAGCGGCGGCACTGGAGCGTGCCCGTGCAACTCTATTATCATGATACTTGCTTGATGGAACTTGCCCGACTCGCCCGGGTACACAGACGCTTGGGGTTGTCGAGGCCTCAGCGTCACCGCTTCCGCACACGTTCCGTCATAGTACCAGCACCGGATCACAGGAAGCCCGAAGGGGTCACGAGTCAACCGATCGGTGATTTCATGAGACGAAACGCTGGATGCTTGACCTCCTGCAGGCGATTCTTCTGCGGCCTATGTTCTACGAATCAGACCCGCTGTACCGCGTGTATTTCTGCGGCGACGACATTACGCCGAGCACAACTGTTCAACGATCATGCAGACTGCGCCCGTACGCTAAGTACTGGAGATAGGAGGCGCGACGCAGGCTGCGCTAACCGTGTGCATCCAAGACAAGGCCACACCAAGGATTGCTGAGTTCAAGCACTGCACTCGCGACGTTTTTCTCGACAGAACATTAACACTGACAAGAGAGTCCCGAGTGCGCGCGATAGGATATCGGCAACTGGGAGAACGCCCTTCATTCAGCGTTCGACATCCAGGTTCCACCAGTGAACCTCGACACTGACAGGAGCATCCCGAGTGCGCGGGAGGATATCGGCAACACAGAAAATGACCTTCAGTCAGCGCTCTGCGTCCAGGTACCGCCCGCCATGACCCATACTTTCCCGCAGAACCTGCGCTTGCAATAGCTGTACACTGGCGCTCGAGTACGCCCCGCTGCCGATCATCTTGTCTGAGCAACGGCCGGGCGCTGCAAGACACCCGCGTCGCTCGCTGGGTTCCGCATCTGTGCATCCAGTCGGTTACGTCGACCTGCTTGCACCAGGCAGGAACAGAGGCGCGGATCAAATAATCGGCAGCCGAAAGACGCTGTTTCAAGAAAGCGTCTGCGCCTGCCTCCGAATCCACTCTCGTAGCCTTTCAAAGGACGACGCGTCTGCAACCAACAACTGGCGCACTCGATCACACCACTGTTGGGCTCCAAGTTCTACCGTGTACTCCTGGAGTTGGTCGAAAAAGGCGCGACCGTCGGAGGTGGGCTCGAAGCCCTCCAGGAGGACCCCAGGATACGCCTGGATCCGTTTGCGCTCCAATTCCCAGAGCAGGATTTGGTCATGCACGTTAAAAGGGACGCTTTTGCCCTCCATGGAATGGATACCTAGAAAGTGCAGCAGCTGTTTGGCGGTGATGCCGCACTTGAGAGCGCGTCGCACTGAGTCTCGCGTGATGACCCCAATGGCAACGCCCGGCATGCGATAGAGGATCCGCGTGAAGAGCGAAAGCAATGCCACCTGGAACGAGGAAGCAGCATAGGCATATAGGCGGAAGTTCGTCTCCACAATGATTTGGAATGGCGATCCGCTCAGGATGGACCGCCCCAAGCTTGGTCTCCTGCCTGCAGATGGAGTTGCAAGTACAGGTTCGGATTCGATGAGGATCTCAGCATGCCGGGGCACTGCATCAGGCTGCTCACGAGCGACCACAGGATCGAGGGCGGGCCCCATCATGAGCTGTGTACCCAGCGGAGTTGGCGAAAACAGCACCCTGGACGAGTGCTTCTTCAAGAGCGCAGCCACCCGACGATCGAAGGTCAAATCGTTTTTCCCGGGCACAGCCGCACTGATGTTGGTTGCCACCCGGTCGTTGGCATCCATCAGGCTGCCAAGTGGTTGCAGCGGCGACGATGTGAAGCGTGCCTGTCCATCCGGGCTGCGACGACTGTCTTTCGTTGACGTGGCGTGCAGGTACAGGGGCCGGCCCGGGCGGCGCCTGCGAATCACGAGCTGTTCATCGTTGTCGCCATCTTGTCTGCTTTGCTCTGTTTCCATGAGGTATACGAGGCCGATTTCCGCAAGAAAGCCGAGCATTCGGCACTGTGCTGCGGACAGGCTCGGATCGCCGCCATCGTAGATGTGTCCGGGCACAGAGAAACCCAGACGGAACAACAGATCGAAGAGTTCGAGACGATCACCACGCGCTTCATCCCAGTTTTCCATGTATGCTTCGAGCAGGGCCCACAACTGTGCATGAATATCGAGGAGAAGGTACGAGAAACCTCGTTCAGTGATGCGCATCCCATCGGAGCCGACTTGCTCGCTGACTCCCAAACTCAGCAGTGCTTCGATGACTTCGTCAGACGGCGGCTCCATGACGTGTTCTGGAGTGTGTTCAGGACCCGTGGGTTGCCTGATTTCAGGCTCCGCCACGGGGATGCCAATCACAAAGTGTAAAACGTGCTCCCATGCATGACGAGTGTACTCTCGGAGTTGCGGTGCTGTGAGCCTTGTTGGTATTCGACCATCGCTGGCGTTCGCTATGCGCTGAAACGGCTCGAGAAGGCGAATCCATGATGCGCGTGTTGAGGCATCAACAGAGCTGGCACTGCTTCTCCGGGGCGTGCATGCCCCCTCGAGATTCTCTTGCGAATTTGTGGTTGCCCAGAGGTACCTCAGGAGATGTTCACGGATTGCTGGTGGTAAGGCATAGGTCACGAGCTCCTGGGATGTGCCGTTCGATGGTTGCTCCTGCACCGTTCGGCGCAGAAAACGCAGCCTGGTAAGGACGTGCAGGATACGGGATACGATTAGGTTTCGTTCGCGCTCCGAGTCGGGGAAGGCAGACGTTGATTTGGCACTAGTTCTCGATGTATGGCCCCAGACGGGGTCGTTGCGCTCCTCGGTGCGAGGGTCCGCGATCCAGGCAGTCACAATATGTGCAGGTATTTCTTGCACATAGTCGCTCAGTGCGAGAAAACGGAACAAGATAATTTTCGCAAGCGGAGGCAAAGCCCGGAGGATTCCGAACACCGTCAAATCGCAGGCCGTGAATAGCATGTCGATGCTGCGTTCATCCAGACGACAAACGTAGTCCACCAGGGAGCTCGTTGCGGACCACGCCTTATCCGAAGCTTCACTCCCAGTGCGTTGCGGTTCAGGAATAGAAACCAGCGAGGGCATCTTTGGAGAGCGTTGCGAGTAAGTCGCACAAGACTCGCCAGTTGCAGACACTGGACTGACGTCAACTCGGACGACTCGGTTCTTTGCACCTTGCGTCAGTTCCGGGGGCTCAATGCCGGCGCTGCCCCGTCTACGATCTAAGCTAGGTCGAGCCGAAACGGCGTTTGCCGTGCGGTGGCGTCAAATCAAACTTCAGCGCGCGCTCCTCGCGACGGGACGACCACGTGAACAACGACCAGTGTTCCGCACGCGTTCGGCGCAGGACTGCAGCGTCGCTTTCCAGCAGCGGCGCGTCCCGCACCAGATTCCTTGGTCCTCCGGCTTCGCGCTGACCCGCGAGTCTAGAGTCGCCTGTTCAAGGCGCCCAGTCAAGCAGCTTTTCAGGAGCGATGCACGCGCACAGCAGCAGCCCAGATGCACAGCTCCGTTGTGCGCAGCACTCGTGCAGCAGCAGAAGCACGGTTCTCAGACGCACGCTTCGGGACAAGCTCAAGGAGGTCGCGTATCGATATTAAGACCGACTTGTTCAAGACGGGCAAAAATGGGGGTGCCCGGGAATTGAACCCGGGACCTTGCCGATGTTGGAGAATTCCCTAACGGCAAATCATACCACCAGATCCCCTGTAACGATAGACCAGCACCCCGTTTCGTTCAGTTAGGCACTAGAATTGATATATATAGGGTTCACGTCTCGATATGCGCCGATGATGCATGCGCGCACCGATAGCGGGTGCGTCCGGATGTCGCGGGCGGCGGATCTTCGGGTCATCGATCGGGGCCAGGGCGCGAATGCCAGTATTGCATCGATTGACGCACCGGCGCTTTAGGCGCCGGTGCGGTCGCTTTCGGCAGGCACTAGGCACACACTCGATAGGACGTATGAAACGACCAGAATATCCGAGAAGAAGTATAGGTAATGTAACATGGAGGTAGGGAGCTGATGGATACCACACCTCGCACTGAAAAAACACAAAAAAAGTAAGAGAAGAAAAATGCGCATAATCGGAGAACGCTGGCCTAAGGAAACGTTCTGTCAATGAATAAAAAATTGAATCGATTGAAGCGCTTTCTCCGGGTCCTGCAGTGCTCTCAGGCGACAAAGTTTCGATAAGACCACACATTCCTGGGCAAGTCGGAGCGCCGCTAACCAGAAGCGTTTGCACATCCAGGCGAGTCAGTTCAGTCTCTCGTAGTGTATTCCATTCAAAGCCAATCGGTTTGCGTGCATGCGATGATACCGACGGTGGATCGGTCGCAACGCTGTTCGCGAGCGAAGGTTGCAGCGTGTATGCGCGCTAGCCGCAGCATCGACTGTATTGATCCAAGGCCAATGCTGTAATATATGGAGTGTTCAGAGGAAACCTCCATATGGCCGAGTCGATTCTGGTAGAACGACACGCTTCTGGTATGCTCCGAATCGAGCAGTGCCTTCGGGGACGCATATACAATGACGTCCATTTTGTGTATGTTTCTGTATCACCCGAGCATGTTTCACAAAAACAATGCATCGTGTAGATCGGAGGAAGGTCTTGGAGCTAATTGATGCTGCGACTGCTAGATTGCGAAAAAAGGTCTTACATGTGCGAGTCTTTCATTGAACGATGAGCAGGTGGAGGAACCACCTTCCTGGTAGTCCTCTATCCTACGCGTCGTGTACCCAAAACACAGAACCTATGAAACTCTATTTTCGCGCCTGTCTCCTCGTCAACCCAATTCACTCCAAACATTCTCAACGAACTTCTTCCAAAGAAGCCAAAGCGTGTGGAGTTTCCACACCGCTGATACCAATGCTTATCGAGAGAAACACATGGACATGATGAAAGAGCGTGCTTCCGTACGGGACGGTCCCGTGCTGAAAAGCACGCCATCGATTTCGTACAGAAACGCGAATGCTTCCTATATCTGAGACGGTTCTCCGTCTCACTCGAAGGGACCTCGTCCCAGGGAAATCGCAGACTTGTGCACGTGTTCTCAACAAGGAACAAACCGCTGTTTGCAGAGGTGAAACGAGCGACCGTAACTAAAAAAACAGTCATAGCGTCGTAGCTATCGTATAGTTGCCGCCAAATCGCCAATCGGGTAAGATCGTTCATCACCTCACGCTTCGTCGAAGCACTTCAGGACTTTTCCTTCCATACGCCTCTCGCCTGCTCTTACATAACGCCGCTTTCTATCACTCACACAAGCGGGAACGGTGCATGCAGTTGCGGTTCGAGTTGAAGTGCTCTCGGTGCCAGTGTATGCTCCTGGGTTGAATCGAGTCGCAGGCGTCTTCTCTGTTGTCAGAGACCGTTTCGACGCTTACGGATCAACGGACGACTCGAACACATCCATGGCATCCTTCTTGGTCGAGTTGTTCCCTGCCCTGACCAGCCCGGATCTGCAGTGTTGCTCGTCGTATGCGCGAGGCAGAGGACAAGCGCGCTGCGGTTTATGGACACGGTCGGAACGGGGATCACGAAAAAGTAGTTACGGGACCGTAAATACATCAATAGAGCAGTGGCGCTTCAATGATTCCGCCCTTACGGCGCATCAGAATCCCAAGAAAAACGAACGGTTATGGAGTATGGGTATACGTTCATGATTCTCCACCAAGTATGGGCGAACGCGGAGAAGTAGAAGGTGCAGGACTCATGGGGCAAAAGCAGCAACTTTGTACAGAACGCAGGACGACGAGGAACCAGAAAGAAAACCTATCGGGGCTGAGAGATCAACCTGAAACCGTTGGCATGGCCTCCCTACGAAAACGCATCTGCGGGTTCACCTTTCTTACGCGAGCTGATGGACGCTAGGAAAGATCGCGTGGCTTCTCATTTGAGGAACGCTCGCCTGCTTCTCTCGCTTTGGCCCACATCGTCAAGCAACTGATCGCATGAAATCCGGACGCAGCGCTGCCATCTATCCATATTTCTCTGGATATCTTTCGATCTCACCTTCGCAACGCAGGACAACAGATGATCGGGATAGAAGACGTCTGACGGACTGATCTTTTGATCCGAAATCTTTATACAGGCTTCCCTGTATAGTTTGGCACAACGCCGAGCAACGTCAGCGATCACCAAATGTAAGCCGCGAGCGTCAATGATAAATTGAAAACAACCTCAAATACCTCCCGCGGGTCAATGCCGAGCGCTTCCTGGGACGCACCCTCTTTGGATCGTACCCGTCGTGCCCTAGCAATTCTGACACAGAAGAATGGAACTGGCGGGACATGATGTAAGCTCCATGTAGTACGAAGGCGTCCACATGGCTCATGCGAAGGACCTGTATGAGCAGCACATGCGACTGCACTGACGCCCCTGACGGGCTCCGGTTCTACAGAGGCAAGATGCGTGCTTTCACCAAAGCCCTCTGGGGGCTCCCAGCAAGGAAATGACCGATTACTCTCGTCGCGTTGTGGTAGCCTATGTCTACGGCGGCTGTGTACCACCCCAAGAGTCTAATCCTGTGCCCTCAGCGACAGCACCAAGCAAGTGCAGGAATCGATGCTGCACGATTCCCATAGATGCGTTCAGGACGATGTACGTGCATCGCCAGGACCGGTGCACAGTGAAACGAATACAGAAGAAGAGCATGAGACAGAGCCAGATTCACGAGATGGCGAACAGCAAGCTGATCAAATTTCAGATTGCGGAGCTATCGAAGATCGGAGGCATGCTGTAGCATGATTCCCCCGGCAAGAATGCGCGCAAGGACACTCTGCACCTACGAATGATCGCCTCGCTGAACATCCGGGACGGACGCTTGTTGCCATCGCGTCCACCGGCTTGGTGTCGAGCGAAGTTCTGAGGGAATCCTCTGGCACCCAGTGAGGCCCTGGTGCTGGAAACGGAACCTATATGCAATGGAGAAACATCACTGTTCAAGAGGGAGAATCGGATTCCCGCCTCTGCTCACTCGCTGATACAGAACGGTTCAGCAATACTGCAAGACCCGAGCACCACATCAATTCACCATGTACAGTTTTTCCTGGCTATTGGTCGACAAGAAAGATGATCCAGCATGCGATATGATCGCGCATTCATAAGCGGGGTACAGAGCGCGCGCGCTTCACAACATACCCCAGCGGCGATGCGGCACAGCGCGGCGATCAGCCTCGAGACGAATCTGATCACGCCAGCGGATGCGCGCCGATCGCCAGCGCACACCTGTACCTGGCGCGTGCATCGCGGCGTACGCGTTGCACCAATGGCTGCAGATGCGCGAGCACAGCGATCCCGCCGCCTTCCGAACGCTTCGGCAGGGCGGCATCGCGACATCGCGAGCTACACTTCATGCGTATCCTGTCGTGCTCACTTTTACGTAACGGGTACAGTGGTATCCGTAGCTCGATGAATTCAGGACAGATTGCTTTTTCAAACGCTGTAAGTTTTCCTTCGTTGCGCTCTATTCAGGTTAGAAGAATCAGCAGTGTTTCAGTGCGTTCTGCGAACAAAGTTCGATTCAGTTCTTATTTTGTGCAACGTGAAGCGTACCGCGGCGCGGCAGTTTTGAGACTCAACACCCAGGCACCGACGCGAAGGCTTGTGACCATGGCAATCGACACACAGACGATGACTTCTGTTCGGAACGATCTTGTTGAAATGATCAAGCGTACCAAAGCGATGCCGATCCTGGTACGCTTGGCGTGGCACGACTCGGGAGACTACGACGCACGCCTGGGAACGGGCGGTGCGAACGGCTCTATTCGTTTCAATAAGGAACTCCAGCATGGCGGCAATGTTGGTCTCCCGGGCGCTCTGAACCTGTTGAAACCAATCAAAGAGAAGTACCCAAACGTAGGATGGGCTGATCTTATTCAGTACGCAAGTGTTCTGTCGATCGAGGTTGCAGGCGGGCCCAAGATTCCGTTCCGTTTCGGCCGTGTCGATGCCCAGTCGGAGAATGAGGTGCCACCAGAGGGTCGACTCCCGGCGGGCGGTCCACCGTTCCACAAGGCCGAGGGTGAGAATCCTAACGAGCCCGCGCCCGACAAGGAGGACGCTGCCGCGCATTTGCGTAGGGTTTTCTATCGGATGGGTTTCAATGACCAGGAGATCGTTGCACTGAGCGGTGGCCATACCATTGGACGCGCGTACAAGTTCCGAAGTGGCTTCGGCGCCGGTGAGGAGGGCACCAAGTATACGCGCGCAGTGAGCGGTGTGACCAAGGGAGGCAGCTCCTGGACACCGGACTGGCTCCAGTTCAACAACATGTACTTCAAGGTGCTCATGGATCCGAATGCTGATCCGGAGCTTCTGAAGCTCGTCACAGACAAGGCTCTCGTCGAAGATCCGGAATTCAACAAGTACGTGAAGATCTATGCCACCGATGAGGCCAAGTTCTTCGAGGACTATGCAAATGCCCACAAGAAACTAAGCGAGCTTGGTTCAAAATGGGATCCGCCTGGTGGAATTCCGGCATAAGTTTCCCTCAAAGGTTCGTTTAGTATGGCTGCAAAAAGACGCTACAAGCGCAAGCTATGAAGGAAAGGAGCTCCTCTGGGGCCCATTTGATCGTAGGAAAGATCTCTCTAGCTTGATCAGGTGACGCAGGAATCCCCCTTGAGGTCAATTCGTAAACTGTGGTTCCCATTAGTGTGTATCTTGCGGCCTGGTTGCGATGACCATCGCGGTCCATTGAAGCCTGCAGCTCGCCGGGCCAACGACGTCTGCAAAAGCGGTACGTTACCAGGCACCGGACGATCGCCTGCGAGCGCTGGGAAACCCCGCCATGAAAGCGCGCCCGAAGCCAACTGGTGCGCGCTCCTCGACCTTACTACGTCAACGCGAGCGGAAACTCCAGTTTCATCGCCCTCATCGAGCGCCGCAACGTAAACAACTCCGGTCGCTTCCGCACCCTCGCAATAGCTCTTGCTCCAAATCATGGCCTACTTTTGACCTTGCTCTGCTATCTCATCGACTTTCATAGCCAATATAAAGTCGTTCTCGGTGAGACCGCCCAGAGCGTGCGTCCAGAGCTCCACGCGAACACGGTTCCAGTTCGTGAGGTGCAGGTCCGGGTGGTGTCCTTCCTTTTCCGCAACATCCGCTATACGGTTCAAAAATTCCATAGCATCTTTAAAGTTTGGACGAACCCAAGTGCGATGCAGACGTTTTGTGTCAGGAGTTGTCGTCCACTGGGGTGTCTTGGTGGCGACCAACTCCGCCACTTGCTCAGCGCTGAGCGCCGACCCGATGCCCTCGCACGGCACACAACGGGCTTCACGAGATACGTCTCTTCGAGGTGTCCCCAGTGTACAAGACGACATTCTCCGAAGTGCTGTGTCCACGAGTATTCGTCGCTGCCACTGTGCGATAAGCGCCACGTACATACTTGCTTACCGATACGAGGGGCGCTATACACACGCCAGCGCGACCTTAGCGCCTGAGCGTGGTGGCGAGATGGCACTTGGGCATGCAGGAACCCAGTCGTGCATGTTTCAAACTGGTGCATTCGCCCTGTAGCAACGAAAAGGTGTATCGAATTTTCGGATCTCTTGAGCGAATTAGCGGTTGAGGGTGCGCTTCACCAGGAGAGAAAAATGATTCCATCGGTATAAGGGTAGCACATGCTCTGGAATTCAGAGGAAATGTGCTGCACGATGCTTCGGGTGAGAGAGAGAGGAGACGACGAGCCCGAAGAAATGGCCCAAGCGCAATTCATCGTCACCAAATTTAAACTGACCTCTCTCCGCCAAGTTCGTCATCGCGAATAGATAAAGTCCGTCGTCTCGCTTATGGAGTCTTCAAGGGCGACTGAACGCGAGGGGAAGCCAGCGCCCTCGGGAAGGTCCACGTTCTAAGGAATCTCTCTCGCGACTCTTGACCCAGTTCACTTTATCGTTTGTTTCATTTCGTATAGACACCGAAAGGACTTTGGTACAAAAAGGCGAAAGCATGGATGAGCGAAGAGGCCATAAGCGCGCGCTCGTTCCTTGATACGATCTTTTCTACGCTTGCGAGATCGCCTGTACCGCGAGGAACCGTTACGACATGGAGAACACCATCGGCTCGAGTCTCATGCCGAGCACTAATGAATTCGATCATCTCTGACCCGGAAGAACGATAGGACATACCAAAGGACAAGATCCGTAAAGGTGAATGAAGGCGGGTTTCTTCGGCTTGACGCAGATGCTCGGGGCCTTTCCAGCACGATGGACACGAATCAAATCTAGATGAACCTCGACTCTCGTGTCGCTCATTACATCAAGCTGAAGCACGGAAACAAATTCAAGCGGGTCCCAGGAGAGCACGAGACATTGCCTGTGCCGTGCCCGCTCGATATTTCGAAAGTCTCGACATTCTCCTCCACCGGGAGTGATCGATCAAGCACCTGCAGATGTTGAGCGCCCCGGTCTACGATGGATTGCCCCCTTAGCAAAGAGCGCAGCTATGCTGCATCTTCTCTACGATAGAACTGGAGACGCTGACTCGATTTCATTGCTTGTGCGACGACGGTCGGTAACCAAGCAAGAGACCGCCAAGCATTAGTGACGGGGCGAGGCTCCACTGATTCCGGATTTGTATGCGCGACTCGAGAGCGTCAAGCGATGTTTCTTGCTCCTTCCCGAGCTCCTGCCAATAGAATTTTACGCATAGAGCGCAGACTTGCGGTCCATGCTGCTCCCGTCAAAATCAGACAGCCTCCACAATACTTCGAACACAGTCTACGGATATCGAGTTATGCGATCGACCCTGATGACTCCCGAAGCACAGTTCCTGGTAAACTGAAAATTGCCTACACTTCACCAACAAATGCCACGAGATTTACATACCGAACAAGATCATCTCAGTATCTCCGTCAGCGATCTCTGTCCAATCCAAGAATCCACATACATGTACGCTGAATGTCGAGTCTGCCCCAGACTCTCGCACCAACACCTACTTGTCTGCGCTCGGGGCCGCAACGCCGTGCAACGGCATCCGGGCGCTGCGCACTGAGATCGCCGTTTTTCTTTCTTTTTTCCATAGACAAACCGTTTCCATAGGCCAGCGTTCTCCGATTATGCGCATTTTTCTTTTCTTACTTTTTTTGTGTGTGTGTTTTCAGTGCGCGGTGAGGTATCCATCAAACACCCTACTCCCAAGTTACATTACCTATACTTCATCTCGGATATTCTGGTCGTTTCGTACGTCCTATCGATGAGATCGCCGTTGGAGGGGGTAGCCCGTCGGGGCGGCGCCGCCGCCGCAGCCACAACTGACGTGGCGGCGCCTGCGATCAGCGAGCAACCAACACGTTCAAGTTTGGCGTTGGCGCTTGTATCTGTGTTCAGTATGTGTCTCGTGACACGGTTTAAGATGCGTGATGGGCACTATGAAGTCGGACCTGGAGCCTTTTTTGACTGGCTCAGGGAGGGGTGTCCGAAACGGGAAGAGTGTGCGCCGACGCCAACGCGGACGCCGCGCTCTTCGACCGTTGGCTCCGCTGGTGCTCCAGGTCGCGACTCGATCGAGGACATGCGCGCGTACTTGGATATGAATATGCATGACAAGCACAACACTGGCGCACCTGTTGCGGTAGAGACGGAGGACATGGACACATCCGGCAGGAAGTGATAGCCAAGTGATTTGAAGGGTACGTTGGCGCCGTGGGACTAGCAACCACGTGTCCGCTTCGTTCCGTTTCGCGTGCAGTCCTGTGGCACCGACGCTGGCGTGTTCGCGTCAGCGAGACCATAAGGATTCCCTGGGCGGTATGCCTCAGGATGAAGGGCGTGGTCATGCAAGTTCTGATGGCGGTGGTCGAGATTATGAGCTCGCGGTAGGCGTCCTCACTGGAGAGGAAACTTGTTTTATTTCGGTGCTTCGATAGCGCATGGTGGTGCACATGTCTCGGTGTTTTTCAGGTCGGGGACGAATGACCATATAGATCGTCGTCCTGATAACCTTCGTCCGAGTGGTTATCTTGCTGGACGGGTCACTACCAACAGCTGTGCAGCACGGCTCGTCGGCGTGTATGGAGCGAGTCGTTGTCAGCGGTAAATGCTTGGTTTGGCGCTCGATTTTCGGCGAATGGATCGTCTGGTACACACGGCATGCTCTAAGCGACGAGTTGCGCACTAATGAATCATGCGATAATGAAATGGACGGCTCGAGGGATTTCAAGACGAAGAGCTTGGTGCAGTCGGTTGCAACGTCTAGATTGGGCGAAACAAGCGTAAATACAAGTTTCTATCTGCGGATCTAGGTGCCTTTTATTCGGAACGATGAGAGGCAGTTGTTAAGGCGATCATAGCAGAGGGACCACAATCCCGTCCTATGTCTGTACGGACAGCAGGCTGGGCTCGGCACCCGACAAGTTGCTCGAGCAAAGTCTTGAACCTGCCGCAAACACTGAACGGCTCTTGCTGATGCTTGGAAGTTTCCGTGGAGTTACGGAGAGCGTTCTTCTCTGGTGATCATCAGCAGTTGCACCGCGGGAGGACATTTCATAAGGAGCGTTGATCCTACACCATACATGAATCTTGTGGAACAGTGGCGTTTCTTCGCTGGTTATCTGCAGTAGTCCTATCGCTGGTGAATATCCGCTGAAATGCATCGAGCCTATACGCCTGTCCGATTAACACGGGACGTCGTACTGCTTGCCGTGTTCCTGCCTTGGAATTTCTTCCGATCCTTTCTTAGATGCCTGGCCTCAGCTGTCGAAGTGTAGCAACGAGCATCGTTCATGCATACATGGTTTTAGGATTCGCAGCCAGGTATTCGATGTGGCTTTCTCAACGCTATGCTGAAAGAACTCTTTATATCACCGGATTCAGGATCATTCGCGATGCACTCAAGCAAGAGTTCGTATAATAAATAAAATTATGATACAATTCGTTCGCACTAGCCTCCAGTCCGTTCCTTTCCTCACAAGTATCATGCGCAAATCATGCGTTCCTCAAGGTTTCTACATTCCGTTTAAAGGAAAATAGTGGACGCAGGAATTCGCCGGCTGGCTAGACGATGAAAAGTACTCTCCGTCGTCGCTTGACGACTTGCGCATAGGCTAGTGCCGAACGCTCCCTGAACTTGTCACGTCCAGTGATCGATCCTGCTCGAAAGAAAAAAACTCTCCTCTCATTGTCCCAATCGATGACCCTGCATTCCACACCAGCAGCACCATGCCTCTCACAAGATATGCTGGTAGAGGCTCCTGTCTCTGCTGCTTGCGCAGAAAAGGGTCTCGGGTTCAGACGTCAGTCATTAGAGCGATCGCCGCTAGCGGAGCGTGCGCCACCGCTTTCCACGATCGGAGCGTTCGTGGATCGAGATTTCTCGACCTTTGCAATAGCCTCGATTTTCCCTTCCATTCTCATTTCATCACGGAAAACATTGCACTCCTCGAATCCTGTATGGACTGGGACGACTTGCGCTAGCGTGTTCAGCCCACAGCGTCCTCGTCGGTCGCATCGCTCAGAGGAAGCCCGTGATCGCGGCGTACGGCGACGTATACGGAAACGGAGAACGGCATCAAGTCAAGCCTACTGCATCAGTTAAGGGCGTATACTGAGCGATGAATCAAGCGCTGAAGGGGCACAGGGCTGAGCTCGAAGGCGGAATGTGGTGGATACATGAGAGAACCTGACCACAGTCAAGTGTTACCGTTACGAAGTGCGCACCGATGCCGCATACGAAGAAGATGATATAAGCAAGAGAAGCGTCTGTTGCATTGTTTGCATGTGCACGGAATTCTTGAACAATAGCCGGCAGTTGTGAGGACAGCATTTTTAGGCTCCCATCAACATCCTTCGACTTCTGAAACCGTAACAAGGAGACAGGAGGGATCGGTGTATTCAAAGCCCGAGATGCAAAAACTGAAAAGAAAACTGTCAAAGAAGAAGCCAACAAAGGCCTGCGTTAGTCACAACAGGAACATCCCTAAACTTGAAACGTGCACCTCTGCATCATCAAAGTGGAGCCCTTGCACTTTATACCGAAATGGGTAGATAGATCGAGAAGAAAAGCAGGTGCAACGCGGCGATCATGCACACGTGTCCAGCACGCGCATGCGTGCACTTGGGACAGCGTGCGTGATCCGCACACGCATTTGCAGCATCAGTGTCACAGTTTCACGTTGCGAGTCGCTAGAGCAACCCGTGGGAAACACGGGATTTATGTGCAGGCCAAGAACTTGCTAACCAGGTACTCGTCGAAGGACGGTTTCCAGTACCCTTCGAGGTGCCACAGGTTCTTCACGTAGCGAGCAACGAAGGAGGCGTACGTGCGTTCCGCTGACTCTGGGCGGCGTCGCTGTGGTCAAACGCCACGTTGTAGAGAGGGCGCTCCAGTGCTGCAGGAGGCACTCAGGCGCGGCGTAGGCTTGATGTTTTGCAGGTGCGTCAACACAGTACAAACGCGTACCCGCCTGGCTCGTTGGACGGCACATAGTTTGCGCTGGAGAGCTACCATGACCGACGAGGTCGCGAAACTGCGAGTACAGTACTCGAATACACCGCTTACCGAAGAGGAGGCTCGTGCAGCAGGCTCGCCGATGCATCTGTTCCAAAAGTGGTTTGATGAAGCGATTCGGGTTAAGAGTTATGAGCCGAACGCGATGACGCTAGCAACGGCGACTCCTGACGGGGTTCCAGCTGCACGAATGGTTCTGCTCAAGGGTCTCGACCTCGAGAGAGCCACGTTCACATGGTATACGAATTACGAGTCTAGGAAAGCGCAAGAACTCGACCGGAATCCTCGCGCAGCGCTCGTATTCTGGTGGCCGGAGCTAGAGCGTTCCGTCCGAGTCGAAGGCAGTGTAGAGAGACTCTCCACTGCCGATTCGGATGCGTATTTCGCATCGAGACCTCTGGGTTCGCGACTGGGTGCATGGGCCTCGGCGCAGTCTCGGCCAATTACGAGTCGTGAAGCGTTGGAGCGACAAGCAGCCCAAGTAGAGGAGCGCTTTGCGAATGGAGAAGTACCGCGACCGCCACATTGGGGCGGGTATCGGCTTCACGCTTTGCGTTTGGAGTTCTGGAAAGGTCGCGCGAACCGTTTGCACGATCGACTGCTTTTCGAAAGGGACTCGAAATCGAGTGACCATGATATGCAATGGCGCATGACGCGTTTGCAGCCGTGAAATCGTTGTCGACGGAATGCGCTCCGCACAGATGTGAAGGTGGCCATACACGCGAGACAGGGCTGTTCATTAGATGCCTCCGCAACGTTTGAGAAAGACGCACGACACACGGACATTGCTGGCGGAAGCAGAGAGCCAGGAGCAGTAGCAGGAGTGCTTTCGCGACAAACGTTCCGGCTAATTGCACCAAAGTCGCATCGCAGGTGTACTTGGGTCTTGCAGGTGCCATTCGCATGGCGCGTGCTGTAGACCACCGCGCCTTGAAGAGAAGCGCGTTTCTTTCGTATCAGCACTTCGACCGCAAGTTTACACTGTTTTCTCCAATGCAAAAAAATCATCCAGTGAATCGACGCAGGTAGTGCGCAACGCACCTCTGGACTGGAGCACCTCCATGGCAGCAGGAGCCTTGGCGGGATTCGTTACAACCGTCACAAGGCAATGCTCGAGGCGAAAAGCCGCCAAGACCCGAGTTGCAAACTCGGTAAGCTTCGCGGGCGTCACGTTAATAACCTTGGCCAGAAGCTCGCCGGTATAGTCACCTTCGAAACCGCGACAACTGTTGCATAGTCGCTGGAAAGCCGCAGCCTCGACTGTGCTCTCCTGGTTCAGCAGCGTGCACAAGACGCCTGAGCACGCCGATGCAACGGTGTTTTCATCGATTAGCTCCTGAGGTTGCTGATGAAACCGCTCTAATACGCCCAACGCCGCAGACAAGGCGCCCTCGAAAGCAGTCGAGCGGTACAAGCTCAGAGACACCGTCCCCGACTCGGGCGTACACCCGAGATTGTATCCGTAGGCGAGGCCAGCGCCCCGGATATCACGCCAGAGCGGTCCCTCGAGTGCATCGAGCAGTTCAAACAAAACCAAATAGAGCGGATAATCCGGGTCCAGAAAGCTCTTCGGTCCATCGGAGATGAGTTTTGCGTAACACGAATCGACACCGTCGACACCGGCGACGATGCAGCGGCGCGGCACTGATGCACTGGGGCGCACCTCGTGCGAAAACTGAACGAGTTGTGGATGAGCTGGTAGCGGGCCGTTGCCGTTCGGGAGCATCCCGCTGATAACACCAAACGTCTGCTTCCACGGCTCTAACAGGGCATCTAAACGCTCATCGCAATGTAAAACGGCATGCAAGAACACCTTGCCGGGACTTGTGAGGCTTCTTCGCAGCGCCTCCAGCTCATCAAGCAGCGCTGTCATCGAATATCGCTGGCTTGTGCCCGTCGTCCTTGACCAGTCCGGAGAAGCAGAAGCATCCGTGGCGAGCGCGTTCGCCGTCCAGACTCTCGACGGCATTTCATCTGCCCGGTGGTGCAGCGTAGACGGAATGACGCGTTCGGGAGCGTCAAAGCTGTGCGCTTCGCCGCAGTCGTCGTACTTCATATCGCCGTCGTGTTCATCGTCGTCGTCGTGTTCATCCTCATCACGATCGTTGCGATTTTCACCCAGCAGCTTCAAAACCTGTCGCAACAAGTGGCGCTGGCGAAAGGGTGCCATCGCTGGAATATTGGCCTCGTCGTTCGCCCCGTAGAGGACCTCGTTCGAGAGCCATGCCACGAGTGCGGAGCCGTCACGACGGTGCTGCGCTACGTCGTTCAATAGTTTCTGTGCAGCGATACGCACTCGATTGGTTTCCAGTTGAGAGCGATACAGAATATCGTAGAGCCAGTGCACACAGGTTTCGTAGAGCGCTCGTTCCGATTTGATGGTTACGGAAATCAGCTGGGAGAACGCACCAATGGCGAAGCCAGCACCAGCGTCGCCACCTTCTTTCGAGAGTCCTATTGCGCACCCGTAATCCACGGTATCCGCCAACAGCGCATCCCGTACCGCACGATGATCGCGCTCTCCGACGCGAGTGTTAAAGAGCGTCTCCAAAAACAGTGGCAAGAGAAGCCGCTGACGCCCGCTCAGGCCCCGAGTATCCAACAGCGCTGTTAACCGCACAAACTCGGAATCGACGTCGTCAATTTGCAGTCGCACGCCGCTGCCCACATCATCGATACGAATCGTTTCCACCCGAAAACGAGAGATGCTCGCAGGGTCAAGCAACCCAGAGCACACCGGGACTAAGCTCTCCGGGATAGACACCTGGTGCTCCGCCACGGACTCTTGCAGCCGCTGACCCAGGGCGACGCGCTCGGCAGCACTCAAGCGTTCCAGACGCTCTTGGATACGTAGTGCAGCCTCTGTGCGCAAACGATTTGCCTCATCTTTGCTTGGTTGGCAGACAATGCAGCTGACCAGCGAGGCCCCGTGATCCCCATCCCCAGGTAGGTACCAACGCCGCAGGATGTGCTCTCGCCAAAATGACTCATCGAGAGCAGCCAAGTGCGCCAGCACCCCTGGCATGTCGAGTGCCTGTCGAAAATACCCCTGATCATCCTGATCGTTGTATAAAAACTCCGGGATAAGCAATGATAGGATCGCATCGTTCGCTCCGTCCTCCAGGGCGGCAAAGAACTGCCGGCGCCGGCGCTCGATGATGGTACGCAAACGTCCGTTCACATCGATGCCCTGCTCGTGGGTGACCTCCAGAATCCCCATAACACGATCAAAGACATCATCCAATCGATGCATTGGAACGTTTTCCACCTGAAGGATGTTGGCAGTGATCCGAAAATCCATCTGCATGAAGGAAACATCGTTACAGAAGGCATCGCTGCACTCCACCAATGCTTCCTGAAGCGGTGCGTTCCCCGACTCGCTCAAGTAGTCGTTCATGACCTCGATCGCGGTACGCATGACCAGGTCATGGATGGGCGGACCTCTCCATCCGATAAAGACGATACCGGTGTCATCGGTGGCCTCGTCTGGACAGTCAGCTCGTTCGGCAGGAAAGAGCACCCGCTCCCGCACGAGGCCAAAGCGGGGCGCTGGCGGCACCCTTTCCGACCACGGTCGTCTATGCGTCGCTGTGAATACGCTGACGAGCCTTTGCTCGAATCTTGATAGCGTAGCGAAGAGGAGATCGCGGTCCACCACGCCAGATACGAATAAAGCGAAATTATCCGGACGATAGAACTGTTGATGGTAGGCTCGGACGCGCTCATTGGTAAGCTGGCGTATTTCGTCCAGGATGCCTCCTGTTTCAGCAGCGTATCCGCAACGAGCAGGCTCGCCGTAGAGGCTGCGGAGGCAGCGCAAGAGGCCTTTCGACTCTGCAGTGTTTTCACGGGCTTCCATTTCGGAGTAGACCACACCGGCGTCCGCACAAGTTTCGCCAACCACGTGGTAGACCTCTGTCCGAAACGCGGACTCTCGAAGTAGAGGAAAAAACAGGTGATCCAGGTACACAGGTAGGACGTGGAGGAAGGCACGAGCCCCAACTGTCTCCACGGTGAACGCCGTATGATCGGTCTCCGTCCAGGCGTTCGTTCCCTGGGCGAGCGAGCGATTTGCAACGAGATCTAACACGCCTTTGTAAGGATATGACTCACTTCCCATAAAGACAAGGTGCTCCAAGCAGTGCGGTTCGCCGGCATCGCTGTGTGCTTCGGTGGCGAAAACGAGCGTTCCGCATACGAGTGGCCCCGGCACCTGAGCCAGGTACACGGTGATGCCGCTTGTTGTGGAGCGATGCTTTTCCACGGTGACTTTCTGACGTACCGTACCAACATCTACTGCAGCAAGCTGCTTCCAGGCGGTCATGCTGGGAGAAAGCCGACGAGAGTGCCTCGAAAAAAATGAGTACGAAAGCGTTTTGACGCTCTCCGGTTTCGAAGGGATCGTATCGCTGCTACGCGTTGGCGTTCATGCGCCGCCTCTCCTGAGCCACAGCGCAGTGCATTCAGGGATACCTGCAACAGCACACCGTTTTTGTTTCTGTTCGGTTTTCTCAGAGGTAGTCAGCACAAGAAATGCATACGATGCATTGGGGCAAGGTCATCGAAAGACTTGTGCTGTCATTGCTAGCCGGAAAAATAGGCCTACTTTGCACAAGTCAGTTAGTTGACGGTTAGCAAGTGGATGAACCGCATTTGTCGTAGTCCTCGGTCTGAACGTTATGCACCCGAAACAGAAATTGATGAAATCTATCCGCGCGAATGTCTACTCGTCAACCCATTGTATTCCATACATTCTCTAAGCAATACAATTAGAGAAGCCATGGTATGTGAAGTTTTCCGCACATTTGATTCGACTGGTGATGAAGACGAACAGATGGACGGAGATGAAAGTGCGCTTCTGTGGGAGTTTGTCGTGCCCTGCGCAGCACGTGATCAATTTCGTATTGGATCATCAATGCGTATTACAGGAGCGACGAATGCTCCTCTCACGCGATGAGACTTCTTTCGCGAGAGGAATGCTAGACCTGTACCTGGGTACTCCGGGAAGGAAAACCCGCTTATCGTTAAGAAGCGACAAGCGAGCATGACGACAGCTTCAGCCCCAGCGACAATGCAGTCGTGTATCGCCTACAAATCGCCAATCGGATGGAACCGATCCATACCTCATCCTTTCTCAGAGCACGTTTCATACCTATGCCTCTCTATATCGCTCTGCCCTGCTCTAACACAACGTTACTTTCGACCGCTCAAAAGCGATCAAAGAGTACACAGCTTAGATTCTAATTGAGCTGCAGTTCGTGCAAGCACGCTCCCCTTGGTTCAATCAAGAGGACATCGCTTCCTCTGATGTGGAACGCCATTCTAACATCCCCGGATCAATAGAAGAGTTGTTCGAGTCCGCGACACCGGTCTTCGACGAATCCTGTTCGGCATTCACGAAGCCTGAGCTGCTCTGATGCCCGTCAGCTCGCGCAGTCCAGGAGGCGGAAAGGTGCGTCTCGGTCTGCGGGCGTGCTCGCGTTGGTGTAGACAAAAAGGTGCTCGAGGATGAGTAGATCCACTCATAGATGAGGTCAGATTCATAACCACTGTTCTCCCAAAGTGCCTGGGTTCCAAGGAAAACAAACAAATAGAGGATCTGGTCACCAGATGCATACAATCCGGCCATGTAAAGGACAAGGCGACGAGAGAGCTGGTCTATGCGAGCAAAAATGAAAGATTCAGACAAGTTTGCATGCGGCATTGGCAGAGCTCATTCAGGGTTGCTCGCTCAACGGGATGGAACGGAAAATCTTCCTGAACACGAGAGAGATCAACGGCGTTGTAGTCTATATGCACGTGGTAGAATCCAGGCCTTCGTCAGGCAACGGGACTCCGTTTCAAGCGTTCAGAAAAGAAAAAGAGAAAACCTTTCTTCTGTGCGTGCATCCCATGTTTAAGAATATCATGGAGGTCACTGGGCTCTAGATCAAGAGAACGCAGCCGAGGACCTGAACGAAAAGTAGATGAAGCTGCTCAACTTTTTCAGAGCTCCTTATTATCGGCAGTCGAGCATAATGCAGGCAACGGGACATGTCAAGGACACGAATGGGGGTGCCAGGATCCATCATGGCCCTCTGAGCACCGTCTCGATCAGAGGCAGGAGCTTTGTATGCTTCACGTAGAGAAAGTACGAAGGCGTCCACATGGCTCATGCGAAGGACCTGTATGAGCAGCACATGCGACTGCACTGACGCCCCCGACGGGCTCCGGTTCTACAGAGGCAAGATGCGTGCATTCACCAAAGCCCTCTGGGGGCTCCCAGCAAGGAAATGACCGATTACTCTCGTCGCGTTGTGGTAGCCTATGTCTACGGGGGCTGTGTACCACCCCAAGAGTCTAATCCTGTGCCCTCAGCGACAGCACCAAGCAAGTGCACGAATCGATGCTGCACGATTCCCATAGATGCGTTCAGGACGATGTACGTGCATCGCCAGTACCGGTGCACAGTGAAACGAATACAGAAGAAGAGCATGAGACAGAGCCAGATTCACGAGATGGCGAACAGCAAGCTGATCAAATTTCAGATTGCGGAGCTATCGAAGATCGGAGGCATGCTGTAGCATGATTCCCCCGGCAAGAATGCGCTCAAGGACACTCTGCACCTACGAATGATCGCCTCGCTGAACATCCGGGACGGGCGCTTGTTGCCATCGCGTCCACCGGCTTGGTGTCGAGCGAAGTTCTGAGGGAATCCTCTGGCACCCAGTGAGGCCCTGGTGCTGGAAACGGAATCTATATGCAATGGAGAAACATCACTGTTCAAGAGGGAGAATCGGATTCCCGCCTCTGCTCACACGCTGATACAGAACGGTTCAGCAATACTGCAAGACCCGAGCACCACACCAATTCACCATGTACAGTTTTTCCTGGCTATTCGATGGATAAGAACATTCCGTTACTCGGTACTTCTATCTATAATTCGCATCTATGGAAAGCAATTGTCGCCTCGCTCAGGGCAGAGGTGTTTAGAATAGAGCGGCGCTTTGGGCGTTGTTTCGGCGCTGCAGAACCTGCTCCTCATTGGCGACGTCTGTGACCAGCAATGGAGGACGACGACGGAGTGTTTCTGAGCAAGCCACTTCATCCACTATGTCCCAGACTGGTGCGCTGGCCGAAGCCGGCTTCATGATTCCGAAAGTGCTCTCCAGCAGCGCCCGGGGAAAGCACGGCGTGAGTTTCAATGCCCAGTGTAGTATGAAGAAGACAATACAAAACATATGATTGTCAGAAGAATATATTCACGGCTATTGACTGCTTACCATCATATAGAAGCAGGCAATAGCCGCCGTAAACGTTCGCCGGATATCTTCCATGCGCTGAACATGTTTTTCCTCAAAAGGATCAGATCGGTCTATCAGTTGACGGATCCATGTTGTGCATGAACGAGTGCTCCTCAGCCTCTGCAAGCCTATTCACGTTTGCTCATTCGGGGGATATTATGAAGGAACAAAGTTCCGCGTGATTCGCTCTCGAAAGACAAAGGTTTATCAGTGCTTTGGTCAACGCCATCTGGGTGGAAAGCGTATCGCCAAGACGATGATCCATTCAAGATCGAAAGCGGTCTCCGAACCTGGTCTCTGTTGTGTCTCGACAGACTCGCCGAGTTGCTGCTGAAATGCGCAGCTGGTCAGGCCTCATCGGTTTCAAGGTTCCTCGGGCGAAGCAGTCTGACCCATGTCCATGCGTATGGTCCAAAGCGCACGGATACCGTCCATCTCTCTCGCGGCGTTCACGCAACATACTAGCCAGCGTTCCGGCTTGTGCAGGATCCGCAGTTTTGTTCGAACACTCCAAACGTTACGCATGCCAAAGACCCGAGCGTCGAATCCAAGTGAACATGATGGCCACAAGCAGGAGTGCCCAGGCGAGCATCACAAAAACTACACCGATAAACCAGCCGACACTACCGCCGTTCTCCCCATAGATTGGAAGCTGCAAATTCATGTGAAAAAGCCCGATGACGACATCCGCCCAGCTGAAGGCGCCCGTGACCACACTAATCGACATATCGAGAACAAGCAGTCGATTCCGCATCGCGTCCAACTGGATACTCAGGAGATCCTCCGTATCGCTTGTGGCTGCGTCGAGGAGCTCAGCTCGGTTGTGAACGTGGTCCACCAACTGCAAATACGACTCGAGTAGCTGCTCGGCAGCTTCGTGATCCTCAGTCGTACGCGGTTTGCCATGCTGCTTTCGGAGCTCAGTCAAATAGAGTCGGGCCATATCTTCATCTTCATCCAGTACCGACTTGAGCGTCTGACGAATATCCTGTGCTTTCGCTAGAAATCCGTTCAAGCGTAGTTTGAGCATTCGCAGTGATTCAATCTTCTGCATGGTAGACTCTCGAGAGAGATCTTCCAAAAGCTGCATCAAGTAAGGCTCAAACGCACCGAGCTCTCGCTCCAGGGCGTTACAAACGCATATGAAGCAAGCCTCCAGCGCACGGAACTCGAACGGCGCGTAGACATCACGATCGACCGGCACCGAGCGCAGCCGTTCTCGAATCACCAACGAGGTCTCTTGCACTTCCGGTGCGTCCGGGTCGAAAAGCAGAAGACGATCTGCAAAAATTAGTGCCCGAATATGCAACAAGCTGATAATAAGTACGTTCTGACGTACCCAAAGCGCTGTCTTCGAGGCGAAACTCGGATCAATCTGACGCAGATCCCGAATCTGCAGAAAGTTCTGTCTATATTCATGTATCCGCTTTTGGCGACGTTTCATCAGTTTCGCTATTTGTTCCTGGCTGAGGTCATCGCCCGAATCGCTGAGCAACGGCGGATAGTCGATCAGGGCAGACTGGACAGAGCGCGCTGCTCGAAGGAGCTCCAGTCGGGAGACCGCTCGCCTCTCAAAGTTGCCTTTCTCGTCAAAGGCAAGGCACTCGAGCTCCTGGAATGCTTTCAGACGTTGGTGCTCAGGAAAAGCACGCACCATGGTGGTGCTTTCGCCGGAAGCACCACCACCACTGAGTCTTTTCGACAACGCTGGTATAGCACGATCGGTGCCGGTGCCGCCACTGTTGTCGCTGTGGGCATGTGTGGAATCTCGAACCGCGAGCTCGTCTCGAAACCCTGACCTGGGGTGTTCCAGTTCCCCAGACAGGTCCCCTAACGCTTGAGACTCGTTTCCGGGCACTTGGTCCAGGGACGAACCCTGCGGTCGCCCCGCTCGCTCAGACCGCCAAAATAATCGCTCCAAGACTCGCATACGCTCCGGGTTTGTTTCCGCAGTTTTGCTCTCTTACACCAGCCTCTAATGCACACCGGAACCCTATCGGGATTAGCGAACAAAGCTTGGAGACTCGTGTTGGCGACCAGGCTGTCGCCCGACCCGACAGAAACGTGTGCTCTGTCGAGTCCAGCAGCAACAACCGGTACCAGAAGCGAGCGTATGAAGCGGGACGCCTTGCACACGCGCGAGCGCATCGCTGCATCTATGTCAATATATGTATCAAAAAAAATAGTTCCCACAAGCAGCTTTTTGCAAGTGCGCTCACAAGCGTCCTGCTAGCATACGCACCATGCCCATGTAGATAGCGCTTTGCTGATGGTTCGTGGCGCCTTCTGGGACCTGGCTGTGAATGTACGGCACGGGCACACAACAGTAGGCGATGTTCGAGCCCTCATAACCGCTGCGAAGGAAAGTGGCTATCGAGGCATTGCCCTGAACACGACAGTCTCGGGTCGTTTGGAACCCGGGCACGCCTGCAGCACTCGGGCGCTGGTCGTCGTGGACCCGGAGCTAGCAGGAACGCAAGCTCCACTTGACGCAACGTCACCAGTGAACACGGTCTTGACGCCGTCGTTTCGACCTGCGTTTCGGGTGCTTCACCGCCTGACCGTGCGCGTCCAGGAGGCAGCGGATCTCTATGTGTTCAACGCAGCGAACGAGTCGCTGCTGAGCTATGATATCCTCGCTGTAGAGGTATCGGAAGAGAAGTTGCTACAGCAGGCTATGTTACTGGATTGTATTGATCTGATCAGTTTCCCATCAGCCACGCGAGCTAGTTTTCAACTGAAACGCACGCAAGTGCATGCATGTGCCAAGCGCGGTATTCTATTCGAGTTAAGTCTAGCGTCGCTGCTGACGCGCGACCAGGTTGCGCGACGATATGCGCTTCAGAACAGCCGTACGGTGTGTCAAAGAACGAACCGTGGGTCGCGTTGTGTTTTGGTATCCGGTGCAGAGTCACCGATGCAGATGCGGGGGCCCCTGGACATGGCCAACCTCGCCTGTGTTCTCTTTGGCATGTCCGAGGCGAATAGCATCGCTTCGGTGAGCAGTTTTGCGGAGTTTGTGATCCGTCACGCGGAGTATCGACGCGTCACTGGTGGCAAGGGTGCCTGCTGGATCGGAAAGATCGCATCGCCAGAAGCGGTTCCGCGGATGGATGACACAGAAACCGTGCAAAACTCGAAAAGCGAGGATCATGGATCCGCGTAATGCTCCGCAGGCGCGGACAGATACACTGGGAAGCGACACTCGATGTTATGGTGAGCGCGCGCTACTCTTCGATTGCATTGAGGATATAGACACCGTCAATTGGGATTAGTATCCATGGTACAGTGCCTTGTTGTGGCGTTACCGTGAAGGGAACGATATTGGGCATTCCAGTTCCTGCCAGCACGTGTGCTTGCACTGCATCAACAACTCCTATTGCTCCTCTGAGGCGCCGTTTCTGCTGGTCAAGCGTCCGATGGGATCATCCGCGGCCAGGTTCGCGCATGCCTACTGCTAGGTCTGTTTTGTAAAGCTTAAAGCTCAGCGTCAGGTCTGCACTCGAGTCTCACGCGCGCAAAGTTGTCCGTGAGTATTCGGGTGGTTCTATGATAGCTCTTTGGGTACGGTGATCGTGTTCAGCCGCTTTCAGCCATTGTGCCGATGGCGGAGCGCAAGCCGATGATGCCGCTGCTACTACTACTGTTTTTGAATGCAAGTCATGCAACTGCCGCTACTGGGGCCCCGGTGAGCATTCCTGGCGGCAAAATCCCCCAGCGCCGTGAATGGCCCCAAAGAGTCTTGGGTAGCGCCTGACAGAGCCGCGACATCGTGGAAACACTGAGTCGACCGGCGCTCTTCAGGATCAGGCTTCGAGCCGAAGTCTGTTGTGATACGTTTCCACCCGGGATAAACGCGATCGCCTGTCGCGAGACCGCCCAGTGAGGCGCAGCGACAACACTAAGAAGACCGCCTGAAGACCATACGGTGTGTGTGTGTGTGTGTGTGAATGACGGATCCTAGCCGAACGCTTGTGTAGCCAGTTTCTCGCAACCGATAGCGCAGCAAAAGGAAAGGCGTTTACGGTGCAGTAGAGATGCGTTCAGATCAAAGAGGAAATTCTGCGCTGGGTATCGAAAGTCGCCAACGCAGTTGCGAGCGCGTATCATGCACTGGAGTCCACTTGCCGATGTTTCAATCGTTTCGAAAGAGGTGCGCGTTTTCCCACGTTTCCTACCTGCACATTGATAACCTGTTGCACCGCACCTGCGGCATCACGCTACCAAGGCTCATGCCAATGTCATCGGGCATGCGCCTCCGCCAGTGCAGCACCCGTTATCAACGTTCTGCGCTGAACTGTGCAGCGTTTCCGACCTGAACCATACCATAGCGAACGCCAGCGCACCGCCATGCAGAACAGACTGTTTAAAGTTTGCTCGAATAGAAGCGCTTGAGCGAAAGAGCCAATTCGCTGATATAATGACCAGGCCCATTGTAGTCAATAGCGTTTTTCACCATTCGATTCAGGTCAGCGAGAAAAATATCGCGATTCACATAATACCAGCCAGAGTCCAGGCGCTCTTGAATCGTACGCAAATCCATTGGGTTCTTAATGATTTCGTAGTAGTTGTACGCACCGGTTTCCTGGGGATCCACCGGCTCCAGAAACGGCCACGCACTCGAGTGCGATTTGATCTGGTTCAAAACCTGTTGCAATTCCTTCTGCAGTGCCGCTAACTGCACTGGGTCGCGTTCCCGAGCGATTGCTGCAGCAGCCGTGAGCGGTTTCGCGCTGCTAACGCCAGAGCGGGTCCCGTGGGCTGCGGTTGGCGGTGGTACTCGATCCAGGTCGACGTGCTGCAGCCCGGGTATATCCTCGATTCGAATGCCTTTCATCTTTTTCACATCAATCCCTGGGTAGACGATATGCGAGCGGGATACCTCGCGCAGCTTCTCCAAGAGGCATAGTTTTTGTGCTTTCAACAAGGGCGGAATGTTCAAGTAATCGACCTTGTAGTTCAGAGCGCACTCCATCAGCACGATGCCTTCGTAGTCCTTGATATAGCCTTGCCAACGTTCAGGCGGTAGCGTTATGATCTTACTAAAGCCCTGCTTCTTAAAATAAGCCACGGCGTTGTTATCTGCACAGGTGAGCAAATGCGTGAGTTGGAGCGCCTTTGCGCGTTCCTTTGTATGTGCCATGAGCCGTGTGCCGTAACCGCGGACCTGCTCGCTGTGGGAGATGGCAAGAAATGCGATCTCAGCAAAACGCTGCTCGGAGAACGGACGGTAGCAACAGCCACCCATGACCACCTCCTCGCCGGAGGGCAGTTTTTTGATCATGATCAGCGACTCGTGCTTCCGATCGAAAACAAGGCGCACGACGTAGGGTCGCGGCATATTCGGCAGCTGCCGAACGAACACATTCTTAAGACCTAGTAACTGTACAAGCGCCGGTCGGGAGCCGTCGTTTGTCACGACTCGAAAGCAAACTGAGCCACGGCGCTCTTCCTCGCGCATGCGATGCCAGCGTGAAACGTACGCAAGATGGGAGTCGGTTCCGATGATGTCCTCTGACGACATGGTGTACGCACCGGGATAGTCGGGTTGGATGGGGTTCCGCGCACGTGGAACCTCACACGAGGGCTCCACTCGAAAATCCTCTTCTTCTTCTTCGGGCGGAGGGGTCTTCGACTCGGGCTCAGCCTTAAAGCTTGCAGAGACCTGCGAGCTACCTGCTGGTTCGGTTTTCACCGTTTGCTTCGCTGTCGGTTGCTTTCGTTTGCTCGGCATATTGAAGCAAGCTTTTGAGCGGGCGCCCGTGTCCGCTAGTGCCCCCGGTTTGGTGTCGACGAACGAAACACCCGCACATGGAAACGGGCCAGCGCACTGCGGAACGCCAGCGAGGACAACGTGCCAGGAAAGACGCGAGCCGATTGGCCCTCTAGGATAATATTTTACCAAAAAAATTATTTATGTCTCATTTTCATGATGGCCATGTGTCGAAGCACAGACGCTTCGCTCTGCTCCCTTTTGCGCTGTTCTGAAATGCATCCGAGGCAATGGAGAACCTTGGCGTGGAGGAGGTCGATCTCATAGAGTTGCGAGACTCGATTCAATGCTCTGCACGAGGTAAGCACCAGAACCAGTGTTGGCGACTGTTGCGACGAGCCTCCGAGCCCTGCGTGACTGCTGCGGTACTTGACGCTGAGCGACTGCGTGTTGCGCTCTGCGAGCTCCACGTACTGTCGGGCACGAGATCTTCACGAGATCTCCCTCTGAGTACTGATGTGCAGAACGCGTCATTATTGGGTATTTTCTGGAGCACCGCTCTGGCCCAGTTCGTCGCGGCGCTGACTTCAGGGCACCTGATCGCCGAGAACGAGCCGGTCGGGCTCGTACCCGAAGGCCTCCTCGCCGTTGAGGCGTCACCTTCCCAGGACGTCGTTGTGCTGGTCTCCACGCGAGGAGAGCTGCTTCTTATGGACGCAGAATTGAATGTCATAGAGCGGGGCACGCTGTCTGAACCTCTATCGCCTGGTTTGTCGTGGCCGACGGCGGAGGATTCGCACATCATCCGAGTTGCATGGCGATCTGATGGCAACTTGTTCGCAGTTAGTTATCCTGGACAAGATCAGAGAGTTCATGTGGATATCTTTCGCTCCCCATCACTCCGACGAGAGGCCACAGCACATACCGAGCCCCTGGTTGCGAAACCTACCGATGCACAACGGACGCCGCCGGCACTCGACTTGGTGCTCTGTTGGGAGCAAAGGCCGGGTGGCATGCTCACAGTCGCAACGCGAGATGGCGACGTGGTCTTCTTCGAAAGGAACGGTTTGCGCCATACCCGTATGGACATGCACCGTAAGCTGACGAGCAAGCGCCGCATCTGGGGCCTCAGCTGGAATGCCAACGACATGCTGCTCGCCATTGGATATACGAACTTGGCTACCGACGCACCAGACTCGTGCTCCCGGAAACGCATTGATCTGTACAGCTTCCGGAACTATCATTGGTACCTCAAATATAGGTTGGAGCTGGGGTCCTCGGATTTCGCCGACAACGACCATGTATGGATGGCGTTTGATTTTACGGATCCACTGCTACTCTACGTGTACAGTGGCACATGGGCATCCCCGCATGAACGAATGCTTCGCTTGTACAGGCTGCAGTGGACCATTTCGTTGAACGCTGAGCGCGACGACACCCTCGCAGTCATCGATGGTCATCGTGTGCTACTGACGCCTCTACGGCGCTGTGTGCTACCGCCACCTCTTTATGCGTTCGATGCATGCATCCCTGCGAACGAGGCGGACGACACGATTCAATACGTACTCTGGGAAAAGGACAGTCTTTTCGCCATCAGCAGTTTGGGCCGGTGGTACTGGCTCCGCAGGGATGGCGCATTGGTCGCGGTGCAGGCTCCGATACCCGCCGTTGCGGATGCCGCCGCGAAGCAGGTACCCGCGAGGGACGAGCTCGTGTGGAATCCTGAACTCGGTATGTTCATGATTCATCCGATTCGATCGATTTCGCTTGCTGGAGGCCGGCTGCTGTACCGGAGGCGGTCGCGGCTGCTCCAGTGGCAACCGAGCAACGAGTCTTCCACTGAGCCAGCACGGACGATCAGCACTGATTGTTTGTCTGTTGCGGTGGTGTCTTCAGAGAATCTGATATTCTGGACGACACCGTCCGGCTCGCTTCGCTATCACGAGCTGGGTATCGAACTTGACGCTGCTGCCGAACGGCGATACCGCACCGAGTCCGAGCGTGTTGTGGATCGAGGAGCGATCCTGGTTGCGGCACTCGGAGACGCCTTGCGGCTCGTGATCGAAGCACCACGCGGCAATCTGGAGACGATCACCCCGAAGATATGTGTGGAGCGGAAGATCCGTCGGGTGCTGCGTAGCGCGCTGGACGCAAACCAGAAGCCGGACATGATCGCTCTGCTGCAGCTCGCTCGCAAACACTGCATAGAGCCGCGATTCGTTGTAGAGGCTTACGGCCCGAAGCGATTGGCAGATGATACGGACTGGTTTCTGCAACAGATCCTGAATGCATGGAGCGAGGCACATGTTGCGGAGATCCTGACGCAGCTCATTGTGTCTCTGAATGAAAAGGAGGACGTCTATCGGCACCTGGTTGCCGGCTTCGTTGCCCAGATGCATGCCGTGGATCCCGAACGATTTTTCCAGGCTATTTTGACGGCATATATTACGCAGCGGCCACAGGCGGATATCGACGCTGCCCTGAAACTTGTAAGCAAGCGATTCTCGGCGGAATCCTTGCGATACATAAGCACGATTGCGCGCAAGCCAATTCAGGAGTTATACCGAGCAGCACTCGGTATCTACGATTTGGACTTGGCAGCAAAGATAGCTGTCGCAGGGCGCATGGACCGCAATCTGCACGAGCCGTTCTTGGAATCGCTGCGGCAAGTGACACCCGAGGCGCTCCGACGCTACGAGATCGACATGTTTCTGACGCGACCACGAGCGGCACTGGGTCACTTGCTGGAAGCTCGAAAGGTGTTGGGTCCGCAGGTTGATGAAAAAATTTGTCGTTTGGTGGAACAGTTCGACCTGCATCACGAGGCATATATTGAGGTGGAGAAAATCGAACACGAGTCTCTGACGCAAGGCTTGTGGCATGAGCTGGCTTTGCGCTGGGCCACTCGACTCGAGAACAAGGGCGCGCATCTCCAAGCCGCACACCTCTACGCTATGCATGGCGCTCTGGAGCAGGCGGCTGAAGCCTACCTCGCAGGCGGGCAGGCCCCGTTGGCTATCGCCGCATACCTTCAGAAGGATCACCTCATAGGGAATGAGCATGATTTTGTATCGTTTTTGCGGCGCCTCGTGGAGACATTGTGCAATCAGTGTCAGTGGGAGGTCGCTGCTCAAATTCTCGCCGGATCGCCGCTCGCGCAACCCGAAGAAGCGCTGCAGCTTCTTTTAGATGCTCATCGCTTCCAGGCTGCGTTGCGCCTACTCACAACCCAAGGCCGGGGCGACTGGCTGCGAGAACGACTCCGTCCGGCGGTGATAAGCGCTGCGGAAGAGCGTACGACCGAAATACGCACGAGTGCTGCGAAATACCACGAGCGAGCTGTGCGTTTGCAGCTAGTCCGCGAACACCGTCAACAGCTACAGTTGCGTTCCACAGGCGATTTCAAGAATCCGAACGTGGTAACGGGTGCTGATACGGACAGCGAAGTCGATGCGATCGCTTCGGAGATTGCGAGCATGTCGACATTCACTTTTGGCACGCATTCAGCTCGGAGCAAAAGCAGCAGCAGCAGCAGCAGCAATAGCAGCAACATACATTCGGGTATGGCGGCCTCTGAGCGGTCTGCCGCAGGCAAAGCAACCGCCAAGACCCGCAAGAAAACCAAACGGAAAATCAAACCGGGTGATCCCCACGAAGAATTGTTCTTGGTCGAATATCTGCGGCGGCTGGAGCCAACACCAGCTCTCCGGGAGACTGTCCAGGAAATCGCAGAGTGCCTCCTAATCTGTGGGGAATATCGTTTGGTGACAGCGCTTCAGCGCGCGGTGAAAGAACTGGACGAGACCATTGCCAACTGGAAACGTACGCTGGGTGTGGTACCGGAGCGGCCGCTGTCGCCTTCCACACCGAACGGTATATCTACTTATTGACCTATGCTGCTGCTGCTGCTACAAACCCGTCGATGGGTATTGGAGCCCGAACTCGCAGACAGGACGGTGAGAGTCAGGGTGCACTGGGTGCACAGCGGACCGTCGACATCGCGACTGCGTCGAGAACCCTGAAGGCAGCGGTCACTGCGGCAATGACATCAGTGGAGGCAAGCGTCACCGGAAAAGTTGCGTCGCTGAACCTCAGTATGCACTTGCTGCACAATGGCAAACTGGCGGACTCGTAAGTCGAGTCACCCGCTCTCGCCAATGCGACACTACGGGACCGCGCCCGACGACACGATGTTTTTGGCTGGGGTAGAATGGGATCCCGGTTCGGAATGGCGAGTCATGTTGGGCGCTCGGGCACACAAAGCATTGTCCTCGTTGTCATCAAAAACCTTTGAGGCGACCCGCTATAGCCTAGTCTGCGCTCTGGATCGCTGCGGCTCGCTGGAGACACTAATGCTCTACGCCTGACAGATAAAACACAACACTAGACTCCTCGCTCTGTTCGCGTTTTTCGAATTTTCCTCGAACTCGTTGTAGACGAACAGCTTCGGTATTCCTAGTGCAGCAAATGGGTGTACGGATTCACACGTCGTTTATGGTGTTCGCTTGCCTTTTCTGGGTGGTTTCTACGACGCGTTGCATCTGGAATGCGTTACGGCATTGGAATCAGGGTTTGGAAAATAAACGATATCATGATCTTACTGAAACGTCAGAGCCCCAAGCGGTTTTTCCAACGTGTGGCGTGCACAAATCACACACGCTTTGTGTTTTCGATACTGTTGTTTCGAGGCAACTCGTACACGCGCAGCCATTCGCAGGATTGGATGAACGAGGACAATAAAACGACGTCGTTCCTTGATCACTTGATCACAGGCTCATGTCCAAAGTTCACTGCACGCTCCATCTCATACAACAGAATCCTTTCGCAAGTCAAATAATCCTTTCTCTGTGAGAATCGAAGATCCGACGTTCAACAGCGGCAGTGAGCGAGCACTCTCAGGATATGCTCGCATAGGCTACCGTCTCTTCTGCTTTCACAGAAACAGGTCCCAGACTCGGACTCGAGCCATTGCAGGGATCAATTTTCTGGTGAGGCGCGCTTCACCGTTGTGCCCGAAGCGAGCGTTGACGGATCCAAAATTTCTCGACTTGTCATCCAGCCTCGATTCCGCTCCTGGTACCTGCTTCATCATGCAAAAGATCGCGTTCCACAGACCCTCTGTCGAAAGGAACCGCATACGCTTGCGTACGCAGCAGACAGAATACTCGTCGAGGGCACCGCTCTGAAGGAGCCGGTGATCTTCGGGTATGGCGATGAATGTGGGGACAGAAAAGGTCATCGAGGGGAGTCCTCTGCACCCGTCCAGGGCATGCAGCCGGCCATGAATCCACGGTTCTGATCTCATAGGAGGAATCTGGTGGATACGTGGTAACATCTGGTCACAAACAAGTGTCTCGGCTAAAAAAGGGTATTCCTTGGCCTTGTGCAAAGCAGATGACACTGGCATGCGAAGTGTCGATTGCGAGTGCCGCCTGCCGATCAAACGCATAGAAAACAGCCGTAAGCGGCTAAACCAGAACTTTGATGTTGCTATCAAATTCGTAAACTGTCGACAGCGGTGATGGAAGGACAAGCGTGACCGGTATATTTAATGCCGGTGATCAACGAAAGGAAAAAGAAGAAGCTGCGGGAAGGACGCATGATGGCTGGTTTCGATGACGGTCGGACGCCAGCCAGATTCTGGTTGCTACATCTGAATGAGCAAAGTGCACGCGTTCCATTCTCTTCCGACACGCGTGTGGAATCCAGGTCGACAGCAGCGTCCTCCAATTGGGCGCATCCCAGGGTCAACCTTGTTGAAGGCAGTAATGGCACAGCTCCTGACACCTCGTACGACTCATCGAGCTTGTGCCCTAAAAGACGGCAGCGTCGGCATCTGCACTTGACACTGCAAACAACGTCGCTCGCATTTGCACTGCAGTGCACGCAATTCTTATAATGAACACGGCCAGTTGCACGATGTTCTATGAGTGTGCGAGGGAGGCGTTCCTCCAACCCGAGCTCCTGTACCTTTTCAGCCGCCGTCACGCATGCGTCCAGTCACGTGCGGGATGCGTCTTCCGCGATTTATGCTGCACCTGCACCGCACGCTGTTTCGTATCCTGGTACAGCGTCGGTGAGTCTAAAAAGAGCTTGCTCGCTTTCCACAAGGAATGGTGAACGCTGCCTGTGACAATTACACACGACGTCCAACCGCTGGTAGAAGCTTACGGGCCTAACCATGATGAACATCATCACCAACATGGGCAATCATCAGCACCACACCAGCTCGATGTCGTTATCGGCCCGCGAGACGCAAAGGACGCTACCCCGCTGGTAACGGTTTCAGGGTTCCGCTATCATTACATGTACCATTCGTAACACCTCCATTTTCGCCGACAACAACAACCACAACAGGATCACCATCACTACACCTGCCCGATGTCGTGTTTGCCATTCAGAACGCCGTACTTGGCGCTGTACGTCTCGTGTAGTATCCGGAACTCGTCGATCCGCATGTATGCCACGTGGCGCGCAACGCCTGCCGGATGCATCCTTTCTTACTTTGACGATTTTTTTTCAGGAATCTAGGATATCCGACCGAGCGCCCTGTGCCGCGAGTCGGATCCCCTATCGCCGGCAACAGCGCTCGCAATCGCACAAGTGCATCGCTGGTGGATCGACCCAGACTGACCTGGGTACGAAATATTGCCGGCAACCAGGAAAGCGACTCGTGCACCCGTGTAGACACAACAAGGTTCGAAAAGCTCCGGATCAGTCTTCCAGTCGCGCGTAGACACGTATTCGTTCTAGCAAGTATTCTGTCCTTTTTGTCCAGTTTCAGAAAACCTTCCCAAAACGAATCGAAAGCGCCAGCGCCACCAGTGACCAGAAAACACATCGCAACGCGCCCAGGAGCCGCTATCACGTCGTACGATTCCCAAGATGATGCTTTTCTTCCAAATGGCGCTTCATTAGTCCAGTGATAGTCGTGATACCGAGTCTAAAATGAAAACTTTACTTTTTCCAACGTCAGATCGACATCTCCAAACAAAATCCCCTCGGGATACGCAATCGCTCCCCAAAGACCAGAAAAGCGACCACCAGTCAACTCCGGATACCTGCAGCCTCTGCTGACCCCGAAACGAGTCATCCCGCTGGCAATCATGGGCAGAGTCAGCGAACGCAGCAGTGCCGTGGCCCCTTGAGGAGGGTGCTCCCTGCGACGCAGTCGTTACCGCCACACTGCGCTCATTGTAGCGCGCCACGCGACGGACAGCTCCGGCGACAGCTGCGTGTGCGATGGTGCGCGCACCGAAGCGAATCGACACGCGTGGCATGCTTGGCGTTGTGCAGTACTGTGCTGCGTCCCGTTCGAAAAACGACTCGTACTGACCAGAAGGGAAAGCACTGGGCCAGATGCGCGGTGATATCATTGCACGGATTGCCCACTGGCTAGCGAACGAAGTCGTGGTCAAAGGCCTTGCAAATAGCGCGCTGTTCCAGCGGTTTGCGCTGCGGACGCATACCACGTTTCGAGAGCTGGCGGAACGTTCGCGCTCACTGCCGCTCCGGGCGGAGACTTCGACGGAGCTCCTAGAGCGCGTTCGAGAAAGAACGGTACACTGGTCAAGGTGGATGCAGGACTTTCGTGAAGGCCTGAAAGAGGTCGTCCGGCGGAACCAAGGAAACCGGGTCAGCTGAGCAGGAGCTTGCGTAAGCGTGACGGCGCGCGGTGGAGACGTTTCGTCGCATCATCCAAGTGAAGCGGTGGTGAATCCTGCCTTCTACGGTAGTGCTGGCAGCGCGTCTAGTTCCCTTGCAGCGAACAAGACTGTAGGTGCGTGTAAGAGGCGGCCAGAGAGCGTCTGGGACGGCAACTACAGCTCACGTCTGGCGGACGGGTGCATGTGTGCGCGTGTCCGCTCTGCCTGTAGCGACTGCGCGCTCGTGTTTGACTTGCCAAGCTTCATGCTCCCTGTAAATATCTTGGGATATGTGTTCTTCTATATATACCATAGACAGGCGATGTTTTCTCTTTCAGGTTTACATCGCATGGCATGTATTGCAGTCGTTCAACTCAATTCCGTTCCACTCCCGCAGCGTGGAATCGATTGCTTTTTCGCATTATAAAGCATGAGATCGAGATCACGATGCAATGTATTTTATAGATCGTAGAGGAATTGCCTGTGGGATCAATTCTTTACTGAACGGTGCAAGGAGGACCGCATTCCTCTTGCATGTCAGTCATATCAGAGTTCTCTAATGGTTGAGGAGCCCTAAAAGAGACAAGTATGCGCGCTTTGTACCAAAAACACGGTATTCTCAATGACAGTTTGCGTTCAATGGTAGAAAATGACCCGTTGATCACACTGTACGGGAGGCAAAGGTGAAGATGGTAGTCTGCATGGGCGTCTCTGTTTCTCAACAGCTTTTTCGTGGAATCCTGAAGCCGCTGCGATACAGTCGCTAAAGTTCTAGTTCGCGCACGCCATCTTCCACGGAAATCGGAACGACAGCGTTCCTGGGACTCAGCGATCAACACGAAGCACAAGGACTTTGGTTTGTTTTTTCAGTCGATGAGACGTGCTTCGGATGATACGGTCCGAGCGTATGTGGATATTCTCGGTGCAGGGCGCCCGTTGCATGTACGATCAAACTCGAAGAGGACGACTAGATCATCTGTTCTAGATGGAGTGGATTGATTTGGGGGCCTCAGTTTTGCACCTACATGAGGTTCATTCAACAGTACCAACCACTCTGCCGAATCATTGAAGACTTTTCCATGACGCTTGGCGACGTCCCTCTACTGGATAACGCGGTATTTCACCATTCCCCTTGCATTCGAGCTTTTGCGGATCCTATCGGGATAGATCTTTTTATCGTATCTCCATAGCCATCAGGATTCATCACCATGGAACGAGCGCTTTCTATCCTGAAACGAATGATCACTGCTCTGGGCGAATCGCTGAAGCGTTCGGCACACGATGATACACCGGGGCACATGACCGCTTTCATCTGCAAGTTCTTGTCCACGCTGGGGGGTTCTTAACTAACGGCATAAACAAGTGCGTTCATTTTCAATTTTAAAAAATCCAAGGAAAAGGTATGGACACGGAATCCGGGGATCCTCGAGGGCCGGTGCCGCCGGCTGCCGGAGAAAAATCAAAAACATATCCTTTTCGCCAATCATGGAGCGATGAAGAGCGAGTGACGAAGAAGACGAGGGGAGGCAGGCCAGAAAAAGCGTTTGCCCTACGGGACCGCGACGAAACTGTAGTTGCACAGGAGGCACAAATTCGAGGAATCCTTTCATTGGTGAGTTCAACTAGCGACAATTGACGCACGGAGTTCGTGAACCGAGACTTTAACGCCGCCATCTATAGCAGACGATATGTGGTGCTGAAGACGGAACTCGCGGAGCTGACGCAAGCCGACTTTGCGGCGTTGCCTCTCCGACTCGAAGTGTGCCTGTATAAACTGAAACCGATAGCAGTCAGCCGGTCAAAACAGGCCAGGAGGCGTCTGTACGTCGGTATTCATTTACGTAATGGTCGCGGAACGTGTTCGCTCCGTTGAGCCCAGAATCGAGAAGACATGGCACTCAGCTTGTGCGGCGGCGTCCACGTTGCTCAGATATGGTTGTCGTCGACTCGTGTTCGCCCATTGACTGCAGCAGCGCTGAAGCCAGTGAGAACATGCGACTGGCCCGTAGAAACGGCTGGCATTGCCGATTGTCACGATGCGCAACCCGCAACTTTCACAGGTATCCGACCGCCACGTCGTGCTTAGCTTCACAGGCGCGAAACTTGCCAACAATTCCTCCACCGTTGCTTCCGTTAGATGTGCAGAAAATGGCGTTTGCATACCAGACATCATGCACTAGTTTCATTTGGAGCGGTTATACATGCCTTAGACTATGCAGTTTGTTTCAAGAAGCAGCTCTGGCATGGAGCAAACCAAACGGTTCCGATGTAAACTACTACATGCATATTCTCATGGAGTACGCAGGCCTCGTGCAGCATCTTTCCGAGCAGCGCTCATTCGTGCCACCGCTATCGATGTGCGCAACAGGCTAGCGTCCTCGAAACGCCTACACTTGCTTCCATCCCTGTTCGATGAATCTCCAATTAGATTTTCAGTCTCCATCTTCTACGAAACAAGTGGCCAAATACGCCTCCCAGGCGCATGCTAGAGGTCTCGGGTGCATTTGCCGCAGGTGTCGTTATCGAGTGCCGCTAGCGGTGACGCACGGCGCTTCGGATAACAGTGTACAGTTTCGGTAAACAGTCGCCAGTTTTGGCACTTCCATGAACCAGCATAAGGCGCTGCTCTCGTCGGAGCGATGGAATCTGCGCGATGGTCGACTCATCGACCAGCACTGGGGTCAGCGAATTCGTCCTCGAATGCCCCAGTCGTTCTACTTCCCGCATCCATCGTGCTAGAAACACCTTGGCTGGCATGGCTGTGCGGAGGTCCGCTTTGTTCGCAAGAACGACGCAGGTGGTGCCACGTTGGAGGAGCGCCCGCACGTCGATATCTCTAAAGAGATATTCCGCTTCTCGGGTCAAAGAGTCAGTTTTCGCGTCCACGACGTAAACGACGACGACGGCGGCAGCGTTCAACTTGTCCAACGAAGTGAACCGTCCCCAGGTTCCCCGCGCCCGTGCATCACTCGGCAGGTCGACCAGAAGAAAGCGCACACCGTCGTCCAGCGTTACCACTGCCTCGTTCGGCTGCTGCGACGGCACTGGCGCGTAACGTGGCAGTTGCCCTTTCCAAAGCCGCCAAAAGAGTGTCGTTTTCCCAGCACCGCTCGCGACGGTTTCAGCGCTTGGACACGACAAGAGTACGACCAGTGGAAGTCGACGCCGCCGCCGGCGACTATTGTAGAGCACTACCAAGACGCTGGCGAGCAGTACGCCCACGGCGACCAGCCAGCGCACTACAAGCCCTCTGTCGGTGGTGCTCTGTTCAGACCAGTGTTGTTGCAAGCAGAGCCAGTCTGCGAAGTCGCACTTGGCAAAAGTGTCTAAAACGGCCCGAGCAGGCCTTGGAAGCCGCGGTTGCATCCGTAGTTGGCCTTTACCCTTGAAGATTGTTGCGTCGGACCAGAGCCTCCTAAGTGCACAGCGGCTCACAGAGACCAACCAAGAGACGACAGTTGACCGGAAGACGCCTCCACGCTCCGCAAGGTCCACACCAGTCTTTCTGTCCGCAGTGGGCGCGAAATCGAGCCAATGAGCGTCCGTGTGCAGAACCTGCCTGCCAAGTCTGAAACGAAGCAGCGCGCGCCACTGAGGTACTTCATTGTACGAGATATCAGTCTGATTTTCTTGTTTGACGAAATGTTTCCATTGACCACGGAACCCAGACACGGAATGGATAGTAGGGTTCATGGAATTGTCCATCATGCTGTGCCATACGCTCAAGTTCCATAACCTATATGTGATATAGGTTGTACTGGTCGTTTCGTGCGTTCTATCGCGCAGCGAGTACCTGCCTTGCTGTCCCCTGAATAAACCCTGTACAGCTGGTGCGGGTGCAGCACGAGCATAGAACGGGATTGGCATACGACTGAGAAGACGTTGGCTCGAAGTGTCTTTTATTCAATACGGAATCGGGACTCTTTATGATACTGGGAGCCAGCAAGCTGCGGAGAGAGACGCACTGCTTGCGGTAGCGCGAAGCGATCTGCTAGGAGCGTACTGCAACCAGGGCAACGCCTAGCATGCAGCCTACCGCTTTCTCATCTAAAAACAAAAACATCGTTGCAGATGAGTCGCTCAGGTGTCGCCACATCACCCGGTAACTGAGGGAGGCGTGAGGCACGAGCGCGCCGGACACGTCCGGGTCGTGCGACCTTCCATCATGCGGATCAACGTTCGAAAATACGGAGACGTTTGCCCCCGTTCAATGTTCACCGTGAAGCTGGAACGAAATTGGTATCGAGTCGCTGGCTGCCGGTTCGTTTCTGTTTGCTCGGCACTTGACTGGCTCGTACAAGCTCAGTCTGATGGGCATTTTTCGGACGCGCCGATAACCTTTTCGGGCAAGTCTTGTGAAACGACTCAGGATCCTGTCGAGGTGTCACCATCGAATCATACGATACGAGATCCATCGATCTCACTAGGGATTTCTGGACGCACCGAGAGCCTCTCTAGATGATAACAATGATAAAGAGAATCAGGATTTCGCGTCCGCAGCGTCGCCACACCTCGCCTTCCATACTCCAAAAGATTACGCGATCTCTATTCGAGGGAGTCAATTCGTGACCTTAGCACCCGCACCATGACATGCACGACCACAAACGTGGACGGAATGTCAGAAAACATCAAGCAACGTCCCAGTTGATGATGCTACAGTACGTAATCGTTGAAACGGATCAGGTATGCCTCGACGCATTGTCGATGCATCGGACGCTGCGGCGAGCGGGAAGCGCGCCTACGCGTCGCCTCTCCGAACGCTACCATGCAGCGACAGCGACACCTGGTGTGCTTTTCCGTCGGGCTATCGGTACTCGGGTGTAGACATCGACACGTTTCCGCTGGACGGTACTGCTGTTGCCATAGTCGAGGTCGCTTTAGAGCAGTGTCTACGCGGACCGCTATGTTGACGGGGTTATCGCAACACAAGCCGCTGACGTTCGTTACCAGTAACGAGAAGAAACTCGCTGAACTGCGGGCGATTCTGCGTGACCTCGTCGGTATGGAAGTGACGATCGAGGCGCGACACATCGACCTTCCTGAGATTCAAGGTGAAGCCGAGGATATTGCGCGCGAAAAGTGTCGATACGCTGCACGTGCGATCCAGGGACCCGCCCTCGTCGAAGACACGCAGTTGTGTTACCACGCGTTCGGTGGACTCCCTGGTCCGTACGTCAAGTACTTTTTGCGTAACCTGGGGCCGGAAGGCATGGAAAAGTTGCTCGCTGCCTGGGACGATAAACGTGCAACAGCGCAGTGTATCTTTGCGCTCGCCGTAGACGCCGACGCGGAGCCGCACCTGTTCACCGGCCAGACGCTGGGGCGAATTGTGGTGCCTCGCGGGAAACGTAACTTTGGTTGGGATCCCATATTTCAACCCGATGGACACGAGAAAACGTATGCTGAAATGAGTGAAGGCGAGAAGAATGCGATTTCGCATCGTTTCCGAGCTGCTTCGAGGCTAGCAGAGTTTCTGCGCAACCATTACACCACGCGATAGGTTGGTCGCGAGGCCTCGCGGAGGATGCGCTTTCCGCCCCCCGGAACAGCACCGCATCCCTGATGCATTCCAAGTATTCGATGAGAGATTATCGTGGGGGAATATATGGTGCGCTCTGAAATAGTTCCGCGGGGACCGCTTGCGGGTTCGGGTTTCTGCGTTTCACCCTTGAAGACGCTGATAGCGGTAAGCCCACGCGGCCGCTGCCTTCCTGAACCCGCATCCTCTCCTCTTCAATACGTGGACCGCTCGACACGCCTCGGAATCGTTGAGAACGCCAGCTATCAGGCCTGGTCGTATCTCTTTTCCGCGATAGTATGCACTGTACGCAATGACGAGCGCATGTATCGGTGCTGGCGCGATGTAGACCAGTAGCCAAACCTTGCCTAGAGAGATTGTTGCTCCGCGCCCGGCGCTGCATGTATCCCAGATCTTGTTTAGAACCGATTCTTTTTCGTAAAGTTGATGCCCCATGTATCAACGACAGATATTAGGACATCATGCCAGATGCCTCTCGTCAAGGAGCGCCTTCCCGCAGCATCTCACGACGAGTTCGAGATCGCTGAGCGTCCACAACGTAGGCAGCTCGTTGTCCTGCGGTTTCACCGATCGAGCGCCAACTGCTGTGAACGGTGGCAGCAGGCAGCACTCCATCGTTCTCGCTCAGTTCGCTCGCTCCTGTTTCTGTGGCGCTTTCAAGTGGTTTTCCTGGCGAGCGTTCGCGAGATGTACTCGTTGAGCACGGCCGCTTGGATCCGTCGATTCCGACCAAAGCGGAATCCATTTGTGGACGCATGAGCGCAGGCTTTGCGCTGATGGATACGAACCGTAATGTTTCTCGAAAATCATTCGATAGTAGTACGCTTCTTTTGTTGTCGGTGGATCGTATGTGAAGCGCGCTGCTGCATTGTGGAGCTCGTCATCGGAAACGTGGCTCTCGCAGAACGCCTTAAGGCCGTCTATCCAATTGTAACCGACACCATCACTGAATTGCTCCTTCTGTCGCCAAAGAATATCGTCCGGAAGGTAGCGCGTTCGTGCCGGACCAAGATGTTCATCGAAGGCGGCTCTCATGATCCATTTTTCCATTCTCTTTCCTGGAACGCACATTTTCTCTTGCGGATCGATTGTCATTGCCACATCGAGATAATCGCGATCCAGGAATGGAACTCGAAGCTCTAGACAATGCGCCGCTGTACTGCGGTCGCCTCGAAGTACGTCGGCGGTGTAAAGCAGACGCAGTCTGCGCACAGTCTCGCGTTGGAATTCGGCCGCAGAGGGCGCGTTATGGAAGTACAGGTATCCACCGAGCACTTCATCGGCACCCTCACCACTCAGAATCACTTTCACGTACTGCTTGACGAGCTTGGAGAGCAGGTACATCGGCGTTGATGCTCGCACTGTCGTCACATCGTACGTTTCCAAGTGATATATGACCCGATCCAGAGCGGCGATTCCCTCTTCCACCGTGAAGATGAGCTCATGGTGCTCTGTCTTCAAGAACTCTGCAACCCGGCGAGCAGCCGCCAAATCAGGTGAGCCCGCCAGACCGCATGCAAAAGAGTGGAAAACATAGTCCGGAGCCAAATAGCGCTTCGCAACCGCAGCAACGAGACTCGAATCCAGGCCGCCGCTGATGAAGACCCCAACAGGAACGTCCGCCATTAAGCGACGTCGAACAGCCACCACAAAAGCATCATGGAGTAGCTGCAGATTCGCTGGCGCAGTTGGCGTCCACGAGTCATCCGCGAGGAAGCGCGGCACATACCACGGCTCAAACGTGAAAGCGGTGGCACGCTCCTGACCTCGAACGCCAACAATCAGCGTTCCCGGCTTGAATGCTTCCACACGATCGCAGTGCTCAACGAGAGCCTTTGCCTCGGAGGCAATCCATACCGCGCCATCTGCAGAGGCGCCTACGAACATTCCGCGAACCCCAACCGGGTCGCGTGCCGCAACGTAAACGCCACGTTCGAGGTCCACCAAGACACTGGCGAAGACGCCACGAAGCATATCATAGAGGGTCTTGGCAGGAAGCAAGAGCCGCTCAACCAGCGCCGGACCAGTTCGCGAGGTCGCTTGTTCGGCGTTCTCCCCCAGCAACTTCTCGTACAGCGGGATAATGACTTCACAGTCAGAGTGTGAGTGTAGTGGGCGGTTTCCCAAAGCGTCACGTCGAATTTCTTCGTGATTGTAGATTTCACCATTTGTTATCGCAAAAACTGTGGAGAGGTCATTGCGCATCGGTTGGTGTCCGTGCGCTGGATCGTTTATGGCCAGCCGCGCAAAGCCAAAGGCAGCCCAACCGCCACCGTAGACCTCTGTGGTGAACTCGTCGGGACCTCGGTGTCGGAGTTTCTCAGTACATTTGCAGGTCAATTGAGCAAGCTCCTGTTCCGAACGCGTCGTATTCCCGATAATAGCGAAAATACCGCACATGATTTCGCACTGTTCGTCTGCACACCCGCCTGGAAGCACTGACGCCGCGTTGGGGAGAGATTCGCGGCAACGCCCCGCGTCGACGCCGAGGCAGAATCCAAGCGCTATACGGAACCTGACGCTCGGAAACTCGAAACTGGCCTAGAATGCAGCCGTTGTCGTTGACGACACACCCGAAGTAGTATGCTTGGCACGAGCAACAACAGAAAGAGATGGTAAGCAGTAGTAGCTTTATCAGCAGCCGCAGGCGCAGCAGCGGCAGCATCGCCGGCGGCGTCGACCGTTGGCGACGCAGCGACGGCGCGACGCAGTACAGAAACACACCTCGATGCAGGCGCAAGGTTTTGGTGTAGCCTGCCACGATCAAGACCTGGGGCGTCTCATGGGGTGCCTCTGCAGCTCGATTGCTGGTGCGTGTCGGGATAAGCAGTTTGGCTTTGCAGGCGTCGTAGGATCATGTTGAACTTGAAGAGAAGCGCTACGATACTTTCGTTCAGTAGGTGATCGATGGATTCAGGTGGATTTCTGCGGATGCGCGAACGCTGGCGATCACGCAGGTGCCTGCTCACGTTTTCTGTGGAAAAGTGGACGACCCGTGCCTCAGGAGCGTGTTGCTTGAGCGAGAGTCGTCTGGTGTCGTGACGCTGCGGGGGCAGCGAGCCTATTGCGGGCATTTGGTTTTGCACCGGATGCAGCGGTCCGGCTCTGGACTGAGGTCGACGAGTCGGGGCAGATTTCATTGGAATGCGCGACTGGTGTCGGAAACCGTGGACGAGACCTTCGTTGAATGTTCATTGTGTGCGTGTTCCACAAGCCGAAGACGCGCTCGCTGATGTGGCGTCGAATCCTGGCGTGGAGCGCATCGTGAATATCGCGTGTGTATCGACTGCACGAGTACCAGATGAAAATGCAACGTTTCAGTACCTGCTCTATTCCTGCTTTTCGATTTTTCGGAGCGATTTTTAGATGCCAGCATCGAGATTCGAAGTGCAGCAATGTGCACTTTTGATTTCATCCGTCCTTTTCGGGTGCTCAGTTGTATGTCTGGGGGTAGCTCGGGCGACGCTTTGCCGCGAGAATTCGCTACGCTTGCGGAACGGAGAGCATTCGCGACGGCCTCGAACAACGGCTCGTAGCGTAACCGATGCTAATTCATCAGTGCATGTGGAGAAGCCTCCAATCCCCTCGTTTTCCTCCAATGGAGCGCGCTCCGATGCTTCGATCATCCAGTTGCAAGCAAACTCGTGGGCGCGTCCGGATTTACGAGCCAATAACGCCACGTCGTCTCTTGACGAATGGATCGCGAGCTCATCCCGCATATCCACTGAGCAGCTGACGTCAAATAAACGATTCTGCCCGAAACACAATTCCTCCTCGCTTTCGGGCCATCGACGAATCCGCATGGACATCAGCATGATCCCGCACACGGGGTATGCTTCCAGAGGCTCGTGTATCGTCTGCTTCTGCAGGGAGGCGGCTGGGGCCTCAGGCATCACGCCGGCTCGCTTTCAGCGGAGCGACCGTCACCGGTTTGCCGCAAAGGAGTGTAGGCGACCTGAGACTTGTCGGCGGCTTTTCCAGCCTGGATTTTCCTGCAGATGCTCATTCCATCATGGATGGCGTTGCGCGCCATGGAGTCACCACCGAGTGGGATAGCGCTCGCTTGCATGCGCCGAGCACGGCTTCTTCTCCGAGGGATCGCCCAGATAAAGCCCGTGGTTTAAGGTTACGGCATCGGAAGCGGAAGCAAAGGAGGATATTGAGGCGAGCCTTCCGGATCCGCCAAGGGCGTGGATGGAGCGATGAAGCAAATCTCGACGCGACACAGGGCAGCGCCCAGCGCGTTCGGTTTCGTAGGCTTATGGAAACACCTGGCGATGGTCAATTGTCACGGCTGCGGTGGATGCACCCCTCAGGGACGTACAAAGAAGATGAAAAAAGTGCAGCGAAGCGTCGATCGCGCCGACCGTCTGTCTATGGATTTCTTCGACAGCTGCAGAATGCTGCGACCTAGGGATCTTGACGCTGCAATCAACATCCTTCGACTACAGCCAAGGGAGCTGGAGAGAAGACAGAGACCAGTACCTTAAAATCCGAACAAAAGCGACAGAAAACGGAATCTTCTGCCGAGAAAGCGTACAAATGGTAGTGTTGATGATCGTGGGAAGAGTCCAAAACTTTCGGCTGCACGCCCGAAATCGATAATTGGACCCGATCGGTTTTCATTGAACTTGGATATAGGTCATACACTGGTACTTGCCCACATCCCGATCACTGGACGACAACAGATCGTATCCGCTAAACCAAAGCTAACAGTGTTTTGTATAGAGTCGTTGCGGACGTGACGCACACGTCCTGTTCTCGACGAACTGAGGATCAGCCAACCGGCTTCGTAATTCGAGTCTTTTATGGATAGTTTAGTATGATTGACGTATAACAATTCAATATCTGCACTTCATAGTATATAACTAACAAATGGGACATCGCGCACGCCTGGTGCCTTGCCCGGGCCAGGTACCGCAACTTGCGTCCCCAAGTGGTCTAAGCAGTGTTCCCAGATTCGCTTACAGGCAGTGCTTGTTCACACGGACAGGAGCAGCTGCAGCTGCTGCTCCAGTATGCTTCAGTCTATGCCACGTCGGATGTCCTATTGCTTTTGTTTTATTCCAGGGGCCATACTTCTCTCTGCTGAGAACATTGCCCAAATAGGCCGTCGCTCGTTAGGCATCGACTATGGCTTCCGGCGGGTCGGAGTAGCGGTTTCGGTGGGCTTTGCGCCACGGCCACTCGGATGTTTACCGAATGCGCACCGAGTAGCCACTGGACCTCAAAATAAGGTGAAAATAGAGGGCAATAGAAATCGTGGTCAAGGTAGGAAATCCACGGTGCCTGACCGACTCATTGAAGACGTGCTGGACCTGGCGCTGCAAGAAGCCGTCGATCAGATTGTCGTTGGACTACCTCTTCATAGTGATGGCCTCGAAAGTGATCAGAGTCGAGAGACAAGGGTTTTTGCGGAGAAACTGGCAAAGGCAACTGTGCTCCCTGTGTACTTGTGGGACGAGTGCTTCTCCACACAAGAGGCGCGAGCCGTTCTCGAGGCGAACGCTATCCGCTCTCGCAGACGCATCGAACGACAAATTGATGCGGAATCTGCCTGCGTTATTCTGAGGGAGTTCTACGAGTATCGGGGAGCCTGCGCTGAGCTCGTACCTGGCTCGACACGGAAGACGAACCGCGTCCGGGGCTACGGGAAAGGGACTCTGGGCGAAGCGCCAGCCTCCTGAGCACACACCGGACCTTATACGCTTTGCATGCGTGGTATCGGTGATAAAACGCGACAACGGTCTTGCCTCAAAGGTGTGATGCGGCAGATAGTTGGGCATGCTTCACATGCGTTACCGTTGAAGCCGCCGAATGCCAGTTGAATAGAGATTGCAGTACACCGGACAAGTTGCCATGATCCGTGGCAGGTGCTGCGGCGGTCGTGCCGGATGAGGTGCGCTTGCATAGAAAGATGCAAATACGTTGTCATTTCGCAGGTTTGATGCGTCCTACCCGGGAGCTCACCACGTCCGTGCCACACCGGCCGAAAGGCATGCCATGCGCCCGGCAAATACAAAAAGGATGCGCTTTGGAATTGCATATGGAACTGCTGGCCGAGCAGAACGCTGCATGCGCAGGCTCATGCGCTCATGCGTAAACGGATACGCTCCGACCGCGGTACAACCGCGACAGCGAGCCACAGCTGGCGTTCAGAAAGCGAACCAGGGCGTTGCTCGGATTCGCGTAGGACCATCGAAGAAACAGTGTTTCGTGTTGCAGAGGTTACAAGCCGAGTGCTCTCTGCTCCAGGCTTACCGTGAGCATGGGGTGACACCAACGCGCACTGCATTCCATGCCGCAATGCAACTCAAAGCCGCTGGCGCAATATCCATATATAGTCCCGCGTTACCGCATAGACCAGAGAAGAGGCTACACACGTACACCTCTCGATATCCTGGTGTGCGTCACTGGTCGTGAGGCGCCACAGTTCCCCCCGGTTGGGCGTGCGATCAGCGTGAAGTACAACTTGTATTGCATATGCCGCAGTCGAACGTGGGCCCGGTGTCGACAAGCGGCGCGCTTCTTGTACTGAATGTGGCTGCAAGCTTGATAGCGTCTGTGCTCTAAACGTCTCCGACAGCGCTCCGCGACTGGGGTAGGTGCAGCTGCGGTTGCGGCTACCTAAGTTCATACGCTCTGCACCGGGTCGGGGTACGGGCGCGGTCTATTCCGGTCACTGGCAAATCGACTTGAGCTCGATGATTTGACGCCCGCCAACCGACTAAAACGCATCTACAAGTGTTCATGAACTTGGTTTGCAACCATTGTACACCAATTTCGGCAGTGTACTCAATGATAGCAAATACCCCAACACCATTATTGTTCACCAGAACCGAAGACAACAGTTGCCGGTGCACATATGCGACGCTTCAGGCTCGTTGGATTCCAGAACTGCACCATTCCAGCGGCTTTGGTTGGGGCGAGAATCCGATGCCCCTCTCTCCTAGTCTTGATTTCATCGCACGTCTTATGCGTTTCAGCACAATGCCCATTCAGGATACGAAAGTATCACATCGACACTTCATTTGACACAGAGTCAGTGGACGGGCCAGAACCAGTACACATATCCGGATGTTGATCGAGGCGTTCAAATGTCGAAGCCGACAGCGCCTGCTGGCATATGAGCCATTGGGATCATACTACTGCAAGCCTCTTCCATTCGATTACTTCATCATCTTACGTTCCGTCTGGGTGCCGTATACCATCTCATGCTCTGGTCTGTGTTTCACGCTCCTCTTCTCTGCTGGTTTCAGCATGCGCACATGCTCGTGATTCGTTCATTTCGACCTGACCTAATCGACGGTATTCGTGCAGGATCGATGCCTGCATTCCATGTACGCCCTCGTCGAAGGAAGCGGCGTGCAGCATTCGCGCACCTCAGCACGTCCACTGGGATAGGTTACCATCAGTGGCAAACGACACGACTTTGCGCTCGTTCCAATTTTCCAATGCATCCAGCAGATTGGCAAATGCACGCTTCTTGCCTCCGTCGAACGCAGATCGTTAGCTACCCGAGTGCAGTCTCATATACGCTTGCCAAAGACCGTCCGCATGAGCTATTTCGGCGTCTGTGTACGCTCTCTGGATGAAGCGTACAAAACATTCGCATCTGCTGGATACAGTTCTCAGATCGCCGAGATGGGCCCTGGCGTCTGCCATGCCCGAGTCTCGATAATACCGATCCCCCGAATAGATGACCAGTTGCCTGTGTTTTCCTTTTGAGGTCCTTGGCTATATCCCCTGTGGTTACAGGGACAGCGGCGGCTATGATGTTCTTCAACCCGAAACCCACGCTCACTAACAAGTCTTTCCCTTCTTCTACCTTGAAAGCTAGAGACGAAGTCTCGTTTCTCCGCCCAGGTTCTCGTTTCACGAAGTACGCATAGACTGCTGAACCGTCGATGTCTGCTGTACCGGTAAACCTTTTCGTATCCTCCCAGTAAACGAGAGTCCTTGAACGAGCATCGCGAATGCTTTTCGTGAAAATTTTCGACTGCCTCGTTACTGTCCGCAGAGATCAGCCGCAGCTCACTAGGGGGACCACGTCGAACAGTAAACCATTCAGCCTATCGTCATATCATGAACCTGGATCTGACGATACGGGGACTACATCGAACAGATGCTTTAGGCGGCGACTTTGACCAGATTCCGGGAGCCAGTGTGATTTGCGCTGGACGGCCCTGTTCACGAAGAGTTCGAAGTGTAAACTGCAAGCAAGGCATGCATCACGTTTCAGATATCACTTGGACGCGATGTCTGTTGGTCCATAATCGAGGAAAACACCATGGCCTTGGGAGGATGAGCAGCGAGCGTCGATCTCGTTGCGTCATTTCTTACAAACTGGCCGCGAGCTGGTCATGTACCTCTCACGACCTACGAAGCATAACATTCATCAGGCTCTACTTTTCTGGACCAGAACAGTGAAGGTACAATATCCAAAGGGTGCTCCTCATGGAGCGCTCGACACGGACCCGTGTACGGTTTCCGAGGAGATTGGTTTGATAGTTTTCGGTACGTACGCTGTGGATGCTCTGATCGCGGAGTAACGCGGCAACTCGTCGAGATATTCTGGGAAGCATTTGCACACAAGTCTCTGATCCGACGCTCAGGGCGCAATACATAGTCTGTCTCGAGTATCATTTATGCTGCATCAGAAATATTTGGTCGGAAAATTCTGGAGCAATGTTAACAGCTGACAAACTGACTTGAAACATCTTACGCAAAGTTACCTGCCAAGGTGCGTCGAGGCGAGGGAATCTAGGCGACCGTTCATGACGTCCTGCATCCCACTTTTTGGAAGCTCATCCCCGTGAACAAGTTTTCGTAGGGAGACCTTGAAAACCGTTGCTGACGGATCCTTCTGCTTCGGTAGTTGCTCCTTTCTGCCGCTTCTCGCCCTCTCCTCGGGGAGCTCACCCTATTTCTTGTCTGGTGGTTTCCTCGCGTTGCTCCTTCACTTGACAGGGCGACGTTGGTGTAGTCATTGTACTGTATATCCGTTTTCGCTCTAGGACTGAGACGCACGGGGTAGACGATGGCACTGAATCGTGCGTATGCGATTCCGGGACCTACGATTTATCGGGGATGTCTTCGTCACCTTCTCCTTAGCGAGCACGCCACGGAAGGACGCGCGAATTTCCGCCCCAACCTGCGCTCGAGCAGAGAAAAATCGCTGCAGTTCAAGGCTGGTAACGGTAGAGGGCGACTTTTCGTAGAGCCTCGGCTTCACGGATGCGGGCGATTCGTTCCTAGACAAGTGCGCGTTCAAAAAGACATTGACAACGGAAGAGACGCCATCGACTGGATTCATCCAGAGAGAGCGCGCGCTTGCACGATAAACAGCGCAACCCCAGTCTCAACTGCATGCTTCTTGACCGCTTTTGAGGAATGGAATGCGATGTTGCCTCAGAAGAGAATAGAAGAATATGGGAAGAGGTTGCAACGGTCTTCACCGCAGCATGAGGTGCTGAATGATCGTGACCTTTTGGCGGTTCGCAGGCGACCATGTCATTGAGTTGCCGACAGGGCTGATGTTGCCGTTACGCTCGCCTGTTTGTTCCCCACAAACAGCCATCTACCCCTATCAGGGTACTCTTATAGAAGTCTGCTATTTTTCCCCTATAACGTCTCATAAAGTGAGACGGACACCTATCGCTCCAGCACAAAGCGTAGGCGTTTCACTACGAAATCGAGAGTGTGTTGTATTTAGCGGAACAAGTCCTCGCATAGCGGAGCGCTTCCTTCTGTGTCTATCCTCGTCCATTCATTACCGCAGCTCGCAACGGCAGAGAAACTTCTTGCCCTCTGGATTCTTCGATCGTCTATCCCACAGAGCGTACAGAGTGGAACGGCTTGAAAAGGAGCCAGTCTTGTAGATAGAGTCTGAGAATTTCTCTCTAGTTACACAAGGTTCCGAGTAAAGACTACGAGAAGGGTGCTTCATCCACCTGCTGACACCAGAAAGAATGACTTGCACACAACAAAGCTCGCCGTTCCCTATACCAGCAGTGGCAGTATTCCGTCTGTGCACAACATTTCTCCATGCTCCAGGACGCATCCTTTCGTTGAATACCTACCAGGAAAACGAAAGAAAGCAAAAAAGGCGTGCTGGCACCTGTGTGTTCCAGTATTCACTGCTCAGCGTCCAACCGGAACCTAACAACAGGCGACAGCGAGATCGTGTCTCGCAGCCGTGCGAATCCGTTCATTTCTGGGTCTTCCAGGCCGCAGTGTCGGGAACGTAGCTCCCACGTATTCGCGACGTGCGTCACCAGAGGCGAGTGCAGCACTAACACAAGACGCGCTTTGAGCCCTGCCCAGCACTGCCGAACTGACTGGAGTGGAACCGGGCTCCACCAAGGCAAGCTGAGCGATGCCCTCGAAACGGAGGCCACATTCAGACGCAAAAGTTGCAGCTGGCGGGTCTTCGGGTGACGGCTTGCCACCGAAACGCAGCCGTCAAAACGGTAGTGCCCAATTCAAGGCGCCTCCACTGCTGCACTTGTTTCACTTTCACCGAGCGATCCGGCACGACCTGGAGCAGCTTTTGGAACTCCTCGAGAGTGTTCCACCGGGCGGTTCGGTGATTGAGCACGAACGCGAGGAACTTGCTGCGCAACTCGAGTCGCTGCGTCACATTCTGAGACACCACTGCTCGTCCGAAGACGACGTACTTCTTCCAGTGCTCGTTCGAAAGGGTTGCCGCATCCTGGAGCAAAACGAGGGTGCAGCGTGCCACAATTCAGCAGTTTTTATGGAGTTACACGAAAAAATGGAGGCTCTCGAGCGACACTTGAAAGCCGCGGATACTTGGCCGTCGCGAGCCGAGTGGGAACAACTTCGGGACGCTGTGTTTCTCCACCTCGACGCAGAGGAAGAGGCAATGACACCCTATATCTGGGATAGTTCATGCCTGACGCCCGACGAGCAGGGCCAGCTGCTGGTCAAGATCATCTTTGCCATGCCTGAAGAGACGCAGACGCGATTGGTGCTCAAATCACTGCGGGAGCTTACATCCACGGCAGAGCGCAGTTACTTTCTCGTGCTGCTGAAGCAGTATGCATCTGTTGAGCAGTTTGCAAGCGTAGCGGGCCACGTTGCCCAGGATATGTCGCCGGAGGAGTTTCAAGAGCTGAGCGAACACGTTCCTGGTCTCACCGAGGCTGCGGAATCGCAACTACGACCACTGATGGAAATTCGTCATATTCATATGGCGTTTCGGCATGCGCTGGAAGACTTGCAGCAGGCCATCGACGACGTCGACCCGTCAGATGAGTTGCAACTTCGTTCGTTCGCCAAACAGGTGCGCTTTCTCCGTCTGATGCATGCAGCACATTCCCAGAGTGAGGACGCAGTTTTTTTACCAGAGTTACGCAAAGGAGACCGAGAATTCGCTGAATTTATTCACGGAGATCATCATACAGAAGATTCCATATTCTACGAGCTTCTCTGCGATGTGGAGAAGCTCTGCGCTGCGTCGGCGGAGCAGCGTCCGCCGCTTATGTCGAAACTGCGCTCCCGCGTTCGCAGTCTCTGTGGGCATCTACTTCGACATATGGCGAGTGAGGAATCACGCCTGCTGCCGCGTCTGGAAGGACACTACCCGGTTCTCGAGCAGGATCGTCTCGTGCGCGAGGTTCGACGGAAAATCCCGGAAGACGCCCTTCGCGTCATGATGCCGTGGCTCCTGGGGTCACTCTCGATCGCCGAACAGGAGACCTTGGTTAGAAATCTTCTCCGCTCGATGTCTCGGCAGGAGTTTGCACGACTCATCGAGTCCGTGGCGAAATCCGTGCACATGGGTGTTTTGGATGGTAGAAACTGGTACGAGCTTGCACGCCGTGTTCCAGAGATACGCAATCACTCCGGAATAGAGTCCGAGAGTGGACTCTATTCCGGACCACTTGCCGAGATCATGCGGGTTCACAAAGCGATTCGAGTTGATCTGCAGGCACTTGCGGACGCGGCGCTCAAACTAGACCCAGAATCCCTGAATCCGCGACATTTAACGACGCTGCGGGAGCGTTTTGCCTTTCTCGAGCGCATGGTCAGAGATCACTCCAATGCGGAGGATCGGGTGGTGTTACCCGCTCTCGCGGAGCGCGTGCACGGCATCGTTGAGGAGTACGAAACGGACCACCATTGTGAACAGGAGCTCTTTCGGCGCTTGTTGCAAACGCTGTTGGATATTCAGTGCGCCGGAACTGCTGCGGAGACACGCTCGCTCATACGGAAACTGCGCGGCATTGTTCGTGCGCTGCGGGTTGACCTCATGCATCATCTCGAACGAGAGGAGGTCGTTCTTTGGCCAATTCTGGCGGAAAAGTTCTCAGCAGATGAGCAGACGCAGATTGTTGGCCAGGTTTTTGGCCAGATACCGGCATCGCGGATGCAGGAGCTGTTGCCCTGGCTGGTGCGCGTTCTCAGTCGACACGAGAGCGCCAACATGATGCAGCATATTCTGACAATTACGCGCTCGACCATGTTCGCACAGTGGTTGCGGACGTGGTTCAAAGGTTTCGATGAACTTGTCGGCGGGACGCGGCAAGCTGATGCAACGGGGCCGGGAGGGAACGCGAGTATTGTTGCAACCCCAGCGCATGGACGCGACATGGATTCCGCAAAATACGAGGCTGCCGCTGAAGGCTACATTCGCCGCGCCATGGGAGATGTCGAGCGAGCGATTCGATCTATTGCCCGGGATGAGACGCTGTCCGAGCGAGAACGCACCATGTTGATGCAGAACGTCATGATCTCGCAGTGGCGTCGTCGAAAGCTGCAGCCGCCTGCGGAACATGCCGCATCCTCATCGTCCAGTGCACGTAGCTGCACCTGGGGTGATGCGGAAGCGCTGATCAAGAACACCAACACCACCAACAACAACAACAACAGCAGTCCCCGTGCGTCAACGGATCCACAGGGCCGCGGCATCTGCCGCATGTACCGGCCGGGTAGCAAGACGGACTCCTCGCCGGGCCAGCTCGGTTGTCGACACTATGCGCGGGCATGTCGACTGCTTGCGCCCTGCTGCCAGGTCTACTACACGTGTCGACTTTGTCACGATGAAGTGAATGACCACGTCATGGACCGCTACGCAGTGGAACGAATTCTCTGTATGCGGTGCCTGACGGAGCAGGCGCCTGCGGAGGTATGCAGTTCCTGTGGGGAACGTTTCGCGCACTACGTTTGTCTCATTTGCAAGCTCTACGACGATGCGCCCAATCGGGATATCTATCATTGTGGCTACTGTAATGTCTGCCGCGTCGGCAAAGGTCTTGGTATTGACTATTTCCATTGTATGAAGTGCAATGCGTGCATGTCCACGGCCAGTGCGAAGAGTCATCGCTGTATGGAGCACAGTCTCGAATCGGACTGCCCCGTGTGCGGCGAGTACCTCTTTACATCTACGAATCCGATTAAGTTTTTGCGTTGTGGGCACCTGATGCACGCAAGCTGCTATCGCCGCTACGCTGCTGCGGACTATCGATGTCCGCTCTGCAAAAAGTCGCTTGCAGACATGTCTGCGTACTTTGCGGCGCGCTTGCGTGACGAGCCGATGCCACCCGAGTATCGCGGCATCCCAGCGCGTATTTTCTGTAATGATTGCAGCGCACGCAGTCTCGTCGAGTTCCATTTCCTTTATAACAAATGCCCTCAGTGCGGTTCGTACAACACGGAGGTGTTGCAGGTAGGGCGCTTGTTGCCTAGCACGAACGCTGCGCTTTCATAGACTCAAGCAGGGCGGTACTGGCAACGCGCCCAGCGAATGCTTGCTACTGAGCCTCGAAGGCGAGCACACAGCGGTGCTGACGCAAACATCGGTGCCTATTGGCACTCTTGCAGTGGTGTCTGGAGCGCACTACTCGAGCGTCTGGATGAAGTTCGAGTGCACAAATCTTGCTCGGCAACTGCGCAAGTCATCGTGATTCTAGTGGGTTTGGGGTTTCCTTGGCACGCCTGGGCTCACACTGAGCCGCTCCATGTATCTGGTAAATGCTTTGCACGTGCCTTTTATGAGAGCGCTCGCAGTTCGTTGCCGCACCAGTTTCAGGTTATAGGTCTACGAGGGACTTGCACTGGAGCAGTCTTTCGAGCGAACGCGGCTGGTACGCGTTTCCTTTCTCTCGCTTCGTGCGCACGTGCGAGCGTGCGTACGTACGTGCATCCATCCTTGACCGGAGGCCTCGCGTCGCTGAACCTGGAGAGACTACACCGACTTGCGTGACGCGTAGGCAGCGGAAGCGCGCCCGACTTGCTGCAGAGCGCCGGGTTGCGACTGCGGAACTGGCGACAGGCTTGCGGTTCAACGGTAGGGCGTCCGCGAAGCCCCGGTGTGCTTGCACGCCGCGAACTGCTCGCGTTCCCGGGGGTATTCGAATAAAACCGAGAAAACTTGCACCAAAAACATATGGGGTGTGGGGTGCTCAAGGACGGATGCGTGGTCCAAGTAAGGGTAGATCAAAAGGGCAGCATCGGGAATCGAACCCGAGTCGCAGACACCCAAAGTCCACAGCATACCACCGGAGCGAGCGCCAATAACGCCATAGCCCATGCCGCCGTTGAGTAGCCTAGAGGCGCCAATTTCAGAATATAAAGAGGTTCATGGTGGTGTGATGCACTGCGCCTTGAGGACGCGAAGCCGTAACCCTCTAGAATCTAGTCTGGACATGCTGTTCTCGAGAAGCATGTTTTTGTCACCTGGGGCTACGACGCAAATAGAGCGTCATAACCGGTTTGCAGCTCTCCGAAGGGCAAAACAACCTTTTCAGCAACGAGTGAATCTCTCGAGTCGGCAACGTGATGCCTTGGCGCCCGTTCGCAAAACACTCGTAGGCGGTCTGCGGCTGTACAAGCGCTGTATTTCACCTGTCCTAGGACCTGCTTGCCGTTTCGTACCAAGCTGTAGTGACTACGCTGTACAGTCATTAGAAGAGTTTGGTGTTGTGCGGGGTATTTTGCTGGCGATGTGGCGCATCCTACGCTGTAACCCGCTTGGAGGCTCTGGCTACGATCCGCCGCGTTGGCCACCGGTGCCGTACGGCCACGTTGGCGCCCTGCCGCCGACCGTTTCACCAGAAAACGAAACGCGCGATGATTCTTCATGAATAGTATCCGTACAGCTTGGTTCAAAGCTGCGCAGAAGCGCGTCCCAGAGGGATAGAGCGTGCCCAGCTGGCGCTAGTGCCCTGCGCTCCTCGTCATCTGGGCAGGGGGCGCGACACTGCCTCATGGCTCTTGCCATGGATTCCTCGCTCATCGAGGTGCATTCGCTGCATCCACACATTCATGGGTCCAGAGATACGACATGCGGATCCAGCAACCACCAGTGCGGCCGAAATAGGCCTGTGCATTGCCACGGCACATGGCGACCTTGCTCGATGTACAGCAACACAAGGCGGGTGCTTCGCATGCACGCTTGCAAAGCGCCACCAGGCTCAGTTTCAGGGATCGGGTGAATTTTTCTGCCAGACTTTCCCGGCAATGCTCATCTGGCTGAGGTGTGATCTCTACGTGCGCACAGAAAAACGCACGGCTTGCGTCACCCGCGTTTCCGTGGAAGCGAACCGTCTCGTTACTTAGACCCGAAACAGGACGCATGTTGCAAACTCACGCTACTGCAACACAATGCAAAAGATGATCGAAGAACACGCGAATCCTGGTGCGTGTCCGATCGCGTTTATGTCTTGGACCTGGCGACGCGGCTCCTGACTGCGGTAGTTGGTACAAGTCGGACGTTTGTAACCATGAGCTCTGAATTCCCGCCATCTTCACGGAATACCACGTACCAAACTATCAGCGCAACCCATGCTTCTCCGGTCTTCGGGAAAGCACCGAATAGCGCTCGCATTTCAGTGTTCGTGATCCAAGGAGATCGGTGGTACTCGACTGCGATAAACAATCTGCGTTGCGCAGTGTGCTGCACCGTACATCGCCGTGCACTGCGAAAAATCCAGGTACTCTACATTGCCTGTAAAGCGATCATCCGCAACGATTTTGCGTGCTGCACTTGAACATACCGAGACAATGTGACTGGCGCCAAGGTTCAGCACATTGCAGCCGTAGGCCATCTGATCCGCCAAACTCAGCGGAATAATTTCAAATCCTTGATCCTCCACGTATGCTCCGAATTCCACATCCCTGCGTACGAGGCGATACGCATCCTGTTCGGATTCACGAGCGTACTCATCCACCATTCGCCGGATCGGTGACTGCGACCCGATGATGTCGGCCAACATAAGGACGGTCTTCCTTCCTATGATATTGAACACACAATCCAGATGCATGCGATCTTGGCTCTGATCGAGCATATCCTTCACCACAGCGACGCGACGCGTTCCGAAAAGGTCATGTTCCAGCATGTAGTGCACGGCCTCCAGGTTGCTTCGAAGACCGATCCCAATGAAACACAGATCATCCCCTGCGGGAAAGAAATCTCCACCTTCTAGAAACGCATTTTCCGGTATGCGGCCGATGATTTTGAGTTTCAGTTTTTCAAAACAGAACTGCATGACATCGACTTCCCGGCGGCGTTGTTCGGAACGGAGTCGAGCCATGACAATACCGCGACGTGTGGTCACCTGCTGGTCGCGCGTAAACATCAAGTTGGTGAGCGGCTTGAAAGCATAACTTGCGGTGAAGCCGGTATCGCGCCCGCTCGGCTCTATGGTGACTACCGGATTGGTCTTGACAATATCGGCAAGCTGTTCAGGTGCCATGACCTCCAGAACCTTCTCCTTGTACGAGTCGGCGATGAAGCTGCGTTCCGAGTCGTCGAGGCGTGCGCGATCAACGTCAGTACTAAACTGGTACGTGAGGCAGCGCGCAGCAAGCTTTTCCAGAGCAACGCGAGCAGAGACAGAGCGCTCCGTGTCCTTGAGCAGAATATCGTGCACGTCGTAGACCTTGATACCATGCGATGAGAGCAGTCTTCGCAACGCGTGGTGCTGTTCGACAGCCAGCCGCAAGTTAACTGGTTTTTCATACAGGGAACCTGCTGGGTGCAAGGAGCCCATCATTTTCGGTAAGCCTGGTGAAGACACGATCGCTATTTGAGCCAAGTCGTCCTCGTGTTCTTGGCCTGCCTCCATTGGCGCCCTGGTGGTTACCAGTGGTGAGTCTCGGGGCGAATGCGTTCGCTGCCCGTCTAGACTCGTAGCGAGCGTGCTGTAAGCGTTGTCCTTCCAGTAACTATTCATTTTTGATTGGTTTCCTCGTTGATTGTTGAATGTAGGGCCTGAACCTCGGTCCACGTTCCAGGTCCCTTGCGGTGGCTCGTACCTGCAAGCGTTATGTCGGGAGCGACAAAGTACCCACAGGGAGTTGAAGCGGACAACGCTGTTGCACTCGTGCAGAGGGCACAAAAAAGCACGCCGTTGGGAACCGGTGCGAGGTCTCTTTCACACACGAGACCGTCCACCTGGCTGCCTAGGTAGTCAGCGCGAGTTGTATGCCAAAGCCGACGTATAGGGCGGCGCGCGTACGTACGTATGACTTCAGCGCGCAGTGTTCCAAGCGTGCATAGTGGAAATTTGCCGTTTCTACACGAGTACCAGATGAAAATGCAACGTTGCAGTACCTGCTCTATTCCTGCTTTTCGATTTTTCGGAGCGATTTTTAGATGCCAGCATCGAGATTCGAAGTGCAGCAATGTGCACTTTTGATTTCATCCGTCCTTTTCGGGTGCTCAGTTGTGCGTCTGGGGGTAGCTCGGGCGACGCTTTGCCGCGAGAATTCGCTACGTTTGCGGAATGGAGAGCATTCGCGACGGCCTCGAACAACGGCTCGTAGCGTAACCGATGCTAATTCATCAGTACATATGGAGAAGCCTCCAATCCCCTCGTTTTCCTCCAATGGAGCACGCTCCGATGCTTCGATCATCCAGTTGCAAGCAAACTCGTGGGCGCGTCCGGATTTACGAGCCAATAACGCCACGTCGTCTCTTGACGAATGGATCGCGAGCTCATCCCGCATATCCACTGAGCAGCTGACGTCAAATAAACGATTCTGCCCGAAACACAATTCCTCCTCGCTTTCGGGCCATCGACGAATCCGCATGGGCATCAGCATGATCCCGCACACGGGGTATGCTTCCAGAGGCTCGTGCATCGTCTGCTTCTGCGGGGAAGCGGCTTGGGCCTCAGCCATCACGCCGGCTCGCTTTCAGCGGAGCGACCGTCACCGGTTTGCCGCAAAGGAGTGTAGGCGACCTGAGACTTGCCGGCGGCTTTTCCAGCCTGGATATTCCTGCAGATGCTCATTCCATCATGGATGGCGTTGCGCGCCATGGAGTCACCACCGAGTGGGATAGCGCTCGCTTGCATGCGCCGAGCACGGCTTCTTCTCCGAGGGATCGCCCAGATAAAGCCCGTGGTTTAAGGTTACGGCATCGGAAGCGGAAGCAAAGGAGGGTATTGAGGCGAGCCTTCCGGATCCGCCAAGGGCATGGATGGAGCGATGAAGCAAATCTCGACGCGACACAGGGCAGCGCCCAGCGCGTTCGGTTTCGCAGGCTTACGGAAACACCTGGCGATGGTCAATTGTCACGGCTGCGGTGGATGCACCCCTCAGGGACGTACAAAGAAGATGAAAAAAGTGCAGCGAAGCGTCGATCGCGCCGACCGTCTGTCTATGGAATTCTTCGACAGCTGCAGAATACTGCGACCTAGGGATCTTGACGCTGCAATCAACATCCTTCGACTACAGCCAACGGAGCTGGAGAGAAGACAGAGACCAGTATATTGAAATCCGGAGTCAAGAGAGCCGAAAAGCACGCTAAACCTGGTCTTGATCATCACGGGCACACGCCCAGACCTTCGTGTGCATACCTGACCTAGTTTGGTCAACCAGTTCCATTTCATTCCGATATGTGCATCGAGAGCGCATTGTAGCGAACTTCCCAGTGATGATCGATAGCTCTAACGCACCCTTGGGCCTTGTTCCGGTTTCATGCACAGAGGTATCCGTGTAAAGAGCGAAACATACACACCCAGGGTTCCCGCACCAGCGCACTCGTGACCTCTCTCACGGTTACCAACAGCAGCAGCGAGACGTGCGCAGCTCTCGGACTCGATCCATCGATCTCACAATACCCCAATGAGCTCGCTGCTTCGTTCCCCAGCATGCTGTCGCTGTTCCCATGTGTCGGATGAAGGACATCTCGAGCTGACGCTCTCATTTGCGTGCCAAAACAGGTCACACGTTATGATGCATCGGCACCAGCGGTTTAGGCGCTACGGCAGGTGTTCCAAGCACGAACTCGGCACACGATAAAAAGTATATAACGACAGTTACATCCGAGAACTGGTCATGGAACTCGGAAGTAACGTGAATAATAATGAGCGGTTTCATTTATTTCAATACGCATTCAGCCATCTGGCATCCATGCGCAACGTCGACGCTGTTTCATTCCAGAAAAACAGCAAGAATCGGATGCCAGCACACGAGAATCGAAACTGGCGCTGCAGGATCATCACAGACGCGCCGGCGCATGCGTGTGTGTTTGGCGCGGCATCGACGACGCCACGAGGCGCTGTATGCCGCAGGGCGTGCTCCGCGCAGTCTTCTCGCGCTAACGGGGAGCAGAAACTCGCCACGGACTGCGTTGGACGCTTTCTGCAGGCGAGGCAACTCGGGTTGTTTCGTTTTTTGAGTGAACGACGGCACCCGGCCTGCGACCCGCTGCAACGCTTAGAGTCGCTAGTACCGGTTTGGTTTGCGGTTCTTCTGTTTTTTTTTGACGCTTACGGAAGCGCACTTTCTCTGTGGTGCTGTTGCGGCGCCTGGTCTGTTGCAAGTGATGCGTCGCAGCTCGCAGTGTCGTGCTCTCTCTGAACTCGGCTTCGAAGAGCATTCTCGCTGTCACCAGTCGTGTCATGGGCTTTCGTTGTTCGTCGGGATGGTGCCCAAGTGCCGCGGCGAAATGTGCTGCACAGTCGCTGAGCTCGAGTGCTTGAACAGCTCAGCGGAAAGCGGTGCGTCCAATTTCCATGCACTCCTGAGCCACGGACAACATGAAACGGGAATCCCCTTCGACGAAGAAGAGAGAACAAGGGCAAGGCTGCTCACTGGGCGACGGGGTCCAGGTGAGCGAGCGCCCAGCTCCCCGTCGCGCTCTGCACCGCAGACTTCAGACGCGGACATGATCCAACGGGTGTGGTTTGGTGAGCTCTTGCGCGTCTCACAACGTCAACGGTGCTTCTCGTTTCCGGTTTACGTCCAAAATGTATACGCCTCGGGTTCGCGAACCGATGCGACACTCATGACTCGTCAAGTGTATATTCCGCTGCCTCCTTCACCGAACAACACAGATGGTGAGAGCACCGATGATGTGTATCAGGTCGCGTACGATGACGAGTACGGACTAAGCTACAAGCAAGTTCGCGAAGCCGGTATCGCGCTCTGGTTGGCTGCTCAGACTCCGCTGTTTCACCATTTTGTGTGCCCATTGATCGAAGTACGACTCGATGTGCCTTCTTATCACCTGCAACAGAAAAGCGGATACCTCCTTCTTGAGCCGAGGCAGCATCGATCACTCGATCGAGCCAATGGAAGCGTGAAGCTCACGCTTTTCTACGCTAACGCTCGCTATGATTGGTACAAGCAGTCCTTTGACCTTGAGCGAACACGGTTCTTCGCTTTTGATCTCGTATTGGCTTTCGCGTTTTGTCATACGCAGGGATTTGTACATCGTGATGTGCGCCCACAGAATATTGTCGCGATGCAGACAGGGAAACACGAGTCCTGCTCGTGCGCGGTGCACGAGACATTTGCGCTCATCAACTTCTCTCTCGGCCGCGAGGCGCCCCTTCAAGTATATGAGCCGACAGGAGACGCCAGCGATGGCGATTCGCTTCATCGAAACAGCAGCAGAAGCACATTTGAAGCCCTAACGCCGGTCGTAGCCACTTTGTGGTACCGTGCACCCGAACTGCTCCTGGGATCCCGTCGATACAGCGCGGCTGCTGATCTATGGGCTGCGGCCTGCGTCATTGCGGAAGTTGCCAATGTGCACGATGCCAACGAGGATGAGCGGGCCCTATTTCGTGGGCAAAGCGAAGTGGACCAGCTGCGTCTTATCGCGGAGGCCGTTGGTGGCCCGCTAGATGACGGCTGGCATAGCCAGCCAGAAGCCAGCAGGCTGCCGCATTTCGGCAATGGACTGCAGGTCCCGCGCATCGAAGCCGCCCTGAGCACCAACAGTCCGTTGCGGGCTCGTTTTGAAAAGTGTTTCGGCTCTGATGGGCTCGACTTGATGCGGCGCCTCCTGCATCCAAATCCGACCAAGCGTCTGAGCGCCATGGAGGCGCTGGAGCATCCCTATCTTGCAGTTGTTGGTGATCGTCTCAGTGCAGGATGCTGTCGTGGCGAAGCGCTGGCGCACCTTCGCATACAACAGCAGCGGATTCAGCGTCTATGTGAGTACGCAGCCGAATCCAAAGAAAATCTCTCTGCAATGACAACGCCATCCAAGAGCGATGGTGTAACGCGTCATCCTAAGATACCCTGGCAGCATTGGGAGCGCGCGTTCAACCTTCTGAAACATCTGAGTTTGCCTCAGTCGGAGCGTCCGAACGCTGCGGCGCTCTCTGCTTCCATCAAAACCGCCGTGCAGCCCTTTTATGGACATGTGCCTCGCGGGCATTCGCGTCTCAGCTCAGCGCCGTGTGTGCCAGACCTGCTGCGTTGCAAATGTCTCATGGCTGCATTCATCCACGAACATGCGCTCTCGCCCCGGACGCTGCACCTCGCGTGGAGCTATTTCGACATCATCTGCTCCAGTCAGCGGGAACCTTTTGTTCGCTTCCCCACATCTCGACGACACCGCTTGCAACGCACCGACTGGCTTGCTGTAGGTGCTACCATGCTCGCCATTAAGTACAATGAGGTGACAAACCCCGGCACTGAGGAGCTCGCTCGCTTCTTTGCGCTACAGTTTGAGTGGCGAGACCTCTTCTACGTGGAACTCTGGTGTGCCGACGTGCTGGGATTTTCGTTCGCATGGCCAACCGAATGGGACGGCTTCTTGCTCGCCTGGCGCGCTGCCCAGCACCAAACGAGTTCGCACGATCACGCTCACATCCAGCGCACCGGAGCGTATCTGCTGGAACTCTGTAATCTCTATCGCACAGTCCAGGAATGCGGTTCGCCCACAGCGGCACACGTCGGAGACAGTCTCTCGCTCGGCGCTGTCCTTGCCCAATCGCTTTGCCAAGCCAGCGTGCTTTCCGCATCGGACGCCAAACACATTGCCCAGATTCTGCAGGCGCTCTACTGGGCAGAGAATCAACCACTTTTGAGGGAACTCATTCAGCCGGCCTATCCGGAGGTGACTTTTCACGAATGCATCGAGGAGCTGAGTTCGATTGTTATGAATCTTCAAGCTCGTGCGCTATCCTGGACCGAGGCGGCACAGCATCGGACGTCTCTTTCGCCGCTAACACCCGCCGAAAGATGGAACAAGATCCCTGATGACTCCTGCTCTCCAACGCCCAAACGTCAGCGAATCGCTGGCGCGGACGTTGCCAAACCGGTTGCTTTCCGCATGTCGCTCGAGACAACATCCTCGGCATTCCCGGAATTGCTTGGGAAAGCGTCCCATACCGACGGGGTGTCGTCCAACGAGGCAAGCTTCGTTGTACCGCGCGCTCGTCCGGGCGCTCGTGTGCACCCGGTCAACGCGCTCGGTGATGCGGCGAGCGCTCGCGATATCCTGCGGCACTTGTTCACGTACTTGTCGTTTCCCGAGCTGCTCCGCCTCCGTCAAGTGAGCCGCACCTGGCGTGCGGTCGTTGAGGACACCCCAGCACTTTGGCGAGTGCTGGATCTTAGCGGCAGCTGCGACCTGATAAGCGACGACGTCCTCCTGAACCTGGTGCAACGTGTGGAGCAGCTCATCTGTCGCCTGCATTTGCAACGAAGCCCCGTTCGCATCTTGGATCTCAGCGGCTGCTGGCGCCTTACCGCTGCGGGCTTGGGGAATGCGTTGCACTCGCCGGCACTCTCACATTTGCGAGTCCTGCGACTCGCGGAACTCAACCCACAGGCACTGACAAACGAGTTGATGCTCAGTGCGCTCCCGCCGATGCTAGAAGAGCTCGATATTCGCGCGACACCCGGAAGCGGTTGTCTCCATCACCCCGAAATCTTCGCACATCTGCTGCGGTTGCCTCTGCGAGTTTTGAACGTTGCCGAGCACCCCGGTTTGCGCATCTCGACGACGGTGTTGCAAGAAGCGTGCAACTCGCACGGTGTCGGTTTTCCGGGGCTCGAGGTCTTTGTTGCGCACGGTTGTTCGCTGGCGCTGGACGGCCCCCTGGTGGAGCGCCTGCCAACGCTCCGACTGCGCCACTTGGACTGGTCATTCGTGTCGTTTCTCGACGAGTCCGTGCCCCGCGATACAGCACCTGCATCTGGGCTGCCCGAGCAGAACCCTCCAAGCGTCGCCCTGGTACTTCATCTTGCCCGACGGGCACCGTCCTTAGAGACCTTGCGTCTCGCGCACTGGCCTATGCTCACGGATCGCAGCGTTACCCAGCTCTGTCAAGCACTGCCGGTCCCCGGTCGCCTGCGGGAACTGAACCTCATGATGGCGTGGGAGCTCACTGATCGCGCAGCAGACGTGATCGCTCACCACCTGCACGGCCTGCACAGCTTGGACCTTTCATCTACAGCAGTTCGACGGCCGTTTTTGAGCCTCTTCCCGGAAGACACGCGGCAGCTCCTCCAGCAAGGTCGAGCGTGTGCGCGTCGACACCTACCGTTGCCGCAGCTGCAGTGCCTGGTCCTGAACTTCACCGCCATTGGCGACCGCGATCTCTACCGGCTGGTGCCTTGCCTCGCGTCGCTGGACCGCTTGTTTCTCGTTGGCACGTTTCCTAGTCGGGTTGCGTCTGCGGCCGGCACACCGGATGCGCTCTTGACGAGCGGGAACGCGTTACAACCTGTTACACCAGGAGATGCCGAGCGGTTTCTCTGTGGGTTGCTCGCTCACTTTCGACAAGGCTGGAATAGGGCGCGCGACACGGAGCTGGACAGGGCAAGCAACCCCCTGACCCTAGTCCTCTCGTCGGACGTTCGCGTGATAGAGTAAAACCCCGGTGCAAGTCGTGCTTGCGTGCGTCTGGATCGTTTCAGCTGGGGCCAGAACCTGGTACTTGAAACAGGCGGCGGCGTTTTCATGGCCCACGACTACGCCGGACGTTTGCGCCCGTATGAAAACAAGGGACGCCTCGGGCTCGCGCCCGACTGGGATCGCCTGCTCGACGTGCAACGAAAGGTACAAGTGCTGGCCCAGTGGTTGCGCGCAGCGTGCGGCGACGTTGTTGTCCACACGGGCGCGGGTGTATCCACGGCAGCTGGGGTGCGCGACTTTCGTGGACCACACGGCGTCTGGTCCGAAGCGACGCGCTCGAAAAACGGACGCTCGAGACCTGGGGTTGCTCCGGGTGCGGCCCAGCAGCACGAGCCTCTGACTCGAGACGGGGCGCGTTGCGCGGACGTCATCGACCCGCGGACGCAGCCGCCGCCGCCAGACTGCAGCCTAGAGCTTGCAGCGCCGACCTGGAGCCACTGGGCGCTCACCGAACTCGTGCGTCGCGGCTTGGTGCGACGCATTGTCACGCAAAACATCGACGGCTTGCACCTGCGCAGTGGACTCGCTCGTCATCGTCTCTCTGAGCTGCACGGGAACATTTTCGCAGAACAGTGTGAACGCTGTGGTCAAATTTTCCTGAATGATGTGGTTGTGCCCACGGTTGGCGGTCGCCGAACCGGTCACCAGTGCGTGTACTGTGCATGGCGGGGTCAGCGAGCATCGACGCGCGATATGCTGCTCGACTGGGAGGATCCGCTGCCGCAAGCGGATCTCATGGGCGCGACCGAGGACTCGCGAAACGCGCGCTTGTGTCTGGTCATGGGCTCGAGTCTGCAGATGGTACCGGCGGCGACGCTGCCAGCGCTCTGTCTGCGGAAGGATGGCGCGCGGCTTGTCATTGTCAACGCGTCGTGGACGGCGCGGGATGATGCGGCGCATTTGGTCATTCGCGCCCCAACCGATATGGTGATGCTGCTCCTACTGGATGAGCTCGCATTGCTACCGCCAGGGGACGCGCGGGTGCGCCTCTGGCGGCCGCAGCTGACGCTTGGCGTGCGGTGGCGGCAGCGCCCGAGGCAGTCGCGCCCGAGCGTGGATGTCTGTGTTTGGAACGGAAACGGCAATGCGCCTGGATTGACGCTCGATCACACCTTGCATGGTGCGTGCAAGCGCGAGCCCAGCAAGCACAACAGCAGCTGCGCGGATACGCCGCTCTATTGGATTCCGTTGCATGGTCGAATGATAGCTGACGCGAATCAAGTACCGGCGCTGGAGGCGCTGGAACTGGATGCCAGCGGTCATCTATCGTTGACTGTGGCCGGCTTTGGTCAGCGAAGCTGTGCAGAGCCCCCGTTTTGCACAGCAGCGGCGGTTTCGATACGGTTGGGATTTCCGCTAGCCCCGCGCGGCACGTCTCAACCGCCACTGGTCGTACCGAATGTCTGGTATTTCTTGTCGATACCGCGTGCCGGTTGGCTTGAGTTCAATGTGGTCGCTTACCGGGCGTACGTTGTTCGTTTGCTTGCATCCGAGTGGGTGCAAAGCGAACGCATCCAACTGCCGCCCGCGCTGCTGTTCTATCGCGAGGATGATCGGCGTCGTTGTTCCTGTATCGTGTGCGGAGCATCGGTGCCTCCGCAGAAGCGAACGCATCACGTGCAGTGTGTGCACGCCGAGGCCTTGGGGCAGCGCGCAGCCTCTGCTCCCGACCTAGAGCGACAGCGCAACGACTTGCAAGGCAGGCGCAGCGAGAAGCGAGCGCGATTGCCGCGTGTTTAAAGGCTGCTGCTTGACCCAAATAGATGCGCTTTCCGTCGCTTCTTGCTGAGGCGTTGCGTGTCTGTTTGGTGCGCGCTCGCTGAACGTGCTCGACTCGACGTCGCGTTTAGCAGCAGACCAGGCACTGGATAGCAGCCGTGTTCAGCAAGGCGTCAGAAACGGCATGAGCGCTGTGCGTGTCTGCGCTTGAACTAGTCTCGTACCTGTCAAACAACTCTAGTTCCTGCGAAAGAAATTGCCTCAAAATACGACTCGATGAAGCGTATCCGCGAAAGTTTCAGCGAGTCGGTGGCGTCTACACGCAAGGGATGCGTGTAGCGCACATGGAACGCAGTAGAAGCGGACACGTGTCCCGTTGCACGCATGGCATGGCATGCGTGCCGCGCACGCCCATACGAGCACGCACGGAGCGCCGCATCAGCGCCCGTGCTGGTGCCTACGAGGCTCGCAATGCGCCCCGCCACGCGACGCCCTCATCCAGGTACGTGCAGGAGCGCGATGGTGGCGGCGGCGGTGGCAGCGGCATCGAGCATGGAAGCCGGATGTAGGGTTGCCCAGTACGCATCTCCGACGATGCAGTGCGTACCAGGCGCGGGCGCGTTGCCGACGTATAGAAGCGCGAACGCTTGCAGCCGTAGCGTCTCGAATCCATGTATGCTGGGATCAGCTGGGTGCGTACGGCATGCGCTGGATCGCGGGGTCTGCAGCACGCCGACAGACACGCATCGGTGCGTTCAGCAGGCGTGCTCTGGGTTCTGCAGCGACGCTCGCACAGGGACAGCGGTGTTGCTCATGATTGCGCAGCTTTGCGGGTGGTATGCGCGGGCCCGAACGCAACTGCGACCGTTGTACCGCGGAGACACGCGTCTGTGCGTGTTGAGTCCAGGGGTCGGAGACTCTGGCGCGGCTGCACGCTTGTCAGATTGGAATAGAACATTGAAATGTTCGTTCTGTTACCGCTTCGAGGTTTTCTTATCGAACGTTTATCGATACACAGGCTCAATATTCCACGTGCGGCAATCTGGGCGTACGGTTTCATCCGTAGATCTAGGATTCTCGGTCGTCGTCGTTTCGGATTGGTTTATCTGACGTTTTGCTACCGGAGTTCGTTGTGTCATCGGATTCAAGACGATTTGCGACATGATCGAAGATGGGTTCGTAACATAACTGATGTCATTATCCAGTGCATATGTGCACGCTTCCGTTCATCGCTTTTCCTTCCGTACAGCATGCGCGAATCACATGTGCTTCAAGTCATCGATCTGTGCGTTTCAACGCGACTCGCGGCGTACCGACTCGCTTCGCTGGATGGACGGGGAACAACGCTCCACGACGTCTTTTGGCGACTTGCTCACAAGTTCGCCCCGAAAAATCGAATGAAATTGTGAAATCCAGTAATCGACTCTGTTCGGATGTCAAAAGATCACGGCGTTTCTTGCCACTGACGATGATGGATTCCAAAGCAGCAAGATGCCTCTCACGGGAGATTCTCCAGGACGCTCCTGCCTATCCTGTTTATTAAGGAAAAAGCGCTTGGACTCGGAATGGAGTCATCACAGCAACCACAATCAGTGGAGCGTGCGGAAGCGGTTTACGTTACGGGAGCATAGACTAATGGAAGTTTTTTTGGGTGTATCGCCAGCGTAGATTTTCTTCCGCTACTTGTTTCATCATGAACAACGTCGTGTTCCACAAATCCTCTATCGAATGGAACAGCGTGCCTTTGTGTATGCCGCTGGTACAGTACCCACAGAGCAGATCGCTCTTGAGAAGCCCCTGATCATATGATAGGGCACTGGCCACGGAAACCGCGGAGGCCACGGTTGGGAGCTTTCCGCCACCGCCATGGCTGTGTACCGAGCGATGAAAGAGGTCCTCACGCGTCGTAGCGCAGCGTTCGGAAGAGAATGTGTTTTAGACATACGAGAACACGTGACTCCGACCAAGTGTGAACGCTGCCAACGGCGGCAGCGGTGTTGTGTATATCAAGAAGATGAACAAGGCAAGTGAAGCGCAGATCGAAACGACCTCCTGTGCGTGCAATGCGTCGACAACACCCGGAAACTGCGAAACCAGAACTTGAACGCTGGTCTCATGATCCATCGACTGGTTATATCGGAGCTGGAGCAAAAGCTGAGACCGGCATGGGTAAAGTCGGAGATAACAGCGCATCAGAGGAAGCAGCCGCCGAGAAAGCCGGTAAACGCTAGCGTCGATCGCATTGGAAACGGACCCGAACCTCTGGTGTGCGTTGTATTCAGAGAACCCGTCCCGTTTTATGCTGACATGGACGTTAAGGGTGCGCGTACGCGCACGAACGGTTCTTGGCTCCGAATGGGTGCGTTCTAGACTCACTCACCAGCGGGGCGTGCATGTCAACCAGGAATTCAAGCTTTAAAAAGGGATATAGAACACAATATGCTTTACCAGAGATCCCGAAAGACCTTTTGTGAATTCAGTACAACAGAATCGACATCTACTTCTGATTCCGCTGATCGTGGTTGCGTCTGTGACCTTCCATACCCGAGTTCGTGCTCACACCAGCGAGAAGAAAACGAAACGTACTCATTGGGCCACCCGGTGCTCTACGCAGCATGTTTCGCTTTCATATGTTGCTCAAGAGCACTTGCCATTTTGAACGATTTGCCGCACGTGGAACAGGAGACGCTACCAGACAGGGCATTTGCAGCGGCAACGCTCGAAGCAGCCGCAGCTGCTGCTGGGTTGCTACTCCGCTCCGATGCGCTCCGCTTCTTCCCGCGCTCCTCTGGCTCCAAAGTTTCTGGAAAACGCACGTGCTTGGTGCCTGCATGGCTCTGGTCTGTAGAGGATTCGCTGCGAGGAGTTGTGCCCCGTTTGCTCGTCCCGTCCGCTGCAGACGAAGACAGCCCTGTTTTCGCGTCGCCAGCCGATGATGCGCCTTCTTTGCGATTCTTCTGTTCGGCTTTGCGTGTTGACGTTTGAGCGCCACCGCTTGTCAACGCCCCAGCATCAGTTGCTGCGGCAGTCGCTCCTGATCGTGCTCTGGTACGATGTGCTGTGCGATCCGCGTCCGCATGTTTCACTCGATCAGCTTGCTCACTCTCCATAATTTCAGTAATTCGGACGCTTCTCCTGTGCCCAGAGAGCGGCGGTGACGGCAGAGGCTCATCGTCCGATGCCGAGCTCGACCCGGATGCCGAATACTCTGCAATCCCGTCATCGCTCTCGGAACCTTCGTAGCTCATTTCCACATCGTCATCGTATTCAGCATCGGTTTCCGAGTCATATTCGTCTATCTCGATTTCGGTGTGTCCAGAGATGTAGATGGTATCCTTGCCATACGTGCGAAAATGAAGTACACGTGGTCCAACAATCTCTAGGTTGAGCGACTGGCTCTCCACTTTTCCTGGAAGGAGCACGCACACCGGGATGCTACGTATCACTGGTGTGTCGGGAAAAGAATCATCTTCATCATCGGATACTTCCGAGGCGCTCTCGTCCTCGGAGGAGACGAGCGCTTCGTCGGCAGACTCTTCGGAACCGGTACCAGTGGCCGAGCTCTCGGGGCTAGACTCCTGCGAATCGCCCTCATCATCCTCTGAATCTGATGCGTCTTCATCGATACCGTTCACCATGGCTTCATCTGCTTCAGAACTACCAGATCCAGAATCCGATCCGCTACTTGATTCAGATTCCGAAGCCACTTCGTCGCTATCCGCGCTAGAGTCCTCATCGTCCGAAAAACCGCGCTTCGGCACGTCTAGGTCTTCCATCACTAAAACAGATCGTTTCCCCTTGGGTTTCTTGATACCGAGCGAGGCCGACGAGATCACGACGTACTCGCCGTCCTCGACTCTGTGCTCGACAGCGCGCCCCGGCGGTACTTTCAAGCCCCAGATAAACGACAAGGTCGGGCCCGGAACGCCCTCTTTGTAAGTCAAACTAGGATCGTGTTCTTCTTCTTCCATATCTTGGACGCAATGCGCTTGGACAGGATAATGAGCGTTCGCTGACTCCAGTGCTGCTTGATGATCGTTCGTTTCACGCGGCGGCATCCGTTACTGCACAATAAGAATATCGCACTACTTGCCGAAACGACACGGCAATGTGCGGGCGACGAGGCTCGCGGGCGGCTGCGGGTCCGCGGCGCGTCACTTCGTCGTCGCCGGCGGCGGAGGCGGCGGTGGCGGCGGCCGCAGAAGATCGGCAAACAAAGGTCGCCAGCTGGACGGCGTCACGGCAGCGAATTCGTGCAGCGACGACGCCGCTGGTGTTGTTTTTTTCAATTCCAAGACGTTTACATTGACCATGGATTCCAGATGGACAGATAGACAGATAGATAGATAGATAGATAGATAGATGCATGCATGGATAGACAGATAGATAGGTAGATGCATGCATGGATAGACAGATAGATAGGTAGATAGATAGATGCATGGATGGATGGGGATTAGTTTTCGGGAAAGCGTCCATAATGCTGCTGCAACCTACTTTCAAGTTCCATTACTTATATATCCTCTCGGATATACTGGTCGTTTCGTGCGTTGTATCGTGTGCCGACTATCTGCCGTGAGCACCAGCAATAACAGCTATACCGTTGGTGCAGATGCATCATGGAGAAAGAACGGATTTCCCATACGACGGGGGGGCGACGGATCGAGGAACGCTACGAATGACATGAGTTCGGGATTCATTATCATGCTGGGAGACTGCAATTTGTGGAGACAAAGGAATTGCCTGCAAAAAGCGTGAAGCGATATATGAGGAATCCAGTACGACAAACGCGACGCCCAGACGCAGGCTACTCGATCCAAGTCCAAGAACAAATTACATTGCGGACGAGTTGCTCGGGTCTCATTATAGCAACTGCCACTGGGGGAGCATGAAGCACGAGCCTGGTAAACTCGTCGGGCTCGCGGGGCCTTCCGCCGAGGAGGTAAACATTCGACATGATAGAAACATCTCCCCCTTTTAACGTCCATTGCAGAGGGGGGGTAAAAATCGTTATCTTACTGGTATGTAGTCGTGAGTTTCTGTTGTTTGTTCTATATGGCGCGGTCGATACGCGCAGCTCCGTATCTGGCATGCACGACACAATGCGTATCACGGCGTTGAATGGAAACGCTATGCTGACCATACGTTGACGTGTGGGTCTCACGTGCTGGTTGGATCTGTGCTGAAGTCGCACAATATGACAGTCTTTCATTTCAATGGGGTTTCAACGCTCAAGTGAGTGTATTCGAGTGTTTTTTCGCACTTTATAAGAGAGGCGTTCAAAGTGCGTTCTTTTTCAGAACAAAATAAAAAAGTTATGTCAAAGCAAGTCGACGATGCTGGAGGCCCAGTGTCGCCGGCTTCCAGAAAAACAGCGCCAAGCCAAGAGAATCATGAAAAGACGGGGGACCTTAGACTGGAAATCAGACGCTAAATGCAACTTGAAAGACAACAGTACGAAGAAATGGTGGCGAAAGCATTTGTTCTACGCCAATTCAAGGATCCCTCCAAGCAAAAGTCATGGGAGGCCATCAGAAAACGTGGCGCGTGCTACTCCATGAGTATAACAAAGGCTTCTTCAGGAATAATGCATTTGGCGTGGGAGATGTACGACAACGTGATGGGCATCAAAACAGTCGAGGTTCCGGGAGAATTTTTCAACAAGACATTCAACCGCCACTTCATGCATGGCACAGGAAAAATGTTCGACGAGTGATGAGCGAGTGCACGCCCTCCACGAAAAACATCCCTTTTACAGATTCGAGGGTACTCTAAACAAGGTTGACTGGGATATTTACACCTTCGGGGCGAAGAAGTACCTCACGAATGTGAAGAACCATTTTACAATGAACCTGGAACGTTTCATGATATGCGCAGTGTTTGCGCTATACCCGGGCATCTCTCGTAATGGAAAATGGGCGATTATCAATGGCATCATGAAAGATCGCAAGCATGAAGATGAGATCAAATTTGTCGAGAAGAAGGTTTCAAACGAGAGCATGAATGAGGATTCCGTAATCCGTGCGGTTATTAAAGAGCATCGTGCGATACTGGGCCTGGCGAATCCAACAGACAAGATATCAGAGCTGAAAAAAGATAGGGAAAGATACGATCGCCTCGTCCTGCGCTATTTTGTGTTTCTGGACCGAGAGCTCGAACGCAAAGCGGAGATGAAGCTGAGTGAAGAGACAAAGGAAGAGTGGGAGAGACGGAAGGCTGTCCTAATGCGGAAGCGATTCAACGTGGTTCCAATGTGCAAGATCAAGTCACATTTTGTGACTATCGACTCCGGCGTCCTTTACGGCATCATGAGGGATATCTGTCCGGAGTTCGATGTAAGCAGGGAGGACTTCACCGGCGGAAACCGGGAGACGTACTGGATGAGCAGCTTCGATTTCAAACGTCTCAAAGTGAGCACGAAGAAGGTATTCACTGGGTTGATCGAAACCGATGGAGTAGCCACGTGTGTACTCTGTCGGCGGTTGAAGAAAGATCGTCCAGTTCCGCCCTCGGCTGCGCCCGTGACGAAGCATGAAGAAAAGAAGGAGGCGGATGCTGTGATGCAGGAGGTGCAGGATAACGACCTTGTCGTTGACGTGATGAAGGATGAAGATGGGAAGGAAGCGGATCCTGTGGTGCAGGAGGTGCAAGCTAACGACTTTGTCGTTGGCGCGGCGATGCATAAAGATGAGAAGGAGGGGGATCCTGCCGCGCAGAAAGTGCATGATAACGACTTTGTCGTTGGCGCGGACCTCGGAAACACAAATATCATCACCATCGCAGTACCCAAGCGTTTGGAAGATGGCACTGACGGCGGCATGCGTCAGAAAGACATGCGTCTTTTGAAGTTCTCGAGAGCAATATACTATCGAGAATCGGGAATCATGAATGCGAGGAAGAAAATCGAGACTTGGAATCCAGGAATGAAAGAGCACCTGGAAGCTTTGAGTAAGGTGACGAGCCGAGGAGCGGACTTTGAAGCTGTCCGGAAATTCATGGAAGTTCGCATGGCGCACTGGGATGCGCTATGGGAGGAGTATACCAAGCCCCGGTGGGCTCGTCTGCGAATGAATCTATACGGTGGGAGGCAGCGGGCGTTCGCGAATTTTTTGAATGAGTTGAGCGCCCTGAAGGAGGAGGAAAGTCAGAGGCTCGTCGTAGCGGACGGAGCAGGACGATGGGTGCCCAAGAAAGGCACTACACCAGCTCCAACGACAAGAATGTACAAGGAGTGTGCAAGGCGTTTCGTTACGATACCTGTAGATGAGTTTCGAACATCGTATACACACCATGAACAGGGGTTAACACTTCAGAGAGTCGAGATGGAAAAGTGCCAGAGGAGCCCTGAGGATATAGCAAAGTATAGACAGCTGACGGAAGAGCAAATGGAAAGGAGAGCGAAAGTTCGTGGACTGCTTGCATTAGTAAGTACAACTCCCAACGGCACGAAACGGATGGATTTTGTGAACCGAGATTTTATTACCGCCATCAATATAAGGAGATGTGCGGTGTTGGAGAACAGACCTCCAGAGATGACACGAGAGAATTTTGTTGGACAACCTCTTAAGGTTTTACTATATGAGACACAATTGGAAGCAGTAGTAGGCGGCCGGTCGAAAAAGCCTAGGAAGCGTCTGCACGTCAGTAGGCGACTTGTTGTCCAAGGCGCACCGGTCGCTACTACTGTACACCGCCGACGACGTTCTACTTTAGAACGGCGTTCAGCGGTGTGCGCCATGCGAGACACCTCCTGGCCACAGCGACTGCAGAGCGTCACATGGAGAACCGTACGACAGCGGTTCCGCGTTTGGCTGTCCACTGCGTGCTCCAGGTCCAGTACAGGTGGCGGGGGCGCTTTCGCTGAACACCCGCACGACGTTGGAACGGGTGGTTCAGTAAACGGCTCCGTAACCACGAACAGGGACCTGGACTCTGCCTCGACGGAAGCCGGTGCCACGGACCAGATAGTAGCGAGCGGACTTGCGTCTGTCTTGGGTGTTGGCGAGCGGACGTACCAGGAAGAAGTGTTCGCTCTTTGCGGAGGCGGCCGGGCTCGAGTGCGCCGCCAGCACGCCCAGGGAAAGCTAACCGCTCGGGAGCGGTTGTACCTTTTACTGGATCGTGGCTCTTTTCAAGAGCTTGATCGACTGGTCAGTTCAAGAGAGTCCCTCCATGCATCGTCTTCGGATCCGCTTGGAAAACATCGCACTCCTGGCGACGGCGTTGTGTCGGGCTTTGGACGGATTCACGGTCGACCTGTGTTCGTTTACAGCCAGGACTTCACCGTTGCTGGTGGCTCTCTTTCCGAAGCCAACGCCGCAAAGATCTGCAAGGTCATCGACAAGGCCATCGAGGTCGGCGCGCCAGTTGTTGCTCTCTGTGATTCCGGAGGAGCGCGCATCCAGGAAGGGGTGCGCTCGCTCGCAGGCTACGCAGAGGTCTTCAAACGCAATGTGTTGGCTTCGGGATACATCCCGCAGCTTTCCCTGATTCTCGGGCCGTGTGCAGGTGGTGCAGTGTACTCACCAGCACTCACGGACTTTGTGCTCATGAGCAGACGACATGCACGAATGTTCGTGACGGGGCCCAGCGTAACGAACGCTGCCCTAGGCGAACAAACAACTGATGAGGCGCTTGGCGGTGCCGCAGTTCACTGTCGTATCTCGGGCGTTGCCCATTTAGACGCCGACGACGATATTGCCGTGATACAACTCGCCCGTGAGCTGCTGTCGTACCTGCCGCAGAATGCGCGTGTTCCCGCTCCCCAAGTTGTTGTCACCGAGGATCCCAGCGACCGCGAAGAACCCGTGCTCGATCGACTGGTACCCTCGGATGCGCATACGCCATACGACATGCGGGATGTTCTGATGCGCCTCGTCGATGATGAAGAATTTCTAGAAATTCAAACCGATTTCGCTCCAAACATGCTAACTGCATTTGCTCGACTGAACGGTCGCAGTGTGGCATTGATTGCCAACCAACCGCTGTGCATAGCAGGTGCAATCGATTCCGACGCTGCCGTCAAAGCAGCACGGTTTGTGCGCTTTGCAGATGCATTCGGCATACCGATCGTGACGCTGGTTGACGTACCAGGCTTCCTTCCCGGAACGCAGCAAGAGCATGGCGGCATCATCCGACACGGCTCCAAGTTGCTGTATGCGTACACGGAGGCAACCGTGCCGAAACTGACCATTATTTTGCGTAAGGCATACGGTGGCGCGTACTGTGTCATGGCAAGCAAGCACCTGCGTGGCGACCTGAACGCAACTTGGCCCTGTGCCCATATCGCTGTCATGGGTAGGGCTGCAGCGAGTCAGATCCTTCGCAGGCGAGTTGCGTCGACGGATGCGCTCGAAACTTCGGGTGACACTGAAGCGAGCGAGGAATCCTCGGTTTCGGTTGCACTCCAGCGTGGCTACGTCGATGCTGTCGTGCGACCAAGACTGACGCGTCGATGGCTCATACACGGGCTAAGCCTCCTAGCGAGCAAAGAGACAGCGGCGTTACGGGAGCCATGGCCCCCGAAAAAACATGGAAATATTCCCCTGTAAAGGAATCGTGCACTTTGCACGCCGCGTGTACAGCCATAATGCATGCAACTTCTTACTTGTTGCATTTCTGGACTGCTTCCGCGAAACGAGTACAATCAGTATCATTGAATCGGTTGCTGAGCGGGAGGCGCCCATTCGCCTCACGCGGCGAAGCACAGATGCAGCTGAAACTTTGCGTCTGGGTGCTCTCCTTGGACCTTTCGTGTCAAAGCGACTTGTCGGTTCGTCTCAGGTGTTGCATTGTTGCTTTGCATCTAGAGTTCCACGTCTGTGCGTACACAGGCTCCTGAGCAGCCGATGCTTGTCTGACAGCATCGGAAACGGTGATGTGCATTGCCCGCTGCTGCTGCTGCTGCTGCTGCTGCTGCTGCTGCTGCTGCTGCTTCCCGTGCGGTTATAGCATATTCGCCAGTGAAAAGTCTTGGTATAGCGACCTGCTGTGCAGCAGGTCGTAGCGCGTATTCAGCAACACATGCGTGACGTGCTCCGCGTAAACGCGCTGCAACCAGAACCCTCGCTGCCGAGATGCACCCTCAGGGGCAATCCTTTCGACGCTATTTTTTTTCGTGACGTCTGCACATTCTCATTCTAGTTCCATACGGAGTTTCCGTATCGAAAACGGTGGAGTAGGACGTTTCACAGGGAAGCAGCCCCGTTCTCGGTTCAGTGTATGAACCGGGGGTGCGGTGTGTCTGCCGTACCCGGACGCACCGCCCGGGAGACACACGAGCAATCAGAGCGTCGTCCGCGTTAACCAGAAACGAAGATCATAAAGACTCTGACTTGGAATATAGGCTTCGGCAGAGTACAACTCACTGGTGTGATCGAGCGAGCGAACAGGCGTGTTGCCGCTCACGCCCGTCGAGCGCGAAGCTTGTCGCGCTGCCGCCGCTGTAGCCCTATTGAACAGACGCTGGTAAACGAACGCTGTTCGGAGAGCGCTCTACGAGCGGCTATCCTTCTTCACAAGGCAACCCTGGTCACTTGGGAACTCGTGTACCGATGACCGAGTCCAAGTGGTCCCGTGATCTTCAGGAGATTTTCGGGGACTCAAGCAGCGACGAGTCCGTAGAGGATGCGGTTGACGTGGGCGCCCAGTCGCGCTTCGCGGTCGAGACGGCTGCCCGGGAACCGGGGCGAGGTTTCGGAGCTCCGAACAGGACACCGCTTGAACCAAAAGCTCACTTGATTAAAGACGCCGACTACGAGGCCGCTGAAAGCAGGGCTGAACATTGCGTGGCCGGGAGCCCCGGCGGAGCTGCTCCCGTTCAAGGCGGGGCAGGTGCAGGTGGACTCCGGCGCCACACCCCCGACTATTACCTGCTGCGGCTGCCTTTTAAGTTTATTGGAATCGAAGCGCTGGAGAATAGGGAAAGCCAGAGCCATGCTCGTACAGACTCTCGTACTGATGCACCCGCTGGCCCGTGGCGAAACCGGTCCAAGAAACCCGCCTTGATCCGCTGGCGACGGAATCCCACTACCGGTGAGTGGGAATCGAACGCTCGCATCATCGAATGGAGCGACGGGTCCCGTACGCTGCACATAGGCGACCGGGTAGCTCTCGAGCTGATTGTAGAACAGGGGATACCAGGCCGCGAGCATGTTATCTGCGGCGATCCGCAGCGTATGGTCAACTACAATGGCGAAATCAAAGGCCATTTCAAAACCAACGTTGACCCGGCGGTGGTACAACAACTACTAGCAGGCGCTCGGGTGCCGTCGACCGCAAAGTTAGGAGCGGGTCTCGAAAAGGAGCTTCGAGCGGGCGACCTTGCCTCGAGATCTTTCGCAGAGACGGGGCGTAGCCGCCGCGTGCAGGTGGCAGCGCTCGACCGGGCCCCAGAAAGCGAAGAGAAGACGCTGCTTGATTTCGAGAATCAGCGTCGAAAAGCCGAGCAACGAATCGAAGCGCGACGTCGTCGGCGAGGACAGAGACTCGCTCAGAATGAGTTGCTCGCACCGCAACAGTTAGGCGTGGACCCGCTCGCTGGCGAACAGCGTCGCGACGCAGGGCATACGGGCTCGACAGGGACTCTCGCCCGGGACGATGACTCCGGAGAAGAGGCTTCCGATGCCGACTCTGCCATGGAGTTGTTGGATGATCGTCGATTCGGGGTTCGCCAACGCACGATTCGTGACGAAGACGCTGAGCTGGAGCGGCTGGAGGCTATGTTGGACGATGACCACGAGGATGACCACAGTATGAACTCCGCGGAGAGCGCATCCGATGAGGCACTGGTCGAGCACGAGACGCCAGAGTCGACCTCCGAGCACCCCGGCACATCGCCGCTGGATGCCGCTGCCCCGGGCGCAGCAGTCCACCTCCAGCAGCGCAGTCGTGCTGGTGCCGGTGACAATGTGGCAGCGAGCCCGTCCTCAGAGACCGCCGTATCCGCTGAACCGCAAGCACCCGCCGCATCCGGAGTATCTGCGACTGCGTCGAGCAGCAGACGTCGAATGCTAGTGACCAGTGACGAGGAGGATGCATAAGCGCTCGAACGGCATGGCATGCTTTCGCGCAGACGAATCACCCTGCGAGCGGTACATGGAAGCGAAATGGATGCTACCGGAGTGGGGTGTTCGGGCATGTGCGTCTGCAAGGCAGCTGCACGTCACAGTTCCTCGCAATTGGACCAACGCGCTAGCATCTATGCAAAACAGGGATCGTGCATGCTTGCGGAAGCTTCGCGGTAGTCATTATTGGATATGTTATCGGGTTGAATGGAGCGCGGCACGGCAGGCTCGTTCACCGTTCTATGCTTTACGCGTTGATGGGCGGCTACCAGCGACGCTGCGCCACCAGGTACAGCGGGTATTGATGCTGAGACATTGTAAAAGGGCCTTGAGTCGAGCGTTCGCATCTCGTGCGGATAGCGCACGTAGGCTGCTGCCTCTGGCACCCGACCACGCTCAGAGCTGGGTGAGCGTTGGTACAGGTCGCGGCTTGGCGATGACAAGGCGCTGCTGCGTGATAAAACTGAAGAGCTTGCGCCTGCCTTGTTGGGCTTTCTGGAAATGGAGGTCCACTGCTTTTTGACGCCGATCAGGTACGATGCGTTCGGCTGGTCCAGGTTCCTGCGGATGAACGCAATCTCGACCGGGGCCTTCATAGAGGCTGGAACCCTCCAGCACAGAGACGGGGTCAGCTGGGCTTGAAAAAGAGACGCGGCGGCGGCGCTTTGCAGTCGTCGAGCACACGACTGGGGTTTGCGCGTCCCTCTGTTCTGATTCCCGTTTGCTCGGCTTGGGTGCAGTTTCGGATTTGCGACGAGGCTCGGTACGATGTGATGGCACCAAACGCTTGCCTCGGCTTTGATTTCGTTTCGCCGTACGAGACTTGTTGGATTTTGCACTGCTTCGCCGTTCCGGTACTTCGGCCGTATTTTCACGCGACTCTATTGCATCGTCTGCGTCATTCTCGGTGGCTGGCACCACGCTCGGTTCCACGATTTGCGGACACGTCATGCTCTTCATCGCGGGTACTTCCATCAGCGCCGGTTGCAAGTCCGGATTCGTGTCCAGCGGCCCGGGGACGCTGACACTGCGTAAAAGCACCAGTTCCGCCTCCATGGATGCAAGCGCCTGCTGCCAGCGACGCTGTTCCTCCGCGTACAGCAAGTCCATCAACTCAATTTTTTCCTCCAGTTCGCGCACCCGCGCACGCTCTTTCACCAACTCCTGGTGGGCAACAATACCAGCCCACTGCTGCTCCGCACAACATCGTCGCCATTGGGACGCTATCAGCTCCAGCTCAGCATTCTCGCGTTGTAGCGCCGTGAACGCCTGTGCCACGCTCTTCTCGAGCGCTGCATACTCCCGTTGACTATGCTCTCGTAGCGTCTCACAGGTAGCTTCCAAACAAGCTACCTGCTTCTGCAGAATATGTTCACCTGAAGCGCATACTCCTGTATGCACCATTCAGAGACCTTTGTTGTGCCGTCAACACAATCGTTGCGATATCGAGCACGACAGAGCAGTTCACCAGAGCGTGCGTACTGCAGCGTGCCGCAGCACAGCGCAAGAGCGCACCAACGCGCAACGTACGATCGATTTGGCGCGATCGCCCGATGAGGGATTTCAAAAACGGGACTTGGTGGCACGCTGAGGCCTACCGGCTTTTTCTCTCATGTTTGACGAAATGTTTCCATTGACCACGGAACCCAGACACGGGATGGATAGTAGGGTTCATGGAATTGTCCATCATGCTGTGCCATACGCTCAAGTTCCATAACCTATATGTGATATAGGTTGTACTGGTCGTTTCGTGCGTTCTATCGCGCAGCGAGTACCTGCCTTGCTGTCCCCTGAATAACCCCTATACAGCTGGTGCGGGTGCAGCACGAGCATAGAACGGGATTGGCATACGACTGAGGACGTTGGCTCGAAGTGTCTTTTATTCAATACGGAATCGGGACTCTTTATGATACTGGGAGCCAGCAAGCTGCGGAGAGAGACGCACTGCTTGCGGTAGCGCGAAGCGATCTGCCAGGAGCGTACTGCAACCAGGGCAACGCCTAGCATGCAGCCTACCGCTTTCTCATCTAAAAACAAAAACATCGTTGCAGATGAGTCGCTCGGGTGTCGCCACATCACCCGGTAACTGAGGGAGGCGTGAGGCACGAGCCCGCCGGACACGTCGGGGTCGTGCGACCTTCCATCATGCGGATCAACGTTCGAAAATACGGAGACGTTTGCCCCCGTTCAATGTTCACCGTGAAGCTGGAACGAAATTGGTATCGAGTCGCTGGTTGCTGGTTCGTTTGTGTTCTTTCGGGACCGTTGCAAAAAGCAAGTGCTTTTTTTCTGTCTTTTTTTGAACGTAGTGAATGTCGAGAATGCTGCGCTGTAGTTACAATCGCACGCAACGTTCTCTCCAGTCGACAGCGCACATCGCGTTTTTTATACAACCTTTACACACTGAACAGGCACCCCCGATTGCGCTCTTGATATCAGCGCATTCTGTCAGTGTACATCGTGTATCAAGTAGCGCCGGCGGGGATGCAGGAACGCGCGATCGACACTCTCCGACCGCTGCGGCAACGCCACGAGCAGAGACCCGCAGCGTCTTCCACCTGAGCGGACACCGTGTATACGAGTATTGTATGTGCATCATCTATCGACGTACAGTCATGAGAGATGAAGCATGCCTGGGTTGCTTTTCGTGTCTGGGAACGTTTGGCAGATCAAAGGACAGGGTGCGGTCATAAACGCATCTCGCAGCGTGGAGTGCGCTACGGTTGAGTTCAGAGCTGGCAGGTCAAGCAACCTTGCAAAATCGACATGCAAATACCATCATGTATGTTCGTGCATGCCTGCGCTGCGTTGAACAAACCCAGGTCGTAGCTTACAGCAGACAATGCACAGCGCAGACAAGTATCTGAGATGAAGTCAATGCACGTCAGGTAAGCATGCAGAGAACATACTGGATATTTTATCCAGTGCAGGTATCGATGTCCGTCGCTGCCGCATGCTCCATAGCGGACCGGGGTTCCGTCCACAGCGCCGGTATCGCATCTCCCGAACGGCATTCGGATGTGCAACATCTCGAGCACGCTGCGTCTAGGCCTCAGAACGCTACCCAGAGCTACTTGCGTTGCGAGTGCGCTTACGTGCGCCAGCTCAGGCGATAAGACGGCCGCACGCGTAACATGCAGGACTGCATGGATGTCCCGGCACTTGATCGTACCAAACTGGGGATGCTTGCTGACGCAGCCCGGCAGCAGCGTGGGCGGCCTCATTCGTCTCGGGCGTTCATCACATGCACACCGTGGGGGCGCAGATAACTCGTAAACGCACAGCAACGCCGAACGCCCAGCAGCAGCGCCAGCACACACCATCGCATTGCGTGACCCGGGAGCGCCTCGAGCGATCCGTTGAAAATAAACGAACGGAAAATGCGCTCCATTCAGATCCTTGCCTGTATGGATCGTACGAGATCGGATATCCTTACGGCCTTGGATTGAAAGCGGATCGTTCCAAAGGTTTTCGCTTCTCGTCAAAGCTTCAATCAAGAACATGTCTGAGCGTCATGCGCTGCTTGAAGATGTCGTTTTCCGTATCAGGCAGCACGCAAAGGATACATCGCTGGAGCGTCTGTTATCGCCCCTGATCAAGCCTGGAGCGGTATGCGAAGGGCATGCAACCCGCGATGCAGCGTGCCGGATGTGCCCGGCATCGACCTACCGCTTATGCGCTCATGACGCCGGGGCATGCTGCAGCACCTGCTCCTTGAGCAACACACAGATGCGACCTGATCCAGGTGGGATCTCGCGTGCGGTGCACATTTTTCGAACCAGAGCAGCAACACGCTCCTTTTGCGCTGGAAACCATGGTTGAAAATAAGAAAGGAGCTCCTTCACAGTAACGTAGGAACCTTGCCTCGCGAGATACCGCAACACGGCTTTGATATGCATTTCTTCGATAACTCCATCCGGCGCCGGCAGTAAATGCGAAGGCACAGCGTGCTGTTCACCTGCAGAGACTGGCTTCCCGGGATACTTGGCTCCAGCCGATCCCGCGATAGACTCGTGTTCCTGGAAGCGGGGCGCAGAATCGTATCCGCTGGTGCCCGTAGCTCCGGCATCTGACGGTGCCTGCGAAGACGGTCGCGTTAGCGGTATCTCTGAGCGGAATCCGACTCCAGCTGGCGGCTGCGCAGTTTTCTCCCTCTCGAGCAGGCGTTTCAGCATCCGGCCGTTTTCAGACAGACCCGAGCGATGCCTCCACTGCATGTCCGTATCGTCGCCAGCGTCAGAGAAGCTGCCCTGCCGCAGAGGATCCTCAGCCTGATAGCGCTCGAGACGCTCAAGCGAACTTTGCGACTCGGTGCCACTACCGGATGCATTCGAGTGCGAGCACGACGGCGTCTGGCCCCCCCGATACCGAAACGCTGCCGCGAGTACCGACGCATCATCAGCGGATGCATTTGGATAGCGCTCAGGTGTGTGTCGACCGTTTTCGCGTACGACATCAACGTCATCTTCTCCAGAACGATCCTCAGCGTTTGATTCATCACTCGAATCAATCTCTCTTCGCGACAGCAGCAGAGATGGGTCTAACTGCCCTTGACTGACAGCGGGTTCCGAATCATGTGGAGGATGCACACCCTCATCGGTCCGACGCACGAACGGGCGCTGCCACTGGGTGCCAGACCAGAGACTAGCCGCGTGCGACGAACTATTCACGAGATGCCGACGGCGTTCCAGAATGGTATCCGCCAAGGCTGCGCGCGCTCTCAGTTTCTGTTCCACGTGGACGAGCGGATCATCCTCAGTACTCACGGTGATTGCCTGCTCCCCCGTATCCGCAATTACAGGCGACGATCCCCTGCGATCCACGGTCATCTCTGATGGACGTGTTGCGTCCACTGCCTGCCGAGCGTCACGTCGATGCATGCGCTCATTCGCCATATCGGATAACTTAGGCGCAAACTTGAAATTATGCCAAGCGTAGCGTCCAACAGGCACCAGATCGATGGTACGATCATCTCGAACAATCATCAGACAGTAATCAGACCCAAGCGCACTATCCATGGTACCATAGAAGACCTTCCGTCTTTTTGTACTGGGCGCCTTGGGATCATCGCGAACTGTACGAGTCGCCTCGGGGCGTCCAGCGTTCTTCGCGTCACTCATGTGGGCAGCGCTCGGCTCCGACGCGGAGGCACCCTGAGCAGGCTCAGAGGTTTCCTCGACCTCCAAGATGAGTCGTTTCCGATAACGCTCCGGAATTCGAGCGATACCCTCCAGATCCCGCCGTTGTTTGTACCAGGGCGCTTTGCCAACCTTGAGCTGTGCATCCACGCGCTGAGCCTCTTCCAACGCCTCTAGTCGTTCACGCAAGGTCTCCTCGCCCTCGCGGCAAAGTCGCGCAAAGCCACCGGGCTGATAGCGCGGCACTGCTCCGCGTTTCGGTACTGGGAGCTTTGTGCTCGGGTCAAAGCGAAGACCGGTTGTTTGTTCGCGCTTGTCGGTTGTGCAACCGTCCGTGTTTGGAAAGCGCGCGAGAATATACTCACGACGTACAAACTCTGCTTCCGCTGCTTCCTTTGTATTCCTAGCGGCCGTTTCGCCGCTATCGTTGCCGAGCTCGTCTTCATCTCCAGATTGTGAAGAGTCCGAGAGCTCTAGACTGTCGCTGGGTTCAGACTGCGTATCCGTGAACAGCTTATCCCAGTCTACCCAGGGCAGCACGCGCAGGGTATACTCTCGGTAAGGCGTCCCGTCCTGCGTCCTGCTCCCGGACTCGAGCACTGGCTCAAAGTCGTCGTCATCGCTCAAGTCTTCTTCACCTATATAACGCCCAGCGTGTATATCTGGCTTTATGGAGGCTTTTTGAGGATCTGGTTTCATAGGCCAAGTCGCAGGTGCAGCGCTTGCAGAATGACAGAAACGTACCGGTTTGCCAGTGACAAGCGCATCGTTCGCTCGTTCGAAAGCGCAGGCGCCTCGTTGCAGTTCAGGAGCAGGCGGCGGCTATGTGCGCAGGTGTGGCTTCCTCGCTCGCTCGCTCGCTCGCTCGTTAGACTGTCAATCATGAACCTGAATATGATCCTGGAGGCTTCTATCCAGCAGTTTAAGTTTGCAGTGGAAACGCTTCGTACTGGACCGGGGAGTATGAAGGTACCTATACACTGGACGCACTGGTCGACACTATCACCAAGCGCAACGAGCCACGCGTTTTCTGCGCCGATCTGGCTGCTGATTTTCTGGTTTTTCTATTTTCTTTCCACGTTTATACTGTGGTTAGCTTGGCGCATTCATGTGTCGCGTCCACTAGACCAGGCTCTGAGGCTGCTGGCGTTTCTGCACAACCTGGTGCTCTCGGCCTGGTCGGGGGTGATGTTCCTCGGCGCCGCCAGCGCCGTCGTTGCGGTTACGCGCAGCGACGGTAGCATAGAGCGCACCTTCTGTTCTTCGTCGTTCGATAATTTTCCCAGAAACATCTACTACTGGCTGTACATGTTTTACTTGTCGAAACCGGTGGAGTTTTTCGATACGTTTCTGCTTGCGGCACGCGGGAAACCGTTGACGGTGCTACATGTTTGGCATCATGCATCGGTGGTATTCGAAACTTGGAGCTGGTTGCGTTACGGCCTCAATTTTTCAATCTATGGAATGCTGTTTAATACCGCCATCCATACAATCATGTACATGTACTTTGCGTATGCGTCCATGCAATGGCGGTTTCCATGGAAGCGATGGATAACGCTTCTGCAAATCGTGCAATTCATCACTAGTTTCGCGTTGACGATCCCATATCTCTACTTGTACTGGAGAAATCCGCAACGTTGCATGGGTATGCCTGCCTTGGCGATCAGCACGTTCTGCAATGCATCGTACCTGCTGCTTTTCCTGCGCTTCTATCGCCGAACCTACTGGCCGGTATCAAAAGCAAAAGACTAAAGCCTAATGTTTTCATTGCGCAGTTCCTTGAAGCTCCAGTGATTCCCTGTGGACAATGTGCATCCGTGTGATGCAATCACTGCTGGCGACGTGAGCGCGTTGCTGCACCACAGTCAGGGGCTTCGCGGGCTGCACGAAAGTCACAAAGACGCGGACGAAGAGAGTCAGTGGCGACAGTCGGGGTCCAGCGCCGAGGTCTCCGAGCAGGGGAGCGCTCAGCCCTGGACGGCTCGTCGCCTGTGTACCGCGTTGCGAGCATCGGACTCGCTGTTATTTCGCGACTCGGTCACAGATGATGTGCTCGATGAGGCCTCGTTTGCGCATGGAACGAGGGCCCCTGGACGGAGTCGCTGCGTAAAATTTTCAGTGACCAAAGACAGAGGAGTCCAATCGTATTCCCCTGGGTATGTGTGAATATCATGACGTACCGAGACAGACACCTTGCGTCCTGTGCGCAATGCTCCGCTTTCGATGACGCGGATACGGGAGTGCCAGGTGCTCTGAAAAGCGCATCGTGGATCATCTAGGCGATGATGCCACTCTGCATAGCATCGCTTTCATTGTGGAGAGTAGTTGAGCGGTGTCGGCCTCTTCTCGACCTTATTGCCTTTGGATCCATCGCAAACATCATCGCATCGACCGGATTCTACTGGACAATCTACCTTACACAGCGGATGATACCTTTCTTTCCATATTCGATGGTCGCTGCATGTGGCAAGCATCGCACAGCGGCTTCACTCGGCCTGTGCGTGCATGAAACACCTCTTGGATGTTCGGGGTAGAATCGTATGCAAGAGGGACCTCAGAGAGCGAAATTTATGAACTGTTCGAGGCTGCGCTATGGCACGCGCTCTGGTAACCTGTGTCTGAAACAGAATGTGTTTCGCGGTAAACCAGTTCCCAATGCAGCGATGCGAATGGCACCGAGCGTCCGCGCTAGGCATTTCGCCATGGAATCATACACACACATACATACACGACGCGTCATGTAGGCGCACCAGCGACGTTAGGCAACAGAGCGGGTATTGGGATACGCAATGTATACATGTGGCAGGGTTATACTGTTCTGTACGAAGGACTGTGGAATGTTGCAAAGGCGCAAGTAAAGCGCTCATCCAAGCAGCATGATCTGGAGTCACGCAGTGGGGTCGGCAAGCGCATGCTTGTGGAAAGACGATCCTATTCTATATGAAAAACTACGGAACATCGCAAGGCGCCAGCAAATCGTTCACGCAAACCGCATGGCCCCGGATAACGTCTCAATGGATGCACGAGTCGGCAGAGGTGATTCTTGCCATCCCTCTCTGGGTCCAGGGTCGTCGTTCCACGCAACGAGATGCACTCGCATGTTCGTTGAACGCCCGTCCACAGAGCATTGGATCCACACACACACACACACACAATATCCAGGTCGTCGTTTCAGTGCTCAGCGGTGACGTTCTCCGGATACACTGCCCCGCGCTAGCAGCACTGCGCGGTCAGCAAAACTCGTACGCAGATGAGCAGTTCATGGCTAAGGGCGTTTTGCGTCGGATACGTGTCCGCATCCAGAACATGAGAGCTCGAGAAGCGCCGCGGCGTTCCAGATCTGGGCCAAAGATATAAACTGTTTGAGCACATATACTATAGCGCAACCGTAGTATGCGGCAATCCATAGCAGCTCCATATGACTGGCAGTTTCGACCCTGGCGGACCAACCAGCAACACGCGTGAAATGCAGCAACAAAAACACCTCACTAAAAAGGCATACCGTTGTCAACACACTTCGGCGATAATATAGCTTCACCAGGCGTCCGGGACCTGCGGCTTTGTGACTGGTCGCACGGGCTAGGGTTGCGGCACACACTTGCCAAAAGTGGCTCACTGCATCCAAAATAAGCAGGGCAACGCATACAGTAACCCGAAAACACGTTGTCAGAGCGCACGTCACCGTGTTGCATGTCAAACCAGCGTTCGCTAGATCCTGTAGAGCAATCAGAAGAAGCAACCCAGCGGTAGAGAATCGATCCGTCAGCATGTCAAGCACAGCACCAAACGCCGACGACTGCCCGAGCAGGCGTGCTGCGTAGCCGTCAGCAGCGTCAAGCAGAAACCCGGTGGTATAGAACGTCAGGAACGTTGCCGGGTGCGGTACGTTCCAGAAGGCGACCAAAGCTAGCCCTATGCGCGCATACCCAATCAAGTTCGGCACGTAAAGCAAAACTGGCCAAGCTGCCTTTCCTGTCATAAAAACTCGAACGAGCGCTCGTCGTCGAAGTCGTCTCGGATAGAGTTGCTGCTCAGGAGTCAAGATGGCAGTCGAGGTCCGCAAGCGACGCGCTCGTCGATCGCTTCGCAACCGAAGCGATGTTTTCTATCGATGGAGATCGATGCATCCTACCCGACTCGTTTGAACGGACGAGTGCTCGGGATAATCACGGGATAGAACGCAGTTCCTCTGCAGGTGCCCGTCGCTCGATCCCTTTCAAGAACGTCTCCAACAAGAGAATGAATCGGGAACTCGTAGGCACGCCTCATGCCCAGCCTGTAGAGGATCCCTGCTGCAATACTGGACGCTTGCCTGGAATCGGAGCTGGAAATCGTGCTTGGAGGCCGCGGGGGTGCGCGAGCGCTGCTTTTCAACGAGGATGAGTCCTCCATTCTTCTAGGAGGGATTGCGGCTCCATGGACTCAGAAACATGTTCACCGTCGAACGAGAGTTCTGCAGCAGCGATGCACGATGCGTCGCCGCGGTCGCCAGACAAGGCCCAGGCCGCCCCGCAGTGCCTCTCTGTGCATGAAACTGAAGTGTAAATGATCCCGCAAACGATTCCCGCTTAACCACGTACCCTGAATTGCTGGGCGAACGCCGGTCTTGAACCGGTCGAGCATGCAAGAGTTGGAGGCGAAAGGCAGCACCTTGCCTGGTTACCTCCAGCTATCACGCATCCAGAGAATTTCGGCGAGAAGCATTGAGTTTCCACAAGAAAGAAACCCAGACGAGGCTCCCAGCTTGCATGCATCGCTTGTCCGGATTTTGGTGATATACCAGCACTCCTGGTGACACCGTGCATCGACCGGACGATACTCGAATGCCACGTCGGTGCTCCGGCTATCAGGGTAGATGCTCATCGTGAAATGTCGACCCAGGGGCATGCATCGATATCTTGGTTTGAGCAGAACCACCTGCCGCGGGCGTATTCCCTCTGCTAACCCCTATCGATGCTCTCGCACTTTTCGTGTGCTCGAATACCAGGTTCCCTAAAATGATACGGAGTGAAGTGAACGATTTCGTGGGTTCCGTCTAACCAAAAGTACCAGCTCAAGGCGCTGGACGCGTCACGTCGACCACGCGCTCGGAGAGCGGGCGTCACGCGGCTGGCGCCTTCCATTTGGCGCCAACTGGCGGTAAACGCTTAGGTGTTCTTGGTGCGCTGGACACCACGCTAGGAGGCTGTCGACGAGTTCAGGTCGTCGAGACGCTTCTGCTTTTGAACACTCTGTCTTGGGCCAGCGACGCACACGGAGCCGACACTTGTGACGTCTCTGTGGGCGTCCGCTGGAAGATCACACAGTACGGTGCAACGGTACCGCTGAGTGTCTACTCCCGCGGACAGAGTGGGTTTCCCCCCATTTCCCTTGCGCGTCACTTGATTCGCTCTCCGGAGGCGTTCGGTTTACTTGCTGGACCTTTGGGGAGCTATGTACACGCAAACCGTTACTCGTTGCGGTTTGGGCGAGTTCTGCTCCGCCGAGCTTGCTGGATGAAAACGAGTCAGAAGCGAACCTACTCACGAGCGCACTCCGTGCCGTAGTTCTTGGAGTACAAGGCCGTTAGGCGCGCTTGCGGAAGACGTTTCGGTGCCTCTGGTTCCACACCTACAGACGCGATAGGTGTGAAACAGATGGCTCAGAAGCGAAAGCTCTGAGTGTCGTCGTCCGCGTCGGTGCCACAGGGCACCCGCTTTGACATAGACCGCCAACGTCAGCCGGTTTTCATTCTCCTCAAGGGGGGCTCAGAACCGGCTCGCAGGTGACTATCTGCAGCTTCGTAGCCAGGAGTAGGACCCTTGTGGGCTCGCGGCCCCTGAGTGTCGTTTCACGACAGTTGTTTCCTGGCGTAGTGTCGTCGCACCTTTTTTTTAGCGAGGCTGCATTGGAGCAGGCGTCTGTGTCTCAAGACATGGGCTGCGCACGTCTTACCAACGTGCTCTCGCTCGCGGATGGTTCATAGATCGAGCACGCTAACTAGACTGCTGCTTCACGTGTATGTCGTATTTATCGTTGTCCTTGAAACGAGGCCAGCAGGCCTTGCAATGCTGCAGCGTCCTCCAATACAGCGTTTTCAGACTTCCCATGCCGGATCACCATTGCCACCAGCGGAAGATGCCTGCGACGCCTCTGCCATCAACGATTCCACCCGGGCTATCCGTCCTCTTGAATGGCTCCCGTTCTCCTCGTTGCCCCAGATATCCATGGATCCGTACGATACGACTTCATCACCTTCGTTGAAGCGGGCTCGCGGGCGCCAAATACCAGGTGCGGCATCCAGCGCTGCTATCAGTGAATCTTCTCTGCAGCCAAATGCGGATGCATACCTCCAGATCGATCAAGTTCCCTTCGTTCGAGCCCCGAGGGGTGTAGAGATGCCCCAAAAGACGTGGTCTATACTGTCTCTTGCGTGCAGATAGCCAAAGTGCCTCCAGTTGAGCGATCACGACCGTGCTTCGTCCTCTGCAGTTAACGAGCATAACTGCCTCGTTCAGAAGCAACGGTTGGCCCATCCGGCGTCACCAAAACAGGTGGCGCGACCCAGACCCAAATCCGCAACCCATAACGTATCGTTGAGGATTATCGACCCAGAACGCTTAGGAGTCTAGCTCGCCGTGCTGCATTGAGAAGAGAAACTACACCAGACGTTTTCGGAGCCAGAATCGGTACCACCGAACACGGCGCCGGTGCTGATGCGGTGCCGTCTGCGGCTCGCCGAGCATCAGCAACACGATCTTCAGACAGTTTTGGTTCCGTGTCCGAGCAGTGCGCTCGATGCGGGCCACATGGAGGCCAGCCGCCAACTCGGGGAGAACGAGAGTTGCCACTATCGCTCAACTGGGAAACGATGCACCTCGTGGATACTACAGGAATGTTCTCGTTAACGGCAGTAGCAGGAGTTGCCACTTGCTTCTGGCTGGTTCCCTAAGACGCCGGCAGCGGTCCCCTGAACACGCAACTCTACCCCAGACCTGGCCTTTGTGCACTGTGATTTAACGTATCTGAACCATGCACGACGTTCAGGATACATGTAAAAAGTGTGTACCATACCTCAGACCTGTCCTTGAAACACTGTCATTCAAGGTTTCTGAACCATGCGCGGCGCTTGGAAAATGCGGAACTAGTCCGCATCATGCCGCAGAAGCGGGACCGGTCAGGTCGACTCGCCTTTGCGACGCTGGGGATATTCGCACGTTCCCGCAAAGAACTGTTCTCTGGCGACTGCATCACAGGGTCGATAACCCTTGTTCGGAGGTATGACGTCACTTGGAAGAGCGAAAACGCGTATCGCGGTGCATGTTCGTTGGATAAGGCGAGCGCCGGACCGCGGAGGGACTCGGATTTCAGGCAACCGGTCAGCGAAGGCTATCGACTGGGCACGCTCCCAGCTCACTGCAACCACGGAAGATTCGTATCGAATTGTTCCGCTACCCATAGCGTATATACATGACACTTTGACTCTCTACCCAATATTATCAACATTAGACTACGCGGGTTGCGTTTGCCACTGCTTCCTGTTCCTCTGTAGTAGTTATCGAGTTCACTGGATCCGTCCCTCCTGTGCCTCTGAATCCGTTGACAGTTATCGAAGGATGTTGATGGCGGCTTTAAACTCCCGATTACGCTGATTCCTGCTATTGTCAACGCGTGACATGTAAAGCCCACGGTTGCGATTTCCGCTTCGCTTGCCATTTTCATCTTCTTTGTATATTTCCCTGGTTCGCTTCTCGCAACGATGGCACTTGGCTTTGGTCGTGGATTCTCATATGTGCATCACACCTCATTCTCCGAATGCCGCCTGATGGCGCGTCACCGCTTCCTTCATCGCTCCATACTTACCCCTGGTGGATATGCAAGTCTCCCTGCGATGTCCTTTTCGCATTCCGCATCCGGTGCCGCAGCCGACGATCACGGACTTTGTCTGAGCGTTTCCCTCGGCGAGTACTACGTCGGCTGCAGGCGCACTGTTCCAGTCAATAGAGAATTTGTCGAACGCGATGTTATTCATGACGAGCTAACCGACTGAACGGATTATCCATGTTGGCGCTGTACTCGAGAAGTATCATTTCGTCAAGGCTTCCTTCGTGCAAAGCGTTGACGAACACTTCGAAAGAAGCGATTGCTTCTATGACTCAAGTCAGCGTCCTAGACCTATCCCATGCAAACAGAGCTGATGAGAGCGTCTGGGAGCTTATCCCCGGAGACGTGTCGCGCTGCTGTAGCGTGCCGTTCCGTCGATTACCGCACAGAGTGAAGAAGCTTTGCCTTCCGACTGGAATCAATTATTTGACGTGACGAGTTCTGCGAACTTTCGACATGTTCTTGTTAACAAGTCATCAGGGGACGACGCTCATCTTTCCTCCTCGTCAATCCAGCGACGCGAATCGCTGTGCACACGACTCGCTTTGCATCTAGAAAAGCGAAAACTTCAAGACTGTTTGATTCGGGTACGCAACTCGTACGGAGCGGACACGTGCGTAGACGTATACTCCTGAATCGGATGACGATATCGATTATTTTACGACACCACGTTCGTTCGCTTCGCGAAGTATCTCGATCCCGATGACATCACGAACTCAAGCGGCAAAAAGTCGAAGAATCCATCCTGAACCCACTACCGAGAATCCTAATGCTTTATTTGATTCCATGAGCCGCAGTTGCTCCATTCCGAATATCGATGCAGAATACGTGAGAAATTTTGGGAAAACTCGAAAGACAGGAAGAGAGCGAGCATTTTAGTGTTCCATTTTGACGCAACGCAGGTCCAGCACACGTTCAGCCTCGAGGCGCGGACCTCTCTCAAGCGCCTTGGTCCAGAGCGACAATTCTTGAACTCGGGATCCTCGCTGCCGGCTGTCCGAACGCTTTCGTGGTCAGCATATGTACCTGGCTTGCCATGCTTTGGTGTCGCTGTTCTTGATCAATGCAGCTGGCGAGACCCGAAGTTCTCGAAAACCGAGCAAATGCAAGCACCTGCTGCATCGCGGCCGCATCGGCCAGTGCCGAGATCAAGCTCAAGAGCAATCACGTTCATTTTCAGAGACTATTCCCTGTTTCACATTGCCATGGCCGGTCCAGTCTCGATTATTTTCGGAGCGACAGGTGGAATTGGGGCTGCTACGGCTCGCTTACTTCATAAGCGAGGCCACCAGCTAGTTCTAGTCGCAAGAAACAAGGAGAAACTGGACCAACTCGCTGGCGAGCTCGGTGGGTCGCGCCCTAGCGACACAGGCGCGCCGACTGTTCACGCTGCGGATATTTTGCAGTCTGCAGCGGTTGAGGAAGCGTTTAAAAAGGCGCTGGATCAGCACGGGACGCTGGACCACGTGACGCACTGCGTAGGTTCTATCGTTTTGAAGCCCATAACCTCAGTCTCCGACGAGCTGTTGCAGGAAACGCTACAGCTGAATACTGCTTCCGCCTTTTACGTCCTGCGAGCGGCCTGTAAACAACTCCCGCGCCTCCGCCAGTCCACGGGAGACGGTCCGGTGAACAAGAGTGTTACTCTCTGTACAAGTGCTGTGAGCATGCACGGGCTACCGAACCATGAAGCGATCGCAGCAGCAAAGGCCGGGGTGATAGGCATGGCCCGTAGTGCAGCCGCGTCGTTCGCACCGCGTGGACTCCGCGTCAACTGTGTAGCACCGGGTATGACGGAGACGCCACTTGCATCGTTTATCACGGAGCGACCAGCATCGAGAAAAGCAAGCGAAGTGCTTCATCCGCTAGGTAGAATCGGACGTCCCGAAGAGGTGGCGAGCGCCATTGTCCTGCTCATAGAGAATCCGTTCATCACGGGGCAGGTCTTGGCGGTAGACGGTGGTCTAAGCACCTTGGTATCTCAGCAAAGTGCCCGATAGCTGCGGCAATGAGCATCCGAAGGAAGCTGAAGCGTGCGCGGTTCATGGTGGCGGCTCGGAGACGACACACCAGGAATACACGTGCGCACGCACGCGAATACCTCTCGGTGAGCGCTCTGCCCTGCGTTACCCGTTCTCGGATCGATGCCGGATAAAGGACAACGTAGCGCAAATACTGTACAAATCGCTTGCTACTCAGCTGGCTCTATATCTGAGACAAGGCCTTCAGAGCGCAGCAGGTCGCAGTACGCCTCCGCGAGTTCGAAGACCCAGACACCGACGAGTGCCATGCCCGTCGTGTGTGCTTTTTGCATAATGGACTGTGCATCCAGCTTGGAAAGACCCGGAATGCACTTGAGGAGCACCTCAACGACACGTTCCCTCGTGTTCTTCTCGTCATTAAACAGCAGTAGCTTGTACTTCTTGCCGGGGTCCACACCCTTGGTTGCCGTTGTCTTTTCCCGCACAGCCTCCCGTTCCAGTGTCGTAGCGCCGCCTCCAGTTGGGCTAAATGACGGTTTCCTGGAGCGTCCACGGGGCATGTTCGTAGGCATACGCCGCACGCCGCTTTCAGGACGCGTCCAGCCGCTCCATTCGGTCCGAATCGGCAGCGCAGCTCCGTTCGCGCGTCGTTGCACCACAACAGGTGTCGGTCGCCGGGTTAGCGTTTCTCTGCGCAGAAGCGGTGCGTTTCGTGGTTGCCAATTCAAAGAATATGGATGAAATGTAGACACGAAGAAAACACAGCTTACCATAGTGCCCTTGGACGCGGTTACCTGAAACACCCTCACTGCTGTTCGACGGGTATCGTTCGCGCAGGAAGCACGCCGAATGGATCGCTCGCAGGCAGGTCATCGGAGCTGGAGCCTCATGGGTTGTTCTATGTTGTATATTTATGGACGATATTGGCCGAGCGACACGGGGACACCCTCTCGACCGCAACGCTGCCGGCTGCCTAGACGCTTCGATTGTAGGTTTGTTACCTGCGCTCATGGGCGTATCGCCTGAGGCGTAGGTTGATTGGAGAGCGAAACGCAGCAAAAGGCAGCATTGGGTTGAGACGTAAGACGGCGCCCCGGTGAGCATGGGGTTTTCCATGAGGTGCGTCTGTAGAGGGGTCCGTTTTCTGAACGAGTCCTAGCGCGTTCGTGCATGAGCTAAGCACCCAGGTGAAAACTCAGCGGAACGGGCACGCCAGCTCGGGCGCGTGAACGAAAGTTTGAGTCTGTTCCCGGTTTTATCAATGCCAGCCTTTGCAGACTTTTTCCAACTGTTCCCTTTGAGGGTATCTTTTTTCAGGTTTTAAATGCCCCAGTCTCTCCTGTGCTTCCAGCTCTTTTTTCAGCAGTCGCAAGATGTTCGTGGCAGCGCTAAACTCCTGATCACGCTGTTTTCGAATGTTTTTCATGTTTTCCATGCACAGGCGAATGCTGCGATCGACGCCTCGCCAGCCGTTTTTCGCTTGTTTGTATAGAGCCCGGATGCGCCTTTCGTAGCAGTGCCACTCGTCGGTAGTCAGGCATTCGAGTGTATTCTCCATTTGTCGTCCTCAGATTGGCGCCCTGCGGTGCGTGACCGCTCGCTGCATCGCCCGGCACAGGCCCGTGACGGATCCAGAAGGCTCCCCGCGACGTCCTGGAAGGTTTCCGCGCCAGCCAGTTGCCGGACCCAACGATCATGGACTTGTTTAGGGCGATGCCCGTGGCGAACTCAATATCCGTAGGACGACCAAGCACACGCTGTCCCATTCGAAAGAGGATTTGTGGAACGCAAGCTTGTCCATGATGAAACGAGCGCCGGTATGGTAATCCATGCTGGAGATCAAGTCGAGAAAATTCGATTCGTCTACGCTCCGCCCATGCGAAGTCGTGACGCACGCTGCACCCGAAGAGATCACCGCTGTGACTAGAGTCCGCGCCCCAGACCTTTTCCACGCAAATACAAGAGAAGACAGCCACTGCGTGCGTATCTCCCGGGATTTGTCGAACTGAAGTCGACCGTGGTTCCATCGATAGCAACCAAGTGAGAAGGCATTGTCTTTCAAATGGAATCGAGTATTTGACTTGACAAGTTCAGTGAAATTTCTGCGTGAGCTTGCCGACGAGTCGTCACAGGAGGACGCCAAAAAGTTATTCAGACATGGTATGTGGTCAGTGGAACAAAAATTGTCGCACGATTATGTAGGGTAGATGCGTATCCACGTGCAGACGCCACCCAGTCGTTTTCGATCAGCTGCTTGTTGTCGGTTTCAGTTTCTCGTTGCAAACTTCGATCCTAATAGGTCGCCTCATAAAGTTGGATCGTTACAGCTCTGCGGGTTTCGTCTTCAGCTCTGCATATCGTCGGATATTGATGGCAGCGTTGAGGTCTCGTATCACGAACTCCATGCGTTTATCGTCGCTGCGTGAACCCACCAATGCAAGGATTCCTAGAACTCGTTCACTCTGTGTCATTTGGTTCTGTGTCAGCTCTCGGTGCTTTTCTATCACCGAAGCGCTCCGCTGGCTCTTCTCCATCTCTTTGTTCTGAAGTGTGCATCCAAACTCATACCATCGATTTTTTATTTCCTGAAAATGAATGCACTATTTTATGCGTTTAGGTGAGGACCTTCCCCAAAGGTGAAGGACCTGCGGAAGGACCACGAAATGTGCCCGGGTGTGTCACAGTGTGCTGGATGCTTCGGCGACTCGCCCGGTGGACCGATGATTACGTTTCACAGTAGAAAGCACTCTTTCGTTGCGGTTGAATTAAAGAGCGTACGGAGGAATGAAAATCAGCTCTATTCCGATAGAATTCCCAAAAGCTCGAACGCAAGGCGGATTGTCAAATGCCACGTTGACCAATAAAGTCGCCGTACGTCAGCGAAGAGTCTTCTATTATTCGACAAGGCGGTTGGTGCTGTTGGATGTTTCTGCTCCACGAGCAAGACAGAGGTCGCTCAATGAACCCATTAAAACTAGAACAGATGGCGCCATCGTTCGCTTCCAGTTCGATCGTACATACAACGATCTGCCTCGATGCGAATACCCATACAAGCTCCGACTGGTTCGTCCGAAGCAGATCGAACCGACTGAAAGAATAAAGCGTTGTCCATTTGCTTCATACCGATCGCAAAGCTCCGGGAACTCTTCTGCAGTTGCGAATTCTGTGGCGAATGGCCGTGCATGACCTGGGACTGTTTTACAAGTGTTTCCAGGTGTTCTCAGGACCACACGAACAAGCTATTGGGAAGCAGAGACGCCAGTGGTGGTGTACACTATCGTTGATTTTTGCTTTCCGTAAGGTAATCAACGGGTCGTTTTCCTACCATGGACCGCGAGCGGTCCGTAAGCGTATCGGTTTTGGCGTTGACCGCATCTTATTCTTTCTTGCCGAGTCTTTCAACAATTTGAGTACTGTTACATGACTGACCTGAGATAGAAATGCAATCCCCTTGCACTGTCCAGTAAAGAATGGATCCTATAGGCAATTCTTCTACCGTCTGTATGGTACATGGCATCTTGATCTTGATCTGCTGCTATACAGTGCGAGAAAGCATGCGACTGCAGTCAGTGTGGATAGGATCGAGTTGAGTTGAAAAATAAAGATCGAACATTTGAACAATGCATGATTTTACCATCTCACACGTCAGAAAAGGAGAATAGTGGAGGCGTGTCCGGATGAATGAAAGAAAGCTATCGGTTCGTTTACGAATCCTTGTTCGGAGGCATTGCGAATCATTTTCATTTCGGTGACGCAACAAGCTCTAGCAGCAAGGCAACTTCGAAAGGACGGTCGAGGCTCCTAAAACAATTGAGGCATTCGTTAGCCCCTACTGTTCCACTTTGGATATCGAGACTGCACATCGAAGAAAGTGTTCCAAAAAATATCTCAAGCTGGGAAGCGCGCGAACTGTTCACAGTTGCTTGGTATCCTGGCCTGCGTGTGGCAACCGCGCCTTGCACTGAGCGTGCCACCGGATCCACCGCGGAGCTTGACGTGTTTAGTTCGGCATCCAGACACCCGCTTGACCTATTGAGCGTGCCTTTTTCAAAGCGACACCCCTCGAGGCGTCGTGGTACGCACGAGCATCAAACGGCTCTTGGCGCAGTTCGTGTACGCATCATCGGCTACGCCAGCGTAATCCGGCGGGTCTCGTACGCGTCATCGACCCTGCACCAATGACAAGATAGCAAGAGCGGCTGGGAGGCAGTCGACCTGGGGCGATCCAGCCAGCCAAGGCGCCGGGCAGGCACCAGCGGTATACGCGCCCTCTGGAACCCGCCAGCGATCGAAGCGCGAGCCGGCGCGCGTACGCCTGCACGCACTTGTCGACGACGACCTTGCGCTGAGCGTTCGTCGCCTTGCTCGCGCGCGAGAACGTTTTTTATAGGCACCTTTCAGACACGATGGCAACAGAAAACAAGACAAATACGTCAGAGTTGCAGGAGCCGGTTGAGGATCTCACTGAGTACGTCCAAAAGCTCTTGGAACAGATGCAGTCACGGTTTGAGAGCATGAGTTCCACGATCTTATCGCGAATCGAAGACATGTCGAGCCGCATTGATGAACTGGAAAAGAGCATCACTGACCTAATGGAACAAATCGGCGTGCAACCTGAGGAGGAGGGGCAAGCGGAGCAAGCAGTAGCGACAACTTCAGAAGCGGGAGCCAAGTGAGCGCCTGAACAGGAGCGGCGGGTGGCCAGTCGGCGACCCGCCGCTGTACTCGCTCTCTGCACAAGTCGACTTGGTCGAATACGAGATGGCGCGCGCTTTGCCTGATGAGGAGCAAGCTTTGATGCGCTTCTGATCTATGCAGCGGGATACAATAAGTTCGCGCCGCCAAACCAGCCGTAACCTGTGCCGCCATCAGCTGCACCCTGACTTTCGTTTTTTGTGAGCGATGCTGGCGCAACCGCTGCAATACCCCTAAAGACTGCTCGGCACGAACCGGGCGACTGCACCTGCTTCGCATCCTCTGTCCATCATGGATCATCTTCCATGCCTGTTGGCTGTTGACGCTGGATGGAGGCTGTTGCATCGACTCATTGGCGACGCTGCGTCAGACATCGTGTTGAAACAGGGGCGCGCGCTGGTGCCGTCGCCTCTGCGTGGATTTGATTCATGGTACGGCTTGCGTAAACCCTTGATGTTGTACGCCAGTGAGCTGAGGTGGGTTTTGATGTCCACGGATAGTCCTCGATATTCGCAAATTGCATCCAGGCGAGATGATGTGTTCATCTGCGCGAGCGGATCGTTTACGGAGTGTGCGGTGCGCATCGCCGCAGAGTACGCTGCTGGACAACGACATGCGCCGCCATCGTCCGCAGAGACTTTCCAACGTCCACACTGGTCCTCGTCGGTGGCGCTCTCGTCATGGGCGGAGCGTTGCTGCGCAACCGATGACAGGGCACCCAAATCTCGATATCTGCGAAGCTGCAAATCGATACCATAGCTACGGATTTACGACTCGCAGAGGTCCCGTAGGAACCTGTCCAACGGATCCTCTGAACGACGCTCACATATGGCTGCGTTTTTCGAAAAAGGCACTACCCCCTGTTGCCTGAATCGCAGCCGCAATGCGTTGTAGACTGAGTACGTAGGCCGCATCGCGGAACGTGAGCGCGCCCAGTGCCCCGTCAGTCTCCGCCGATGCAGTCCCCGTCGGCGATGCGCGAATCCTTTGAAGCAGTTCGAACAAAGCCCGGTACGCATGGACCATTTTGGCCTGTAAACGCTCGTGGACCTGTTCAGCGCTCCACCATTGGCCGGTGCGGCTCTGGACCCACTCATAGTAGGAAACAATCACACCGCCCGAGTTCGCAAGGATATCCGGGATCACGTCCACGTTCCGCGAGGCGAGAGCTCTGTCCGCCTCCGGAGACACCGGACCATTGGCAAGTTCAACGATCAACCGCGCTTTAATCTGGCCAACATTTTCTGAATGAATCACGTTCTCTATTGCCGCCGGTACCAGGAGGTCCACAGAAAGCAGCAGCAATGCCGTGGGTTCCAGGCTAGTGGCTCCGTGTCCAACGCGCTCGGCGTCCAGTGCACCGGTCTCGGCTTTCACCTCAACACAACGATCGACGTCGACGCCCTCACGACAGAAGACGCCCGTCCGACTATCGCACACTGCGACCACGCGGTACTTGCGATCGTGGGCTAGCAAGCGAGCGATGTGCTGGCCAGCGTTCCCGAAACCGTGGATCGCTACCGTTATCGGCCCGTTAGCGCCTGAGAGCAGCTCACGATGTGTGCTCGTTTCCATCTCCTTGATGAGGTAGTAGGCACCACGAGCGGTGGCATCGTCGCGTCCTGGAGACCCACCCTGGGCAACCGCCTTGCCGGTTATCACGGCTGGCTGTCGGATTCCGCCATGCGTATGTTCGTACTCTTCCATGATCCATCCCATGATGCGTGTGTTCGTGTAGACATCCGGTGCAGGGATATCCCGATCGGGGCCAATTACCAGACTAATACTACGCCCATATGAGCGGCTGAGGCGCTCCAGTTCGCTCGGAGAGAGCTGACGGGGGTTACAGGCCACGCCGCCTTTGGCACCACCAAACGGGATATCTGCAACCGCACACTTAAAGGTCATCCAAAAGGCCAGCGCGCTCACTTCATCGAGACAAACGGACGGATGGAAACGAATGCCTCCCTTAGTCGGACCTCGTGCATCGTTCCAACGGACGCGGTACCCGCGAAATACTTCGAGCTTCCCCGAGTCCATACGCACCGGCACTGCGGTAATGAGGCTTTCCTTTGGACTCGAGAGCACCTTGAGGACTTCGGGATCAACGTGAGCTATTTTCCCTGCTCTGTGGAGGTTGCCAAGCGCATCCTTCAGTCTCGAGTCTTGTTCGGCTTCCATGAAGTGTTCCCGACGTTTGGGAACACCAATAGGTGGCCTTCAGTGGTGACGGTGGATGGTCTCGGCTGATGCGGAGGTCCAGGTTTTGCCTCTCGTGGTCGTTGTCACAAGGGAAACGGTATCAAATAGATTATTTAGTTTTATTATTACACAAAAAGGACTGATGGACGGCGCGAGACCTATTGCGTGCCTCGGCCGCGGACTTCGACTTGCCATGCTCAGAGCTGTAGACTGGGAGTGTGCTTCCCTGGGTGGCAAACCGGGAGCCGCTGCACGTTCCAAATATAGCCCGGCTGATGTCTTTTCGATCGGAGAGACGAATTTTTCTCTGCTTCGACTTTTTATGAACTGGGTGCGTCACTAAGCGCTGGGACCCGTGGCACTGCGAGATAGGAAGCGGTGCGCGAGGAGCCGCACCAGGTCCCCCGAGAGCAAGCGTTCGTCTGCGAGGCAGTCGTAGTGACTTGGGAGACCATAGCGCAACCTTTGGTAGAGACGTACGCGCGGGGATCGAAGCTGTTTGTAAACTGCAGTTGCCTGCGAGGAAAGACGCGTACAGAGCGCTGAATGCTTTGACTTGACTCTTATCGTCAACTGGTTGTCGTTTCTCGGAAGCTCGGTACCTATGGACTCCAGCGCTCAGGTGCCTTTCCTGCACTTGAAGATTTATCGATAACTTGCAGTGTCAATTGCGTAGTGCGCCAAGTTAGACCAGCTGGCACCCGTCTTCGGGGTACTCAAGTGCTCTGCTGCCGCGTTGGCGCTGTTCGCATGACGCTGGGCAGAGCACCAGCTGCCGTGGCAGGTACTGACACGACGCTCACAGGCGCACCTGGAACAGCTGCGCACGAGCTCTAGTCTGCGTAGCAATTAAGCGTTGCGCGATGTTCGTTGCACCTCGAAAGCAGCTCGCAAAGGCGTCCCGACGACGTCTCACAGAACGGCCGCGTTGCGTTGACGGCGCACCGTCGTTGGGCCTGGAGCCCAGCGCCGCCCCTGTTTTGAACAAGCTGTTGGACCTTGTGATCACTGGAGAAACAATGCCTTCAAAGACCCGATTTTCTGTTTCGCTGCTCTCATAAATCCTGGCTCAGCGAATAAAGTAGAGCTTGGATTGAGCAAGTAGCGTGCGTGCAGCGTGCAAGTGTGCGGTGTTTTGCGACTCTGATTTTGAGCCGCGATACCAGTAGACCAGATGAACACTGACGCACATATCTGGTACATAACGGATCGAGTATGTTGCTGGAGCTCTAATGATGGACGTGGATGCGTTGTCGAAGCCTTAGCGTTCCGGGTCGAAACGTTGAAGTACTGAGCTGCAGTCAGATTCGTACATGCTTGGAGCGGTATCTGGGACGCGCGATCGCTCGTGCGAACGCTGCTCTCAGAGAAGCCTTGAATGCACCCTGGATGCAAGTCAACGCATGCTTGTGGACCATGAGGGCACGTTTATGGAAGAGCACTTGTTGCCGCTCTGAGAGCAGCAGAAGGAACACTACATGCGACATGGGAGAGTCAGAGCAACGGATGCCGCTGCCCGCGCGATTCCATCTCGCCGATGCGCTCTAGAGTCGGTTTGCTGCATCGTTGCTTCTTGGCAGCGAACTGCTAATGCATTCGGTAGAGCAATGATTTCTGACGGCAGAGGCCCTTTATGCTTACAGCTTTCAGTATTGGGCGTTTAGTCAGAAACGATATTTGTTAAAAGGTTGGAATGCATGTGCTCAGGACACTGCTTCAAAGACAAATACGGAGAAATACGCAGCGCCCTCGAGCGCCGCTGGACTTGGTCGAAATTTTTGACCTTGGAAGCGTCGGTAAAAGCTACGCATCTCCTCACAATACTGTAATGGGCGATGAAATTCTTCCCAAAAATCCTTCAAGTTCAAGGCCTCGCGGTACTCGAGACCTACGCGTGATGCGACTCGAATCAGTTCTCCAAAGTTCACAAGATAGCACTTTCGAGACGAGGCTTTTGTTCTTGTGCCCACGCCCAGCGTAAACACGTGTCCGTATGCGGAGCGAAAGAGTGCATTCGCATCCGGATCCATGGCGATACAGAAGCTCGCGTCGCTTGCCCGGTACGGTAGCCGAATATCGACGCTGGGTGCAGGAGCAGCCCGCCCAGTCTGTCGTGCCTCGTAAGCTTTCCGCAGTGGTGTCCATAGGCTTGCGCTGTCCACACAGAGACCAAAGAACTTTCCACCTGAGCACAGCAGGCGGGCGACTGTTCGTAGCACGGACTCGCAGGAGGCCTCGTCGGCGAAAGCGCTGTCTAAGGCGCCGAAAGTGACACAGCCATCGACTCTGCGTTCAGCGAGGTTTTCAACGCCGGCATCACTCGTGACCAAGTGCGGTCTATTATTTCGGGAGAGGTCGTCTCGGAACTGCTCGATGATGCTCGCGTGTTGAAAACCAGTTTCTCCAGGCGTACCGAGGAGCCCGAACGCTCGCGAATCGAGACAGCATAGCGTGTCGTCAGGAGGGACAAGCGCCACCGTAAGAGCTTCCACTGCCCATAAGGCCAAGTCTTCTAACTCACCCACGCTGTTCTGGTCTTTCGTTGAGCTCATGAAACCGAGCACGGCCAGGCAGGTAGCATTGGTGTCGTTCGCAAGCGCGAAATCTCGCTCGAGCAAGCGCGACAAGCGGATCCCGAAGAGCTATACATCAGAACAGATTTATTCACATGCACTATGTGGTCACTGAAACAAAAGTTTTCGCACGATCATGTAGGGTATATGAATACCCACCCGCAGACGTCACCCAACCATTTTTTGACCGGCCGCCTGCTATCGGCTCCAGCTTCTCCTTACACATTTTGAGTATCAGAGGCTGCTCCACGAAGTTGGCTCGCGTCAGCTCTTGGGGTTTCGTGTTCAGCACCGAAAATCGTCTGGTATTGATAGCAGTGTTCAAGTCGCGGTTCACGAGCTCACTGCGTGCATTGAGGATGCTTGAAGTCATCCTTGTAAGGATTCCTAGCACTCGTTCCCTCTGTGCCACCATAGTCTCGTCATCGTTCCGTCGTGCGTACACGTTGAATCGCCTACCAACACGAATCATCATCTTTTTCTTCTTTGTCACTTGCTCTTCTTCGCTCTAAACTCGATGACAAGAGGATATTTTTCGTTTTTTCTGGCACCTGGCGAGGACGATCCTTCGGGGTCCCCGACTTGGTCCGTGCATTCCCCTGGGATGTTTTATTCCTTCCACGGAACGCGCTTTGAATGTCTCTGCAATAAACCGCGAAATAGCATTTGACGACACGTGCGTGATGATGGAACCCAATTGAGATGAAATACTGCAAGCGTGTATCCGTACGAGATGCCGCGCGCGTCGTCGTCGTCGTCGTCGCCGCATCACAAACAGATCCCCATGACATAAAGCTACCCAAAGCAGTCTATCAACGGAAACACGGATTTCCATGTAACGTGACAACTTATCACGTTCGCTTTTCCTGAGGTTTTTTTGCGTGTAAAACGTGCTCACACTACAGCTACGCCAAATATTCAGGTAAACCGCTGCGAGCCGAGGAGCGTGCTGTGCGTGCTTTTCATTCATAGTCTCCAGAAGCTCCCGAGCGCAGAGCAGGTGGCGCTGGGGACAAGAAAAAGCGCTTCTTTGCCTAGTTGAAGCGAAAACGTACAATGCGAAGCAAGACCAGCAGCTACTCAGGCTTTAAACCTCAGCTGCTACTTACGGTGTATTTGGTTGCTGCGTTTACGTGTGCAGCGCTCCCTGCGCTATGGCTGCTGAGAAGGCCGCTTGGAACTGACATTGTTGAGGAGCCGCCTGAACGGTTGCCGGTCAGTCGCCTCTTTGCAGTTGTGGTACCGTTGGGCAGTTCCGCTGACCTGGTCACGTTGCGGGCCAACTTTCGCTATTGGCGACCGAACACAGGCGCGAGTGGTGCTGCGCCTTGCTTGTTCTCAAAGGACTCGGAACGCAGCGGCAAAGCAAACCTGGAAGACCGACCGGACTTGGTTGTGCTCACGAGTCGGGCATTGAACGTTACGGATCGTACACGAATAGTCAATGAATTTGAAAGAAACGCTTATTGTCGGAACTGCTTCCGGTCGATACGCTTTCTTGACTGCGGCCTCAAACCAGAGCACGATGTGTACAACATGACCAAATCTGGTACGATTTCCAGCAGATTTAACGGGCCGCTGTTGACATTTGTCTGCAGTATCGGTCACAACCAAATCTGGAACAATTACCATGCGATCTTTCTGATGGAGCTGGATGCAGTGCCTATCCAAAACAACTGGCTCTCTGAGGTTGAAATCGAAGCTCGTAACCTGGCCCGAGAGCAACTGCTCGCTGTTCAGAGCGGCTGCTCGCTGACCGAAGACAAATCCCGCGGCAGCTGGCGAAACGGATCACCAGCCTTGTATCGTGTCGGATTCGACGCACAGCGTTTCTTTTTACAGTGCTTCAAACATTTTTGGTGCATCCCCACGTTAGAGGAGTCTTGCGGGTTTCCATGGGATTCGTATATCCACTCGTGCAGGCTACAAACACCGGAGTCCATGTCTCTATTCGGCGTTTCCTGTCGCTTCATCCACGTGGGTAGCCTCTGGCACATGAGACGCGCCTCTAAGAGCATCTGGACGACCGCTTCGTCTGAGGCGCTTCGCAGCGCCGTATTCATCCACTCGGGAAGGGTCATTCGTGAGATCGACGAGACGGTCACTGCGCTGGAGCAGAAAATTCGCGAAGCCGATGCTTCAGGGGTTCCAAGTGAAGAGAACTAACGTCTCGTGACAGCGTTCAAGGTCTGCATGCTATGCCGAATTGCAGCGGTTCACTTTTCCGATGCCTGAACGGATTCGTGTTGCAGCGCCAAGCAAATGCAAGGGTTTTCAAGGTCTACGTGGCCTGCCGTACCGCGCTTCATCGAATGGGGATAGCGTGTTCCCAGCGAAGCGCATTGTGACGGGCATCACTGAATGCATTCATGATGGCGTGTCTGCACTGGAACCAGAGATATATTCTCTAGATGATTCGCTGCACTGCGTCATTGTCACTAACGTTGGATAAACATCATCGATATGCAAAGTGCCATCGTGGTAAGCGGTTTTGGTCGGTAACCGAGGGAGCAACCAACGCATTCGACCTTGTATGAGCACGTGTTCTGACCGCTTTTTCACTTGGGGCGCCATTTCCCGTGGCGAGCGCGCCGCGGAACCGCGCACTTCACCCTCTTGTCCATGCGGTCGCTGTCAAGCGAGCTTTACGGTGTCAAAGGCACCGCCCTCCATCGTCACTGCTTTATTTTAGTGTGTACTGGATCAGTGCATCGGACCAGATTCCGACGGATGCGCAAAAGCTTCCAGTTTGTTGAGTATGGAGCGCCCCGCACATGGTGATGCGTCCTCGTTCCTCCATCCCCAGTCCAGAATCCAGGCATGATGTAGAGGCTGGATCAGGCTTCCCGGTAGGTGTCTCGCGAAATCTGATCGCTTGCGAAAGCGCGGGAGACGCTACCACGAACGTCGTACGGTAACAGTGCAGTCTGGGGCGATCGTACGGCCGTTCGCGTCGAGCATATGCACGGTGATATCGAGTAATTGAACATTGCTAATGTTCACTAGTTGCCAAGGAAAATCGTTGCGGATGTATATAGTGATCAATCGTGCTCGATCGCTGACCGTCCAATACCAGTGCCTCGCTCCCGAAAGAATCCATTCCCCTCTCTCCTGGTTACTGATTTTCTTCATCGCATGCCTTCCGCGTTTCAGCAAAATGCCCACACTGATCACCAAACGATACCCTCGAAGGCTTGCTCGACATATGGCCGCTGGATGCTTCGGACGCAAAAGATATCCCCGGATGATGGTCGAGGCGTTTTGGGTCTCGGTGTAGAACGTGCTTGTGTGCAGGTTTGCTGGTAGCGTCACCTCACAGCAAGCCTTGGACCTGGGATCGCCCCGTCAGCTGGCGTCCGCTCAGCTTAGTGAGCACCATCTCGTGCATTCGGATCCGTTTCACGCTCTCCATCTGTACCTGATTCAACATGCACCCGCGCCCGTGATGCAATGGTGTCGTCCTGAACTCATGGAAGGAAATCTGAAAGCGCCGATTCCTGCACTCCATGTACGCTGTCGTCAAAGGAATCGGAGTGCAGCGCTCGCGCGTTACTGCACGTCCAGTGCCATTGACTACAGCATGACAACTCGAGATATCGACCATTTGCTTTTTTGCAAGTTATCGCACAAGTTGGCGAATGCCTGACTCTTGCCTCCATACAACCGAAACTGCAAGCGAATCGAACAGAGTCTCATGTGCTGTCTGGAGCGTTTAAAGCATCTCCTTCGACGCACTGAGTGGAACTTGTTCCAGAACTCTGTTTCTCCTACATATATCTCCACGATTCCTGAGCATCAATCTCTTTAGCGGCTCCCAAGGGCGATGTTCACGGACCGAGGCGCGCATTTTCGCTCCCTCCCGCAAACAAGCATAGCTGAGAGACACCAGCTCAGGAATGGTTCAGGAAGAGAATGACTTTCCGAAGAGCAATTCGTCGGATGACAGTGTCATGGATGCGGACGACTCGTCGATGGATCCGTGAGCTTCAAAAACGGTGTTTGGCAACAGAGATGTCGCCTTCGACTGGCTTGAATCGGAAAAAAAGGGTCTCACCAGGAGCAGCTCGAGAGCAGTTTTTGTCACGTACTCCTTGACAGCTCATTCGTGATGGAAATCGACGTCGTCATAGAGCAGAATAGAAGAATGTCGCAAACAGAAGCCACACATTGCTTTTACGTTGCCTGCGATGCGAAGCGCTCCGGTATGTTTGGCGATTTGTAGGCGATCACCCGTGCAAATAGCCGTACTGGCTAATGCAGCGGTCTTGCTCACCTGTCGCTTCTTCGAGAACAGCGGTTTGCCCATTCGTGATTGCCCATATATGGTCAGGAAAACGATAAACGTTCTATGACAATGGAGGCAAAATGAGTACCCGCGCGCAGACGCCTCCCAGTGTGTTTCCACCCGCATCCTGGTATCGGGGTCAGTGTTATCCAGGCACACATGGATCCTGAGACGCTGCCTCGCAATTTTGGATCGCATCAGCTCGTCGGCTCTCGCGTTCAGCGCCGCAAATCGTCTGCTATTGATAGCAGCGTTTCCGTCGCGGCTCACGAACTCTTTGCGTTTCTTCGCTCCTGTTGAAGTCACCTTTGCATGGATTCCTGGTTCTCGTTCCCTATGTGCCTCTAGAGTCTGGTCATCGTCCGGTCGAGAGATCACCGTTTTGGCGACTATCTCCCTTTTGCTTCCGCTTCTTCGTCACTTGTTCCTCTTCGCTCGATGGTCGGCGACTAGGGGATTTTTCGTTCGCTGGTATAACGCGGTGATGAGGGCCCTTCTGGATCCCCGAATTTCAGTCTATAATTTTCCTTGGATTCTCTCTGTTTCTTCAAATGAATGCATTTCGAACAAATCTTCTATAAACCGCAAAAAAGCATATGATGAGACGCACCAGGATATGGAGTACCATTGACATGAAGGAACATAGAGCGCGCTTTCGTTGCTTCCCCGGTGGCCGAGCGCACGCGAGCGTATCCAACGAAAACGCGGCCGCTGGACCTGTGCGGGGTGCGGCACCCATCACATCCTCTACAAATGGGATCTAATAGACCTTAATATTGGTACAATTAGTACAAGTGGGTATCTGTATCCGCATTCGTGTAGTCGTCGCTGTTTTCTCTTCGAAAGCCGCCTATTTAGACCTCATTTCGCTTCAAAGCTAGCAGCACGAATATGCAGCGGATAAAAAACCATGATTCGCAGTACGGTACAAAACTATGGTAGCGAGAGAGCGCTCCATAAAGGCTGGTTGCCAGCGTGGCCTGACAGAGAATATCAGCAGCGCCGCGCAAGACGGACTGTGGGGCGTCGACGACTCCGCCTGCTGGGGCTCGCTGCGCTTATCGCTCTTGTCTGCTGCGCGTTCTTTTTGGTCCGCTTCGTTCCTACTTTTAACTATGCTCTTTTTAGGAGAAAGGTGTCCACAAACGGTGATGCTTTGCGGGCGGTTTGGCTCGGAGACAGCGATACCTTGCCACGAGGTCCACAACGAGAATACTTTCGGTGCGTGCGCTCGCTTGCTCGCCTCATGTACCTATGTCGCTTAATTGATAACCCGCATCAGCTTGCGGGCACGGATCCACCGCTGACACTTCCCGCATGTGAAGAGCTCGAAAACGCGCTTTATGAGAGGTGTGCGGAGGCGCGACAGGCGCCCTCTCGAACGGTGCCGTCGCAAACAGCGCTGGCGCTGCGCACGCTTCCCTATTTTGTCGCTGCAAGTGCACCGGCTCTGGATACGTTGAAGCTAGAAAATGTGCTGGGTCCGCAGAAGATCCAGCGATCACATCGGGCACTCACTGAAATCAACGTTTCGCTTGTGACCCATGCATCCCTCTCCAAGTTGTCTGAGTTGCGCCGGCTCACTGAGCACTGGCCAGCACCGATATCTTGCGCTCTGGTGCTCCCCGACGTCAGCCAATCTCACCAGGTTCTGGACATGTATCCCAAGGGACGATCTGATCGCGTAGATATTCATCTGCTGCTCGCCGACGACTACGAACGTCCGACGTACTACCCGTTCAACGCTGCGCGAAACCTAGCGCTCGATAACGCCCGCACTGACTGGGTGTTCCTGGTGGATGTCGATTTTGTGCCGAGCCCGAACCTCGTGGAGAGCGTTCAGAGGACGCTTCGACGATTCCCGGAGCTTCGCGAAGAGATGCAACAACGTCGGGCCGTGCTGATTGTACCCGCCTTTGAGAAGCTTCAGGCTCGGGAAGAGCATCAGACATCGTTGCCGGCGACACGCGCGGAACTTGTTGCGGAGACTCGCGCCGGTCGTATTGTGCCCTTCCACGTATCCTGGTACTGGCCGGGACACGGTCCAACGGATTACATTCGCTGGCTTGCTGACGCTAACGAAACATCCGAACACGAGCCGCACAAGCCGTACCGCGTGCGCTATCGCGACGGCTACGAACCGTACATCGTGGCCTATCGACATGGTCTACCGCGATACGAGGATTCCTTCGTTGGTTACGGTTGGAACAAGCAGAGCTTCATTAAGGAGCTCCATTATGCGGGCTACCGAATGTATGTTCTCCGAGACGGATTCATCATTCACATGAACCACGAATACGCGAGCTGGAGAAACCAGCAGAAACACGAGAATCTCCGAGCTTTGAAGTCGGCTAGAGCGTACCACGAACAGCTGCTTCGAACGCGGTACGGTAAGAGCGTTTCTTTTGAAGAGCGCTCCACCAGCTGATAACGGCGTGCGTGGTTGTGAGCAGTGTATGATTCCGGGGCCGACGATGATGATGCAGAAGCGAAGCAGCGTCGCTTGTTCGTCGAGCGCGAAGCTGCATACGGAGGCGCGCAGACACACAGCGCGATGGCGGATGCTTGTCGTCAGGGCTCTCCGATGAGACGCACTCCTTCGCAGCGCTCAAACGACGCATTGGAATAACTACCGGACATCTTTTGGATGCTACTGGGCCGACGAATGGAACCAGAGGCTCTCGCATGCGCAACCAGAAAGCGCATATAACCGAGGGCGATGCGGCGTGCCTCTGCTGACGCTTTTCGTTGGACGAGATACGGACCGGGGGATCCAGTTCGACATCGAGTACCGATCGATGATCCAGCGATCATGTGAGAGACATATTCTGAACGGTCCCTGAACCTGAGGTGAGAATATTCCAAGAAGAAGCATCGCTGAAAAGTGCACGTGCAAGTGTGTGTGTGTGTGACGGTGTGTGCACGACGGACTTGCCGAAACGACGTTGACGACGAGGCATTACAAACATTCACTCTCGAGCTTGGAATAGCAGTACCCCAATCGTGGCCGTTCAAGAAGCGTTACGAAAGGCTCGAGCACTGTGGTACCAACATGTACGTCGGACATGTTCTCCATGAGGTGAGCATAACCATGGAACGCGCTTCGGCAAAAGGTAAAAGCGCCTCACATGAACCCAGTCAGAGCGGGCATGGACACAGCCATCGATCGCTTTAACATTTATGTAAGGAGCAAGCAATGCGCAACTACTTATTTGCAATGAGCAATGCCTCATCCGCAAGCAGCAGAAAGAGAAAGGATATAGAATTCTTCGTCTCCAGGCGTGCTAGACAGAGGCGAGCGCGTCATTTCAGGTGTCATGCAGTGATGCAGCACATACATCCAGGACAAGGCCAGCACTTGCCGGTTTCTAGCAAAATGCTCTTCGCAAGTGCCCAAGCCTGCGCTCCCTTTTCCGGTAGTCACGATTCACGAACCCTGACTCGACCGTTTCGCCCGCGCTCTTCTCAGAAAGAATTTGAACACTTCATCAACGGCAATGACGGGAACGGAGGCGCCCACCACAAATAGCCAATCCCCAAGAGAAAGGCGCTCGACTCCAAAAGCTGTCTGCGACAGAGGACTCTCAAGCACGATCAGCTGCAGTGCCATTGAGGCAAGCACGGCACCCAGGAGCCAACGATTCGACACCATCAAATGTGGCTGCAGGATAATCGACTCGGTTTCCGATACCGCATTCAAGGCATTGGCCATCTCGGCAGTGACAAGCACTGACATGGCCACGGAGCGCGCTTGGACGGTGTTGTCTATGAATCCACGGTATCCGAAGACGCAAGCGAGACCAACGTATGTACCAATCGCCAGATAACGGGCAAGGTCACCACCGAGTCCACCCTGGGTACGTAGGAAGGGTTCATCGCGCCGACGAGGCGGCCGTTGCATGGCCTCCGGATCCGTCGGGTTGAAACTCAACGCGATGGCAGGTAAACCGTCGGTAATGAGGTTCACCCAGAGCAACTGCGCCGGTGACAGAATCTCCGGAACGTGCAGCCAAAGCGAGCTCACCAGGACGGCAATCACCTCACCAATATTGCTGCTGAGGAGATAGCGGATGAACTGCCGCATATTGGCGTAGATGGAGCGGCCCTCTTCCACAGCTGAGACGATCGTAGCGAAATTATCGTCGACAATGACCATGTCGGCAGCGGCCTTTGCAACCTGGGTTCCGGTTCCCATGGCGACGCCGACGTCCGCAGCAGCCAACGCCGGTGCATCGTTGACACCGTCCCCGGTCATGGCGACGACTTCGCTGCGGGTCCGCTGCAGCGTCTCGACGATCTGTAGCTTGTGCTTCGGTTCGACGCGTGCAAACACTCGCGCTGCTGCCACTTGGTCTGGGGTGTAACGGTTGCTCTCGAGGTCCGCACCGAGCACCACTGTAGGCGTCAAGGTACCGCTCTTCTCCGCTGCGGCATCTGCGATCATGGAGGTATCGAGGATACCGACTTGAGCGGCAATTGCAGATGCCGTCAAGGCGTGATCCCCCGTGATCATCACTACCCGAATACCTGCTTGTCGACAGCGAGCGATCGCTTCACGGACTCCTGGACGCGGAGGATCCTGCAGGGCAGCGAGTCCCAGGAACGTGAGCTGTTTCTCGGCACTGTCCTGTGCAGCGTCGCTGGTGCATTCTCGGATAGCCAGTGCAATACAGCGAAGACCGCTACGTGAGCGTTCCCTCGTCTGCTCTGACCAGTATGCTACAGCGTCTGGCTCAACGAAGGAGCACTGTTCCAGAACAGTCTCTGGTGCGCCCTTGACTAGTGAATACGTGTAGGTGCTTTTGTGATCGTTCGTATTCGCCGTCGACAAAACCGGCACGCTGCAGGTAACGACGACGCTCATGCGTTTCCGAACACGATCGAACTCATTGACCTGCAGGATTCGTGCATGCGACTCCCAGAATGCTCGGTTACTGTCGGAGGGTCGCAGCTCTTCGCCGGCTCGCAGCAATGCGAGCTCCGTCGGATCACCTCGTCCATCCAGGGTGGCCTCTGAACAGAGTGCAAGCACCAGCGAGAGCGCCTCCTTGAGCGAATCATGTACCGGTACGAGTTCCACGACGCGCATGCGATTCTGGGTCAGTGTCCCGGTCTTATCCGAACAAATCACAGATGTGCAGCCGAGTGTCTCAATGCAGGGCAGGGAGCGGATAAGTACGTTGCGCTTCGACATGCGCTGCGTTCCGAGGGCTAGGCAGGTGGTGATTACAGCAGGCAGACCCTCGGGAACTGCAGCTACAGCCAGAGCCACCGAGAATTTGAAGGATTCGATGACCTGCTCGAGAATACGACTTAAATCGACCTGTTGTTGTGAAATGATCATGGCAAGGGGTACTTGTTGGATTTCCTGTACAAGATTGAGCGCGAATACCGCTGCACAAATACCCAGCACAAGGTTGGTGAGCAGGTCTCCCAGGCGATTCATCTGCTCCACCAGCGGGGTTTCGGTAGTCGCTTCCGTGGCTAACTCCGTTTCACCATTCTTGCGACTAGCGCTGCTGCTGCTGCTGCTGCTGCTTCTCCGTACGAGTTGGCCACGGATTGTACCGACAGCAGTATTTTCGCCAGTTGCGACCACGATAGCGAGGCAGCGACCCCTGGTCAACACGGAGCCTGTGAACAACATATTGCGCTGCTCTTGGTACGGAAGTCGACCGGTGCCTCGTGCATCTTTCGCCTGCTCCATTGCCTCAACGTATTTGTCCACTGCAAGGGACTCACCGGTGAGAATCGACTCGTCGACTTGGAGCGTATTCGAGAGTAACCGCACGACACGAGCATCCGCTGGCACCAGGTCACCGGCTCGTAGTTCAATGACGTCACCAGGCACGAGCTCCCGCGCTGGTATACACGACCTAGCGCCCTGATCCCTGACAACCACAGCCTCCTCGCTCATATAGGCTCGCATGGCCCTGATGGACTCGTCTGCTCGCGACTCGAGGATCGCCCCGATACCAGCGTTCAAGAGCAGAATCGTTAGAATAATGACAGGCTCTAGGAACGCGGAAGCCGTTCGCTCCTTTGCTGTTGCTGCCAACGTAAAGGATATGCCGGCAGCGACCAGAAGGATCTGCACCAGACGATCGTCAAACTGTTTGAGCACTCGTTGAACGAGCGTCTGTGGTTCCGGTTCGGGAAGCGCGTTCGGTCCATGAATGCGCAAGAGTTCGCGAGCACGGCTCGTACTGAGTCCAGCTTCAATCTCCACCGCATAGTGCGCAGCAACGTGTTCTGCGGTCTGAAAAACCGGCTCCAAACGCGCCGTTGGTGCCCCAGTCGAGTCCTTCGAGTCTGACGACGCTTGTAGGCCGAGCAAGCGTCGCTGGACGCTCCCAGTTGACGCTGTCTCGATGTGCTTCAGTGCGAGCCTCCAGCTGCTGCTCACGAAGGAGCACACTGCTCGCGGATAGACGCTGCTTGGACGCACGACACAGTGCGCTGCTGTGTGTCTGCGACGAGTCTGCCTAGCAGGGCATGCGCCCCAGCGTGGACATAGTTCCGGGACGAATCCCGTCACCTGTGGTGACCTGACACCTGCCGCCTTTGCATGACCAAAAGATCGAACGTCACCACGACGTTTTGGGGACTGAACCTCCCTGGTCCGCTGGATACTTGCACCGGAGCTACCTAGCATAGAGACCGGCTCGCTGGAACGCGAACTAGGGCGTCGCCGCGCTCGCCCTGAAAGCGGTGTTGGGTTCCAGCGAGCTGGACGTCAGCGACAAGGCGCTGCGGCAGTACAAACGGTGGATCTCGGTACCCGTTACTTGGCAAGGGCGTTGCTCGGGACTGCAGCAGTCTACATGTCTCATTGAATGTGCGCTGTAACGAGCTGCTGCTCACGAGCACCGCTGTCGACAAGCGCTAGGGACTGAAACGCGTCGTGAACGGGCACAGGTTCAGCGAGCGTACCTGCTAACCGGGCGAGTACCCAGCCATATATGTAGCCGGTCTTAGCGTCTCGTTGAGTTCTACTGGAAATGCAGGCTCCGCTGGAAAGTTTCGAAACGGTTTCATGCCTGAACGTCGGACTTTTTATTCGCAGAGAATACGCGGCTTCGTATGCGGTGAGCGGCTTTGCTAGCAGGTTTCAAAAGCGACTGCGGGTCCAAAGGTCGAACACCTTTCCCAAAGCATAGGCTGCTTCGTACCTGGAGCCTACTGGAGGAAGCTAGAATCAGTGTACTACTTCCGCAACGACGGGATGAGACCGCTCATTTCTGAAGAATCGAAGTGCAAACCTGGATATCTATGCGCGAAGTGGTGCCTTTCGCATCGCTTGCAACGTTCGCTATGGAAACAGCAGCTCGCGACTCCCGCGTCTCCATTGACTCGGGCGACGTGTTCACTACTTCTTTATACAAATACAAGTCAGGACAGAGTAGAAGGGGTCCGCTTTGCGAATTCGCGCGCACTGACTAAAATATGTATCGCTTGCCACTGTTATCAGCACTAGTCTTGACGGGCTTTTTCTGTGACTGCTTCCTTTCATACGCTCTTATCCGTGGTATTCAATACGCCGGTCGCTCCTGTCTCGCCAGCTCCGTGGTCAGCAGTTGAGAGATGGTTATCACAGCGTTAACGCCGCGATTTTGCCGCTTCACGCTGATCTCTCGACGAACTTTATACACAGACGGCAGTTGTAATCTCTACGCATCGCCAGCAACCTTCATCGTCTTTTGTAAACAGTCATGGAGCACTGGTCGCAGCGATTACTTTTGATAATTGGCGGGTGCTCCCGTATGGACACCAAAGCGCTCTCCGGGGGCAGCCCTGTGTTGCATCAACGTTTGCTCTATCGCTCAATGCAAACCCATAACGGGTACAGGAAGCGCGCCTAGTTCCGATCCTCCGCTGCCGCGCTTAGTGCCGCTCCTGCGAAAGCGGGCTTGTTCTGGGCGATCCGCTAGGCGAGTATTCTGTTCGCTGCGAGTGCAAGCGCATCCTGTTGGACTCGGTAGAACATTTTTGGAAAGCGTCGTTGTCCACGAGGAAACGAGTGCCGGAAGGAAAACAAGTCGTGAAATTTCAAACTTTGCGCCCTTACGTGCAGAGCGCTAAGAGGATCTCTGCTGGAAGCGATCGTTGCGATGACTCTAGTACGAGCCCGTGATCCTTGTTCATGCAAACAGAGGATACGGGCGCCTCGTGGAGCATATCTCGTTCGAGGTATCATGCTGCTGGTGTCGAATGCCGTTTTGTCGAGGGCCACAGACAGAGGAGGATTCTTTTGCCGCTCGAGCGAGATCGCTTACATAACGTGACAATTTCAGTAAACTTTTGGCGTTAGCTTATGAGATATTCATCGAGGGATGCCATTGAGTTGCTGCATCCACGAGTGAGTTGCCTTGACACAGACAAATCGTGAACCTGAAGAATCATGACTAGCGCTCGCCAAACGTAAGGAAGGGAGAAAAGCGGAGGCTTGCACGGACGCACTGGATTATGATGTTGCTTTGTTTACGAACCCCGTGTACGACGACGTCGAGAATCCTCCTCTGGATTCCGGTGACGCATCGACCTCCAGCGACACAACCTGGAATGTGCCAATCCGACACGACGGCTGGGAATCCAAAAACTACGCATGAATTCGTCACCGCATATTGTTGCACTTCGATTTTCGGGGCTGTGCTTGAAAAAACTTCGGAAAAGATCGAAATGCAGGAACAGCGGAAGCAGATCAGCGTTTCGTTTGAATGTCGCACGAGTGTAGCGTCGCAGCAAGTGTCTGGGGCAGTCTCGGATCCCTGGGCATCGCTGGACCCATCGAACTCCTATTTCCTCCGGTACGACTGGTCTGTGGTAAAGCGTGTATCGAAGAGACCTGTGGCAGCGCGTCAGTCACTTTTCAGGTTGCCGATGGGAAAACCTCGTGTACAGGGGATTCTGAATCCGTCCATAAACCTGACGCCCTGTGACAAGGGCCTCAGGACAGCTCCGCAATGTCCCTATCGAGAGTACCGGCTCCTGGTGATTGTCGTAGGTGCCCGCCTGAGTCCACGTAGAGCTTTAATAACAGCAGAGGTACCGGATCAACCTACCTTCTATTCAGTTTTGGGAGCTCATGCCCTGCAGAATACAACACGCAAATGCTTATTTCAATGGATAGAGGTCTCTTTAGAATTCTCCAATACAATGGTCGCTTATCGACGAGGATGATGGTTCATAACCTGAATACGCTCATCGATGTTAGACCATGAAGAAGAAACGGGCGCTTTCGGACACCGCTGCGGCAAAGTGACCGATACGTGACGCCGGACACGCCATGGCTCCACGTCACAGAGGCGCGCCTGTCCAGTACGCGTAGACGACGCTACTAGGCACGTTTTGCGGTGTTGTCCGAGACCTCCAGTCCGAGGCGTGACGCCATCAATTGCAGTCTATCTGGACGCTTCGTTTCGATGCTGCCTCGTGCCAAAGCGCCGAAGGAGCGTGCAACTGCGGTCGACGACGCGGACGCTGGGCTCCAGTTTGAGGCAAGCGAAAACTCGCTTCAACTCTCGCGTACACAGAGCGAAGTAGAAACGCCTGCGAATGGCGTTGACGTCCCGGAGGTGCGGCAAGCGCCTCGTGCGCGCTACTGGACCGTGTTGATGTCGATGATACGCTCTATGAGCGCGGGCGCGGGTATGTTCATTGCAGCGTACTTCCTCATCACCACTGGACAACTTAAAACGGTCTGGGAAGCGGCTTATCCAACTTGCTGGCTCGGAGCAGTGCATGGAAGCGTCAACTGCGCCAACCAAGTGCGTTGTCCGGGTCTCTTTCCGCAGTGCACAAGTGCCCCCTGCCAGGACAATATTCCGGGCTTCTGCACCGGCCCCGGCGGAGGGTACCCTTCTCGCGACACGTGCACCAGAAGTATTCTTATTGCAAACTCCTGTGTCGTTTTCGGTGGTATCATGCTTGGGATGCTGGGCTTTGGCTGGGTCGCAGACGCCCTAGGCCGTCGTATCGGGAGTATCTGCACGGCAGCGGTTATGGTTACAGGCGCCCTTGTCATGACATTTGTATATTCTGTGGATATCAGTACCATCTTTATTGTCCTCAGCTCATTCTTCGGACTTTTAGGCATCGGTATTGGAGGCGAGTACCCGATATCCGCCTCTCGTGCCGCTGAACACAAACAGAAAATCGAGGAAACCTCCGCTCATGAGCGTCATCAGATCCAGAGACGCTTGCGAGGCGCTGCCATCACGCTGGTCTTCAGCATGCAAGGCATTGGCATCCTCTTTGGGTCGCTGCTAACCCTAGTTGCCATTGCGGTTGCCAAGCAGACTGCGCCGAATTGCCGCATCCAATCGAATAACGAAATGGGGTACTCTCAACGAGCCCTGAGTTTTGTTTGGCGTTTTGTGTACGGTGTCGGCGCGCTTTGGTTGTTCGGACTTTTGATCCATCGGTTTTACTTTGTTCAGGAGGACGAGGTCTTCAAGAGAGCGGCGAAACGACGGGAGGCGAGACGCCGTCGCGTGTTGACGCTCCGCTCCAGCCGCTCGGAATATCGCCAGCTACTCAGCTACTACTGGTCACGTTTAATCGGGACCGGTTTTACCTGGTTCCTCAATGATGTTATTCTGTACGGAAACCGTCTCTACTCGGGTCCCATATTCAACGGTATCAACGAGAATGCTGATCTCCTTATCCAGAATGCGTGGATCGTGCTGAACAATGGCGTCTCCCTGGTTGGTTACTACCTCGCGGCAGCGATCATCGACCAGCCGTGGTGCGGACGACGCCGACTGCAGCTCTTTGGCTTCGCGATGATCGCGGTATTCTTCGCGATACTCGCTGGGACCTATGAGCACTTCCGAACAAGTAACCGTCATGCATTGATCGCACTTTACATTCTGGCTTCCTTCTTCTCGCAGGTTGGACCGAACGTGGTGACCTACGTCGGTGCTGCCGAACTCTACCCCAGCGAAGTGCGAGCTCGTGCGCACGGCCTCAGCGCCTTTTGCGGCAAACTAGGCGCACTGGTCTCGACGCTCACCTTCGGCTACGTCGACATTCGAACGATATTCATCCTTACTGCCGCTGCTGCCGTCATCGGTTTCCTGGCGACGTTCATCTTCCTTCCGGATGCAACCGGGTTGGATCTGCGCGAACATGACTGGGAATGGGACCTGACTCTCCGTAACCACGCTGAGCTGTACGGCGGCGAGGCCGCCAATCTACGACATCTGTCGCTCTGCGAACGCTGGCAAGGCAGAGGCAAACGCTACACGCCGCACTGGCGAGCCCAGTTGCGCAAAGAGGAACGTTCAAGTGATGCAGCGGCAACCAAGCTAGCAACACCGCCGATCGCGGCGAGCACCCTCATACCGTCTATTGCTCCTGACAATCGCTGAGCATCGAGCGAACGATCCGGTACGATGATACGGAGTATGGATGCCGTGCGCTTTGTAAAGGATCAAGTGATATCTATTGACGCTGAGCGAAAGCGTGAGCGACGTACAACTTGACACTTGGGCGCAGCAGCGCGACGACACGAGCCATGTTCCCGTTTCGAAACGCGAGCACAGCACGAAGGTATCGGCAGTACCAGCGGGTGACTGCGGTAGAACGAGCACTCGCGCTGCCTGGCAGCGTCTCGCGCATCGCATGGAACTGGAACTCGTGCGTTGCGTTTACGACGAAAGCGCTACACCTGGATCCACCTAAAACGGAATAGGTCTCATAATTCGGACGCGCTCTCTAAAGCTCGAGACTGTTTCCACTGCCGCCAACACTTGTGTGTGCGGGGATTTTCTGCAACAGCGCCCGTTTGCTCTCTCTTATCTCAGATTTTAGATACGCCCGTCTCTCATTTCTTTGCGGCTCCGATGTCAGCAGTGAAAGCACGGTGGCGGTAGCGTCAGCATCCCGATTCGGACGCTTCTGGTTGTTTGCGACGCATTGCGTTCACGGACGGGAGATGCAATCTACGGTTCGCTTGCCATTTCGAGCCTCTTGGTATACAACTTCTGTGCAAACTCTCTAGCTGTGGCACTTGGTTGTGGTCAGGCCCTCCCGAATGCATGTGTCAGACCTGCCCGTGCTCCGAGCGCTGCTGTGTCGCGCGTCCAGGCTCGCTGCGTCGCTCTGTTCATACCCCTTCGGATCCAGAAGGCTCCATTGGATACTGTTCTCGTTTTCAACGCTCAGTGCTGCATCCAACGATCTGGGGCTTCTTCTGAGTGATGTCCTCCGGGAGTATTCTGTCTGGTGCACGGGCGGTTGCAGGCTATTCCCGCTGACCGAGGATTTATGGAACGTGATGAATTCCATCATAAATCGAATACCAAAAACAAAATCCAGGCTGGAGATCATAAGCACAAGTGTCTGCCCGTCACCGTTCCCATTGTGCAAAGCGATGAAGACGCTCTCCGCTGGACCCAGTGGATGCGATGACTCAATTCCGAAGACAAGAGCCTTTTCGATGCAAACAGAAGATACGGAAGCGTTTGGGAGCGTGTCACCCGAAATGCAGCATGCCGGTGCTGTCGAATGCAGTTGTGTCACTGGTCACAGCCACAGGAGGGTTTGTCTTTCGAACGCAATCGAATATTTGGGTGAGAAACTCAGGGACTTTTCGGCTTGAGCTGGCGAAGAACGCATCCTGGAATGACGCCCCGCTTTTGGATTCCCCTTCAATCCCACATCGCCTATAACGTTCCTTAGCGAGAGATCCATAAAATTGAAGCACGCGCGATTTGAACATCCTGCACATAAGGAACGGAGAAGACCGGAGGCTTATCCATATGGACTGACGATTGATATCCTTTGCTTCACGAAAACTAGTTCGAAGGAGGCGTGAAACGTCCTCATTCCGGCCACGTACCGAATTCCAGCGGCAAAGCGTCGAAAGAGCCACGTCGAACAGCGTGACATGAATCCTGAGGCTACTTGTATGCGTCCGTAAGCTCTTACTTTTTGCACGTCGAAAGCCGACTTTGCACATCTAAACTTTCGTTCGGAAAATACTCCGAGATGTAGGAACAAAGCACAGCATCCCGTGGTGCACTTCACTCGGATACGTATGAAGCGTATGCCGCTCTTCGACGAACGCTAGCTCAGCTTGTCTGCTGCCTGCTGACCTCGAGGCGACCAGTGAGCGCCTCGAAGCACTCGAGTTGTCACGCCTAGGGTATGGGAAGCACGCAGGATGTGCTTTTGATGAAACGTGAACTTCGAAAGCGCATGCGGGAGCTGCTTCGGCAGGTTTCAAGGAACGAGTTGCGAGAGCGTTCCGCGGAAGCCTGCCGACTGCTCACCAACTCGGAGGTGTTTCGGTCTGCACGAACTGTAGCGGCATTCTGCCACATGCCGACTAGCGAAGTGGAGACGACTGATTTGCTTGCCGCCTGTTTTGCTGAAGGGAAACGCGTTTTTCTGCCCCGTGTGGATGAAGGATCAGTGCGAAAGATGTTGTTTTTGGAGGCCCACGGTCTGCAGGACGTCGAGAGCTGGCCCCTGAACGCCATGGGTATTCGGGAGCCGCCTTCTACGTGGAACGGACAAGTCAGAAGAGAAATGCGCACGCTGGTTGAGCGAGAGCGAAAACCTCTCGACCTCATTGTCGTGCCCGGACTCGCCTTTGACACGTTCGGTCGTCGACTGGGTCGCGGCAAGGGCTACTACGACACCTTTCTGGCGACGTGTGAGCATTTGCATCTCGAGATGCAGCTTCCTCCGCCTCGAAGAGTTGGTCTTGCGCTTTCATGCCAGCTGGTCACCGAGGTGCCGGTATCAGCACATGATCAGGTCGTGGAGGCAGTCTTTTACGCTTGAGGTGTCCGGCCATACCATGGAACGCTATGGCAAACGGGCACGCAGCTATAGCCATAGACGCTCGTACGCGCGCAAGCTTGACGATGAACGATAGCCCCGGGAAGCGCGAGCGTAAAAGCACTGACTCGGCACCGTGCACGATACAGGTACCGCTGAACCTATTCATCACTGCATCGAAGCCGCAAGGAGAACCTTATCCGATCAAAACGATTGCTGAAGACTGCATGCACGACTAGAGGAGTTAGATGAAGGAACCTCATCTGTAGGTGCATGCTCGCACTGTGTCCTATGCTGAAAAGCAGATCCACCAACAATTCATGGGGAAGCGTACATTGCCACTGAGCACTTCACTATCCGAAAGCATCCTTCGGATGGAGTCCTTTGCCAAAACCGCGACACGACAGAGCGCGGATGGCAATCATTTCAAAAGCGTAATTATTTGACGTATGTGCGTTGCCGCGGCAATAGAGCCAGCTAGGTTCAGGGATCTGGTATCATCGTAAAGAACGCAGTGCAATTCTGTGTCTTCGCGCATTGTTTTGCCCCGGTAGCATTGCACAAAGAAGTCCCTGCGTCTGAGGCAAGGCCTCGGGGTACACACTGCACCCGGGTCTCTGATGCCAGTAATGCTGGAGTGCTGCACTGCAGCGCACACCGGCTCACCCCTGGATGCAAAAGGCGCGTGTTCCTCGCAGCGTTTATGATGCGTTTTCCCAAACCATGCGACAGTTTATCAAGGCCGCATCCAGAGGGCACGCACAGTCTGCGTTCCTTCAAGTATCGGGATTCTGCTGGCATAGACACAACCACGCATCCGTGCGTACAGAGCTGGTGGTGCGATCGGTATTCGCCCCGGTGCCTCAGAGGCTGTGCAAGGCTCTCCCGCGCTCAACCATTCCACCACCTGCCATCGTTGCGCCATCGGACTCGTTACAGCGCCCAGTCATCTTCATCCAAATCAGATTCATCATCTTCTTCCTGGTCTAGTGATGCGATATCGATTTGGTATCGCAGAATACCTCCAATGCCACCAAAACCTTTCACGAACTGACTGCCCTCTGCGGTTCGATCTGTCACCAAGTCCAGATGTGCTCCAAATCGCTTGTAGTTTTGCGCGAGCCAGTCCACCAGGGACTCTGACTCTTTGATTTCCATGTCTGGTCCGCCGTCCTTGGCCGTATCACTCGCCAACTGATCCAGCTTCTCCTTCTGAACGATCCGCACAGTCTCTTCGCCCGACTGCGGGTTCATCAAGACAACACGCTCATACTCGAGGTTCTCCCAGACAATTAATTTCTCCACTGCGCCCATTTCCAGCGCCTTCATGGTATCGTCGACCCCGTAGCAATATTTTCCAGTATCCAGTGCGATCTGGTCATAAAATTCCTTCAAAAGCCGCTTCTCACGTACATATTTCACGTTTGACAGACTGTCAGCAGCCAGTTCAATCGCTTGATTGAGACCAACCTCACCGCCATAGCTGATATCTACGACCGCGATCACTTTGGCCTGTAGACGGGGGTCGAACAGGTCGCTGCGTGCGAGCTCATTCTTAAAGTCCGCGGAACCAGCCAGCACGATGCCGCTCACATTAACTTTGTCGCCATCGGGAATAAAGAGCCGCACCGCATCTTCGCCAACACGTCGTAGATAGTTATGCCGTTTTTCCATGCGGAGACGCGCAAAACGGAGCGCGGACTGACCACCTCGACCATGCTTCTTCGGCAAATCGACCGTGAAACGATGCAGAATCTCGCGCGTGTTCCCCGAAAGTACAGCGAAAAGCGCCCCATTCCCGTCGATAATGATGAACCCGAACTTTTCATCATCTTCAAGCAGATTCATCAGTGGTTCTACGTGGAACCGCGAGTCGCAATAATACAACGACGTGTTGATCGGCTTGTGTGGCTCGAAGTCGATGGTCACTTGTTTCTCGCCCTTGTCCGTTAGAACAGTCCCACAGTAGATTGCTAGACCGTTCGGTGGAACTTTGTTGTAGAGCTTAAGGCGCTGTTGCGTAGATGTGATAGCAGACAACACGGAAAGTCGGTTGACACGGGACTTGATGTTGGAGGCTGTTCCCGCTTCGTCTGCGAGAAGTTTTCCAACCTTTGCAACTTGGTCGCCCGGTGGAATCAGTAACGAAATCATGGACGTGCCGTTACCACGTGCTGCCTCCAAGCCTTTGAGCAGTTTTTTAATGCGGAACATGGTTACCGCCCGATCCTCATCGTCCTGTTCGTGGTTGTTCGACGGCAGTGCGGCGCCCACAGCAGCAGCAGCCACCGTCGTGATGGATGCCATGCTTAGCGGGAAAGCACACGAACGCGACTCTCTGAACGCGTAAAAAGTAATCTCTATGCGATGAAGGCTTTTTGCTCTGCCCAAGAGTCACCCTGGTTTTAACGCAACAGCACCACCAGTGCTAGACAACGCGTAGCCGAACACTGCTGCTACTCGGTGAGAAGACCCTGGGTGGAGCCCGCATTGTGGCAGCCTTCGCCGGCGCGCCGCATCATCACAACGTTTTGGGAGGAGAGCGCTATTCACACAGTGCTTCAGGATGTTGTTCGGTATAGCAGAGACCTGATTGCGGTAGGGAATCGAAACAGGTTTCCAAGCGACAGCTTGAACGGCACGGTTCTAGTTCGACAGTTGCACGCAGCCTGCTGCTTTAAAAGCGGAGGAAAGCGCTTTTTCGCTTGGAGCAGGATTTGCTGCCTGTTGCAGCGAAAGAAGATTCGCTGAAAACGACGCTTTGGGCAAGCGTTCTATCGCCGAACTGGTGTTGTTGCAACGAGTAAACTCAGCATGCGGCTATTGTTGCAGCGTTGGAGCCAAACGATACGGCACGGGAGCCGCAACGCGCTCGGGATCGTGAGGCTGCGATCCTTTCCTGGTCGCCTCTCTGGGTCGGAAAGTCGATCACACTGGAGGCCAGTCACGGTATGGAGCACGTGTGCAGCCGTCATCGCGGCGAGCTTAGCGAGCGTTCAACGCCCGGAATGGCGACCGTGGCTCTGCTACGCTGAGGCGTCCACCTCGCTAGAAAGTACACACAACTTCACGGCTGCTACGGAAAAAGTTGCACCCTTGAGCGATGCAGCGGAACCGGCAACAATACTGTGGAAACAACTGCCTGACTCGCTTGCAGAGCTGCGCAAGGCCGACATCGTGCTTTACCAATATGAAACATGTCCATTCTGCAATAAACTCCGGGCCTATCTGGACTATTGGCGAATACCGTACAAGGTTGTCGAGGTGAATCCAGTAGGCAAGAAGGAGCTAAAATTCAGCTCCTATCGCAAAGTACCCATTCTGGTGGTGAATGGCACACAACTCAACGACTCTGCTGCTATTATCAAAGCACTGGCGCGCATCACGGACCCGGACCGTCCGTTAAACACGCAATGGTTCGACTGGATCGACTCCTGGTTTGTGCACACCTTACCACCAAATATATACCGCACCCGTCATGAGGCGCTGGAAACGTTTGACTACATCACGGAAAAGGAGAAATTCTCGCCGTGGCAGCGCTTCACGATTCGCTACGTGGGTGCTGCGGCCATGTATTTTGTGAGTCGCCGCCTCAAGAAGAAGTATCATATCGTCGATGAGCGCCAAGCACTCTATGATGCATGTCGTGACTGGCTCCAGGCTGTCGGTTGGCCAGAACGTCGTTTTCTGGGAGGTGCACGACCATGTGCTGCAGACCTGGCCATGTTTGGCGTCCTTCGCAGCATCGAGGGTTTCACAGCGTTTCATGAGCTCGCGGCCAATGTGCCGGAGATCGTTCAATGGTATCGGATCATGAAGGACCAGGTGGGTCCGTCTGCGCGCATTGATTCGATGTAGAAAAGTTGCCGAATTCGCTGGTGAACTGATTACCTGCAGAACGCAAAGAACGGAATTTTTTATCCATTTTGATCGATTGAGGATCGAAAACAATGCAGTGTTGCGTGTTGAACGCGAACGGCACAAAGAATGCAACGTGATCGATCTGGATTGATTGAGGGTCTGGGCTGCGCAGAACGGTCTGGAAGATAGACGAGTCACCTGTGAGCAGCCTCCATATCCTGAGCAAAGAACTTCGTCATCGGTGACGAATCGTGTGCATATCTTGGATTTGTCATATGGGCAATTTTGATTGGTAGCCTGGTGCATTGCTGGTACACGTCGTCCACCGAGATGCTTTGACTGTCTCATACCAGCAACCCATTCGCAAGAACGCACACGGCATCGTGTTTTGTTCCCGTAGCGGGAACTTCCGGTAGTAACCTCAACTGAGGAAGGAGCCGCTCGCTCGTGCTGCGCCCAAACCTCCAGCTGGGCATCATCATTTTTCATATCTCTGTTCAGTGCGACGAGCATGTAAAGGCAAAACTCATCAGAGATAGGCAGACGAACTAGGCACTTCCCTAGTAGCGACGACTCTCGTTTAAGACGCCGAGTTGCCGGTGCGTCCTGCAACGTGCACCAGCGCTGTTCTCTATCGCCATCCGCTGGCTCACGCGGTACACCCAAACCTAGTCTGCGGGAAACTTACGCAAAGTTTCCAGGATCATAGCTTTGGGGCTCCTCACTCCCGAGTCGCGCTGTGCGTGACCTCTTTTCGCTGGGTTGGCATCCCCAGCGACCGAACGAGGACGACGTTTTCGCCTTTGAGGAGGATCGTCCCTAGAGCAACCGTCCGCCGCTTATGCTTTGCAGTACTTCCCCACTGCTCCACGGTGTCGACCAGAACTAGATTGGTGTGTTCGTCGAAGCCGCGCAAGGTGCCTTCCAGAGAGTACCTGGTGTTTTCGAATAACCAGACCTCAACGCGGGCTTGTTGGCGCGCCAGCGTTGCTAACAACTGCTCTGGAACTATCCGTCTGTCCAGAGCAGCCTTCGGCATCTATGTTCACCACTTAAGTTGGCTGCAGGCGTGCAACCAGGGGATTTTGCCTGCTTTTCGCGGTTTGCTCGGGAGCAGATAACAGCGCGAATGCCGAAGCGAACAACGTTACGTCAGTGCAGCAAACCCGTTTCGCCACAATATCGTGTAAATGAATATCCACCCGCAGACGTCTCTCAGCCTTTTCTTACAGGGTTCTGGTATCGGTTTCAGTTTCTCCATATACACTCCGACGCTGTGAGGCTGCCCAACAAAGTTAGCTTGCCGCAGCGCTGCGTGCCTCGCATTCAGCACAAGCATCTCCTGATATTGATACCAGCGTTGAGGTCTCGGTTCATGGACTCCATGCGTTTGTTGCCGCTGGTTGATCTCACCAATGATAGGAGACCACGAACTCGTGCACGCTGTGCCATTGGGTGCTCTGTCAGCTCTTCGTGCTGATCCGTCGACGAAACGCTCCGCTGGCCTCGCTCCAACTCAACATCCTAGGGTGTATATTCCAGCTCGTCCCTTAGATTTTTCGAAAATGAACGCACTTGTTTATAGCCTGAGATGACGACCTTCCCGCATCGAGCAGCACATGCGGAATAAAGACCAAATGTGCCCCGGTTGGTCACCATGTGCTGAACGCTTCATCTATTCGCCCGGTGGAGCGGTCGTGACGATTCAGGACGCAAAACTCTCCTTCTATGGGAATGAAACACAGGTGAGAAGAAGGAATGAAACCAGCTCTACCCGTCGATAGAATTGGCAAATGCTCGAACTGAAGCAGAATGGCTAAATACCACTATGTCCAATAGAAGGACTTCACCAGACGTTTGGGACAAGTCTTCGATGACTCGACAAAAAGAGGGCGCTGCTGCATGAGTGTTCTCTTCAGCGGAACTGAGGCAGCCAAATGAATCCACCGCAGCTAGAACAGATGATGATGTCGACGTTCTCTACGATTTCGAGCGTACGTGCAACGGGCTCCCGCTCAGCAAGTATTCATCTGCACTGCGATTGTCTCGTTTGAAGCAAGTCTCATCGAGTGAGAAAACAAACTGATGTTCCTGTGCTTCATACCGATCGCGACGTTCCAGGAACACCGTGCCTGCGATTTCGGTGGAAGCTGGCCGTGAATGAACTAGCACTTTATTGCGATTGGATCCCGGTGTTTTCAGGATCACGCGAATAAGCTGTTGAGAAACAGAGACGCCCGTGGTGGCTACTATGGACGCATTTGCTTCCCTTAAATTGATCAACTGGTCGTTTTCTATCACTGATTGCAAGCAGGCTTTGAGAATATCAGGTTTCGGCCCGGAGCGCATATACTTGTTTCTTTCAGTGCTCGTCAAGCATCTGAGTATAGCAGTATGGTTGACATCGAGGAGCAATGCAATCATCATTGCATTGTTCAGTGAAGAATACATATGCCGTATGCAATTCGTCGACAATCTATACAGAACATTACCTAGTGATTTCGTCCTCCTCCTATATACCGTAGCCGCGATGAAACAAAATTGAGTTGAAAGACTATCAACAGAAGCGCCTCTACGTCGTAACAGCGTCGGGTACTCGAAATTCTAACGCAGCCGCGTACCAGCAGCGGATCGAGACGGTGAACGGACGCACGAGCGCGTACCTCTATGTACGGTATTCGCCTCTACCAGATACGCAGCATACCAGCGATCGATGCGAACAGGCATCGAAGTGCCCTTGGTACCCAAGTTTTGCCGTCCGAGCATGCCTTCCTCGAAGACGCACCTTGCATCGATCCTCAGATCGTCGAAAACGACACCAAACATGCTTCTGCACAGCGTCCTGTCGTACAAGCGCGCCAAGTAGGCGTTTGTTTTCAGCACGGTGCTGTCTGACGCTTGGACTGCACGAGTGTAGATGCTACCGATCCCGACCAGGTCCACGGCACCTGATAGCTGAGGAGCAGGTTCCGCTGCGACTCCAAGCCCGGTCATTGGCAAGCACACGAGTCGCGCTCAACTTGCAGAGCGCTGTGTCGATCGCGGATGTTGCCCTTGGTCTAACGATTCAGAGTGGCAATGTTGACAGCAGGCACGCGCTGCTGACGCACAGCTCGAGGATCGCTTCGATTCGAGACCACGGCGACAATACGCGACCATTTCAGCGCACCGAATGCGACTTCTCCGTCACTGGCGTGCAGCTCAACTAGGCGTCGTGCAACGCGCATCTTAGCTTCCAGGACCTCGAGAGAAGCGTCCGCCGGGTCGCAGAGCCATTCCACAAAGCCCGCCATACTAGCCAACGCGACAACTCCGATTCTCGACAGACCTAGCGCAGCGAATACCGCCGCAGCAGCGAGCCGCTCTTCTTCCGAAGGATGCCGTGCACAGTCCAGGACAATGGGCAGTGCATTCGTGAACGCCTTGACGGGATCCGCATCCCTGATCGCATCAGTGAACAGATGCAGCACCCTTTGCTGCCGAAATTCGAGGTCGGATTCGGCGGCTCCGTACCCTGAGACGGCTGCTGATGAAAGCGGCTCGTCGAGACCTGCCAGGAACACACTCAAAGCACGCAAGGAGGCCACTCGAATATCGCACACGCTCGCCGTTTGAATGAAACGAAGCGTTAGTTTCAAGGTGTCAACGTCCGCAAGCAGCACGTCCATGCCGCGTTCACAGAGCCCCAGAGCGCCAACCGCGGAGATCAGATGCACCAGCAATGTCGTCCGACGAACTTGATCAAGTTGTACGGACCAGTGTGCTGTCTCAGTCTCGCCATCTACCACGTGAAGCAAGAGAAAGCGCCCAAGAATCTCTACGAGATTGGCGTTCATCCAAGCGTGGAAGGCGCAACGGCTGGACCCGGCACTGGTGCGCACGAACCTCAGAATCCCACACATCCAAATAAACCAGCGTTCCGCCAAGTCGCTCGAGGCAGGCTCGTCTGGCGCCAACAAATAGGCAAGGTGTTGGCGTAGCAGCACATCGAATACCGAAATTTGGTCGAGCAACTCGGCTGCTATTGCACTGCGTTGCATAAAAGCCCCAAGCACATCCAGCAAGTTCAAGCGGAGTAGCATGTCCTCATCCAAACGAACAGGAGCTGCGATTTTGGCTACAAGCACGGTTGGCAACAGCCGACGTGCGGCAATCTCTGCAACAGACGAGTAGTCGCAGATCTCAAGCAGCAAGTTCAAGGCTCGGATATGCGCAACCGCACCCGCTGCACCCGAGAGCATCTCCTGTACGAGGATTTGCGCGCCTCGTGCTTCGCTGAAGAGCACAACTGCGCCGCGGAACGGCTTCAGCTGTACCAGGTTCTTCAGGATTTTTTCACAAAGTCCCGCAGCTTCGGTGGATGGATCATCACGGAAGCTCAGCAGCACCAGTGACAGGATATCGCTGGCGTGCTGTGCAGTTGTGCTGCTAGCGTTCACTTCTGGACCTGGCGCTTGTGCGGCCTCTATCTCCGGACGAAGCTCGTTCGTACTTTCAAAACGTTCGATAATGGTGTCTGCAACTTGCTGACAAAACGCTTCAGGCAAGTCATTACGTTCAAGAAGGAGACAAAGCAGACGAAGCGCAGCTGTGCGTACCAGCGGGTACCGGCTGCTCAGACCGAGCTGGATGAGCTGGAGCACCTGCTCTATAGGTACGAGGTGACGCACTCGGGCACTTGTTGCAGAGAGCTTGACCAGTTTCTCCATTGTTTTCGTTAATACCCGGACGGAATCAAATATGTTGTCGGATGGTACCGCGTCGCTGTCTGAAGCCTCGAGCGACGCCCGCACCGCGTACTCCTCCAGTGTCCAGCCCAGCAGCGGTAACGGCAAACGCTCCAGCAAGTCCAGTGCCGCACACTCCGACAGTGCTCCAGCGTCCACATATTCCCTCACTGTATCCAATACTTTATCGGGAGTCCAGTCATTGTGGTGAGCGTTCATTCAGCAACAGGTTATCACGCTTTGAGATAGACATATCCAGAAGCAATCTCCTGATCGGCGGCGGGGCGCAGGTCAGCCGCTGCGCGTGCACGCGCACCTGGCAGATCCGGCGGGCACGAGACACGACGCTCTGGTCGCTCTTGAGGGGAACAGTGATCCTGATCATTGGCGTGCTATTCTACTGTAAAAGTTGTATTCGCGTTGAGGTCGTAGCAAAGTATAGGTTTTCTGTTCCATCCTATTCCGACCCTCAATTGAGTATATTCAAGTGTTTTTTCGAAGTATATAACAGAAGCGTTCAAAGAGCGTTCGTTTTCAAAAAATTAAAAGGAAAGTCATGGAAATGGAAGTGGAGGATCCCGGAGGGCCGATATCACCCGCTGCCGGAAAAAAAGATAAACAAGGCGGAGCAAAGAGGAACAGGAAGTGATGAAGATTCAAAAAGGGGGAGGTTCTACGTCGAAGGCGGCAAGAAAGACAACTGTACAACGAGATAGTGGTGAAAGTCTGTGTTCTTAAATATATCAAGGATCCGTACAAGGAAAAGTTGCGAGAGGCCATCAAAAACCTTCTCGAGTTGTACCCCATGAGTAGGATAAAGGCATCTTCAGGACTGATGCATTTGGTGAAGGAGATGTACCTCTACGTGACGAACATGGAAACGGTCGAGATTCCGGACGAGTTTTTCGATAAGACCTTTATTCGTCAGCTGATGCTTGGTACAGAGGAAGCGCGGAGGGAAAATGAGCGGGTGAAAGTCCTCCACGAAAACTTCGCGGAATTCCTCTTCGAGGGTACCCAATACAGGGGTGACGCGGATATCTACACATATGGGGCGATGAAGTACCTGACGAATCTGAAGAACCATTTCAGAATGAACCTCGAACGTTTCATGATACGCGCCGTGTTTGCACTCTACCGGGGCCTGTCTCGCAAAGGAATATGGGCGATTATCAATGGCATCACGAACGATCGAAACTATGGAAATGAGGTCGAATTCGTTGACAACAAGGAGTCAAACCAGAGCACGAATGAGAATTCCGTCATCCGTGCGGTTATCGAAGAGCATCGTACGGTACTGGGGCTGGCGAATCCAACAGACAAGATATCAGCGTTGAAAAAAGATAGGGAAAGATACGATCGCCTCGTTCTGCGCTATTTTGTGTTTCTGGACCGAGAGCTCGAACGCAAAGCGGAGATGAAGCTGAGTGAAGAGTCAAAGGAAGAGTGGGAGAGACGGAAGGCTGTCCTAATGGGGAAGCACTTCAACGTGGTTCCAATGTGCAAGATCAAGTCACATTTTGTGACTATCAACTCCAGAATCCTTTACGGCATCACGAGGGATATCTGTCCGGAGTTCGATGTTAGCAGGGAGGACTTCACCGGCGGAAACCGGGAGACGTACTGGATGAGCATCTTCGATTTCAAACGTCTGAAAGTGAGCAAACAAAAGGTATTCACTGGGTTGATCGAACCCGATGGAGTAGCCATGTGTGTGCACTATCGGAGGTTGAAGAAAGATCGTCCAGTCCCTCCATCGGCTGCGCCCGTCACGAAGCATGAAGAAAACAAAGAGGCGGGTCCCGCGACACAGAAAGCGCAGGATAACGACCTTGTCGTTGGCGCGGCGAAGCATGAAGAAAACAAAGAGGAGGATGCTGCGACGCAGGAGGTGCAAGCTAACGACTTTGTCGTTGGCGCGGCGATGCATAAAGATGAGAAGGAGGAGGATCCTGCCGCGCAGAAAGTGCAGGATAACGACCTTGTCGTTGGCGCGGACCCTGGGAATACGAATATCATAACCATCGTAGCACCGAAGCGTACGGAAGATGGTGCTGATGGTAACTTGCGTCAGAAAGACATGCGTCTTTTTTGAGGATCTCGAGAGCGAGATACTATCGAGAATCGGGAATCATGAATGCGAGGAAGAAAATCGAGAAACGGAATGCAGGAATGAAGGATCGCCCGGAAGCTTTGAGTAAGGTGACGAGCCGAGGAGCGGACTTTGGAGCTGTCCGGAAATTCATGGAAGTTCGCATATGGCGCACCGGGATGCGCTATGGGAGGAGTATACCAACCCCCGTGGGCTCGTTTGCGAATGAATCTATACGGTGGGAGGCAGCGGGCGTTCGCGAATTTTTTGAATGAGTTGAGCGCCCTGAAGGAGGAGGAAAGTCAGAGGCTCGTCGTAGCGTACGGAGCAGGACGATGGGTGCCCAAGAAAGGCACTACACCAGCTCCAACGACAAGAATGTACAAGGAGTGTGCAAGGCGTTTCGTTACGATACCTGTAGTTGAGTTTCGAACATAGCACACACACCATGAACAGGGGTTAACACTTCAGAGAGTCGAGATGGAAAAGTGCCAGAGGAGCCCTGAGGATATAGCAAAGTATAGACAGCTGACGGAAGAGCAAATGGAAAGGAGAGCGAAAGTTCGTGGACTGCTTGCATTAGTAAGTACAACTCCCAACGGCACGAAACGGATGGATTTTGTGAACCGAGATTTTATTACCGCCATCAATATAAGGAGATGTGCGGTGTTGGAGACGAGACCTCCAGAGATGACACGCGAGAATTTTGTTGGACAACCTCTTAAGGTTTTACTATATGAGACACAATTGGAAGCAGTAGTAGGCGGCCGGTCGAAAAAGCCTAGGAAGCGTCTGCACGTCAGTAGGCGACTTGGTGTCCAAGGCGCACCGGTCGCTACTACTGTACACCGCCGACGACGTTCTACTTTAGAACGGCGTTTCTTGCTGGTTCGTGCGAAGTTTGCCCCATCATCGAGCTGAGTTCTTGTAAAGACGTCCACGCACAGGTATCTGCGTGGCAGCCTATTCGTGGTCAGTCCGTGGTCTCTGAAATCGAGCGAGCGGCGGAAAGCAGGCTCGATCGCGTTCCGTTTGCCAACGCACTGCGTTTAGGTCGCTGCTTCGGGGCGCTCTTGTAAGACGGCACGTGCGCACGACAAAAGTGCCTAGACTACTAATCGAAAGCGCTTTCGCCGGAGCGGCTTGTTGCTCACTGAACCTAGGGCCATGGCACCGGGCGATCGTTCACGAGCGCAGCGCGCGCTCGAAAGGGCGAAAGAAGTCGTTCTGTACCCTTTAGTTACAGGACTCATGCTTGGACTGGGTACGGTACTTGGGCGTCGCCTTGGTGAGTGGTACCTCGAGCAGCGGAAAAGGCCTTTAAAAGCGAGTGTCCCGGTTCGGGCAGATGGGTGGCGCTGAACTGGTCTGATGGGTGCTAGGCTGAGGTGAACGCGCGCTGCTGCTGCGCAGCAGACTCGTTGTGCTTCATCGAAACCATTGCTGCCTGCGGATCCAAATCCCCTCTGTGTGTCGCCTGGAGCTTAGAATGACCAGCGGTGACCGTCGCAAAGCGTTTACACCACGTTTGCACCATGCGCACGATGCGTCAGTGACACTCGTTAGAAGATGCCAGCTTGCTCCCGAGGTAACAGCCGAACGTTGCTTTTCAAAATGTTATCCGCGTCATCATTGTAAATGAACTCCGCGATTAGAATTCGAGGATGCAGCTCCTGATCCTGCTGAAGTAAAAGTGGCAACCATATCGCGTCATCTGGCCACATGCTCTCGTAGGGTATCTGCGAGTACGCGTACCATTGCGGAATCATTTCATCGCTGGCACGTGGCTCTCGACATGCACAAATGGAACCGCTGAATACATCTACATGCATTCTGGGCATGGACTTCGCCTCGAAGGTAAAGCACAGACAACCAGCCCATCGGAAGCGCCGTATATCATGACGAGGTGTGGTGCAACGCGCACTCGACGGATGGCCATCGGCAACAATGTGGACGCCGGCTTCCTCGTAGAGCTCTCTGAGTGCCGCCTGGCAGACGTTTTCGCCTGCTTCGACTTTGCCGCCGAATCCGTTCCACTTGCCTCGACCAAAGCCTCGTTGTTTCAAGCCCAGTAAAACAGTTTCCGTACCGTTCGCATTCCCGTAGCCGATACAAAGCGTGTAGCGTTTGAAGAGCGTCTGGGAAGCACCGCAAGCGCTACACGCAAACGATGGTTCACGGTTGACGTCCGCGGCCATCTGGTCGAAACTCGTGGAAACCAAACTGGTGCGACACCGTGTGTCCCGTTCGCTCGACAAGATACATTACCCGAGCCGCCTCCAACGCCAAACCGCGCGGCACTATTTGGACTGCAACGAAAAGTTGAATACGGAAACGTGGTCCAAATGTACCGCGAAAGCGCTAAATACTTGATTGGCTATGAAAGTCCGTGGTGAAAACGATCGTACCTTGCAATGAAAAATTACCTATGGAATCTCTGTCTTGGCGTGAAGAGATGAAAGCCTCAAACCTCGATTTTCTCTGAAAGCAAGCGTTCCACGGGTTCCCGCGCTTTCTGACACGCAAGTGCCGTGGCACGAGTTTCCACGGCGCACGCACGCACGACACCCAGGACTACATCCACATTGGCGTACAATGGAACGGATCTACGAACTCGAGCGAACATGCTCAACTTTGACTCCTTTGCCACTGACATCAACACTAGCCGTTGCGGACTTTTCCTGTAACTTGTTTCTTTCCCCCTGTCTATCTTTGGCTTTCAATACTTCAGTCACTGTTTTCAGCCTGGTCCCGTTGCCGGCAAACGAACGATGTCGATGGCAGCGTTCAAGTCCCGATTTTGCGGATTACAGCTTCCGTTTTCGCATGTCTTGCAGAAGCTGAAGTTGCGAACGATGCGTCGCTTCCCATTTTCATTTTTTTGCACACTGCTTCGGAGCGTCTCTCGTAGCGGTTCCATTCGGTCGTGATCAGGTCTTCACATACATGCATCGCAATTCCCTCTCCGAGTGCCGCTCTGAGGCGCGTGAAAGCGAGCTTTTTCGCTCGGGACATGTCCTTCTCCGTTTCCAGGTCCAATACAGTACCGGACGAGAACAGTTATGTTCTGGAAAGTCAGCTTTGGTGAATACGCTCTCCGCTGCACGCGCGAGTGCACGCTGCTCTATTCCATGAATGATTTGTGAAACGCGATGATTTCCATGATAAAAGAAAACCACCGCAAGGAAAATTCAGGTTGAAGAAGCGCTCTAGATATTCTGGTCCGTCTACGCTCCGTCCGTGCTTATCCATAACGCAGGCTCCACCGGAAGCGGTCGCAGCGGTGACTCAAGTCCAAAACCCACGTTCAAGCAAACAGAATATACACGAGCGTTTCGGAGAAAATCCAATGAGATGTAGCATACTGCCGTCGAACGCCGTTTCGTGGATGACCGCAAAGATCGGGAGATTGGTCTTTCGAACGAAATCCATTATTTGAAGTGCCGAGCTCAGGGAGCTTTCGGCATGCGCTCGTGAACAGCTCGCCAAGCGATGACGTCCAAGATTTATTTCGTCGTCAATCCAACGGCGCGAATGGCTGCGCCCACGAGTTACACCATAAATCAGAAAGATCGAAAACATTCAGCAGGTGGCATATGAGCATGCGACCTGCACGGAAAGGAGACGAGTGCATGCTGGTACGTAGGAACCTGATAATGATACCGGTTAGTTTGAGAACCCGTGTTCGGGGGCGTCGTGAGTCATCTAGATTCCGGTGCCGCAACGAATTCGAGCACCAAAGCGTACCGAGAGCCACTCGAAAAAGACAATCTAGAACCCGAAAGCTACGAATGCGCCCGTAAGCCATCTCGCTGCGCTTCGAATGTCGACGCTTTACATCTAAGAATGGCTCGGAAAAAGATCAGAGCTCGGAAACAAAATCATACAGTCCACTGTTGCGTTTCAATACGACATGCAGGTAGCGTCGGTGCTCGCGTACCGCAATTTCCCCGCTGCTCGGTCTGGAGTAGCTGTTCGTGGCGGTAACGGTGACGGCGTATACGGCTTGCGTATTGGGAAGCTTCACAATTGTGCTGTGAAAACGTGCGATATTTGTTGGCGATTGCCCAATAACGGCTGTTTTTTACCATGCACACCATCGACTGCAATCGGTGCAGCAGCGCTCTGAACTGGCTTTGCGTCACGAGGCCAGGGCCGAGCGGTGCGAAGGCGCCCCCTATCCGCACCACAGCCGACAAACTGCTCGCTGGAGACGTGACGGCGTGCTGGTAACACGAAGCGCTCCGTGGTTCAAGGTATCGTCCTCGATACAGACCCTGAGACCGGTACATAGGCCCCGCATCGGATGATGCATACCGCTTCTGTTTATCTCGTGACGCAAGCGGGGCACCTACCGAGGGCGCCATTCGTATCTGCTGCTGCAACCTGGGCGTCGAAATGCATTGCCATTGCTAAAGTTAAGCCTTGCGTACGCAAACAAGGCCCCCGCCTGGTGACGACGTCCCAACAGACCGGTGCAGAACGTGTGCTACGGTTGTGTGTCCAGAGTCTTTACGAAAAGCGCGGAACGAATACGGGCGACCTGTTTTACAGTGTATGCGCACGGTAACAACATCTTTCACAAGAATCAAACTAGTACCGCAACCAGTACGTGCGTCGTCGCATCCACAGCAGATCCGGCAGCGAAGCGATCGGGCCCAAAGAGGCCACAGCAAGCTCCCGATCACACAGGTACTTGTTCGCAATGTGAATCAGACTTTCCGCCGTTACCGCATCGATCCGAGCGAACGTTTCAGCCAGCGGCACACGACGGTTGTAGGTCAGCAACTGACGGCCAATATCCTCCGCAACGGCGTTTGAATCGGACAGCTGGAGTAAAAGCGATGTTTTGAGTTGCCTCTTCGCCCGTTCCACCTCGGACTCATCGAGCTTGTACGCCATCCCGGTTAACTGCATCTGAATCTCGTAGACGACGTCATCCAGATCAGGCGGATGCGCTATAGCATAAACACCGAAAAGGCCCGTATCTACATACGACGTATTGAAGGCCTGTGCGCTAACGGCGTTCGGAACATTGTGGAGTCCCCTGCACAGGCGCGACGACGAGAAGCGGCTCAGGGCTGCGTTGCGATCGTAGGCACCCATGAGCGCCTGCATCACCATGAGCGCGGGCGCATCTGGATGCGCCCAGCCGCAGGTCTCAAAGGCGAGCGCGAAGTGCGCCAGCTGCATGTCATCATTCCGAACACGCACATCGGAGCCGGTAAAGTACGCGGGCTCAGCGGCTGCAAGTGTTTCTGAAGACACGCTTTCATCTTCGGCACGAGGCATGCTGCCAAAGTGCTTCTCGGCGAGCTCCACGAACCGTTCGTGTTCGGGACACCCACCGGCAGCGACCAGCACCATGCGATGCGGGCGGTAATGTCGCCGGATGTATTCGAGCAAGGCTTCCCGCTGCATTGCCTGAATATTTTCCACCGGTCCCAGGATCGTCCGTGACAGAGGTGTCCCTTGGAAAGCAGTACCATGCAAATAGTCGAATACGACTTCTTCTGGCTGCGATTCGATGTCCTCCATCTCTCTCAAGATGACGTCTTTCTCGCGCTCCACCGCTGCAGCATCCAGACGGCTGTTCTGAATAATATCGGCAAGCAAGTCCACTGACTGGGGGAGCACATCGCTCAAGCAACGAGCAAAATACACGGTTTGCTCGCGGGATGTGTACGCATTGAGTTGCGCGCCCATATCCTCTACCTCCATCTCCAACTGCTGTTGCGTTCGGCGCTGGGTGCCTTTGAAAATGATGTGCTCCAAAAAGTGCGCTGCGCCGTTCACAGCAGCCGGTTCGAATCGAGTACCCGTATCCAGCCACAGTCCTACCGTCACCGTAGGCGTGTCCAGGCGCTCCGTTGCGACGCGCATCCCGTTTGTCAGTGTCGTCACGTGGGTTGGTGTTTGGGTCAGGAGGCGCGGTTCAACACGGTAGCCAGGAGGTAGCGGTGCTGCGTTCTCTCCGAAAACTTGCTTAACGAGTCTTTTCAGACCTGTCGGTTGGAAGCTGGTCTGCAGAGGATCCGGCAGCGGCATAGCCGCAGCCGTTGAATGGCTGCTCACACTGCTCCCACTGCCAGTGTGTGCATAGCGTACACTTCCCAGCCGCTGAAACGCAAAACACCGTCGTGTCAAGCCGATCCATGACGCTCGAACAGGGAGTAACCACTCGGACATGGTGAACGGTGCGTTTTCAAGTGTCAGCCGGGCGAGGGTCCAACGCACGGCCTTTCCATATACAACGACTGGTGTCCAAGGCGGACAGATCGCATGCGGACGCCACTGCAGATGCCTCAAGGAGCCGTGCAGTGCAGAGCGCCCTGCGGCATGATCGGCGACGCTGGTTAGGCAGTCCTGTCCATTTGAATGAGTTATGTACAGTTTCTCTGTAGACGCCACTGAATGCACCCCGAAGAGCCGTGCAGTGCAGAGCCATGCGGCATGATCGGCGACGCTTGCCAGGCGCTCCTGTCCATCTTATCCAGTTATGTACTATTCCGCAGTGCACGGACGCGCGCGGCCTAGCGACACGCATTCGATTTCCCCTCGACGTTTGCCGATTTCGAAACGCGCACAAGCTAGCTGCGCCCTTCCAAACGCAGCCTTCTTGTAACCCATGCAAGAGCTGGCTCGTGAAGTTGACAGAGCCGCTGCCGGTACCGAACGCGTGTACTGTCGCCTCGAACAGGCACTGGAGGAAAGGGAACGGAAGCTATTCGTTTTAGAAAAGCGCGCAATGGCCGTTCGCTTGTTCCTCTCAAGGTTGCGTCCGCGCACGTTGGACACCACTGCGAGGTCTCGTAAAGGCAGCGAGCAGGGCACTGGTGAACCTTCCCGATCACAAACGGGCGTTGTACCAGCTCCAGTGACATCTTCTGCACCAGCGGTATCGGCATGTCAGGAGCGATCGCCACTTCGACTGCTGAACAGTGCAGGGCAAGGTACTGGAACAGCTGTGTCTAAGCATCGCAGGAATGCGTCTCCAAAAACAAACTTTAACGAAAATGTTTCAGGTGCGGAGTCCAGAAATTGTGGGACTGCCTCGGCAGCAACTCCGATGAACGTCCAACCGAAAGATACGGAAAGAGGGCCCGTACGGCTTTTCCGCTGGGCGGATCGCGGTTACCACTTCCTTGTGCGACCCACTGGCGAGACAAACGCGGACGCAGTGAAACCAGTTCTCAGAGAAGATCATGCAACCATCCGAAATGCGCAAACAAAGGCCATTGCTGCGGTTGCGGGTCTCACGCCCAGCCTCCCGGACTGGAATGGCATACTCGCAAAAGCACCGCCAATCCCGCCTAGAAAAGACGGTGTTCGGTTTCGATCTGCGCCCAAAGCCGCCCTTGCATCCAACACGGGAGCGATCCCAGCCAAGACGCCGGACATGGCGAGTCTTCCGCCTACAAAGCAGCCCCAGGGCCAGCAGCATAGCTCTGGAGGCGACGCTGCACCATTGCATGACGAGAGGGCGGCGACCAGCCCGGGCCTGCAGGTCTCCTCGAGCGCGTCACGGACAGGCGGCACACCGAAACGTTCCGTGCGCTTCGCGGAACCCGAAGTACAGATGTCAGCTGTCGAAGAGCGCTCGCTACAGAATATTCTGCCGCGACGTCAGCGCATCGTGACAAAACCAGCGTTTCGACAACGCTCCTGAGCATACTGCAGCACCACGTGAAACTAGTCGTTCTATCCGCAAGCTCATTGCGAGCGACGTCAATTGATCGTGTAAATCGAATGCATCCACTAAAGTTGGCGGCATCGCGAAAACACAGGAATGCTACACGAAACTCTTTCGTCCATCCGCGGGCTCATTGTGTGCAACTCCACGCCCATCGTGGACATCAAGTGCATCCACGATTGATGGCGGCAAGCACGCGCTTTGTTACCCCAGAAGAAGCATAAACCGCAAGCGATCGTGGCCGGCTTTGTACTGTTGTTCTCAAGATCTCCTCTATTGCTGATCTTGCAGCGGCGCCACGTCAAGCATCGGCCCCTGGCGCTCTACCAGAAAAACAGACCGCTGACGAGCAGTCCTTCTGTACGTTGCTATCGGAAATCGAATGACACAGTCTTATGTCTTTGCACCGACACGTTTTGGGTCCATGATCACCCATCGTCCGCTGGCCCGGCGTGTGCGGTCTTGTGAACGCAGTCACCATCGACAAGGCCGCGTTGAGGGTACGCTCTATCCACCCACGCACGCACCCACGTTACAGAGACGCCTTCGCGATCCTCGTTATCCTTATCAGAGCCGCTCCAAGAAGTTTCCAGGAACAGCCTTTGTCCCGCGCTGCTCGAAGAATCGCACGACAACGAGCGGTGTACCGTCTAGTTTCTTGACAACAATACCTTTGCCATATTTTGAATGCCTTACAAAAACCCCAGCGGCTAGTTTGGAGTCCGCGTTTGCCTGGACACGTGCTCGTTTCGATTCCGCCGCCCTGCTCCTGGCCTTCACTTCTCCCAGTACGTCTATGTCACCGATGCGTACCGGCTCCTTGCTGCCCGCGTGTGCTTGCTTGCACCGCAGCGTATATTCTTCACGTGGAATGGGGTCCAGGCGACCTTTCATCAGATCCCGGGCGCAGTGTCGACTGACGAGTTCGTCAGGTGCATCCAGGAGGAACCGGGAGAGCCATTCGGAGCCATTTGGGTACCAGGTGATTGTCAGGTGGCGCTTGGCGCGAGTCAAGCCGACATATGCCAGCCGCCTTTCCTCCGCGATCTGTGACTCTCGGGTACGACACAGCTTGTGTGGCAGAAGACTTTCCGTCATACCAACGATGAAAACTGCTTCGAATTCAAGACCTTTGCTCGCGTGCAGCGTCATGAGATTCACACAGCCGAATGCATCTTTCGGGGTGTTCTCGTCGCGGTTAGCGCCATGCACAAGTGCAACCTCATGCAGAAAGGTCACGAGAACGTCGCCGGCCGTTTGAGCACCCCTCTTCAGGCAGAGCTCCTCGGCTGTGGAGGCGGCTCGTGCGAGTTCAACGACGTTCTCTAGACGCTCCTGGACGCGAAGAGCGCTGGTCTCCTCATTGACAGCGGGTCCGTGGAGCGCTTGCTTGCGGACGTATTCCTCGTATTGCGTGTCTGCGAAAATTGTCTTAATCATGAGTGGAAGCACATAATACCTGCGGCTCATCTCGGCCACAGGTGTTCGCAGTAATCTCTTCCACCGCTCATACATCTCCAAAAACTTGAGCAAGATTTTGCGTTTCCGCGAAGTGACACCCAGCATGGCCACCTGTTCATCGGTCAAAGTCGGGGTAGTCTCGAGTTCAGCTGCACCCCGGGTTCCGTTGGAGGCGTTTTCGTCCACCGCTGGGGTTTCATGCACGGGCAGCGAGCGCGGTACGCTCGGTATCGCTTTGGAAACGATTGGTGTATCCGCATCGACATTGCTGAGCGCCCGAAGTGCCGCGATCGGTGTGCAGTTCAGGTGTTTCGCCCATTCGTACAATGCGGCGGTCGTTCGTTTGCCAATGCCGGAGACCGCAAAGCTCAATACCCGTTCAAAGCTTGCTGTATCGCCCTCGTGGAGGAGCAGCTTCAAACAGGCCAGCATGTCTGCGACCTCGCGCCGCTCGTAGAAGGGCAGACCGCCAACCAAGACGTACGGCACACCGGCATGTATGCAGGCTTCCTCGAGCGTACGGCTTTGAACGTTTGTTCGGTACATGATGGCGATATCTCGACCAGAGAGCTTGTGGCGTGCGACGAGTTCTCGAATTTGCTTGACCACGAATTCAGCTTCCGACTTGCTGTTCCTACAAAAGACCAAGCGAACGGGATGTTCGCCCTCTAGCTGCGTACGCATGCGTTTCTCTGGATGTATCCGTTCACGATCCTGTTGTATGACGTATTGTGCTAGATCTCCAATTGCTTTCGTCGAGCGGTAATTGTTCTCTAATAGGTAGACACGGGTTTCCGGTAGCGAATCCCGAAAACGCCGAACAGCGTGCATGTCCGCCCCGCGCCATCCATAGATACTTTGGTCGGGATCACCCACAAGAAACAACGGGAAATACTTCTCTGTTTCACGTTTTCTTTCAGCCAGTAATCGAATTACATGATACTGAGCTTGGCTGGTGTCCTGAGTCTCATCTACCATGATGTATTGCCATTGCTTCTGGAGCTCCAGACGAATGGCCGGGTGATTCCGAAGCAGGCGTCCCGCCTCCAGGATCAAATCATCAAAGTCGAGTGCCCCAAGCCGTCGCAGCTCCGACTGGTACACCGGAAGGAGGGTTTTGGCGCGTTCCACCATGTATGCAGTGATGCCACGAGCATCATAGGCCGGCGACCTAGAGGGCGACGGCTCGTAACCAAACTCCGCGCAAAATTGTTCCTGCTTCATCTCGGAGAGAAGCGCGGCGAACAACGCAATCTTCTTCGGGTCAATCATCGTTTCGCCATTTTCTTCGAGGATCCTGTGCAGCAGCCGCTTAGCATCCGACTCGGAATAGATGTTAAACTTGGAGCTAATGCCCATGACTGCGCCAAACCGATGCAAGATGCGCGAACAGGCCGAATGAATCGTACCAACAGTGGGAACGCTGTGCGAGGATTCCACTTCGGTGCCTTGTCGCGACTTTAGTAGGTCGATCACGCGTGCTCGCATCTCATCAGCAGCCTTGTTCGTGAACGTAACCGCCAATAAGTGCCTTGCCCTGAAGAGTTCTTTGATGATGAGGTACACCATTCGGTAAGTGAGAACCCGCGTCTTGCCTGATCCGGGGCCAGCCATCACCAAAACTGGAGCGTCAACGGGCGCCGTCGCGGCTGCAAACTGCTCGTCGTTGAGCTCTTTGCGGAGCCAGTCAAGAACAGGGTCCTGTTCCGGGGACTCGGTCGCGAGACGGATCGCAGCGACACCAGGTGAGCGCTTAGCTGTCTGTGCGCGCCGCAAACTGTCGACGCAGCGACAGCACTGCTGCTTCACCAGAAACGCAGTCAAGGCGCGGCTCCGGCCTGAGCCGGCTCCCAAAAACCGACAGTGGCGGCGACTGGCAACGCAGCTTGCTCCATTCGAGTACGTACTGGTCGTGCGGTTGTTCGCGTACGGTGGTATTTTGATAAAAGCAGAGCTCCCGGGAAGAATGAGCGCCTGAGTCATGGCGTATGCAGCGAAAGCGCCTCCCATAGGAAGCTTGCACCGTTTTCCGTCCTCTGGTTCACGGCGTTCACCTCTTCGAAGCGAGTGACACGTTCCCCGCCCGTGACGGAAGCTCGTTTGGATTTCCAGACGAAACCACGAACTTTTAGAGGACAGAGCGTTCGCAGACACACGGCATTGATCCTTGCCAGTGCTGGGTCCCAGCGATGGTCGAGTTTTCAAAAAAAAAGCAGCGAAACAAGCTTGGCGTTTAAAGCACACACCCCTCGTACACCGCCGAACGCCTCTCGCAGTCGAACGACGTCGCCGGCGGTGTGCAGTAGTGGCGAGAAACCGCGCCCTAGACAAGAAGTCACCAACTGATGTGCAGACGCCTCGCGGCCTTGTTCGACGGGTCACCCACTACTGCTTCCAGCTTTTTCTCATATGATTCAACCTTGAGAGGTTGTCCAGTAAAATTCTCTCTTGTCTACTCTGGAGGTCTCGTCTCCAGCACCACACATTTCCTTATATTGATAGCAGGATTAAAGTCACGATTCACGAACTCCATACGTTTCTTACTATCATTGGTTGTACTCACTAGTGCAAGCAATGCACGAACTTTCGCCCTCCTTTCCATTTGCTCTTCCGTCAGCGGTCCGTGCTTTTTTATATCCTCAGGGCTCCGTTGGCACGTTTCCATCTCGACCCTCTGAAGTGTGCATCCCAGTTCATGGTGTGTATAGGATATTCGGAACTCATCTATCGGTATCGTAACGAAACGCCGTGTGCACGCCTCATACATTCTTGTCGTTGGAGCTGGCCTCGTCCCTTTTTGGGTCTTCCAGCGCCCTGCTCCGTACGCTACTACGAGCCTCTGACTTTGATCCTCCTTCAAGGCGCTCAACTGATTGAAAAAGTTGACGAATGCACGCTGCCTCCCACAGTCCAGATTCATTCGCATACCGCGGCACGGGTCCAGGTGTGGCGGGTGGACGCGGCCAGCCTGATGTGCGCACTCCCTGCCCCAAAATTGATTCCAGACACAGGCCTGGCGGTGTCGTTGCTGGAAGACGCAACCGATTTGCAGACTCTATGGCAACACATATACCGTCAACGCAGAAAGCTCTGGAAATTGTAAGTTTTGGCGATCCGCTGAAGGGAGCACTTAGGTTGAACACCACTGCTTCTGTCCCGAAGCCTGGTCCGGGTCAGGTGCTCGTGAAGATGCGGTATGCATGCCTCCATCCTGCCGACGTGTTTGTCGTCCAAGGCGTGTACCCTGGGGTAGCCGCAGTGCGCGAACGTCGTCCTGGGTTTGTTGGCGGCCTCGAGGGTGTCGGAGAAGTTGTGGCGCAAGGTCCAGCGACCTCGCTTCCTGTCGGGACGCGTGTGATTCCAACACTTGCGGATCGCTCGGGCTGCTGGCAACAGTACCTCGTGGTGGACGAAAACCTCTGTATCAAAGTACCACAGGATATCGGTGATAAAGAGGCCGCTCAATTGATAGTGAATCCGCTGACCGTGGTCGGCATGTTGGAGCAGATCGAAGCGGAGGCGCCGGTTCACGGCAACCCGTGGATCGGACAGACAGCGGCGAACTCGACTCTCGGTCGTATGTTCATCCAGCTGGCGAAAAAGCGGGGCTTGTGCACGGTGAACTTTGTGCGATCGAAAGCATCTGTTGCGGAACTGAAACAGCTCGGGGCAGACGAGGTGATCGTTTTTGGCGAGGAGCCGAACCTCGCCGAGCGTCTCAACGCGATAACGAATGGACGCGGGCTCGCTGCCGTCGTTGACGCTGTTGGCGGCGAGATGGGCTCGGCTGCGCTGGCAGCGCTCTCCCCGGGCGGCCTTTTCATGGCATACGGGCTGCAGAGCGGCAAACCGACGTGTGTCATGAACAGTGATCTGATCTTTAAGGGCATCGTTGTCCGCGGTTTCTCGCTTACAACTTGGTTGAAGAACCAGAAGCCGACGATTTTCGAGGAAACGTTTGAAATGATTCGCAAAGGTGATATGCGACCGCAAGTTGAGCAAGAATATACACTCGAACAGTATGAGGATGCTTTTCGGGCACAGTTTGCCCCGAATCGAAAGGGAAAGATTCTGTTCAAGTTGGAATGAAACCTAAGAAGGCGGCAAAGAAGATCTCACCGGACATGCACACAGACGCACAAGCAGAACCTGCACTGCAGCCGAAGCAAGTGTCGAGTCTGCGATAGCATCGACTGGAGACAGCGTGTTCTTGTGCATCACTTCAGGCTGCGTAAGCATGCGCTCGAACTACATTCAGCACCTGTAATGTTGAGGGTATCGTGCACGAGGCACGCGCCAGCCTCTGTACTATATACGTGTCGAACGCGGGCACGCGAAGCATCCAGTTTCGACGTCGTATATCGAATGTGCTATGGTGCTTGTAGGCATCATTCGACTCGCTTGTCGCTGGGCACGGAACGGTGGCGATTGGCAATCTATCGCCTCAGAACGCGTACAGGACGCAAGAAAGAAGCGAGTTGCATAGAATGAGCGCCCAAGTTGGTGATGTGGATCTATACAAATCAGCATCTATCGGCAGATAGCATCCATGTAAAGAACAGTTTCTTGTAGGCATCATACGGTCGAGAAACGCTTACGCGTCGGATCAGAGGCCAGCAGGAACACCCCGTAGTTTGCAGCGCGCTCGAACCCTGCTGCTTCTGCTTCAGCGGACGCGAACGTATCGGTGATCCTGCTGGCCCTGCGTACCCCGTAGTCAAACAATGCGTTCGCCATTAACTCTCCATCATTCCTGCTTTCACCTTTCATTGTGTTCTGCACCCACGTACGCATAATTGATTGATTTATCCCGGATCTCAGTAGATGCTTTCGATGTGCGTTCATATGGAGAAATAGAAAATCCATTGGGTAGGTATGGACATGGAAGTCGAGGATCCAGGAGTATTGTCATTGCCGACTTCGACAAATAATTGCAAAAGCCCTCTTCTCGCTGACAATCGAGCGGAGAAGAGTGAGTGACGAACAAGCGAGGACATAGACCAGAAAAGGTATCTCTTGGACGCAACGGCCACGAGTCTGTAGTGGTACAGTGGGGCGCGAGTTTTCGGAATCCTTGCACTACTGAGGTCAACCAGAGGCAATTAATACATGGAATACGTGCGCTGGGACTTCAACGCGGCCATCACTACCAAAAGATGGGTTACTGAATACGAGACCAAGGAGCTGACGCGATCCAAATTTGTCGGGCAGCCTCTCATGCTCGAAGTATTCAACTAGAAGCTGAAGTCGATAGCAGTAGGCCTACCAAAAAAGACTGGCAGGCGTCTGCGAGTGGATATTCATTTGCCCTAGACGAGCGTGGGACATGTTTTGTTTCATTGACGATGTATCCGGAGTGCGGTACATGTCGCGCTGAAGATGACGCTTCTCGAGAGCGAAAGTCCACCCGAAGGTGATGCGCGATGCGCGCGGCAGCCGCAATTGCCGCGGGGGTTTTCTAAACTCCGCGCTCGACTGCTGTCGTGTCTGTTCAGGAGCCAAGCGTCCGATTAAGGTGCTTTTTAGCAACCTACTCGGTATTTCTAGTGCAAAAGAGCTGGATCTTGACTTTCTAAATCGTTCCGAAGAACTTCTCCGAAGACCCTACGTGAAATTCCTGTCGTTTCGCGGTCCACTGAAACCAAGTACGCTGTCGTACGCAGCGTCTGCTGCTGCACCACTAGGGAAGCAAGCCTTGCTACTGAGTAGCCATCAGGGTACACTGCGGCGATCGGTGCCTTGCAGGCTCATGGTGCTTCCGCGGCGCCGCCGTTCTGTGGTGAGTCCTCCGCTAGAGGCCGCGGCTCTGGTGTCAGAAGCCTGCGAAGCGACGCTGACGGGAGCGCCGCCTCATCAGCGCTTCGCTGGTGCGTTTCCACCAACGGCACTCAGGGATACGCTTCCACAACGCTCGGCTGAAACGCGGCCACTGACCGAGGTGACGGCTACGCGTCCCCATACCGTTGGGACGCGGTACTGGACGCGATCACAAGCTTGCGCAGATGCACAGCTGACTTCTTTTCAAACCGCATTTCAGCGTCCAACTTCGACACGTGCGTTTCCCGAGGCCCCTGCCGCACAGTCGACGGCTTGGAGGCAGCGCTCTTACCCGAGGGATGAGCGAGAGCCCGCTAAGCATCAGCAAAGCAAATCAGAAGATCCTTCTCTAATACCATTACTGGGGTTTGTATCGCGAACGCTGAACGACGAGCGCTGCAGTTCAACGCCGGTTTTGCGGGAAACGCGCTCCGATGTCAACAGTTTACGTTTCTCTAGAAGGGCATTGCCCGCGAATGAGCTGCAGAATTTCGCACCATACGATGACTCATGCTCGAATGACGAGCGCAAACCACATGCTTGCGAGCAGGGTGATGATGTCCAGACGCAGCCCGGGGCACTGTGCAGCGCCCAGACCGGTACAGGGGACTCGCCCCGATCAACGCGTCGCTGCAACGATAGTCTGAGCGAGGATAGGTGGCCAGCGGCGCTTTGGACGCTCGCCAGTACACTAAGTGCAGTTGGCGCTGCGGAATTGCAGCGAACACCAGACCGAGCGAAGGCCGCGCACCAAAATGCAGGATTCGCTGGTCTTAAAGCGTTATGCGTCCCCGACTCGGAATCATCAGATCCAACCAAGGCGGATATGATCGCATTTTGTGCAGCAGTAGGCAGTCTGCTGCTGCACATCGGGTGCAAGAATCCTTTCGGCATCGATGGACCAGAGTCGACTGCGCTTCGACGTGCCAGCGCGACTTCTGTTTCCTGGTATGCTGCCGGAAATCGCATGATCAGGATCTGCTTGAATATGATCGCGATGGGGCTTCAGCTCGCGGAGGGTGTGCTTGTTCCCCTGTTTGGGGTTTTCGTTGGATGCATGACACCACCGGCATCCGAGTCGTTCACAGCGACGGATGCCTCTGCTCCAGTCATGCCATGGCGCCGAGCCAGAACACTCGTTTTCATAGAGCGAGTTGTGCTGATCGGCATCGGGGCAGCCGAAGCGACGTTACTTGCGTTTCCGCAAGCGCGCGTGAGCAGGAAGCCAACTGGAAAAAACGCCATCGCCACTGATTCCTTGCTTTATGTCACTTGCATCTACCATGGTGTTTTGCTCGTTTTTCTCTTTTTGCTCGTCAGTATTCTTGGACTAGGCGTTCTCGTCGTGCGTCGTCTCTTTACCACTCGGGTAGCCAAAATGCTGGTTGGATTGGCGGGTCTCTGGGGCGCGGTCCATCTCTGCAGCCTGGATATTGCGCTGCGGCACCATGCGGTGCACGGACTGCGTCGATCCCGAGTCCTCGAGCTCCAACTTGAGCGGTTCATCCGCCGTCGTGATCCGTAAAAGGTTCACGGGTTGTCCAATGCGAACTGATGTCCAACCCAGTCATGACGGATACCGCGACGAGTATACCTCGAGCGCAGCGAAACGCGTCTATCCGGTATGGGATCAGTTGCACCGTGGCCTTGCCTTGCAGCTTCTACTACATTATCCTGCAGTGTTCGCATCCCGGGCATTGACCTTCGTTGACGTCGGAGACAGCGTGTCCACCACGGGTTTCCAACGAGTCATCAGCGATTTTCGCCAGGTATGTCTCTTCCGTCGAAGCAGCGTGCATTGTCCTGTGCATATCGCACTTCGACAGCAGACGTGCATCTCAGCGACCGCTGCCGCGATGATACCAATTGCCGTGACGATGGCGATGCATCACTCACACTGATCAGCTGCGGCCGTATTCGCGAACGAAGCCCGCCATCTCATACATCGTTAACGTTCAGCGGCATCGTTGCCCGAAATGCGCTTCGAGGACAATGCGCAATGACGTCCGCGTGTGCTGCTCATGCTCCGTAGCTGTTCTGGGCAGACCCTCGGGTCGTCATGGTACTGGATACCCCAAAGACAGCAGACCAGGTGCGTCCTCTTTTACGCATCAGTACTGCCAAGAAGCTGCGTAGCGAATCATTATTCGGGCGCCACGTATAGAACAAAATCGCCTAGGCACCGCCTCTGCCTCGTCATTGCGTCCGAGGAGCACACCGCCTGGCTTATGGCGAAATTCGGCCACGATATCGCGGATACAGACATACTTCTCGCACGTGTCGCACTCCGAGCACATAACAACAGAATCGTTCGAGTCCAAGCCCGTAGCCGCCGTGAGGGCAGGATCCAAACTTGCGTTGATCCGTATACCAGTAGTACGGCTTGGGGTCGATCTGCTCACGGGCATATGCGTCCATGAGCTGCTTGTATCGCCAGATGCGCATACTGCCGCCAACGATTTCCCCGACTCCCGGCATCAACAAATCTACGCTTTCCGTCAAATCCGGCTGATCGGTGCACGGCTGCATGTAAAAAGCCTTCATGGAAACCGGAAAATGCGTGAGGAAGATCGGCTCACCGATCTGATCCGTCATAAGTCGTTCCGGCCGTTCAGGTATGTCATCTCCGTATTCGAAGTGAATTTTCTGTTCCTCGTCCTTGTAGATTTCGTGCTCCCGACAATACGCAATCGCATCAGCGTAGGTCAGGCGACGGAACGGTCGTCGCGGAACCACGAGCTCAGGGTTGAGGTCCCGGACGAGGTCACCGGCCTTGGCGAGCACTCGAGCGATGACGTCGCATACGAGATCTTCGATAGCGTCCAGCAAGTCTGCGAACGTTATGAACGGCATTTCAGCTTCGATATGATGAAACTCAGCCAAATGGCGGCGTGTATCGCTCAGCTCAGCTCGATACGAAGGCAATACACAGAAGCAGTCTCCGACAGCTGGAATGCCGCTCTCCAGATACATCTGGCTGCTCTGGGTCAAATAGGCATTGATACCAAAGTAGTCAAGCTTAAAGAGCGTGCTGCCGCCTTCGCACATGGTATTCACGATCGTAGGCGGAGCGAGTTCCACATACCCGCGCTGGAAGTAGTGCTCACGAAAGCATTGCGTTATGAGAGAGCGGAGTCGCAAGGTCGTCGACGTTCGGCGGCCGCGAATCACCAGGTGTCGGTTGTTCAGTAGAATATCCGGATTGGATTCATGGGTGAGCACCATCTCTATCTCGGGTGTGGAGGGTGCCACGAGCTCCCAAAAGTCGGCATGCAGCTCGAGACCGCCTTTGGCGCGGGCGTCGTGGCGAACGGTGCCCCAGACTCGCACGCTGGCTTCGCGGCAGAGCGTCAGCGCATCATAAGTCATACACAACTCGTTCGATAATACGCACTGCATGAAACCCGTTCCATCGCGCAGCTCCAGGAATGCGAGACGTTTTCCGTCCATGCGCCAGTGGTGCACCCAGCCGGCCAAGCACACACGCTGGTCGACGAACTTCTCCGGAGAAGCGAAAATGTCCCGAAGTTTGCAGATCAGCGGCTTTGGCAGGGACGAATCAAGCTCTATCCTCACTTGCCGGGCCTCTTCTAGTCGTTCGCGTTGCTCTGTTGCAGCGTTGGCTGCAAGCTCTGCCGCTCGCGCCGCTTTGCGCTCCGCCAGAGCCGCCTGTCGTTGCAGTTTCTTCAAGCGAGTTTTCGGAAGCTGTTGCCGTTCTTCTTCGCTCATCTTTAAGTAATCATCGAGAGATATATTTGAAGTTCCTTGCTCGATCTGCTCCATCCTCTGTCTTTACCGTCGACACGCGCTATAGCGCCTCGTTTCCGCACATGAGTTACGGGGCAATGGTACCAGCACCCTGCACGTCGCGCATCGAGCAAAGACAGATTTATCCAGTGTTGTCCCAGATTCTGTACGCCACCGGGCTGCGTAGACGGCACACGTCGCGTTGTGCCCTCAGGGCCGGCTGCGCTGTGCCCCAGCAGGCGTAGTGCTGCACCGGTGCCCGCTACATTGCTCGTCATGGATAGGGACACCGATGCCATGCATAAAAAAACTGTAAGCGAGGAGTCCAAAGGCTGCGTTGTTTATCGATTCACGTGTGCTCGAAGAACCTGCGTCAACCTGGGGATCTTGAACGCAATGGGCATGAAGGTGCACCATGATCGAAAGCCGGCTCTATGACCGGTTGTCTCCCGCTGCATATAGCGCTAAGCGAGCAACTGGAATCGATTACGAGGTAAGTATCCGATGCTGCCACATGCGCTGCCTTGATGTTCGAACCAATTTCAACCCGGTTGGTAGATCAAAGACAAGTACGTAGCCGCCACCGTCACGACAATGGACGACGAAGCGTCGCACCGTTTTTGCGATGTCTGTACAATGCTGTGCGTCTATATGTGCGTGTGTGTCGAATCTGTGTTTGAGCGCATGTCCATGCTTTTCTGGTAGAGCACACGGAGACAAAAACGTCTCTTGTCGCCCAGACAGCATCAAGCGCTACCTGTTGGTCCATCGCTGCACCAAGGCCCCAAAACTGACGTAAAGCGTGAGGTTCTCAAGCGAAGCATCATGCCTCCCCAGCATATTCGATTCATCTTATATTTCTCGGAGACATCACACATCGATTTTGTGGTCAGCGCATGTAAGTAACGAGCTGCATATCTAGACACCGAGAAAGAGCGCGCTCCGAAGCAGGTCCCGGGCACTGCGCCAGAAACGATTCGAACCTCTAGCCGCGATTCGAGTGCCCGGGGTCTGCAGCCGCTTCCGCTGACGGGTCCGGTGAGCGTAGATGAGCCAGCCAAGAGCAGCAATACCAGCACATGTGTAGGTTACGAAATCGGCAACAAATGCAGGATCATGCTGAAACCTGTGGCGTAATCGCTGCAATGATGCCGAAACTCCCATAGGCAACCATGAAGCAGCCCCCGACTCATCTGCAGCTCGTACATGCGCATTGAGAACTTGTCCGCGTTCATCGGTAGAATAGCGCAGGGTTGTCTCGTCTTCCGCTGCGCAAGTGCGACTCGTAAGCTCATTCCGTTCGAGGGTCGACTGCTCGTCGAGTTCTGCGTCGCTGGTCATGCATCGCTTCGCCAGGGATTGCAACGCCTCCTTCGAGACCCACTGATGCAGGGCATGCGTCAGTGCATCTGAACCTTCAGCGGAAGAAGTACTCATGGCATGCTCGAGCACTGCAAGGTGTCTTTCGAGCCAAGCCCGCCGCTGTTCACGACCCGGAAAGCGCAGCGCTTCGCCGAAGAGCACGCCACGGAGCCAGACCCGCTCGAGCAGGTCCCTCGTGTCCGCTTCGCCCCAGCGCGATGCTTCCACTGAGTTGAAGAAGGATTCCAAGCACGTTTTGGCTATCGACGCAGCCTCGTCCGGTTCTAAGAAATTGGCCAGAACACTGAAGCAACACCGAACCAGTGGAGGGCACCTCCACGCCGACCCGACAGTGTCGTTCTTATGTAAAAGTTCCCGAGCGAAGCGAACAGCTTCTGCTTCACGTCCCAGCAGGCATAGCGCTTGCAACTCGAGCGCACACCACTCGGGGAAGTGTTTCGAGTTCGCTTTCCGTGAGCGGCAAAAGTGCAACACCAACACACCGTTCTGGCGCATGAGGAGCGAGACAGCCTGCTTTAGCGCTAAAGAGTCGTCATCAGGGACAAGCGAGCTAGTGACTGCGTCTGGCATGCCAATGTTTTTCTTTCCCCGAGTTGATTGAAGCGCCATTGTTGAGCGCGAGCACGAAGTCCAACCCCGGTTGGGGTCCAGTGCGCCCCGCGGTAAGCGATGACCTCGCGGGGGTGCGTCCACCTCCTGCAGTCCGCAAAGCCAAGCTAACTCGGCTGGATTTTCAAGTAGTTTTGACTGAACGTTGCACAGGAAAAATGTATCCCGCGACCCGCGTCATGCAGTGCAAACCAGGTCAGACAGCCAATTTCAGTCTTCCAGCTCAGTTTTGTTCCATCCTCGCTGCGGTGTACAGCAGGAGATCGAAATCATGATACAATGTACCGTATAGACCGTAGAAAATTGTCTCTAGGGTATATATCTTTACTGTACAGTGCAAGAAGGACGGCATTCCTCCTTCAGGTCGGTCATACCACAGTACTCAGATGGCTAGAGAACTCTGAAAGAAAGTAGATGCGCTCCGCGTCAAAAACCGGTATTTTCAAAGCGTGCTTGCTGTCAATGGAAGAAAACAACACGTTTATCATCTTACAGGAGGCAGTGGTGGCGACTGAAGCCGCCACGGGCGTCTCGATTTCTCAACAGCTTGTTCGTGAGATCCTGAAATCGCTGGGATAAAGTCGCAAGATAGAATCCTAGCTCGTGCACGGCCATTTTCCACCGAAATCAGAATGACAGGTTCCGTTAACGTCCCGATCAGTACGAAACAAAGGGACTTTATTTTGCTTTTTCAGTCGATGAGACTCACTTCGGACGAAACGATCGGAGCGTATATGGGTATTCGCGGAGCAGGGTGCCCGTTGTATGTAAAATTGAGACTGGAGAGAACCTTGCGCTTATTCGTTCTAGCTGCATTGGATTCGTTTGAAGGTCTCAGTTTCGCGCATAGAGAAGGCTCATACAACAGCACATAGTTCGTCGAATCATTGAAGAATTTCCCCTGAAGCCTGGCAGCGCTCCTTCCATTGGGGTATCTTTCATTTCACCTTTCTCTTGCGTTGGAGTTGTTACCGATTCTATCGGGATAGAGCTACGCTTCATTCCTCCGTACTCTCCATGGTTCAGCACATCGAAGGAACGTTATCTATCGTGAGACATGATGATCGCACCACTGGGTGAATCGCTGAAGCGTTCAGCAAACCGAAATACACCAGGAGCACATGATGTATTCCTTCGTCAAGTCCTAGACCCTCCAGGAAGTTCGTCATCCATGGGCATAAAGAAGTGCGTTGATTTTGAAGAGATAAAAATCCAATGTAAAAGTATGTTCGTTCAAGTCGAGGATCCTAGAGACCTGGTGTCGCCTGCTGCCGTAAAAATACGGAAAACAGTGTCGAACCCAGAGTAACAGGAGACGACGAAGAAGCTGAGGCAGGAGGCCAGACACCAAAAGCAATTCGAAAGACAACAATACGGCGAGAGGGTGGTGAAAGTCTATCTTCATGGGCTTATCAAGGGTTCCTACATGCAAAATTTGCGGGAGGCTATCAGAAACCGTTTCGCGTCCTGCTGCACGAGTATGAAAAAGATTTCTTCATGACTACAGCATTTGGTGAAGGAGATGCTGGACGACGTCAAGCACAGCCAGACAGTTGATATTCCGGGAGACTTTGTCAGCTCGACCTTTATCGGCCACCTTATGGTTTGAACAGTGGAAACGCTGAGGAGAAATGAGGGAGTACACGCCTCCACGAAGATTACGTCGAATACCGCTCCAGCGGTTCTCGATACAGGCTTGACTCGCGTATTTGCGGACACGGGGCGACGAAGTACCTCACGAATCTGAAGAACCGTATTCACCATGAACCTCAAACACTTCATGATACGCTCCGGCTTTGCGCTCTAACCAGGCCTCTCTCCCAAGAAGAGATATGGGCCAGTATCAATGGCATCATGAACGATCGTCGGGATGAAGGCAAAACTGATTCCGTCAACGACGATACGTCTCACAGTATCACGAATGACGATTCTGTGATCCATACAGCTATTCAAGAGCATTGCGCGGTTCTGGGGCTGGTCAACCATGCAGAAAAGGCATCGGATATGAAAAAAGATGTTATCCCCTTATTCTGCTCTGTTTCGTGTTTTCGAACCGAGAGCTCGAACGCAAGACGAATATGGATATTGTTGAAAATAATGATGCAGATTCGGTGAAACGGAAGGTTGCGCTTCTGGAGAAGCGCTTTGACGTCGCTGCGTCATCCAACATCAAGTCACACTTTGGGACCATCAACTCCAGAGTCCTTTACGGCATCATGAAGGAGACAAGTCCGGGTCCGATGTAAGCAGCACGGAGTTCACAGGCGAAAAGCGGGAAACGTATTGAAAGAATGTCCTCGTTTCGGAACGGCTCGACACGAGAAAGAAAAAGGCATTCACGTGAACGATCGAACGCGATACGGAATATCCATGTGCGTTCACTGCTGGCGCTTGAGGGTGGCTCGTCCTATTCTGTCTTCGCTGTCGCCTATGACGAAGCATGAAAAGAAAGAGGCGGGCCCCGCGATGTATGGAGTACAGGTGAACGACGTTGTCGTCAGCGTGGACCCAGGGAGGAAGGATACCATGTCCATCGCTGCGCCCAAGCGTGGGACGGATTTTCTTCCAATAACAAATCGTTTCCATTGACCATGGATCCCAGAGTGCGGAACCGATATTGGCTTTCGGGAAAGTGTCGATCATGCTGCTGCACCCTGCATCCAAGTTCCATCAACTGTTCTGGGATGTACTCGTCTTTTTGTACGTTCTATCGGCCGCGGAGTGCCTGCTTTGAGGGTCCGCCTTTGCGCCTATGCAGCTGGAGCGGATGCCTCATGGAGACAGGGCGGCATTGCCATACCACAGACGGCGTCCGCTCGAGGTGTGTTTCATACGATATGGAATCGGGATCCATAACTATGCTGCGAGCCTGCAAGCTGCGCAGACAGACCTTCTGCTCGCGACAGCGCGAAGCGATTTCATAAGAGTTTACCGAAACCAGGCCGAGGCCCAGATGCAGCATGCTCGCTCCGGGTCTCAGAATAAACTCCGTTTCGGACGAGCTGCTTAGATCTCACAACACCATCCGTTACTGGGAGAAGCACGGAGCGCAAGCCCGGTAGAGTCGTCTGGCTCGCGGGACCTTTCGCCAATACGTAAACCTTTTCCCCATTTTAAGGTTTACCGGAGAGGCAGGAACGAAGTTGTTATCTCGTTGCTAGTTCGTGTTTCGTTTCTGTCCTTTTTTTCCATACAGCACGCTCGATAAACGCACCTCCATATTTGGCAGATCGCATTGGCGACCCTGGAGCCAACGCCCTCTGTACTACGACAACGCCATTGTCTCCGTACAGCGACCGCACCGGCGCTATAGGCGCCATTGCTGTCGCTTTCCGCAGGCACTAGGCACACACGATACAAAGTGTGAAACGACCAGAATATCCGAGAAAAAGTATGGGTGATGCAACTTGGAGGTAGGGCGTTTTGATGGATACTTCAGCGTGCACTGAAAAACCCACAAAAAGAGAGGAAAATGCGCATAATCGGAGAACACTGACCTACGTAAACGTTTTGTCCATGGAAAAATAGTATTGGCGACAACCTGCGCCAGAATGAGATGCATCCGTTGGAGGTCTAGCGAGCTTGAAACTACCGATAGTCGGGTATGACGGAGCCGTCGAAACAAGTTACGACTGAACAACCGGCACTAAATAAGTACCGGGATGCGATGAAGAAAGTCACGTTTCGAGGAGCGGAGTTTGAAGCTGTTCGTGAGTACAGGAAAGTTCAAAACACTCATACCGACGAGCTGTGGAAGGCGGTCTGCATCGGCGGACAGGCCCCCACCCCGCCACCGTATGTGTTTGTACGAAAGGAAGAAGCGTACAAGTGTCGATTTCTTGAGATAGCTGAGCACCTTAAACGAGGATGAGGGTCAAAAGCTTTTAGCGGGAAACTGGTCAGGGCACTGCTTGCCCCAAAAAGGGAGAATATTGGTTCTTTTGGCGCGCGCGTACAAGGAGAGCTCGCAGCGTTTGGTCGCGGTACCGATAGCTGTGTTCCGAACGAGCAAAACACAGGCTGATCTGGGGTTTACACTTCCGAAGGCTGATGTTGAGAGAAGGCAACGGAGCGGTTCGGCGTTGGAAAACCTCGGACAGCTGATAGAGCAGCACATGCCGCAGGGGGCGCGAGTTCGAAGAAGCCTCGCCTGAATGAGCTCCACGAGAGACTAAAACGCGTGGAGTTCGTGAACCGAGACTTCAACGCCGTCAAGGATATCAGGTGTTGAGTGGTGCTGAAGACGAGACCGGGGAAGCTGACACGTGCGAACTTCGTGGGGCAACTTTTCCAACACGAAATGTACAAGGAGAAACTGAAGCCGATAGCAGGGGAGCCAGTCGAAGAAGGCTGGGCGGCGTCTGCGAGGGAGGATGTCTGTATACCCTCCATGGCCGTTGAACGTTTTTTTGTATTGCTCAGTGTTCACACAGTCCTGCATCCGCGTCAGATATAAGTCTACAAAAGAACTGCACACCCTGTTCCTGCATTTAGATTTCCCTCTGAACTTGTTCAGATGCAAAGCGCTGACTTTCATGGAGCACCAATAAAATGCTTACGGATTCGTATACACTCTCAGGATTCTAGGTCGGTGGTTCTTCTTTCTCGCGGAGCGACACGTTCAACGATGTGCCGCTGCAACTCGTTACGTCACCAGAATCGAGACGATTCGGGACACCCGCGAACAAGGCATCGTAAACGAATCGATACTACCGTTGTATGCATACGCGCTAGACGCCTCTCTTCTTCTATCTTCACTTGCAGCCCGCTCCGAGTATCCAATCTTCAGGTTTTCGACCTTGCTATTCCGAGGCAACCCAGTGGGCGCGCCACCTCAAGCACCTGGACGCTTTCGGAACGTTCGTCGACGCCGTCCGTTAACGACTTGCTCACAAGCTCGAGCCGATCGCTCACCGTACTTCGCAAGTCAGAGCGTCGAACTCGGCCGAGGAGACATATCGCCCGGCTCCTTGCTAACACCGCTGAGACGGCGTTCGACGCAAGCACGGTACCCCACAGGGCACGGACGTCCAGGGGTGCTCGGCTCCTGCCCGTCCATGGGTGCTCGGCTCCTGCCCGTCCATGGGTGCTCGGCTCCTGCCCGTCCACGGGTGCTCGGCTCCTGCCCGTCCACGGGTGCTCGGCTCCTGCCCGTCCACGGGTGCTCGGCTCCTGCCCGTCCACGGGTGCTCGGCTCCTGCCCGTCCACGGGTGCTCGGCTCCTGCCCGTCCATGGGTGCTCGGTCTCGGACTCGGATACCAGCTCTCCCGGCACTCGCTTCCAGCGGAGCCTGTGTCACCGCTTTGCAACCAGGGATCGGAAACGGCTCGGAGTATGTCGACGACTTCTCGAGTGTGAAGCTTCCGTCTGCTCCGTGCTCTATCACGGACAGCACCGCGTTTCACAGATCCTCTGCGTAATGCAGAAGCCTTCGCTTGCGTCTGCCGCGGACAGCGTACTCGCCGAGGGGATCGCCCTGAACAAGTTCGTGACGACAGTGTACGGTACCGGGCGCGGCAACGGAGCACGGCATCGAGCGACGCCTTCTGTACTCGTCAGGGGCGTGCACCGAGCACTGGAGGAGTCCTTCACGCCGCACAGCGCTGCACTCGGTGACGGGTGTGCGCTGGACATGTGGCGTACCCGTCAACAGCAGTCGAGTGCGACCGCTGCGCAAAGCGCATCGGCGCTGTATTCGAAGAAGACGAAGCTGGCAAGCGAAGCATGGATTGCAAGTCTCGCCTGTGGATGAACTGCATCGACAACAGCCGGCAGCTGTGAGATCGGGACTCGGGCGCTGCCACGAGCATCCTTCGACGGGAGACCGTGGAACTGCGGGGTCCAGAGAGACTGGCGTGTCCAAAAATCCCGAGGTGCGAACGAGAGCAAGTACGCTGTGTCGGAAGAGGCCTACCGGGTCATTTGTTCATGACAAATACGAGATGCTCCGCATTTCGTGTGTACGCCCGATTGAGCGCTGTGGGCCCGTTCCATGTATGTCTGATATGGGGGTCGAGGGCGCATGTTTTCATGCGTTCCATTGGATAGAAAAACTTCTCGTAGGGTCTGCGCATCCTTCATGCGGTTTCGGCACAGATGACGACTCGCTCGAATGCAGCCACTTACCGAACTAGGGCGGAGGGCGCACTGCGGGCAGGCCTCTGCAGCGACTGCTGAACATGGTACTTTTCGTGAGCGTTGCGATGAGGCACGCAAAACGTACATGTTCTGACGCGGAGAACTGGGCGTTGCAAGTTTTGCCGCATAAATTCTAGATGAGCAGTTTATATTCCAGCGATGCAATGTGCGGAGATGCGCTATATTGGAAGCAGAAGAAGCTAGGCGCCTGCCGTGCACGATGTCCTTGTCTCGATGGGAACGCCTCATCACAGCATCGCGGTTCTGCAGAAAATGAATCCAGGCAGATGCGTCGTCCCCAGCTCAATAGGTACCGAGCGCTTGACCTCGTCCAGTCGGCACAGGAGTCATGTGTGCTTCAGTCACTCACTGCCGATGGATGACACCATTTAGAAAACCAGTTTCACCTGTATCTGCATGAGAAGCTGGAAACAAAATGTTTCTAGCGAGCAGCGCCTTTACAACGCAGGAGCTGGGCTTCGCATGCTGCGCTCAAAGCTTCCCTGGATATGCTCGGAGCTAATGATGGGATACTATTGTCTAATACCACCTTGGATGCATCCAAGGTGCACCGCTTGACCGTAGATGTAGCGTGGAGCCTTCCCAGCATCCACGCTGATTTGGTGAACGGAAGCTGTCGTCTGGCATGGCCTGGGGTTATCTCCACGCTCCACAGCCAGCAGATAGAGGAACCTACACGGAAACAGCCATATCTGCGCGTATCTGTTCGCCCATACAACTGGACATACCGCTGGGCGAGACCTTCGCAGTACCCGCTGCCAAGTACTTCACCATATAGGGCCCTTCGAGTGTGTAACCCAGTTTGCGATAATAGTTTCGAGTGCCAATGCCAGAGATAACCGCGAGCTTGCAGCTGCGATGCTCTTCGCGAGCGATCCGCTCCGCTTCTTCCATGAGGAGCGTACCGAAGCCCCGATGCTGAAATCGAGTCGGGTCTCGTTCGTGAACGGGCACCACTGTCCCGTAGACGTGGAGCTCGCGCACCACAGAGCAACCGGTGCCTTGCCCAACGCCACTATTGCTCGAATCATCCCCGGCAGCTGTGTCTTCAATACGCAGTTCCATCCGATGCGTTGTCTCTTTGCTGAGGCGCCGCAGTCGAAGCAGTGCTACCAAAATATCCCGTACCGGATCTTCGTAGGCCAAGAAGGTCTCCCAGCTACCATTCGCCACATAATCGCGCCGAACAAGTTCAATAGATTGCGGTCGAACTGCTTCATGGATTTCCCGGATACCAACTTCACGAGTCCGCACGTCTCGACAACGTAGTCCCAGGTCGCGCATTCGTGCTAACACCAGTTCCCGAAGGTTGCCAAACTGTACACCGCTGGTGACCAGCGGCATCGGAATATCACGCTGGACGCGGTAGACTCGTACCCATGGTGGTACTAGAGACAAGAGCTCCGCAACGTGATCAACAAGCTCAGGAGGTGGCATACTGCGATATTTTCCCGCTCGCCACAGCTCATAGAGGCCCGTGTTTGCCAGGATCAGCGTCGGATATATTTTCAGACCATCGGCGCGAAAGGCCGGGTTCTCGAAGAACTCCCGGAAGCACTCGACATCACGCTCTCGATCCATATCCGGGAGGTTTGGCATCAGGTGGGCGACAACTTTGTAACCGGCATCCTTGGCGAGCTGGAAGCAGCGAATGACGGCCTCAACCGTGTGACCCCGATTGGTCAGTCTCGCGATATCCTCGTAGACGCTCTGCACCCCTATTTCTAGACGGGTGCAACCGTATTGCAGCATCGCGTCTAGATGTGTTCGTTGGCAAAAGTCTGGACGAGTCTCTATGGTGAGCCCTATGCACTTGTATCTGGCGCTCTGCTCGCCGTAGCGGACCGCCTCGGCAACACTCATGGACGCGTGTCCCGAGAGCGCGTCGTGAAGGTTACGAATAAACCAATCCCGGTAGTCTGCAGGCAAACTCATGAACGTACCGCCTTGAATGATAAACTCCACTTTGTCAGCTGCGTGACCAAGCGATTGCAACTGATCGATCCTAGAGCGTACCTGAAGGTAGGGATCGTAACGCGCCCTAATCGCTCGCATACTCGTCGGCTCTAACCCAGTATAGGACTGAGCAGAGTACGGGAAAGACGAGTCGGGACCCCCTGGACAGTAAATACAGACGCTGCCGGTCGTGTAGATGTGAGGGCAACGGTGCGGCTTCGACATCACGGCAACGATGATGATTCCCGACGACGAGCGTACCGGCTTGACGCGCAGCTGTGGAACGAGTACGTCGCGGTATTCGTCTGGCACAGCAGCCACTATGTCCATGAGCTTTGGTACTCCATTAACACCGAAATGCTTTGCAGCTTCTAGTTTTAACCGATCCAGCGAAACGGCCTCGTCGTTTTCGTAGGCTTCAATGAGCTTGCGAATGATGTAGTCGATGACTTGACTTGTACTCATAGTAAAGAGTTTCGAAGCGAGAACAACGTCTCCTCGCTGGTTTACAAGCGTTTAATGGCACCAGAAGGACGCAGTAACAACACAGCTCCGGAAAAGCGGATATCAACGTTCAGACAGGTGCACGTTGTAGAGCCCGTGGCTCTGCTCGACTGCCTCAGAGCAGGACGCGCCCGTCCATACCGCTTCCATAGCTCTTTGGCTGTACCGCAGCTCCACTGTGGAGAGCACTTTTCTTGCGCACCTTGCGTTTGGGTATAAGTGATTTCAGGATCTGCAGGTCGGTGCTGAGGAATAGTCGCTGGTCAAGCGAAAAGAAAGGGAGTGGCAACCGGTCTGTGGCTCGAGGTACAAGCGCTTTCTGCCGGGCGCTCCGGCACTTAGCCCTGCGACTTGACGCGTACTCTCAAGCTTTGCGTTTGAGAAAGTTCGCGGACGAGTCGCCCGGTATACGAATAAGAAGCGAATCTTTGATCTGGACGTTGGACACTCCTGTACACGAAAGACCCAGGTGTCTCGTAAAGCCCCAGCTGCTGCTGCTGCTATTGGCTTGAGGTCAGAGGTTCCCGCAGGCAGCGCGCCTCTCGCCGGACTAGGCACATTCGTGCTACCTCAGCGCAAAGAACGCTCTTGTATTTTCTTGAACAACGGTTTTGGGGCGTTTATACGGGGAACTCCTTCTGTCTTATGAACAACTGCGAGCATGCCGCGGGGTAGATTGGGTGCCCGTGCAACGGGCCTAAGTCGTGGTTCTCGCGTTCGCCCAAAACGAGGCCGTTTGCTGCTAGAGAGCGACGCAGCTAGCGCTCAATCAGCCAAGGATGAGACGCGCTCGCCTTCGCCCTCAGCAGATACCTCCTCGGTCCTCGCTGAGGCATCCAGTCCCGGGCGCTCCGACGAGACGCCGGCCTCGGAGCCGCCGGTAGTGCCAGAACGGCGCACCCGCCGACACAAGCAGCATCCTACGAACAAGCACGGAGGCGTTTCCGTCGAAGAGGACCACACTCCTGGTGGACTCGGTGTGACGACACAGTCTCGAGATGGTAGCCGCCGTGAAGACGAGGCCGTCGACCAGTCGCCGCGGCGCGTATCCTCCGTTGAAAAAGAGCGCGTGCAGGACCTGCACTTGCTGCAGCAGCTGCTCCGAGCCTGCAAACAACGAAAGCCCTGGACAAGCTCTGCCATCATGGATTGTGAAGAGGTGACTGAGCCGCATCCGATGCCGCTGGTCACCAATTCAGACGAGAAGCAGAAGCAGGACCTCGCCAGTGCTGGGAACGCACCTGCGAGCACTTGGGAAAGTGTTGCGGATGCCGACCAAAGCCGGGCTCCACAACCTGATAGGCCTGCATGGCTGTCCATGCTAGAGCAGCTCTCCTGTGTGCTGCACGTGTACAACCTCTTGACGGATGCGATCTTCCGTGAAGCTTGTGAGGAAGCTTTTCGAGAGGAGTACTTCTCGCGCATTCTACGCACCAATGATCGAGCACGCATCCACAGTCCGCTCTTCGAAGCGCTTCGCATGACTAGCCTGTTGGATGAAGATACCGTAGAAACGCCTTTGAATGGATGTACGCAGGCTCGGCAAGCAGCCCGTGAGGGTGTCCTCGTCTGTTTTCATTGCAAAAGTTCTGTTTCAGCCGCTCGGTATGCGCAGCATCTGGAGAAATGTTGGGGTGGTGGGGGACGGCAAAGTTCCCGCGTCGCCGCAGTGCGACTCCGCCAGGCCAGCGCCCGAACCGTGAACGAGAGCTCGGAGCAGCTCCCCAGGAATGCTGCAGCAACAGGGAATCATCTGGATGAGGATAACGGCTCTGCGGGAACGGACACTCTGCGTCCTGGTCCTCGAGCTTCCTCTGGCAAAAATGAGGGCGGCCAGCTCACAAAGACGAGTGCTTCTGTGGAGCCCGAAAATGTTCCGCGGGAAGGGCGGTGGTTTCCCGGAAGACCCGACGAAGGCCCCGAAGCGTCAGTGGAGCAGCGTCCCGTATCGGGCATGCAGACTGGTTTCCATGACCAGGGCGTCATTCAAGAGCCGGAGCAGCATGAAGGCCGCCCAGTTTCACTGCGGTTGCCAACAGAAAGGATCAGTGATGGAAATGAACCCGCGGAAGACGAGGCAATAGGCAGTGAAGACGTCCCTGGTAGGATCCATGACGACGATGCTGATGACAACGTCGAAGACGGTAACAATGTAGACGACGACCACGACGACCACGACGACGACGATGATGATGATGACTTCACGCAGCGGCCGCCAAAAGTAAGAAAGCGCTCCACCAGTCGCCGACGTCCCGAAAGGCGACGTCGTGGTCGATAGCTGTCCTTCAAGTTGTGTTTTCTATAGACAGGTCACTGTATGGCGACTTCGGGTACTCGCTATGCTGAACATCTTCGATTGCCAATTGCGCTTTGGCTCCACGCTCGCTCGGTCATATAGAATACTCCGTGCACCCAGCGTAGGAACATATGTAGGGGCGGCGCTATCATACAGGCAAGGAAAGGTGACGCGCAACGCATAGGAACCTGCTGAGCGCGCTTCACGCTCATACAATGGGGGCACTAGCTATTGCTCCAACATCGGGTAGACAACCGCACGACAGTTTCCTGGAAAAGCATCTATCATGAATCCTTTAATAATGTGCTTTGAAGGCTTGTGTACGGGAAGCGGTGCCGAGGTAATCAGCAGGTTCTGAGACAAGTGCCGTTGGTCGGAAACATAGAGCGTTTGAGGTTCATACAAGGCGCGCCAGCCTCTCGCGAGAGCAACAATAAACCAGTGCGCTCGCTAGAAGCATTCAAGTTAAGCTCAGGAACCTTGGTTTGCACCGCAAACCAACCCTGGCAGTCATCGCTACTGGAAAACCATATTGAGACCCACAGCTTCGGACGTAAATGCCTGCGTTGGCAGTTGCAGACACCCGCGTCAGATATAAGTCTACAAAAGAACTGCACACCCTGTTCCTGCATTTAGATTTCCCTCTGAACTTGTTCAGATGCAAAGCGCTGACTTTCATGGAGCACCAATAAAATGCTTACGGATTCGTATACACTCTCAGGATTCTAGGTCGGTGGTTCTTCTTTCTCGCGGAGCGACACGTTCAACGATGTGCCGCTGCAACTCGTTACGTCACCAGAATCGAGACGATTCGGGACACCCGCGAACAAGGCATCGTAAACGAATCGATACTACCGTTGTATGCATACGCGCTAGACGCCTCTCTTCTTCTATCTTCACTTGCAGCCCGCTCCGAGTATCCAATCTTCAGGTTTTCGATCTTGCTATTCCGAGGCAACCCAGTGGGCGCGCCACCTCAAGCACCTGGACGCTTTCGGAACGTTCGTCGACGCCGTCCGTTAACGACTTGCTCACAAGCTCGAGCCGATCGCTCACCGTACTTCGCAAGTCAGAGCGTCGAACTCGGCCGAGGAGACATATCGCCCGGCTCCTTGCTAACACCGCTGAGACGGCGTTCGACGCAAGCACGGTACCCCACAGGGCACGGACGTCCATGGGTGCTCGGCTCCTGCCCGTCCATGGGTGCTCGGCTCCTGCCCGTCCACGGGTGCTCGGCTCCTGCCCGTCCACGGGTGCTCGGCTCCTGCCCGTCCATGGGTGCTCGGCTCCTGCCCGTCCATGGGTGCTCGGCTCCTGCCCGTCCACGGGTGCTCGGCTCCTGCCCGTCCATGGGTGCTCGGTCTCGGACTCGGATACCAGCTCTCCCGGCACTCGCTTCCAGCGGAGCCTGTGTCACCGCTTTGCAACCAGGGATCGGAAACGGCTCGGAGTATGTCGACGACTTCTCGAGTGTGAAGCTTCCGTCTGCTCCGTGCTCTATCACGGACAGCACCGCGTTTCACAGATCCTCTGCGTAATGCAGAAGCCTTCGCTTGCGTCTGCCGCGGACAGCGTACTCGCCGAGGGGATCGCCCTGAACAAGTTCGTGACGACAGTGTACGGTACCGGGCGCGGCAACGGAGCACGGCATCGAGCGACGCCTTCTGTACTCGTCAGGGGCGTGCACCGAGCACTGGAGGAGTCCTTCACGCCGCACAGCGCTGCACTCGGTGACGGGTGTGCGCTGGACATGTGGGATACCCGACAACAGCAGTCGAGTGCGACCGCTGCGCAAAGCGCATCGGCGCTGTATTCGAAGAAGACGAAGCTGGCAAGCGAAGCATGGATTGCAAGTCTCGCCGGTGGATGAACTGCATCGACAACAGCCGGCAGCTGTGAGATCGGGACTCGGGCGCTGCCACGAGCATCCTTCGACGGGAGACCGTGGAACTGCGGGGTCCAGAGAGACTGGCGTGTCCAAAAATCCCGAGGTGCGAACGAGAGCAAGTACGCTGTGTCGGAAGAGGCCTACCGGGTCATTTGTTCATGACAAATACGAGATGCTCCGCATTTCGTGTGTACGCCCGATTGAGCGCTGTGGGCCCGTTCCATGTATGTCTGCTATGCGTCTATACATACCTGAAATTGGTACCGTCTACATGGCGAACGGACGTCTTCCTCGAACGACAGCGATGCCTCTCAACATATCGACGAAACAACTCGTACCCTCGCTTCCTTGGTATCTTCTCGATGGCGTCTATCATCCGCGTCGCGTCATGCGACTCGCAGCTCAAGACTGGGCTGCGATGCTTTGATGCCCGCGTTCGTGCTCTTTCAACACGTTGCTGGCTGCACTGCATTGCAAGTCGGTGCTCGTCGCCAGCAGGACCGCTCTCTGGTTGTCAGATGAGAACAAAAGCGGCACATGTTTCGTCATACGTTGTCAGTTGATCCAAGTGAGCAGTTATCGCAGGACTTTGCTGACCCAGTGACGGATTCTGGGTACGAGTCAGATGAGGAGGCAGCAGCAGCCGCCACCGCTTCCCTCAGCGGGGAGGAAGCCGCTCTCTGGAACCTCGTGGACCCTCAGCAACGCTTGATCTTTGTGTTGGACGGACCGGCCGCGCAAACGTTGCGTGTAAAGCGTACGGGGAACCTGGAGCGGCAGGTCGTCAACATTCACAGGCTGCCACTCGAACGAGCTCCGACGGTGGCCACTTCCTTGCTGGCAGCGACACGCCCGCAGCACCTGGTGGTTGCCTTGCGAACCATCGAACCGCACCAAGCAGCAGCGATTTTGACGAGTACGTCGTATCCATCACTATCAAACGTGGAAAACGCTTCGCAAGTCTTGGTCCTGGCGAATGACCTCGTGCAGATCGATGACCCGTTGCTTCGCCCTCTGTGGAGTGATGAGGGCACGCAGCAGAACCGTATCCAGCTACGCTGGGTAGAGACTGGTTGCATTGGTGGAATCACAGCTGCACTGCTAGCAGCAGGTTGTTGGCTGCGGATACCGGTGCTGGCACTCCTCGCAGTCGAGGATGACGACGGACCTAGTCCGGCGACGCTGGAAGCGTTGCTGCTGGCTGCTGAACGTTTTGGTTGCTTCACCAGGGCGGACTGGGAAATTAGGATGCCCAATCTTCGCCAGTTACTCGCGAAGCGTCAGCTGTTGTATATTTAGTTTTCGCTGCTTGACGAGTGCGGAATGGGAGATGATGACGCGCAACCTTTGTCAGTGACAAGCAAAGCGTCAGCTATCGTATATGTGTAGGGACGGCAACAGAGCCGTGATCTGGTCCCGTTCCATGCATTTCTGCAGAATCTCACAGGTAAGGTAGCTTTTGAGTGCGGTCAGCCCCGGTTTAGGAAAGTGACTTGGTAGCATCAGCCGCGATGAACGATGATTGATGCACCAGATGCGTACAAGCGCTTTCCGTTCCAATGCGTCAGCGAGACAAAACAGGAGCTTCGGCATTTTGAGTGCGGTAAAGGGAGGTTCCAGCGGAACTTGGGAAAATGGCTGCTCTGTGGTACCGACCTGAATGGTTCTTCGTGCAGTCAACTCGTAGCTGGTCAGGGCGTGTACGAGGCAGACCCCATGTATGCGGATCGATGATCGGGAACGCATGATGCGTTGCGATGTAACTGCGGCGGCATCGCGAGTTCACTTCCTGCGTCATGCGGGGGCAGCGTAATCCTAGGAGCACCTGTGTCCAGAACACGTGCGTCAGCATGCTGTTTATGATTTTCTGTGTTCCTCTGGCAGGTGTTTAACAGAAAGCATGTGTCCTGTTGCTTGGAGAGAGACAGAGGTGGCAGAATGACGTTATGTTGTCATTGACGCTTTGCGAAAAAACAGCCTCACTTGTACGAGAGATTTACTCCGCAGTCAGCGGATGGATGATGCACGCTTCTCGCATACCTGATGCTGAAAGCGCATCAAAAGCGGAATCTGTCGAGCTGTATTATCAGGACGTTCTGCTCGTAGATCCATTCCACGGTGTGCATTGCATTCGATATACTGTCATAGAAGGTACAGGATGTGAAGTTTCCGTACCATTGATACGAAAGATAATGACGCGAGGCGGATGAACGAGAAAGAAGCTCGCCCTTGTAGGGGACCAGTGCTCGTCTGCAACACACACGATGGATGTCGAACGGAGACGGGAACGCTTATGATAGGAGCGGTGGGTTTTCGTTTCACACGATGAGAATTCATGGTCGACAAATGGTAGAGTTATATGTTGCTCGTCATAATGGGGCGAATCGGAGTTCGTAGCGAAGAGACAAGCGAGCATGACGGCGGGATCAACACAAGCGAAGATGCGATTGTGGTATCACCTGTAAACCGCCTATCCGACAGGATCACCCATGAGCTGATCCTCCGTGGAAACACTTTGTGGCCTCTCGTTCGTAAATTCATCTGTGCTGTTGTGAGACAACGTCAGTATCTGTCCCTCGTACTGGGTCAAGGAGCACGCAGCTGGGCACGGTGCTGGACTGCTCGTGGTGCCTGCCTATTCTCGTTGATTCGATCCCGTCGAAGACGTCTTCTACGTTGGCAAACGCTGTGAGGCGCTGACGGATCAATAGACGAGTTTTTTGTATCTGTGGCATCGTTCTTGAGCGAGTCGTTCACTAGCTTCACGAACCCTGAATTGCGCAGTTGCTTCTTCATGTGAGCGGAGGAAGGAGCGGAAACGCGCGCGGCTGTCGGCGGTCGTGCTCGCGACGCAGACGAGGACGAAAACATACGAAAGAAAGCGTATATACATGTATAGAAGAGGAGCGTTTGCGTACTGCATTCCATCCCGTGCGTCTGCATGTCGGGGAAAGCGACCGGATACGGGGCACAGCGCCAGCATTCATGTCACTCCAACCACAGAAAGGCTAACGAGCAGAAACCCATCTGACAGAGAAGGACAAGACGCTTTCGAGAAAAGGACGTCAAGGGACAGGAAGGCGAAGCTGCTGGAGCGGAACCATACGTCTGAGACGGTGGCTAGGCCTCGCTCCAATAGAAAAACCCAACAAGCGAGAGCATTTCCTCGAACGTGCGGTGCAGGCGCCATTGGGGATCACGTAGCTTCTGATTCGAAGAAGACTCCGCCCCGCTTGCCTTGCCTTGATGGACCTTGGCGAGGAACGGCTCACAGGGGTTCCGGATCCAGGACTGCCTGCTGTCCACGACACTCCGGAAGGTTTCCATCAACTCTTCGTGTGACAACAAAACTGATCCGTCGGGCAGATGACGCCGCACGACCTGCTTGTAGAGTAAGAAGCTTACACGCCCGCTTCTTAGAGAACGTTGAGGCGTCTCCGCACCACTCCGGCGATCGGAACATCAACAGCACAGGTTTCCAGAAAAGACGAAACCAAACCCCAAACGCAAATGCAGGTGCATATCAAGTGCTTCGTGAGGCAGCGCCCTGCAAGCCTTGTCTCCGGTGTGTCCGATGTACCAGGTGTGCGGTAACCTGCACGGCCCCGTCGAGTGGTGCTCATTGAAGGGGTGCTCTGCCTCAGATCGGATACGGGAACGTGGAAGTCTCGTGCGAACGATTTTGAACAGGAGTTGGCGAGCGTGCGCTGCATCCGGCAACAATGTCGGTTGTACGGAGGCAAGAACCGTCCATTCGTGACTTTTGCCCATGAGACGGAAGGGCGAATGACGGACAACTCGCGTCACTTAGTGCTGGGCTGCAGTTCTAGACGTCGTGCAGCGCGCAGAGGCTGCAGTCGTGCTCCATCGACGGGAGCGTTTCCCGTGGTCTAGCGTGGATGCTCGACGATTCCCATGGATGCGTTCACGACAATACACGCGCATCATGAGCAAAGGTACGCTCTGAGACACATCGAGAAGGAGCGTGTGAAACAGATACGGATGCGCGAGATGCGCTACGGGCAGCGGACCGAACCTTCGATGACGAGACAATGGAGAGCGAGAAGCGTGCCTGGTGTGACACCACCGGCAACATTGCGAACACGCACTTGCTGCACTACGACATGAATATCTCGATGAGCACAGAGAAAAAATGTGTTTCCAAGGCGCCCTGCGGCTTTATTTCGTGCGAGAGTTATATTTTTTGAAAGAATCGTCTTGTACTCATTGTAGGCAGTGTACTGCAACGCCGGAACCTTGTGCTGAAAACCGAATCAGAGGCCAGGAGAGAGAGCGCCTTGGCGTTCCGCCTCGTGCACTGCACTAGCATGGTCTGCTTCAAAAACCAAAGAGACTGGAGTGTCAAACCTATGGACTGGAAGCGGTTTTCCAGGGGCAATATGTGAACAGTTACGTTCTTCTACGATTCCATTGCACTGTTTATCGATCGAAGCACTCAATTCACGATGGGTCCATAGACGCATGGTTAGATAAATAGAGATATAGAGGCACAGGAGGATAGGCAGCGTAAGTGCCTGCCTCATCAACGGCACTGGCGTCAGTTTAATCCCGAACACTGGACTACTCGCTTTCTTCACTTGTATGCATTTTCTTCCGACCAGATTTTAGTTGCACAGCATCGACAATGGAAGAGTGGAGAGGGGAGCTTACGGATTCATAGGCACATTCAGGATTATCGGGCGTCTTTTTTAATGGGCTCCTTCGAAGTTTTGCCGCTGGAATTCGTTGCGACACCTGAATCAAGATGATTCGTAGAGTCGTTGAACAGGGTTTCGTAAAGTAACTGACATCATCATCCTGCTCAAATATAGAAACTTCCAAGCTTCTCCTTTCTTACGTGTAGCCTGCTCAAAACACGCAATCTGCGAGTTTTCGATCTTTCTTGTTCGAGGTAAGTGGTGGAAACAGCAGCTCACGCCTCTGGATAGTCGACATTCAATATTCTAGATATCGTCCCTTGACGGCTTACTCACAAGCTCATGCCGAAATACACTGAACCTCATGTCCAAGATTCGATTCCATTCGAAAACCGAATTCTACTCTGTAAGCAGTATTCGAAGAAGTATCATTCGACCCCAGGAAGGTACCGCTGACGGCAAATGCTTTCAGATGCCTCCGTCCCTGCTGTTTCCATGGAAAAGTATCTGGGACTCGGACTTGGCTTCGCGGGGGAAAGCCCGCATGGCTGCTGTTGGTGACAGCATGAAGAAACCGAAAATGCTAGCGTCTACGCCCGCGTTACCCAAGCAGAAGCTTCCGAATTGGTTCTGACACAGTTACATCTCAGTGATTATCGCGGACATAAGCAGCTCAACAAGCAGGCTATGCAAACGATAAAAGTGCGGTGCTTCATGCAGCAGAACAATTCAATGTCATTTGCTTCTGGACGCGTTGTTTGCATTTCATGCGTCGGCGGAAGTCGACGCTTTCCTCGTTATATCCATACACAATTGAGACAAAGCGTCTTGTACTCGCCTCTTTTGCTGCAAGTCTCTGACGTTGGCACTGCACAGGTGTCGTTCAAGTTCAGGTCTATATGTGCTGGTATGTCCTCCGGATCTGATGTGTAGTGTCATCCGAGTTGTTTGTCGCTTCCGTTGATACCGTACGAACAATCAACGAGGCAGCTGTGGAGGTCGAACAGAGATCCAACGCGTTGCGTCCTTCTGTATTCCGTGCTGCTTCCATTCGTGCCACGTGGTCGACCTGCAATCATTTCAGCGTCATTTTACGGACAGCATGCTTCGGTTTTGGTGGCCGTCTGATCTACAGTTCATGCAAACGCTTCGTAGGGTAGAGCACCGATCCTCCTGGTGAAAACGGACGTTCCTCGCGACACGGCTTCACTAGCTTTGTCCTGCTTCGAATGTAGCACCTTACTACTACCGAAACACCATTATACCGCTGCTTCATCCTTACATCCCTCGCAACAACACAATCCGAACGCTGAGAGTGTCCCAACTGATACGTCCTTTTCGCAACAGCACCCGCCCAACAGAAAGAGCCCTTTACGTCGGAAACTTGCGCTGCTCACTATTGTAGGCCGCTTCAACGACGCTTGTTCAAAACATGCATACTTGAAGCCTACCTGAGCATTCGTACCATCACGCAACACCGATCAGCTGCTCAGAACAAAAGGACACCCCAGCGTTCCTGTACCAGGCACTGGGCCTTCAGCACCGTTCGTTCTGGGGTTCTCGAAGCAACGCGGCCGCAGCGACCGTTCCGAACGCGAACTCGGGCAGCCACCTGTGCACTGCAGAGCAGCAAAGCCTCATGTTCCGTCGGGTGTCCAAACTCCCGAGTAGACTTCAAAAAGAGCGACAGACCTTTCAGTTTGATGTACAGCTGGTGGGCTTCCAAGGGAGTCCGCGTCAACGCGCCGTCGTTCTGCAGCTGCAACGCGGGCTTCGCACGGCTACCAGTCAGCCGTTCGAAACAAACCCTGCTGGTCAACGAGTTGCGCTCGCTGAGAGTCTTTCTATTATCTGCTCGCTTTACAGAGACCGCAAGACCGGAAAGTTTGAGTCCAAGGACTGCAAACTGCGTTTGTTGACTTGGCAAGCGCCCGGCAAACGACAACCATCTCGTGGTTCCGAACTTTCGTCGAAGGCTTTGGAGAAAGTTCACTTTGACCTCGTGATGTTCTTGGGTGAACTCGGTAGTGGTGTTCAACGCGAACATGTCTTCGTGCTATCCAATGGTTCCCGGATCTTCGCTAGAGTCTGTCTGTCCTGGATGGGCTCAGCGCTGCCTTCGGGATCTCGTGACAGCGTCTCCTCTTATGCTCCATCGGAGCTGAGTCAGTGGAGCGTCGAGTCGACACTCTGGTCCGATGATTCAGAGTCGTCTGCCGAAGCGTCGACGCTCAGTAAAGAGCAGCTGCATGCCCAGCCTGTTCAGCCATCCGTCGTGTTGGAACCCACCTCTTCAGCAACTGATGGACATGCAAATGCTGGGGTGACCGGGACGCTCCCGGCAACAGAGATGAAGCGTCGAGTGAGCAGCTCCGTCTCCGGTCCAGATGAGAGACCATCGACGCCTGGAAAAGATGAACAAGTCTTCGGGAAAAAGGAAGGGGCAATCTCGACGGCTTCGCTCGTGGGGAAATCAGCAAGCAGCGCCACCCAGGTATTGTCACCATCGACTGCTGCCTCGCAAGAGAAATCCGCGCGATATGCGACGGACCAAGACAGCGGAGGCCATGTTCGCATCGAGGACGCGTTTGCAGGAACAGGAACCCACGGGGCGCGACCATCGAGCTCAAGAACCCCCGGCACAACGAACGGGATAGCTCCAGAGGAGGAGCGCACGCTTCCCACTGCGCAGTGTGCAGCACATGCAGCAGCGCTTGCTCGTACGCTTTCTCTGCTGACTGCACCTCTGGCATCAGAGAGCGAGTCTGGCTATGAAACAGTGCGAGTAGCACAAGAGATCCCGTCCAACTCATCCCCACAGATCAACGGAGACGAAATGGATACGGCGGAAACCGTGACCCTGGCCTGGAAAAAGTGTGCATCACTCGTCTCTGCCCTGAGCGGACTCTCTCATCAACTCTCCGTCATGCGGGCGCACTTGCAACCGCATTCGGCCGCATCCGAGCATCAACATCCTGTAGCGCTTGCCGAGCAGCAACCTCCAGGGCGAGCAGTTGGCTCTGTGAGGACGTCTCAACCGACCAGGAGCGACCTCGGCGAAGGCCCGAACTCGCAAGCACCGCTAGCCCGAGGCATGGAACCCGCACTTACCTCCGTGGTGACACTGAGGAAGCAACTCAAGGATCTCTCCGATGCAGTGCTAGTGCGGGATCAGATTCTCCAGAAGCGATACAGCCACCAGCTGAGAAAAGTGGTAATTGTCTTGCAGCGCTTATCCGGGACAGAGCTGCCCGCGCTGTACCAGCACGTTGAGCATTGCTTCGATTTGACAGCTTCTCAGATTGCAGGATTGCTGGAGCGCCTGCGACGGCATCGTTCTATGTCTGTAACACGGCCGATGGCGTGTGTTCCATCTGAGCGAGACCCCAGACTCGAGAACGATTCCATTTGCTCCACCCTGAGGCAGGCGAAAGTAGAGCTGAAACATCTGCGAAAAAAGATGCATATGTTTCAAGGCGAGATGCAGCAACAAGCGCAAGAGGCATGCGAACGGTTGCAACGCGGCCGCGTGAGCGTCGAAGGTCGTCTAGCGCGGGTGACTCAAAGGCAGACGACACTCGCGCGGAAGCTCTCCAAAGAAACCAGCGACTGCCGAGCACATCTCTTTGCCTGGCGCTTGCAGTGGGAAGCCTTCGAAAAGGACATGCTTCAAGGGTTTCAGGAGCTGCACCACGCTCTTCAGCGAAACAAGGCACAGCATGTGTTCGTGCAGCAAAATGCCGCATCGTTTTCACCCGCTGAAGCGCTTCCCGAACGGATTTCGATCCGGATGCAGCGACCCCGTCACCAAGTCCTTAGGCTCAAAACAGAGCTTTTGCTCCTGAAAAGCACTTGTACGAAAGCAATCGATCAGTGGCAGCAATGGTGGGCGTCAGTCGTGGCCAGTCTCGCTCACGTGAAGGCCAGCAGCTGCACCATCCAGGCGCAGCAGTCAACGCTGAACCAGATTGGCGAGAAAGCGGCGGTCGCTGGACAAGCAGCCTCTGGTACGCACGGCGTCACAGCGTATGCCGTGAATGCTGACGTGCTCCCGTTGTCGTTTGATGAACACGCGCTCCTGCAGGAACTGATAGAAACCAAAGTAGAACTTGCCCAACAGCGCGAGCACGAAGAAAATCTCCGCCGCGACATGCGACGTCAGCAACGGGACTACCAAAACGTGATCACGAAACTGGGAGAGACCGTATCCAAGCTGGAAGTAAGACTTGCGCGAAAACGAATGCGTCAGAAAAACCTTGTCCATATAGAGCCGTCTTCTTACACCTGATCAGTGAAACAAAAACTGCCCAACGAACATGTGGGGTAAATGAATACCCACCCGGAGACACGTCCCAGTCTTTGTCGACAGGGCGTCTACTATCGATTCCAGCTTCTCTTTGTACGCTTCGAGCATCAGAGACTGCACTACAAAGTTGGATCGCTTCAGCCCCTCGGGTCTCGTCTTCAGCACCACACATCATCTGATATTGATGGCGGCGCTGAAGGCCCGGTTCAGGAACTCCTTGCATGTATTGCATCTGGTGGAGCGCACCCATGCAAGGAGTCCTCGAACTCCTGCCCTCTTTTCCAATACAGTTGCGGCATCGTCTCGTGGGGCAAACACCATTTTTCGCCCATCTGCCCTGTTCTTCTTCGTCGTCGCCACTTGCTCGTCTTCTGTCGACGGCCGGAGGGAAGAGGATTTTTTCTGTCGTTTTTTCGCAAACATCCGGGGACACCAGCCCTGCAGGATCCCCGACCTCCATGTCCATACCTCAGCCTAGGACTTTTGTTTCTTCAAATGAACGCAAGTTGAACGCATCTGCTATGAACCGCGAAAGAGCATTTGATGACATGCACCCGATAATGCAAAACAATTGAGGTGAAAGTCCTCATGAGAACAAGTCTCTCCGCACTGAGTGTTCACATGCAAGGCCAGACATGTATCGCAGGCGGTTGTTTTTGCGCTCGACGTTGGTGCGTCTTCGTTGCGCGTGGAAGTGGCTTCTGGTTTCAGCGGAGCCTTGAATAATCGGCAGGTCAAGTTCGTGTGCTTCGACGCTGTCATGAAGTGCTCGATGCAGACGCCAAACATGGGGACTGTTCAGTTCACTGCCATCGTACTGGGCATTACTGGAGCGCGTGCATGCTACTCGGTACGGCAGCGGACGACGCACACTGCCTGCGGATGCGCTTGTTCCTTCATCTTATTTCATACACTGTCTGCGGAGCGCTATGTGATCCATGCGATTCTCCTCGGAAGGATAGTTGCAGTACTGGTGGCTTGATGACGCTCATGTCAACGGCGATGACGAGCACGAGGCTCTCGGTGCGCACTCGCTCGCAAGCCGAGCGCAACACAGAAGTTCGTTGCTGTACATCGCGCTCGGGAGCTGATACCGGTGAACTGAGCCTAATAGGGTGGCGTTAGGCGTTATGAGCGTTTCACTTTGAGCTTGTGATCCGGCAATCAAGAAATTACCCGATGCCTTTCATCGCACGAAGCGCCGGTGCAGAAGCGGACTCGGTTCTTCAGGCAGTGCCGCAACATGAGCGTTGCTTGAAAGATCGTCCCGCCCGCTTCACGTTGATGGTTCGGTGCACCTAACCGGACTCGTTGGATAAACGCCGCCGCTTAGCAACGCACAAATATGAACCCTTTCACAGGAACTTATATTTCCCCCAATCCATAGCAATAGTCACTGGAGTGACTCTTGCAACAGCTCTTGTTCCTGTCAAGTAACCAACGCAAGCTCTGCGACGGTGGTGTTGGCGGCGTCATCGAAGAATGCTCCAGTCTGAAGCGCTTGTGTCGTGCCGCCCGCGCCAAAGTCGTTGGTGTGTCGACGCATCTCTCGAGTATACCGGTTAGGTTATCACTAGAAACTTTTATATATTGTACTTTGTAGAAGCACTCGAAGCGCCGTGCACGCACAGCGAAAGATGTGCGCGTCTGTGGACTGTAGACGCGGCACACGGGTAGGCAACCGGTACGCCAATGTTATGGAGCGGAAGGTTCCCGACTTGCAGCAGCAGCAGCAGCAGCAGCAGCAGCAAACTGCGTCGGATCAGCTTTTGGCAGTCTTGAGAGGGAAGGTTTCTCCGGCTGCTGCTTTCGCTTCGGTCACTGCTGACTGTGCATCATTGTGCTGGCATGCTCGTGCTGCTGTGGCACGCGGAAAGGGCGTCCACGGGTACGACAGGCGACCTGCAGCGGGTCACCGAGTCCGGTATCCGGTGCCGGCTCAAAGATGTATCTCAGAAAGATCTTTCTGGAGGCGGAGTTTTTGGAGCGATGCGGAACGAAAAGTGCTTCGTGGTGTCTTTGCGTGCGTGAGACCTGCATCGGGCCCTGCGCACGGTGATACGGCAGCGGGAATGGCGAACTTTCGGGGAAAGTATACGATTGTGACCTGGGCAGAAGTTGAGGAGCTGGCGAACGCCCTTGCGACACGAGTGATGGAAAAGTCAGTACCGACTGGCGGGGAAAACTTGAGCACACATCCCGGTCGGGGAAGAGTCTGTTACGACCTGCTGCTTGGAATTACACGCGGTGGACTCATTCCCTGTACCTTGTTAGCACAACGCTTCGAGCATCGAAACATTTTGACTGCAACTGTTATTTTCTATGATGACTCGGGAGAACGCTTTTACGGACTGCAGGAACCGCGGGCGCTCATGTTTCCCGACATGAAACTCATCGAAGGAAAACGGGTCCTGATTGTGGACGACGTTTTCGACTCGGGTCGAACGGCACGAGCGGTTCGCTTGCGATGTGAACGAGCGAGAGCAGCGCTCGCACATGTGGCAGTCCTTCATTACAAACCGGAAAATAATCGTTTTGGCTCGGGCGAAGCACCTGATTTCTACGGGAAAGAGGTTGCTGGTTCGGAATGGATTGTGTATCCATGGGAGTTACTCAGCCCACAAGCAGCCTTCAAAGATATCAGATGAATGCGATGCTCAGCATGCGAAGCGACAGCCTCTCGGCTGCGTCGTATCGATCGCGTCCCGGAAGCGGAGCTTTTTTGAGAGACACTCCGCACTTGAGAATGGAAGGCGGGTTTTTCCGTGTACGGGAGCAAACGAGCATACAAATTTCTGACATTCTCCCGAGAACAACATGTTCGGATATGGAATCCATTGTTGGAGCGCTTTCCAGTGTTCTGACGGAGGATAAGGAACCTGGAATGAATTGTGACCCGATGACTTGGGTACGCTTTGCAGCACATCGCTGAACCGGGCGGCATGTTATATGTTTTACAATTAGGTATGGAAACAACCAATCTCTCGACCAGATACATACCGTATGCTAAAGTCAAACCTTCACCTGTATGGCTGAGTTTTCCCGTGCGGTGTCTCTGGGATCATGTCGCGAATCGCATGAGACCATGTCACTACGAATTGGTAGGGATTCCGCAGCCATACCGCCATAGTTTTGAAAGATTCTTCATGCGGTTGTTTCGACGGCATCCCTCTGCGCCGGAATGCCGGTAAAAACGCCCTTGCATTCCATACAATGGATAGAGAACGGTGTGCTCTGTTTCCGCTTATGGTGCGCGGGTAACCTGGCTGGTACTCTTGCCACGACAGGAGACGTTTCAAGCCGCACGTTCCACCGCTAGTTCTGTCGACTAGGTCAAAGTCACGAATGTAGATAGAGCGAGTGAGCAGGGTAAGCCTCTTAGCTACCCCTGCGTCTGAACTGTACACGAACAACACCATAAGATGTGCCGTGCATTTATCGAAGAGCCTGCGGGAGCGTCGCACGTGTGCGATTCAAGTAAGCGCATCGCGCCCACTCGGAAACGTTTTATGTATAAATATATGGAGAGAGACAGAGAGTGCATTCCCTCCAGCGCGAATACCTCTTCGTACTTGCCCCAGGCAGTGGTATCGATCGATAAACCAGTCTTGCACATCTTCATGCGCATCAACGATCGTATCGCCCCAAAACAATCCGAGCCTACACTGTTTCCGAGCGCATCACGCTTACTCGGAACCGTTATATATATGTAGAGAGAGAGAGAGAGCATTCCCTCCAGCGCGAATACCTCTTTGTATACTTGCCCCGGGCAGTCGTATCGATCATGCGTAGCCGTTTCGGATTGCGCAGCGCAGCGGATGCCAGATGGCCAAAAACAGGCATTCCTGGAGCTGGCCTGGCTTGGCCTGGGCTGGGCTGAGCCCTAGCTAGCGCGCGCTAAACGCAACTGGCCGTTTCGTTCATACCGCCTGCTTTGTGGGTTCTTTTGCTGCCTCAACTTCCGACAGCAGCACTGTGTGTGCCAAGGCACTGCCAGTGCTCAGGGTTTGTGAGGCGTCTGTTGGTCTGGCGACTAGCAGTGCTCTACGCGCTGCCCGGGGAAGCGAGTAAAACGCTACCTGGTTGTGGTGCGCACGACGAGCTACGAGCTTTGTTGGCGCACGAACGGCACACGCCAGTGCAGCCGAAGCTTTCACAGACTCACAGAGCTGTGGCGCTCTAATCCCTTGAACACGTTCTGCTCATGAGTGCTTCTCCAGGACAACGTCACGTCGACGCGAGTCCGTCCAACGAGGCTGTGCTTCCAGTGCTAGAATGGATGGTGCGGCACGCCGATATAAAGCAGGCCTCTCTGCGCTCCATACTGCAGGATTTGTCGTTCAAGTTCGGTGGCTACGACTTTTCGTCACGAAAAAACTGGATAAAAGAACACGTTCTTCGGTGTCTGCGCGAGCGCATGCAAACGGCGAGCGGCGCAAGCGGCGAGCAGCCTATCAGTGGAGGCAACGCTACAGCGCCGAACGCCTCGGTGAACCGTACCGCAGACCCAGAAGGTCCACCAGGCGTTATCGAGTCCGCGACCAGGAAACGACGATCAAACAAAGCGAAGCGCTCGCAAGAGAACGACGACGACACTGCCACTTATCGCGAGTCGCCGCTGCGCTTTACTGGACTCATGGCCCCGGTCATGCTTGCTCCCGAACTCGCGGCAGTCTGCGGCGGACAGGATATTCTTCCGCGGCCCTGGATCGCAAAACAGCTACATGCTTATGTTCGCGAACACGAACTGCGAGATCCAAGCCAGGGGATGCGCTTTCGTCCGGATGCGGCGCTTGCCAAGCTCTTTCCCGATCGCGACTCGGTATCATTCTTTGAAATGAACAAACTGCTCGAGCAGCACATCCGAAAAGAAAGTCAATGCGCACCAGAGGAGCAAGCTCGAATCCAAGCCTGGCGTCAGGAATGGGAAGCCAAGGGACTCACCCAGCGACGGAAAATCCCAGCCAAACGAGCACGCGTTCGTGCTGGACGTCAGCATCTCAAAGAGAAAGCGCTGGGAGCATCATTTTCGCCATTGAGTGGTGGTTCCCAGTCGACGCAGGATAGCCACCGCTCGTCGACGCCCTCAACGGGAAAGAGGAAAGCATCGGGACTGGCGCAACCGCTGCAGGTCTCAGAGGCGCTGAGCGACATCTGTGGAGGCGCGCGCATCCTCAGCCGGTGCGAAGTGGTGCGCCTCCTCTGGGAGTACATCAAGAAGCAGCAGTTGCAGGATCCCAATGATCGCAAGGTTATCCAATGCGATGCCAAACTTCAGCGAGTCTTCGACGGTGAGACGCGAGTCACCGCTTTTGGGATGAACCGCTTTCTGGGGAAACATCTGCAACCTCTTCAACGCAACGATGAGGTCGGTAGGGGTTCTCAGTCGGAACTGGACTCGGAAAGTTGAGGCCGCTCGGGCCGCTTTACCGAGTCTTGAATAGTATGTTGTCGTCGCTCTTGGTTATGGCACGCGCCTTAAACCATTATCCGCTAAAACCTGCTCATGCACTGAGACTATGTCGAGGATTGGTAGCCGCATGCTCGAGCGCCACTCGGATCATATGCGTCTATGAACACGAAATGGTATCCGTAGAGGTTATGCGGAAGCATCCAGGATCATGCAAGGAAGCGACAGGTACCGCAAGAAGTGCTCTATCGGTGGCAGTGTGGTACATGAGTAGTGCTACCAGCCATAAAGAGGACGCAGGGAACCTCTGGTATCTGGGGGGGGGGGGGGGGATCATCGGTAGCGCCTCATCGAGAAGATTTCGTTTCGGAGATGGGTGTACGGTTGTAGACTAGTGAGGGCTTGCGCTCGCCTCAGAACAAGGTGTACGTTATAGGACTGGAGAGCACGCTTGAAAACAGCTTTCGGAACGATCGGTGGCTCCATTTTATAAGTCCCGTGCTTCCTTGATCCGGTGGCAAGCAGGGATGCGAGAAGCTTTACGACGGCAGTGCGGCCTTTGCTGGTGACTATGGCACCTCAGCAGCAGCAGCAGCAGCAGCAACAACAACAACAGCTAGGGCCTGTTACGGCACTCAAACGGTTGAATAGGTGCGGCTTAGGAACCTCGACAGAAACGGAGTGGATTCTTGGAGTCGGCGTTGGACACCTACTGGAGCTTTGGCGCGAGGATCCATTGTGTCTACTGGGCACCGTTGCTTGTCTGCCCGCAGGTCAATTCATCCACGGCATCGAGACTTCATCACTAGATCCAGCACCACCAGCAGCTGGTACTGCTGCGTCCCAGTGGCTTGTGGTATTTGGAGGACGGCACCTCTGTCTGTGTCACTGGCCATGCGATGACGCACAGCTGCCCGTTCGCTGCATCACCTATGCCGCTGACGCTTGGATCCTCGCAGTCTCCGAACCACAGCTCTGGAGCGCTCCAGGTGGGGTCGTTGAAGAGCCTGCTTTGGCGGCAGAGGCGTCGCCACGTTCCGCCTCGTCCGTATCACGAACACGAGAACCCGCTGCGGGAGCAGGTTGTCCTGCGAGCGTGGACAGAAACGCAACACATCATCATCGCGTTGCTGAGAAGCGAGAGTCCAACGATACCGCCAGTCTGCGACTCTACCTGGCGCTTGCGGACGGACGTGTCCTAGCCCTAAGGGCGACAACGTGTTCAAATGACGCTCGGATTCACCACATCAGGACTTGCTGTAGTCTCGAGCGAGCTTGTTACTGGTCTGCTGCCTTTTCACCGACTGCGTCATTGGTAGCGTTCGGTACGGCGGATGGCTCTATTCTGGTGCAAGCGCTGGCATCACAGCAGAACCCGACGTTTCTGACGCGAGAGGCTTCCTTCAGCGTGCCTGTTTTCGAGCCGAAGCGATCCTCGCTATCCTGCCGACGTTATCAGGCACATCGAGGGCCGATCTACGGCGTTGTTTGGGCAAGACCATTCCTTACCGCTTCGAATGGCACAATTCGCAGGGACAGCATCCCCGCTGGTTCCCTATCCAACGGGACTGGTCCGGAAGCGCTCAACACGCTCTGGTTGTGCTCATGTGGCGATGATCGTACCGTACAGTGCTTTCGCGTCCAGTGTGATGTTGCTACAAATGGCCTGTCAGGGAGCACAACGTGCACCCCGGTACAAGCAGTCGATCCTGTGTTCATTGGTGTAGGCGAATGCGGTGCCAGCTCGACACCTGAAGCAGTCCAAGTGGCTGGGCTCGAACGAATCGCACTCCTTCGGGGGCACCAGGCCCGTCCCTGGGCAGTGCGAGCCTACACCTGTCCAGCGTCGGAAGCGTCGCCACCAAAGCTCCATTTAATGGTCGCCAGCGTCGGTGAAGACGATACTGTGCGACTCTGGGATGCGCAGCGCAACTGCTGTCTGCACTGCTGGCGAGGGCATCGACAACGCAACTGCTGGTGCCTGGACCTCGCACTAGCCGCTCTCTCGACACGAAATGCGGTCGCTGGACCATGGCCTTTGCTCAAGCTCTATAGTGGCGGCGCAGATGGATCCGTGAGCATCCATACCGTGCCCTGGCCGCGAGAAGCGGCACTTCCGGCCACAATCGTGCAGCGCGCAGCTGCAGAAAATCCTGCATGCCCAGGTCGCGGGAGCGCTGAGGCGAACTTGACCTCGACGACTGCGGAGGCATCGGTTCGTCAACAGCTCCATTTTTGGCCGGAGGGTTTGGTTGCTGCACCACCGCTACCGCCGCTCAGCGCAGCAGCACGACCCTCTGTTCGTGAGCACGCTCGCGCTATGGCAGTTTTGGCAAACCCGCAACTACTCTGCATCAGCACCAGCGCCAGAAGGGTACTCGCCCTGCAACTGGAAGCACTCAAGTGGACGGAGGTGCTCCACGGAGACCACAGCGTGGACTTCATGCCAGCCTGTATCGCAGCGGCCAAGAGTCGGCCCTGGCTCTTCCTGGGATCAAGTCATCGCCAGAGCACCATTTTAGCGTTGTGCCTGGATTTGGATCATATGAACGCTTCGGATGCGAGATCTGGGCATCTGCTGCAGCACCAGGTATGCTGGAACGCACGCCCTGAGGCACATCCCGTAACCCTGGTGGAGCTCTGGCAGGATCGCCTCCTCGGTGCCGCCTTTGCGGACGGACTCGTGCTGGTATTCGATATCGCGTCGTTGCTGGAGCAGCGGCTGCTGCCTCGCGAACGGGCACCAACAGCACCACACGTTATTGCGCGGGTTCCGGCACCACGTGGTATTGTCCAGCAACCGTCTTGTATCCATTTTTTTGCGAACTTGACAGGGGCAGCGTGCAACACGCCAAAGGACGCAGCACTGCATTCACCGGCAGCAGTGATCGCCCTGCTGATAGGTCATCGCTCCGGTCACGTGCGCCTACATCCCGGGTTGTCGTCAAGTGCAGAAGCATGTGCAGAACTTGGGTGTATTCAACTGGTGCGACCACATGACGACCGCGTCTCTAGCATCGCACCAACTGGGGTAGCGGGCGATGGCGCTCGCTCCAGCAAGCCACAGGCGCTCGCATCGATGCTCTGTCTGCTTTCAATGGATGGGACCTTTACGCGCTTTGCGCTGGAATATGGAACGGACGCTTCTAGGCTTCGCCTTGTCCAGTGCAGTCGTGAAAAATGTCCATCCGAATGCGAACAGGGCGATTGCCTCTGGGAGCTGGCAGAGTGTGCGGAACCCGGTGATCCACGGGTGCCAGCAAGTCCCCGGATGCTGTTTGCGTCGGGATTTCGGGGCCAGTATGCCGGGATATGGCGCCTAGATACCGCACAGCCGTTGTTTCTTGTGCCGTGTGGAGGTTGGCGTCGACCGCATACGCTCTACGAACGCAATGTACCTGCAGTCGGACGCGTGATTGGTTTTGGCTTTTGGAAAGCGGGCAGCGTTTACCTGTACGAGCGCATCCTCCAGTCACCTGATGGTGGTTGTTGTCGTTGTTATTGGTATCTGCCGCAGCGGCTACGTCTCCAAGGAAGCGGCATGCGCATCCAAGGCCTCGTGGTGTTGCGGGTGTCCGGCCAGTGCGCTCTCGATGTGGATGCTCGGATGCTTGAACCTGAAACTGGTAGTCGGGTATCGCAGCATTGGCAAAAGCGACTGGAACAAAAGGAACAAAGGCAGCAGCAGCAGCAGCAGCAGCAGCAGCCACAACAACAACGAGAACAGGTCGCGGGTGTACCGCAACACTCACGAGCGACCCGGGAATATGCCTCTCATGCAGGGGAAACTCTCATGTACTGGATAGCAACCGCCTCCGAGGATACCAATCTGGATCTCTATCAGTGGCAGGTGCAGCGTCTCAGCAAAGGAGGCCTGTTCTCCGCAGCGAGTTGGGAACGCGTCGCTTCAGGGAGTGCGGTCCACTTTTCGGGGGTACTGACGCTGGCCGCATTGCCTTGGCCCCATTTCGAAGCTGACCGAGCAGCGCTTGCTACTCCCATGGACGCAGTACAGGACGCTGAAGCGTATCTGCTGGTCAGTGGTGGTGGTAGCGATACCCTCGCCATCTGGCGGGTTTCCGCTGCTGGCCTGAATCATCTTGCACGGTATATTCGCTCCCGCAGTCGAGCACCGTTTGCCGCGAGTCTATGTCGACCGAGTGATGAGTCGTTAGCGCGCGTGACTGCTGTGGTGCTCGGAGCTGCGTCTTCTACCGATAGACAGCACGGCGCTCATCTGGACGCGACGCAGACGACACTGGCAGTTGCGGAGCAGCGTACCGAGCCCAAGCTGCTCACGGCTTGGTTGCTTTGTGGTCGTAGCGATGGTACGCTCTCGCTTTACCGACTGCAGGTCCAGCCGCATGTCGACGCCAGGCATCCTGCGGGCATTAGGGCCAAAACAGAGCGGTTTGAGCAACGCTCCCCCGATCGAAACTGGTACACGACGATGACGCTGGTAGCCGTGCGTCCACGCCAAGCCTACGCCTACCCGCGAGCGCTCTGTAGCATCCGAGGTACGGCGTACGTTTTCGCCGGCGACACTGGTGGCAGTGTTGCACTATACGTCTGGCCGCATGACTGGCACACAGCTGAACTCAGAGCGAGACGCGGCACGCTCGACGCTGGGAACGCTCCACTCGCGGATCCAGCGACGTTCGAACCGTGCTGGGAGCAGTCGGCTTTCCTTGCCGCAGCGGTGAACGCAGTGGACGGCCACTGGTTCCGACTCCAGTCTCATGACTGGTTACTCTTGGTTGCCGGTGGCGATGATCAGCACTTCCGGTTTCATCTATGCAATCTGGCGAACCAGGCTTGCCATTGGAGTAGTGAGCGCATCGGACGTCATAGCGGCGCACTCGTGGGCGTGCAGCTCCGTCGCGTTCAGCTAGTTCACGCTGCTGACGAGCTCTTTCATCTATACGCGGAGCTGTGGACGTGGTCTACTGACCGTTGGCTCCGCTGTCACGAGTTACGGCTCGAGCTAACTGCGGAACGTGGTGTGATCAGTGCATCGGTGACGACAACACGTAGTTTACTGGTGGGCGTCGGTGATCCCGCGCTGCTCACGCTCGTGCCAACTTGCTCTGCGCTCGTGGCATGCGGTTGCGGCATCGTAACCGTTTTTCCAGAGCAAGCCCAAGGTACAGTGACGGCCGCAGAAAAGCATATCTGTTTCCGCTGAGCGAGCGTTCTCGAAAACTGAGGCCTTAGGTGCCAGCGCGTGCTACGCTCAGCGTTCGCGGACGTGCACGCTCGCAAGCGCACATTCCTGCGTTGCGCTGTAGCAGCCGCGATCGTGCAACAGTAAGTCTTTTCATGGCGCAAGCTCGGTGAGTCTCAACGCGTTCTCGTCCATACGCTAATCACGCGGCATACGCCGAAGAAGCCTCGTACGGATAGCTCGAATTGGAGGATGCGCGGGAATCTTGCTGTCAATGCGCCCGCGGAGGCGTACGCTCGCCGGGATCGAGAGACACTAGGGATCCAGGGCACGTGGAAGTTGTTGTATAAGATGGGATGCATGTGGACAACGTGTCTACATGGCGACTAGGAACAATCGTATACGTAAATGGACAAAATAGGACGATGCGATGCGCAGACGCTGCGTATCATCGGGCGATGTGGCGATGAACAACCGACGTGTCTACCTTCTTGTCTTTCACCGCAATGGTATTCCGCCGTCAGGTGCGTATCACGAAATGCTTTTTCGCAGGTTATAGCAGATGCGCTCCGAGTGCGTCCAACTGCAGAACTACAAAATCCAAGTGAAAAGTATGGAAATGGAAGACTCGGATTCTGGCCGGCTGTCAGTGCCGGGTACCGGATACAAAACGAATACAATCCTGATCTCGTCGACCATCAAGCGAAGAAGAGCAACTGACGAAGAACGACAGGAAAGCAGATAGGCGAGAAAAGGTGCTTTTCTGACGGTACAATCGCGAGACTCTAGTGGCAACGAGCGCACGAGTTCTTGCACTCCTTGCATTGGTGCGTTTATTCAGAGGCATGAAACGATTGGATTTCGTAAACAACGACTTCAATGCTGCCATTAATATCAGAAGATATGTGGTGCTGAAAACAAGTCTCAAGAAGCTGACGCGATTTAACTTGGTGTAGCAGCCTCTCAGGCTCGAAGAGTGCAGGGAGAAACTGGAACCGATAGCAGTCAGCCGGTCACAAAAGGCTGGGAGGCGGCTGCGGGTGTGTGTTCATCTGCATTCTATGATCGCCGAACGTTTTTACGATCGACTGAAATGTATGGTTTTTGAAGCAGCCCATGCTAGTGCAGTGCACGAGGCGGAACGCCAAGGCGCTCTCTCTCCTGGCCTCTGATTCGGTTTTCAGCACAAGGTTCCGGCGTTGCAGTACACTGCCTACAATGAGTACAAGACGATTCTTTCAAAAAATATAACTCTCGCACGACATAAAGCTGCAGGGCGCCTTGGAAACACATTTTTTCGCTGTGCTCATCGAGATATTCATGTCGTAGTGCAGCAAGTGCGTGTCCGCAATGTTGCTGGTGGTGTCACACCAGGCACGCTTCTCGCTCTCCATTGTCTCGTCATCGAAGGTTCGGTCCGCTGCCCGTAGCGCATCTCGCGCATCCGTATCTGTTTCACACGCTCCTTCTCGATGTGTCTCAGAGCGTACCTTTGCTCATGATGCGCGTGTATTGTCGTGAACGCATCCATGGGAATCGTAGAGCATCCACGCTAGCCCACGGGAAACGCTCCCGTCGATGGAGCACGACTGCAGCCTCTGCGCGCTGCACGACGTCTAGAACTGCAGCCCAGCACTAAGTGACGCGAGTTGTCCGTCATTCGCCCTTCCGTCTCATGGGCAAAAGTCACGAATGGACGGTTCTTGCCTCCGTGCAACCGACATTGTTGCCGGATGCAGCGCACGCTCGCCAACTCCTGTTCAAAATCGTTCGCACGAGACTTCCACGTTCCCGTATCCGATCTGAGGCAGAGCACCCCTTCAATGAGCACCACTCGACGGGGCCGTGCAGGTTACCGCACACCTGGTACATCGGACACACCGGAGACAAGGCTTGCAGGGCGCTGCCTCACGAAGCACTTGATATGCACCTGCATTTGCGTTTGGGGTTTGGTTTCGTCTTTTCTGGAAACCTGTGCTGTTGATGTTCCGATCGCCGGAGTGGTGCGGAGACGCCTCAACGTTCTCTAAGAAGCGGGCGTGTAAGCTTCTTACTCTACAAGCAGGTCGTGCGGCGTCATCTGCCCGACGGATCAGTTTTGTTGTCACACGAAGAGTTGATGGAAACCTTCCGGAGTGTCGTGGACAGCAGGCAGTCCTGGATCCGGAACCCCTGTGAGCCGTTCCTCGCCAGGGTCCATCAAGGCAAGGCAAGCGGGGCGGAGTCTTCTTCGAATCAGAGGCTACGTGATCCCCAATGGCGCCTGCACCGCACGTTCGAGGAAATGCTCTCGCTTGTTGGGTTTTTCTTTTGGAGCGAGGCCTAGCCACCGTCTCAGACGTATGGTTCCGCTCCAGCAGCTTCGCCTTCCTGTCCCTTGACGTCCTTTTCTCGAAAGCGTCTTGTCCTTCTCTGTCAGATGGGTTTCTGCTCGTTAGCCTTTCTGTGGTTGGAGTGACATGAATGCTGGCGCTGTGCCCCGTATCCGGTCGCTTTCCCCGACATGCAGACGCACTGGATGGAATGCAGTACGCAGACACTCCTCTTCTATACATGTATATACGCTTTCTTTCGTATGTTTTCGTCCTCGTCTGCGTCGCGAGCACGACCGCCAACAGTCGCGCGCGTTTCCGCTCCTTCCTCCGCTCACATGAAGAAGCAACTGCGCAATTCAGGGTTCGTGAAGCTAGTGAACGACTCGCTCAAGAACGATGCCACAGATACAAAAAACTCGTCTATTGCTCCGTCAGCGCCTCACAGCGTTTGCCAACGTAGACGACGTCTTCGACGGGATCGAATCAACGAGAATAGGCAGGCACCACGAGCAGTCCAGCACCGTGCCCAGCTGCGTGCTCCTTGACCCAGTACGAGGGACGGATACTGACGTTGTCTCACAACAGCACAGATGAATTTACGAACGAGAGGCCACAAAGTGTTTCCACGGAGGATCAGCTCATGGGTGATCCTGTCGGATAGGCGGTTTACAGGTGATACCACAATCGCATCGTCGCTCGTGTTAATCCCGCCGTCACGCTCGCTTGTCTCTTCGTTACGAACACCGATTCGCCCCATTATGACGGGCAACATATAACTCTACCATTTGTCGACCATGAATTCTCATCGTGTGAAACGAAAACCCACCGCTCCTATCATAAGCGTTCCCGTCTCCGTTCGACATCCATCGTGTGTGTTGCAGACGAGCACTGGTCTCCTACGAGGGCGAGCTTCTTTCTCGCTCATCCGCCTCGCGTCATTATCTTTCGTATCAATGGTACGGAAACTTCACATCCTGTACCTTCTATGACAGTATATCGAATGCAATGCACACCGTGGAATGGATCTACGAGCAGAACGTCCTGATGATACAGCTCGACAGATTCCGCGTTTGATGCGCTTTCAGCATAAGGTATGCGAGAAGCGTGCATCATCCATCCGCTGACTGCGGAGTAATTCTCTCGTACAAGTAAGGTTGTTTTTTCGCAAAGCGTCAATGACAACATAACGTCATTCTGCCACCTCTGTCTCTCTCCAAGCAACAGGACACATGCTTTCTGTTAAACACCTGCCAGAGGAACACAGAAAATCATAAACAGCATGCTGACGCACGTGGTCTAGACACCGGTGCACTGTGTATAACGGAGCTATTCAGACACTGCATCGATGCTCGAGTGTTTGCCCAGCAGATCCCCTATCCATCCGCAACCACAACAGCATTCGTATGAAGCGAAAAGTGCACACATGATGGTTCATGCCTCAGGGCGGCGCGTTGGACATAACCAGCTTCGCTACGCATGGATCATTGATGCCTTCGACGTCGACGGAACGTTCAACGCAAGCAAGCCTTCACCGGATGAACAAACGCAACCGACTGGTGAAACAGAAGCCTCACATTAGCCGCGAAAATATTCAGATTCAAGACACAGCGTAGTGCTCCAGCGCTTGGAACAGCGCGTTGGGTCGTGCCAATGTCAACATATCGGGAGCAGCATAATCGTCTCTCGCCTAGATGCCAGCATCGCCGGTGCACTCCCAGTGATGCTGTTCAAACGCATCGGTATGACATAGCAAACATCACTGGGAGCTCTTTAGAGTTAACGAACCAAACAACTAGACAGCCAGCTTACGATGCAGCGTTCTAGGTATCCAAGGATCGAGGAGTACCCAGTTCCCCAGCGATCCACACTCGTCTATGGATCGTTCAAAAGGCACTGCTGCGCAGTGTCGTCGCCGCGGCTCCAGCCAAATCGTCCTCAGCGTCGTTTCTTAGTAGACGCAGCGTGCCTAGGCAGGCGATAGGTTTAGGGGTCGCTCAGTTGCACGCGGTCTGTTCTGTGTAGGCGACGGCGTTTGAGGTCCAGTCGGTAACTGTCGTTGTGTCCGTACATGCGCTGGAACAAGTCATGCAGCGCGCTAGGTTCCGAGCAGGGTCGCAGTATCCCCTGTGGAGCACCGTTGGCTTCATCTTCGTTTTATGCTTTCTGATCTGGGAACTGGCAGGCGTTCAGGCTGCAGAACGAGGCAAATACGCCCGCTGTTCGACGCAAAGTTTCTGTGCCTACCACAGACAGCGTCGAGAGCAACAGACCTCGCAACAGGAACTAGCGGCAAACGCTACGGCTCCAGGTACTCGATGCCGACTCAGAGAGCCGGAGCCGTTTCGCTTGCAGAAAACATCATCATCGGTTCTCATTTTTGAGCTGTTGCAGCGGGAAGCAAATGATTCGGGGACGTTGTCTCAGCTCCAACTCGAAGTAGGAGCTGTTACGCACTCGATCTTCTCGATTCGAGTACGTGAGCCTCCACCCAGCGACACGATTCAGCTTGGGCTCCTGCGACGAAGGAAGCAGCACGCATCCGTCTCAAAGTATGAACGCTACTCACCAGTCGAAGACGTTATGATGTATCGGGAACCGTGGTTGCAGTTGGAGCGACTCGCTGCGAGTACAGCAACCTCCTGTCCGTACGTGTCGTCCGCAGCATGGCTTTCGTCGGACACGGAAACCGTTATCGTTACTGCAAGTACAAGCCACGCCTCAACAGAACCCGTCTATAACGTACTGCGGGTCCAACACGAACCATGTCGGATAGCGCTCTTCAACAACGTTGCGGACTGGTGTGCCTTGCTGCAGAATTCCACTGCCACCACTACCCGTCCTTCACTGGTTTGGAACGCAGCGGAGCTCCTCGCTTGGATCCCGCTGGACGCAAATACCACAGCAGCTGGTTCCGTTGCGGCAGATGTTGCCTTTCCTCGTGCTATTGGGTTGTACGGCCTTCCGGAACATGCGCTGGATCTGCGCTTACCCACGACCTGTACGAGAGAGCCTCTTCGTCTCTACAACCTGGACGTCTTCGAATACGAACTGAATAGCGAGCTGGGTCTCTACGGATCGATACCCTTCATCCTGGCTCTCAATGGATCCGCGCATACCGTTGGAGCGCTCTGGATGCCGGCAAGCGAAACCTACGTAGACTTGTGTCCGTTGTTAGACCAGGAGCGCGGAACCGCGATGCCACATGCGCACTTCATTTCTGAACGAGGTATCCCGGAGATGTTCGTGTTTGCGGGCCCGTCTCCGGTGGAGGTCTCGCAACAGCTGGCCCTACTGACGGGACATGCACCACTGCCTCCAGTGTTTGCACTGGGCTATCACCAGTCGCGCTGGAATTATCGTGATGAGGCGGACGCCCTCCATGTGGATGGTCAGTTTGATGCGAATGACATTCCGTACGATGTGCTGTGGCTGGATATCGAGCACACAGACAACAAGAAGTACTTCACCTGGGACGGAGCGAAATTTCCTGACCCCGCTCGCCTGCAGCAAACGCTTTTCGAGAAGGCCAAACGGAAGCTGGTCACCATCGTGGATCCGCATATCAAGGCGGAACCGAATTACTCGCTGCACGAACGAGCCCTGAAGGAGGACTGGTACGTTCGCTCTGGTGACGGCGTCTCTATCTACGAGGGCTGGTGCTGGCCAGGAAAGAGTCACTACCCAGACTTTATGGATCCGCGCGTACAGACCGGCTGGAGCTCGTGTTTCGTTCCGTCGTTCTACCATGGCATGACAGAGCACCTCCACATTTGGGTTGATATGAACGAGCCTTCAGTGTTCAATGGACCCGAAGGCACCTTTCCGAAAAACGTCCGCCATCGGCTGGGCGCTTTAGAACATTCCGATATCCACAACATCTACGGACACATGGTGCACCGAGCGACCTTTGAGGGCCTTTATCGCGGCCGGCAAGGGAACCTGAGACCCTTCGTTCTTTCCCGCAGTTTTTTCACGGGAAGCCAGCGATTCGGGGCAGTCTGGACAGGCGACAACGCTGCCCAGTGGTCACACCTGGCAGCCTCGGTGCCGATGCTGCTCTCGATCAGCGTGGCGGGCATCGCGTTTGTCGGGGCGGATGTTGGGGGCTTTTTCGGGAACCCGCAAGCCGACCTGCTGACGCGTTGGTATCAAGCAGCCGCCTATCAGCCGTTTTTCCGTGGTCACGCGCACTTGGACACCAAGCGACGGGAGCCGTGGTTATTCGGTGAACCGTATACGAGCCTCATTCGAGAGGCGATTCAAGAGCGCTACGCATTGCTACCGTACTGGTACGTGCTCTTCGCGGCCGAACGCACGCTACCTGTCATTCGGCCGCTTTTTTACGTGTTTCCTGATGAATCGTCGCTGGCGGGAGTTCAGTCTAGCTGGCTCTTGGGCGACGCCTTGCTGGTTGCTCCAGTACTGGAAGCAGCCCCGTCAACGCATCGCATCACACTGCCGGGACCAGCTTCGCTCTGCTGGTATCCAGTACTGCCGCGCACACGACGACTTTTCTCTGGCGAGCATCTTGTCCATCGGGGGCAAGATACCCTAGTTTATCCAAAACCAGCACTCTCATCGATGTATGTGTTCCAACGCGGTGGCTCGATCATACCGCGCTGGGAGCGACAGCGTCGCTCAAGCAGCCTGATGCTCGGGGATCCGCTGACTCTGCACGTTGCCTTGGATGCTGGATTCCAAGCCCGTGGCATGCTCTATTTGGATGACGGTCTTTCTTACGGTTACCAACGAGGCGATTATTGTTTCTGGCGAATCGCAGCAATGGGACAGCGACTTGCCAATGGATCGACGTCGCTGCAACTGAGGCTGACGTTGCAGGCGCTGGATGCACTCCCGCCGCCGTCCAACTTGTCTCGCTGTGCGCACGTTCCGCTAGAGCGTTTCGTGTTCTATTTGCATGCTGGTGAACGCGTTGTCGTGCGGAAGCCAACGCTCAGCGTAAGCGGCGATGTGACAACCTGGCAAGGTGTGTGCTAAGCATAAGCTCTACGCTTACGAGGCATTACGTTATATAAAGCGACTTGATCGCATTTCGCCCTGGAACGGTAGTGATCGTGAAATTGCGAACGTTCGTGATAAGGCTCACGATGCACACGGTGCGCCGCTGGCGATATCCGCTGTTGACTTGAAGCAACTCGGGGTTACGCGGAGGTGACGTGTGGGGTCCGCTGCGGGCTTCTCGCCGTCCGACGAACCTCCCAGGCGACGCTGCAAACGCACCGAGCGACTGCGTCATCCGCTCGATCGATCACTTGATCAAAGGGACCACATTTCTTCGATTCCTTGTCCCGGTATGCATGTTGAACGCTCGAAATATCGGTATGAGGGTCCTATGCTGCACCACGATAACAGTGGTGTCCAGGCGCGTATGGATGTGGATTCTCTTCGAATCACACGGGGTCCGCCTTTATTCTTAAGTAAAAAACTCGCCCATCGAGTGGACGAATGTAAATGCGATTGCGCTGCTGGTCGTTGTTGCCCTTGTCATCGGGTCGGTGCGGAGGCCCCCGTAAAAAGCCTGTCGATTGATCGCTGGTCCAAGAAGCACTTTCAGACTGCACACAAATGGGTGGACGCTGAGTCAGAGCGCCGGCGTCAGCGAGCGTCTGGGGTTCGTGCGTGGCGCGCTCCGAACGCGCTACCAGGGCGCTCGCTCATGCTGTCTACACGTCGCCCGCGAGCCGCGAAGCTCGAAGCGGCATTCCCTGGGTGTACGAGCGTTGCACGCCAATCGCACTGCACGTATCCAAGACGCTTCGGTGATATCGCTGCAGACACTTTGGCACGACGAAGGCGCAGCGAACGGTAACACGAACCCAGGACGCTGGTTATCTGCGCGACGCACATGCCGAGGTCACGCCCAGGCCAGTGTACGGAAGCGGGCGTGTTTGGTGCCGGACGTGAAAGCCGTCTCACCGAATAGTGTGCGACCAGTGTTCTGAACTCGACGGCTGCTGGATCAAACACGGTAACCTGAATCATAGGGTTGCATCGCGCAGCATCCAGGGTTGCTACGCGCACCTCCATGAACATTGTCGGACGTGAGGCGTCTAGGCCACTTTCGGGTAGTGCAACGCATAGGCCGACGCATTCCACACACAAGCAGCGTGCGTCTCGTATTTCGTCATCCGGGAACTGACCAGCGCCGACTCCATGTTCGACTGATATAGACTTGGTGTCCAGTTCGGGCAAGCCGGGGCCACGCATCGGCAACTTGCGTCACCGAACTGCCGCGCCTCGTCGATCAGGCAGCGGGTGGCAACCATCGTCATCAGCCGAGCGTGTGCTGCACGCTATGTACCCGCTACGACTCCATGGGGGTGCCTGGCGCCGAAGGCTGCAGTGGTTCCACGGTTGCCGCGGATGCCCTGCGCGCATTTCGCAACCGCTCTCGGAATCGACTTCCGTAGGCGGTCTTCGCATACATGGTGTAGAAGCGGCTTGCATCGGCGTCGCGTTCGAACGGATACGCACCGATCGGGGATTTACCCGTCTGCTTCGACAGCGCCCAGCCGCAAGCTTCTGCGGCTGCTAGCCCGGAGCAGATCGCCACCTCGTGAATATTCATCAGGGTCCAGGAGCCGGCGTACCAGAGGTTTCCGTGACGCCCACCTTGAATGAACCGCACAAACGGAACAACTTGCACGAAATGCCTCCATTCATGCGACATTTGCTTCCACCAGCGCACAAGTACGATCTGATCGCGGCGAATTTCATCCATGGTCCAGCGATGCCGCTCCTCTTTGTTCAGAAATATCGTCTGAAAGAGCGGCAGCGGCTCGCCGTGCGCATCCCGCAATTGCTCCTGGTATGCGGAGAGCAGAAAACTCATATCAATGCAGGACGGATCCACTGGGTCTGTTCTTACAAAGTACATATCTGTGCGCCGATCGGGGTCCATTTGGTAGTATCGGTCCATGTATGCCTCGTCGGTATGCGTGACGGTGACGTCATGGAAATAGCGGACCCGTCCGAGCACGTTACGTTCCATGAAGGTAGCTCCCGATCCCAGTAACTTCAAGGCAGTCTGCGCATCGGTCGCCAGAATGACCTGCGAAAAGCGCTCACGTCGTTGGTTGTGGTCGGTCACCCAGACGCCATCTGGCAGCGCCTCAAGACGGCACGCCTCGCGTTCGTAGCACACGCGCTCGATGCCAGGATGCTTCAGCATTGCAGTGTAGATGCTTTCCAGGGCATCGAAGGCAAACATGAGCGGCTGTGTCGAGAGCAATCGATCCGGATCGTAGGCAAAGAGTCGCATGTGCGGGTCGAGAAAAACGCGGGCAACAATCACCGCTGACACTTTTGGAGTCTGATTCCCGGTCCCGAAGAAAAGCGCAGTCAGCGGAAGAACCATTAAATTGATGAACGATTTCGAGAAACCGTGCCAGCGCAGCAATCTCGCTATTGGAACCCAGATATACAACCAGGGAAGGCGGTTCACTCGTTCCAGTAGCTGCCCGAAACGTCGAATTTCCGGGCGCAACTGGCGCACGAGATCAGTTTCCAGCTTCTCGCCGTAATTATTCCACCAGGTTGGACCTTTCCCGAAGTTGATCGTCATGTGAACCGGACGCGGTTCGAAGCCCGCCGCAGCGTGCAAGCGAAACGTGTTTGCGTAGCACGGTGCACCGCCCTGGACACCATCGTTGAACCAGTACCCTTTCCATCGCTGCGTTGATGCGACACCTCCCGCCACAGCAGCCTTCTCCCAGACTTCAACAGCCACTGCGTCGCCGGAGCGAGCCAGGCTCCAAGCAGCTGCACAACCGGCAGCGCCCGCACCAATTACCAGTACTCGCGGACGCTCTGACATTATTTGAAGTGGGTGCAGTGTCTCAAGCGCTTGGGTTGCTAAGGTATTGGGACGCAGTCACAAGAAGCAACTGGTTCATAAGAGAGCAGTCATTCACGCTTCCTTTATATCAGGCATTCCTTGTCTTTTTTCTCTTTGCACGAGCACGCATCTGTTCCAGGTGATCCGTGCACGCACGCACGCATGCACGCACGCACGCACGCCGCGTGTCCATTCCTGGCGGACGTTAGGCGCGCGCGCACGCACGCACCCGCTTCACCCGGTGATCGATACTGACGCGATGCGTGCAGGCATCGCTGCGCTAGGCGGCGACGTCGTCGTCGTGCGATCGTTCCTTGCATCGTTCCGAATCGATCCATGATGTAAGATTGATTGACTGACTGATTGAATTCCGTTGGATACACTTTGGTCGTGGAAGCCACGAGGCCTTGGTGCTGGTCGTCATCCCATTCGGTCCTGTCTAGGGTTTGTAGCACTCGTCACTGCATTCTTTGACGTATTTGAGGCACTTGGTCTTGGGCTTCCACTTGATGCAGACCGGTTTCTCTTCCTGCTTGCCGTAACCTTTGGGCTTGGTCCATTCCACACAGACTTCTCCCTCGGCTGTGACCTCCTCGACGCAGACATCGCGGCACTTGCGAGGGTAGTAGCACCAGTTGTAACGATTCGGGCCGCCTTCCCAGCAGCAACCGCGCTCGGCGCACTCATGCGGCGTGATTCCATCGTATCCGCAGTTGATGCGCTTGAAGTATGGAATATTCTGGCATTCGGGGGCCTTGTTCGGGATCACCACGCAGACGCCTTTGTACTGGGCCCATTCGTTTTCCAGTCCGCAGTAATTGGTCGGAATCCAGCGACATCCGTATTTTTCACATTTTTCAATGTCTCCAGTCTGGGTATAGTCGCCACAGAGCACGTACTCGTGATAGTGCTTTGGCTCGAAGACGGGTGTGCAGGTCGGCGTCGGCGTACAAGTGGGTGTGGGCGTACACATTGGCGTCGGCGTGCACGTAGGCGTGAACTCGTACAACGGTGTCATGGTGTACGACCAAGCCTGGACACTAGGCACTTGGAGCCATAGTGCGAACACACCGAAAATCAACGCCCATATAAAACTAGATTTCTGCATGCTGTCCACTCGAATAAATGATCAAGGCACAGTCGGTAACTTCTCTGACGAACCGAGATATGCTCGTCTCTGCGATGGAGAGAAGAACAATGCCAACTGCGAATACCGGTAATCGTCGATGACTTTCCGGTGTAATGCACGCTGTACGGGCCTTTGTAGGTTTCTCGTTCGACATGATATCGTGTTCGCATAGACGCGGGCCCAGCGGATCGAGCAGCGCATGTTTCGCGGATGCGCGATCGGCGGCGCCTGTCGCACGCCACTGAACGCTGAACGAGAAACAAGCGCCGACGCTGCACATACCGCCAAATTTGGTGTAAGCGCTGACGATGACGACGCACCGAGTGGTGACAAGGTTCATACTGCATGGGACATTGTGGTACGCTTTGCGTGTTCTGGGCGATGGAGGAGATGCTGTGGCATCCATATTTGGATTTTTTTGTTTGAAAACGCCGATGGAGCGACTTTTGCAGGATCCGTGTTTCCATGGGCGCACGATTCGTGGACGCGCTTCCGCGACTCGAGACTTGATGTCAGTGCGAGCGCCACGTGCATTTAGGAAAGCGTCGGCACCGGGGCGAGCGGCACGAGGTCGGCGAGTCGTTGTCTGGGATACAGCCTTCTCCGACGGGGATCAATACGTGATTGACCGCGCACCGACCAATATCGTTGGTCAAGCCTTGATTGATTCTTTTGGCAGGGCGATATTTTCGAACAGAATTCTGGTGCGGGAGCACAACCGGCAGCCGACAGGTTGCGACGTGCGTTGCACTGGGCAACTGGCCCGCGTCCTGGGGCGCAAGCACGCGGCCTCGTGGAGGTCTCGGCATCCAGAGGATCAACCGACTGATTCATAATCGAAGAGAAGAGTATGCTGGTGGCTTTTTGAGTTTCAGTGTTCTATTAGGATTGATAAACGCCCTCCCAATCGCCAGTAACAGTGGCGAACGTGGATATCCCCTAATCAGATTCAAGGATGCAGCAGCACCCGAAGAGAAGCGGCGCGATCGCGCGACGCGCCAGCAATGCCCTGAGGCATTGGGGCAGAGCATTCCCCGAGCGTTTCCCAGGCGGCAGCCTGCGTCCCGACTTACCCGCAGACAGGTAGTACCTACCAGAGACAGGGTTGCGTTTCCTGATGACCGACGCGGACTTGGGAAATCTTTCCTTGCTTGAGAGGATCAGCCTCTTGGAAGAGCGCGTGACCGCGCTCCAACAAAAGGTAGCGGCGGGTGCGGCTGCCGCGGCACGCGAGTTCGAGGCTTGCGCTGCTCACAAGTGCCTGGCTGCGCGTTTCGATTCGCAAAACGATCGAAATATGAGCCTTTCTCTAGAGGAGCAAATTCATCATCGAGACAGTATGCAGATCTTGGACGCGCTACAGCAACAGTCCCAGGTGATCTCCCTGGCTAGTATGGTGGCGAACCCGACGCCACTTGGTCTGTTTGCCTTTGGAGTGACGACGCTGCTAGCCGGTGCTGATCTGTACGGTGCGACTGCTAAAAACACTTTTTCTGTGGCGCTCATTATTGGGGGTTTGGCACAAATTCTCGCGGGTATGTGGTGTTTCCGGCGGAACAATACGTTCGGCGCAACGGCTTTTTCCCTGTTCGGATCATACTGGGGTGCGCGTGGCGTGCAGCTGTTAGTGGAGCTGCTCCATCCGGGACTTTTCCCGTCCGCTGATCGCGCGGGAACCTGTATTTTTTATGTGATATTTTGCATCCTGACCTTGATTCTATTAGTTCAAGCACTGCGAATGAATTACGCCTTGAGCGCGACGGTATTCTTTGTCGCCCTCGTGTACATTTTCCTAGCAATTACTGCATACGTGGAGGGCGTCAAGTACGTTGCAGCGACTTGTGCGATCATCGCCGGATCGCTCGCTTTCTACGTGGGTCTAGCAGACTTTACCAACGAAATATATGAGAAACCGCTGATTCCTTTGTTTCCACATCCGCGACACGCTCGCGACTACGAAGAAGGCAAGCGGTACGTACCTCGGCCGCATGCTCATAAGAGCGCCGTCGATATCCCGCCTGTTTGATTAGGGCCAGCATTTCGCTGCGCACCTGGGTCCGTATACACCATCGCAGGGGTGCACGAACGCAAATCGCGCTGGGATGTAAGTCCAAGATGCCACTTTTCTCCCTAGAAGAACAGAAATGGAAGGTATTGGACCGAACCCTCGTTCCGCCTCCGCAGCGGACACGCGAAGTCGCAGTTCACTGGATGTAAGTCCAAGATGCCACTTTTCTCCCTAGAAGAACAGAAATGGAAGGTATTGGACTGAACCCACGTTCCGCCTCCGCAGCGGACACGCGAAGTCGCAGTTCACTGGGGAAAACGATTTCGATGCGTCCAAGTTGAGGGCGCGTTCGGTTCCGGATGGGATACCATTTCGACGCCCGGACGTCCTGCTGCACGCCAAGAGCAGCAGGACGCTTTTCGTCGTGTACCCGGGACACATTGATCTCGTTCAACACCGACCGTGCGATCGACTGCAGATACGGCATGCATGTATCTTTCGGGAAACATAATCTGCGTACCATAGTTTTTGTATTGTAGTTTACGCGTGGCGCGAACCTGTAATAGGTCCTTCGTAGTGCACGGGCGAGTTATTGGAATAAACTGGCAACGGAAAATGAAAACCTGCGTTCAGAGGCTCAGCAGCTCGAGTAGCAAGTGGCTGCGCTTCAATCACTTGGTGAATCCCTCTCGCACGCCCTTCGGTCCAGTACGGAAGTCCCTAGCCTGGATCAGGGCGTAAAGTTCGCTGCATATGCCGCTGCGCAACGAAGCGGAGGTTTTTCATCGGCAAACAGTGACGCAGCGGCTCGCGAGTCCCCGTTGGTTGACGCGCTCAAGCAGCACTCTTCCGTGGTCGAGCACGTGAGTGCTGCGGCGAATCCGGCGCCACGTGGTCTCCGGTCGTTCGGTATCGCGACGCTTCTCGTGGACGTGGACTTACACGGGACCACCGCGAAGAACCTGTTCGCGGTTGCGCTCATCACTGGCGATCTTGATCAGTTCATTGCCGGTATGTGGTGTTTCCGATATGATAACCTGTTCTGCGCAACCGCGTTTTCGATCTACAGCGTATTCTGGGGCGCTCGTGACATACAGCTTCTGGTGGAGCTGCTCAATCCGAGTCGCTCCCCCGCAACCGATAGAGCAGGTACCTTCATTTACTGCGTAATTTACTGCGTCGTTTCCCAATGCTCTGTGCCCAGGCACTGAGAACGAAGTACGCTTTGAGTCTTACCGTCTTTTTCGTCGGTCTAATATACCTCATGCTGGCCATTACAACGTTTGCGAGTGGTGTCAAGTACCCGGCAGCAACACGCGCGATCATTGCCGGGTCGCTTGCGTTCTACGTAGGCTTCGCCGACTTCACGAACGAAATTCATGACGAGGCAATCCTGCCCCTCTTCCCCTACTCAACAAACCGTGATGATTACATGTACCACGAAGCACACAAACCAGGAGTTCGGGTCCTGGACTGCGCCGTCGAAGACGCATCCGTATGCGGCTGATGCAGCGCAAATGCACGCCCCGCACCAAGGCCTCATAGTCAGAGCGTTCAATTCCAGATTCGGTTCGAAAACGACTCGGCGCAATTATTCATGAGGTTGTTGGCGACAGTGCCCCGTACGTCGAAGTTCGGCCTGAATCAAGTGCTAGTGTACATGCAAACTTGTACTGCAACTTGGCCGAGCAGCGCATCCGTAGATATGCCTTGGTGGTCCCCGATTGCAAGATGCTGCTAAAGATTTCGTTTGCGCGCGAGCCCTCTCTCGAACGACGTGTCATGAGAGTAGCTGGAAGGATTTAGCAGGCGGGGAGCTCGAAGAAAAGCTCCCCAATGGGACTGGCACGGCAAAATCGGGTACTGGGTCTCGAATGCGTGGTGTGTGCAGTGCAATCACGATGGCGGCCCAAGTCAAATACGATTCCAGGAATGCGCTCCAGCTACTGCGGTGCTTCGCAAAATGGTGTGTCGGTCTCTGTCTCCCCAAACCAAGGAACTGTCCTTATGCATACTTGTCGAGGCGTACATCCACGATTCTTCCGGCCAGTTCAGCACGGTCCATCATCTGGATCGCTCGCTGTGCGTCCTCCTCTGATTCGAAGACAATCGTGCCGGCGCCGCGACTGCGCCCTTCCTGGTCTATTAAGATGTCCGCGCGGATAATGTTCCCACAGGCTCGAAATTCGTCCTTTAGGTCCTGCCAGGTATAAGAATATGGCAAGTTCCAGACGATGATCTTGCGACCCTTATCCGATGGAAAAGACGGCGGTTGGTTACGTCCCCGAGCTTCGTGGTGGCGATTTCCGGTAGTGGCGTTCGCCCCGTGAAACCCTGACGCTGACGTCTTGTTTCGCCGCAGAGGCTGGTTCGGTTCGCGATCCTCGCGCACAAATATCAGCCTCCCCTGAAGCTCGGTGTCGTTCAGCGTGGCAATGGCGTTCGCGGAATCGGCCTCCGTGGCGTACTCCACCACCCCGCAACCGCGCGAGCGACCGTCCCGTTCCGTGAACACTTCCGCGAAAACCACCTCGCCAGCCTTGCGCATATGATCTTTCAGAGCTTGCCAAGAAACACTCCAGGCGAGGTTGCCAACGTAGACGCGGCGCGAGGGTAGCGCACCACCTTCGGACCCGGGGCCTGCCGGGGGTGCGTTCGGGTCCAGCTTCGAAGTCCGTACGGGTCGTCGCGGCGATGCCGGTGCAGTGTCCGACACTTGCCCTGACATAAGACTGGCCGCCTGCTCCCCAACAGCAACGTTCCCGGAAGAATCTGCAAACTCGTGCTCGTTGGTTACGGTCAGCATGGCGTCTTGAACAGGAACCGCGCCGGGTTGCACCGTCCCGTTCTCCGGGTGTGGCCCTGTTACAGAGGCGTTGCTCGTCATCGTCCGCAAACACTTTCCAACACACTCAAACGCTGATCCTCGCCACCTCAGAATACCGCACACAAGCCTCCTCGTGTTTCTCAGAGCTCAGGTGTTACGCTTCAGGCTGTAGCGGACGACAGGTCGCTACAAGCGTTTCGCGGCCTCTACCCGTTGCTAGAAGGTAGCATCGGGGGTAGAGGCGGCGCGTACACCGCATCCGATGCATCGGACTCGTCGTCGACGCGCTACGCCGTCGGTGCGCTGCTGCTGTGGACAGCGAGCGCGGCGACGTGTTGCCCGCGACGGCGCCTGCGTAGCGATCGCAACGTACGGCGGCACCGCGTTAATAGATCTTTTGTGACAAAACTGTATAAGAATGCATCGTGGTGTTTCGTGCGCCAACTCCTGTTCATGACCTCGACATGCGCGCGCTGCGCCCGAGTACTGCTATACCCATGCAACGACCAGTCTCTGACATGTTACTGCTGCTACTGCTGCTGTGCTGTAGAGCGTAAGCTTATAGGCATTGAGCCAATTGTCTTTGGGTAATCCACAAAAGCGGACTGTGGTTCCAATACTTCCACTTTGTACCAGAAGGGTGAGCGTGCAATACAAGCTGTCTGCTGCTGCTGCTGCTGCTGTTTGCGATGTCACGCGGTCGCCTCGGAGACCGTGGATCGCCTGAGTCGCACCACACTGGCATCAGATCCTCATATTCATATGAAAAGGCCTGAGTAGGTGTCGTTCAAGGCAGCGGCACCTCGATTGCCTGCAGCGAAGCGTCACCGAAGGGTGTCCTTTCCAAATGCTCCAGACTGGAATACATCGCCATATGTTCGATTCTCGAGTACCAAACTCCTGCGGTTGTTGTTTTGCGTGACGCTGTCCTGCTGGGGCAGGCGCTGCACCCGCCTGCCTTTTCGTGTCGAGTTTTTCGGCCATGGGAATATCGCCCGGGCGATCTAGAGACAACGCGCGCTTCGGCTCGCCGCAGTTGCTGACGAACGGCTTCTGCACTTGACCATGATCACCGAAAAACAGCGCCTAGAAGGCACTCGGCCACAGTTTCGGGGGTTGCGGTGAACGAGCCTCCTACATCCGAGTCAGATGAAAACTGAAAACTGAACTGCTCGCTCTGTTCATGCGGTTCGATTGCGCTCGAAATTTTTTTTGATGTGCAGCCTGAATGCGTAAGGTTCAACAACAAGGGCTTATGGATGCATATGCAGTTTTGGGATTCTCGTTCGAGTTTCTGGAGTGACTCTTACGACGCAATCGAATACATGCATGAAAAATAGCCGAAATCATGTCCCAACTCATACATACAAGTCTCTACGCTTCTCGATTCTATACCTGTTTTATGCAGCTATCGTGCACTGTCCAAGTGTTCGATTGTCGTGTTTCACGGCAACTCGTGGGCGCAGGAATTCGCGCCGCTGATTTGACGAGGAATAGGGCTCGACGTCGTCTCCCGACAACTTGTTCACAAGCCCATGTTGAAGCTTCACTGCATTTTTTATGTTAGACAATCTATTCCGTTCGAAAGGCAAATCCTCCTCACAACGTCATTGGAAGGCAAGCGGCATTCTGCGCCAGTTCAACGCCTCCCAAAGCATAAACTCCATGCACTCCCGTCTCTTCCGTTTAGACAGAAGAGGGTCTTGGACTCCGACATGAGTCAACGCGGCGACCTGTTCCCATGACGAATACGTCATCAGTTGGCTCGAATGGAGCCTAAACGGATAAGTCGCTCGACTTGTTCTTCAGCCCGGACTCCCCTTCTGGCACTCGTTTCACCCTACGACAAATCACTTTCCAAAAATCCCCTATCCAATGAAATAGCACGCGCTTGCGTGTGCAGCTGATAAACTGCTCGCGGAGGTAATCGCCCAGAAGCAGCCCGTGATCCTGCGGGTACGGCACCTGGCACGGAAGCGGTGATGGGTATCGAGCACAGCTACTGTATCCACCAGAAGCATGCGCCGAGCAATGAAACAGTCGTTTACGCACCGCAGGGCGGTCCTCGAATCCGATTTTGCAATAGGTATACGGTTACACCTGACCGCAGCAAAGTATCACAGAAGTAAAATGCGTACCGAGGCTGCACACAAAGAAGATGAACACGGCAGGCGGCGAGTACAGCGCATCCACCGTCCGTTCCATGGAATGCGTGAACAACACCCGGAAGCCGCCCAATCGGGTCGTGCGTGCTGCCATCACCATCCTGCAACGATGCGCAAAGAAGCAGGATAAACAGGAACGTGCAATTCCTGTAAATCCAGAAATAAAAGAGAATGAAAGAAATCGGTGGTCGTAAAATCCCTGAAACACTGCCGTTGTTGAAGATGTCTAGAAAAGACCCGAACTTTACGATGTACACATCCGAACAACTGGAGCGCTCATCCACGCATATCCAGCATCGACGTCGCGTACGATTCGCGCTGCGCCTGCGCTCGCGCTGCCGCTCAGTCGGAGGGCATCGGGGCAGCGGCCTCGACAGAACGCCTCCCGCGCCACTGCAGGGCCAGGCGCGCACGCGCATCATCGCCTGGGGGCGCGGCACCGGCGATGGCGCCGACGACGGCGTCGATCATGAGGCGCACACGGTCGCCGCGCGGATGATTGTACCCAAACACGAAAACGCCTCCAGGTTATTCGTGCTTTCACTGGACCACCACAGGGGGTAACTTGTTGCACGCGTCGCCGTGGAGGCGGCGCAAGGCGCTAAATTTTGCCTCTAGTATTGCATGTCGTCGTCGAGACGACCTTCGGTTGTGTGGTACCGCGGCCACGACCTCCGTGTTGAGGACATGCCAGCGTTGCTTGCTGCCGTGCAGCGCGGAGGCCCGGTGGTGCCGGTGTTCATCTGGGCACCCGAAGAGGACGGTATGTGGTGTCTCGGCCGACCGGCACGTTGGTGGTTGAGTCGTTCCATTGTTGCACTTGACCGACGACTTCGGGAGCTAGGTTGCGAAACCGGGTTAATTCTGAGGCGTGCGAAGTCGGAAAGCGGCGGCGGCGGCGGCGTCGAGACGACGCTTCTGGAGGTCGTGAAACGCTGCGGTGCCGAGGCTGTGTACTGGAATCGGGTCTACGACCCTGTTGTGTTACGCAGAGATGAGGAAGTGCGGCGGCGATGGTCGAAGCACCACCGCCTGGCTGTTGAGTCCTTCAAGGCGGAGCTCCTGGTCGAGCCGTGGGAGGTTTGTGCAACAGAGAGCAGGCCCGCGAGCTTTGGGGACCGTCCGCTCGACACCTTCCACGAGTTCATGTCAGCGTGGATGGCTATGCCACCACCCCCAGAGCCGTTGCCTGCACCTAAGCGAATAGAGCCGCTCATTGCCTCCCAGTCGGGAGATCAGGGGCCTCTGTTCGCTGTGCCCGAGTCCACGATGCAACCGTCGGATGTGCTGCAGTCGCCCGGCGGCGAGGATACCGACACTGAAATGGGAATTTGGTGGAACCAGATACACAACTTAGGCAGCCTTGAGGAGTACTGGCGCCCCGGCGTGGATTGTGTAGCAGAGCGCCTGCAAGACTTCTTGACGAGTGTCTTTCCGACGTATGGGGACGCTCGAAGACGACAGCGTCTCCGAAACGGGACATCACGGCTTTCGCCGTACCTACGGTTCGGAGAATTGTCACCGCGGCGCCTCTACCACGCTGTTCGGGCGTCTGTACTGCAGTCTGAGCCATCAGATGCAATAATTCGGGCTGCTCGAACGCTCCTGAGAAACCTCTGCCTCCGCGAGTACGCTTATCATATGCTATTTTACCGACCATCGATCCTGGATAGACCACTGGTGCCAGAATTTGATCATTTTCCATGCACCAAGGAAGATGTGGGCCGTCTCCTCGAGGTGTGGCTCTCGGGACGCACGGGCTACCCACTCGTTGATGCGGCAATGCGGGAACTGCACCACACCGGCTGGTTGCATTCGAATCTGCGGTTTCTTGTAGCTTCTTTTTTTACCAAGTACCTTCTCCTGCCGTGGCAGATCGGGGCTCGTTGCCTCTTCAAACTATTCATCGATGGCGATCTGGCGAGCAACGCGATCTGCTGGCAGTGGGTGACGGGCTGCAACTACGACGTTTTCCCCTTGAATTGCCTCGTGAACCCAGTCGTGATGGGCATGCGCGTAGACCCCGAGGGTGAGTACGTGCGTACCTGGTGTCCAGAGTTGCAACAGATCCCCAGTAGCTACATCCATGCGGTGTGGAAATGCCCTCCGACGATTCTGCATCAGGCTAGGGTTGAACTGGGTGTCACCTATCCGCGACCGGTTGTCGAGAATCGGGTAGCACGTCGCCGAGCCCGGGACGCGCTTCGATACCTTCGCCAAGTTGTGCTGAACAAGCGCGGCTACGGTGTGCGGGTCCCGAATACGCTATCGCTGAAGGGGACTCAGGAACTCATGAGCGATTGGCCCATTGATGAGGTCTACAACGTGTTGGATTCTAAACAGGAAGACCTCTTCGGGCTGAGCGATCTTGGTCACGAACTACCTAGCGGAAGGCAGCCTGAGCGTCCCATGCGAGATAGCGACGCCAGCATCGATGATCAGGAAATAGCTGGTGATTCGATCGGAGGCGATCATGTTGGACTGCTCCCACGGGTCTGGTCCATGAGCCAAGACGATCCGCTGCACAACGTTTTTGATCTGGGCGGCAGTGCGAGCGGGGCGAATGGCGCGCAGCTGGCGGGGCCTTCCCCGGGTCTTGGCGGCAGTAACGGTTACGCTCAGGGACCAGGTGGCGGAAACGGAGGCTCCTCTTTGATGTACGGTGTGAGTGCGGGCACATTTGGGAACCAACAAATGGCGCTTGTTTCGAGCGGCATGGGCATGGGCAGCAGCGGCGTTGGTGGTGGCGGCGGCGGCGGCGGCGGCGGCTCCGACCGCAGCATACCCGAGGTCGTCGTGGGAGCTCCAAGTAGCGTGGATGAAGATTCCTACACCGAGAAACTGCACCGCGTCGATTCGTTTCATGCACTCTTGTCTGCTGGTGCAACCACGCCACTTGCACGCGGCTCGATCATGGAGCCCACTGGACGAGTCCCGGGAACAAATCCTGACTTTATGCGCGCGCCTCCGACGGAGCATCTCAGTAGCCTGAGCGGCATTGTAGCGCCAAACGCCAGTCATCCGTCGTCCGCGGTGCATGTGTCGACGTCGGGAAGCCGATCGCTTGTGACGGCTGGTGGAGCGGCGGCAGCCCTGTCACCCGGCCAGATGATGCGCACGCCCAACGCGGCGGTTGATCCAGGTACCACGAGCGCATCGCCGCTGTTGCTGCACCATACTGGTGGGGCGGGCCACGGTCGAGGCAGTTCACGAGGCACCGCCACGTTACCGGGGTCACAGTCGCAGCCGATGGGTACTCGATCGATGCTGAACGCCAACCTGCCCGGGTCTGTTTTTGCGTTCGAGTCCGGAGAACCGGGCGCCATGCCTCGCCCAGCACCGGGTCATTCGCTGGGACCCGAAACCAGCGTTTCCGCACCTGCCTCGTGGGCGCTTATCAATGAGCGTCCGTCGTTGTCGGCAGCTGAGGATGCGAGCGTGCACCGGCGACCCGGCGCGATGCCGGCATCGACCTCGACTCGGTACGATAATGGCGAAGCTGCGCGGTATCTAGAGGACAGAGCTGGACGGAAACGTGCACTAGCTGACGAAGGCGTTTGCACCAACCCTGACTTGACGATGCCAGAGAGGTTCCCCGCGGTGGCTGCCGCGCGAGTTACGCAGCGCTTAGAACATGATACAGCGGGCAGCGTATCATCTGCAGCGAAAACCAAGCGAAGAGCGTCCGGTGCTGCAGCCGCACCGCAAGCACCGGCCCAGCAGCGAACGCGCGATGGATCCGCCCCGAATGAGGCTCCTGCTCCCGGATCCAGCGCCTTGCACCATGACGCAACGCGTGCCCCCGCTGGAAGCCGCTGGCTCGAGCAAGGCGCCAGTGGCGAAAGTCTCGACGTGCGCTCTTCGTCGGCCTCGAGCGACCGCACAGCACCGATCACCCTTGAGGGTCTGGGAGACGTCGAGCCGCCCCAGACCCGGAGCGAACGACTCGAACTGCTGGAGCGCATCCACCGGAGCGATAACGCGTACGCCCGATTCGCGGGTTTCCTTCTCCAGCACTACGATATCACAGAGAATGTGCGCCGAAACCCCAAGAGCACGGATTTCGTACGTTTACGGAATCTCAAAGACCACTTCAATCGATACAGTGCACCACCACGGGCTGGTCAAGGTGCCGCTCATCGGGAGCCGCTCAGAATTTACCGAATCAAACAATTTTTCAGCAAAATACTGAACCTGGAGGTCACCGGCGAGTGGGATCGACACGCACACGGCGGAGTGCGCGGCCCGTACGTGTACGGCCTGGTGCTGCGCGCGGATGCGCTACAGCGTGCCGCGCCCTGACTCGGGCTGGCGCCAGCGGCGCGCCTACCGTCAACGAGCCGGCAACCGCAACCGGCACGTCGCAGACGACGCGGCAGACGCTCCTGGCAGCCGCCGTCGGTGCGTGCACACCGGCACCAGGACACTGCGTGGCGGCGGCGGCAGTCGCGAACGCTCGATGCCACCTAGAGGCGTGGCGCGTCGGATGTGCCGTCGATGCCCACGGGTCTGCGGTACGCTGCCGCCGGCACCTGATGATCCCGGGGTGCCCGCTGCCGCTGCCGCTGCCGCTGCCGCCGCTGCCGCCGCTGCCGCCGCCGCAGCAGCAGCAGCACGTAGCGCCCGGCTACGTGCACGATGCATGGACACGTGGCACGTTGTACGTGGCCGCAGCTCCATGCGATGCACGTGCGCGCACGCATGCAGGTGCTGCGCCCGACGATGCGCGCGAATGAGCGCGGCGCCGGCGCTGATTCGTTGCTAACGGCTGGGGTACGGCACGTGCTCGCGCGTTCACCCTGTCGCCGACGCGCATGTAGGGTAGGCACGGGGCGGCACGGATGCCGAATCGCTTCTAGTGCCGTGCATGCTCGCGTCCGTAAACCTGCGCTGCGTGCTGCAATTGCTGTCGATGGCGGGACGTTTCGTTTGAGCTGCAGGCGCTAGGTTTATCGTTGCGCGCAGGTTTGTTCGCGTGCATTCAGCGGGTGTCCTCGGAGGTGCCAGCGCGTGATGCGGGCAATTTCAGCGCTCCAAGGCCCGGCAATAGTTGTCGAATTCGTCGCTCCACTGTGGCCCGGTTGTCGGCTGGAGTCATCAACAGGATCAGAGCTGCTACTTCCGCATACTGTTCGTAGAGGTGCGCCGTCTCCGCACGAAGCTCGTGTAGTGAAGATTCGTGTTCATGGAGTCGCGCATCGAGTCGTTGGAGCTGGCCGCGCACCCACTCTTGTAGAACTTCATCGCCTTGGGTCATGGACTTGGTGAGACTCGTCAACTCGGCGGGTAGTGATTGTAAAGTGCTGGTAAAGTCCTCCAGGCGGGTTACCTTGTGCTCCAGCTCGCTGCGCTGGTTCCGCTCGCTTTCCATTTGGACGTGCAAGCGCTCTACTCTTCGTTCGAGTTGATCGTTCCGGCCAGTTAGTTCCTTGGTCTGTGTTACGGCGGTGTGTATTTCTTCGGGATCCGGTAACCGGGAAGATAGTTTCTGCAGCTGGCTTTCGAGTTTTCGGACGGTTTGCTGGATCTGGTTCCAGTCTGGTGGTGGCGCGACCTGTCGCATGCCAGCGCCGCCGACGAATTCATCCGTTGTTAACTGGTGTTCTATTCTTTGCAGACGTTGGTTGAGCGCTTGGCAGCTCGTGCGTACTGCTGTGAGGGCGTCCTCGACAGCGCGAGCATTCCCCTCGACGGTGCTCTGGAGGTGCATGACACTACGCATCGCATCCAGCGCAACTGAGGTTGAGGTTGTGCCCTGCTCTGTGGGTGCCGACGGTTTCGACGACGCGTTGCGATTCGCGCACTCGCCGAGATCATGGCGAAGGTGCTTTTCAAGGGCGTCACGCTCACGTGACCACTCCTCGCGTGAAATGCACGAACGCATGCCCGATTCAAGGTGTTCCAGTTTTTGACCTATTTGCTCTGCATGCGTGGCCATCTCGCGCTTCAGAGAGCCGTCCACGTCGATGCTGGCAAGTCTTTCCTCGAGACGGGTCAATTGGGACTCCGTCCAGCGATAGAGTTCCAGAAAGCGCGCGTTGACCGCTTGAGTGAGGCGGAGCTCGAACGCTCTGATGTCTAAAAATTGGTCTCTGAACTCCTCGGCGAGTTTGTCCACAGCGTCCGATGCATCCTCGCTTTCGAGGAGGGATTTCCGTTCGGGAACGGATTCAGCAGCGCACCAGTGCTCGCGAGCCAGCACGTGCTGGCGCAAGCGCTCCTCTAATACGGCTACCTGATTGGCAAGTGCACCCAGCTGGTCTTGGACACAGCTCGATTTTCTCGATTGATGCTCCAAGTCGTTTAGTCGATCTCGTAACTTGCTTAGCTGGCAAGCAACTTCCACAAGCAACGGCGCATAGGACGAAAGCGCACCGAGCGAGAGTCGGCTATCATTTTCCGTGTCCGAGCCCCGCGTGCCCTGAAAAGCGTTTGGTGGTGCCTCGTTCTCCACTGAGAGAGGGCTTTCTTCGCCGATATTCCCCCGGAGATCAAACGCACTGCCTATATGAGCAGTTGCATCCATGAAGGTTGACGCCGAACTCCAGGTACTTTGGGAGAAGAGGTGCTATACGTACAGCTGCATGGCCTGCGCAGGAACCGCATGAGCGGGAACGCGCGTCCATCGTACGCACGCGGCTGGCGCCGTGTATCGCCCGGCGATCACAGCGCGCTGCTTCCGGCGACGCCGCCAGCGAGCGATCCATAACCCCGACGGCTCTGCAGAAGCAGTCGTAACAGCAGCAACGCGTCTACGCTGTTGAATGGACACGTGCGTCATGTGAAGCACCAGTCGATGCTGGTCCCGCGCCAAACGCGAATGCATCATGTAGTGAAGTGCAGTGCAGTGCAGTGCATCGGGCAGCGCGAATGATCGCTCAGCAAGTCTTGCGCTTCAGTGCGCCGCATGTGCACGCACAGATCGAGTGCGTGCGTGGCACGGGTCCATGCACCAGCACGCATTGCTATGGACACGTAGGCGTCACGCATGCGCCACCGTTGTGACAGCAATGCGAATTGCATCCAAGCGAGAATAAAACGAAAAGAGCCCTCGAGCTCGGGCACACTCACACACACAGGACAATGTTTGGGACTCTTTGCACTGTCATGAACTCCGGGGTTTGCGGGCTTTATTTGTGACTGTTTCCTCTTTCTTTCCCTTATCAAGACATTCAGTACACTGGTGTATACGTTCTCTAGGGTACCGTTGGCAGCAGTCGAAGCGTTCAAGTCCCGAGTTCGCTACCTCGTGCTATTGGTCACGCATTTCATGCACGGACAGAAGCCGTGATCAACGTTTCCCTTGCAATCATCATCCACCTGGTATAAAGCCTCGGTACACCATTCGTGGCGGCGACACGTAACTTCGATCGGGTGTTCTCACGTGTCCATTGCACCTCCTCGTTCTCCGAGAGTCGGCCTTTGACGCGTGAACGCTCGCTTCATTGCTCGGTGCTCACGCTTGACAGGTGTAGAAGCCTCACCTCGATGCTGCGCTCCGATTCCGTGCCCGGTGCCGTTCCTATGATGATGGGCTTCTTCTGAGCGATTCGCCTGAAGAGTACGCCATCCGCTGCAAGCGCAGGTTGCCCTATTTGGTGGGAAATTTTCTTGAACGCGATGTTGTCCATAATCAAAAAAAGTACCTGAAGAAAACTACAGTCCGGGAAAAGTCGAGAACTTTCGAGTCGTCTTTGCCCCATTCGTGCAAAGTGGTGAAGCGCTCTCTCCCGGACGCGAGCGCTCAGATAACTGTCGACCAAACCCGAGACGCTTTTCCATACAAACAGAAGAGGCCGGAACCTCTAGGCGCACATCCCGCGAAAATTATCACGCTGGTAACGAATTCGATTCTAACAATGGCCACCAAGAGATAAGGATATGTTTTTCCGAGGGAAATCGATTATTTGACGTCGCGAGCTGAGTAGACGATCGGCATGAGCTTTGGAACGAGCCGTCCACCGAAGCCTTCTGGTTTTGTTCCATATTAGCCCAAGAGCGCGAATCGCTACGCCCACGAGTCGCTCTGACATAGAAAAATGGGAAGTGCGAAGCCAGCGTAACTTGAGCATGCTACACACGAGCAAAAGGAGAAGCGCCAAGCCTTGTCTATATGAAATGGATACTCATATCGATTATGTAGGGGCCCTTTTTCGTTTCCGTCATGAATCATGTTGATTCCGGTTCTAGGAAGCATTCCAACGGCACCGAGCTGAGACATCCACTCCGAAACCACGATCCAGAGTCCTTAAACTACGCATGAATCCATAAGCTCTTCTCACCGCACTCATAATGTCAGTAATATACATCTAACAAATATTCGAAAACAAATCTCAAGGCTTGGACGGAGAGATCCTCACAATGCTACGCGTTCACTTGCCTAGGGTGTCGGGCGAGTGCACCGCACCTGCAACTGCACCATCGCAGCTATCCCATGCCGGTTGCGCGTCAAACCGCAGCAACGATAAAGCCCAGAAACGAACAACGAACGACCAACTCGGCAACAGTTTCTTTCCAGATTCACGTTACGCGTTGAAAGGTGGAAGTTCTCTCGTTTGTTGTGAAAGTTTGCCTTCTAAGCGGAAGGCCCCACGACCAGGACGAGTCTACCGGGCTTGCACTCTGTGCACCGTTGTACTGCCGGGTGCAGAGGCGAGACCTCAGCAGCTCGCCCGGAACGCAGTCCATCCTGAGACTAGGAGCGGTTGCGATGCGTCTGGGCGTCGTTTTGCTTGCAGTGGTCTCCCAGCAGGTCGCCTTGCGCTCTCGCAGGCCGTGCGTCTGCCTGGGCAGTTCCCACGCTCCCATAAAGCCAGTGCGTCCCGAATCTGGGACCAGTGAACCGTACCTCGAACCGATGCCCCCAACGCTATGCGATGTCCGCTCTGTCTCCGTGACGCAACCACACCAGCGGAACAGGTGCTAGAGCGGGTGCAGCAAGGCAGGCACTTGGCAAACGATAGAACGTGCGAAATAACCAGTACGTTCGAGAAAAGTATAGGTCACGGAACTTGAATCTCGGGTACAGCGTGATCGAAGCCTACCCGAGTGCCACTATCCCTCCGGGGACCTCGGATCCCTGATCCACGCAAACGTCCTCTCAAATAACGGGGTACCCATCCAATTACCCGAGCGCTCATCGTTCGTCGAAGGCGCTACCACAGCGCGCATCGCCTCCTCCTGCATCGTACGCCCGCCACGCGTTTGCGGCGCGCAATCTGTCCCGTTCACATCCGCATCGCCCTGATGAAGCCGTTGATCTCAAAGAGCCTCCTTTTAACGCTCATTCTTCATTTGCATGTTTCTTTAGCGTTTTATTGCGGAAGAATAGTGCACGCGCCGCTGTTCTGAGACCTGAAACACTTACAGTTTCAGAATCTAGGGGAAGGTATCGGCACATTGACACTGATGCGGTTATGATCCAGCGCTCTGGATCGGGGAGAACTTCTATGCGGGTGGGTTTCACCGTGGCGCTCTTCACCGGGCGTACTCGGTCCTGGTTCAGGCGACGAGGGATTCAACCGTCACAACTCGTGGACCTATCTGTACAGCGACGGGTGCCAGCAGTGCGCAGTATAGCGCTCGACGGCATACCGACAAGCAAGCCGCGAATGCAGAGCCCCAGTGAAGCCGAGCGGCCCTCGGCCCGGACCGAGGGCCCCAGCGGCCGCAGGTCGAAACGTGCACGGGCGCCGCGCTCCAGGAGCAAGTCTGAGAAAGACAGCTCCGCGTCAAAGTCTGTTAAGACGTATGCGGAGCCGGACCAGCCACGCAAGCGGTCGCTGGAGCAAGCCTCCGCTGAGGCGTCTCTACCAGCACGAAAGGAAACCGAAGACAATTCGGCGAAGAAGGGTGGGCGCAAACCACGTAAAGAGAAGCTGGAAGCGCTCACCGAGTTGGCGAAAGAGCGTTTGCGAGAAGAACAACGTAAGCGACTTGAAGTGCAGCAGATGGAACGAGAGCAGCGAGAACGAGCAGCGGCTGCGCAGCGCGAAGGCCAAAGTGATGACGTGCTTCGGGAACGAGGTCGCAGCTCTAAGTACGATGGACCTGTCGAAACAGACGACGACAACGACGAGGACGACGACGACGAAGCAATGCAGCTAGGGGAGCGCTCGTTGACCTTGGATGCAATGGCAGAGCCGTCGCTTGCCACGGATGATAGCGTGAACACCAGCAGCAGCAGCAGCAGTAGCGCTGGTGAACGCCAGAACCGCGACTCGCTTTTCGATTATTTGGATGAAATTCGTCGCTATCAACTTATCGAGCATGAGGAGGAAGTAGCGCTCGCGCGCGAAGTGCAGCACTTGAATAGAATCGAAGAGAAACGACAAGATCTAGAGAAGATGCTCCATCGACCACCGACATCTCAGGAGTGGGCACGGGCGCTGAACATGAAGTCTGCTGCGGAGCTGCAGGAGGCGCTTGCTCGCGGACACCAGGCCCGGAATCGTCTCGTAACCAGCAACTTGCGTCTGGTGAATGCAATTGTCAATCGATTCAGCCGGCGTGCAGAGGCGATTGGTGTCACCATGAGCGATCTGATGCAGGAAGGCTCGATAGGACTCATTCGAGCAGCCGAGCGTTTCGATGGATCCCGCGGGTACCGCTTTAGCACATTCGCCTCGTGGTGGATCCGTGCGTCCATTTTTAGAACGCTTGATGAAGCGTCGAGGATTATTCGGCTACCGTCGCGTGTCACCGATGCGTACCAGCGCCTACGCAAGCTGCGGCGATTGCTCACTGCAGAGCTGGGTCGGGAACCCACCGAGGATGAACTCGCAGAGCGCGCGGGCATGGCGCCCGACAAGGTGCGCTTTGTCTTCGAACAAGTGAACCGCCAGGTGCTCTCCTTTGATCGCGGTATGGATACGACTGAGGACCCTGATCCCGACAGCGGCAGCTTTCTTGAGTCCATTGCAGACCCTCGGGACGAAGAGGATCTCGTGGACTCTTTCATGAAGGATGCAGTTTTACGCTTGCTGCGATCTGTGTTGAATGATCGAGAGGTGTTTGTCCTGAGATTGCGATTTGGACTGGACGACGATGAACCGAAAACGCTGCAACAGGTAGCAGCGATTTTGAACGTTTCGAAAGAGCGTGTGCGTCAGATATCGTTTGCGGCGCTAGCAAAACTGCGCAAGTCACAGAGCGCTGAGCGCTTGCGCAATGAATTTGCGGAGTATTTCTGAGTGCTGTGCATCTTGCTTGAACCGTTTGCGAACTGGACCGAGCGACTGGAAACCGAGCAGGTCTCTAGGCAATGGGGATCGACGCCTGCAGCCAGTACAGCTGCAGCTGCCGCTGCAACTTGCCTGTAGACCAAACCAGCGCGACGTCCGCAACAGTGCGTTTGCACTGACAACGCCGTCTGCGTCGCCGTCTCTGAGCCACTTTTGAGCTGAGCGGATGCTCTCTGGAAGCACCACCTCCGCACGCCGACATCGAATCCGCCACTGCAGGTGAAACTCCCGGGCACTGGGGTGCATCATAGGAATCATCATCATCGTTATGGATCGTAACAAGTGCTTTTATGCTTGTTGCAATCCGCATCGAGTCGGGTCTCACAGTGTCCATAAAAATGCAGATTACGTTGGCGTTCAGTACGATTGCATTGGTTTCCGGAGTTGAAAGTATTCGTGACGACTTGGTGACGAGATGCTCGCGCTTTGCCTTTCAGCGAGGTGTTACGCGTCTAGGCGTCTTTTCGCGTTCCGCGTCTCGCGCACCGCACAATAAAAACATCGTCAGCGAAGCAGGCGATCCGTATTGTTCACCACGCCATTCCGGGGATACGCTTTGGTACAACGCGATGTCGTGGACACGTCCTCGGGCATTGACGCTACCAATGCTTATCGACGATTTACGGTGATATGCTGCATTCGACGCGAGGGCGTGGAACAGTGCCCTGCTCGGCGCTGCCTGGTGCCGGAGCAACTCCAAGCCTGTCACATACAGAAAACAAACAAACAAACAGAGACAGCGTCGGAAGCACCGGAAGATCCAATCCGTGCACGGTACTCTTTTCGGAACAGATTGCATATGTAAGGAGCATTGGGGTCGGGTTTGCATTCACGGTGAGCTGGCGACTAGCACGCAAAGGCCAGATGGTCTTCTTTTCGGAACAGATTGCATATGTAAGGAGCATTGGGGTCGGGTTTGCATTCACGGTGAGCTGGCGACTAGCACGCAAAGGCCAGATGGTCTTCTTTTCGGAACAGATTGCATATGTACGGAGCATTGGGGTCGGGTTTGCATTCACGGTGAGCTGGCGACTAGCACGCAAAGGCCAGATGGTCTTCTTTTCGGAACAGATTGCATATGTATGGAGCATCGGGGTCGGGTTTGCATTCACGGTGAGCTGGCGACTAGCATGCAAAGGCCAGATGTTGTTGTCGCAGTCGGGCATGTTGTCGTATCCGAAAAAAACTTTGTCACGCGATTCGTTGCGCCCGTCCGTCATCATGGAAACAGGGTAGGAGTGCTTGAGCGAGCTCTCGTGTTGCGCTGTCCTGCGCATCACTGGACCAGCGTTCAAGGAGTTGCGCGATATGCTCTAGCGATACATTGGAGCTGCTTTGGTTCGATCTCCACCAGTGCTCCAATTGCCGGAAACTTTGAATACCGTACGCTTCACGAATTCGCAAAAGAATCTCGTAAACAGCGTTGAATGCGAGTACACACGCCCGATGCACTGCAGCATCCGAGCAAGTTCGCGCTGTGTATGCCAGTTGCGCTAGCGCTTGTCCCATGCTGGCGAGACGAGTCACCGCACCTATACAAAGAGAGCCCGGCCCTTGCGCACAGTGCAGTACCAGAGCACATGTCTGTACCAGTTGCGCCAGAAGCATTTGATCCCGTCGCCAGAGATCGAGCCAGGGCTCCTCGGTGTCCGCCCCAGCGAGTAATTCAAAGAACGCCTGCACCATGGCATGGAAGTGGAGTGCCGGCTGGGTGTGAAGTGACGTTTGCCCAGACGCGTCGCAAGCGCCTGCAGCTGCAGTGAATACCGCACGCTGAGACATCGCGAAAGACTCGCTTTGCCGTGCTTTTGTTTGATGCAGCGAGCGCACCGAAACGCGCCTGACGCGGCTGCATATCTGGTGGTCTTGATGGCCTTCGGGTGTCGGCGAGGTTGCTTCCGCTGCGCCTCGCTGTGTTGGCTTTCGTGCGGTGTATTGGGTGTTCAGAAGGGTTTCGACGCTGTTCGCGAGGATCTCGAGCCACTCGCTTCGCTCTGTCAGCGTCATATTCTGACTGAAGACGAGTTTTGCTACAGGTACTGCAATGGAAGAGAATGCATGGACTGCGATTGTTCTGCAAAGTGCAGCGCAGTCGCGTGCGATCGATGTGGACGAGGAGCCGGTGCCCAGTCGGTGCAGCAGCTGAAGCATAGGCATCGCCCAATATTCAAGACCTGCAACGTCGCGTTCGATAAGTTGTTCGAGTTGACACAGCACACGCTGCGTGGGTATGCTCGTCGACGTGGGCGTTGAATCCTGGGGTGTTGTGGAGCTAGGCCCCCGGAGTGCTGCCTCGGCACCGAAAGGTTCGTGCCGCACCTCCGCGGCCAGCGCTCGATAAAGCGTCTCGAATGTTTGCGGTAGCCCAAGTGTCTCCTGAGCGCATGATCCAGTACCGTCTTCCCGCGGCTCCGAATGAGGATCAATCGCGAGTTCATCAGCCGGCATTGGATACGGTTTCAGGTCGTCGTTATCGTTCTCGTCGGCGACAGCTGGTGACCTGACTCCCACTGTGGCCACAGCGTGTGTCGAAGGTGCGCACAACGAGGTGCCTTCGGAGGGTGGCGTCCCAGTCGCAACTCCCCCGTCAACTGGATGCTGGTGCTGCTGGTGCTGCGCGAGCAGTGGCTCCTTGGTCGCTTCGATCCAAGGTTGCAGCAGCTCAGGGTCGCTAGCTTTCCAAGCCTCGTAGGCGGCAATGTCAAACTGCATGCTCTTGCCGGGCGGGTCCCATATTCTCGATACTGTCTCGCCAACGATCATTCCATGGAAATGCGTCTCTGGCAGCGCTCCCGCGAGATGTTCTTTGACTCCTTCGCCCAAGAGCACAAACCAATCCACTCCATATGATTCGCACGATTCAGTTCGGGAGCATGAATGCTCCGGGTCACCAGAACAACTCGCTTGCGCCAGGAACAGAAGCATTCGAGTTATATGGAGATCCTCCGCCCACAACGCGGCCGTCCGCGCGGTTTGCATCCAACGCTTGAGCGCGAGCGTCAATGCTGTTCTCCAGTGTGACGTCTCGACCACATCTCTGCAACTGCGTAACAGGAAAAGGAGAATTCTCTGGTCCCCGGGCGCCGCCAGAGGTGATAGCATGGATGTAGCCTTGGGCATCGATGACGGAAGTGTTTTCGATACAAAGGCCACCGCAGTATCTCGAGTTCTACACAAATACTCCAGATATGCAATCGCCGCCACTTGATGTTGATCTGGACCCTTGCATCCCAGAATGGCAAATTGCTCCATGAGTGGTGCAATATAGCGATCTGGCAACGCAGTGAAGCTCTCCATGCAACAACGTTTCCAGTAGTCGGCCTGTGAGGCACTGAGCTGGCGCTCTAGTGCGATCAACGCTCGGATCGCAACCTGACACCAGGCTGTGATGCATCTTCGACGACAGAGATGCCTCCCGAGTCTTCCCGCCATGTCCATAAGCGTCTCCAATGCACTGGAACCGAAAGCGTAGGCGTCTTGTGGCGACGGCATCGACAGCATCACTGCGCTTCCATACGTCGTGTCGTCTTCGTGCAGGTCCAGCGCTGAGAGCGAGCCGCTAACCTCTGCGACAACATTTGAAGCCAGTGCTTCATTTGTCAACCAAATTAGCTGCTGCTTCTCTACTCCCATCGAAGCGTACTGCGATGAACAAAGTGTCAATAACCATTCGGTAACCGTCCAAGCGAGACAGTGCGGATAGCGCTGTGGATGTAGCGTACACGTCTCAGGGAGTGCGCATTGAAGGACGTTCGTGACGATGTCCGGCATGGCTAGCAGAGACCGAAGAACGGTATCGGGGTCTGCCTCACGGTCCACGGTAAGGCAACGTGGTTCCGTGGCACGATAGCGCACGCCAGCTAGTGCCCCAAGGAGACACCCTGGAACACGCACGAAATGCTTTTCGAATAACTCGAAAGCAATCCACTTTGCTCGCTGTTCGCGCACCACAGGGTCGCTCGCAAGTCGCTGCACCCGTCGCAACGCTCTGTCCACAGCGAGCACTACCTGTCCAGCGGGCCCAAAGCGGAACATGGATGCAACACTGAGTGCCGCTCGCTCACGCGTTCCGAAGGCAGCCAGAGGGCAACGCGAGAGAACCAGTTCCAGGAGCTCTGTGAGCGCACCGGAGGTGAGAAAAAGCTCCCGATCCGCTGCATCAACGACACGTGATTGCAGCGGTTTTCCTCGGCCATGGCACCAGTACGCTAAAGTTTCCAGTGCAACAACGACTGTAGTGACTGGGGCATCTTCGCGTGCGGCTTGTTCGACGACACTGCGCAGGTCCGTGGCACTCGCGGTGCCATTTTCCATAGTCGTCATCCAAGAGGGCACGTTGGGGGCCTCAACGCTCCCAAAACCCCCAAGAGTGTGTGTCTGTGTGTGTGTGTGTGTGTGTGTGTGCTTCTGCGTATGTCGCGGACTCGGGGCGAGGCAGTTGGCGAAACTATTGTCCAGTCGTTTCAGATTCCTATGGATTTTTGGGCTGATCGCTCCGTTCCAGGTTTTTTTTTTTTTTTCCGGACATTTTTTTTCGGATGTACAGCCTCGATAACCCATTTTCGGCTAGGAGGGCGTACGGATTCATATGTCGTTTTCGGATGTTTCCCTGTCGTTTTGGGGGGGGGGGCTGCTCTATCGACACTGCACGTGGCATTCGTTCCGTCACTGGGGTCAGGATGATTCGCGACGTACGTATGCAAAAGTTCGTAACCCAATCGATATTGGTATCTTACTCTTATGAAAAAGCCGCGATTCTTCTCCGTTTTATACCTGTTGTATGCTCATATCGCGCATGCGCCAAATTTTCTGTCCACCATTTCCAAGACAACTCGTAGTCGCAGCGATTCGCGCCATAGGACTGAAGAGGTAAACGCTCGACGTCAATCTTTGACGAGTTGCTCACAAGATCATGCCGGAAGTGCTCTGTAGGACTCTCTGCAAACCACCGATTTCGTTCGAAAGACAAAGATTCATATCTATTTGACCATTGACGAAATGGTATTTTGTACCAGCATGATACCTCATTTCGGGATACCGCTCGGAGAGGCTCCCGACTCTCCTGTTTGCATTGACGAGGGTCTTGCACTCGGTCTAGAGTTACCGCAGCAATCGCTTGCAGCGGAACGTGTACCAACGATTTGCCCGAAGCAAGTGTAAATGGATCGAAATATCTTCAATTAATATCCAACCTGGAAACTCATTCTCGTACTTGTTTCATCACGGAAAACATCATGATGCACAAGTCCGCTATCAAATGGTACAATGTGCGCTCGCGCATGCAGCTGACAGCGTACTCGCTGAGAAGATGGTCGAGAAGAAGCTCCTGATTCTAAGTACGAATCGAGCTGGAGGAACAAAGGAGCCAGCCCTATTCAAAGCTTGGAATAAGAGAGCAATATGAGACAGTTGCGAAACAAGTCCACAAAGACTGGTTTCGATGAAATCGGGCAACGACCCAATCTCTAGTCTATACGTCCGTATCAGAAGACCCGCTTCATTTTATTCTGATATGGTGGAGCGCAAGTTCTTCTATTTAAAACAGTGAATTTGAGAACATCTCTACCTGCAAGCCGTTTTTGTCTTGTTCGTTTTTCTCGCACTTGTTCAATACATGGATATATCCTGTAGACTCCAGGTGGGTATTTGATGTACTCTACCCTGTCGCGGCTAACTTGTGAAAATACTGTCTCTTTCGTCAAAGTCAGTTATTCTATGGTCGGCGGATGGATGAACCGCCTATGCCACAGTCGTTGCACTTTACGTCGTACACGGGAAACTGAAGCAATCAAACTCGATCTATGCCACTGTTTGTTCCTCGGTCCATTCCGCTTCTTACATTCCCTAAAAATGTCACCAAAAAGCGATTAAACACAAAGTTTCTGTACCTTTCACATGAACGCTTACATGCAGACTCGAAATAGACGTAGAAAAAAACCTCGGCTCTGTGGGAGACCGTCGCTCGTTGAACAACATGAGACCGATTTCCCATGAGCACGAGAGCGTTTTAAACTATGGGCGGGTGTTCCTCTAACACGATCAGACTCTAATCGGAAGAAATGGTAGAACTGCATGTGAATGCTCAAAGAGCGGCAAACCGCTGTTCGTAAACGAGAGAAAAGCGAGCATCATGACAACATGAACGCCAACGGGGATTCAATCATGTGACCGCTTCCAAATCGCCAACTGTGAGGCATCTTTGAATACCTCATCCGTCGTCGACGCATGCTTCGTGGTACGTGCTTTCCACACTCTGCTATTCCGCTCTTAGATGACGTGGGTTTCCATCAGTCAAAAGCGGGCAACGAGTAACCAGCTGCGATTGGCGCTCAGCTGCTATTCGAGCCAGCCTGTTCTACCTGGTTCAATCCAGTCCAATGCCTCTTATCTGTTGTAAAACCCTAGTTCGACGCTCAACGATCAATGGACGAGTCGTTTGCATCCGTGGCATCGTTTTTCGCCACATCTTTCTTTCACTTCTCCAGTGCCGAACAGGTTTCTTGCTTCTTTGCTCGTGCGCGGGCGGTTGCAGACAGGTGCGCTCCAGTTACTTGGTGCGCTCACCACGGACACGGTGATGAACATGTATTTGACAAATCTTTGACGCATAAACAGAATCGGCGAATTTCAGTCGTATTCTCCATCCTGTGCGTCTGAATTCCCCGGAAGAAAACAGATATGGAGTCTGGAAAACGTATCCAAGCCACAGCGCCAAGTAAATGAGGAAGGAAAGAGCGCACCTTGCAAAGAAGAGAAAGATGCTCCTGAATAGAGGACGATGGGTTACAGGGAAAGAAAAGCTGCCGGAGGGGAAAGATCAGGCTGATACCATGGTAAGGGCCTCCCTTGTGACACACATCAACCTGCAGACTCTTCCAAAAAATGAGATGAACGGCGCCATGCGCGCTCGCAAGGCTTCTCGCTCGCCGAACGCCCTTCTAGCTGTCCGATACTTGAAGCTGCACGTCAATCTACAGTTCACGGGTGTTCCGGATACGGGGCTCACATCCGTCCATATTCTTCCGGACTCTTTCGATAAAAGATTCGTGCGATAACAAAACTGAAGCTCGACGCAGTGTATGTAACACGGCCTGCTGGAAGGAAAAGAATTTTGAAACCTCGCTTCCGAGAATGCCTGAACGTGTTGCTGCGCCACGTGCAGCGATCCAACGCTCACCTGCCTGCCTGCCTGCCTGCCTGCCTGCCTGCCTACCTGCCTGCCTGCAAGCTGCTGCAAATGCCGTAGTGAGGCGGTTGACACACCAGGGCCCCAGCTATCTGCGAATGCATGCGTCGAATGTGAACGATGCGGTCACTCTGGCTTCGTTCGAAAACAATATGCCACGCTACCACATTGCGTAACAGATCAGGCTGATGACGACGTTCCCGTAACGCATCCAAGGACGTCCCGCTCGCCTCGTTTACAACACATGCGCGCTGCGTTGTCGCCCAACGCGGATCGCCAAGGTCGCCACGCACCAACCAGCGCTTCGTGCAAGCCGCCGGACCTTCCTGAGCCTGGGATGCTGCGGGCTAGTCTTCTGTGAGTGCGTATCGATGTTCCCTACATAACGTACGATGAATGTTAAAATAAGGGAAAAAGTTTCCATATCTTCGAAAGTTTACCTTTTAGGCGGAAGGTCCCGCGAGCCGGACGAGTCTGAAAGACTCGTGCTTCATGCTTCCTCCAGCGGCAGGTACTGTGGCGAGACCCGCGCAGCTCGTCCGCAACGCAGTTCATTCTGGGACTAGACGCAGCTTTACTGCGTCTGGGCGTCGCTCCGGTTGCAGTGGACTCTTAGTAGATCGGTTCGCGCTGTCGCAGGCTTCCAGAATGATTATGTACTCCGATTCCGTGTCGAATGAACCACGCCTCGAGCCGACGCCCTCATTGGTATGCCAGAGCCGCTCTGGCCCCGTGCAGCACCTGCTTCAGTGGTATAAGTGCCACGGCGGGCGCTGACGGCACGCACTCGGCGCACGATAGAACATACGAAGCGACCAGCATATCCGAGAGAAAGTATGTGTAATGAAACTTGGAAGTACGGTGCATCATGGCGGACAATTACATGAATCTTAACACTCATTCCGAATTCTGGGATCCATGGTCTATCTGAACGTTCTGTCATCGAAAAGAGTAGGATGCCGCGACGCTGGCGGGTCCATTCCGCAGTCAACCGACCACACGCACCGCGATCGCCAGCGGCACGCGCTCGCTCCTGGATCCGCGCGGATGCATGCCGCGGATGCGCCTGACTGTCTCGGCATGCGTGCATGCACGCCGTCCCCTAGTCAGTGCGGCGTATCGAGCGCGATCACCAGATCGAGTGCCAGGCAGGGCGGCGGCGAGCGTGCGCCATTGCACCCGCCAGACGCGCCTCGGAAAACGCGCACACAGACATCGTGCTGCGACGCGAAATGCGTGCCCCATCGATCGCCGCTCTGGCGATTGCGCGCAGCGAGGCTGCCGAGCGCGCGTCCATCGATCGTCGCAGATGTGCCAGTGAGCGCTTGCTAGCCTAGGGTTACCTGTGCGATCCATGGTGGCAGCGAGTACGTTACGCTGAGTGCGTGCACTGGTGGCGAGGCTTTTGATCCCGAGCGTCTCTGGGGGATAGCTTGAAAGCGCAGGAAGGATTCAAGGTTGTGAGGGGGCTCTCGTTCACCGAAAACGCGACAGGTGTCATGGTAAAGCACCGAAAGAAGCCGTCGGCCAGGGAGCGGAGCGGCGCGCACGGACTTGCTGGAGTGACGGGGGCAGCGGTGACAGCGCCACCGCGGCCACCGCTGCCCTCGCCGTCGACGCTTCCTTCCTTAACGAGTGTTGCTGAACAAGCCATAACGACGGAGGCGAGCCTCGTGGCGCTTAGACAATCTGTGGATCCGAATATTGAAAGCATCCTGTTCTCGGCACGTCACGTGGTAGAGTTCGACCTGGATGTACAGCTTTCGAGGTGGCAACGTGTGAATCGAGAAGGTGCGCTCTTTTTGGTGCGATACCGGGAGCCGCGTTATGCCTTGGTTATTCATAATCGAAAAAACCCTGAGGATCTCGTTGAACCCGTGGTCGCAGGAATGGATATCGAGGTTCAGGATGAGTTCCTGATGTATCGCACGACAGACGGTAGTGCAGCTGCGTCCGATGCATTCGCACGGGCACTCTGGTTCCACGGCGGTGTAGCGGAAGTTCAAGCATGCGCCAACTTGCTGCAGGATATTGTATGGATGCACCAGCAGCAGCAGCAGCAGCAGCAGCAGCAGCACGCGATGATCAGCGCTGGAAGACAGGGCTCCACTCCAGCGCAGCCGGGATTCGGGCCTCTACCGCATCCACAGCTCGGTATGAGCGCGTTCCCGTCTGCGCTCAACGCAGCGGCACCACTGCCTCCGGTGCCCAGCTCCGCCATGACGACAGCACGGAATCCAGAAATCGGGTGGAATTCTGGCTGGACGAGCCCGATTACAGCGTGGTCACCGAGCGAAGCGAGACTGAGCGGTGCGCCTCAAGCTGGGCACGCTGTTTCGACGGGCGATCTAAGGAGCGAGTTGGGCGCCCCATCTCGCAACGATGGGACAGAACCCAGCCAGGCTCTGCATGCTGCCTACGAGCTCTCCAAGGGCGGTGTTTCAGAAGCACAGCATCGTTGGCCGGAACACTGGAACCCTGGAGCGTTCCCTGTCGCACCGACGCTGGGCGCATCACAACAGCCAGTCACATCAGGTGGGAAGCGTACAAATGCAGGAGTTTTTAGCCCAGGTCATGGATGCATGCCCTCAAGTGCAGGAGCGCCCGTTCCCCTTGTCGCAGATGCGCAGTCCGAGAACCACCAAACATACGTGAATACCATCTTTGCTGCCGCTGGCGGTCGACCAGGTGCACACCGGGAGTTTGTTCTGGCGGTGCTACAAACCCTTGCAAACGATTCGATGGTCTTCGAGCAGGCATATCGGAGCTATCGAATGCAATGGGGCTAAGGGAATACAAACCGCGCTCGACCGGCTCAACGGGAGCAGCAGCCGTACGCGTTGCCCGGCCTGATTACCCCGATTCGCTGCAATCGAACAGAACAATAGAATCTACACAAGGAAACCACAAAGCGGCAGCCCGTTGTAGGTTTCCTTTCCAACCGAAGCACGAAACTTGATTTGGTGACGTTGCTGTGAATGTGCTGCGGTTCTGAAAAATGAAAACGAGTTCCTGCGTAGCTGTAGCGAAGCGCACCCCGGCGTAAAACGCGAATCAGAAAGCGTCACGGTTTTTGTGCATTCCAGAATTCACAAGTCTTTCAGGCTTGGCGAGGTTTAGTGGCCACCTTTGTGTGACAAGCCAAAGCTAGTGCAAGCGCAGCCGGCGTGAAGACGGCGCCTGCTGTGTACATGTCTCGAGGCAGCACCCAGATTCCGCCAAGATCGCGCGTTGCATGGCTACCTGGTAGGCACTGGCGTGCCCGCGGGGTGCACAAGGACGCCCCGCATCGGGAGACATCCTCGTGACATTCCGAGGCGACGCGGCCTCCGAAACTGTCTCCATGGAGCTGCTGTACAGCTCTGGAGATTCTTGCTCGGCACCATGTGGCTGGAATAGGCACGTATCTTGGGCATGAAAGGACGTCAAGGGGCTAGACTGGTCCTTGGCGAGTCTCCGACACTTGCGCTCCAGATCCTGACCAGCGCGCCTTTTGCGTCTCCGTAAATCCCTCTTACCGTTCTCCAGTGAACATGGTGATAGCGAGCGGGAGAACCCTGCTGAGGGTATTGGATACACGACTTCGTGCAGCATAGCTTCCAGCTCCTGAACCATCGAGGAAAACAAGTCAACGTTCGGCGTTGTGAATTCCAGAACGCCCCGCGCCCATTCCGCTACCAGATTCCCGCTCGGGTAGCGTGCATCGTTTCGCTGCACCGCCATTGGATGCCTTCGAAGCCGCAGCGCCGAAAGCAAGCAGCTGAGCCCAATCGCGCTAGGCGGATAACGGCCAGCGATAGATTGTTCAAGCATGCTCAGAGAACAGAGCTTGCTCGTTAGCGCCCACACGCCGGTGCACCGCTGCGAGCCGAGCACCGCGAAAGTCATCGCAAAGTGCAGCGGGCTGACGGGTACCAAGTCCCAGCCAAGCGCTTCCAGAAGCACCAACTCGACCGCTTTGATCAATGGCATTGAGATCGATGCCTCGGCATCTGCGCCCAGAACCCCTGGTGATCCCATATGTTCGTCAACCGGCCACTCGCGAAGCCATGCTTGAACATTTCCTGCTTCGCGTTCATGAATTTTGGTCGCAATCCAGAGCGACGTCAGCGCTACCAAGGGCATCCCCACACGCAAAAGACGCATACCTGGTGCGTCGTTATCGCCATACAGCTCCGCATCTGTGTAGATTTGAACAAACCGCACCATTCCTCTATCGAAAAACATAACTGCCGCCAGCGCTGTATCCATACATGGTGCAAGCCGGTAGATGGCTTCGACTTGTCGCAGCCGCAACTGCCATGCAATCCGAGTGAAGGCGGCACGTCTCTCTCCAGAGTCAACCTCGGCGTTGGCAAGGCGCCCGTTGCATCTGGCGGCAGACCACCAACGGAAGCATTCGTTCGTCGGCAACGTCCACGTGTAACCGTAGCGTTCTTCGGCTTGCAAGTAGCGTTCCAGAAGGCCACGGATATCCTCTGTCTGCTCCGTCCGGTCAGTGGGGCTGGAGTCGTGCCCACCAGCAACGCTCGTGTCAGCTTCTGAGGTACACAGGCTCGGTGTCAGCAACGACGTTATCGACTCGTCCGTGCAGCGCAGGTCCGGCGTACGCGCAACATCCCGGAAACACGAGTCCGGAGAACGCGCGTCACCCTGCTCTGATGCCAGCTTTCCCCAGCCCCTCTTGAGCTTAGTTCTAGACAACGCTCGCTGCGTCTTTGTGGACGTCAGCAAGTCCCTGTCTGCACCGTCAGTCTTGCCGTCCGGTGCGCACACGACGGCAGGTGAATCCGCGACACGCTGATGCACTACGAGCTCAGCGTCCGCATACCTCGTCACATCTTGACAGTGCGACGACAGGCTCTTTGGCGGACTCTCCGAGCTCACGAAGGACACCGTCGACGCTCGCCAGCGCCCTAGAGAAAGCCAGGAGGTCATCGCCCTGTGGGACAGGTAGTCAGGCAAGACGCTCAGAAGGAACGTACGGAAGCCAGAACTACAGTCGGATGCCGCTGTCGAAGAGCAATCGACGTATCGCATTGCGCTGATCTCGAGTGTGTGGAAATGCATGCATGCGCGCACGCATGCATTGCGTCGTTCGTGCAGCATGGATGCACGTGCTCGCGCGTCATGTGATCCGTTGGGGGTGCAGCGCGGCGGCACCTGCCAGACGAGGCATGCATGGGCTGATCGCATCGCAGGCGCCACGGTGCTGGACACGTGTCCTACCGGTTTCGACGTTGCAAGATCTCCTGCCGTGCGTGGCTCCGCGCGCGTGCCAAAGGTTTGGCTTGGCGCGGCGAATTTCGCGGTGCGGTGTGCTGAATGCGCTGTACGCGTCGGACGGATGTTTCTGCGGGGCGAAACGCTCGCCGTATATCTCTTCGCAATCATCATCATGGTTTATTGCGACTGTAGCAGAAGCTTCAAGGCTTGCTTGTGTCATCGACTGCTAGTCGTTTACAAATCCTATGTTTTCGAACAGGTGTGCGTATAGGCGCGCGCTTTTACAGATCCATGTCCGCATACAGGGAAACTGGTCCTCGTGCTTAGCTCGTGCGTATAAACTCAAGAACGGGTTTTTTGCACTGATATCAACACCAGACTTTGGCGGATTTTTCTGCGACTGCTTTCTCTGCCTCTCTCTGATCTCCGGCCCTCAATACACCTGTTTCTACTTGACATACAGCTCCTATAACAGCAGCTGAGAGATGTTGATATCATCGTTACAGAGTCGATTTCGCGGCTTCATCCCGTTGTCAACGGATTTTTTTTCAAAGAGGTCGGTTGTGATCTACACTTCGCTTGCCATGTTCATCTTGACTGTACACACCATTGAGTGCGACGTTCTCATCGGTGATTCATGAATGTGGTCAGGGGTTCCTCTACGTCTGCCAAAACACTTCCTCCGAGCGCCGCTCTTCGGCACGCAAAGGCTCGCTCCATCGCGCGGTACAGGCACTTTATGGGTACAGATGGTGCAACTCGATGCCATCCTCCGTTTCCGTTCCCGGTGCCGTACCCTGCGATCAAGTACCTCATGTGGGGAATCCCGCTCGGCGAGTAACCTGTCTGCTGCATATGGAACAGCAAGTTGCTCTGTCGAATAGAGGCTTCCTGGAACGTGGTGTTCTTCATATTGAGAGAAATACCAGAGGCTAGATCAAGGCTGGAGAAGCTGTCGAGAGTTTGCGATCCGACCCCGCGACCTTCGTACGAAGCGGTGACGCAGTCCCCGCTGAAACCGATCGCCGCGATGACTGAAGTCTGTGTTCAGTGCCCTTTTCCATGCAAACAGATGAGACGGAGGCCTGCGGAAGTATATCTTCTGATAGATATGGCGTGGCAAGTTCGGAGGATTTTTGGCGTGACCTCGTGGAGAATTCGTCAAGGGATGATGTATCGATTCATTTATCGTCGATACATTTGCGCAACTGCTGCGCCAACGTGTTTGCATGAAACAGAAAGATCGCCAGCTTGAAGTATGCGTGATTTGAGCATACCACACGTAAGGAAAGGAGAAGCTTGGAAGCTTTTACATTTGAAAAGAATGATGGTATCGAGTATTTTTAGAACTCTTCTTTGAGGGCGTGGCGAATCATTTTGATTCCGTTGAAGCTTCTAATTCCAGCAGCAGAGTCATCGGAGCCGCTCCGAAAGCACGTCCCAAAATCCAAAATCATCCTACGGATCCGTGAGCTCTTATTGCTGCGCCTCGAATCTCATGGCCGTAGGTCAATAGAAAATTCGGAAACATACAAAGACAGGAACAGATCGAGCAGTCCAATGTTCAGCTCTAGTCTGTCACTGGTGTAACACCTCTGAAAAGTATTTTGGAGCGAGTTGTCTCCACTGTATGAGTGCTGGTGATCATAGGAAAATATCCTTCTTGGGTTTTCCGCAGGAAGGCTTTGGCTTCCTTGTCATACGCTCACGATACATCGATCACAACTGCTAAGTGCCTCTCCAGCGCGCCCTCTGCCCTGGTGCTCGAAGACGCCTCTGACTTGAACGCACAGCTTTTAAACCGCAGTGACTGCTCGACGCTACACGCCTCCGCCGTTGTGAGACCGGGTTGGGCGCTCGGGACGGCTTACGTATATGAACCGGGTCTGTGTCAGCCTGTGCGCACGGACAGGCACTTGCTTCAGACCGCTGCCTATCGAACGAGTGCACCATCATTTGCAGGGCCAAAACGCAAATGCTTTCGTGATCGCATCGGGCGACCGGCTCAGAACAGGAGCGCCAAGTCGATGGTACATTTCACGAGACGAACTGGCCCAAGTTCTGCATGCATCCATATATACCTTTGGAACGAGAAAATGACCTAGAAAGGATGCCATTCGCTTTTCATACTCACTGAGCGGCTCAGGGTCGTGCGCGCTCATCCGTTGACGTAGGCTAGAATCCGGCAAGCAGGGAGCACGCCAAGCAATTTGCACCAGTCGTCGCCTTTCCCGACTCGATGCATTCGCAAACCTAGCGTGAACGAGCATGCTCCGAGCAAAACAGCTGTGATCGATGTCAACAACACGAACAGACTCAGGCCGCGTGCCACATGCGTTAGCGCTCTGGGGAAGATGTCCATGTGCTCCGCGGAGCTTTGGAGCACTCAAACTACCGGCCTTGACGATCGTCATGCGCATGGTAAATGATCCGGGATCAGAAGCATTTGTACGGCGATGAGCAGTCATAGGACAAGACCCGAGATTCTGTACCCATGAGCACTCGGCATCGCGAGCTCCAGAACGAATTCGCATCAGCAGCTGTCCCCAATGCACATTGTTTAAGCTGCGTCACTCTTTTGCGACCGCATCGCCTACTGATAGGCATCTCCAGTGCACATTGTTTAAGCTGCGTCGCTCTTTTGCGACCGCATCGCCAACTGATAGGCATCTCCAGTGCACATTGTTTAAGCTGCGTCGCTCTTTTGCGACCGCATCGCCAACTGATAGGCATCTCCAGTGCACATTGTTTAAGCTGCGTCGCTCTTTTGCGACCGCATCGCCTACTGATAGGCATCTCCAGTGCACATTGTTTAAGCTGCGTCGCTCTTTTGCGACCGCATCGCCAACTGATAGGCATCTCCAGTGCAGGCGCTTGGCTCGCCCCAACGCCGCATTCGGTTAACGCGTATCGGAACGGTACCCGGATCGGTGCACGCTCGTGCCAAATACCCGAACATGCGTATATCAAGTACATTGGACTGATACCTGCATCGATGCGCGCCTGCGCCAAATTCCCGAACATGCGTATGTCAAACGCCAGTGTCCAGCAATGAATCCGGTGCAACCTCCGCTGCCAACCATGTTATGCATCAGAAGGTTGATGCACTGGCACCCAGGCCGCATATTCACACCAGCCCCAGACGATGCTGCATCGACTTCCGAGTGCGGTACCTCAGTTCCCACCAGCACGGCAGCAGGGTGCAGATGGAAGCCCGCGTGTACCTCGGCAAAACGCAATGCCTCTGAAACACTACCTCCAGCTTTCATCATAGCACAGAAGACGCAAATCTGGATTCGGTTCGAAGATCTGCATTCCCCGATGCGGTGGACAGTCTCACTAATCCGCTTCCCAGGGAGCTTTCATGCATACTTCCAACGCCTGCAAGCACGATCGCACATGCCCCTACTCGCATGCGTCGAGCGCTTTTATGAAGAGTCTCGCGCTCCGTACGCGCAGCTCTGCACATCGATACGCAACAGGTGTCGGAACTCGAGGCCTTGACGCTGCCCAGGAGCAGCCAAGTTCGCCGGGACTCAATCCGAGGCGTTCCCCCGAGCACCGATTTCCACGTCTACGGCAGTCGAGCTGCGATCAGGCCCACAACCATACAGGGTTGCATGCTCGCTGTGAACCATCCGTGCGTGCGCCTAGCTAATTGTTCATTCAATATAGCTTCTTCTGCGGTAGATGGAAACAGAACGAACCATACGATTGAGCACATTCTGGCCTCTGAGCATGCATTGACGGTTTGCTCCATACCGTCGTGCGTTTCCATCCCGGAGCACATGCGCGGTATCATCTTGGTCGGAGCCTGCATCCTGCCCGTCCTCTGCGAAAGACGAAAGCACATCCTCGACTCGATCCTCCATCGGTACGTAGGGGCGCAGCGGCGGGCCCGAGTAAAGCTGCCGCGGTCGATAGATGCGTACGTCGGCATCGTCAAGTTGCTCAAGCCAGTGAGCGATCCAGCCAGCCGTCCGTGGTACTGCTACGAAAACCGCGTAGAATTCAAGCGGGAGACCAAGAATACGAAGAAGCAATGGCAAATATAGATCGACGTTCGGCCAAACGCCTCGCGAAGTGAACCAGATGTTATTCGTGACCACCTCTTCTAGAAGAAGCGCTGTTTGCAGCAAAGGCTCCGGCTCCTGGACAGCAGCCTCTGCCTCGAGACACAGCTCGCGTAATACCCGCGCTCGAGGATCGTATTTCTTATAATTCACGTGCCCAAATCCCTGAAGCCGTCGCTTTGTGAGAATGTAACGCTCCTGCAAATACGAATTCAGACAGGACAGCTGCTTCTCGTGGGTCTCATCCAACATACCCGTGCTCCTGAGGTACGCGTGCATGTCCGTAAGCATCCGCATCACCGCCATTCCGACACCGCTGATGCGCTGTCCGTAGATCGCTGCCATGGCAGTTGCTACACATACGTATGGATCCGCGCCAGAGCTCGCCACGTGGCGAAGCACCCCAGCGGCACAGTTCAGGCCGTCGTCGGCGAGCACGATCCAGGCTCGTTCGACGATATTTACGAGGACCGGATTCGGCTGGCATCCGTCGAGCATGGTTAAAAAGTTAGAGACGTAGCCAATGGGGGCATCGCCGGGCTCCTGCTCTTGTTGCCGATCCGTTGGAGCTCGAGCGGCCGTGCGCTCCCGGGGGCGTACCTGCTCGCCAGAAAGCGGCGGGATGAATTGGCGCCCGATTCGCACACGCCAGACGCACGCAGCGATCGTTGCTACTTTCCCCAGAAGGCGGTAGACTTGTTTGTTCCGTGCTTTCTCATCGTTGCGATAGAGCTGGCTACCACGGAGGGCGGGATTCGCTTCCGGGTGGAAGGTGCTCAGGGCGCTCACCGCTGCGATGAGGCATCCCATGGGCGGTGCATCGTGTCGTAACGTTCGAAGCTGTGCTAGGATATCCTCGTGAAGGAACGTGTGAGACAGAAGCAGCTCTTTCCATGTCGAGAGCGCGTCTCTGTCCGGAAGTTCGCCGTTGATAAGCAGGAAAGCCACTTCTTCGAACGTGGCGGTAGGCTTGCGTGGATCAGCTGTTCGGCGTACCAGATCTTCGACATCGTAGCCACGATAGTACAGTTTTCCGTTGACCCCGTCGGCGAACGTGATACGAGTAGCACAAACCGCCGTGTGGTACATGTTCGGATCGAAGAGGCGGTACGGGCAGCGTGCTGACGGCACGACCAGCACGCGCCCCACGTTCGGTGGCTCCGTGCTAGCTTTCCAGTTTGCATAGAGTTCCACTTCGTGCGTTTTTTTCTCATTAGAATGAATGCTCTCTACAACTAAACTGACGTCTGGCAACCGATACTCCTCCATTGGGTGACTGCCCGCCTCCCCTGGTACGAGCGCTCTGCAAGCCACCAGCCAGAGGCGCGCAATGTGTTTTGGCGACGCGACCACGTCCGCCGCTGCGCAGGCGCGATCTCGCTTCGCAGCGGCGTCGGGCTGGTGTCGGGCGGCATTCTGCTTTGTTTGCCGTGAGCTCCTCGATAACCATCCCAGATGAAACTCGCTTAGCTTATCAAACGTACGATGTCGAATAGAACCTGGCTTGTTTAATGTCAGAGACTGCTCTTTCGCTACAGATACGTGCCCGTAATTCCACTTCCTGGCAGAGCGTTTCGTGAGCGGCATCCGCACCGGCGCTATGCGTCGTGATACACGTTGTAGACCGTGCGTATCCTAGTTTTACATAGACACGGGCTCATCGGCGTGGTTTTACTCGCAAAACGAAAGCACTGCTGGTGTTCCTGGCATAATGACGCGAATCTTTCTGCGCAAAAGCTATGTTTACCCCCATGGCACTACAGGCGCGGGAACAGCGCACACCGTAAGGCACCATGACTGAACGCAACATCTTGTAGGGAATCATCACGTTCACCATTGCAGTGTCGCTTTCCTTGTAAACAGGTCAGTCTGCATGTATACCGCCTTGTTTCGTGTAACACCGAGCTGGTTACGACCTCGACAAGTCTTTCGATACGCAGAAACCGTCCGACTACACTCGACGTCGTGGCGTTTCAACTAGTCAACATCCGCACGAAGCAGTTCAGTTGCGGTCGCCATTGTCTCGTCATCAGCGTCGTCAGCGCTTCTGTCCCTCTCGCTTCGAGACTCTTGTCGCCGTTTGCTGCGTGAACCGATTTTCGCTAAGAACTCTGGTGGGATGCTCCCTCCACCCGCAACTATCGTATACTCTTCAGGCGGCACTACGTCATATAGTGCGTACTTTGGAGGCGTCCGGTTTCTGTCACTTGGGCTGGACTTTCGCGGCCGCCGTTTCACGTGCTTTTTCGTTGCCTTCGGGATCGGGTGCTTCGACATTCGAAGCGTTTGCAGGCTCGACGGGCATTGGGCACAAGCACTTTTCCCGCCGTCGACCAGTAAACTGCTAGTGCATCCGAAGAAAGACGTGACAAACATACTTCAAAGGCAGCGGTAACAGTGTTCAAGAGCGCTCCCGAGGTTGTGATATGTGTTGCAACTTTCGCAGCGCTCCACTCTCGATGTGTCATGTGCATCACCGTCGCGTCCGCGTCGAGGCGGCGCGCATGCCGCAGCGACGGTGATGACGCCGGCGGGGGGGATCGCTGCGCTGCAGTGCGGGTGCTGCGCGATCCCTTGCAGGAACGCACGGGTGCTTTGTTGCACTTTTTCCTATTTGGTGAAACGTTGACCCAAAGGCCAGTGTACCTGACTGGGCGCTTGATTTCGGCGCGCAGCGAAGCATGCAGCATGCCCCAGGTTCTATTTCCAAGTTCCGTAACCCATACTTCTTCTTGCATGCTGTTTGGTGACGATGATCACGGATTGCTCCTTTCGAATTGCACAGGTTGGAAAAGCAGCGATCGTGCCACGTACGCACCTTCTAATTCCACTATCCATGCGGTATTGCCACGCGGTATCGCCATCCGTGCAATCCTTGCGTGAGGGTGTAGCATCCATGACTCGAACAGATGGATTCCTGATTGCGCAATTGTTATCGGCATCCGGGCAAGGGTTCATCATGCCGCACCATCAGTTCAGAGGACATCGGCCACAAGCCAGATTTTCCCGCATACATACAAGTTCGCTCTTGCGATGCTCTGGCTATGCATGCGATAGCGTCAGGTCCCTGTGCGAGGATGGGGTGCCTGCACAGCGAAACGATTCGGAGGGAGCATGCACATTGAGGTGAAACGGTTGCGCTCGTCTCTTTGAACAGGTACATTCCCCCGAGCATTTCGCGAATGATGTTATTCGGGTTGCGAAAACTACACAGGCATGTCGTATCGTTGTTTTCGCCGGTCATTGCTCACCTGTAGCGCCTAGGCGACAATGCCCGTAGTTACGCTAGAGACAGATGCCCGGCTCGCAGCGGCCCGGCCCAGTGTATCCGTGGCAAGGTCGCTTCTTTCCGCTGTAAATCGCCAGAGCGAGACAGCGGTGCAACCTCAACACCGACCGCGGTGACGTGCTCCCATCCGTCAGCAGTGTGTGCGAAGCTGGGCTCCTGGAATTGGGGACTCCGGGCCGTGCAGGTGTTTCCACAACCATCGCGCACCGTGGTATTGCGGTTTATTACTTGCGGAGATTCCCTGAGAACCGCACCAGAGCCAAAACCGCGTCTGGTGCGTTTGCCGTGCATGAAAAAGGGGCAATGAGAAGGCGACCAGTTGCGGAGTTGGAAACAAGGGCGTGCGTTCGTCTCGCCTCCAACGGACCCGAGACTTTTGAACCTTCCGCGTTCGAACAGCTGCTAGAGCAGTTCATGGAACGTTTTGTGGAAAAACACATGACTTTCACAGGCCTTACTTTTTCGCTTTCGGATTACATTGAGGAGTGCAGGATGCAGCATGTCGGCGAGCGACCAAGCGCACACGAGCAACGCACAAGTCAAGCATGCACCGCTGTGATTGCCGATGGGACAATCACCAACCGTCCTGTGCGTTTGGCTGACACCACGAGGTGCTCTGCTCCAGGCAGCTTGACTGAATGCATCATGTGCAATTCTAGCTTGGTTTGCCGCTCGCCAAAGGTGGTTGTCTATGAGGAGCTGCCTGCCACATGAAGATTACCTCTTCGCAACTATCACGCGTATAGATGTAACTTACCCTGCACCCAAATCGCATCCACGGGAGAAAAAAGGAGACATGCGCTCCGATTTACCTAGCGGCCTAGAGTCGTGCCCGCAACCATGCTCAGAAGCGCTCTAAAAGGTGGTAGCGTCACCATCAACGCGCTAAGCGTACCGACCAAGGCCATTGCAATGGCCGAAAACGGAAAAGCATCCGGCTCCTCGCTAATGGCAGCCGTTCCGAGGCCATGGGCAGACGCGCCCATTGCAAGCCCACGAGCGACTGGTGATGAAGCACTCGGTAACACGGGACGTAAAATATCGAGACAGAGCCTCCCAAAATTAGCGCCAAGAAGGCCTGTAATGACTACAACGGTGGCCGTCAATGTGGCATCTGTCTCCAGAATGTCTGCGATGCCTATCGCTAACGGTGCTGTAATCGAACGCGGGGCAAAGACCAAGCGCAACGATGCCGGCAAACAGAATAGACGAGCAAGCGCTGCAGAGCCCAGCATCCCGAAAAAGGCCGCCATCAGGCAGCCGCCTATCACTTGGATTCCGTTCGCTCGAATGATCGTCCGCCTCTGGTACATTTGGAAGGCGAATGAGAGCACGGCAGGCCCCAGGAAGCTCAAGAGCAGATTCCCTGGGCCACCTAGCGCAAAAACAGTGCTTCGTGCAATCGCGCTGAGATTGCCGGTCACCGCCGGTGGCCATTTCTTCCCGGGTCGACGCATGTACAGAAGCAAGAGCTCGCTCCATGCGCTTCCGGTACCGCACGCAAGCATCCACAGCGAAAAGTATGTAAAAACGACGCAGCTCACCAGCGGGTGTAGAACTTTTTGAAATCTTGACGGCAAGCGTTGACCCAAGCTGAACCCGACAACCGTCGAAGAAAGCTGATGCAACCAAAGCGCAAGCGCTCGAAAGTCGGCGCTCGCACCCGCTCCCGTAATCCAGCATACAGCTGAGACGATCCAGACGAGACCCCACAAGCCGATTAAAGCAAAGCGTGGTCCGCTTGAGGCAGGATTCCCCGTACGCAGACCAGGAGATTCTGGACGAGAAAGTTTGGAGGATCGTTCCGGTCTCGTGTTCCCGTCCTGCACTTTCTCTACCAAGGGCTGGTCGTGTGTGGGTCGTCGATTCTTCGTGGCTCCGCGCCTCTGATCTGACACCCACGCAAGTATCGATACAAAGATGAGGGAGCTTACCAGACTAAAGATAAGACCGACGCATAGTGCGAGCACAAGCCGAAGTAGCGCGGACCCATGTGGCGCATCAGCATGAGGCAGCATGATCAAGTTAGGCACGAAGAAGATCGCCAACCATCGGGTGACCAGTCCGAGCCCAGGCGAGACTAGGAGGACGATGTTGTCTGCAATGGAGAGGCGTTCGGGTTCGACAGACGCTGCTGCGACTTGGTTCGGCGATGGCGGCAAACCAGTTGGCCACGCTCTGTTCTCCGTCAAAAGTAACAGCAGAAACAGAAACAACATTCCCGCTAAAGAACTTGGGAAGCGAATCCTCAGTACGCTGAATAACCAGCGAAAGCCACGATCTCCAAGAAAAAGTGCAAGAACACCAAGCCAGGCACGTGGAGTCTGCCCACCGCGAGAGTACACCCAACCGACACGCACCACTGGTGACTTGTCTGTCGCGCTCGCTACGAGTGTTCTTCGTTGCGGTGTCCCAAATTCATCGAAAAAACGTCTCCGAAAACGTCCCAAGTCCCTTAAGTCCGAAAGTTTGTTTGAATTGAAACGAGCTCTTTGACCGATCCCACGCCAGTGCCCTTGCCACAGCCGGCAAGTTGTCCCGACCAGCAAACCCCGTCCATACTGGACCGACACCCGCTCCGCACCGTGGACACTAGGACACACAAAGCCCGTTCCCAATGTCATAGTGCAACGATGGCCACGGAGCGTAAAACAGCGCACACTTACGTCCAGCTACAGGCACGTCGTAGAAACATCTACGGATACCATTCTGTGTGCGCATCGGATGGAGCCTGCGTGCACGAATGCTCGAATTCACACGTTTATGGATGATTATATTCTTACGAGAATGTATGCTCGAATTCACACGTTTATGGATGATTATATTCTTACGAGAATGTATGCTCGAATTCACATGTTTATGCATGATCGTATTCGTACGAGAATGTATACTAGAATTCACACGTTTATGCATGATTGTATTCGTACAAGAATGTATACTAGAATTCACACGTTTATGCATGATTGTATTCGTACGAGAATGTATACTAGAATTCACACGTTTATGGATGATCGTATTCTTACGAGAATGTATACTAGAATTCACACGTTTATGCATGATCGTATTCGTACGAGAATGTATCCTAGAATTCACATGTTTATGCATGATTGTATTCTTACGAGAATGTATACTAGAATTCACACGTTTATGCATGATTGTATTCGGATGTGCGTGCACTGCGATTTGCTGATACATCTGCCATCATCGCCAGCATGGCAAAGAGCCACGCTTCATGCATCCGCTCGCGTGTGCTGCTGAACGCTGCTCCGTGTCGACGATTTCTTCTGCTTGACATAGCAGTTACACAGACCAACGATCCCCGATTGCACGCTTGTTCTCAGCGCGCAGTGAAGTTTCCATCCTTGTACGCTCTTCCTCAGAGTTCCACGACCGATAGTTTCCCTCGGGGGTACCGTTTATGTTTCTCGTTCGACTGTGCGCCGAGTGCACGTCGTGAACGTCCGCTGCAGTAGCGCCTCTAGCGCCGCTGAAGTCGCAACTCGGAAAGAAAGCGGCGTTGCCGCTTCGCCAGAGGACGCCGGCTCGAGCATGTTGATGCTATCCCTAAAAGCGGGCGAGGCGCCGGCGCCGGCGCAATCTCCGCAGCGCTCGAGCGTCGTCGCATCAGCGACACTTACGTGATGACTGGTGGTGTTTTTGATCGACGACGCGAAACGCCCGTGATTTGCTCGAAGCGAATACGGTTTCGTCTGGGGACGCACGGACCAAGCACCCGGGGCGCAGCAGCTTGTTACAGTGGTGATACGGTAGAGTGGTCGCCTCGAAAAGACGCAGAGGCGAACGTGTCTCTCTGTGCTGGTGGCACATTCACCGTGGATGCAACACGTGTTGGCGGGTCGGGTAGGGCGTAGAACGTTTGGGCTGCTCAATTTCAGTTATCTCCGTATAGGGCGAAGGAATAGGAGCCACGGTGTAAGCGCAGGGATGCCGCACGAAGCCGACGGGACGCGCCGGCGAAAAGCGCTCGACTTGCGAACCATAAACCAGCGCGTGGTAGCGGCGCAGTACGCTGTGCGTGGTGAATTGCCCACTCGCGCTGCGCGACTGCAACAGACTCTAGAAAAAGGAGGACCAGAAGCTGCCGCACTGCCGTTTAAGGAAATAATTTACTGCAACATCGGAAATCCACAGGCACTTGGGAACCCGCCATTCACTTACCACCGGCGGGTCATGGCACTGTGCGACTGTCCGGACTTGGCAGCGGCACTCCCGGAGAAGGAGCGTGAAAAACTGTTCCCCGCCGACGTGCGCGAAGCGACGGAACGAATCCTACGCTCCGCTGGACTCGGCGGTACGGGAGCGTACTCGGACTCCCAGGGAGTGCCGATCATTCGACAAGATGTGGCAGAGTTCATGAACAAGCGGGACGGCATTCACGAGGACTCCGAATTTGCAGCTCGAGTGAAGGATGTGTTTTTGACAAATGGTTCATCGAGCGCGATCCTCATGCTCATGGCGCTGTTGAGCGGTTCCGACGCAGCGCTCAGCGCGGACGGTACCAACGGCGTATCGCATGGACGCGAAACACGTTCCATGCGACCGGGTGTGCTGATTCCAGTGCCACAGTATCCGATTTACTCGGCGCTTTGCACAGTCCTAGGGATCGAAGCGCTACACTACCATCTCGTTCAGGAGCAGAATTGGTCTATTCAAGTCACGGAGCTAACGGAACAGGTTCGACAGGCACGCTCCCGTGGCATCGAAGCGCGCGCCCTGGTCGTCATCTCACCGGGGAATCCTACCGGACAATTGCTTCATCCGGCGAACATGCGAGAACTGATGGATTTTGCGTATCGAGAGGGACTCCTACTCCTGGCTGATGAGGTCTATGCAGACAACGTGTACTTGGATGGTCGGAAATTCGAGTCGTTTCGAAGAGTGCTGCATTCGAGTATGCCGGAGGAGGTCCAGGAGTCGCTGGAACTCGTGTCGCTCTACTCCGCCAGCAAAGGGCTTGTCGGAGAGTGTGGTCGCCGCGGCGGCTACATGCTGTTATCACCGGGCGTTACAAACGAGGCACGTGAACAACTCCTGAAACTCGCTAGTATCATGCTCTGCCCAAACCTCGGCGGACAGGTCATGATCGACTGTGTGGTGCGCCCGCCGGAGCCGGGCCAACCATCATATGAGCTCTACCAGAAAGAGAAACTTGAGCGTTATGAAAGTTTGCGGCGACGTGCGCATCGCGTTGTAGAGGCATTTAAGAGTATGCGCGGTGTGCAATGCAACCCTAGTGAGGGCGCCATGTACGCCTTTCCGAGCATCACTGTGGGCACGAAAGCACTCCAGGCAGCGCAAAAGTCCAATATGCCGCTGGATACGTTTTACTGTGTCAGCCTTTTGGAACGAACTGGTATCTGTGTGGTGCCGGGCGCAGGGTTCGGCATGCATTCCAATGAACCAACATCCAGTGTCCCGAACGGTTCGTGTCGGTTTTACCTGCGGACGACTATTTTGCCTCCGGAGGAAAAGCTCGAACCCGTCATCGCGCTGCTTCGGGCTCATCACGAGGAGTTTCTTCAAAAGTATCCCCCGGACTAAATAGGAATGGTGAACCTAGTCGCTGCCCATGTTCATGCATGCATCCATGTGGTTGATGGTCCGTCGATGATGACGCCGTGATTTTACGTCCCAGGTCACCGTTGAGACGCGATCTGTCGCTCGCGGAAAGCATGCCTGTATGTCGAGGAAGCACACGCGAAGCGTCGTGACAAGTGATTGGTCTCGAGTGCAACGCAGCTCATGCCGGGTACTCGCTTTGTGTGGAGCGCTCCGAGTGACGATCGTGCGGTTTGCAACGCAAACCATATGGCTGCTCAAATGTCGAATAAGGAGCACCCTGGATGGTGTTCGCTGCGCTTTCGCGAATGTGGGGAATACGGGCGAACTGGAGCAGCAGCAGCGATTGCTGTTCCTAAATCATAAACGTATTGTCGCAATAAACAGGAAGGCGTACAACGAGACGATGCAATGCAGTGCCTTACAAAATGTACAGCGATGCCATCTCCGACTCCGAGTAGCCAAGTGCTACGGCCAGCAATCACAAGTGGCGAACAGAAACCCGATTGCAATGGTCTGCATGAAGCAACAACAGCGCTCAGAGCGCTCCTTGAGCTGCGCGGACTGAACGCATATGCCGCGCTCCTGCAACGACCGGCGCGATGCAGCAGTGACGCCCCGAGCACCCCTGGATTCCATTCACGTCGCGTCTGCTCGAGCGCATTGCTCGTAGCGTGTTCCCTCTGCACACAGACATCAAGGTCTGTTTCTGGTGATGAATCTGAGTTATACGGCGACCTGTCTGGATTCAGGATCCTGTCTCTAGTCGCTGGGGCCTCCTCCATTGCCAGGCTCATCGGCGCCCCGCTCGTATATCGACAGAGCGCCATTCCAGCGTCTGATGCAGTTCAGTGAGTCGCGCCTTGAGTGGTGTCGTTCATTTCGCAAGAGTTGTCGAGCATACCGCGGTGTGCATTTCTGTACGCGAGCGCAGCCTGCATGACAGACCAGACTCTCTCGTACAGTATGCTGGTCTCCAGGTTCACCGTATTTCTCAGGTTTCATATGCCGATAAGCGGTGTGGTTCAGCATACCGCAGGTGAATCGGGTGCCACGGGTACGCGTCACACGTTCCGCCGGTTCGAGTCGCCTCCTTCTTTGGTTCGCTGAACGGTCTCCGCATTACCACTCAAGAAAACTCGAGTTCGCTTGAGTTGCGGCTGCGACTCGCTCTGGGGTAGTGGCAGCGTGCTGGCACCTGAACGCTCGTGTACGTCTGCCTCGGAACGACGCGCTCCACGTGACTTGCGGTCAGTGTTGTTCACGTGCATCGCCGCCTTCCGGGCCTGCTTTACCTGTAATAGGACATCCAGCTGTGGTGCGTCTTCTAGTGCTTCCGGGAGCACTACAAGCACGATACTGTCACCACGGACGAGAACACGATTTTTTTGGGTGCGCTCGCCAGTCGCGTTCAATACCGTCACCGCGCTGAGCACCAGGTTCATCCGCGAGCTCACGTTGTCCAGGCGCCCCCGGTACTCCATTCCATTTTTGGTCTCTACCGATACAATTTGGTTCTTTGCTTCGCGTAGGAGCGCTCGAGGGAGATCGAACGCAGCGGGTCGATACCCGCTCATGGTTGCTGCTGCGAACCGCAGGCACTGCGGGCACCACGCCCGATACGCGCACCGTCATGGCAGCCTGCCGTATGACGCACTCTTCTCTTTATATATCAATTTATGGGACTTTTTTCCGTACTGGCGTCGGCTGCTGTTCTGCGACGCTTGTCCGTTTGCGACGCACTCCTGTAGCTATCGGCTGGCAACGCCGCCGTCGACTACCCCAGCTGGTTAGAGCGCGAGTCTTATAAGCAGACTTGGTGCTCAGTAAGCTCGATGTCGCGAGTGCGTGGTGAACACGCTGCGCGTTCGAGCCTCGCCGGGAGTACGCGCACGGATATATTTTGCGACTTCAGCAACTGCCTCTAAATATATGACCAAGCGGAAGCCTCGACCCTGTCGAGCTTCGGATCCAGACGATATCCGTGCCAGGATAGAGTGGTGCGGGATGACTCGCCGAACTCGTGGAGGCACGCTCAAGATCGGGTCTCTTTCCATGGTCATCAAAGACAGCGTTTACGGGCTTTGTCAGCAATAGCTAACTTTTCTATCTCTTATCTCCGGTTTGCAATACGCCGGTTCCGCCTGTCTCTCCAGCGCTGCTGTCAGCAGTCGAAGGATGCTAATGACAGCGCTCAAGCCTCATTGTTGCTGCTTCCCGCTGCCGTTCATGCAGTTCATGCACAGGCGAAAGTCGCGATCAACGCTTCGCTTGCCATTTTCTCATTCTTTTTTTGCAGTCTCGGGACGCCCTCTGCAGCGGTGACCCTTCTCTAACGTTAGATGTCCATGTACATTCAACGCATCATCTCGTCCTGGTGTCGCCTTCTTGTGCGTCATCGCATGCTTCATCGCCCGATACATGTCCTTGACGGACACTGAGCGCTCCCTGTGATTGCTCTCTCCGCTTCCACGCCAGGTGCCGTCCACTATGATTACGGGCATCGTCTGGACGATTGCCTCTGCGAGTACACTGAAGGCAGCACGCGCAAGCGCACGCTGCTCCATTCAGTATCGGATTTGTGGAGCGCGATTTTATCCATGATGAAACGTGTGCGGGAAAAACCAGGTTGGAGAACAAGTCGAGAATTTTCGATCCGTTTACGATTCCCTCGTGGGAAGCGGTGACGCGCATCCCACCAACATCGATCGCCGCAATGGATCATATCCAGGTCCAAGACCCTTTTGCACGCAAACGTGCGAGACTAGAGCCTCATCGTGCATATACGCCTGAGATGCATCAGGTTGCTGCCGAATCGCGAGTCGTCCATGGCCACGATTCGAGGAGGATTTTGTCATTCAGTCAAAACCTATTATTTGACGTGAAGATTTCGACAAACTTTCGGCATAAGCATGTGAACAACTCGTCAAGGGTCGACATCGACTACGCTTCCACGCCATGACTCCAGCGGCGCGAAATGCCTGCCCACACGAGTTGCCTCGGAACAGAAAGATCGAAAACCTGAAGAATGCTTAATTGGAGCATGCTAGTCGTAAAGAAATGGGAAGCTTGGAGGCTTTAGGCACGAATTGAGCAGTCGTATAGTTCATTTTACGAACGCTTCCTCGAGGGCGTCGCGAATCGTCCTGATTCCGGTGACATAAAGAATTCCAGCGTCAAATCGTCGAAGAAGGCACCCCGAAAACGCGCCCACGAGTCCGAAACTTACGCATGAATCTGAAATCCCATATCGCTGGACGTCGAATGTCGAAGCTTAGCATCTGTAAAATTCGAAAAATTTGGTGAAGCGGGGAAAAGAACTTCCTGTTCAGTACCCCATTTCAATCTGACTCGGGTCTAGTTCGCGCTCCATGGAACGAGGACGCCAGCACGTCTCTGGTTGAGACGCAGCCCCGGACGGCGTTCGCACCCAGGATCATTTCGATGAAGATCCATTTATATACTAATTTTGCGATCTAGTCTAATGCAGGCGGGTGTCTCTGCCGGGCGTGTCGTCAAGTGGTATGACTGCTGCAGTACCCGACGTGACATTAGCATTGTCAAGGCCAGGGGTTCGATTCCCCTCACGTCCACACCTCGCTTTTGTTTTGGACTGCGTGGACGGACACCCGATTTGAAGCTTCGTGTTGGCCTCCGCGAAGCTTCCTCGAGAAGAACATTAGACGCGGTGGATGCGAGTCGCCGTTGTAGGCGCCGGACTCGTCGGCGTCGCAACGGCACACTACTTCGCTACCCGGTACACTGGTTTGGTCACCCGATTGGAAGTTTTTGAAAAGTCGCAACACATAGCAGGAGAACAGTCCGGTCACAACTCCGGTGTTATACACGCCGGAATCGGCTACGCGCCCGGCTCGTTCAAAGGTCGTCTCTGCGTCCTGGGTGCACGTCACATCTACGAGTTCTGCGAGTCGCCCGCAGGGCAACGAGTTCCTGTACGACGAGCGGGCAAGTACATTGTCGCGCGGAACGAAGCTGAGGCTGGACGACTGGCCGAAATCTTTACAAACGCAGTGGCGAACGGCGTTCAGGGGCTGGAGCTCCTCGATGGCGTCCCCTTGCCAAGTGTTCGTGCTGTGCGAAGCCTCTATTCGCCGAATACTGGAGTGATTGACTATCCGGCTCTCGCCCGAGCGCTTGTCGCAGATGCCGCTGAACGCCTAGGTGACCGCTTTACCCTACGCTTGGGCACTGAGGTTCCACTGAGAGCACTCGAACCAGACGCAGAGACACACCCGCGATGGGCGGTAGACGCGCGAGCCTGGTATCAGCATTGGGACTGGGTTTTTGTATGTGTTGGCGGGAGCACGCTGCCGACGACGCAGCTGCGCATTCTTCCGGTAAAGGGCCAGTATTTCGAGCTTCGTCCCGACGCAATCCAGCGCTTGGGGCTCAGCCGATGCAACATCTACCCGGTCCCAGACAAGCGTTACCCGTTTGCGGGCGTTCACTTCACGCCTTCCGTTGATGGGCGTCGCGTATGGGTTGGGCCAACAGCAACCCTGGCTGGATGGCCACCAATTCAGTACCCGGGCTTTTGGCGGCTCGTACAGCAGCACTGGCGATTCGGCCTGAGCCAATGGTGGCAAGAAAACGCGCCGCTCGCGCTCTGGCGAGCGCTGCGTGGCATGGTGCCAGACCTTGGTCCACACGACCTTGAACGCTCATTCTACGGTGTTCGAGCACAAGCGCTAACCCGTGATGGCACGCTTCTAAATGATTTTCATTTCGAGCGCCATCGGAATGTTGTGCACGTGCGAAACGCCCCATCGCCAGCAGCGACATCGTCGATGGCCATTGCGGAATACCTCGTAGAAGGCGCACTCCAGGGAAGCATGAGCGAGACCGCTTCCTGAAGAGACGCCTCCCGGAAGATATGTCGTGACAGCGTCGCGCTCGCAATGCGCACGGAACACCGACACCCTCCTACACAGCGGATGTATCATCGGCAGGGAATCGGCTATCTTTTTGTGGACGCCGACTACAAGACCCACCATACATGGGACACATGCCATAGCCTGCATCGTCATGGAGACACCCTCCTACACAGCGGATGTATCATCGGCAGGGAATCGGCTATCTTTTTGTGGACGCCGACTACAAGACCCACCATACATGGGACACATGCCATAGCCTGCATCGTCATGGAGACACCCTCCTACACAGCGGATGTATCATCGGCAGGGAATCGGCTATCTTTTTGTGGACGCCGACTATAAGACCCACCATACATGGGACACATGCCATAGCCTGCATCGTCATGGATGTCGCATGCTTGCTTGCTCAGAGAAGCGGCTGCAGCTCGATGCTGCGCTGAAACGCCTTTCCGCGAATAGACGCTCACACTGCGATGCGTACCATTCACAAAGCAGCCCGTCGGTCGTGCACGACGCAACACTTACGTACCAGCGCGTGATCGTTGTTATCTGCGCAGTACCCTACGATCCTGGGCGAGCGTCTGGGAATCGTACATTGCGTCCCGGATGGGGTCCTTGCGGATGACGCTTGTGCGAACGTTGCATGCAGCTGCCCAAGCGTCGCATCGGGTCGAAAAATATGCTTCCATGATGTTTAGACCCAGTCATTCTATCGCTTACCATAACGACGTCGTATCACGCACGTGCATCACTGCGGACTGGAGGCCTCATTATACATCGATAAAGTGAAGATCAACGCCGGCCTCGCGGAGCGCACTGAGCCCACTTTCCGTCCACTTTCCAGTACACCATACGTTGTACCGCTGATGCGCGAGTAAGAGTCTGCGCAAATGTACACTATGAGCGAGAGTGAAGAGTGCTCGGTCGGTTATCTGTGGACAGAGCGCAATGTCAAGGAACTCCAGATGCGCCAAGTACGTGATCCCCGCGTCAGTGACTGCCTCGGAGCCGCGCACCTTGAGCTGTCGCAGAAATCTGAGCTTTCCGAGTTCGCGCAGACTTTCGTCGTCCAGACGAGCATACTGCAACTCCAGATGCTGCAGAAAAGGGCAACGACGTGCAATCTCGGCTGCCGCGCGGCTCGTGAGCTTCTCGGCGAAGAACGTCAGCGTGTGAATCCAGGTTTGTTCCCCAGCCTGGTGCGCCGCTATGCGTTGCAGCATGAAACCAACGCCTACGTCCGAGAGTAGCGCACAATTGGAGAAATGCAGCTCCACTAAACGTGGTGGATACACGTGAATATGCTGCACCACGCTGTCGCGCACGAGCCGGTAGCAGTCCGTCGCAACGAGACAGCGGGCACAACTACAGTCTCTGAAGAGGCGCTCAAGGAAACCGGCTATGTGCTTATCCGTTTCCTGAATAACCTCAGCATTTTCTTCTGACGCTCGCAAACGCAATCGGCAGCGTTTCCATTGGTGTTCGATGCTCGTCAGGTTCAGGCGTACCAGCCGGGGATATACAACTTTTCGCACGAGATAGTTCCATTGAGTGCAAACCAAGGCGGCAGTCTGGCTCAGCCACGCTAAGTCATTGCCTTCTGCGGATGCCCACCAGAAAATCCGGAACCAAACGTGTTCCGGGAGCAGCAACCACGCAGGTAGACCAGTGCTTGCGCCGACGTTCAGCGCAGACCTCTCAGCAGGTCCCTTGTCCGTGCCACGCCAAGCAAGCCCTGCGTTCCCGTTTATGTTCGCCATTCCAGCACGATTCCGCGCTTGCACTCCGAGAACACTGTGTCTAGTTACCCCTTGCACGGGTCATGGAAGCAGTTCAACGAAAATTGGGATGCGGCCGCACACCAGCGTCCGGAATGCGTCAACGGGAACAGCGCACCTGCGTTGCCTCAACGAGCACGCGCTCGCCAAAACAGCAGAGCGCGTCCAGCGCGAACGGCGGGCGTTTGTGCACAGATGTTCACGTAGTACAAAGCTACCTATATCTGCCTGCGATCGCTGCACGTGAGGCCCTGGCGGCGCTGTGCATCATCATTATCGTCACGATGATGATTACCAGCGGGCGCGTCATGCGGCATAGCGCAACGGGTGCGCGCCGCTGCACCCTCCGCATTGCAGAACCTTTTTGCATGCCTGTTTCCTTCTAGGAGTCAGTGCCTCTTTCATGTGCTGAAGACTTGATCAAGTCTCAGTGTGTTTTGAACTGCTTGGTGCCTCATGGCTGAAACAACCGGGATCCTGCGGCCGCGGCGTTCCGCGGCGAACGCTGCGGAAGGTGTCACCTCTGACGTCGCCTCAGTGTCGACAGGGGCCGGCTTGGCGCCCGGCGAAGTCCGAAGAGGACCGCGAGTGTCGCCCAGCTTGCTGGTTTTCCGCTTTGCAATTGTTTGCGCTTTATTTTACGTCGCCTATAGAATCACCGTTACGCCCTTTTCGAGCAACAATGTTCGAGTGACTTGTACATCGGATCAGGAGCTCTACAGGGTTCGGAAGCACGCGCTCTCTGAAGATCGTTTCGCTGCGGTTCGGGAGTGCCTGAACGAGGAGGGCTCTTTCAGCGCCATACTGAGGCGGGATCACTTAACGCGCATTGCGCATGACTCGACCAAGTCCGATGAGGATGTCCTGGACTTTGCTGCAGCTCTATTATTGCCAGGAGTTCCCTCGCGAGTCGATCCAGACGCCTCGAAGCGCGTTGCTCGGTGTGTTCGTTGTGCTCTTGACGCGTTCAACTTGCTCGATACGCGTGCGAGCATGCGCCTTGCTGCCGCGAATATGTTTCGGGTGCGTCATCTCCACGCGGTGAACGACAGTGCGACTCGAGCGGGATCATTCGTGCTAAACGCTATCGATGAAGCGAGTGTTGGATCGCATAACAGCAGAGCTGCGAGCGATCAGTTGGTTTACGTGAGTCATGAGACGAGTCTGCTTTTGCTCAACCTGCCAGTGAAGCACGCTAACGCGACTCCTCCGTCAGTGAATGAATCGAGTCGCGGATGCCTTTTGCTTTTGAGAGGGTTGCGGTCTGACGGGGGATCGCCGGCATCGCCCCCGAACACGTCGCTGGAACCCGTTCAGCTTTCACTGGAGGAAAATATGATCGTCTCGTGGCGAGGCGACACCTGGTACCAAATGATGAACGTCTCGGAGCGGGCCTCGTGGATTTCGTTAGAACAGTACATTATAGATCCCAAGGAACTGGCGCGTTTCCACAGCCTAAGCCATGTTTACGTCGAAACAAGCTAGCGGATGGTCATTCATGGCCCCATGCTTGACAACGCCACCTAGAATGTGGCTCTCCTGGTGAGACACCCGGCAGTCCCGCTGTTCTCGAAGTAACACGCACGAATGAAAGAGATCACCTAGGCGCCTGGAAGTCGCTTCCGGGCGCTGCCAAGAGAATCCCTCTGAGACATACGAGGCACATATACGTACATTGCCGCATAAACACGCTAGACTCGGTTAAACGGTGGGTGATCCTCGGTGGCCGGCCTCGTGACACATAAGTAGCGCAGCGCTGGATGCCGTCCAGGTGTCCACAGGTGCGTTCGTTGAATAACGCGTTCGCGGCGCGCGACTGCTTCCAAACGTCCAACCACCGAACATGGTAAACAGTGCCTCAGCCAGCCCGGAACAAAGCAAGTCGGGTTCCGACGGGCACCTACGCGTTCGCTGAAAATGCACACGACTTGCGCTAGCGTGACCGCCTCGATTAGGAATCGTTCCCCAGCTGCGTCTTGACGGTCTCTCGGATCCCTTGGGCATAACCCTCCCGGTACGCGGCTGCAGCCCGCTCTTTATACCGCAGAAACGTGCTGTCCACGCTCCCCCAAAGCTTTTCAAAGCCAAGGTAACCGAGGAAGATCACAGAAGCCGCGCCAATACCCGGAAACGCCCCCAAGTAGTTGTACCGTGGCTGCAAAAGAGGGCTGTTTCTCCACGCATAGTATCCCTTCTTCATAAACACCATCTTCGCCACTTATTTCGAAGCCGTACTCTAAACGTCAGAACCTCAACACTGTGTAAACCGAAACGCTACCAATCATAGTTCAATAGCGTTCGCGAGGCAGAGCGCATGCGAATGCTCCCTGCCCCGGCCACTGGAGCGCCCGATAGCCGAGGGTACTGGGTACCGGCTGGTTTTTTTCCGACGTGGAGCTTACGACACGCCCTTGCAAGGCATACCAAGGCACAACCTCCGTTCGAGAGCTATCGCTCAGCACCCGTCCCGGATCGCCGGAGCTTTCAGCAGAGGAGTTTGGATTTCGGTGAAAAGAGCCAGCGCTCATAGTTATGCTCGGTGATAGCAGGCGTCCAGTGCTCCTCACGCCGGGCTTTTGGTGGATAGCCACAGCGCTCCTTTCCACGTATGCCGTTGTCGACGCGCACCTTGGTCACCTCACCAGTGTTTTCGAACGCGTTGCCGTGGCAGTGCCTTTGGGCTGGGCGGTGTCCTCGTGGCTCGCGTATTTGTTTGCGTCGCTGCGCTACCAAACGCTTGACGTACGATCCGTTCGAGCTGCTTGGCTAGTGCAAGCTGCAATCGGCTTGTTTCATGTGTGGCTGGTGCAGCGACGGAGAAAGGCGGGTCATGAGCCAGCTGGCACCATGAGGGACTCGCCGGCCCGCAGCGCGAAGGTAGCACCGCACGGGCCTGGGATGGGCTTCACAGCATTGACGGCTTTGATTGTCTGGCCCATGGTCTCGAGTCGTTTCCTGCGGAACGAACCAGATGGTAGCGTGAGCTCAGGTGGCGCAACCTGGGCCGATTTGCCGTTCCACATGAATATTGCGGCATCGTTCCTCTATGGAACGAACCGGGAATTCGACTATCGTCGCACAGAGGCAGCATTTTATGCGGGTTCGCGCCTTGTTTATCCACTACTTCCAGACTTTCATGCAGCGTGTCTGCTGGTATCGGGCATGAGCTGGCGCATGAGTTTTCTGCTACCGGCACTGTTTCTGGCTGTATCAGCATCGGCGCTGCTGTATGCGGTGAACTGGCGTTTAACCGGCAGTCGCGCCGCTGCCGTGCTCTCCGTTCTCCTCGTCATGTGTGCAGGTGGTACCGGGTCCTTTGAGCACTGGATCGAGCGAGGCTGGAGTCACGCGACGTGCGTAGCCTGGGATGTGGATCCGGTCCAAGCTGACCGTGAGGGCGGCAGACAAGAGATCCTGTGGTTTGCCTACTTTGGGCATGTGTTCTTGCCACAGCGACCGGCCACGTATGCAATTCCCCTGATCCTCATTGTTATCCTGCTGCTTGTTCTTGCCATGACCGAAGGTGTTCCGCTTCAACAGAGCGCTATTGTGTTGAGGCTGGCGGCCTTTGTCGCCGGTATCTTGCCCTTATTCCAGGCGCACGCATTTGTTGGTGCGGTGATTCTCTGCTCTGTGCTCTTCATTATGGATTTCGACCGATGGTACACACATATGGATCTTCTCTGGCGAGGGTGGCTCACAGCCGCTTTCATCGGTTTGGCGTTGTCGGCGCCCCAGCTTCCGGTATACATCGGGAGGGTGGCATCGTCGAGGGAGCAAAGAGGCTTTCTTCGCTTCTCTTGGACGGCAATGTCATCCTTCAACAGTGGGTTTTGGAGAACCTGGTTCCGCGCCCTGACTCTACACGTTCCAGTCTATACACTTGTTTTTGGCATTGTGTCCGTGGTGCTGTTGGCACAGGCGCTTGCAGATCTGGAGAGACTTTTCGGAGTACGCGGATACTTTCCGATCGTGGAACGCATCCAAAACCGCGTTGTGCACTTGCTGTGGGGCCTTGCTCCGGCTTTTAGCGGGCCTTCACATTACTGGCGTTTGAAGTTCTTCCCCGCATTCGCTGCAGTTTTCGTTTTCTGTAATCTTTTCCTTATTCCGCCATGGGTCAAGGATAACGTCAAGCTCGTGTATATTTGGCTCTTTCAGGCTGCAGGTGTCGTTGGGTATCTGCTGGTGCGTTTATGGCGGCGCGGTGGGCCTCTGGGCAAGCTCCTGACCCCGCTGATCCTGTTTTTCATGATTTTCAGTGGCTTGTTGGGGATTCGTCGAGAATGGGGTGGCGTTACGGCTGAGCTGTTCACACCGGCTCACCAAGAGGTGGGTGAATGGATCAAGGCGAACACACACTTGCGCTCGGTGTTTCTTACAAATGAGGGGCACAGTTCTCCTGCTTGTGCCCTCGCCGGAAGAACGTTGTATTCCGGACACTTAGGCTGGGTGTGGTCCCACGGTCTTCGGGATTGTTACGAGCGAGAACAGTTTCAGGACGAATTGCTTCGAGGTGAGGGTAGGAATGGAACGGAGCTCTTGAACCAGCTTCGATACCTCAGAGTGAGTCATATTTTGCTGGAACCGGAGATTTCGGATCCAGAATTTGAGGGCGCTTTTGAGGAGAGCGATGTATGGCTCGGCTACGAGAACCAAGGATGGCGTCTGTACTTCATCAAAGATGTCGTTCTTGATGATCGACCCATCGAATCTATCTCGAGAGAGCAGCTCTACTTCTCGACTGGTGTCTCGCTTGTTGCGCTCTGGATGGCCGTAATGTGTATGTGGTATTTTCCGTGCGTGTTTGCAAGCCAGGAGATTGCAGAGGACGGGAATGACGTGGTGCCTCGCGGCCCGGTTGCCGATCGACATACCAAAACGCTCTAGGAAATGATTTTAAAGAAATGACGATGCTTAGCGTTCTGCGGTACCGCTTCTGTCCGCTGCATTTCACAGCGATGCTGATGCCAGTCCAGACATAGTGCACGAACCCGGAATGCGCTGTGTGAATGTCACAGTGATCAGGCCATGCAAGCTGAACTAGGTATGCCTGCTCCCTGACTATCACCAGCGATGTGTCCCATCCTAGCAGACGGATTAGTGACCAGTATGTACTTGCTACAGCGGGGCGACAATAACAGGCAGACAGCTAGACAGATACATTCACAAACTCGCTTAAACAGGTAGGCAAGCGCTGCTCTTCTCGGGGAATACACTACGCCCTGGTCGATTCCCGTTCGGTGCAGTGATAAACTCGACGGTAATGAGCAGCTGCCCTGTCCTCGAGGACCGCCAACCCCAGCGTATCGGTTCGCTACCAAGGGCGCACGCTGGGTCGTCTGACGATCCATAGCATTGGAGCAATCATCCTGATGAATTCTCGGGTTGCGTCGCAGAATCCACCCAGCTTGAGCGGGATATCGCGGGCCTGAGCAGACACGGGAACAATGACGAGCCATGCTTGGAGGCGAATCCCGCGCATTGTTCTGAACTAGACATGAGCGATTCCTATGCTGTGCGTGCCTAGCGCCATACCGACTTTGCGACGACATGGCAAGCCATCGACCCAGGCGCTTTCTGCAGCTCTGGCACAACGCCTGCGCCGTCTCCCGTGGCGTTTTTGCAGTGTCGCCTCTCTGACGGTGAGCGACACCGAGGCCTCGACAGCAACCGACTATGGTCAAGAATTTTCAGTGCGACACTGCTGAATCCGCGTCCATGGCATCGCAGCTCAGATATCGTCGGCGCAAGAGACCGTCAGGTTTGAACAAACGTGTCCAGCAGGTTATCGGTACTTGTTATCTATTGGGTACGCTGTGAGCGAGTGCAGCCGTACAGCGCGACACACCTGCCCGCCTCTCTGGAAAGAACAACGGAACACGCAAGTCTTCTTGGCGTTCTTTCGTCGGGATTAGCGTTTTTATGCTCAGGTAGAGCAGGAGATTGAGCAGATTGCAGCTCCGAAACCTCATCTCGACGATACATATGTCAACGCAGGGATGCTCTGTGCCAAAGCGACACGCGTCGGTGCACTGCATATGCCTAGGTACATGCCATGAACGCTTTCGGACGCGAAGGTTTCTCAGCTGCGCTCTGACTCCCACAGTGCCCAGCAGCACCCCGGGCGGTGGGTCTGTAAATGCGGCTTGTACGCCTCCCTCATATGCGAGCGCGAATCAAGGCACATGCACAAGGCACTCGCCACGTTCAAATGCGTTCAACGGCACTCCGTCGATACGCGACACCATCAAAAGATTCCAACTTGAGAAACGATATATTCATCTGCTAGATGGATACGCATGAACATGTCTTGACAGTAGAGAATGTAGACCTGCAGAGATCGCGCACGCGCAGCGCCCTGAGATGTCGATCCCATCCCTCGCCAGCATCATACAGAAGAGTCGAATCGAAAATGTATTTCTATCTGGCAACTCGATAAAAGTTGTTTCCCATTCTATGGATAGCGTTGAAAGTAGGAAAAGGTTTCGGTATATTCGAAAGATTACCTCCAAAGCGTGAGATCACCGACGCCGGATGAGTCCGTCGGGCGAGAGCTCCGCGCACCTCAGCAGAGGCGCGACTTGAGCAGCTCTACCGGTACGCAGTTTACCCGAGGCCTGGGAGCGATTCATCTGCGTCTAGGTGTCTTGCTGGTCGTGGTGGTCTCGTGGCACATTGCTTCGCGCCGTCGCCGGCAGTGGGCTTGTTTGCGCAGCTTGACGACTCTAAGAATAAATACAAGTCCCGGCTCCGTGTCCAATGAACTGCGTCTCGAGTCTGTGCCCTGAGCAGTACGACAAAGCAGAAAAGAATAAAACAACATGGCACCGAGAACAGAATCCGCGCATGCATACACCGATTTCACCATAAAGTGGAACGTTTCCACAAAGTCGACTCTTGGGTATGCATAGGAGGTTGGGGTCTTTTTGTGGCATCATCAACACCAGCTTTTGCGAGCGCTTCCTCCGGTCACTTGGGTTTTCTGTCTCTCATCTGTGGCTCCAAATATGCCTGCCTCATCTCTCCCGCGGGCTTCGTAGCCAGCAGTCGAAGGATGTTGATAGCAACGTTTAGGTCCCGATGTCGCTGCTTTTGACGGTTGTCGATGCATTTCATGTAAAGACGATGGTTGCGATCTATGCACCGCTTCTCAACTTTATCTTCTTCGTATTCAGTCTCGGTGCGCCATGTACAGCGGCGATACTTGATAGCGGTCAGGTGTTCGCATATATCCATCACACTTCCTCATTCTCAGCAGACTGAACGGTAGCGCGCGAAGGCTCGCATCATCGCTCGGCATCTGTCGTTGGCGGGTACACATGTCACCCCTCGAGATCATCTTCCGATTCAATGCCCGGTACCGGAACTCAGGATCACGGGCTTCTTCTGGGCAATGGCCTCAACGAGCCCAATGTCTGCTGCATGCACAGACGAACGCTGTTCCATTCCCAAGGGGATTTATGGAATGCGATATCGTGGATGATGAGGCAAGTCCTGGACTGAAAACACACACTGGTGAACAAGTCGAGCAGTTTCGATTGATATAGGTCTCCTGCGTGCGAGGCGGCGACGCACATACCGGGGGAAGCGATCGGTGCGATGGCCCAAGTCCGACTCTAAGACCCCTTTCCGTGCAAATAAATCAAACGCGTTCCTCTATGAGCTTATCCTCTGAGAGTTATGATGCTGATGGAGAGTATTTTTTCATTGAAATCCGCAAAGCAAGGCTGATTTGTCCTTGAGAAGGAATCGATTACTAGACGTGAAAAGTTCGATGGATTTTCGGCAAGGGCTCCGGAACAAGTCGTCAACGGACGACGTCAAGTTTTTTATTCGTCATCACTCCAGCGGCGAGAACTGAGGCGCCCACGAGCTGCATTGTAACAGAAACGTTGAAAACTGCCAGAATGCGTGATTCATGCATGCCAAACGTTAGGAAATGAAGAGCGCGGAGACGTGTACATTTGATTAGGATATAAGAGTTCGTAATTTTACGTGCCGTAGTTTGAAAGCATCATGAATCATCATCATTCCGGTAGGATAACGAATTCCAGCAGCAATGTGTCGATGCATCCGCGGCGAAACAACGATCGAAAATCGAAAAACTGCGTATGAATCCATAAACCCTAGCAGCTGGACTTCGAATACAGAGTCTGTACATCGAGAAAACGTTCGGAAATCCATCGAAAGGCAGGAATCAATATAGCAGTTCAGTAATCCATTTCATTTTTTACATGGGTAGAGATCAGTGCATGTCGAATGCCCGAGTCGCTCGTCTGTTGTTGCCTCTACCGGCATCCTGTGCGATTCGCTTGAGTCGCGGCAACCGCTGGCCTGGTGCGGTCTCCATCAAGCATTCAGCACCAGCACCAGCAGCAGCAACTCAGGCCTGGAGCGCAAACGCAAACAAGCCCCCGCAAGGAATAACGAGCATCGCTTACCAGTCACGGGCCTATGCGTGTACATTCGCAGACCGCGCTGCGGGTGCAGCATTCCCTGGAACAAGCGCCGGCGTCGATGCTCGCACATGAAAGAAGTTGCCCCTTCCATAAAGCAGGCCAGCGAGCGCAATCGGCAGCGTCCATATCAAAATTATCACACTGCAAAAGTACACCGCTACCCAGTGGAGAAGCACTTGCGGTTTCCCTATACAGGCGTGCGTTCGCTGCGCCAGCCGCATCGCATGTAACTCGCGCTCCATCGCAAAGAAACTGAGAACCCGTAGAAACCAGCGATTCCAGAGCTGGTACAGAAAGCGTAGAACACGCTTGCGACCGGTGAGGTGCGCCCACCACAGCCACCGGAAGAACCCCGGCGTCGACATGTTCACAGACACCGTAAGCCACCCCTGGAGTGGCTGCGGTCGCGCTGCACATGGACACGAGACCCGCCAGTGCACCATATAGGTTTCAAGTAACCGCCTGTAGTCTGCATCGAGTCCGGACTGCAAAGCGCCGTCCCGAATAAGACCCAGATATCGCATGGACGGTCGAATGAGCACCCGTTCCAGCTCCAGTGCTATTCGATCGGAATGATCCTGTGGCAACGCCTGGGTCACCTCCAGCACATGCGCATGCTGCGTATACCACAGCGGGAGTGCAGCACTGCCGTTTTTCGGCAACCATGAAGTGGACGCAACTTGATCCGCGGCATTCGCCACGCGTTGCGCAGCGAGTTCTTGTTCGAGTGCACCCATAGCACTCGTCGCAATGCAGCGGAACTCGCTCGCGAGCCAGCGTCGTCGATAAACGTCACGTCGTAGCCAGCGTCGATACCAGGTCTCCACTGTTCGACTGGGCCGTGTCTCGAAGATAATCGCCTCGTGGAGCACCCCCGGACGCCTGTAGGTCTCCACGTGCACGCGCCGCTCCACGTAACTGGAGCCGTACTCGCGCCCGCCAAGGCCTCCTTCAGTCACCCAAAGCAACTCGTACGAAGCACGGTCGAATGCATAGAGCACGCCGTGCACCTCGCTCGGGCAGCGCCTACCGCCGCCACACTCACAAGCTCGCACGGAGCAGAACGCTGCTTCTGCGGGGGGAAACCCCGGCGTGTTGAACACGATGCGGTAGCCGCGAAGTACCGCCGGCTCAGCACTGAGGAACTTGATTTCGGCTTGATCACCAAGCCAGCGCGCTCGCGTACGAAGGCGTTCCGTGTTCACATTGGAGCCTATCGCAAAGTTGTAGATAACATTCGCCCGCCCTGTAGTGCCTTCACCACTGCCCATAGCGGTGCTTGAAGGTACAACGCTGCGCTGCCTCCTGCATCAGCCGGTGCGACCCAGCTACCGTCTGGCAGCGTCGCGTCGAGTCGCGGGCACCTAGCTCACCCAACGTTCCAGTTGCGGTTCATGCAAAGCTCATAGTGCGTTGCGTTGCATCGGTGCTGCCAGGCCTCTAACACGTGCTCGAATTACGACGATTCGCGGGGCCGGGCGCGTCGCCATCCCCGTCCAGCGGCCTCTGCTGCAAAGTGCATCGGCCGCCATTGGTGATACATTTTTTATCGTCTACGGATGAAGCATCGATACCTTGTGCAGCTGATTACTCATGACGGTATTTCGTGACACGGCATGCTCGCATGGACGCTGATCTAGCCTATGGATAGCCTGTGGTTGCTGGAAGCGCCTGTGATGCTTTTCGCATTCTGTATTGTCTACGGATGAAGCATCGATACCTTGTGCAGCTGATTACTCGTGACGGTATTTCGTGACACGGCATGCTCGCATGGACGCTGATCTAGCCTATGGATAGCCTGCGGTTGCTGGAAGCGCCTGTGATGCTTTTCGCTCATAGAATGATGCCTCCAGTGTGGCTTCCACCGATGCCCGCTGATCGAAGATGTTGACTGCAAGCGATCGCTTTCAAATCCGTGAAAACTTGCTCATAACATTCTCCTGTGAGGTGTTGCGTTCCCTAAACGGGTACGCAAGCCCACACGCATCCACAGTGAATACGTCTGACGCCTTTTCTGTTTCCCCGAACAGGTCTACTTGGCAAGAGACGCTGCCATTTGTTGCGGGTACTAGGCTTTGCGACGCTAGGGCGAACAGGCCGCATCGGTGCTCAGCAGGCATCCCGGCAGATGTTATGCCCAGCAATACCCGAGTCGCACAAGCGCGGAAACACAGGTTTCCGTTTCCCGGCTCTGGCGTGATGCATCACGTGCTGTCGGCATCGCGCGATGGACACCGGAGTATGCACCGATACCCCGACGGGAGCAAGGTCGGCAACCCACTGCCATGCAACACCACAAACCGCATGTTGCAGCCTGCACCACGGATACCTTCGGGATAGTATTCACCACGACGTCGTCCGAGCGTGCTGCATATCGCCAGCCTGCTGGAGCGTCAAGCGCTGCCCTCCAGCAGCAGCAGCAGCACGTGCGTCGCAATTGTACAGGAATTTCTGGCGCGCTGTCGCAGCGACACACGTTGGACAACGCGGCAATCTCGCTGCGTGCTGCGGCTCTTTAAACGCGCCTGACTGCATTCCGCTTCGAAAGCGGTGCTTTGAACGCGTTCGTGCGTTATCCGGCGAACGCTGATACGACTTTATGGACCCGGAACCGAACTCACTATGTTGGGCAGTACTGAATGGAAACAACCACGTTGGTGGCCCGACCCGAACAGTGCCCAGTTTCGTGACGCGCGTGGTGCGTCCCAGCCCCGCGTACGGACGCAGCGGACGTCGTTGCGCTGTCCAAAAGTCTGGGTGCGAGTCTGCTGCGCTGCTGCCGCGGAAGCGGTGGCGGCGATGGCGTCCGTACACCTCCCGTAGTGCGTCCGTCGCACCAGCAGTGGTTCAGGCGGTTTCAGAACCCAGTCCTGGCTCCGAGGACGCAGAACGGGTACCTCGCAGCGACGACGACGTGGACGTGCAGGTGTCTGCGTCGACCGAAGCCTTAGCGGAGCGTCTGCTCTCAGAGATACACCGAAGACTGCAGGAGTCGCTCGAGGGTCAGCTGAGGGTGGAGCTTGCTCGGCAACGGGCGATCGATCGGATCGACTTACTGGTGGCTGTCGAGCTCGTGAAACTCCGCGAGAAGCTGCAGCTGCTTTTCGACAGCTATCGAGAGCGGCTGACCTTGCGGACGGAAGAGATGGATCGGCGCGCTAACGAGCTAGCACCCTCGTGGGCACAGGTCGAGGAGCGCCTGGAAGCCGCGCAAGAGCGCGCTCGCGTCCTCCGTCAGACACAGGACGAGATCGAGTCTTTGCTGCGCGGATCACCGCATACACCAGTGCCCCGGTCAGGTGCGGCTCCCAAACACGCCGAACGCACGTCACTTGTACGGTTTGATGAGAGCGCTGGCGCAGCGCTTCCGAGTCGGCAGGCATTGCAGCAGGGCAGTGCATGGCGTCTCGAGGAGGAGCAAGCCCTCTCTCCCTACTGGGTATTTTTCTATGGCTGGCTCAGCGCACTCGCGGGTCTAGAGGCGAGCATGGCGGTCTCGAGTGCGCATGGTGTATCTGCATACACGGCGCTGAGCGGCACAGTGTGCCTACTCCTACTGGGTCATGCAGTGCGCCTTGGATGGGCAGCGAGACGACAGCACCAAGCGACTCGTGGTCAACAGCCTGCGTTGCCGTCGTGCAGGGTCGTGTCGTCCGGCACGCAGGCCGCAACAACGCCATCAACGGAGGGCCAGACCGAGCCAACCTCGCTGCAGCAAAGCGAATAGCCGGCCGCCACCGTGGACACACCATTGTCTATGTATCGAAAGCGAGGCGCGTCATCGCGGCTGGTGGCGCGCCTGTGCCGACAGCGGCATTCAAGAAGCCGCAGCTGCCAACACCCGCGGCGATTTGCTGAAACGTTTACCTCTGCAGAATCTGCGCTACTGACGAACGTCTGCATTTGCGCAGGCCACGGTATGCAAGCGTCGATCGCGAATCCATTCAGAATTCTGTACAGACTGATGTAAACTATGATGAAAGAAACAGATGCCTGTATCCTGTACATGTTCGGTGCTTGCGTCTTGGATGGAGCAGCGGCAGTGTGCTTCTGGATGCAGCACGCTCTCTTTACATGCGTTTCATGTGGGTTCGCTGGGTACAGCACCACACCCTTTTCCATCGCATAGCGACAGCAATAGGCTGATTATCAACGTGCACGCGGCTGGCGCCGTGTATCGCCCGGCGATCGCAGCGCGCTGCTTTCGGCGACGCCGCCAGCGAGCGATCCATAACCCCGACGGCTCTGCACAAGCAGTCGTAACAGCAGCAACGCGTCTACGCTGTTGAATGGACACGTGCGTCATGTGAAGCACCATTCGATGCTGGTCCCGCGCCAAACGCGAATGCATCATGCAGTGCAGTGCAGTGCAGTGCATCGGGCAGCGCGAATGATCGCTCAGCAAGTCTTGCGCTGCAGTACGTCGCATGTGCACGCACAGATCGAGTGCGTGCGTGGCACGGGTCCATGCACCAGCACGCATTGCTATGGACACGTAGGCGTCACGCATGCGCCACCGTTGTGACAGCAATGCGAATTGCATCCAGTCCGCACAGCAATGGCTCGCTGTACCAGCAGCCTCGTCATCAATGCATCGTCTGCATGCCGGCAACGGTGGACAGCTGCGTGTCATTCACGAGTGCCGAGCACGAGTATTCAAGTTCGCTGATGTGCCGCTTATAGCACATTTCTCCAATGCTAACTTTCGTTTGTCCCCAGCACCTCTGCAGTCGTGTTTCCACTTTTCCGTCGCGCGCTCGTGAGTATCCCATAGTCCAAGGCGCACGTCTGCAGGTCGCGTTTACCACTGCTCCGGATCGGACCGACGTACTTCGGTGATGCCCTGCTCGGAACAAAAAATAGCTTGTTTGCGTTCAAAATGAGCTCTACTGAATCGTTGCGGATAAACGCGAACAAGCTGGTCGCTCATGCCCCTCTTCCGCGTCCAAGAGACGAGATGCGCTGGCGCAAAGGCCTTGCGGGACTTTCTTTCTTGGAGACCACAGTCGCTCAGGTAACGCTGCGCTTGGTCGTCGAACATCGCTGCGGAATAATATGTTTTCCAACGAGTCGTGACGCCTACTCGATGCAACGGGGCCGGGGCAAGCCACATCAAAAACAGCCTCGGTTTGCATCACGGTGCAAGTGCTTGGTGAAGCAGAAGCGAGCGCCTTTCGGATTCTTCCAGGCTACGGGATGCATGCGGGGCTGCACCCAGTTTTCGCCGTCATGAGGCATATTAAACAAGCGGGCAAATCCGCATCTCGTGGCCTGGTTCAGGATGGGTCGGTGGCACCCAGGACTGCTCTTGTACGGGCATAGATTCCGGTATCTCGCACTCGCGCTCATCCAAATACAAGATCACTTCACCGCCAGCAGCGCGCTGGAAAAAAAGCAATCAGCTCTTGTGCTCGCTCTCGTAAACTGAAAATCATGAGCATGCACGTAATGATTCCTCCGGCGGTTTCAGCGATGACGGTGATGGCACTCGCAGGAGAGCCCCCCTTGGATCGTGCACCTCTTGCTATCACGCGAACTGAACGTTTCGCTTGCATTGATAGGATTCCTCGCCGCCAAGTATGCCGAGCTGTCCAGTGAATGCAGCTGGCATGTGTAAGATGAACCGCTTCGATATGAGCTTGACTGCGATGCACCTGCGTCGCCGCGCAGCAAGCTTGTTCACAGCGCGTACATCAGAATCGCTGGCCGTGTCGTGCGCGCGCTCCGAATATGTGGCATCTTTCTGCAGCATAGCTGACCTCGTTGGGCGTCTGGTGCACTAGTCAATATTGTGCACAAGATGCTGCGCATCGTGTTGTGCGCCATGCCATGTTCTCTCGTCCAACGCAGTGCATCATGTCTTCGATGACGATCTATGCTACTTTGAGGCGTTCGCAGCTTGCATTTGTGAAACGAGCTTCGAGCGAACAAACTGCCGAAAAGCAACCATTTCATCGTCGGTGACCGGTGTCCCAATTCGTTGCGAAACTTGTGCCCGCAGCTGGTTCATGGTCAAGGAATGAAGTCGGTCTTTGGCGTCTTGCAGGATCGTCTCCAGTGCTTCCGTCACCTGAGCCCGCAGCGTCCGAGTTGATGATTTCTCTTGCGCTCGCTCGCCACTAGGCGAACGAGCTGCTTTCGGTGCTGCCACTGCGCGGACCGTTGAGGAAGCCGATGGTGTCCGCTTCACTCGAGGCGCATGAGAGACAAAGTCCGCATCGGATGACGCATCCGACGGTACGGAGTCGGAGTCATCCAGCGAAGCCTCGGAAGCTGCCGACGATTCGTCAGAGAGCGTATTCGCAGCTGCATGCATGGAATGGGAGTCCTTGGACTGTCTCGGGCACGGATGCGGGCGCTGTCGTCGTTTCGACGCGGTGGATCCTTTCGATGGAGTCGCACGGCGTTTGCGTCTACGCTGCGCTGCTGCAGCGAGATCGCGCCGTCCAGGCCAGATAAACGGATGCTCTAGGAAGCGCATGATACGCTGCGTTAGATCTTCTTTTGCCCCCGTTAGAGGCAGGTCGAGCACGTTGCATATTGGTTTCAATTCGTCCATCCGCAGGCGCATGAGTCGCTGACGCATTCGTTGTCTGCGTGCATCCGCCACCGACGGTGGCTCGTCAGCGGGGACTCCAGCCCATTGCCGGAGGCTCTGCTTTACTTTGAGATGCGTACCGGGTCTCCAAAAAAGCAAAGAGTGGATTGTTTTCAGAGTGGCATCTTTCCCCGAGAACTTGTTCGTGATCATGTAGTTGATATTCGGTATTTCGCCTAAAGGAACTGGCGGACCTGTGGGCACTGGATCCAATTCACGATGAACGTCTTGTTTCCGGGGTTGTTCCGCGTCGTCTAGGTCTGACAAACGCTGAACTCTGGGCGAGACTTTCTCAGCGTCCACGTTATCGTCGACCCGGAACGTGTCGTCTGCTGTTCCAGTGTCGACGAGAACCACGTCTGTCGGGGCACGAAGAACCGCAGCGTTCATATTCGCAGGTCTCGACAGCGCTGCAGGTCTCAGTGTTGCTATCTCGACGCCAGGCACCAGTCCCGCTATGCACAACGCGTGCCGCCGCTTGCCTAGACGGAGCTCCCCGACTACCACGCCGCACCACAGTCACGGCAAGCTGCAAGTCGTGGAACTATTGAGTTCGTGTCTAGAGATCTTGAGTCAGCGTTTCAAGCGCACACTCGCCGGCAAGTTGCGGCGTGTACGGCTCCCTGGCGCTCTACGGAACGTCGCACGCGCGAGGTCACCTACCTCAGTGGCGCGAGCGGCAAGCGGCGATTTCGAATTTTATTTTTGATGAAAAAAGTTTACACTGGTCAGCGATCCCAGATTGCGAAATGGGTATTGGCTTTCTGGGCAGCAGCCATCATGATGCACCCTACCATCAGGTTCCATTATCCATACTTCATTTCGGATGTGCGGGTCGTTTCTTATGTTCTATTGTGCACTGAGTGTCTGATTTGAGCACCCGTCATAGCACCTGTACCGCTGGTGCGGATGCATCATAGAGAATGAACGGCTTTTCCACACCACTAAGGACGTCGGCTCCGGGAATGCTACACCTGATACTGGGTCGGGACATATTGTCATTCTGGGAACCAGAAAGTTGTGTTGATAGACGAACTGCCTGCGCCAGCGCGAAGCGATATTCTGAGAGTCTACCACGGCCAGGGTGACGCCCGCGGACGCAGCCTAACAGCCGCTTATCCCAGAATAAACAGCGTTGCGGGCGAGCCGCTCAGATGTCACCACAGCACCCGCCACTGCAGAGTCGCACGGAGCGCAAACCGGGCACACTCGTCTGGCTCGCAGGACCTTCCACCTAAAAGGTAAACTCTCGGCAATGAGGAAAGCTTTTCTCCCTTTGAATTTGCACCATAGACGATGACAACAATGCTATCTCATTGCTAGTTTGCGGTTCGTTGCTTTCCTTTTTCTATAGCGCGGTCGATATGCGCATCTCGGGATCAGGAAGGCAGGAGACACGACGCGCCTCTCGCCGTTCAAGAGAAACGTGATCCTGATGATTAGCGTGCCGCTCTAACGTACGTGCTGTAACGATGTTACAGTCATAGCCAAATACGGTGTTTGACCTCAGTTGAGTTTCAACCTTCACATTACTGTATTCCAGTGAGGTTTCTTGGTTCATGGCAGATGCTTTCAAATTGAATTCTTTTTGAAACATAAAAAATAAACGTATGGGTATAGAGGCGGAGGATTCTGGAGGACCAGTATCTCCGGTTGCCGGAGAAAAACGAAAAACAGTGCCGAGTTCAGAGTAAAAGGAGAAGACGAAGAAGCAAAGGGCGGAGGCCCGACGTCAAATGCTGCAAGAAAGACGACAGTACGACGAGATTGTACTGACAGCTTTTCTTCGACGCGGTATCAAGGATCCCTTCAAGCAAAAGTTGCGAGAGGCCACCAGACACCTTGTCGCGTCGTACTCCAGCAGTGTTCGTAACGCTTCTTCAGGAATAATGCATTTGGTGAAGGAGACGTGCCACGACGTAGCGGACAACAAAACATTAGAGGCTCTGGAAGAATTTTTCAACAAGGCCATTATCCGGCACTTGATGCTTGGCACCGGGCAAACGTCGAGCGTAAACGATCGAGTACATACCCTACAGGAAAATCACGCCGAATACCGCTTCACGGTGCTCGACACAGGAATGACTCGGATATGCACACTTACGATGCAATCAAGTACCTCACGAATCTGAAGAACCATATGACCATGAACCTGGAGCGTTTCATGAAACGCTCCATATTTGCGCTCTACCCAGGCATCTCTCGCAGAGGAAAATAAGCGATTATCAATGGCATCATGAACGATCGCCTGCATGAACAGGAGATCGAATCTGTCGACGAGAAGACATCACGCAGGAGCATGAATGAGGCTTCCGTCATCCGTGCGGCTATTCAAGAGCATCGTGCGGTCTTGGGGCTGGCGAATCCAGCAGAAAAGATATCAGAGATGAAAAAAGATGTTATTCCCTCATCTTGCGGTATTTCGTGTTTTCGGACCGATAACTCGAACGCATGGCGGAGATTCAGCTGGATGCGGAAGAAAATGAAGATTCGGAGAGACAGAAGGCTTTCCTACTGGGGAAGCGCTTCAACGTCGTGCTGCTGTGCAACATCACGTCCTACTTTGAGCCAATCGATTCCAGCGCCGTTCACGGCAACATAGAGGAGATCAGCCTTGAGCTCGACGTCCATAAGAAGGAGTTCAGCAATGTGACGAGCCGATGCGCGAGCTTTCGAGCCTTTCTAGAGTTCCTGGCAACTCAAGCTGCTCATTTCGAGGAGCTGTGGAAACTGTACACAAAGCCCGGCGGGCTCGTCAGCGAATGAGGCTGTGCTGCAGGAAGAAGCATGCATTCGTGAACTTCTTCAATCAGTTGAGCGTCTTTAAGGAAGACAAGAGTCAAATGCTCCTAATAGCATACGGAGCATGGCGCTGGGTGCCTCAGAAAGGGAGCACACCGGCTCCGTCGACACTAGCGCACGAGCAGTGCGCACAGCGTTTTGACACGGTCCCCATAGATGCGTTCCGAAAGACATACGTGCACCATGAGCTGCGATGTACACTTCAGAAAGTCGGGATGGAAACGGGCCAGTCTATCGCTCAGGGGATAGAAAAGTACGAAGAGCTGAAGCGCATCAAACGGCAAAGAGTGCTCGAGTTCGAGAACTCCTTGCACTGGCGCGTTCATCCAGCGGCAGGAAACGTACGGAGTTCGTGAACGGGGACGTCAACGCCGCAGTCAATATCAGGAAATGTGCGATACCGCAGAGGAGACCTCCAAGCCTGTCATGAACCAACTTTGTGGACCGACCTCGTAGGCTCGAACTGCACAAGTAGAAGTTGAAACGAGTAGTAGGTCGCCGTTCGAGAACCACTGGGAAGCGTCTGCACGTCGGTGTATGAACATACACCCGATCATGGTCATGCACTCAAACGCGATGAATACCTCGTGCATGGGCAATCGCTCTTCAGGTGAGTATCTGAAGCAAGCGCGGAGCACGGCGTTTCTCCATCCATTTCGTAGTGATTGTTTACGCTGGTGCGAGAGCATGGATACGGAATGCTCACAAGCGGCCTTTTCAAGGTGTATCTCGTCGTGCCTTTTGACGCTGTCACCAGAGCATGGTCTGCTGTTCCCGAGACTGGCCTCTTCAACGCACGTACGTCCAGCTTCGTCATTCGATGCTTCATCGCTAGGCGCATGTGAGCGGGCACGACTTCAGTCGATGTGCTCCAAGGAACGCCTGGATCGCCTGCTGCGATCACATGATGGCCATCGATCATAGTTTCGCTCGAAACGAACCGAAATTTCACCAAAATCGCTCGTTCAACGACCGATTCAATGATTCCTCCTAACTATTGCCATGGTTGCCTTTTATCTACGAGCACGCACATTAAAAAGCATGCCAGAGCATGTGGCGGTGCACAGCACAGTTGCCTGGTGCGTGAGGTTGCGCGGCCGCCTCCTAGTGCCCAGCCGACACCTGCTGCCGTGCATCAGTCGACGAGGAAATCTTTGTTTCCGGTTTCCCGCTGCCTTTTGGTGCACCAGACGCGGCCAATTGTCGTTCGTGGGCCAAATAGGCCTTCTGCGCGGCCATAACGTCCTCTTCTTTTCCAAGAAGACCGAGACTGCTCAAATAGTCTTCGCTGCGTTCCTCCCAGAGCAGAGCCGCCATTTGCTCCGCATCCAATTGGTCTGGCGTCTTACCGCATTCTGTGGCATGCATTTTGGCAAGCTCGACGTACTGACTACATTGGACAGCGAACTGCTGCTTCTCTTCGGCAGAAACAAGGCGCACGAAGCGCGCAGGCGTACCCAACCACAACTGGCCGGCACCGACAACAGTGCCCGGCGGCAGAACACTCCCCGCTCCGATCACTGCACCGCTTTCGACTCTGCTCCCGTCTAGAACAATGGCGCCCATACCAACAACCGCCTGGTCCTCAACAGCACACGCATGAAGAATAGCTCCGTGCCCAATCGTTACCTCGTTGCCAATGAAAGTGGGTAACGCTCTCTCGAGCTTACCGCCTCCAGAGGCGACGTGAATCACGGCACGATCCTGTACGTTGGTTCGCTCACCGATGACCACCTTGTTGACGTCGCCTCGAATGACGGCGCCATACCAGACAGAGCTCGCAGCACCGATAGCGACGTCACCGATTATAGCAGCATTCGGAGCTATAAACTGGACCTGCGGAGAAATTATGGGTTTTCGATCAACCAGGTTCATGATTTGGCGGTGTCGGGACAAGTAAAGCGCTTCTCGATAAGCAAAGTTGCCTTGCAAAAAGCAGCCCGCTCGATCGAGTGCCTGTCCCGTCTCCCGTGCCAGGTACCCGAGGTGATAAAGAAACCGCCGAAACACGGACATTATGCGATAGCCGTTAGCGACCTCTGCCCGATAGGAGCTAGAGTTCGGCGCGTCTTGCACGTTTGTATGGTCGCTGTTTTCAGTGCGACCAGTACGCTCCTGGTACCGTGTCGTTACGTATAAGCGTACGACTGCGCAGCCTGCGATAATGCCGCTCGTATCGGAACACAACCGGGCGTGTAGCATGCGCGCCCCGCACCGATCGCCTCTTCAGGGGCGTTCCAACTGGAATGCAATCTTTGAACCTATTTGTTCAGAAAAGTCCCATGCGCCCAACAAGCGCACGCCACGCGGAAAGCATTCTTGTTCGTAATTGTCCAGAATCGTCCCGTGCAAACATGACGGTGTCTGCGTCTTCCTGTGCGTCCGATCGATGCAGCGAACGTGCATCGCCTGTGTATACGATTCCGAACGAGCGCGTGGTAAACTCCACCGTCCATACATGACGCATCCACATGGTCTCCCGGTAGCTAGATCGGGTTCCGGGGCGAAACGTACGATCTATGCGACGGGCTTCAGTGTCAGTGGTGGGCATCTCTCTCCGCAGACCTCTCGGAACGCGCGTCATACAGAGGCGCTGCAGCTGTTCCGCCTGGCTTCCACTCGGCGTCACGTTCGGGTAGCTGTGCGACATCCGTTCGCTACCCCGAGCATCGGGTCACGGTGCCACGCGCTCACTCAGGATTCACATGATCTCTGCCAGTGAGTGTTTCGCCCGCTGAAACAATCACGAGTACCGAGTCATCATCGGTTTCAATGGCAGTGGCAGCATGCAGTGGTTGTGTTCCCGACACGCTTCTAGCAAGCGCTGGGCGCACCATTTCCTCCTTCGTGACCACCTCCGACTCATCCCTCGCGCTCGATGTCCGTGCGATGCACAGTGGTGGATTTCTGGTTCGCATGGGATTGTGGCGAATGCGAACCAAGACCGATGCATCTCTCGTCGAACAGGCACCGCTCATTGGATGAGATTCCTCGGAAGCGTGACGGACGTCCATACTCCATTGATTTCCATGACAGGCGACTTGAGGACGCATCATGCATCGACATGAAACTCGTACGCTTCCAGCAGCGGCAAGTACACAATCCGATCGTGCGCTGAATGCTCGGGCGTAGACGGAATCACGGTGGCGAAGCAGCATCCCTGGCGCACGGCTTCCAGTCGCAACTGGGCGCAGGCGCTCTGCGATCCAGGATAACCATGACAGAGACAAGTATGCTTTTTGTCCAGTGTTCGGAAACCACGACAGGACTCTCGAATATCGAACGCCGAAAACCTCGCTGGGAGTACCAGCAACCGGCTACTCGCTCTGGAAAGGGAACCCTTGCAAGACTTATCGATGGCGGTCTCTTGCGAGCCCAGCACGTTGTGCTCAGGAGCCCCGGCTGGCGCTTCTCGGCCGCATTTCAGGCCAGCGAGCTCGGTGACAATCCGACGGACGTGGCGGACGTGTACCGTGCAGATCGTCTACGAAAACATATATCCATATTCTCAAGTTTATGAACAGCGTTTCGAATCATGACAGGTCGCTCAGAAGCGACCCACTGAGCTTCGCGTTTCAAAACTCGTCAAGATCCCGTCAACGTCTATGATATTTGCCCCAATCCGAATAACTCCAATGCTCCGCTTTGCGAACATGAGCACACATTCGCATACTCCGACAGGCGCACGACCGTACCAGGCACTCATCGACTGGGCGTGTCATCGCTGCACAATCGTTGATGCGTACTCGCGCGTTATTCGTTCCAAGGAGATGCTCACCGATGCGCATGATGATCGCCGCGTCATCAACCGGTTTCCACTTGATCCGTCAGGCTGCTCGCATGCAAACAAAAAAAAGAACAGGTCTATGTACCCATCGAAATCGCCCTACCCCGCTAATCATAGTCAAAGTCATCACTGAGACCGATTGGTCCGGTGGCACGGCTACCGAACCCGCCGTCATAGTCAAAATCCACATCAACATCTTCGTCCAAACTATCCAACCGATAGTCATCGCTGTCATCATCCAGTACCTCGTCTGCGTCGTAGTCCGTTGTATCGTCCTCGAATGCAGTGTCATCATACTCGGAATCCACGTCCAGATCGCCTTCGTCGATCATGTCATCGATTTCGAGATCACCATCCACAAGAGACTCGTCTTCAAGCAAGGTGGGTTCGTCGGGATCGACGTCCGGTAGCTCATGGATCGAAACATCGTCTCCAAATGCGACATCCTCTACATCGTCAAAGAGCGCCTCGCTGTCGTCACGTTCCCGGCGACGTCGACCAGCTTTCGAGGCCCGAGCGGGTTCGGTGCCCTCCACCGGCGCTCTGATGCCGCGCTGACCTCGCTTGGATTTCGTACCCGTTGCGTCGCTGGGCGCTCGCTTGTCTCGAACTCTCAACAGGCCGTCTTCCTGGAGCATATCGAGGATGGATGGCTCGAGCTCCACGATATGGTACACGCGCTCATCATAGTCATACTCCTCGACAGTTGGCATGTCCAACTCCGCCTTCAGCACATCCGAAAGCGGGTAGTTTTCTGGGTAAAGTCCGCGCGGACAGACGGGCCAGTCCTCGTCGCTGTCCCGCTCCCAGCGATATGTAAAGTCCTGCTCCTCGACAGGTTCACGGAGCTCTCCAAAAATCGAGACCTGAAACTGCTCCAACGGTTTTAGCACCGGTTGCTCTATCCCAAACTGATTCTTTTCCATCTGGGGCTCGTTTCGAATACGCGCGGGTCCGTAGGGGTCGCTGTCCAGCTCGGCGTACTTCTTGGCGATGGGGTCACCCGGTGGCGGCCGCAACGCCACCACGCAACCACGTCCACTGGAGCGCGGTCTCCGCTGCCCCAAGTGCAGACGTCGCCGACGCTCAAGTTTCTGCCAAGAAAGACTAGGCCGCGCAGCGTGCAGCAAACCGAGAACGAACATCAGCTTGGCTAGCTCACAAGCAGTGCTGAGAAGGAACTTCAGGAACAGATCTCAGCAGTTGGAGTATTCACGCGATGAAGGCAGCGGTTGTCCATCGCGCCGGCGGTGCAGCGGCGGCGGTGGCGGCGGCGGCGGATGATTGTGTACACTGGATGCACTTTGCTTGGGTGTTTGAAATGCCATACACCCATAGTAGGGGAAAACGAATAGAGAATTCCATGTCGGGCATGGATACTAGTATATTGGTCTTCTCCCAGGTTTATCAGCGGTGGCGTTTGCTGGCCTTCCGTGTGATTGCCTGCTTTTCTTTTCTCGTATCTCCAGATTGAAAGACTTTGGTCACGCATCTCCCTCGAGTACCGTTTTCCGCAGTCGACGGAGGTTGATGGCAGCGTTCAAGTCCCGATGACTCGGCTTCCCGGTGTCAGCGACGCATTTGGAGCAAAGGTGGGGAATGCGATCTACGAATCGCTTCTCATGCTCACCTGCTTTGAATACAACATCGTTACGCTTGTCGCGGCGTTCACATTTTGACTGTGATCAGGTGTTTCAAGATGTCTATTGAACCTTTTTCTCCTGCTCCCAGGGTTGCCTTGTAGCGCATGCACGCTGGCTTCTTCCCTTGGTACTTGCTCTTGACTGGAAGCAGAGGCTCCCCCCAGGGATGTGCTCGTCCGTTTCCGCGCCCAACTGGGTAAAAACTACGATCGCAGGCATTTTCTGTACGCGAACTGTTCAGCAAGGTCTCTGTTCTGTCTGGATGCGCAATCGTACGCTGTTCCATTCGACTGGGGGTTCATGGAACACCATGTTGCCCATGATGAACCAAGAACCGGAAGGAATGTCCAGACTAGAGAACAAGTCGACAGGTCCTGACCCGTTTACGCTCCCTTCTTGCCACGCACTGACGCACGCTTCACAGTATACGGTCGCTGCGATGGCTCCAGTTCTAGCTCGAAACCTTTTCGCATGCAAACGGACGAGACGGGAGCCTCTGGATACAAATGATGTGAGCAGCATCATATGTGTATCGAACGGCCTCTCGCTGATGGCCACAAATAAAGCAGGATTTTCCCTCCGAACGGGAAGGATTCCCTACAGTCAACATTTCCGTGAAGGTTCCGCATGAGCTGGTGAGCAAGTCGTAGTCGGACGACGTGAAGTTTCTCTCGCCCTGGAATCAGCGGCGCGCATTGCTGTGCCCCGAGCGGCCTTGAAACAGGAACATCGAAAACTTGAAGAATGCGTGACTTGAGCATGCTCCACGTAAAGAAAAGAAGAAGCTTAGAGGCATGCACTGATGCACGGCATAACGGTACCTGTTATTTTGAGAACTCTTGCTGGAGCGCGTCGCGAATCATCTTCAGTACGATAACAAAGCGAAATCCAGATGGCAACGAGTCAAAGGAGCGACTCCGAAAAACGACCGATAATCATAAAACTACGTATGCATCCGTAAGCCGTCATTGCTGTATCTCGAATTCCGATGCAGTGCGTTCGAAACATGGTCGGAAACATCGGAATGCAGGAACAGAGCAAGCATTTCCGTGTCTGATTTCAGTTACTGACACAGTCATAGCATGTCTGAAGGAGCTGGGATCGATAAACCTGATCATGCTGCCTTGTGTACGCGAATGCTGCTACGAACCAGCTCATACACCTGAACTCTTTCGCGAGCAACAGGTTAACGCTGCCCTCAAGGACGCCATCCGACGTGTCTGCGCTCAGGGCTGTAGCGCCGCTGCAGCATCCGCACTAAAACCCTAGTCCTGCGTTTGTATGTGGCGACAGGTGCTGCTCTGTGGACTGATCTTCGAACTAGTACGAAATCTGGCGCTCTGGTTCGCCTTCCACCAACCCAGATCGGAGCTCGATGCGCACTCGCTGCCAACAAGTTTGTTACAACGTGGAGCGCGTTCCGCCCGTTTCCGTTTGCACGTTTGGCGGCACCGAACGGCGGGCGTCGTCTCCAAGCAGTACACGGAACACGTCTTAGAAGTGCGCTCACCGTTCTGCTTTAACTCGACCAACGCAGTGCTCTTTATCGAAGCGAGTGGTTCCCAGAGGTCCGTGGACCCCGACGCAACGCACCGTGTGCAGAGCTTCCTCCAGCAAAAGCGCGTTCGAGTCGAGCGGGTCACGTCGCTGGAACCCGTACGACGCGCGATTCCCAACCTGACAAATGAGACGCTTGTCCTCAACTGGTTCTCCAGGGCTGCCTACTTTAACCCGGCACATTTCGCCGGAGAATGGCTCGCGAACTGGGGCCTTCCCCGGCAGTTTGGCGCCTCGGAGGGAAAGCGCCACGCTCCGGTGGTGCTCTGGTGGCCAGCGCACGCCCAGCACGCAACCAGTCCGTTATACGCCTGCGGCACTGAACGCGATAACCAAAGCATATTCTGTGTATATCTGCATGCAATGGTGACTGCGTATTCGAGGCAACAAGGCCGGGAGCTTCCGTTCCGGCGCAACACGGTGCTGTGCGGCTCTCGGCTGCTCCTGCCTGGACTCTTGAAAAGTCGTTTCTTTCGTTCACCAGCTGATGCAATGGCATGGCGCGCAGCTGTACTCGATCATCTGGGTATGAAGAGCGCACCAGCCCAGCGGACTATGCTCCCAGCGGATACCAGCGGTCGTGACCAGTGCAGGGCGGTCCCTTCGATAATGCCGCTGTGGCACCGACCGTCGCCACGGCTGCAGGTGACGTACCTTCGCAGAGGTGCGGAGAAGCGCTCGCAAGCCGCATGTCGTCGTCGATGCCTTGCGAACGAGGATGCTGTGGTTGCATTACTCCGCCGCTATCGCGAGGCCTACGCCTACGACTTTACCATTGTAGAGGCGAGCGCGAACGATACCACGCGCAGCAGTGTTCAACGGCTGGTAGAGATGATTCAGCGAACGCATGTACTGATATCCGTTCATGGTGCCCAGCTCGTCTACGCTAGTTTACTACCACCGTGGCGATCAGCGCTGATCGAGCTCTTTCCCTACGGATTCCAGCACGACATGTACGCTCATGCTGGCGGAGCTCCGGTCCATTACTTCTCCGTAGAGGGTGATTCGCCTCCGATACCGTCGTCACCATTACCTTTCTGGGAGCGCGAAACCGATGACATGGATGCTGCGGACCTGGATTTTGCGGCAGCGACGGCGACTGCGCACTATCCCGATTCCCAGACCAGCAGTCGTGTGTATCTCCGGGATCAGGCAGTTCAGGTACCGCTGCGTCCGCTGCGTCGTGCGCTCCAAGTAGCGCTGGCGACCCTGCGTGATCAGGCCTGCACTGAGTCATAGGGAGCATGACCTCCAGAAGTGTACGAATGAAACCGCCGCCAAGGTCTGCAGTCGTTCACAGGGCACGCCCGGAGCGATGTCGTGCTGGATTCTGCTACTGCTACTGCTGCTGCTGCTGCTGCCTCGGATTTGATGGGTCCTTTCGATGGAGGTGCGCGCTTCTGCCAGCGTCATCGCCGCTGCATGCAACCACAAAACACGTGGAGCTGGCGCTCTGCACGTTTCTGGGGTTTGCACCAGTCCGCGCCTCATTACCGAGGCAAGGGATACGCTGCCTCAAGCAATGCTCCATTCGAATCGATAAGCTGTGAGGCGGCTGCACTCCCGCCTGTGGTGCGATTCTCTATCACTGGAGAGAAAATACGCAGCCGTAATGTCCCAGTGGCTAGCGCTTATAGAGCACGAAGCAAGCGTCTGCACCGCGTCGTTGAGAACGCAGACTCGTACACAGGCGAGGCGTCTCGTGCGCGCCTCGCTGTGAGTTTCCGCCTCAACCGACGCCGGTGACAAAGTCCTTTGCCCACGTTCGGCGATGCTTGGCACTCGGCGCATTTGCCAACACCATACGCCGTCTTCGCGGGAACTGAATGAAGCTCGAGGTATCATGTCGTGTGAAGGCGTTGCGAGTCTGGTATGCGTTTGGGAACGGCGGAGGCACGCTGTGTAAGTCGCCGTATGCAACGTACGCCTAGAGGCACGCGTTTAGCGAGCTATCGCAGACGCGTTCCGATACCCTCGCGTTCATCCGCAGTACTCCATCACTGGTGCCAGCAGAGCGACGTGGCAATCCCAAATGAAAAGTGGCTTTCAAGTGAATGCCCTGACGATTACGCCAAGGTCGTTCTGTCTCGGTGCAGAGACCGTAGCGGCATATCTAGCGTTGCAGTGAGCACATGCACGAGACCGCACACCCGTAAGCCGCTCGCTCGTGCGATGGATGGATAGATGGATAGATGGATGCCAGCCCCGTTCCCGACGAGAAGACTGGCCTAGCGCTGACTGAGCATGGAAGCGTCTCGATAGATACGAGGGCCTCCTCTCTGGTTACCGATGACCGGTGCGCACTCTCTCGTGTATTCGAGGCTGGCGAAACTTGCTCTGTGCGATTGAGTGTTCACCACTCACCCATGGATGCGAGTTGTTCCGTATCGCAAGGGCAAGCACGTTCGCATACACCCGAGGTTGGCGCTGCAGTGCTCACCGGCGAGACGCCGCAAACTTGGGAAATACGTCAAACCTTATTCTGGATGCAAGTCACGGTGCCGCGGAGCGCCGCTGTCCTGTTAGACGGGCGGCGAGTTCGAGCGCCCTGCGCGATGCTCCTTCCTTGTATTCCAGTAGATCGTAGTATTTTGTAGGCAGCTCGAAGAGCCACTTCGGTTCAATCTGGCTCACTGTTCTAATATAGCTCCCGGTTGTAAGTACAAACTCGTGGAATACTACCCACGAAGGTCGATGGCGAATGACGCTGCTGGGATGAAGGCCAACGAGCTGTTCATCCCGAATCGTCAAGTAATCCCGTCGTCGCATCCAGAATGCAGTTTGCGAGAAGAACCCTTCCAACACACAGCGACGCAGTCGTATCCAACGGTCCGGAGCGCGCCTACCCGGCGAGCAGATACGTAGACCCATTCGTTGCATCATGAGCTCCAGCTGTCGGCGGATGTTCACCGCGTGCATGAGCGCTCGATCATTCAAATAGTTCTCCGCACACCATTGGCGATCGCAGCCGTGGTCCATGAAGGCCTCAAAGACGCGCACCAAAGTGGCGTGATCGCTGTCGGATACAACGAAACGCTGCTTTCGAGCGTCGGCCTCGTCTGCTTGCTGACGTGGACGCAAGAAAACGTTTGGGACGGAGAGCATGGCGGCCAGTGTGATTGCTTCGTTACTCGATCCGTGACGTGGCGACTCAAGCAGCATTCGAGCGATCTGTATATCGAGTGGAAATTCTGCCATCTGGCGTCCCAGTTGTGTCAGTTCGACTTCTTCGTCGACGGCGCCCAGATAGAAGAGCATCTCCAAAGCCCGGATCATGGTGTCTGGCGCCGGCGGGTCCATGAAATCAAAGTGAATAAGATCATGAATACCGAGTTTCTTCAAAGTGAGTACGACGTTGCAGAGATTGGAACGAAGGATTTCGGGATGTGAGCGCGCCGGCAGCTCTGTTCGGAAAGCCTCCTCTGTATACAGACGATAACAAATACCGGGACGGGTTCGGCCTGCGCGACCTGCCCTCTGTCTTGCACTGTCTTGGCTGATTGGCGAAACCAAAAGCGATTCCACGCGAGTGCTCGGGTTGTAAATTTTGACCTTGGCAAAGCCTGGATCAATCACATAGGTAATCCCGTCGATAGTGATCGAGGTCTCCGCTACGTTTGTTGCGACGATGACTTTGCGGGCCTCCGGTGGGCGTGGCGGCTCGAAGACCCGCTCCTGTACGGACATGGGCAACGCCGAATACAGCGGCAGCACTTGCAACGGCGCTCCGTGTTTTCGCGCCGTCGCTCGTGAGTAGTGACGCAGGCGGCTACACATATCCTCTATCTCTTCTTCACCGGTGAGGAAGATCAGCACATCCCCAGCCGGTTCGTTTTCATGAATTTGGCGTACCTGCTGCTCCACTGCGAACAGATAGTCGAAGACAGGACGCTCTGCAAAGCGAATATCCACGGGATGCATTCTACCGCTTACATTCAGCAACGGAGCATGGTCAAAGTAGGTGCAAAAATGATCACGTTCCAGGGTTGCGCTCATCACGACCATATGCAGTTCGGGGCGCTGCTTCAGAATACCCTTGAGAAGACCCATGAGCACATCCGTGCTCAGTGTACGTTCATGGGCCTCGTCTAAAATGATACAGTCGTAGCGCGAGAGCCTATCATCTTGGAACGCCTCGCGCAGCAGCATGCCGTCCGTCACATACTTGAGTCGCGTCAGTTTCGGATGCGAAACGTCTTCAAAGCGAATGGTGTAGCCGACCAGCTCGCCAAGCCGCACATCCATCTCATGCGCCACCCGAGTCGCAACGCTTACTGCAGCTATGCGTCGTGGCTGGGTACAAGCAATACGCTGAAACCCCGCCTCGAGGAGGAGCCTCGGTACCTGGGTTGTCTTCCCTGAGCCGGTCTCTCCCTGTAGGACAACGACGCGGTTTCGCTTAACGATTTCGACGATTCTTTCACGCTCCTGGAACACCGGAAGCGCCCGTCGCTTCTCCTCGAGCTGGTAATAGAGGCTCGAAAACGGTTTACCTGTCCAGGGATTGCAGGGGCCTGCGGGCCCGCCGTTTGTCTCGCGGCAGCGACTCGGCCTAGCAGAGGTTTCCATCGACTCCAGCTCGTGAGCGATAGTTCGCTTCGAATTAGGCGGTGGCGATTTCGCTGTCGACACTTGGATCTTGTGGGAGTCTTCGCTTGGTACATGCGTCATATGCGTGAATGCTTCCACGAAAATCGTGCAGTGTGGTAGCAACTTCGAGAATGCGTACGCAGCGCTCAGCTTGAACAGTCGTTTACGTCAAGCTGTGGGAAATAGTACACCTTGCTTCCGAAGAGCCCCCTACAGTTCGATGCTAGGTTTCTTGCGGGCCACAACGACGAAACGGGAAAGCGATGATGCCGTGCGGCAAAGCGGCGAGTAGCCTTTGAATTTCTCCCCAGAGCCGACGCCTGCGAATTCCAAGCCAGGCTGGCGTGTCGCAAAGAACGAGGTTCAAAGTTGGTATGTCAATCGCAAAGTTGCTGCACAATGCCTCTGTTCCGTGGGATAATTCTCGTGTGGTCTCAGTGAAAAGTGGTAGCGTCTATGGAGGAGGCAAATTCTCCTGCCTGAGACCTGATGGCGCTCGCAAGGCAGCGGAATCGGCTCCGCTTCGTTGATCCAATGCCATGAGAAGTACGCCCAATGAGCGGAACTGGTCATCAGTAGCCGCAGTGACCCACCTTATCCGCGTGCGTCAAATTGCATGCCTGTGAGCAGTGTAACATTGCCAATACTGGTCCAATACCCGTCGGAAAAGCGGATCCATCTCATGTCTTTCGTGCGCTTGCATTCAGTAGCCATAGGAATACATGTTACATCCCTCGATGCTGTATGGTAGAAACGGATTCGTCCTGTATGGACGTTGTCTCAGCAACTGACGTGTACTTGGGGATATGTACGATTCCGGGTGCGGCATTCGCACCTGATGGCATCTCCATGTGCTCCTTTACTCCTGCATTCCACGTTTCACTATTCAATCTTGCATTCATTCTTCCCGATTCTCGGTAATATGTTGCTATCGATAAATTTAAAAGATGCATGTTGTTCTGGCATAAGCTGCCGTCGATACCATCTTTCCTGCATATGGGAGTGCAATGGTTACGATATTCGTGTTTCCGGGGCCCGCGCCAACGACAATGTCGTTCTCATGCACTTTCTGTGTCGCTGGATCCTCCCCCTTCCCATCTTCATGCTTCGTCACGGGCAATGTCGAGGACGGAAGTGGACGGTCCGCATTCAACCGCCGGTAGTGGACACTCACATGGATACGCCATCGGTTTCGATGATCCCAGTGAATACCTTTTGCTTGCTCGTATTGAGACGTTTAAATTCGAAGATATTCTTCCTGTACTTCTCCCGGTTTTCACCCGTAAATTCCTTGCTGCCTACATCGAACTCCAGACTGAGCTCCCTCATGGTGCCTTAGTGGACGCTGGAATCGATTGTCACAAAATGCGACTCGATCTCGCATATCGGAACGACGTTGAAGCGCTTATCCAGAAGTGCAGCCGTCGGTCTCTCCGAGTCTTCATTTTTCACCAAATCAGCTCCATCTCGGCCTTGCGTTCGAGTTCTCGCTTCAGGAACAGGAAATACCGCAGGATGAGGGGATACCATCTTTTTTCAACTCTGATATCGTTTCTGCAGGATTTGACAAGCCCCAAGACCGCACGGTGCTCTTGAACAGCCACACGGATGACAGAGGCTTCATTCTTTCTCCTGCATGGTGCCTTCTTGCCGACGAATTCGATCTCCAGTATGAACTGGAAATCGTTCGTGATGCCATTGATGATAGCCCATATCCCCTGGCGAGTGAGGCCCGGGTACAGCGCAAACACGGCGCCTATCATGAAACGTTCGAGGTTCATAGTCGGATGGTTCTTCAGGTTCGTGAGGTCCTTGATCGCCCCGTATTCGTAAATATCTGCGTCACCCATGTATCGAATACCGCTGAGGCAGTGCTCGGCGTAATTCTCGGGGAGGGCATGCACTCGCTCATCTGCCCTCGACGCTTCCCCGGTGCCAAGCATCAGGTGACGAAAAAGGTTTTGTTGAGAAAAATTCTTCCGGAAACTCGACTGTTTTGATGTTCGTCACGTCATGATATATCTTCTTCGCCAAATGCATTAGTCCTGAAGAAGCCTTTACAATACTCAAGGTGTGCGACTCAATACGGTTTCTGATAGCCTCTCGCAGCTTTTCCATGTACGGATCCTTCATATGTTTAAGAAGACAGGATTTCACCGCCATCTCGCCGTACAGTCGTCTTTCTTGCAGCCTTTGACGTAGGGGCTCCCTCTTTTGCTTCTTCGTCTTCTCCTGTTCCTCTTTGCTCTTCCATTTTTTGTTTTTTTTTCTGGCAGCCAGCGACATTGGGCCTCCAGGATCACCTACGTGCTTTACCATCACTTTCCGTTTTTATCTTTTTGAAAAAGAGCGCACTTCGAACGCTTCTGTTATAAATCGCGAAAAATCAGTTGAATATAATTGCTTGAGGACTGAAACACAGTTAAACTGAAAATTATACTTTGCCACGAATACAACGCACGTACAACATTAAGGGTAGACCAACAAGAAAACGTACTGTCATGCTCGCGTTTCCCTCCAACATTGAAATTCGCGTCATTCTCGTGACTGCCTGATCTCTCAGGTGCGCGCATCGAGCGCGCTATTTCGAATAAAGCACAGAGACTCTCGATTCACCAGCCAATATATGAATATATTCCTTGCCGCCCTGTACGATGAACTTGGAAAGGGGGAAACGTTCCCGTAACTTTGAAAGTTCACCTTCGAGGCGGAACGTCCCTGGAACTGTACGAGTCTGCCGAGTTTGCGCTTCGTGCGACTCTGCAGTGGCTGCTGCAGCCGCGAAACCTGAGCAGCTCGCCCGCCACGCATATTATTCTGAAACTAGGTGCAGATAGGCAGCGTCTGCACGTTTCTCAGGTCGCAATGGACTCCTAGTGGATCGCTTCGCGCTGCCGCAGGCAGTTCGTCTATTAGCACAACTTGCTGGTTCCCAGCATGCTGATCAGTCCCGAATCCGTGTCGAGTGCACCCCGCCATGATCCGACGCCCTCAGTGGTATGGCAATGCAGGTCCGGCTCTATGACACATCTGTTCCAGCGCCACAGGGGGATACGAAACAACCGGCATGCGGCGCACGATAGAACATAGGCAATGACCACTGGATCCGAGTAGAAGTATGGATAATGGAATTTGGAAGTAGGGCGCGGAGCAACGGATGCTTCACTGCGCGCGAATATAAAGCGCACTGCCGGAGAACGCAGGTCCATGGAAATGTCCTTGTCAATCTAGCAAAGAATTCGCCGTCGCCGTCGCCGCTGCCGCAGAATCACCACACATTCGCCGCAGCAGCGCCGCCAATGGCGCCGATGCTGCTGCGACGCTGCGCTCGACGGGGCACAGGTGCGCGTGACCTCGTTCCAGTCTCCATCCAGGTGTACGCTGGGGTGACGTGACGCACTTTGCGCAGGACGACCTCTACGTGAAACATCTGTGTTGTGGACAGCCTCTGCACACTTTTGAGAACCGCACTATGACAGCCAAGGTTGAATCAAAAGTTCGTGAAGAGGAAAAGGGCAGCAATCCGTCCACAGCCGCCGCGGACGACAGCGGTGCGGTTATCCCAACGCTGAAACCGCGTCCGAAACCGGCTGTGGAGCCGCTGGAGCGAGAGGGTGTTGAGTTTGACCCACAACGTGGCCTTGTATTCGAGAAGACGCGGAGTTCGAAGTGGATGAGCGAGAAGGAACTGAACGAACTGCCGCTTCTACAGCGCATCAACTGGCTCTCGACGAGCATCATCTTCACGCCGCTCATTGGAACGCTGATTGGGATCTGGTTCGTGCCTCTTCAGCGGAAAACGCTCGTACTCGCGATAGTGACCTATTTCTGTTGCGGACTTGGCATTACCGGCGGGTATCATCGCTTGTGGAGCCACCGCTCCTACGAGGCGCACTGGCTCGTACAAGTCATTCTGGCGTGTTTCGGAGCGGCGGCGTTTGAGGGTAGTGCCCGCTACTGGTGCCGTCTACACCGCGCGCACCACCGCTATGTTGACTCGGACCGCGACCCGTACGCGGTTGAGAAGGGATTCTGGTACGCGCACTTGTGGTGGATGGTCTTCAAGCTACCACGGCAGCGCCAGGGCCGTGTCGACATTACCGATTTGAACGCCAACCCGATCCTGCGGTTCCAGCATCGCTACTACCTGCAGATTGCGATTCTCTTCTCGTTTGTGATCCCGTTGACGATATCTACGCTAGGATGGGGAGACTTCTGGGGTGGCCTTGTGTACGCTTGTCTCGGGCGGATGCTGTTTGTCCAGCAATCAACATTCTGCGTCAATTCCCTCGCGCACTGGTGGGGTGAGCAAACCTTCTCACGCCGGCATACCAGCTACGACTCGGTTATCACCGCACTGGTCACACTAGGCGAGGGCTACCACAATTTCCACCATGAATTCCCGCATGACTATCGCAATGGCGTGGTGTGGTATCACTGGGACCCTACCAAGTGGGTAATCCGGCTCCTATCATGGGCTGGACTCGCGTGGCATTTGGTTCGGTTCCCGCGTAATGAACTCGTGAAGGCGCGCCTACAGGTGCGTCAGGAAATACTGGACGAGGCCAAAAAGCGGGTCGATTGGGGCAAGCCCATTGAAAGTCTGCCGGTGTGGACTTGGAAGGATGTGCAACGCCTAGCGAAGGAGGAGAACCGTCTCCTCGTCGTGATCGAGGGTATCGTACACGACTGTACGCGGTTCAAAGTCCAGCACCCTGGCGGGCAGCGCATTCTTGAGTTTTGGAACGTCCGGGACGCAACGCAAGCGTTCAACGGGGACGTTTACAACCACACCAAGGCTGCGCGCAATCTGCTCGCACATTTACGCGTTGCGCAGTTGAAAGAGATCTACGAGCCTGAGTGCGACGAGAGCACGACCGAGATGTCAACAAAGTCTTCGTGACGGTGTATATAGACGGGCGGCCATCTGGTCGGTGTACCGGATTCCTGATGAGCTAGAATGGTGAAGGGCAAGCACGGGAACCCAAACGCTCTGCACGGTTTTTTTTGTAAACGAGACGAGCTTATCGGAGCGTAGCGACGTCGGCTGGGGATCGTCGGAAGCGAGCCCCACGAGATTCGCACAACCGCACCTCTACGCGTACGTGTCGTGACGCCTCTCCAGGCTACCAGTTGACTCCGGTTTCGAGTCGGTTCCGCGGTACACCAAAGCCCCACTGACCGGAGCCGGCATACAGCGACTGCGTTCAATCGGGACGAATTCGCTACCGTCTGTACAGTCACGCTGTTGCACCGTGCACCTGTTGCGTGTCTCGTTCAGTGACTTTGCGGGTTGCTGACGGGTCAGAGGTCTCGGATTCGCCTGCTTCTTTGTCAAAGTAAATCCAGTGTAGGGTTCGGTGCCGACCGATGATACGTCAGACGAATGCATCGTAAGGTGCTCCGGTACGGTTCCTGGAGCATGGATCGCCCAGTTTTCCCAGACGTGCGGCAATGCTGCCCTCACCGGGTCCATGAAAAGAGTCCGCTGGCGAGCAAGCAACACAAATCAAGCTCACTTGGATACTTGTGTATACACGTATGTTTCTCTGGGGATGCGTTCGTACAAAACATCCAAACGCATGGCGAGGCTGCTTCGAATTCATGGACGCTCGCAGGTTCTCGACGCAACACCGCCCGAGTATTCCGTGCTGGAAAAAAGCAGCCCCGCTGCGCATCAGCCGCCGTTACGACAGCTCGCGTCACCAAGCATTCTGCGTTGTGCATGGAATACCGCAAAGTTGAACTGGAAGAATTTGCCCCCTAGGCTCGGGTGCGCATCTATGAACCCGAGTACGCCGGCAATATGTGAGCATTCGGTTTGCAGCGTCCACTGATTCTCTCGGGTGTAGCACTCTGGATCGCTCAGTGCGATTTAGGCGGGCGAACCGGTGGACCCGCTTGTCTCTCCATTCGACTTGGTGCTGATTCGAGCTCAGGTTGGACACGTCGCCAGTCAGACGGTGTGTGTTCATTTGGACGACCGTGCTTGTCGAGTTCACCGCGTTGGATCATCGCTTTTTTGCGACTCGCTACCGGGCCGAGACCCCATCGCCGCGGATACAAGTCTCGCTCCATGACTACACGCTTGATCCGGGCAACAACGCCGTGATCGCAACTGGCGATTTCCGATGTGCTCATGTGCGCTATGGCCAAGGCAACAGCCTCACCCTTGGTCGTCATGATCACCACTTCTTCCCCGCATTCAATGTCGTTTTCGTATCGCAGCACACCAGGAAGCATGAGCTTTGCACCATAGCAAACCGCGTTCACGCACGAGTCTTTGATCACAATGCGCTTGTGGTGAACTAAGAGACTTTCCAAGGGCTTGATGACTCGTCGCAGGTAAGATTCGTCCTTGGTGGTGTCGAAGAGCCACTGGGCATCAAGAACGTCGTGCATGGTGACCATACCGTCGTACTCGCTGTGAACCCCGGAGCGAACGCGGCGAAGCTCCTGCATATGACCACCGACACCAAGCAGCAGACCTAGATGCACGCATAGCGTCCGAATGTACGTTCCTGCCTCGCATGATACCCAGAAAAGCACCAGTCTTCGTTTCGGATCATATTCTAATAGTTTTGATTCATAGATGGTTCGGATCCGAAGCTGTCGCTTCACGGCACTGATCAGAGGCGGCCGCTGGTACAGCGGTCCAGTCAGCGTCTCGATCGCTCGCCGCACAGTCGCCTCGTCGAGCTCGGGACGCATACCATGCAGACGCAAAACAGCGACATATTCTTTACCCGCGGACTGTTGTGACTTAACCAGACGCGTCGCTCGTTCGATACATACGATCAGACAACCAGTGACCTGCGGGTCCAGTGTACCCGAGTGCCCGGTCTTCTCCACACGCAGAATCCGCTTGATCCAGGCCACAACCTCGTGCGAGGACGGATTTGCCGGCTTGTCCAGGTTGATCACACCGCTTCGGATGTACTCCTGTATCGGTCGTTTCAGTGGCGAGTAGCCTGCATCCGGTATCGGTGTGTAGTGCGTGGTACGCACGTTGAGGCGATCATAGTTTTTTAGCAAAAGAGGCCACGAATCTGTAGACAATCCGTTCTCACCAGCATCAGACGGTATCTGAAACGATAGGGAACGTTGCTGCTCGGCAAGACTAGCACTAGACTTGGGCGTCATGTTGAGCGAGGGCCTCCCCAGTGGAACCCGAGTGTGGAGGACGCGCCCAAGCCACGGCGTCGGCGCTCCGCGGCGTCCAGTGCAGGGCTCAGGTCGGGTGGCAAGGCCTTGCGCTGTTGACTCCAGGTGCAAGGCTCCGTGAACTGGATGAGAACGCGGGTCTAGTGTTTTGGGGACTTTCACACAGATGGTTGCGGATCAAAAGCCCGCGCTGTCAACCGAGAACGCTTTCCACACAGGTTTGCGCAGGAGACGGGTGAGGACCTTAGGGTCTTCATCCGAAGAGCCAGCTCTCTCGAAAGCGTCGTGCCGCAAAGGCACGCTTGCGGACGTAGACTGTCCGAGCGCGAATCGACGACGAGAGGCGGCACCGTGTCGGGTGAACGACGCCGGGAGTCGGTACCCTTCATGAGACGTCAAAGTCGCTCTGTCTCCGTGCTGCGTCCGTACTGGCGGCACATGTGCTATCGCGGGCGCTCACGGCAGGCTCGACGTACGATAGAACGTGGCAAGTGACCAGTACGTCCGAGCGGGAAGCAGGCGTAGTGGAGCTTGGAGGTAGGACGTTGAGCAATGAACGTTTTTCCGAGTGCCGTTACTAACTGGGCACTCCGAGGTTCCCCGGTTAGTGTAAACGTTCCCGCGAACAAAACACTGCTCTGTTGTTGGCTTGTCCGTCGCTGCGTCTACGCAGCCGCGCTTGCACCGGCATATGCTCAGGAAATGGTGTGTGTTTTGGTTTGCAGAGAGAGACACGAACCCTAAAGTGCTTCTGCACGACGCTTTCGTGTTCCATGTATTTGTGCTGAACCTGAGTCACCGATTGGCCAGAATAGAAGCAGACCGCATACAGGAAACTACGCTCCTTGCATGTATGCTTTCTCGAGTGCTCGTAGCGCCTCACGTCACCGAACGCTTGCCACGCTTCATGAATGCGCTGACTTACGTACTGGCAAGTCCTTAGGCAGCGTGTGGAGCTAGATAAGCTTTTTCGATGTTTCTCCGGTGGCGCTGCGTCTTGGTTTCATGTCGTTCGGCTGGAGCGACTCTGGCCTTGTCACGAACACATGCATAAAACGGTGCTGCACCACTTCGTTCGAAACGCGTGTTGAGGGACCGCCACTGCTACTCACACTGGATAGAGCGGTCCGCCACTCCGCGAACACCATCTGAAACTGACTGCGGTGGATATGTTGGCGTGCAAGGCACCGCTTGTTTGGCAAGGCGTTGATCTCCATCGCCAAACACTCGATGGGAACGTGTCTGCTCGCAACGCATGGGTTCTCCTTTCGCAAAAATCAAGAAAACGAGCGTGTCATTTCGGGACGTGTGCCAGCTGTTGTTGCTAGCAAGGATACAAATCTCCATTGATCCTCGAATGCGTTGGCCGAGTCACATGCTCTCGGTGTTCGGTGCGATTGTCAAATTGAAGTATTGAGGTTTTTTAGCGCTAGACGCACTTGCAATGAAGGCAGTGTACAAGCGTCCACGTCCATATCGCAGTTTTTCACACAACTACGCAATTCTACGAAAATTGTCGGCCATCGCGATGTTTGGCACCTTGCGGATCATCGGGACAGCTTGAGTGGGCATCTATCATCGTTGAAGGGGTGATGCGTTCAACAGTGTCTGCTTCGGTTGGTCGTTCGATCCAAGTGACCGGTGCACACCTCGAACCGCACAGAGGCAACCTTTCGTCATGTTTCAGCATTTATCCAGGCACTGGAAACGAAGACGGCACCGTCGATGTGCGATTGCAGGCGGGCAGCGCTCAGAACTGGCCGTTTGACTCAGAGCCGTGACCGCTCGAATACATATACCAGTGCGTCGTTTTCGGTTTGTTTGTTTGTTTTCTCGCGAGTCCGTTCCAAGACGATTGTATGCGGTGGATTGATGAGAGGTCGCGGAAAGACGGTCGCTGTCCCTGCTCGCTCGCGAAAACGGCCTTAGTTGTGCAAGTCATTCATTTTACGATCAGGAGGTGAATGAGCCACGCACTCCGTGGTCAATATCCTGAACGTCGTGCATCCAAGAAAGAACTGGGGAAAGTGTATCTGCTCGACTGTCTCGTCGTCGATCCGTCCCACTCCACACGTTCAGGAAAAAATGCGAACAAAGAGGTCACAGGATGGGCGTTTCCATACCGTTGAGAAGAAAGTTGATAAAGGGGCACGGATGGACAAACGAAAATGCACGCTTGTGTAGACGATCGTCACTTGTTGACCGACACGCAATGGATGTTGTACTGCAATGCGAACGTTTATGACAAGGTTAGCGAGCGTTCGTCTCGCTCGACGAGACCTCAGTCGGGAGAAGGGATAGACCAGTTGCATATGAGTATTCAAAAATGGGGAAACCGCCGCTCATCAGAAAGCAACTAGCAATAATCACGAAAAGATCAGCCCTAGCGATGATTCAATCCTGTAGTCGCTTACAAATCGCCGAAAAGATAGGATCGTGCAACACACCATTCTTTTTCGACGCACGCTTCCCGGTTCCTCACTCTTAAATACCTCTGTCCTGCTGGTAGACAACCTCGCTTTCCATCATTCAAGAGCGGTAGTGCAGCTCGCGACTGAAATTGGTATTATGCGGTATGGACCTCGTCTGTCACATCAAGGACGAATATATTACAGGACGTTTCGGTACTATATTGTACTGTGCGGTTTCCTCAGCGAGCTGTGGCTGGGCTCTGCTAGCACGTACAACGCCTTCGAACAGCTCCACGACAGGCACTGGTGGAGCTCGCTCACGGTTTCAATTCTACAGCGACGATCCCGATCGACGACATACCCATTCGCAGGCGCTGTTTGAAACCTTGGTCCGAGTCGCGCTACGAGACTGATTTTAATCGTTCACGGCAGATGGAGAGAGACAGAGTTCTTTATGGGCGCGGATCCCGCTTTCAAGGACATCATGGATGCCGCCGTGCCTCCACATCAAGAGAACGCAGCCGAAGACCTGAAAGAAAAGCGGATGGCGCTGCTCAGATTTTTCGACGGCTCAACATCATCGAGACACGTGCATCATAGGCACTAGGAGGATTCCCCCGAAAAATCAAATGACCGCGTCAGAGCTTGTCCCAACGCTCCGGACACCGTACCGACCAGACGGCATGTTTCGTACGCTTCATTCAGAGCGAACATGAACGTAAAAATGGATCATGCAGACGATCTTTTTGACAGACAGCCATGAGATCCAGCTGGTTCGCCAACGGTTTCGGTCGTACGACGACAAGAAGCGCATTTTCGGCAGCCTGCTGAATGAGTTGGAAACGGCAATGACCAGCGAGTCGCTTCGCTTTAGAGTAGCCTTTGGCGCTGGACGTACTGGAGCGCGCAACGCTTCTCGCCTGCTCGCTCGACGAGAGCGTACAACGAGTACAGGAATCGATTGTAAACGATTCGCATCGATGCATTCAGGAGCATATCAACGCATCGCGAGCACGCGTGCATGCTGAAACTGGTACAGAATAAGAGAATGAAACCGAGTCCGATGCTCCAACGAGTGTGCGGTACGCTCATCGATTGCCGGATAGCGAGACCATGGAGGTTGAGGTGCTGGCTGCGGTGTGACTCCATCAGCACCATTGCGTGGAAGCACTTTCTGGACCGAGAGTTGAAAGTATCGATCAACATTCAGAAATATTTGCTACTTCCGGATCGTCCAGTGGCTTTCTAACGAGCGAACTGTCGAAAGCATCGTTTAGTACGCCGCACGGGTATCGTACCGAAACGCCCAATACTTGCATGAAAGAAGCACTGATCAGGCGAGAGGGCATTGAATCCCCAGCTCGGCACGAGGCAGCGGTACGTGACGTGTCGGGAATCCAGCAGGGCTCTGGCGCCCCGTGTATACACCTGAAACAGTTCTCCTGGGCCACTGCTGAACGATCATGGCGCTCGATTTTCAATATTGCTGGGCACGTACCACCAGCCCGTACATCGAAGCACCGTAGCGGATACTCGCGAAAAAAAAGCGCTGGGTTTTGTCGAGCAGTGCGTCGGAACGAGGTGGTACGGCCGAGCATTGCATGCTCGCCCAGATTCTCCCAGAGCGAGTCGATGTCCCGGTTAGAAGTGATCCACGCTCTTCGGCATGAAGAGCTTTGCACTTGCTGCGGAAATGCCTGCCGTACCCGAGTATTGCAGCGATGAGCGATGAGCAGCCAAACACAATGTTTCTTCTCGAAGAGCTAGTTCGCGAGGCAAACGGAGCATCGCGCATACATCCGCGAGTGTGCGCTGCCAGCACCAAACCTTGGAAATACTCACCCCGTTGCATCTAACGTTCGGCAACTGCGTCGCTATCGGATCCGTTGGGTGTCATTTCGCCTGATTCCACTTCTGAACTCGCATTTGTGTCAAGGTTTGATTCGGTGTTGGTGCCCATGGACAAGAACTGCAGCTCATCCGCTATGGTCGTTGCCGATGCAGCTGCCTCCTCCTCGCCGAACGATACACTGCCATTCGCTGGAGCGGTATCGCCTCGATGAATCCATTCCGTGTACCGAATATCATCGCTATAGCCAACGCATCCGATCCAAGACGCATCGGTCGTGGATATCGGGTACGCTGGAATACTTCGTGCGTCTGAGGTTCCCAGACACTGCCGGATACAATCCATGAGCGGACTGTTCCGCCAGAGAGCAGCGGTACGTGAGGCGTAGCCGAACATCGCGCGGCGGCACAGCAGTGGCAACGACTCCATACCGTCACGTGCATCGAAGGCGAGCAGTCGAGCTAGATGAGGAAAGCGCTCCACACACATGCGTAGCTGCTTCAGGAGCAGCGCGTCGACTAGCGACGCGTGAATCTGCGAGGCTCCGATCCCATTCTTTTTGTATTTCGCATACAGATAGCTGAACTGCCAATTCGGGAGATCGCGCAGCAACACCGCCGCAGGATGTTCGCTTTCTAGGCACTGGCAGATCCATTGCCACTCCTTTGCCAGTAACGCGTACGCGTCTATCACCAGCAACGCGCCTACTGGGTCGCTCCACGGACGTCTTGTCGAGCCTGTCTCGTCGACCGGTGGATCGAGGGTACAGAGCACCTTGGCGATTTCCGTGGCGGAGCGGTAGGCGCCTTTGCTTCGCGCGCGCTCCGCTGCGCAGCATAGCGCTCGGTAGTACTGTCGGTTTTCAACGTATGCGAAAGGCAGATATGCCTCGCCCGGTCGATAACGCGGATGTGTACTGATTTCTAGAGCCCAAAGCGCTCGCTCTATCGCCTCTTGTTCGCGTTCGGCCTCAGCGAAAACGCGATAGAGTTCCGAAAGCTGCAACAGAGCGCCGACGTGAAACGGATTCGTCCATGAGAACTCGATTAAAAGCTCATGGTCTCCGGAGCGCACCACCTGCTCAAAACCTTCCTCAAGTGAATTGTATGGATCTCGGAAGCGGTACCTATACACTGGACGAGGCGCATTCCAGTTTGGTGCTGGCTCCATTGTGAGGCCCCGTACCAACTGAAACCAGTCCGGGTTCGGGTACACGAATAATGAGCGCCGTCGCAGGTCTAGCGCGTATCGCGACGACTTGTTGCGTTCCCGATAACGACGTTGCTGCTGGCGAATCGCCCGCGAGCCTCGACTGCTGGTAGCGGTTGCGGACTGGGCACGTTGTTGGTCGAGATGGTCGCGCTCGACGACCTCACGACCGAACAAGTGCTTCAGCTCACCGTCCGCATTGAGTTTGCTCGTGTCCACAGCAAAGGGCTCGAATCCGGCACATGTTTGTGCATACCAACGATGCTTCAGTTCAGAGTGATGGCTGAGGTTTTCATCGTCAACTTGTGGTTCTCGAGAGGCGTCCTTTCGGGTGCCATGCAAGGTGCGCTCCCGATAGCCTATAGTAAACTCCGTTTCCGCTGAGACTTTTTGGCCTGCAACCCGGCTTGCTCGTCTTGATCTGCCTTTACGGCGTGACGGTGCACCTGATTCCGGCACCAGAAAAGTTTCCACAGAATCAGAGAGCTGGTTTTGAGGTTTCTCAGGTTCTCCGAAGCCATCCTCGTGCTCCTGCTGGTCAGCGAGCACAGCGAAGGGGTTCCGGACACCGACCTGAGCCTCGTTTGCAGCCACCGAGTGATCGTCCACCGCAACGCCAGGCTCTTCGCTTGCGTTCGTTTCCGGGACCGAGTCCGCGGAGAGCAGCTTGCGAACGGCACGGCTTGACATGGTTTGGGGCGGGTGCCAGCTTCGCCTCGTGCCAAGCAGGTGATCCGCCAGTCTCGGTGCTAAGCGCCGGTGCCTACTCTGATAGGAAGCTGTTTTCTATTTTTGCGCAGCGGTCGTGACCAAAACCTCTGTCTTTGTACGTAATATCGAGGCGTGTTTTACACCAGAACTCGCGTTGATCGTCGCTGAGACGAACTTTATGAAATGATGCGAGGCGAGGCGAGGCGAGGCGAGGCGAGATGCCGCCTCCGAAGTTGCACAAGCGAGCGCCTCTGGACGTTCACGTCCGTAATATAACCTAGTTGGTAGCGTCCGACGCCAACATACTGCAACTGGGGCGTAGTGCTTGTACGATATAGCTTCGCATCCCAGATATAGACGCATGCAGCGTCGCTTCCAGTCTCGCAGCCGCTGATGCTCATCATCGATCGGGGCCCTGTGCGGTAACCTCTAGCGCTTTCTCATGCTTTCCGCGTGTAAGCCAGCCAAGAGGCACCACATGGTGGTGTTTCCGCGACATCTGAATGAGCGCGTTGTTCGGAAAGACGCCACCAGCGGCTGTCACTTCGAAAGATGCGTCTACGTCCGAGAAGCGTTGACACCGTAGCGCCTGAGCTGGCTCGCGCGCCTGCCCCGTTGATGTAGCGCGGCGTGCTCTACATATGTGCCTTCTCCTGGCAACGATTCAGCAGGAGCACACATTCGCATCGATGATGCGTCTTCGGATCAGGCCCAGTGCCGACCTGTGCATCGCCATAGGCGTCGTGTACGGGGCCGCATCGACGCAATCTCCGCCAGCTGCAATCACACAGTATGCGTCATGCTTTCGGTCTGTACTCTTGATGGTCATGATCGCTGAGCGTTATTTGATGGAACCCGTCCGATAGAGGCAAGTGAATGGCGGAAAGCACTTGCTGCGGGGTCGATCACCGTGGCAGACGCGGCCGCTAGCTGAAATGGTTACAGCGTCAGCACCTGCGACGATGACGCGCTTCCCGAGCCCTGCTTTCATTGGAGACATCTTCCAAAGCCCGTTTCTCCAGTTTTCATGAAAACCCTTGTCTGTGCAAATACGTTCCGTGTTCCTCTCTAGTGTCAAGGACCTTCAAATACAGTCTCTCACCAGTACGGACACGGGCGGTGTCCGCGGTGATCCACGTCGAATAACGCGTCAACGTGAACGCGCGCTGCTTGAAGTCCGCCTTTATTCGGAGCTCGATCTCGTCGGGGGCCCTGCCCGCCCAAACACACTTGCAGGCGCCTTGCCTTCTCCGCGCGTTGTTGCTGTTGCGCGGAGTCGCTCCAGCTGCAGTCGCTGCTCCGGGCTGAGCTGCTGCCACAGAGCCGGTTCCACGTCCACAGTGGTCAGTCCTTCGGGGCCGACGCTCTCAAGGTACATTTGCCACTGCTCTAGGAACTCGGAGAGCTGCCTACTAGCAGTTTGAGACTGGGAACGCAACAAGAATTCGCGCATTCGTCGAAACTCTTCTGCTACGTACTGGTCACCGAGGACGCGGAGTTCCAACGGCAGACACTGTTGATGTTTCCGGAGGATACTGCGATATAGGTTTCGAAGCCTATACCAGGCGATTTCACTCATTTTCAGCGTGGAATACCTCTACAGCGGTAGCCACCAGGACAGTGCATCTAGTTTCTACTGGTTCAGTAGCCACTGTGACTTCATAAACGCTTCCTGTACCACGATGGTGTATATGCCACGCTACATGTTGTGTATTCGAGCAGCGCGGAGCGCTGAGGCGCATCCGCTGCGTGACGTTGCGATCGACACGATTGGTGATGGAAAGTTTTGAACCATAAATTACATTATAGTACAGCTTTATAGAGCCAGGCGACGACGGCGTCGCGGTGCCTGCGCTACGCGCTGCTGCGGCTTCAGCGCCCCTGAACAACTTCATTCTCGAAACGTGTATTTGTGCTGTAGCTACGCAGCAGCGGCACGCAAGAACGAATCCACTGGCCTACGCGGAACGCTCCGCTGTCTCGTGCGTGCGCTGCACTCTAGTCTAGTTCTCGAAAGTCTCGTTGATCAGCTCGAACATACACTTGAAGCTCACGCACCGCCGCTTACCATGAGTGCTACGCGCAAGACCAGGAGCGTTTCCGAAGCGATCAACGCGCGTCTGGCGCTTGTTATGAAGTCCGGTCGATATCACCTTGGATATAAGAGCACGTTAAAGAGCCTTCGCCAGGGTAAGTGTAAGCTTGTTATCATCGCGAGTAACTGTCCGCGCCTGCGAAAGAGCACCCTCGATTACTATGCGATGTTGGCCAAGGCGCAGGTATACCGCTATCCAGCCAGCTCGATAGAGCTCGGTACAGCTTGCGGGCGTTATTTTCGAGTTATGGTGATGGCGATAACAGATCCAGGCGACTCGGATATTCTGAAAGCGATAACGGAGGAAGCAGCAGGTGGATCTGCTGCCGTCTGACGCAGGACGCCGAACCAGGCATGCAGCCGGAGCGGGTAGTTCCCGTCTGTGTTCGTGGCTGCGGTTCGCTAGCGTGGCCTGCACCAGCCCACTACATGCCGAGTCGGTATCTGCGCACAGGGCGAAGCAGTGTCGCTCGGGGTAGCGTTTGACGCGTGAACGGCCACGCATCCCAGCACCCGGGGATTGCTTCATCTAGCGTCGATTTCCGACGAGAAGACAGACTCGGAGCTTGTGGAGCGTTGGAGGTTCCACAAGGGACTATGCCCTCTTCCCCGGTGACCGGATCTGCGCATTCGCGAATCACGGGCATCTGGTTAGGTTCATCGACCCCATGCGGTAAAACACCGCTGCGCAGCGCGTCCTGCTATTGCCAGAGGGCGAGTGACTGCAGCGCTATGCTGCTCCGCTCGGTTCAAAAGCGGCGTAGCGCCTGACTGGGTCGTCAGCACCTCGTGCCGATTCATGTACCGCAAGGCTTTCGTCCGGAATCGTATACAACATCGCTCCTTTATGTCGTTCGGGATATATTGCCGTCATCTTGAAAGTTTGATCCGCCACCCACATGCACTTCCTTGAATTTGTATACGTTACTCGAACTCGATCGTGATCCATTCCGTGGCCATGTCGCGAGACCGCAACGGACCCGAACGGTAAAGCAGCATATCAGTCGTCCGCGAACCGAGGTAGCACCTCATCCCAAGATCGGTGCCGCGCGCTCAACTGCGTACACAACGAGACGCGTCGCCGCGGGCTGCAGTCGTACAGCTCGTGCTCGCCGTCATTCGCCGCTGTCGGTCATTCGTGCTCAGCGTCCTCGTTTTCTTCGCTTTCCTCTTCACCGTCTCGTGGGTGCGGTCGCGCATCTGCGGCAGAGCGAGCATTCCCACCGCCTCGGCGCCCGGATGGTGCACCAGTCGCAGCCCTGCGTTCTCGATCTGGTCGCCTGGCAGCACGGGCTGCATTCTCGGCCTCCATACGCTCGTGGAACTGCGGCGTGCGCTCCACGACGATCTCCACAACCGGTTTCTGGTGCGCAGGGGCGTTTTGCGCCTTGCTCTTGAGCATCGACGTCTCGATACTCACGATATCTACAAACCCTTCATTGCGCAGTATCTCAGCGCACATCACGACGCTCGTGATAGCCATCCCAATACCACTTATGGACACGCGCTCTGAACTGAGCAGAAAACGCTTTGTCCTGTAGATGTACGTGGAGAGCTTTTGATCCCACGATACCTTGATGGAAGGCAGACTTTTCGCGTCTGACGCAGACAAAGTCTCGCTTTGGTCACGCACGAGGCGGCACGCACTCGTGAAGACCAGGTCGCCGCTGGCAGCGTCCCCGACGCGGCCTGTGCCGCGTTTCCCTCCAGTCCGTGCGGCAGACCCGCCTACTTCACCGTTAACTGTCGTTGAAGCCATCTTACGCCAACGAAAAGTACAGGTAGTTGTAGTACTGGTGTTCAGCTGAGTGGATACCTTGCAGACAGGGTTCCGTTATACTGGTCAACGCGCTAGCAAGAAGCGTACGCTCGTCTCGCAGAAGCTGCCCTAGGGTTTACCGTCACCACTCGGGTTCGTAGTCGCAAGCACACGACGCAATCAGCGCACACACACACACACAGCGTTGTGTGGTAGAATAGCAAGCTTCTTTCCAAATACCGCGCGTTACGAGCGCAAACGATGCACACGTCGCTGCAACAGAAGAAGCACACGCAGTGACGCGCTACGTGCTGTCACGATTCTGTGGAAGCGACGCCGAAGCCCGGCGCGCTGAGCCGCTCACATGTCCGTTTCTGGATGCCCTACCGGGGGGTCGCACTGCAGGCGCGCATCTTGCTGCCGCGCCTCGCATCAGTTGCGTGCCTGCCGCTGCGCGCGCGTCGATCTTCCCGCCGTCGATTCCGAGGCGTGCGCGTCGCGACTCGGCTGCACGCACCGGCGGGCAAGCAGCTCGATGCATGCATGCATGCATGCGGTCAGGTTGAAGCGGCTGCTGAACGCATTTTGCATGATGATCATATCAACTGCCTGTGCGTTTTTCCCCGTACACGTGCTCTATATTGGTGAAAACCCTGACATATTGCTGAACGCATTTTTCATGATGATCATATCAACTGCCTGTGCGTTTTTCCCCGAACACGTGCTCTATATGGTGAAACCCCTGACATATTGCTGAACGCATTTTGCATGATGATCATATCAACTGCCTGTGCGTTTTTCCCCGTACACGTGCTCTATAATGGGGAAAACCCTGAATTTTGCTGAACCCCTTTTGCATGATGATCAAGTCGACTGCCTGTGCGTCTTCCCCGTAAACGTGCTCTATTTTGGTGAAAACCCTGACACATGCTGGATACCTTCGTCGAATCCATTGCTTGCGCCTGTGAATCTGAACTGGAATCACAGAAACAGAGTTGCGATCCAGTGAAGCGATCCCGACGGCTTTGCAATGAATCCCGTGTCTGTGAGGCCGTTTCGTGGACAGTACATGCGCATCCGAGGGGTGCAGCTTCGTCGCATGCGTCCCGCGCCATCCAAAAATGACACTGCGGGGTGTCGCCCTCGTCGTTCGGTGTCAGGAAAGCGACAGCGCTCGTGATTTTGCAAAGCGCGCATACCTAGGTCCTTGAATTCCAGACGCGGTCCACGAGGTCTACCCCAGTCGAGTCCATGTGCGAACGCGTTTATCGACGGTCGCATCGCATCGACGCAGTGATGATGCGAGCGGGGACGAAGGCGCTGCACTCCGGGTCGCTAGCCGCAACGGAACCGCAATACTGTGCGATCCGCGGTTGGCGACTTTTATCTCAGGCACGGCATCTCGAGGTCTTTTATTGCTTGGTCAATCAAAGGTCAAAGCCCGACGACGAGACCGTTCTCGGGTTCGTAGCACATAGAAGCGTCTGCGGCTGGTGCGAGATCGCTTCCGTGGTAACAGGCACCATTCGCGCATCCTATGAATCCTGATTAGGCGGATCCAGCTTGTTTCACAGAAAAAGAATGTAGTGCATGCTGCGCCCTGCGCGGGCGCAGAGGTCTCGTTGCTCGAGTTTTGCAGCGTGAACCGCTGCGCAAAAGCGCTACCGACCGCGTCGCGTTGCTGACGCAGCTCGCTTATGCAAAGATCGCCGCTTTCCCGCAGGCAAAGGTCATTTCCGAGATGCCAACACTGCCACCACCTTCGCCATTATCACCATTACCACGAAAACTAGCGCTGCAAAGGAACCAGGCCATCCGCAATCATCTGCTGAACATGCTCTCGAATCGTCAGATCGGCATTGCGATACTCGATGTCAAGAAGCATCTTCGATTTCGCGACATTGAAGCAAATCGGAATACCAACTCGATGACGAATCATCTCCCACGGCAGTCCGATAAATGGACCCGCGAAGTATATGAGCCACTTGGGAAGCTCTCGTCGGGGTGATCGGAAGCGCTGACCCCATTTGGCTCGCAGCACATACGCCACCTCCAGAATAGACTTTTACCCAGCAACGACAATTACCGGCCACTGGGGACGCGCTTCTTCTCGCTGCCAGCACGGAGATGCGCCAGCACAACATCCCGAACGTCCACAATGGACTGCTGCCGGGCGGGCACACCCAATGCCAAGCGGCCGCGAAGCACCTCTCGCATGAACTCGACTGAACCGGACTCGGTCTCCGCGGTTAACGAAGGCCCCTGGCCGAATCTCGGCAGGATGGTGACCAAGTCCGGGCTCTTGTCCCGGTTCTCAGCGGAATGCGCGAGTTCCTACGCGCGCCGCTCGCTTTCCGCCTACAGTGCGAGATCGATGCCTCCATTCAGAGTCGCGCGGGAGCACAACCGGCGCCGGACACGCCGTTTTTTTCATGGACAAAACGTTTACTTAGGCCAGCGTTCTCCGATTATGCGCATTTTTCTTTTCTTACTTTTTTGTGTGTGTTTTTTTCAGTGCGCGGTGAGGTATCCATCAACCCCCTACCTCCATGTTACATTACCTATACTTCGTCTCGGATATTCTGGTCGTTTCATACGTCCTATCGTGTGTGCCTAGAACCTGCCTTTCTGTATCCGCCTTTGCACCTGAACCGCTCGAGCAGATAGTTCGTAGAGCTAGAACAGCATTTCTATACCATAGAGGGCGTCAGCTCGAGGGGTGCTTCACCCGACGTAGAATCGGGTCTCGTCGTCAGTTTGTGCTCAGACAGTCTACGGATGCAGGTTTGTCTTCGCTGCACGACACGCTGGAGAAACTTGGTTGTTAGGATATATCGTGGAAGCCGCCTCTCTCCTTCGTGATCATGCATGGAATGCGTTGTCGGTTGGCAATGCGGGTTTGAGCTCGACACCCACCACAGAAGGTAGGCGCAGAGAGCGCATTGAGCCCGGGTGCGCATCCGATTCGCTGGACCTTCCGCCTAGAAGGTAGAGTGTGAGTTTGTGCGCCACTAATGAGCGCTGAGGCTCGTTTAGCGGACCATCAGTTGCCAGTGCTACACTCAGAGTGCGTGGCCGGATACGCCGTTGATGGGCTCTCGCGGTGACGTTCGCGGAGCGATTGGGCGCAGCGGCACCGAAGCGCGGCGCGCTGTATACGCAAGATCCTCGTTGCATCCGCTTGCACCTGGTGGCACTCGCACGAACAAATAAAATCGAGTTTCGGGGTCCACGCGCTGAGGACGTTCCTCATGGCAATGGCGGCAGAGCTCGAAACGCGGGTGTTTCATATGCAGCCATACATTCGGTTGCTAGAATGCCGGCACTTCCTCGTGGGGCGTATGCGGGGCACCCACATGCTATGCACGGTCGGTGCATGCCTGTGCGACAGCGCTGCGAGCCGCGCGAGTCCTTCGGGGACCGCACCAGTCTAGGTACTGGTATTTCATTCGTTGCAGCCTCAGCGTAGCGTCGTGCGTTGAGGGAAACGCTGGATTCTGGAGCGCGCTCTGTCGCACCCAGCGGGAATGGCAGGTGCCGGTTTTCATCGCAGCGCCAGCCCTGAATATGCTGTCCCGTGCCACCTGCTTATCTCGTGGAGCAGCCGCTGCCAACAAATCCATGCCCATGATTCAGCAGGTCGCACCTAACGTGGGCAGTGCGAACGGCCCCGTCGTAGATCATTCATGTCGGCACCCGGTTCAGTTCAACCCATATCGATACGTTGTATAAGGCACCACGAGGGACCTACCTGACGCAATCCGCGTTCAAGCATCATTGACGGAGACGAAGACCCGGTTTTCTTAGGGGCCCGCACAACCATTCTCTCGTGATGAGCTGCTCATATGAAGAAGCGCTGCAGCAACGTATCCCGAGAACTCGCTCCAATGTATTGTAAACTTTACGGTACCAATATCAGTCTCTGCGACGCGCCTATACGCCATCGCGGTCTCGTACGCATCGGGCACTGAAAATGGAAGAGGCGGTACCAGCGTGATGCGCGGTCATCGCCCCGCGAGGCAAATGCTGCCTGCACGCTGCGTGCATGCCCGCACGACAGCGACCGCGGCACGACTCTTCTTCGGATTGCAGCATGGCTGACCGACACACGCACACGCACACGCACACGCACACGCACACGCACACGCACACGCACACGCACACGCACACGCACACGCACACGCACACGCACACGCACACGCACACGCACACGCACACGCACACAAACGAATTTGGAACCACCCCCCAGGCCGCAATCGTAAACGGCATCGCGGGAGAAAGCATGCTCACCATGGCGCGCACCAATGGCGGTTACGATTTGGGATGCGCGCCGGTGCCTGCTTCGCCTGCGATTGCGTGCGATTGCGTGCGATTGCGTGCGATTGCGTGCGATTGCGTGCGGCAGAAAAGCTCCGGACACGTCGTTCTTCAAGTCGCTCGTAACACGTCTTCTGGCACCTGTGGCGCATATTCCAGTACTAACGTACGTGTCAATCTTGTCCTATCTGTGGCAACGGACGCGGTGCATCAGCCGATCTAGTGTTCTTGAGTTTTGTTTCCTGTTGTTGCGTGCTTGCTGAAGGCAACGCTTCGCACCACAAAACGCCGACGCTGCCATCAAACCCTATCGGAACGCACCGCGTTTGGAGCCCTCCCTGACGCCACGCACCGCTGCAGAACTGTGTTTGATACGCTTTCCTCCGCTTGATTTCCATGTGTTCGCCAAGTAGGTCGCTGCATCGGCCCGCAGGCCTGTCGACGGTACCAGTGCTCGAGCTACCGTCGACGCCGTTGACAAGCGAGCGGCGTGGAGCGAGTCGCATCTGCGACAGATCCTCTACGGACACTGCCCTGGTGATGACGGCGCCTCCGCTGGACCGTCGCAGCCGATCTCGCCGCCACACCGCACTTCATCGAACTCTTGTGGAAGGCGAGCAATTTCTGTACCGCGGACGGCGTCGTCAGCTCGAGCTGGACGCTTTCCAGCAGCCACGGAGACTTGAGTTCGGAGTTGACGGCACCGACGAACTGCCACAAACTGGCCATACTTCAGCGACCATCGGCACCAACGCCGGAAACGAAGCCCGCGCCCCAGAAAAGACTCGACAGGACTCCATGAAACCGGCGGCAATGTACGGGTCCCGCGTCACGCTAACCCCTGTCCGTGCATCACCGGCCCAAAGACGGCTTCTAGGAAGTAGCCTAGTGCTATCGCCTGTGCGCGTCTCGAGTCGCCAATCCCGAAACGCTCCCGCATCCATGGGCAGCGGTGCGGCTGCAAAGTCGCCGTCCACCGCAGACTTGCTTGCGGCTGCCAGTTGGGCGTACTCTCCGAACCGCGCTATTCCACAGCCGCAAAGCGATGAACCTGCAGTCAACGAATCGCCTGTGGCGGGCCCTGCAGCGTCCTGGCGCCAGACGCTCGCTGCTCTCCGGCAGCTGGCCCTGAGCGGTGGCGGTGCAGCTGCCGCTGCTGTGGCGGAGTGCCCTCGCGAGGACCCGGCCTCCTGTGCTCAACGGGAACGTGCCAAACGAAATGATCCCAGAACTTGCACGCCCGCTGTGCATGATGCGCTGTCCGAATTCTCAACACCAGAAAAGGGTGCACAGGGCGCTCGGTCATCGACACACCACAGGAGCCTATCACCCGCGTCACCGGCTGTCGCTGACATCGATGCAATAGCGCTGGCCGGTGCTTCCGAGCCAGGTACGCACCCACTCAAGGCCGTCTCCACTGAGAATGTTCCCGTTCTGCATGCCAAGCGGGCAGCAAGCCGCACCGCTGGCAACCTGGCGAGGCTGGTGCCCGGCTAAGCCGCTTCAGTCGACAGGTGCAGTTTGTCTGCGCGCGTAGTCGATGATCGCAAGTTTCTGAGCACGCGCGCTGCCCATTCCAAACGCATGAGACTCTGCTCTAAAGCCTGTTCAATGAATGGTGAGCCCAACCGATCTAGACCAAGAAGAACATCGACTGAGGTTTTTGCGTAGTGATATGCTTCTCGAACAGTATCGGAACGTGTTGCAAGCTCCAGGGACGACCAGTCGGCAGAAAGCTTCATTTCCGCGAGGATCCCACACGCCACAGCGTAGAGTACTCGCGCACGCAGTTTCGGCATTGTTAGCCATGCGTCTTCCGCAAGCTCCATGGACGGTCCGTTGTTCGCGACAACATCTTCTGACGCGGAACCCTCTGCAATCGACGGGCACGTCGCTGACGCAACCGGAGAAACTGCTTCAGCCTGCAATTGAGTCAGGGCCTCTTTCTGCTCACTCCACTCAAGCTCACGTGCATACGTTCGAATAGCGGTTTCAAGCAGGAACGGTTCTCGGCGCTTGACACCGAGCTGCACGCATAGCTGAGCTGCGTTCAGCGTCAAATACTTTGCGGCCGTCTGGCGAATATCCTCGAACAGTGCGTCTTCCTTCACGTACTCGGAGCCTTGCACAAACCCCGAGACCGTACACCCACAGAGTAGACAGTCGCGTACACCGTTCGCTGCGCACGCGCCGCAGTACACGTGTGTGCACGGCAGTGCTAGGGCGTAGCCGCCAGCGCGCGGCACCGGCGGTGTATGACACAGCGGGCACAGGATGCTTTCAGAGCGAGCGTGTGTCCATTGGTCACCGCTGCGGCTCGGCGCTTCCGTGCCGCTCTCGACAGACCGTTGAAATGGGCACTGGGGCCGTCGACTTGGGTCGTTCTCGGCCTCGGCTTCTCCAGGGGTGTTCAATTCACCCAACGAGGATTGTTCAGTCAAACGCTGAGCGAAAGGACACGGCACCATTTCTATGGCAGCGTCATTCTAGAAAAGGGAACCTCATATGCAGATGCGCTGCCGACCCGAAGAACGGAAAGGTATGATTGTTTGTTCTCGTGTGCGGTATGGGGAGTGTAGCGCTTGCCACTGCTGTGAAATGAGGAGATTGGGTGCATATGGATATTAATGGACATTACTGTCCAGCGCGATGCTGCGCAAATTTTTTTCCGGATGACAAAACGTTTCCATTGACCATGGATCCCAGCACTCGGGATCGATAATGGCTTTCGAGAAAGCGTCCATCATGAAGCGCCTACCTCCAAGTTCCATTACCCATACTTCTTCTCGGATGTTATGGTCGTTTCGTATTTTCTCTCGTGCGACGAGTGCCTGTCGTGGGCACCCGACTTGGTGCCGAAACTACTGGAGCGGATGCATCATCGTGACTGAACGGCTTTGCCATACCTCTGGGGGCGTCGGCTCGGGACGTTGTGCACTCGACACGGGCTCGTGCGTGTGCAAACTTCGAATCGTTCCAGCGAGCGGTATCGTATCACCTGATCCCAGCGTCAGCTGTGTGGTCGCTCTGAGGTTTGCTCGATACACTCCAGAGGGATGCGGACAGTGGGTATCCCTGATTCCGGAACTCGAACGAACAATTCCTAGACGAGGTGCGTCAACGCGAGAGAAGCTACGCCAGCCTTCCTCGAGTAGGATGCTACACGATCCCTCATGGCATCCTGCATCACATATTTTGGGGTATTCTCCCCATAGATATGTTCCAGTTGAGAGGCCTCGACATCGGTTTCAGACAGATCTCTCTGGTCGGTCACGGTTTCGTTCCTGTCACTCTGCGTCCTATTTCCACGAGCATTTCACTCTTCTTCGTCAGTTGATTTCTTCTGGTTTTCGATCGCATGTCGGGGTGGCATGGAAATGGTTGCCGTACTCCGTACCCATTTTCCCAGGGGACGGAGACGCACTCGGCCGACGGGGGCACTGCATTTCGCATTTTCTCTGTCTGTGTATACCCGATTCCGTGAGAACCTCGTTGTCAGCATCTCCGTCGCGAGCATGCCTAGGAGCTGAGGCGGGTCCTTCCGTTCCCTCCCGCGCAAGAGCAGAGACGCAACGGAGATGTTCCGGGCCGGTGAACGTAGAAACGAACGACTACTGGAACCATATTTATGACACGGATGCGAACGACTCGTCGATAGATCTGTGAGTGCTGAAATAGCGGTTTACAACAGAGAACACATCCTCGACTCGATGGAACAAAGGAGAAGCAGCCGGAACGCACAGCACAGCTCGATGCCAAGCTCAGCTGCGCTCTGCCGCGCCGCTGTCGAGTGATGTAAAACGACCTTATCTGCGAACAAGGCAGAGCATTGGGGCACGCAGAAGCCGTACAATGCTTCGACGAAAGATGTGCTGGTTGATGTCGCTCTCCGTTTGGCGATCTGCAGACGACCACACAGTAGCATCGCGGCTAGATCTGATTTTGTCTTCATTCTGGCTCGTTTCCACACTGCGAACAGCGGTTACCCCATCTCAAATTGCGCGCAGAATACAGGTGTAAGATTTCGCCCAAATGAATTCCCATAAAGAAAGACGTACATCTGCCTCTCCTGGGAGAAGCGTTCGCATGTCTATACGTCATCGATGGTGTCTTGTCGATCGCGTGATGGTCTCCCCTGGAACACTGCAGTCCTCTTTGTCGAATCGCTTCTCTCCATCACCTTCTGATTCAACGGTGCGGAACCTTCACATCCTGCAGCTTCTTTGATAGTATTTGTTAGCGAACGTAACGAGTGGTATGGAATGGTGACAACACACTCCAGTAGCCAGCGTTTGACAGGGTCTGTTTTGGGAGCACGACGTCCAGCATAAGCACGACGAGAAAAGCGGTCACTTCATCCACCTGCTTACCATAGCATGACGGACTTGTACAGACAGGGCAATTTACGCAAGCTAGCGGTTGCAGCACAAACTACGTTCGCGACCTGTCGCCTCTCCGCAGCATGTATCGCATTGTTGGACTCCTGCGAGACAGACAGACGAAAACGAAAAACGCAGTTTGGTACAGGCATTCGAGAATTCACATTTCCAAGTGTGAAGCTTTGTGATTGATTGCAACCAGCACTTGCATGGCTGCTTCATGTTTATCTTGCCGTGGCGGATGAGTCATACGCAACTCGTGCACAATGAAAACAGCGCATATCCCATAGGATGCTGCGGGACTGGGGATAGGCGTGTACACGTGCAGGCGGTTCATGTGTGTGTACGCGTGGATGGGTTTGTGTTGCCGCTTGGCTCTGATTCGTTCCAAGACGAACCTTCGTCTACACGCAAGCCGGTAATTTCTGCTCCTCTAGTCGTACAGTTTTCATCATTTAAGGGACTACACGGCGGGTGCGGTAGCTGCTTGCTGTTCTTTAAGAGGAAAGCACTGGGCATAGCTATTCTTGTTGAAAGCGTGTGCGTATCACCAGGGGCCTCTGTTCAGCAATCATAGGTTCCGTCGTCGCAAGGGCAACCGCTCACCAGCGCACGACCCGCGCAAAACCTGCTTCAGTTGCTGCTGCCGTTGCTGCTGTTGCTACTGGTATCCCACTCCACTCTAGGGTCATGCTCTGAGCAAAGGCATTTACGAACTGGATTCCTCAAAATTACTATAGCGAGCAACACGCACGCATTTCGCCATCGTAGCACTCGCTCTGGTAATCGGATCTGTCATGTAAAAATTCTCAATAACCGGTCCAAACGGCATGGGTGACAGCGGCAACGAACGAGCGCGCTCTGCTTTCGCACCGCCTAGCTGCACCTGTCCCGTGTTTGGTGTTCTAATGAGATCCGGTTCCTGTAAACCATACTGGACACCCAGATGAGGAGCCAGGAATTCCATTTCCTGTGCTGCATCGAAAAATCCGGCAGCGTGATCCAGACCTACCAAGAGCTCATCGAGAATTTCCGCGTCGACTTTGGCCTGGCCAGGAGGCAGGAACGCGCGTGCCGTGCGCTGGACACGACCCTCTGTGTTCACAAACGTGCCGTTCTTCTCGGTATACGCAGCACCGGGTAGGATCAGGTCAGCGATGCTTGCTCCATAGTCTCCGTGATGCCCCTGATACACCACGTAGCAGGTCTCGGGGAGCTCCTCGAGTCCATCGATATCATCGGCACCCAGCAGATAGAGCAGCTTGGCACGCGCCCAGGGCTGTTCGCTGGTTTGTTGCGCCCCGGACTGATCAATCCAGCGGTTTCCTTTCAGCGTATGATCAAAGCCAAGGTCGAGCGCCCCAACGGTATTCGCGGCAGTGTGAAGTACGTTCAGGCCATTCCACGAGCCATCCCGGGGCACAAGTCGCGGGACGTGGTCCACCAACGTTGCGAGGCAGCCAAAAATAGCCGCCCCGTCATGTCTCTGGAACGCCTGTTGGCTCACGATAATCGCCGGTCGCTGCGCTTTGGCCAAAACAGAGCAAAAAGCATGACGACCTTGGGCGATCCGCAGAAGCGTTGCGGGACTGGTCCCGAGATGCCAGAGGTGTTCACGATTGTACGTTAGGTCGGCATGGCAGCCGATCAGGCCAACTCGAGCATTCCCAAATAAGACCGCTTTCCGGATACGATTATTCAGGAGCGGCGCCTCCACTCGCGGGTTCGTTGCCACCAGAAGGATGACATCGGCGTGTTCCAAACCAGCTAGCGTTGTATTCGCACAGTAGGCGTAGCGAAAGTCCGTCGGCGGTGTACCCGTATTCGCGTGTCCCTGAACATGGACAAAAGCGGTACCCTCAGGAAACATGCTGTAAAAGATGCGCCGTAGCGCTGCTATGCTTTCGCAATCTGCATAGGGCCCGATAATGGCATGGGCCTCGAACGCAGATCGCTGAGTTGTTGCTGGGGTGGCGGCCTCCCGAATGGCCGACACCAGCTTGTTGACTAGGATAGCCCTTGCTTTGTACCAGTCCACACCGACAAGTTGTTCGTTCGCTTCACCAGTGTGTATCCGCACCATCGGAACCGTCAAGCGCTGCCGTTTCAGGCCGTCGTAGGCGAAACGCGTCTTGTCACTGATCCACTCTTCATTCACCTCCTCGTTCAAGCGCGGTAAAATACGACGGACTTCCGTACCAACCGCATCAATGCGAATGTTCGAACCAACACCGTCGAATACATCGATCGATTCGGTGCTTTTCAGTTCCCAGGGTCGAGCACGAAACGCGTACGGTTTCGAGGTTAGTGCGCCGAAACGGCGGCAGTGCTGCAGCGGACGCTCTCGATGCAGGTGGAGAACCTTCGACAACGCCGTGCGAAGCACTGTCCGAGCCAGCGCCGGCATGCTTGGCCGTCTCACCCAAATCTTGCTCAAGGGAAACGTCAGCTTATCGTTCGGTGCCGCGCTATACAATGCACGGTGCCTCCCGTCCAGTCCGCGAAGGTAGGTGGAGCAAATCGACACTCAAGACTCCAGAACCGAGACTGCCTCTCCTTGATGCAGTGCCTGACGAGTCAGCTGATCAGAGCGTGTTTGTGAGCGACGTCGCCGGTGACTGACACCCCGAGCACCACGCGAGAGCGCTGGGAGAATCCGAAACAGCTGCGCTGTCCGAAAAGCGCGCACGCACGGTCGTCGACTTGGGCCTCACTCCAGTCCGGTAGCCCGAGTCGCGAAATTGCACAGCAGTCACAGCCTATCGCTCCTTCGAACCGAGCGAGCTTGAGCTGTTTCCAACACTGCACGCAGTGCTTTATCAGGTCACAAAGACACGGGTCTAGGCAGCACACCCACACACACCCACACACACACACAGCGGACCCGTTCAAAGAACGCTTTTTCCAACAATCGACGACACTGGGCAGACGTTGAGCGCGGCCTCGTCAACTTGTATCGCGCACGATCATCGCGCAGCTTAGCACGGGAGAGAGAAATGAACCATTAGGTAGCTACGAGATAATGGTTTCTTTCCTCCTCTATGATAAACGTCAAAAGCGGGAAAAGGTTTCCATATTGTCGAAAGTTTACCTTCCAGGCGACAGGTCCCGCGGACTTTACGAATCTGCTGGGCTAATACTTCAAGCTCTCCCCGGGCCTACTGTTGCCGTGACACCTGAGCAGCTTGTCCGCAATGCAATTTATTCTGGGACTCGAAGCAGGTAGGCGCCTTCTGAGCGTTGACCTGGTCGTTCTAGTATCGTAGGATATCGCTTCGCGCCTCCGCAGGCAGTAGTCTTGTCTGTACGGGTTGTAGGCCCCCAGAATGATGTCGAGGCCCGATTCCGAGACTAGTGAACCTCGCCTCGAGCCGACAGCCTCAGTGGTACGGCACAGACGTTCTGTCTCCGCGTTGCATCTGCTCCAGTGGTATAACTCTTATTGCGGGTGTAGCAAGGCAGTCACGCAGCACACGACAGAATATACGTAACGACCACGATATCCGAGAAGAAGGAAGGGTTATGGAGCTTGAAGGCAGGGTGCATCAAGACGGACGCATTGCCGAATGCCAATATCCATTCACGCAGTCTGGAATCCCTGATCAATGCAAATGTTTTGTTAAATGAAAGAATTCGCTCGGTCGAGCGATCATTACGTTTCGCGATGAGAAGCACTCCCTCAATCGGTGAGACACATACAGACTATGGAGGAATGAAAAGCAGCTCTTTGTCGATAGAATCGGCAACAGCTCCAACAAAAGGGGAATGGTGCAAGGCCACTTTTTCCAATAGAGGGATGTCGCCAGGCGTCAAGAAACAGTCCACGATGATTCGGCAAAGTGAATGCTGTGGTATGCGCCTTCCCTACGCGCGAAACTGAGGCTGCCAAATGAATCCACTGTTTCTAGAATAGATAAGGTCCTCGTTCTCATCGAGTTCGATCGTACATACACCGAGCTCCCAATACCTCGAATACTCGTATACGATCCGATCGTTTCGTCCCAGGGAATTCCCATCGACTGAAAAGAACTGATGTCCCTGTGCTTTATGCGATGGCGATGTTGAAAGAACGCTGTCGTTGTGATTTCGGTGGAAAATGGTCGTGCGTGAACTAGGTCTCATTTTTTCCGACTGTTTCCCAGTGTTTTCAGGACCACACGAACAAGCTGGTGAGAAACAGAGACGCTCCTAGCGGCTGCTACTGCCGCTTGCGGTTTCCGTAAAGTGGTTAACGGTTGTTTCTGTACCATGAGCTCCAAGCACACGTTGACAATAGCGGCTTTTGGCGCGAAGCGCATATATTTGTTTCATTTGGTAGTCCTCAACCAACTGAGTACTGTGTAATGACTGACCTCAAGAAGGAATACCGGCCTTCTTGAGCTGCTCAACACAAAATAACATACATATAATACGTTTACCTGCTATCCGGTATAATGCATCGTGATTTCGATAGTCCGCTATACATCACAGCAAGGGTCTCACAAAATTGATCTCGATGTCTATGACCAGAATCCCTTGGATGCAAAAGTGCTTCCAACGAATCACGAAAGAGACCTCAGTACCTGGATATCCACTCATGCCTACCTTATCGCTTAGAGTCGTGCTTCTCAGTGCAACGGTAGCTACAGTGCAGCGATTCGCCTGGTGCCGTTCGGGCCCGCGTTCGTGCGCATTCTTTTAGACGCTGCTACCCTAACGGGTACGGATCTTTCCCTGAATGCGAATAGACAACGTGTATTCGGGCATCCCTGATTCAACGCGGTAATCCAACAGTATCCAAACAATTGTATCGGTTTCGCGCGTGCTCCTTGGTAGATGGACAAGCTGAGGCATTCGCCGACCTCGTGGTATGGAGGACGCTGGCAGATGCTGCCCAGCGGTGCGAGGTCTCCGGCCAAAGCCACACCGCTGTTTCTCGCGTTTAGCCCTGACATACACCTAACGCCCGGCCTGCTTCGAATAAAACCACTAGTTTTCTGGAATCATCATATTCAGCCATGTAATCAGGTTCTCGCTGCGTCGTGCAAACCGTGTCACAACCGGCACCATGCAGGTGTGCATAGTCCTCTGAGTTCCGGCCCCCGATAGACCAGTCTTCTTGCCCGCAAGTAATCGATAAAACACTTATTCTTTGGTTGCTGTCGATAGGTGCGGTCAGCGGGCCATCGTTCTGGCACAAACGCGAATTGCGTTGCACCCAGTGCCGAGTATCTGACAGATGAACAAGCGTATCGCCGTTGACCGCAGCGTTCGTCGATGTCTTGGAGCACTTGTCCCAAGGTGGCCACGAAAGCCTTATGCAGGCGTTGAGGCCAAAACTCGCAGTTTTCCATGGCACGAGCCGGCACCTTACGACCTCAACAGCACTCTCTGACGCGAGACAGGCGGTCCGCCGGATGCGGCGCTACCTGTCCAGCAGCCGCGGCCTCGGAAGCACCCTGCAACCTGTTCTACACGCTCTCTGGTTCAGTTCCTTTCAAGGAAGACACCGCCGCGTCGCAGAGTTGCTACTCCTGCTACTGTCGCTGTGGCTCCTGCTGCTTCTGTTGCCACAGAGCGTCCTCCATGGGCTGCCCCGCGCCTTTCGGAACGTCTCGTCTGACCTGCGATTGCCAAGGCAGTTCGACGGGTGCGCTCGAGTACCGCTGGGATGTAAGCGCTCCGTAGATGATTACATCGCGCTTACTGGATGTTGCTCCAGGGCTGGACTCGGACATACAATCTCCGCCATGAACCGTATCGTCCATTTGGCTCAGCGGCTCGGTTTGCGTCACGTCTACGACCCAGAGGCGATGCGCGGCCTTGGACACGGTATCGGCGACAAAGCTGAAGCGTTTTTCAATTTGTCGCTTTACACAACGCCACGAACTGCAGTCCCATCAGATCATATAGCAATTCGCATCACTGCATCGACTCTGAAGCACAGAGACGAGCGAGAACTGCTCGCGCTCCTGCAACATTGGCGGAGTGCTGTGGAGCGCCAACCCACACTCCGCACACGAGCACTCTTTTTCCAGTTCGAGGCTGTTTTCAGTCCTGGTGGAGCGTTGGCGTCTTCCTGGGCGTGTACGGCCTCGTGGTGGCGCAGCGTCTTCCAGCGCCAGCGAGCAGTCTTCATGGAAAGCCGTCGAAACCAGAATGCAGACGACTTTGCGGAACTTTCGCGTACCGTAAGCATCGCACTTCACGTCCGACGGGGTGACCAGGTTCCGCGGTATCCCATGTACAAGCCGAATGCCTACGTGGAAGCTGGCTTGCGACGAAACCTCCCTGATTCATGGTATGTGGCGGCTGCAGACGCGGCATTCAAGGCTCACTGCCACCGCGCTGGACCCGTCTTTTGCGCTCCGCACCTCCTTCGTATTCGCATTTTCTCCGAGTCACCGCTGGTGGACATGGATGGTTATCCAAGCCGGCTTAAGCAGTGGTTGTATGAGCGCTTTCCTGGTGCCAAGATCACGCAGCATCTGGACATGACTACTATTGACGCCCTGATCGAGATGACGAGCGCAGATATCTTCGTGGGGTCTCGCAGCGCTTTCTCGCAGCTTGTCGCTCGACTGATGCCCGTACACAGCACTGTTCTGGTACCACCGCAGTTTCCATCAAATTACAGCGATCCGGAGGCGGCGCCTTTGCCGTGCAGCCTCGTTCAGGCGCCTTGGCAACTGCGGACGGTCGGCGAGCCTCCGGGCGCGCTGTACTGGCCGGAATATGTTTGCCTGCGGGGCGAAAACAGTGCTGTCCCTGGGAGTGGGCGTTCATCTCCACAGCGCATTAGCAAGGCAAATCGTCCCATGTGGAGGCGAAGTCGACACGCAATGCCGCGTGCATTTTTCGGCGAGCGCTGGGCGCAACCTCGAAACTGGAGCTTTGTCGTGGAGCGTCTGATGCATCCAGATCGGGAGTGGTGGCTGCCGGAGCTCCAGCACGAGCTGCAGGTTCGTCCACACTGTTAGGCTATTTGCTACTACGACTGAGATGTTTTTGGGGCGCCACTAACTTGCACTCGCCGGCGATTGGCTTCTCTGTTTTGAATACCTGCTGCGTAGCTGCGATGGGGTTCCAGGTATGTTACGGGCGGCGCACGGGGCGGGAGCATTCTTCTAATGACTCGAACGTGCTGGCGTCCGCGGCGGTATTTGCGACCTGCCGTCTCTGAAGCGCTCAGGTCCGGCAAACGTCAAACATGAGGCATTCTCGGTCATGGGTGCTATAAAGGCGCTGATCGATGGAACGATTCCGCATGCATGAGGATTCTCGCTGCAGTGACGCTGGGTTCCCAGCGCGCGGCTGACCCCTGAGGAGTACCCATGCATCCTGTATATTTCTGAATCTTATGGAATACTATAGACATATTCATGCTGCGATCACTGAACGCTCCGTATCCGATGCTGGCCTTCGAGTCTCTTCTACGCTCTTGTATATTTCTGAATCTTATGTACCAACGTGGACACATTCATGCTGCAGTCACTGAACGCTCCGTATCCGATGCTGGCCTTCGAGTCTCTTCTACGCTCTTGTATATTTCTGAATCTTATGGAATATTATGGACACATTCATGCTACGATCACTGAACGCTCCGTATCCGATGCTGGCCTTCGAGTCTCTTCTACGCTCTTGGATATTTCTGAATCTTATGGAATCTTATGGACATATTCATGCTGCGATCACTGAACGCTCTGTTCCGTCCGTAATCATTTGATAGCTCTAGTCGCTAGCTGCCCCAAGAGCGCCACCTTGGGGGCAGGCGCTGCTCGGGACTCGCCGGCAAGCTTCCTCGAGAAACGGTTGTTACGTACTGACGGCCCAGTGTGTGTGTGTGTGTGTGTGGAGTCTACCTGGTTGTTTCCGCATCAACACTTCGGGCAAGTGTAGACGCTGGCGTATACCAGGGAATCTGCTGCACATTCGCTGAGACTGCACTGGCACATGGGTGCCGCGGTATCGATGCCAGCTCAGCGGGCAGCTCCGTTCGCCCCGGGGCTGACCCACCAGCAGCGAGTAACGCGCCTCTATCGTCACGCTTTGCGGACAGCGCGCGACTGGTTCGTGGACGTTGACTTGTGGCTGGAGCGATCGCGAGAGATCCAAGCCGAGTTTCAGCGCAATAAAAACGCAGGTCCTCGCGAGGCCCAGATCCTGTTGAACCGGGGTCTCAGTCGCTTGCTAGAGATGAGGCACCCAGAGCCCTACACCGCACCGTATTTACCAGGCGGCTGCACGTACCAGCGCAACGTTCCCCCACCGCCGGAGTTGTGTGAGCGCTCGCTTCCTCCGCACTCGGAGATGATCCGCTGAAGCGTATCGGCGAACGGGTTGGATTGCACGTACCACACCGGAGACTTTAGCCTGTGCCCTGAGATGGATCTTGTGTACTCCGGCTGATCTCTGAAGCAACAGCTGTGTTCCGGATAGGTCTGAGTACCCGAGGCGTGGTAGGTGTGTTTCAGAGCACAGCGTCGCTACGTGCATTCCGCAACACACAATCGTTCCTGGTTGTCGGTGCTTCACACACGATTCCGATACCCCTATGGATTGCCTTGTTCCGCACATGAACTTTTCACCCCGCGAACTGCATACGATACCGGACGGTCGGAAACGGTGCTGGACTGCTTCCGCTTTCGCCATGTATCGCTTGTTTCGAGAGCGCCGTACACCAGACCCGAACAAGGACAGGCTGGGTTGCTGCTGCTGCTGCACTTCTTCCGCTAGCGCCTTCACTCGGCTGGCACTGCGTTATCCGCCTGGTGCATTTCTCAGTACAGTGAAGGATTAGAAGCATCGAAACTTCGGAGCCGCCTAGTTTATGGATGGATGCGAACTGGCTCGAAAGCGTTCACCTGGTATCGACGCACAGCAGCGCTGAGGTGCATGCACTCGTGAGCGTCTCACATGATACCCTGTCACGAGCGGTCCCCCGGGTGCACTGCCACTGCTGTTCCTGCTGCGACTGTTGCTGCACGTGTCTGAGATACGGTTGGTCTGGACCTTCCGTGAGACGCCCCTCACACTGAGCGCAACTCGAGCCAGAAGGCGCATCGTCAAGACCTAGGTGTCGTGACCCGCTGTGGGGAACGGCAGTGCTCACGAGACCTGTTCGTAAACGAAAAGCGAGTCCTCGTCTGTGCAGTCCATGGTGCAGTTCGAGTCCGTGATACCGATGACCGAACTTGCCCCAAGCTCGCACGAAACTGGCGCCCACGCTCTGCCTTCAAGGAATCTGATGACAGATTCACGAGCGCTGCCGTGGACCGACTCGGTTCCCTCTTGAAGACGCTGCCATCGCGGGCTGCATAGCTGCTTTGTTGCGGGTTGAGCGCTTGTGTCTCCAGGTAAACAAGCGCTCAACCCGCAAATGATCCCCGTGTCCGCGCAGCATCCGGTATCGGATACGCCCAGTGCTCTCGATGTCAAAACCTGGCCCGTTTACACGTCGTCGTGAGCATTGCAGGTATCGAGAACGCATGCTCGAACGGGTGGGCATCCTTTACCGCGATTTTTACCAAACGAAGCAGTGTTTTGGGTTCAATGATGGTGCACTGCGATGCTTGGAGCAGCTGGAACTAGAGCCACGCCTTGGGAGACTGTCGCTCGCTCTAAATGACGCTTTCTGCATCCGCCGTGTCGACATATCGGTTTTCTTGAGTACACGGGACGCACCCAGAGAAATCGTAGAGCGGCCTCAGAGATTCGGCGCTTGTGCTTGCGTCGTAAAACGCCCACATGGCTCGGCACATCAACAGCAACAGCAACAGTAGCAGCAGCAGCAGCAAGAGCAGCAGATGCAGAAATCGGAATGATCGCATCACATGCCCTCTATGCTGTCCACGAGGGACACCAGCGAGCGCTTTCGGGTCGTCCCATAGTGACGTGGAAACGCAAGTGTCTGAGTAGGCGTTGCGAACAAGGCCGTGTGCTTTTGCACATGTGAGCATGCACGCGAGCGCGCACACACCAGGCGAAAAGTGGCTTGCAGGCATCAGAAGCGCTGTGCGGTGCTGCCTGTTCGCCCAAACAGGCACCAAACGTCGAACGCAAGCGAAATGAACGTCGTTCGGAATCGAAGACCTACACCGTCTACCACAAGATTCCGTCATCATCTCTAGCGCCAGAGCTTTAGTACGCAATCCTTGCCCCCGGAAGCAGCTGTTCGACCGTCCACAGACCAATCGATTGCGTAGACCTCATCAGCATGACCGGGAAGATCCCTTTTGAGAAGACCTTCCCGAATATCGTAGACCTTCACGGTGCTATCCCTGCTTGCCGTGGCAAGAAGACGGGAATCTGAGCTCCAGCAACACATATACACTGCCTGTACATGCTGGCGAAACGTGGCAACATGTTGACCCGAAAACCCGTTCCATAATCGAACCGACTTGTCGAACGACGCTGAGGCGATCCATCGCCCATCTGGCGAGAAACTCACATGATTCACCAGCTGCTGATGTCCGGTCAGGCGCTTGACGCGCCAACGTGCCGTCGACCAGTCTTGGTTTCTGTCGAATTCCAGCGTCAGCAGCGAGAGCGTATGATCATCTGAGCCCGCGCAAAGTCGCTCTGGACCAAGGCGGGCAACGCGATCCGCTGCCTCCTCCACCGACAAGCGCCGAATGCGGGAAGCAGCGGCACCGTTCGAGCGCCCAGCGTTGTCCTCAACGCTATATGCACCACAACGCAACAGATGGTCAGTATGGAGGGTCATGGCATTCACCCAGTGGCCGTGGATTGGCAGAACTTTCCAGCAGACGCCAGTGCTTGGTTCCCACACCCGAATCGTACAGTCCTGGCTCGCGGAGTAGAGCATTCCGTGCCCACTCCAACGCAGTGCGGTGACGCTGGCAGAGTGACCAGTTAGGGAGCGCTCACAGCGTCCGAGTCGGATGTTCCACACGCGAATACTACCATCCTTGCTTGCAGAAGCGAGTCGCTCACAGCGTCCCTGGTTACAATGGTACGGCTCCCAGCACAGCGCCGTTATCCAGCGGCTATGGCCTGTAAATACCCAGCGCACATCGGATGCGTTCGTTTTGGACCCGCGACCCGACACCAAACAAGACTCCATATCCCAGATCCGGACCGTATGATCCATGGATCCGGAGGCAAGCCAACGCCCATCCGGTGACCAGGCGAGATTGAGGACCCATCCCTGGTGTCCGTTGAGCATCGCTCGTGGAAGCTGAGCGTCCGGGTCCCATAGCCGTACCGTTTTATCCCCAGAGCCCGACGCCAGCCACTTGGCATCAGGCGAGAAACTCAGACACAGGATTGCATCCGTGTGTCCCGGCACAGTAGCCGAGCATCGTGATATCAAGCGAATGCGGAAAGAAGCCTGGAGAAAGAACTGAATATGCAGCAAGCGTTCGGTGCTGGTCATCTGCGTAGTAGATAGTGCGTCCGCCAAGGTTTGTCGGACTTCGCGACCGGTCTCCAGGACAACGAATGCGAACGGCAATGCCGCTAGTTGCTGCAAAGCGATACCAGCAGCACCAGCACTATTCGTGTCATCGGGCGTGGTGCTGGCTTCTAGTTCACGCGCCAAGTGCTCTAGTCGTTTCGACCAGTCGGCGTAGAGCTCTGCTTCGGCACGCTCTTTCTCCGAGGCCTCCCAGTGCTCTGCTTGGAGAACAGCCAGACGTTCCTGATCAGCTAGGATCTGGCTCTCAGTGAGCTGATCGGCGTCACTAGCGTTCCGGGAGTTGTCTCGTTTGCGGTTGCGGCTGGCTGCAGCGAGCGTTCGCAGGTTAGCCCATCGCTCTTTGGAGGCTCGCTCTCGCTCCTGTGCGAGAAAACTCAACAGCAACTGGGCCAGCTGTAAGGACGTTGTTGTCAGCGGCAAGTCCACTGGTGGCCCGATGCACACTCGGTCGGTCGGTTGACCTCTCTCATAGTCCGGCGGCACAAAGCAACTGAGTACCATGGACGAGGTCCCGTCGCAGCGAGAGGGGGTGTGCAGCCCGCTGTACCCGTAGCCTCGCTCTGAAACCGGAACGGTTCGTTAGTTCCAGCGCAACGATTCTCTCTGAACCTGAGCACGAGGAAGACGGAACACCGCTGCTCCGTTACCCCGAAGCGCTCAGCACCGGCACGGGGCTTTGCTCACCAGCGCGAAAGCTCTATACCGCCCAGGAGAGGCACACGGCGTCCGCGGAGGACGAAGCGTTCCGTGGAATCGTACTCGGGAAACGATTGCATAGGCTTTAGCCCTGTACCGAGTTTCCTAGTCAAACGGGATTGATCACACAGTCTCCGCTGGGAGTGCTTGAAGGAGGCATATGATCGGTGGGTAAAGCACTTCGAAGCTGCGCGCTGACTAGTTGCAGGGCGTTTCCGAACTTTAGGCTGGGTGTATCTCACGCTCACGTGCTCTTTCTTTCTCTCTGCTGGTACTTGTGTGTGTGCTCACCAGTGGACGTCTGCCAAAGTGCATAGACCTGACGGTTTCTGTGATTAGCCTACGCGTACCTGAGCGGAGGCAGTCGAGCGGAGTTATCGGTTTAGTGGAGCAGGTTGCCTGTTCTTGCGGTGGTCAAGTTACGCCCTACTGCCAGCGAACGACACCAGTGAAACCCTGCTGGTCGCGGTAACGGTAGTCGCGAAGAGGAACGCAACCTCCGGTGGGTCATTTCCTGGAAAATATATACTTCAGCAGTGCTGCTGCTGTGGAATTTTATCAGCGAAGAACGGTTTCTCAGGTAATCGAACCATAGGCGATCGCAGGATCAGTCGAGTTGGTGCTGGTACAGAGGTGCACATTTTTAACACCATCCTCACCAGTACCGTGAACGTTGTTTACGTCTTCACCGAGCTGGCGCTTGTCGTACCGCAGAGGGGTCTCTGTGTGTGTGCGTGTGTGTGTGCGTGCGGCCTGCACCAGCCCTTTGGCCTCGAGCTTCTTGTATCACGAGGCAAGTGCAGTTTCTTTCCGAGGTTATCGACGAGAACGACGGTCGTAAGCCGCACATAGCCGTCGAGCTGCCAGCGCTGTCTCATTGGACAGCTAGTTTCCTCACTGCTGCATCGGAGGCAGCGTCTGAGACCCTTCTGCGCTGCTTCGTATTGCCGTGGAAAGCTGTTCGCGTCATCAGTGACTGTGGGTGCATCGCAGCGGGCAGTGTGACCTGCAGGCCTTTTCCAGAGACCTGATCAGTGTGTATGTTTGTGTGTGTGTGTTTCGTCTCGAACGTAGAACGGGAGCATCATAAGTGCGTTGCTCTTGCCGAGGCGCTTGGGGCAGTCCGCCGCATTTCCGAAACGCCTGGATCGCCGTACAAAACCCGCGCAACACCAGTCATACGATTTGTCCTGCTTCGCGCCTAGGAGAACACCCATGGAGGATCCAAAAATCGTGGAAGGTCTCGTGATCACCGGCAATGTCGGATGGATCATTCGCATCAACCTAATCACCGCGGGGCTGAATCTGTTGCTATTTGCAGCAGTTGGTAATCCCGCATCGCACCTAACACCGGAGCAACGGCGCATTCTGATCAATTTCCAGCGCATCGTAGCGGAAGATGCGGATGATACCATTGATGATGCGCTTGCGGGAGCACCGGCACGGGTTCAGCAAACGCTAACAGGTGTGCCGGTCGAGCAGCTCAAGAAAGATGTTCCATCTACGATTATCACTGCTGCTGCTGCTGCTGCTACTCCAACAGTCTCATCGAGAAGCCCTGCGGCGGATATCTCGCTAGAGCGCAACCTGTACATGAGTTTTGTCTGGATTGCGCTCTTGTTGGCGGGCGTGCTTAGTCTGTATGGGCTTGTTGTCCAACTGCCATTGATGCTATGGTTCACCAGGAGTACGTCAAGTGCTTCTGGTTGGCGCACCTGGTGGGAAAGAATGCACACCGCCTACACATTGTCTGCCGGCTTCGAGTCTGGTGCCCGAGCCGCTGTACTCATGCAGCTTCCAGTCTGGATGGCGTGTGTAACCACCATTGTCCTGTGGCGACTCGCGCTGAGTCCAACGATGCGGCACGATTCCGTGGGTGCTGTCGAGTCTCCAGCCGACGAACGTTCGACGCCACCGGATGCAGCGAGTCATCTACCGGCCCGCTACGATAGCCTTGCACGAACGAGCTCGATGGAAGCAGGGCAGGCCTCGAGGCGAAAGCAGAGGCCGCTGTATTTGTTGCTCGGCGGCTGGCCTCGTCAAGGCTGGGATGCAGCTCGTATTGAAGCAGCGCTCTACAGAAGGTACCCGCAGTTATCGATTCAGAAAGTAGAGCTCATCTACCGTGGACAACTGGTAGCTGCAGAGCGCCAGCGCCGGCGTCGCTACCTGCAAGCCTTCTACGAGTACTTGGCCTCGCTGCCTAGTGAAGAAATCCACATACCTCTGGGGTTGCGGTTGTGGACCACATCACCGTCGGCACAACTGGAACAGCGCGAGCTCTGGCGACAAGCTGAGCTCGCGCGGCTAGCACAGCAGCTCGCCCAACTTGACCAGCATGATGATGATGATGATGGACGGACTGCGGGCAGCGAGCATGCCGAGCGCTTTACTGGCTGGATTCTGGTCGCTTTCCGGGAGCCTTGGTGGTTCCACCAGTGTCTTGTCGATTGCGAACGGCATCGTCGTCAGCGGCGGTTGCTGCCACGGCTCATGAGCGCGTGCCGTCGCTTGTGCGCTTCCGTAGACGATGCATTCCAACAGCCTCTGGTAGCGGACAGTGCGACTTCTGGCCTGCAATTAAGGGAGGCGATTCCCACGCGAGATGCCTCCTCTAACGAGAACGTGAACGAGGCGTTTTTTCGCCCACTGCACGCCGAGGCTGTTGAATCTTTATCGGACGTGCAGTGGTCCCATCTGGGCATACCGGCTTGGGAGCGATGGCTACGTGAAGTCGTATTGAATGTGCTCTTCGCACTTGGTCTCTTGTTTCTGAGCTCGCCCGTAGCGATTCTGTCTGTTCTTCAGGTGCTGGCGAGCGCAACGACGAATGCGCCGCTCAGCTCGCTGCAAGCGTTTACAGCGCCCAACGCAAGCCGTTGGTGTCTGTTTTGGAGGCAGTCCAGCGATCATCAACACGGTCCAGTTGGTAGTGTTGTAGGGAATCCTCACATCAGAGGAATCGATATGTTGAGCTGTTTCAAGACACTTTCCAGGCGCTTTGAGATGCATGGTGCCATACAACATGTCCTGCGCGCTTCGAGTCCATGGTCCAAGCAGATTCGTCGAACGCTGATCCGGATCGACGAGGCGACTGGCATGCGAACGGGACGAAGCTCCTGGCCAACGGCCTTTGTATTCTCGTACTTACCCGTTGGTCTGCTGATGTTGATCAACAGTGCCGTCCCGTGGATGCTGCGACAATTGGCGAAGCACGAGAGTCATATGACGCGCTCTGCAGAAGAGGCATCGATTCTGCGAAAGAGCATCGCATATTATCTGCTGAACACGCTGGTTCTACCGTCGCTCGCTATCAACACTGCCGCTGAGGTTGTATTATTGGCTTATCGCCGGGCGGCGAGCGGAAAGACACCCCAACGAGTGCTTCAAGTGGTCGAGCGGATCTTCCGTGGCGATAATGCCTTTTTCTACACGAACTTTCTCATCCAGCTGGCGCTTACGGGGAATAGCTTGGCGCTTTTACACCCTATGCACTGGCTACGCTTTCTTTGGCGTCGCCAGCACGCTTACACGCCACTGGTGCTCGCCCAAGCCGGCCAGGCTGCACCGTTTGACTACCCGTACGCCTACGCCCAGGTCATCAAAGTGCTCGCGATTGGGTTCTTCCTCGGTCCATTCGTACCGTTTTTGTGGCTTTTTATTGGACTGTATCTTGTCACCAAGTATTTTACAGATCGGTACAATTTGAGCAAAGTGCATCCACCGCATCCAACGGATACGCGAATGGCGCGGACCGCGACCAACGCCGGCGCTGTGGTGCTGACCACTGCGATCGTTCTTCTGGTGCTCTTGTCATGGATATACGGGAATACCGGGCTCCTGTTGGTGCTTCTCTTGAGCGTGGCGTACTTATGGGGACTTTTGCTTGAGCTGCGGTGGCATCCTGATCGTCTTGTAGGTTTTACGCATCGGATACGGCAGCGTTTCGTGCTGTTCGGAACCTACGCACTGCAGCTGGTACGTGCAGCGCCGCCCTGAACGCCGCGTACATCGAAGAACATGCGCGCAGCGCGCACAGCGAGATGGATGAACAGTGCCAAAGATGTATGAATATGTACCTATGGATCAAGGAGTGCTGATCGTGCGCGCTGATAGGAATACCAGGTGAACAGTGCCAAAGATGTATGAATATGTACCTATGGATCACGGAGTGCTGATCGTGCGCGCTGATAGCGATACCAGGTGAACAGTGCCAAAGATGTATGAATATGTACCTATGGATCACGGAGTGCTGATCGTGCGCACACCTGCGCGGCAAGCACGGATCTTGGTGCATTTTCTATATGTCGAGTAACATACATATCCATCTATCCGTGCTAACAACTTTTGACCTCGAGCCTCTGCTGCGAGGCTGCTACAAGAGCCGCAGCGAAGGCTCCATCAGCTTCCAAGTGCTGCTTTGCTGGGGATTCAGCATGGAGCACGCGCTTCTATGCGCATGATTCAAGCGCGCAGCGTTTGCGGTTTGGCGAAGAGGATGCCTCTTGCGATCACGAACATACCATCCGCATCTCGCGATAGTCTCCTTTGGTGTTACGCGCACAACCACTGCTTTAGAACAACGATTCCCGAATATCGGTAGCGCGACCTAAACAGGATCTCCATACCCGCTGCTCACTCGTCTGCACCTCGCACGCAGAGACCGCGCATGTCGCCTCTGGGGCAAGTCTCGGAGGTGCTGTCGAGTGCACCCCGCACTGCGCGTCGCGTAAGCGCGTAAACGTTGCGGTGATGCGTCTCAGTGCTTTTTTCCGCCATTGGTAGTCGATTCGAATGCTGCTGCTGCTGCTGCTGCTGGTGGTGGTGCTGGTGGTGCTGGTGGCGATGTCGGTTGGCTGGTAGGCGTTTCGCCGAGCGCTTGACGAGCCTTCATCAGCGCTTCCAAGAGATACTCTTTGGTGATCACATTCGCTGCCTCGTCTAGTGTAAACCAGCGCCGGTGTCGCTGGCTGCTTTCGCCCCATTGGGACAGCTGCTGTTTCACATGCAGCAAATAAAACTCGGTCATGACCACCGTTCTCCGTTTGCGTTTCGTGCTGACACTGAGGAGCGGCCCGAGTTCGCCGCTGACTCCGGCCTCCTCGAGGGCCTCGCGCAGCGCAGCACTGCGGCCATCTTCACCGTACGCCATGCTGCCTTTGGGGAAGACCCACGTGATGCCACCGTCCGGTATTTCCGAGACGCGCGAATCATTCGGATGCCGCGCAATAAACGACGACGAGGTAGAGGTGATCAGAAGCACCTCGTACCGCGTGCCAATATCGTCTCGACGCGTGTTGTGTCGCCGGTTCAACCGAACCGGAACACAACCAGCTTTACGCACGACGGGCAAGTGTTCGGCCTCCGACGAGCCCGGTGTCACCTCGTCCGCCGACACCGGTGCTTGTGCTGGCGGTTTGAGGGCCTCGGCTTCGGCCTCCCGACGCGCAGCCATGATCGCATCTCGGAGATGCCCGAGCGCTTCGCTTTCGCCTTTCACGTAGCGACCGTCGGGGAGCATCTCCCAACCGTTCACAGAATCACTCAACAGCCGATTCAGGTGTCGCCAGAGTGTCTGCTGCAGGTACTTGTCTTCAACCGGGGCGACAGCCTCCAGACGAGCGAGCAAATTTCGTGTACGCCAGTCCGCAGACCCGATATAGTACTCGGGTTTAGCCTCACGGGCGTTCGCAAAATAAAACACTCGAGCGTGAAGCAAAAAACGCCCGAGGATGCTCACCACGCGAATATTCTCGCTGATGCCGGTGATGCCGGGTCGAACACGGCAGATACCGCGTACGATGAGGTCGACACGAACGCCGGCCATGCTCGCCTCGTAGAGTCGCTGGGTGATAAGCACCTCAGTGATACCGTTGCACTGGCAGATGATTCTCGCCGGGTAGCCCGCACGAGCGTTATCTATCTCGCGCTGAATGAGTTCGAGGAAACGATCGCGCATGTTCACCGGTGAAACGAGGAGTTTGCGAAACGATCGCTTCGCACTATACCCCGTAAACACATTGAACAAATCGGTGACATCGGCGCAGATATCCTCCCGACTGGTGAACAGCGAAAAATCCGTATAGATTTTCGCCGTCGTTGCATTGTAGTTGCCAGTGGCGACGTTACAATACGAGACCAGGGCATGATTCTCCTCGCGAACCACGAGAATAAGTTTCGCGTGGGTCTTGTAGCCCTTGACCCCGTACGCGACGTTACAGCCCGCCTCTTGGAGCATGCGAGCGTAGAGGACATTCTGATCCTCATCAAAGGAAGCTTTGAGTTCAACCAGCACATTGACATCAATGCCACGCCGAGCCGCCTCCATGAGCAGCTTCACGACAGGTGAATTGTTCCCACATCGATACAGCACCATTTTCATCAGGCGCACTGCGGGGTCCCGAACTGCGCTTTCGAGGAAACGCAGAGTGGTCTCATCAAAAGAATGAATCGGAAACGAGAACAGCACGTCGTTGTGTCGAATGAGCTCAAACATATGGGCCGTGTGCCCGCTCTGGACGCCGTATTTGTAGCCGGCCAGAATAGAGTGCGTCTTGAAACGCCACGGGGGGTATCGCAAAGCAGGGATGTTGACGTTCGTCAGCATGAAACAGTCGTTGAGGCCAATAATCGGAGCCCTTGAGCGATACATAGCCAAGGGTTCCAGGTTCAGTTGCTCGCGCAACAGCGTTGTCAGCACGTCGGGCATATCGCGCGAAACCTCCAGCCGCACTGCGGCTCGTCGCTGTCGACTATATAGGTTCTCTTCGACAATTTTCAAAAAATCCTCACTTTCGTTGAGTTCGATCTTGTCCAGTTCAAGTTTGGTATTACGGGTCACGCGGAACGGGTACGCTGCAATGACGCGCACGTTTTCGAAAAGCGCATCCAAGTTCTGGATGATAATCTCCTCGACCGGCAAAAAACGCTTCTCATTGTCCACGGTAATGAAGCGACTACACGACGACGGGACTCGGACCCAGGCGACGTGGGTATCAGAGGGCAGCGCAGTGGCTATCGAGCGGTCCAGGGAGGCGTTCGGTGGACTCAGCGCCGGAATCGGACTTTCGTCGCCGTCGTGGGCGTCGTGTTCCGAAGGCGGCATCAGCTGAGCGCCTTTCAGCAGCACCGCCAGGTACAGCGAGTGACTGCGCAGAAGCGGAAACGGATGCGTCGGATCCAGGGTCAGCGGGGTAAGCAGTGGAAACAGACGAGCATGGAAGAACGCGTTCATCTGCGCTCGCTGCGTCATACTGAGATCTGCGTAACGTAGAATGCGCATATCATATCGAGCGAGCGCTGGTAGAATAACGTCCGTGAAACAGGACTCCTGCTGAGCAGTGATGTCGCGTATCGCAGCTGAAATCCGTTCGTAGAGTGGGCGCATTGTTTTTGACACATCGTACATGTTTTTGGAAAAGTACTCATCGAGGTTGCTCGATACGATACAGAGAAACTTAAGACGCTCAAGCAGAGGGGTTGGCGTTACCGGATCGGTACCGAGCTTGAGCACACGCCAGTGGAAATGCAGCTCCTCCGCAACCTGCATGAATACATCCGTAGAGCGTGCAAGTTCAGCGGGTGTGAGATCCCGCAGATCTTCCTCGCATGGCCAGACGGGCTCCGGTGGACACACGATGAGCGGCATCTCGCTATCCAAAGGCGTAGCCGGTGGCGTCCAGACATCCCGATCTGGTCCGCTGGAGCTATCGTCGTCGTGTTCTTCTTCGTTTTCGCCACGGAATGCCCGCCTATCCAGGTGACGATCTGACCTGCTGCCGTCTCGCACCGTTGGGCAAGCGTAGGACCGGCGCTGCATCTGCTCTGGCAAGGATTTTCTAAGATCAAGCAGTGTGTAGGTATGATCGTCCATCGAATCCTCGAGTTCTAAATCCGCCAGTACCTCTTCTTCACTTTTGTAGGGCACAAACGCGATGCCAGAGGACGCTCTCGAGTCTGTATGCAGCCTCTGGGTGGATTCGCCGCTTTTCCCGTCTGCTGTGCACTGCTTCAACGAGCTAGCAGTCGTCGTCGACGCGCTTGCGGTGTGCATCTCGCTCTCCTGGTCATCGGTAGACTGCGCGTCGCCTGCGACTGCTTCTCGGGAATGGCTCGCGGCTTGCACCACGCAAGCTCCTATTCTGGACGCACGTGTAACCGAACCCTCTTCACACAGGTCAGGCACAGCGCCTTCCCTGACAGAGGATGTGTATTCGCTGGGTTCTTCGTTCATGGGCACCATCGGTAGGTCCCAGTTGCCAACCAGTCGGACTTGGGGAAACGCGGTCGGCTCAGGTGACCCTGGAAGCCAGACCGTTCGTGGATCAGCGTGCTCTTGCTGCTTCCCCACGCCAAGCTCGCTGAAGTTCTGGACAGCTTCGCCGCACTCCTTGCTTTGGCGCACGTCAAAACGTTGTGCAGTGGACGCGGTGACGTCTTGCACCGAGCACAATGTCTGCGGCTTGTCCTGGGCGCCGCTAGCCGCGCACCCGGCGGATCGACTCTGTTCGTCTACGCTGCGCGTTAGACGGTCGGCGAGATCCCCAGCTGCTGCTGCTGCTGCTGCTACTGCTGCTGCGACCTCATCACTTTCGCTGGTCTCGGACGGAGGCTCGGTGCGCTCTGGTTGATCAGCCCCGGTATTCGGTCCCAGCTCACAACACCGCATCTACGATGCTTCCATCGTATCGCTTCAAGCAAAGATTCAGTTGAACGATTCGTGCACATGACGACAGGCCGGGATCGAGTGGCTCCGATGATGCCGCTACGATTAGGGAATTCCCTCCGTGAAATCAGGGAATTCCCCAAAAGTGCCATCCTGTAGTTCATCAGGCGATGCGTCAGCACGGGCGCGCGCGCCCGCAGATCATGTGCGATCGATGACATGTTGATCTACATGCGCTTGATGAACGGACACAGTCGATTACCGGCGAAAAGCAGGCAGCTCTTTTCCGGACGCTCCAGTTGATGCATAGAGGCGGTTTGTCAATTTGAGCCTGCCGGTTGCGGCTCGAGTCGAATCCGGGGCATTGCACAGTGTGCTCTGTGGTGTAACTTGCTCTAGTTGCATCCAGGTGCAACGTACAGCACAGACGAACGTTTGCGTAGCGTGCGATGCTTGTACGCTTCCCCGGTTTTCGAGCAGCTACGGAATTCCAGCGCCTTCTGCCACGAATGCTGTCGGTCCATGTACTGGTGGTGGTGACTGAATGAGGCGGGTCTGGTCTGGTGAGTCTTCGTCCAAAGCGGTGCGGGGGCGAGCGACGGCCCAGCGACATCCTAGACCTTTACAAAAACCCTAAAGGATGCCTTGCAGGGGAGCATGCGCCTGCGGACATACGTGTTGGCTGAAGGACTGCCCCAGCACATGCTCGGACGGCCTCAAGTCCGTGTCGAGGATCCCACAAGGCCAGCGCCATGATGTCCTACATGACGATGAAAGGCTCTTCCGTATCCTGCCCGTTTGCCTCATTGTGCACACAGCAGCGCGGACCAGAAACGGCGAAGCAGGCGCATTTGGGTCAGAACGATGCCTCGGTAGCGACTTTCTTGCGCAAGTCCGTTCGAAGCGTCCTGAATGAGCAGTGTGGGCGCTGCGCACCTTGTTCCGTGCGTACACTAGATCCTGCGACTCGTTGTCGGTGCCAACATCGTCAGACATTATGATCGACCTCTTGGACAACGTTTACGACAAGGGAGTTTCAGACGCTGCGCAACGATATCCCGTAGTGCGCTCGTGTATCCTCGAATGGTGCAAGACGGCCATCAGCAAGTGCGCCAGCTCCTACGCAGACCTTGGACACGGCGTCTTGCGGACGATCTCTGACTCCGAAAGCGTCTCTAATTCACGTCGGATCAAGCGCCTCGATGCATTGGGCACTCTCTACATGCAGCAACGGAGAGCTTCTTCTTCTAATGCCGTCCACTTGGGAACGAGCCGCGCCGGATGCCGTGGCGCGTGCACGGCTGTCACCCCGCTGGTTGCCAAGCAACGAGCAAAGCGGTCGTGCTACTCTGCTACAACTTGGTTGTGCAGTGGACTCTCTCAAAGCATATCAGGTGCGTGCGGATACCTTTATCAGCAGGCGTCTATTACCGAACTGTGCGAGTGCGTAGAAGTCTCATCGCGCATGTGGTCAGTGGGCCACTGTGCGTTACGGCACGAAACCGTCTCCATGCGAGTTACTGGCACATCCTGCATTCACTTGAATGGCAATCATCTGTTTCAGGCATAAACGGAGACTAGGGCAGCAGGAGCACCTCATCAGCTGCGTGCCATGCTGATTATCCACAGAGCTCCTAAAAGGCGACGCGGGGAATGCGGGGCACATGCGAAAATTCTCCATTTCCCTGGCCAGCTTGCACCATACTGCGTTCAATAAGCACCCTGGTACCCTCAAGGAAAGCGCGCTCTCGTCAATGAATGACGTTAACCATATCAGGCCGGCAGACCTGCAAGGATGTTGCCCACTGATCTCTAGACGTTCGTCAGCACACATTACGCGCTGTATATGCTCATGAACGATATATAGCATTTCACAACATATGAGCCGTCTTCCAGCAACCGATGCAAATACACAGAATATTGGTGACTTGCTGAGCGTTTTGGGCGACACGATGCGTTTGCCGACACCTGTCCGACGTTCCACACGGGCGTATTCGTCTGCTCCTGCCTGATCCCTATCCCGAAGCCGTCGCTATGCCAATGCGCTCCCAATGTATTTGCTCTCCCCAAGCTGGCCCGGCAGCAACCACGTGAAACTCGAGAACGAGGCGCGCATCGCAGCGGCCTCTAAACCAGGATAGCGCCCTCCACGTCCTAGTGTCAAGCATAGCTTGCTCGATTTTAGTTCGCAGCTTGCCACCTTCACTGAAAGACCGTTTGATGTTTGTGAATAGCTCTTCGAGTCCACAAGGGCTGGCTGCACTCCCAACGCTGGTGCCAAACGTCGACGGCGCCCTTACCAGACACGCACAGCAGCGGCACTCTTCGACGAGCGCCAGCGGACTCGCATACCGTACACGTCCCTGAACCCTGGAGCTGAACCCAACCGTGCCGCAAAGGCGCCTCTATATCTTGACGCTTCCCAGGCACCGCAGCGTCTGCGATAGAGACCTTTGACTCGCGAGTCGTGCCAAAAAGACGAACGATTTTCAGGTTGCTGAGGCAGGAGTTGAAACGCGTACGCCACACAGCGCTCAAACCGAGAACTGTACAAGTCTATACAAATGAGCATAACGGTGTGCGTCGAAGCCGACTCTGCCACGTGCGTTTTTATCCACAAGGCTTCTCGAGACACGCTTTGGCGGGGTTTCAGACCTCACGGCTAAGTTTTCGTTTGTATTATGAACACTGCAGCACAGGGTGCGCAAGGCGGGGTTCTGTTAGAGCGAAAACTCAACCATGAAGAACGGACTGCGTTGCTCGGCAAACTTCAGGAGCGTCTGCGTGCACTCTTCGGAGCGGGGCCGCACCCCGTGGAGGAAATGCTTCCCGAGTACATCTTGACCATGGTTGAGAACCGACGCAGCGCAGAATTTATGGCCGGAGAGCTTAACTCTCTTCTTGCGGGTGAGCGAGCAGGCCTAGGTGATGAAATTATCCAGTTGGTCTCGGGAGAACTGAGGCAACTGTCGACAGACGCCGCCTCGCAGCGCGAGCAAAAGCGCAGTCGTCCCGGGAAGTCACTTGAGAATGATCATGATGTGCACGAAACCCAGAACGCCAACGCCTCTAAGGGAGATGTAGATGGAAAACGCGACGCCTGCGCGTTGAACCAGGAGGCTCAGACAACGGCGACTTCCGAGGGACGTCAAGCGCTACCAGTCGAGCAGTCGCCGGCAGCGTTGAACGGCGCGGAAAACCTAGCAGCTAGACCAGCTTCTGACTCAGAGTCGGTGCATAATAGGGAACCACAACTGGACAAAAGATCAACAAGCGCCACTGGAAAACGACAGCAGCAGAGGACCTCACGTGAAGCGCGAACATCACAACGGCAGGTAAGTCACACGGGCGAAACCTGGAAAAAGCGGCGCATGGAGAACGAGAACGCATCGCAGCAGCGGGGTGAGCTTATGGACGAGCCAGTCCAGACGCGAGACGAGGCGCCTACACAATCCACACCAGCCGAGAAGCAGACCACGGGTCCGCAGGACAGCAACGCGTGCGACTCGGACCCCGGTAGCGCGTCAACGGCAAGCGACTTGCCTCCGAGGTGTCAGTTTTGGCCAAATTGTCGGAATGCGAGCGCCTGCAAGTTCCACCATCCTACCGAGTTGTGTCGTTTCTATCCAAACTGTCGATCGGGAGACCGCTGTCGCTTTATTCATCCGACAAGTCGCTCTGGCAGCTCGGCGACTCTGGCACTCATGCGGAAAGCGATGGGCATGCCACTGCATCACGGCATCCCCATTCCGTGCAAGTATGGATTCGCCTGTGAACGACGCCGGAAGGATCGTTCCTGTCCGTATGCGCACCCGCTGCTTGCCTGCCGCTACGGAAAAGATTGTCGTAAGATAGCCCTGGGAACGTGCGCCTTCAGCCACGCTCCCTTGTGCCGCTACGGTTGGTCGTGCACGCGACCCGGTTGTACGTTCGCGCATCCTGCACAAGAATCCGGTACCGAATCTTCCGAGCAGGCCGATGCAAACAGATCCCGAGGTGAATCGGTTACCACCCCGAGCAGCGACGCGGAAATGGATAACGCGCAAGCACCAATGATGGTGTCGGAATCCTGAAGCGCTGCCATGTACCGCGCTCTTTATTTCATAATCCAGATGTCTTTTTTGGCCTGATCTGCAGGATGTGCAATCGCTGGTCACCACGAGGCGCAGGCCTGTTGATTCCAGTGCTGCGTTCCGACTGACTGGCTGACTGGCTGGCACAACGCAGACGCGATGCCGCTGACGGGAGCGGGGAGTCGACGCCCGCCTGAAGCACCGTGCCCTGACGGGTGTTTGAATATCCTGTGTTCTGGTGGATCGCTCTTCGCTGTTGACGGCGGTAGCGTCGCTGGCGTCGCCTGATGATCGGGAACATTGTGGCTGGATATGGGCGATTTCTTGTGGATGCAGTCTCACAAATGAACATGTTTGCGCCTCGGTTCCTGCACATCCTTTGATCCGACGGATCGATTGATGACTCGAGTCGTCTGTGCGGTACGTAGTGCCTCCCGTAGTCGGGCGTTATCCCGGCTCATGCATCCAATGCGCGAGCCGCCGAGAACGCAGAGCGCACAGGTGAGCGTTGCGCACCACACATGCAAGAGGCTACCAAAGCTGACCAAGCGAGCGTTGGATGCAGTGCTCCGAATCAGTAGCGGCGAAGCGCTGTGACGCATTCAGGACTGGGACGGAGCCGAGTTCTTTACAGACAGAGGAGGCGAGGCTCTCTTCTCGGAGCCAGATCTACCTCTCTGAAGAAGAACGCCCGAAGCACCTCCCGTCGTGGGCGAGTGCTAGAGGAACGCTCGCGTCGCCGCTGCTAACGTCATCGCCGTCGTCGTCTGCTTGAGGGCATCATTACGGACGCAGGTCGCTGCCCCAGCGACACATATCGAGAGCGCGTCGCGTTTTGCCATACGTCCCAAGAAGCTTCAACTTCCAGCGTAATGTGCTAACGCGAGCGGCTCGTCGAAGCGACGGCGCAGCCAAAACAGCAATCGGATGAACACGAGCGGTACCGGCATACCGGCAATCGCGACCCATCCACCTGCAGCATAAATAGCAATGAGAACTAATAGCATCCAGCGACCGAAACGAATGTGCAGTAACCATCCGATCGTCACCACGAAAAGAAGCGGCGAGCCGAGAAAAACTTCGCGTACCGGGTGACCGGGCGGCTGCCTCTCGAGAGCCACCTGCATGGCATGCATTGCAGCCGTTGCGTCCGCCTGCATCTGTTGAACGGCCTCTTTCACCTGAGCGGTATGTCTATATGCCAGCAGGAAGTAACAGATCGAGGCGCAGTGGGCGAAGAACAGCGAGTACAGCTGGAACTCATGAGGGCTCAGCTCTGCCGCAATACCCGACACGTCAAACTCGAAGCGCTCCGATGATAGCGGGGAAGCGCGACTGACGCGGTTCGCTTCATTTGTTGCCTGCAGTGATGATTGCGTCGTGTTGAGGTAGCGCGTCAACTTGATGAAATCTGTATAGAGTTGCTGGAGCGGTTGCGACGCGTTCGACAGGCGCCCTGAGCTCGAAAGGTGGCAGGTTAGCATCAGCATAGCTGGGCGTTCGACACCACCACGGCATCCGATCTCCGTCTCCGTATCGTATGCAAACTGCTCATAGAGGCGCGTCCAGCACGGGTGCATCGAGTCGGTTGCCTTCAGCGCGAGCTGAGCGAGCCGCCTCTCGCCAGCCTGAACGACTTGGCCGGCTCCGGGAAACGTCGTTACCGCAATAGCAGGCGTGAAGCAACCCGCGAAAGCCAGAATGCAAAGGCACAGAAGATTGAACGGGGTAAATGAGCCATGAACGGCGTCAGCGACGCGTTTACCCATGGATAGGGTTTACCAAACGCGAGCGACAGCCGGCCGACTGGCCGCAGAAACTCGAGCGGCACCCGCTACCTACAGCTCTTTTCCGATGGAAACGAGAGCGTTTTTCCGTACGAGAAGACTCGCTTGAGTGTGAGAAAAGCTGCTCGATACGGTGCTGGTGCAGCGTCGCGGAGTGCACGGTGCGCAGCACGAGGCAACGCGTTTGAGAAGAGGGACGCTTTCGTGGTAGACGCGAGGCGCACCACGAGCACTGGCAACACGAAACAGTCAGAGAAGGTTTCGTGTTCACTGTGGGCGCGCACTGAACAAGCACTCGCTTTATGGGACACCCCTCGTGGTAAAGCGGCGTTCAGCCAATGCCGCTGGAAGAGGAATACGAATCCGAGCGAGCGGCTCGGTAACTGTCGCCATTCAATTTCATGTTGTTTCGCCCTTGATGCGGTGTATAGCAGGCAATCGACATCACGATGCAATCTATCGAATAGATCGTAGACGAATTGTATGTAGGATACATATTCTTTACTGAAGAGTGTAAGGAGAACTGTATTCCTCCTTCCGGTCAGTCATAAAACAGGACGCGGACGGTTGCGGAACACTGAAATGTACAAGTATACGCGCTCCGCGCCAAACATGGTGTTTTCAAAGCACGCTTGCGGTCAATGGTAGAGAAGGGCATGTTGGTCGCCGTACGGAAAGCAAAAGCGGCGATCGTATCAACCTCGGGCGTCTCCGTTTCTCATCAGCTTGTTCGTGTGGTCCTGAAAACACTTGGATACAGCCGCAAAAAAACAGTCCTCGTTCAGGCACGGCTCTCTTCCAACGAAATCGCATCAAGAGAATTCCTGGAACGTTGCGATCGGTATAAAACAGATTGACACCAATTTGTTTTTTTTTCGGTAGATGAGATCTGGTTCGGATGAAAAAGTCGGAGAGTTTATGGGTATTCGCGGCGCAGGGGGCCCGTTGTATGTACGATCGATCTCGAAGAGAATGACCGCATCATCATCTGTTCTGACTGCTGTGGAATCGTTTGGCGTTTTCAGATTTTTCGTAGAAAATGCTCACACAACTGCACCAATCACTTTGTCGAATAAATGAAGACTTTTCCCCTGACGTTTCTCGACGTCCTTCCACTGTACAACGTGGCATTTCACCATTACCGTTCGCGTTTGTGCTTTTGCGGATTCTACCAGTGAAGGGCTGCTTTTCATTCCTTCGTACGCTCCGTAGTTGAGTCCCATCGAAGAGGTGTGTTCTATCGTGGAACATAATGATCGCTGCATCGGAAGAATCGCTGCAGCTTGCAGCTAATGGTGAAAAAGGGGCACATAACGTCTTTCTTGTGCAAGTCCTTCCTTCTCACGGAGTGTCCTCTTCCGAGTGCATAAAGCACTGCGGCCATTTTCAAAATCCAGGGGATGAACTGGGATGCACACACTTCAGAAGATCGAGATTGAGAAAGGCCAGCAGAGCGCCTCGGCGATAGCAAAGCACGGAAAGCTGGCACAGCACCAAATGGCATAGAGAGCTCGAGTTCTCGCAATTCTTGCGTGGTTGCGTCTCATCCGAGGCAATGAACGCATGGAGTTCGTGAACCGAGGCTTCAATGCCGCCATCAGTATCAGACAATGTGCGACGTTGAAGACGTGGCCCGAGGAGATGCGGCGTTCTGCCTTCGTGGGGCAGTCTCTCGCGCTCGGACAGCGCCCGGATAAACTGAAACAGATCGTATGCGGCCGGTCAAAAAAGACCGGGAGGCTTCTATGAGTGGGTATGCATTTACTCCATACGGACATGGGACACTGTTTGATTCACAGACATGTTTCTGCGCATACGCACGCTCATCCCGGATAAGGCGTTTGAGGTCGACAAACGCCGCTACTCGCACGCCGGAACCGCGTCTCACGTCTCACTACGCACATTCTCTGCAAAGCCGTGCGTCTCTCGGAGTCTAGGATCTTTCACAGGAACCGGGGGATCCCAGCTATGCCACGATTATCGGCTCCTGACAAAGTGTAAGCCCTGTTGATCTTCCAGACGACATGTGGGCTTTCACTCGTATTCGTTCGTGCTGTTTTACGCGTTCGTGACGAGGCGAGGCCAGTTCTACCAGCGCGTTTCTGGGTTCCCGTTGCTTGCGAGTCGCAGCCCGGTAGACGAGCCTGATCAGGACGTCCGTTTGGCGATAGTCATCTGCCTGCATAGCGTTCGTGCTACCCTAACAACGAGCCAGGTCGCATTTCGCAGTACTGCCATCTCGCTGCTCTAGCAGCCTCTTCGTGACGCCAGGCAGCGTACGTTTTTACGCGGACGCTGCTCCGGCTGCCGTCGCCGCACCGGTGACGCCCCTAGCGCTCCCGTCCCTGGCACTTTTTCTTGCTCGTTTTCTTCAATGAACACGCTATTTCGTTTCGTATTTTTGCGAGCTCTACCGCTCGTGCAACAACCAGAGCTACGTTCCGCATCTGCAACCGAGCTCGCTGACATAGCAAAGCAGATAACCTCAACTGCACAAGATCGCTACACGCACCACCTGGAGCGTCTGGAACGTAGCCGCTTAGCACCGTCCGCTGGAACACCGTCCGCTTCCGTACCCGAGACGACCACGCTCGATGAACGCTCCCAGACGCACGTGCGTTTGGCCTCATGGGCGCTGGGTGCCTATCGCACGCTCTACCCTCTGCTCAGTAACGACGAAGAGCGCACCCTCCGAGTCGTTCGACAGGGGTTCGGCGTCCAGGGTGACAGCACACCGCAAAGCGTATCACTGCTGCAGCGCTTGATGGTGCGCTTCCGCTTGTTTCTCGCACGAGACCCGCGCCGTGCTCGTCTGATGCTTGCTGAGCGTTTCGTTGCCGACCTAGGTCCATTGTTTGAGGCGCGCTGGGCCCCGACGCGGCATCCCGAAGCGCACGACGTGCTCCTCATCCATCGCTGTCTTTACGAGGAAATCTTTCGCCTCGAGGGCGTGCCCAAACTGTTATCCTTATTTTGTGCCATGGATCGCGCCAACTTCGTCGACTTGTCACAGTTTACGTTAGAACCAGGGCTAGCATATGCCACCAAACGGCAGGCCTGTCGTTTTGATTTCGGGCCTGCGAAACTTAGCTAGCGCCTCGCTGACGCCGCCATGGGGCTGCATCCGTCCATACCCGGGCGTCGGCGCTCTGCGCAAGTCATTATCGGCTATTAGGAAGATGCCGGAGAGGATTCTTCCTGATCTGGACGTGGATGCTCTCGTTGCGCTCCCGCTCCTGCGTCGCCATTCACCTCCGCATCAACGCCCAAAGAAGCAACGTCTAGTCCTGCGACAATATCGCTTGCATACTCCGCTCGGGCGCGTTCTTCCTCGGCGATCCGCTCGCGATACCGTGCCGCCATCTCCTCTGCACGCTCGAAGACTGTTTGGGGCGAGCGCAGCATATCGCCAGGCTCTGGCTCCAGAACTTTTGTCGATAGCGAAACACGCCCTTTCTCGCGATCTTGCGAGACTACAAGCGCTTTCACTTTGTCGCCGAGCGTAAACACACTAGTCAGATCTTCGACGTGCTCGTGGGAGATTTGGCTAATATGCAACAAGCCCGACACACCGCCCGACTCGATAAAGACACCATAGGGCTTGATTCCGCGTACGGTGCCCTCGAGTATGGTCCCGGTTTCGACATTCTTGAGGCTTTTCTCAGCGAGCGCCCTCCGGTGTGAGACGACCAAACGGCTCTTCTCGGGATCCACTTCCAACAGCTTAACGGGCAGCTCCTTACCCATGAGATCCTCCAAACGCGGGTCTGACGGCAGGCCCGGAATGAACCCTGGTACCAGCACGATATGCGATGCCGGCAGAAAGCCGCGCAGACAGTCGATACGGACGCTGGCACCGCCGCGGTTCACCGCAACAACCTCGCACTGGACAACTTCGTCGTTGGCGAGCGCCTGCTGCAGCTTCTCCCAGGTGCGCGTAAACTCAATCCGTTTGATGGATACTCGCAACTGACCCTCGGTGTCCTCCGTGGCGATTATCTGAAAGTCGCGCTCCTCGCCAATCTTCAGCACCTCCTCGGGAGAGCTGACTCGGTCCATGGCCACTTCGCTCAGCGGCAGATACGCCGCAGTTTTAGCGCCGACGTCGATCAGGGCGCCGCGCGGCTCAAAGTGCACCACTCGTCCTTTCACTATCATGTTCAGCTCATATTTGTAGCTCAGATTTTGCACAGCCTGGTCGAGCTCCTTGTAGGCCGGGGCTGCCTCGGGCTCAGAAACGTCACTGAGACCGTACTTGGCTCTCATTCGCTCGAAGCGACTCGGCGCGCGGGTCTTCGTGTCCGAAGAAGTACTGGCATCTGTTATGACCTTAATTGCATCGTTGCCAGGAGCCGCTGCGCGCTCCTCTGCTGCTACCAGCGACGCTGCGGGGCTTGCGCTCAGGGGTCGCGTCGTCCGAGCAGAGAGGAGTGAACGAGGCGTCCCCAACCGCACCGAGCGGGACACAAAGTCACTGCGACTGCGCAATGGAAGACTCGCAAGAAACGCCCACATTGCTCGTTCACGAACCAGGTGGGATAAACACACGCGAACGTACGAGGACGACGACGACGTCGACGGCGACGACGATGTGGGAACGGTGTGGCGGATATGTCGTGTAACGCAGCGCAGCGCAGATGTTACGGACACGGGGCAGTGCAGGGTGTGCGCGCTGTGGTGCCGCCGTCGACGACGGCTACTGCGGCGGCGGCGGCGGTGGCGGGTCGTGCTCGCCTGCGCGATCCAGCAGCGAGCGCTCCAGCTGCGCGCTGGATGTGGTCAGAGTACGCAGCAGGCCGGGGTGCGCGAGGCGCTGCCCTTGTGTCAGGCAGTTGAACGAAACAGGTTCACCAGATTCATCACTGGATGGATCTTGAAGACTGCATCTCTTTGCAGTGTCATCAGCACCAGTGAACGTTGTGTTGTTGCCAGGAATGCTTCCAAGTACTCAATGCGATTTCCTGCTTGAGGTTGATGGTGCGAATTGAGCCTCCAGCTCCTGTGCAAGTAGTCGGAGGGCGGTGGTGTCCGAGTTCAGGTCCCGATGCCATCCTCCGCTTCCGTGTCCGGTGCGTCATCAGATGATCGCATGCTGATTGTGGGCGATCGTTCGGAGAGTTCTCTATCTCATTCGATAAAAGAATTGTGGAAGGCGATGTTTTGCATGATGAAATAAGTACCGGGAGGAAAATCCACGCCGGAGAACAGTGCGACTGGTCCCAATTCGTCTACGCTCCCTTTACGCACAACGGTGACGCAGTCTCTATTGGAAGTGATTGCCGCGATGACTGATCTCCGTGCTCAAGACACTTTACGATGCAAACAGACGAGACCGACGCCTCTGGGAGCATATTTCGGAACAGGTAGGATGGTGCTTGCCGCTTGGACGCAGGTTGCGCGTACGGTGCCCGAGCCGCGGGGTTACCGGCAGCGTACGCAGCTGCACCTGCTTCGTCGGCAGCTCTGCGATGAGCCCGTGGATGTATTTGGGAGCGGTACGGTTCCCTGATAGTTCCCGATTCTCTAGCCGAGTACTGTGAACGCCACGAAAACGAACACGGTGACGACGGCGATGACGATGAGACTCAGCGAAATTCCCAGGATAGCACTGATAAAGAGCCAAAGGACGCGCAGGACGGCGAGAGCGACGAGCACCACGCCTGCCCAGAGGATCAGTTGCTCCCAGAACGTCCGCGACGGGTCGCTTGTGTAAACGCCCTTGGCAGGCTGCACAGGCGCGTCGCGCAGGACGCGTCGGAGTGCCGGCGATATAAAGGGCCGCTCATCTGACTCTGGGAGCAGCACACTGTCGAGGTAGTCATCGTCCAAGGGCGGTGGGTCCGCGGGGGCACCACGCGCCCGCGCGACGGCGCTCCTAAGCAGGTTGGGCACGTTGCCGGGGGAGAGACGCTCGAGGCTTCGCCTCAGTCGGCCGAGCAACCAGCGCTGTAGCGCATTCAGCCGCAGCGACCGCTCACCAGGTCGTACACGCACTGTCTGGGTCGGCTGGTCGCCACTGGACGGTGACGCTGGTGACGGCTCTGACACAGCACAGCGTGCCGGTGTGCGGCTAGTTCTTGACGCCGAATGCTTCACCCGCCGCACCCGTAACAACGCGCCTCCAGACGCAAACTCGACGAAAGCATACCTCTGCAAACCGCGTTGCATAGAACATGGGCGTCTTGCAGGTTATTGGAGCACAGCCTCAGTACACGTTTATGCAACAGAAGCGCGTCGAGCGTAGAGCGTATCGGTGCAACCGAGGCCGCCCAGAGCTCGCTGTACCTGCCGCGCGCGAACCTGTGCCGCGTCAACTGCCCTGCTGCTGTCGTGTGTTGTAACATACGCTCTGCAACCGGCACAAGATCATGAGGTCGCAAGCCCACGACCCTCGGTCGATAGAGTTCACGCGCTTTCGTCGGTGCGCATCGCTTCAGATGCGTCCTGTGTTGCAGGCGACACGAAAGCGCCTCGTATTACAGACTTGTCGAGAGAGGCGCACCTGAGACACGCTTGGAACCGTCATACATGTACAAAAGGCGCATCCGCTGGCGATCCTATGCCACGCTGCTCTGCGGATCGCCGTCTGCGATGCACAGACCAGCGGCAGTGTCGCTCGAATTCTCGCCTGCTGCATGCTCAATGCGTACGCGATGAATGCCGTCCTAGTGCTTCTCCTCGGTGAGACTCGGATGCGGTACGAGGCCACTGAGATAATTCGGCCAGCGCTTCAGGTTATTCGGATCACAGTACCAGGTCTTGGTTCGGCGCAGGCCCTCTTCCCAGGACACCTGCGGCCTCCAGCCCAGCGCATGCAGCTTCGACGAGTCGATCCTGTAGCGCATATCGTTGAGGGTGCGATCTTTGACAAACTCGATGTGGCGGTTCGCCTCGGCAGACAGGCCGAAGAGATCGATAATGTCGTGCACAACGTCAATGTTGCGTTTCTCGATCTCAGAGCCTACGTTGTAGACCTCATCGGTCTCGCCACAATGCAGGATGGTGTCAAAGGCGCTCGCAGCGTCCTCGACGTACAAAAAGTTGCGTGCATGCTCACCAGAGCCGTGTACAAAGCAGGGCCGGCGTTGCGCCAGCAGACAGATACTCTTGGGAATGAGCTTGTCGGGGAACTGGTGCGGCCCGTACACGTTGTTGCCGCGTGTGATGATCACCGGCAATCCGAACGACTTGACGTAGCCGCGGCAAATGAATTCGGCGGCGGCCTTGCTACATGCGTACGGGTTCGTGGGTGCCAGGATCGATGACTCTGTCTCCATGTTGCTCTCGCCGCCGTACACTTCATCGGTGCTGACGTGAATGAAGCGCCGCACTTTGCCGTACTGGCGTGCGCACTCCAGGAGGACGTGCGTTCCCAGCACGTTGTTCTCCGTAAACAGGATCGAGGACGTGAACGAGTTGTCGACATGCGTGCACGCCGCAAAGTGGAGCACTGTATCGATGCACTCCTCCTGGAGCACGTAAAGCACCAGGTCATGCGAGCGGATATCGCCGCGAATAAACTTGAAGTTTGGTCGGTTTGCCACCTGCGCGAGGTTGCTCAGCGACGAGCAGTAGTCGAGCTTGTCCAGTACCGTCACGCGGTAGTGGGGATATCGACTCACGAGCCGTTCGACTACGTGCGAGGCAATAAAGCCGGCACCGCCAGTCACAAGGATATTCCGCGGCACGAAGCGCAGACGGTCGCCGTAGACGACCCGCGCGTCCGAGTTCCCGTCGGGCTGCCCACTGGTTACCGACTTGGCACCGTTCGAAAGCGCCGTGCTCTGCGAGGACATTTATCGCGGCAGCGTGCGCCTTTCGACTCGGACACACACAACCACACGCACCGGCTACTTCCGCGCTCTGCCTGCACGGACGGTAAACGCCACGATCGTAGCGCGCGTTTCTATTTCGACAGGATCCATTTCTAGCGAGAAACGTGTCCCAGGTATGCGACCGATGATGGCGGCTGCAGCGCCGCCACCGCGCACGCATCGCGCTGGCAAACGTCCGCAGGCTGCTGCATGGCGATCGGTGCTCCGCTCGAGGCCGCTGCCGTTGGGCATTTTTCGGGTGCAATCCGGAGCGCACCCTTACTGCGCGATTGTTCGTTGGCGACGTTCTTCCGCAACGTTTCGTTTAGCTCACGTAGCGCAAGACGCAGCGTATACGGGACTTGTACTCACTTGGACACAACGGCATCTAGTTTCTAAACGCTTATGTACGTACGCAAAGACGGACAGGTTGTGCGCGGCTGGCGCTCGTTAGTGGCGAACCCGCTGCACGCCACTGGCAAGCTCTTCCAGTGGCTGTACGGACTCCTAGTAGCGTTCTTTCTGTCGCTGGTGCAGCCGACGTGGTCCGCGCAGAAGCAGTCACGCCCAAGCGCATCATCGAGCGCGGCTACGAAAACCGGCAAGGAGAAAACGCCGTCTCCAGGGACGCGAGCGAACCCGCGGTTTCGCACGCTGAGTGACCTCAAGCGGTCGGAAGGCGCGTCAAGTTGCGCGAGTGGCCACTGCGGCTAGTGCGAGCTAGTGTGAAGAGAGCTTGGAGCTGTCGCTTTGAAGCTGAAAAGAAAACTTTCGTCAGATCTGGGTACTGTGTGATTGACTAGTACCTCAATCGAACGCATTGGAACCAGGTTTCTTTTCTCGACACGACGATACGTTTGTCAAGTAAAAAAACTGACCCAAGCTTGGACACGTAGGCGGCACCTCCGGCTGCCGCACGACGTGCACCAGTGTTCCGCTACATTTCGATCCACAGAATTTCGTATAAACACAGTTCTTAGCAATTGTCGTCGCCCGTCAACAGAAAAGAAAATATAATTTTCATACCTGGGACACTTTTCGATCCACACACGTATCACTGGTTCCCGGACAGCACACAGGAAGTTTATCGGTACACCAGAACCGTCGTGCCGCACCAGAAGAGTCGCGACGACGGCTTCGTAGCCGGTACCTGGCCTTAAACCGTCCACGGATGATCACGTCAGCCAGGCGGTGCCTCACTGCGGGTACGCAGCAGCCAGCACCGATCCGACACGCATCTACGAGGCGCAGTGACACGCACTGGCGATATGCGTGCGTTGCGCGGGAACGTCGGCCCTGGGCATGGATACGTCAGGAGCGCGTTGTTTTCGAGCCTCTGCGGCCGGCGCGGGAGCGTCGAAGGTGGTGTTCTGTCAACGAAGAAGCCGTCATGGTGAACTTTGGTAGGATGCAGTGCGTTGGTTGTTGCGTAGATCCGCGGCTTTCCCTTCTCACGCTGCAGTTGTTGCAGTGCTTCCCTGGATCATGCGGTACGCAACGAGTCGTGTGCATCAGCAACTGCCTCTCTCGGTGCAGCTACTGCTGCAGTGCGTTGTGCATGCCGCACAAGCACCGCAAGGCGACGCACTGCACCACTTGGCTGCGCATGGTTCCGTAACGCATGTCGAATGAGCTGCAACCTATCCTGATCGAGTGCCAGGCCGAGCGCCCGGGCCGCAACTTGCTGAGCATCCAAATTACCAACCAGCTCTGGAAGTAGTTCGCGGTTCCCTGCCCAGCGATTAGGGAGCGCAAAGTAGCCCCAGCGGCGAGTCGCATACATCCACAATATGATGCGGTTTGTCAGGATCGTAATGATCGTACCGATCAGAGGCAAACGACACAGAATACCCAAGATTCCGTCCCATGCGCGCATTACATCCAATCGATGCGTGGGAACGAGTACCAGGGCGGGCGTCCAAAGCGAGGCCAGTTCCGCCGTATTTGCACCAACGGTTGTCAGGCATATGTCTGTAGCAGCAAGCAACGCATACGCGGGGGATTCTTCGTGTAAAAAAATCGGCACTTGAACAGCGCTAGCTTCGAGACGTCCTACGCCGCTTGCACCCGCTGCTGGGGCGTGCACGCGATCAATAAGCAGGCACGGGGCCAGCGGGCCAGGGCCGGCCTCCATATTGCGCTCGTCTGGGTCCAGCGCTGAGGGCATGGCCTGTGCGACTTGCGCATGTGGAGCGGGTCGCTTACTTTGTTCCGTGGCTACGCTTGGCTCGTCTGCAGCTGTGAATTTGGTGCAGAGCGACGAATGAGCAGAGGCGCCCGGGATGAACTGAAACATTGAGTTGTGAGCGGGATCCGCAAAGCGCTGTACTGTTGCTGTATCCAAGCCCGGTGCCACTGGGAGCACGAACACCACGGGGCCAACACCCAAGCGCATTGCGCGCATGTGTATATGATACGCGCACAGCAGCAAGAATGGAACCATGATTGCCAGCTTGCTCGGTTTCGATCCCGGTAGCAGGCCAACGAGAATATGCTTTTCCCGCGAGGAGCCGGCCTGCAACACCGACGTACGAGGCACTCGATTCTGATGGGCTGCAGCTGTCGAGCGCACCTCACTGGAATGTTGGTTTTGGGGGCTAAGCTTCGTCTCGTGCGCGGTCGAGTCGCCCAGATGCGTCTCCGCGTAGGCCGCAACGTACAAATCGCGTAGCGTCTTCGCTTTTTCCCGAACATTGTCGTACTGCCAAACTGCATCCGTTGTCAGGTCGCCGATCACCACGATTCTGGGAACTGCTCGCCGTCGCTGCTGGAGAGTGACCCCCCAGAGTCCGAGGATCCATGCCCAAGCCACAAAAAGCCGATAAAGCAGGTGCCTGCGGGCCCGTTGGCGGATCGCTTGCCTCCGCACTGCATAACAGGAAATCCATCCGGGCCACATGGCATCCCATTCAGCATAGGCTACGCATGGGTACCCGAGCCTTCTCGCAATAAGGCCTGCAAAAAACTGGTCACCGCCAAGAAATAGAACGACCCCCTGTCGACGCCAGAACGTTTCCATGTCGGCAGACGAAGAACCTGCGTTTGAGTCGCCCGGTTCCCACAACCCATGCGACTCGATTCCGAGGAGCAGTCGCCAGAAATGGGCTGGTGGCAAAACCCGTGCCACATGCGGAAAGCGCAGCACTGCGTCCATTTCTCTACCGCTAGCGTGTGGACAAGGCGTCAACGCGATGGAAATGCGAAACTCCTCGCCGAGATGCATGAGGAGCGGTCGAACCCAAGTATAAAGCTCGCCGGGGCCGTTGCTGAGAATCAGGAGATCCGTTGAAGCAGCTGCCTGCTGCTCGCTCAGTGCGCTTCTAATGGACATCAGCACGCCAGATCGGCACGCGTGCCGACCCCAATACTGCTGCTGTCGTCGAGGCAGTGATCTCTGGTATCGCCATAGCAATGCCTGCTTCCCTGCATGGAGTCCAGGCATGCGAACATCCCCACAAGGACACCCACGATGGTAACCGCTCCGCCTTGGAGGATGCGCGGCTGCGCCTGTTAGAGCTCGGCGCCGGAGGCGCTCCGGTGCCACGGCGGCAGCAAAGCAGCAACCTGCTCGCGTTGAGCATAGCAGAGAACGCAGGTCTCGCTCGACCAGTGTTGCAGTTTGAGCCATATTGCCAGCCTAGACAACAATAACTGCCTCACCAGCACCTGCGATTGGGCGCTCAAGAGGCGTGCAACCGACGGGACGGTTCCCGGCGGGCGATGCCTCGCTGTCGAGTAACTCGTCCGCTGGCAGCGCCACTGCACGAGGTACACCCGGTCGAACGAAGGTTGGATCGGTGTGCGGCTTCGGTAACCGCCTCGAGCGTGCAGCCGATACGCAGCGTCCACAACTGCAAGCTATGCACACGAGGCATCCGTAGCCCGGGCTCCGGGTAGCGGTCTGAAGAGCTCGCACTGCGGCTCGGGTCCAGGTCGTGCGGGAACTCGGTACGGCTCCTGGGACCGCTCCTGCTCTACTAATGTTTTATGTTGCACAAACCGTTGACACGAGACAGCGTCCCCAGATACCCAGTTGTCACCAGCGACGCGCAAAACTACCACCACACCGTTCTGGATTCCTGCAGCGAAACCGGCACTCGACCAGTAGGCACATGCAGGAGCGGCTGCGACTCGCTCTGGGGGTCAGCGGGCAATGCGCAGCCCGCGCGCCCCCTGGCACGGCTAAGTACAGGCTCTGTTGCAACACGTGCACAGAAGGATCGGAGCGTTTTTGCTCGGGTACCAAAGCGGCTGCTCCCATTTCTGATATTTATAGCAGCTAGAAAGCCACACCGAGCGCTTAGCGCTACGGGAGTGCGGGTACCTGCCCCATCAGCGCACAGCTGGCGACAGGGTAGACGCCAGCGCCGGGCGACGAAGCGAGCTCGCCCCGGGAGAGCTCCCTCCCTTTGCAGGTGTTGCTCCATGAACTCTGTAGCACTCTTGTCAACTTTATACGCTAATGCCGAGAACAGTCTCGAAGTACAACCATCAACAACAAAGAGCTTGGTCAGCGGGTACGCTAAAGCTCCTCGGCCGTAGGGCGCTCATCGTACTGCTCGCTTGGCTAGGCGGCCTCGTGCTTTGCCACTGGAGGAGCCGGGTTTCAAGTCATTGCACATACCTCCTATCCTATGATCCGTCATACGGTGCTTGGAATAACCAGCTCATGGCACTATTCGTCGGTATTCATCTAGCACAGCTGCTAGGCCGCCGTCTTGTGGTGCCCGCACTGGTAGAACGCGCCCGCCCTACCACTTCGAACACCTGGTTCGATGTTCTCGATATCGATGCCGCTCTGCTGCGTAGATGGATCCTACCAGAATCGACAGCAGCCCGATGCAGGCGCCGTGGCAGCATGTCCACAGTCTTCGACGCCCGCAACATCAGCCTACGCCTCCATCGCGACGCGGCCTGCGGCGATGCACTCGGCAGCCTGCGAGATGCCTCGGCACGCGCAGGGCCGCTCCTGCTCCAGCTCGCCCATCTATACGGCCTAATGCGATGTTTTACGCGCAGCGAAGCGTCATTCTTGCGTCTCTGGCAGCGCATTACGTTGCGCGAAACCCCTGTTGCCAAGTTATGGATGCAGCACTGGGGGGCCCTCGAGGGAGCGCCCGCCTCACCGCCGCTCGTCGTTGTCGTTCACCTGCGTCGCAGTGGCTTCGAGCCGCGCGCGCACGCACGACGTCCGGATGATTTCCCGGCAAACGCGCTGCACGCATGGGTCTTGGCGGGAAACGAGAGCGCCTGCGTGTCTTCGAGTGCACGCTGCGCCCTGTGCCAGTTGTGCGCGATCCAGCGGCGCGATCCGGACGCGCGTCCGCTCCATTTCTACGTCATGCACGACGGGCATGGGGCATCACTGCAGACGCTGGCGCTGTGGAAAACTTTCGTGGAGGCTCAAGGGGATTGTGGTGCTGCTCCCAGTCGAGTCTACGATCTAACCGCGCTGGTGCAAGAGAGCTGGCAGGTGCTGTCGCCGACGTTGCCGGCCCCTGGACGGAATCACATCGTTTCGGTGGTATCTGAAATGTATCTTGCTGTCTATGGGGCGCACCTGTTCGTAGGTAGCCCTCTGTCGACCTTATCTTCCAATGTGGCTCGTTGGCGCGCGCTGGGACGGTATCCATTGGCTCCGAGCCTGAGTTACACCGGCGACCGGTACCTCAGTGCGATTCCGCACATGTTCGGTTTCCACTAGGTTCGCACGCGCACCGCTCGATGTGGTACGCTGCGCAGTGCATGCTGGAATGTCTGCACCAGCACGCTGTTTTTGTATCTTGTTATCAAAATTATTCAACAAAAGGAATGTATCGTTTTATTTGGAGAATAGTCGCGGAAAGTCTGCATTCTTCGGAAGTATTCGATCCAATCTTCGTGCGACTACTGATTTTCGGAGCAGGAGATGCAGTACGGCCTGATCGTTGCATCTGCTTCTGCACACGCGTCTCCGAGCATACACGGACGCGTCGTCGCTCGGTGTCGGCAACCGGAGCATCTGCAGCGGCGGTGTCAATACGTATGCAACCAACCTCATATACTGAAACTGTGTGCAGGTCAATACTGCGTGCTTCAAGGATCGCTTCCTCCAGCGGTTTCAGCCTGACCTCACAGACCCAGAAAAATGCGGGTCTGATGGAGGGGATTCCACGTTCCACAGAGCACATGAGCGTCCAGATGGCTCGTGTAGACGACCACTGGCAGGCGTATATGAGGCAGTGCTGGGGTCGCGATCGGCTTCAGTGGAGCGGAGGCAAGATGCGTGCATTTTTCAACTGGTTCAATGAACTGGACGAGGAAACTACTTAAAGTTCGCATCTTTTGCAGGTAGGTTGTTGCACGGGACGTGCCGTAGCTCGCAAAGGTCTGCAATCTTGCGCTTCCGACAAAAGCGTACACTGCATACAGGAATCGATTCTGGGCAATTCCTATGAATGCGTTCAGGACGACATATATTCGCATCAAGAGCACAAGTGCCCATTTAAACACATCCAAAAGATGAGCATGAAATGGAGCCGAATGCACGAGATGGTAAGGCAGCTGAATTCGAGACCAATGGTTCGCGGTGACGCAACCAGCACCCATCCGCTAAAGGCTCGCGCTATATCGAAACTGGAACGTCTCGATCAATACCCGAAAACGTACTGTGCTTCCTCATCGTCAAGCGGCTCTGTGTCGAGCGCACCTTCAAACGCACCATTTTGTACTCATTGGGGCATTGTATGGGCACGCTGAACACTTGCGATGAATTGACGTCAGTGACAGGTACAGAGGGCATTGGATGGTCGCCCCGACGCAGCCGCTGACATCGTGCAGCTGAGCGTTCCAGCACGGCTCGAGCGTCGCATCCATTCATCGAGAACGATGTCCCTGGGCGAACGAGTGAACCGTCATGTGGTTCTATACTTCGATGCTACTGCATCCATGGGGGATGCGTTCATCTAATATTGGCATGTTCATCGGTGGAAATGGGCCCTTCAATCCCACTGGCTGCATCTTCGCTTGAAGCGCTCGCTGGCACGCTGCTCAGGTACCGCGTACCGCATGCCAGCTCGGGCGAAATCCAATGCCACGCTCTTTAGTTCGCAGTGGCGATCCTGAAGATCCTCGGTATCATGAACGCCTTCATGATCGAATCGTAAACGAAGTACGTCGCTTTTCCTCAATCCACCAAAGGGATATCGGCGCGCGTGAACACTTCACCGGTTTCGATCGTACCAGCGGGCACTTCCGTGTCGGGTCCAACGAGACAGTCGCGTAGCTGGCAACGGTCGTGGATCTGCGCGTTACTCCCGACGACGCAGTTCTGGAGCAGGCATTCATTTCCGATCCTAACATGATCCATAATAATGCAGGCACTCAGCTTGCACCGCCTACCGACGATCGTGTGTACATGCACCACGGTTTGGTTTTTGATCGTAGATCCTGGAGATATTTCGACACCCTCCGCCGCTATCAAGCAATCCTTTGCGATATGAACGCGCGCCGAAGCTTGTTCCCCGCGCGTGGCCTGTGTCTCTTCGTTCTTTCCAGTGATCTGCACTGTACCTCCTTGCGTTGCCGCCTCGCTGCACCATCGTTTTGGCGTGACGGCGCTAGCGCCTCTGAGGTCGCCGTATACCACGCCCGCAGCTACGAGGCGATTAGCCTCTATGTAGGCGCTGATTGTATTAACTCGAATAATTCGACCTGCCTCGGGAGCGCTGAAACACCCCTGGCATCGAATACTTACGGGTCCGTGGCGCACTGAGTCAGTTTGGCTCTGACCAATCATGATACTGTGCAGAGGCAGAGGCTCCAGGCTCGGCAGCCAGCAATTGTCTTTCTCACCACTTTTTCGATGTGGTGATACCGATCGGACTCGAGAAGCGCTGCCAGCGGGCGCATTCCGGTATCGCTGCCACGCCGTTCGCAGCGGCGACTCCCTTCCACCCGTCATCTCGGATCCTAGGGCACGCGCAAGCCTCCTCTCAAGTACAAACTGGTTGCGGGCCAGATATGGTAACAGGTCTGCGCGCAAACTTGTCAATTGCGGTCGCACGCTAAGCAGCTCTAGTGCCGTTTTTCGAAACAAGTAGATGTGCAGGTCCAGCAGATCGCGGTGGATCATCATCGGGCCGACCGCTTGCAGCGCATCCCCCGGTAGGCGAATGTTATCCGCGCTCCCGAAAGCGCCTACATCCGGTTTCAAGTACAGAATTCGCTGCGTAACTTCGTCGACGACGATACAGTCTCGACTAGGCGTGCCGATGGCCATCTGATCGGCAGCCGTGCTTGAGCCGTGGGCAGGCCCCAGCGACTTGGCAGAACGCTTGTTGTGGTCGCTCTTGGCTCCGAACTTTGCGTTGGCTAGCATCATTGTCCAGGTAGCCCCAGTGACCCGATGCGTTGTTGCCAGCGATGCTAAATCCCAGAGTCCGAACGTGTCGGCACTGACAACGAGCACGTCCTCAGCGTCAAGGTATTTCGTGACCTTTAGAAGCGCTTCACCGCTGCCCAGTTCAGCCGGCACCGCCTCAATGCAAACATGCAGATCCGGCTGCGATGACCTTGAGCTCCGAAGCGCCATAACCGCTGGATCGTTCCCGTAGAGTTCCTCCACGTAGGACGTGACGCGTTCGAGTGCGCGCTCCGTGGTGACTAGCGTAACCTCCGGAATGCTGTTGCGTTCGATCGTGTACAGCGCGTAGAAGAGCATCGGCCGATTGCCTATGGGTAGCAAACACTTTGGGACAGCGTCCGTGAAGAGACGCATGCGCGACCCAACATCCCCGGCGAGAAGCACAACGCGAAACTCAGCAAACGAGCCTCGACGGGTTCTGTCTCTTGCATCTGTTTCCGCTGCGTTTGTCATGCTTCAGCCCAAGACCACGTGATCGGGCAGCAGCTTTGCAGTCTAAGCAGTAGTTAAGGGTAGAATCTTGCAACCAAAGCCTTTCTTTCGTTGCACGAGGTCGTGCACACAGGGTGTACCAGGCGCGGCGTGTCGTTCTGAAAAAGCGTTCGCTGGCGGGAGCGACGGCCCGTTCGCACGCTGGGACCTGCCCTGAGTGGAAAGTTAGATCCACAGCACCCGTCCGAGCTGGAATCAGTGCGATCTGAGTCCAGCAGATACCCAGTAATAGTATTCGCGAAAACAGTGAGCACGTCGACCTGGCACCAAGTCTACTGCTGGCTAGCTTCCGTGGATGCGCGGTGCCCAGCGACACCGCACCGGTGGATTGTCCAATACTGGCGATGACTGTTTGAGTTGGCAGCTTTGTCGCGGTCAACGCTTCCAATACCTCACGCACGGCGTTGCCAGCGGAACACAGAACCAGTGTCAGTGTCTTGCGAAATTTTGTAGGCATGAAGCAATCGTGAGCCGCATTGTAGACGGGCGCGAACGCGTAGTCAAAACGAAAGCTCCTTGAGGCGCTCGCTAGCATCCAAGCGACATTTTCTCTATTACTTGTCGTGCAAGTCTTGCGGAAGCACAAGTGCTTGGCGCTTTAACGAACGTAGAAGCACGCGGTCATGCACAAGAGCCCGCACTGGATACCGTGCTGCGGGCAAGCGCCTTTGGAAGCGTGCCGACAAAAATGCCGCATATCGCTGCACAACGACTGAGCGCTCGCATTACGGTTACTGCGCTTCCATTAGCAGTCGATTACAGAGAAGCGGCGCTGAGGATGCGTTTCGATACATGGTGCACCAAACGCCATTTCCTTGACTGGCGGCGCGTTTCCGCGTCCTGAGCACCGCCTTGTGTGCGCTTGTTGTGGCCAACGTTCTGTTGAACGAAACCTAGAGTCAACTACATAATCGGAGATCATCGTGCTCAAAATGCTTGCTGGCGGGAGCCGATTGGCTGACACCATTTGGTACAGCGTTCGACGCACCCCAGCCCAGCCCAGCCCAGCCCAGCCCAGCCCAGGATACGTCTCAGGGCGGCACTGATGCCTCAACGCTAGCGTCGCATTTCGGCACTTGGGATTCGCTTCGAATTGCCTTTGAAATCGTGCACGTCGCTTTGGGGACAATGGGACGGACTTGGCATAAAATCACGTTGCCTGTATTCGCGTGTTCGAGTATGCGAATGTACCTAGTAGATCTGGATAGGTATACCACGCGCTCCCTGTACGAACACGTTGTAAAGCTATCGAGGCCTGCTGTCGGATGCTCGTTTTCACCAGGCGCGCGTCGGTGCCTGAGTCGAATATTTGGACACGCTGCTTTCCCGTTTCGCTTTCGAAGTTGTTTTCGGAGAAGCCTCATGAACAACGGTGTCAAGAATTTGCCTGTGCTCGGTGACCAGGGGGGTTCAAGCATACCCCGCAGTGATGCCGAGTTCCGGAATCGGATTCGAACACAATCCTACACGGAAATCGATGACTGTCTGGAATCGGAGTGCATGGTAGGCCTCGCTATGTAGCGCTGGTCAGCATGGTAACCAGAAGTCTGTCCGTCTGTCCGTCTGTCCGTCTGTCCGTCTGTCCGTCTGTCCGTCTGTCTATCTGTGTGTGTGCGTGAGGCCTCTTCTGGTGGCGTCTTCCAATCAGGCGCTGTTATGTCTGCTGCGTCGCCGGGCGACAAGTTGCCGGCTCCTGTCCGACGCTGGGCAGCCAATGCGTGCACCCGCCGAACTGCCGCCGCGTTCCTTCGACGCCTGTGCGAGCAGTTTGCTGAGACTCAGCCGTTTCCGTCGACAACTAGGCGACGTTCAACAAGTTCACTGGAGATTATTTGGGGATCGTCTTTGCGTTCGAGTCGAGTTGGCGCTCAAGCTACGGAATCAGACGACATTTTGATTGCTTTTGGACGCATCCAAGCTGCAGCAGCCTAGAGCGCTCAACACTGCGCTTCAGCAAGTGAAGTGTTGCTTTCGACTCGGATAGTACAAAGTGCAGTCGCGAGTTTTCCTGCTTTCCAAGTTCCATTTGTGCTTTTGGTTTCCGTACGTGCGTGGTAGACCGAGTTGCAAACAAGGCACGGATTTTGAAGCTGCCGGACTTTTGGACGCTCGCTTGTCGGCCTGTGTGCTGGGTCTGCGCGCCAATGAAACCACCTCATGAGAGCGATCTTTGCGGCGCGTTGGAGTTTTCAACGCACCCTAGTAACTAGAATCATTCCGGATCCGTGGGCGCTCCCGCCTTGCCCGAGCACGTTCCCAGCGTACGAGCCCAAGCCGTTCTTTCGCTTCGAGATCATCCACCGCTCGCGACGGTCCAGCGCTCGCATAGGTCGCCTCCATACGCCACATGGAACCGTGGAGACGCCAGCTTTTGTAGCGGTCGGTACCAATGCCGCTTTGAAGATGGTCGACCAGCGCAGAGCAGACGAGGCTGGGCTGGAGCTACTCTTCTGCAACACCTATCATCTGCTGCTGCAACCCGGACCTGAAATCGTCACACAGGCTGGAGGTTTGCATCGCTTCATGCAGCGCTCACGTCCTATAATGACTGACTCTGGCGGCTTCCAGGTTTTTTCTTTGGCACACGGATCTGTCTTCGATGAGTTGAACATGAAAACGAGAAAGCGCGGGTCACCGAACCTCTTGCTCGCGGTATCCGAGAATGGCCCGGTGTTCCGATCATACCGCGATGGGCGGAAGATTGAGCTCACTCCAGAGAAATCCGTCCAAGCTCAGAAAATGTTGGGCGCCGACATTATCATTCCTCTGGACGAGCTCCCTCCATATCACATCGATCGAGACGCCTTGTACCAATCCGTCTTGCTCTCCCATCGCTGGGAAGCGCGTTCCTTGCGGGAGCACCTGCATGACATGCGCCAACAAGCGATGTATGCCGTCATCCACGGTGGGATCGATCTGGAGCTGCGGCGAAAATCTGTCGAGTATCTGACGGCTCTACCTTTTGACGGCATTGCCATAGGCGGCAGCCTGGGCAAAGATCGCGAGGAGCTCCTGGCCCTGCTCGCATTCCTGGACACCCTGCTGCCGAAGGATCGTCCGGTCCACTTGCTAGGCATCGCGGATGAGGAGAGTATCCGACGTGCGGTTCCGTACGGCATCGATACCTTTGATTCTTGTTACCCTACACGAGCGGGTCGGCATGGAACGTTGCTCACTCGACAACACGGCCGCATCCAGATCAAAAGCCGCAAATGGGAGCGCGTCTTTGAGCCGGTCGACACCACTTGTGAAGGTTTCGTGAGTCAAAACCATACCTTAGCTTACTTGCATCATCTTTGGCGCGCTCATGAGCCGCTAGCAGCAGCCCTGTTGACTTTACACAACATCAAGTACATGTGTGACGTCATGCGCGAAATCCGGACGCGGATTCTCGCCGACGAGCTCTAAGCTTTAGACATCATCAGGGGAGAACATTCAAAGCCCGCCAGAGAGTAGCCGTTGCGCGGTCGTACTCTTGCGTTTACGAGCGATGGCGGCTGCACACGACGCTAGGAAGACGGCTCTCAGCAGGAAACGCTCCCATGCGTAAGATTTTACTCGGAACAGCGCGGTCGCAAGCGTTGTCAGTACACTCATGGCCTACATGAAAGACGCGCTTATGGTATCCGAAACGCTCACACCCTAATCGATGGTATGAATGTTGCATCGGTCAGCAGACTGGGCTAGACCTGCACGAACGTTCTCCGCTTACAGCGATCTGCATAGCACATGGACGCAGAAGCTGGGTGACTCTATGTTCATTCGCCTGGACGTGTCAGCTGGACGGCTAGGAACGCAGCAAATGCTGCGTCTCTTTGGATACGATCATGTCGCTGGACAGCTCGTATTCCTCGACCAAAGCTCCGAACAATGCCGTTCGCGCGCTGCGGACGTCGTTGCGGCTCCAATTGAGGATGCCGATCAAGGTACCTTCCGGTATGCACCGAGGCACAGGGCAACAGTGGGCGCAATGTGGCAGCCGATCGAAGATCCAGCTCTGGGATAGCTCGGTATGCTCTCATCCAGTCTAGAGCATTGCACTAGACAAACAAGTCTTACCGACAGACATGTGGGCACGCGGTGGAAGCATCTGTGCTGGTGCTTTACTATGCCCTTGGCACAGCATGCGATGCACCATTGGCCCCAGGGGGTTTTGCTTCAAAGCAATGCTGCAGCGCTGTGTGGCGATCAACTTGATACCAGGCTCACGGTACGCCGACGCCAAGGCAGGCTGCGTGCGTCGCAAGTTTGACGTTCTCAGCGCCAAGAACATCTTGGCAGCCGGTGCAAGTGCGTCTATTCCGTAAACTGGCTTGAAAATCGTATACATGAACTGATGACCCGATCTCGACCCATGCCCAGGCATTTGCAAAGAGCATGCACCGAAAACGGACTGGAGTGCACGACGCTCAAACGTATTCCTCTTCGGAGGACGACGCGGGATTGATTCGCTCCGGATGATTTCCCTGCCAATGACGGGTCGTCTGCGAAGCGTCTACATCGCTCCGACACTGTGGGCAACTTTTGTCAAAAAAGAGAAGCCACTGATCGACGCATGCGCGATGAAAATGGTGACCGCACGGTAGCTTGCGAATCTCCTCCGCTGGTTCGTACTGAGAGAGACAAATCGTGCATATAGGCGCACCGTCTTCCTCGAATCCAAAGTCCTCGCACTGACTCGCATCGAACTGCACAACTGGTAGTTGCTCGACAATCTCCGGTGCGGCAGCGCGCTCCTGACGACGAAGACGCTCCGCATAGTTCACCAGGAAGCGAATAAACAGCGGCAGACAGCAAATGATGAGGGTAATCAGCACCAGCGGCAGCATCAGAAAAGCAAAGTACACGAGAACGAGAATGACGCAGATGCGGAAAAGGAGCGGTGCAGTACCCGGACAAGTTCGCGACTCAGAGAGCCAGATGCTGCCGAGTATAATCCAACCGAGGTACAGGGCATGTAAAATGCGCGTTGGCTGCTGCACAGCAAAGGCCGGTACCTCCACATCTGCCGCAAACGTGGCGCCGGGGGCGTCAAAGTCAGAGCTTGCGGCCAGTGCGGTCAAGTCGCCGCGCTGCCCGGACCGGAAAACCTCCTGCGTGATGAGGCCCGAGCCATCCGAACCGGCGGGCTGGAGCTCTAACAGCGCCACTCGACTGTACACGGAACCGAGCAGCCGCAGAACGATCGAAGCCGTCTGAAGCGCAATGAGCACACCAATCCAGAGCTTAAGCGGCGCATCACAGGGCTGATTCCGAGTCAACAGCAGCACAGCTGCTTCTACCAGCACTTCGAGGAAAGAGGCCGCGAAGCTGAGCTTGCGTGTCCACGGCATCAGGTCCGTCCGCACACGCTCGTGAACATGCGTTCGAACCTGCCGCGAGTCTGATCGAAGAAGGCGTGCACCAATGCCCCCATTCTGGGATCCTGCAGCGATCGAGGAACTCATAACGAGCGGCGTTGCTTCACCGTACTGAAGCTGCTGCCTAATCGTTTCCCTAAACTCCATGCAGTGAAGCGCCGACAGCACTGACAATGCCGCGGAAGCTGCTACGCTCCCAGTGCTCGTCTTTTCCAAACTCAGGCAAATGTGGGCAGGTTCCAAGCACTGAAACCCAAGCTTTGCCTTTCGCTCGAAGACCCGCTCCAGAAAACTGTTCCAAGACGTGAACCAGTCGGACGCTGTACGGTCGATGGGTGTTTCCGCCGCTGCTGCTGCTGCTGCTGCTGCTGCTAGGCAGCGCTGACACAGCGGGAGCAGACGGTTTTAGGGCGCGTTCAACATGTCGGCGAAATCGCCCGCTCGAAACGGATGTCCATAGAAGTACATAAAAGTAGATGATTGGGATGAAGCTTTGCACGAGACTGGCGCCTGGAGCCGCTGCTACCTCTACCCGTTCCGCGCTGTGCTGCTGCGGAGGCTCGCAGGGTGCAGCATTCCTGCCACACGCGGCTCCGAAGCTCGTTCAGTGGTGCAAGGCATCCACGCTGATGCGTGGCATCGCAGTGTGGTCGAGCGGTAGCGCGGCATCCGATCCGACGCAATCGTGCAGTGCACGACGCGTGCTTATCAATCCTGTACATCGTACTCCGTGTTGCCGCAAGCCGCGCGTTCTGTGTCCAGTGCCTGCCTCGTGCGCACGCATACATGTGGGTGTACGCTGTGGAGGCTGCCTCTCCGTCCCTGTTACTTCTCGAGAGCGCCGCACCTGCGACCCGTATTCGCGTTTTCCCGTGCGTAGATGCGATGACTTTGACGGTTCTCCTTCACGTTCGGGCACATAGGACGCCACGCAGGCACATGCTGCTTCTCTGTCGAGCCGATGTTCGCCACGGCGATACAAAACCCGTCCCGCCGTCGCACATTTCCTACAGTAACAGCAGTGTGTCCAGCGTTGCAGAAGCCGAACACGATGGGCACAGCGCCCACCTGCTCATTAGATCTGGATTCTATTGCATATGGACGTATGTCTCTGGGATTTCCGGTATACATGATCGTATCTAGAGGCGCTCAGATCTCTATTGCGTTCCCCTGCATCATTTTTGCTGCCGCGAGAATCCTGCTGCAATGCATCGATCGAGCGATCGATCGATCGATCGGACGCGCGCGGCAGTCCTCGACGGGGCGCGTGCACGCGACGGTGCCGCCACCTGCCAAAGCTTCGCTGAGCGCACTGCAATCTGCCTGTGTAAAGCCTCAAGTCGTAGACGTTCGGCGGCGTTCCTTCGAACAAGATGCTCGGTTTCTGCTCACTTCTGGGAGCGTCGGTCTACCGTCATCGATCGAATGTTGGTGGTGTGACCAGGATAGCGTACGGCAGGCGAGACGAAGCTGCTCGACTGGGGGCGCTCGCCTGGTACAGGAGTCACGGAGGCCAGCGAGCCGCTGCGCGCGACGTAATCGCTGGCGTGGCTCGTTTGACGTGCAGTGACTCAAGAAAATCAAAACAAAGCAGATCTAGCGATAAGAAGAGACCCGAAGTGCAGTCCTTGCCTGATGAGGACAGAGTCGAAATCGTACAGGTTGTTGATCCAAGGGAGCCGAAGCTTGAGGCGCTTCCATGTTTCGTCGAAGACGCCGTCACCATTGAAGGCGTCGAGTACCTCGTCTTGTCGCCGTGTCTGCAGCCGGTTGTATTCGCTCGTTTTGAAGACGGTGAGGATGAATCTGCCTTAATACCAATCGAAGACCCGGTTGAAGTTGAGTCCTTGTTCAAGGAAGCGTTCCTTGCTCTTGCGGAGGAAGACCTGTGCCTCGTGCGGACGGCGGTAGTTTTTACCGTGGACGGAGACTTGAGCCAATTTTTTGACGACGATGACGACGACGATGAGGAAGAAGAAGACGATGAGAACGACCTCAAGGATCACGAAACAGCGACAGCGGCCAGTGCCGTCAATGGCGTCGACGATACGTTGCTAAGGGATGCGCTCGACGACCTCGGTTCCGCCGGCGCTGGTGTCAACCACTACGAATTAGCCGCTGATGATGACGCCGAGTCGGTCAGCGACATCGACGATGAGTTGGAGCTCGTCACTTCGGAGGAAGAAGAAGTCGAAGTACTGGTGACATTCCAGAACACGGACGGGCGGGTTTACTACGTATGCGCTCCAACCGAACCACTATTCCTCATTGGTCGACGCTCAGAGCCAGAGTCCTCTCTTGTGGCGGTTGTTGATCGTGAGGAACAGGACCGCGTTGGACCTCTCATCGAGCTCAAGGTTCAGGAGCGACTCGATCGTGCCTCCAAGACATCCGGCAGAGTCTCCAGCTAACAGCGCGCTGAGTGCTCGTGGTCCGTGAACCTCCCTTTCTGCGCATCTGGCTGCGAAGCATGCCACATAGCTCTCGGTCCCAATGTCGTACAGGGTATCGAGCCCCGCTGCAGCGCAGCCCCAGATGAGCTCTGCTTCCCGTGTGTGTGTGTGTTTGTCTGTATGTGTGTGCAATAACCTCAACAGAGTCCCGTTGCCGATACATGATCATGTAAGCGAAGCATCGAACGTCCCCAGACTGCACTCGCTGCTATTGTCGCGATATGGAAGAGTTGATGGGAGGAGAACCACAGGTCGAACTTTCCCACCCAGACTTTTTCGGGAAAACGGGTGACGTAGAGTACAAATCCAATTCCATAAATTGACCACATGACGAAAGCGTGACGCAATAACCATGCTGCGTGTTCCAGCTGCAGTGTGAGACCAACTGCGAGCGGCAGTAGACCCCAGCTCGTATAGCCAAGGAATGTAATATTCCGGAATACAACGTAACCGTGCCGGTGTGCGTACCAGAGCCCGACCACTGCCATCATGTAGAAAGCGGCGTTGACCCATAGAAACTGAATAGCTATGCGCCAGTGGCATCGATAACCAATACCGATAGCAGGAATATAGCTCGCGCAGATCAAAAGCAGGATTCCCTGGTGATCCGCCATTCGTAGCACCCGATACGCCTTCACTGAATGCGTGAGGAACAGGTGGTACACTGCACTCAAGAGAAAGCACGTTGCAGCGGCAACATAGTACAGCGATATCGTATATCTATCGAGGAGTGGAGCGTCTCTGAGACGCATCCAGAACATGTACGGCGCGATGCCCGTCAGGTACACCAGCGCAGCCACAAAGTGAGTCCACACGTTCATACTCTCGTTATGCAACTCAAAAAACGATAACAAAATCCGTTTTACAGACCGCGCGTACTCGTCATAACTTCGATAGTGACCGACAATACCCGGACAGTGCAGAAACTCCGGTGTCTCCGCAAGCGTCGTCACGACTGCGCCCTTCGCCTTTACGCGCCGACGAGGCGTACCTGCATCACCCAGCGGGCTCCGTTGTCGAGGCGCCCGTTCGTCGGCGTCGGTTGGCATCCCACCGTTCCGCGGCATATTGAGCTAGAACGTTCAAAGGAGAATGTTGGATAATGGCGAACGCACAGCGAAACCAGGGCACGGGTCAATAGGTGACGCTCCAAAATCCAGCGCGCGTGAATCGCTGCTTCTTCTTCGTGTGCTGCTGCTGTGGCTGTTGCGGCACCAGCGCAGATTCGCGGGTTGCGTGCGCGTGCGCGCTGCGCCCCCCAAATGCGCCCCGATGAGATCCAGACGCGCATGCAGGGGCGGCGACAGAGGCGAGGCAGCATCGCGTATGCTGGTGCGTTCGATCGACGCCTCTGGCGAGGTGCGTTCAAGTGCACAGTACCAGCGGTAGCGATCATCTTGTCCATGAAGAGGCGTCAGTGCCTTACTGATCCCTAATCAGTGTGTTTCGGTGGCGAATAGAGGCTGGACCGATCCGATCCAGCAGCACGCGGGATGCCGGGTGCTTCGGAGGCGCTTGCGGTGGCGCATTCTTCAGAAGAGGGCTTGAATCCTGAATATAACCTGCTTCGCTCGATCATCGCATCATCGATTCGAGTGGCACTGCGGATCGATTGTCAGCTGCCTGCGCTCGGGTCGATCTGCTGGGGACTGTAGCGTGGAGCCGGCTCGTGCGCTGGGATGTGCTGAGTCTCATTGGGAATGCTGATCACAGCCTCATTCGTCAGCGCGCAAGAGATGTGTACGCGGAGCGCAGAATGCAGGACGCAGCACATCGAGAGGATATGTGGAATGCGCGAGCCCTGTACTGGCAGCATCGCGCCCTGCTCGGACGCTTTCGCGCCCGCGTTGGGCAAGCGCGCGTTGCGCATGCCGAATGCTTCAGTTGCAATCGAGTCAGGGAGCCATGCTCTGCCTACATCTTACAAGACCCTGGATATCTCTCGGGTCGCAGAAATCAAGACGGGTACAACACGTGCTTGTCATCGTTCTGTTTGACTTGCTCGTCCTACTCTATCAGGGGGCCGGCAACACTCTGGAGGTAGCTTCTGGGGCACGCAAGACAGGCGCCGAGCCAGCACGCATTCTTCGCTCAAAATTGTGCTCGAGCAGGATGCCTCTTGCTCTCCTCTGGAGCACGTTCCGTGAGCGACACCCCAACGGCCTCGTTGACGCATGCCACGATTCATGTTGTACGTATCTTACAAGCAGAACAGCTTTAAGCGGTCGCAAATGATTCATCCATGGAGGAAGCTCAGCGGGTCCTTCTCGCGAGCTGCAGAAACCATGGTAGCGGTTTCGAGTGCAGACCGTATCCGCTCGCCTGGTCCAGCGTCCATAGTGTGCCTTCCACAAGCGATCACCGGCTGCGACGACTTTCAATCACAGCTGCATCGACGCGGACGCATCCTCGGCAGCCGCAGGGTCGCCGCATCCGTCGATGCCCCATGCACGACGAGAGAACAAAACTGGAGCTCACAGAGCCTGGTACGGTTCAAACAGAAGCGGCAGTGTCTTCACCTGCTACCGATAGCGACCATGCATCCGGAATGAGTCTGTCATATAAAGCGTTTTTACACCTTTCACAATGGCAACAGCGTTCAAAATCGCCTGTTTATCTGTTCTCCGTGAAAACCTTTTACCAGCGCGTTGTGCATCGAGAGCGCTGGGCAACCTGAGAAGCACGCTCTCTGCAAGACTGTTCGCCGAGCGAACGTCGAGTAACGCATCGTGTACATATTCAACCATACCAGCGCCTAGACGAGGCTTGGGCTTTGTTCTCATACAACTCCATGCCGTGCGCGCACCCTGCGATGCATGGACCTTCACAGAGGTCGCTTTGGCTCCCGCTCCGGGGCACTGCGCTTCGCGTCCGAGGTCACCGACCGCAGCGCGCACCTGTACAACGAACGATACGACCACACACCGAAAGTCTGCGAGCGTCTTCGAGCACGACGTCCGCAAGCGCACGTTCCGTTTTCCAATTGCATCTTCTGTTTGAAAGCAGTGTTTCCTAGACTCTACCACGTCACTGTTTGGCGTGAAACGCGTAGGTACCGGCACTCGAGACCGCTGCCCAGCCAGCACCGTTATATACGAAAGGTCGTCGCGGAGCTTCTCGACCAGTGGTCTAACTGCTCGCGAAACCCGTTGATATTGGTCTTACGTCGTGATAGTCTTGGCGCTTGTGGGCGTCAGAGCTGCGGTTGGTGGACGGGAGGTCTCTGTTAGCTTCTGAACGTGAAAGCCGAGAAAGAAAGGACTCCGTTGCACGCCTCAACGCTTCAGGCGGCAGCGTCTTCATGTTCATTTTGCACTGGCGTCCTCCGCTGACGACTTGTCTGACCTTTCGACAACTGGCAATCTCTCGTTTCAATCTGGGTCGTAGGATTACAAGGTCTAATACAGGGCGCTGGCTTTGTATGTCGAGTATCGCTAATCAAAGCACGCTTCGCTTGCTATCGCAGGCCGAGGCGCAACGCGTCGATGAAGCGCTCATGTCAGAAACTATCGGCTACAGCCTAGAGCAGCTCATGGAACTCGCCGGGCTTGCGGTGGCCTTGGCAGCAGCTCGCGAGAATCCTAAACGCAGTCAGCGAATTGTCGCAGTCTGCGGTCCCGGGAACAATGGCGGTGACGGTCTCGTTGCCGCTCGCCACATATGCATTCTGGGGTACGAACATGTCTTCGCCATTTATCCGAAACCGGGATCGCATCCCCATTTCCAACGCCTCGTGAAACAGGCAATGAGCCACGGTGTGCGCTTCGTAGACGCTGCAGCCTATGAGCAGACGATCTGCGAGGCAGACGTCCTGATCGATGCCCTTTTCGGTTTCTCGTTTCGAGCGGATCGACCGATGCGCGATCCATTCGCCACGCTGATCCGTCTTATGAACGCATCGCCCCGGGCGACAACGGTGCTTGCGGTGGACATCCCCTCTGGCTGGGATGTGGAGCGGGGTCCGCCAGAGGCCATGCGTCCCGCAGAGCGCACCGCATCCGACCCGCGCTCTTCGACAAGCGGCGATCAGCGTGCACCAGCCTCGAGCCTGGCGGTAATGGCGAACGTTTGGGTTTCACTGACAGCCCCGAAACGCTGCGCTGCTTTCTGGCAAGGGCGCGCCCATTACCTTGGCGGGCGTTTTGTTCCACCAGCGCTCGCAAAATCCATGCAACTTGAGCCGCTTCCATACACAGACTCGGAACTTATTGTGCGCATTGATCATCTGTTGCCGACATCGATACCCGGCCACCAGCAGGAAGCCTCAGAGTCGCGATAAAAGAGCACGCGCAGCAACAGCTGCTGGCGAGCACGTCGCCAGCCGTATCCAGTGAGTTGTTTTCAAGGGCATGTAGGTTCATTCAGTATAACGAGGTATCCCGGCGAGCGCGCCGTGCTGACCGGCTTCATGAGGAGATTGTCGATGAGGTTCACGGCGCACGCTCGCGGACTGGCGTGATAGCGTCGATCGACGTTGCACGATGCGCCTGCTGCGGGCGCTGTGCGCTTACAAGAGGAGATTTTTTCTTCTGATGAAAAAACGTTTCCATGGACCATGGATCCCAGATAGCAGGATGAATAATGGTAATCTAAAAAGCGTCCATCATGAAGCACCTACCTTCAAGTTCCATTTCTTAGAATTCCTCTCGGATATCCTGGTCGTTTCGTACATGCTATCGTACGCCGAGTGTCAGCCGTGAAAACCCCTTTTAGCGCTGATACCTCTGGAGCGGATGCATCACAGAGACAGATCGGCTTTGGCATACCACTGCGGGCGTCGTCTCGAGTCGTCGTTCATCCGACATAGGTTCGGGATTCGTAATCATTTTGTGAGCCTGCAAGCTGTACAGACAGACCTACTGCCCGCGGCACCGCGAAGCGATATGCTAGGAGACCATTGGGACCAGGGCGACGCCTAGATGCAGCCTTACCGTCCTTATTCCTAGAATGAAGTGCGTTTTACGGACGAGTTGCGCAGGTCTCGCCACACCACACGCCGCCGGGGGAGCACGGAGCGCTCGCCCGGCTGACTCGTCCAGCTCGCTGGCCTTTCGTCTAGAGGGTAAACGCTCGACAATACGGAAAATTTTTCCCTCTTTCAACGCTTAACAAGGAGGTCGAAAGAAATTATTATCGAATTGCAGCTTGCGCATCGTTTTCTACTCCTGAGCTGCGCTCACGTAAACCCGGTATCGGTGCGACCACGGCGTGCATGGAGGCCGGCGCGCGCTGCATGGCGCTGACAGCGTGGCTGCGCACTGCGGCCGGTATATGCCTCGTGCTTGCTTTCTGAGCGACTGCAGGTGTGAAGCGCAACCGCTGGGTACTTGGTGTGGCCCAGCGTTTCAATTGCGACGTTAACTTGTTCATCGTAAGGGTGGAGGCCTTGCAGATGGCTTTATGTTTCTTCCACGAACTTTACTGAGCCGAGCGATGCCCTGGAGCGAGCGTGTCTACTTCAGGCAACGTGCCGACGCCACGCGTAAACCGCTGAATGGTCACTACCAAGCCGACTTGGAACTAGACTGGCCGAAAAAGACCAAGAAGTGCTCGTTTCTTGGATTCCGGTACTGGATGGTTCTTGCTTTTTTGAGTTTTTTATTAGGTCTGCAGGGAACCGTTCGTTTTTATCGCAGCCGAGCTCATCTCAGTGAGGGCGCAACATTTGCACCGGAGGCGGCCCTCGTGCGTCTGCACAGCGCCTACTGGAATTTTTTGGAGCACCTCAGCACGCACTGTAAGTCAGCGGCTCCTCGACGGCTCAGAGTTCAGGGAAGTCAAGTGCATCTGGCTATCGTCCGACCGTTCTCCACGAAGCATGTTGACTTGCTTGAACGTCGCACGCAGGACTGGATCCAGATGCCGCACGCTATTCCTTGTCTTCGCAGCAGGGATGACGAGCAAAACCTGATGACCGCTGATGTGGACCTTATATTCGTGTACAGCGCGTCGGAGTCGGAGCATCGTGCGCACGATGAGGGGTTTCGGGCGCGTTTGCTCGGTGCCGCCCAACCGCTTCTACAGAACGCATCTCAAGTGTCCTGCTTTCGACAGATTCATTTCTGGGGGCACGTCATCGATATGCGCGAAAGCGACGTGCATCCCGATGTCACTTGTGATATGTTTTACTCGATAATGGAACGCCTCGCGGAAATCAATGACACCAAATATGGCCCCTATACACACTTCATGCTCATGGAACCGGACGTACAGCCGGTCCAAGCAGGCTGGTTGTCTGAAGGCATCCAAGATCTTGCTCATATAGCAGCCGTAGATGGCACGTGGGTGATTGGAAGCATCTCGCATAACCCCATGGATTATCGCGATTACCATATGAACGGGAACGCTTTGTACGCGTTAAAAGACAAGGCGTTTCGCGTCGAGTATCTGCGCAATCGAGTGCAGCGCCGTTATCGACGCAATGCACGTGTACCCTTTGCAGATGGATGTAGTGGTACTGCATATGGCGGCTATGATGTATCCCTTACAGGATACCTGTATGACCTGCCGATGAATCGAGACGAGTGGCGCTACGTCACCCAGGTATTTCATCGGTTTCGAGCAACAGATCGAATTCTGAATATGGGGAACGCGCCGGACTGGCGACCGTGGCGCACTGATTACGGTATCGGTTGTAGAAGTATGCTGGTACACGGAAAGAGTGCAAACAATGTGCGGAACATTTGGGATCCCGCTGAGCAAGGCTGGACGGTCGAGAAAGGTACCAGCTCCGGACGACCTACCAAAACCCAGATTTACTGCGAGATCAGCCGCTTTCTGGAGCAGTTGACAGAGTCGGCGGATCCCGAGTGTACATACCGTTTCTGCCATTCAGAGACACCCTATCCGCCGCGTATTTTTATGGATTGGGTCCGCGCACAACTGGACTCCGCTTGAGAATGACCTCGGCGCGGGATTCAGCATCCCGCGCCTGGCTGATCGCCTTATGAAAACATGATGGGCCAAGGCACACTGACGACCACTACATATGCAAGCTTTTCAATCGAAAAATGCTGCATGTTACTCGGCGATTGGGTCCTGCGCTCAACAGACTAGGAACGCTAGAGCGTCCGCACTTCCAGCGCGCCCTAAACAAACCTGCTCCGTCCCGCTCCATAGACTCCACGAGTTACATGCCGTCTCCGGGCCGCCGTACCGCGTCTGCGAAGCTACAATCATGTACGTCTGCAGTGAAGGGATCCTGTATCCATTAGGTACCGGACACTTCCTCCATAGACGCTGAAACGCTGCTTCAGCGTTGTAGGGGTCCTGTATCCATTAGGTACCGGACACCTCCTCCACAGACGCTGAAACGCTGCTTCAGCGTTGTAGCGGTCCCGTATCCATTAGGTACCGGACACTTCCTCCATAGACGCTGAAACGCTGCTTCAGCGTTGTAGCGGTCCCGTATCCATTAGGTACCGGACACCTCCTCCATAGACGCTGAAAAAGTGCTGAAATGTCGGCGATTTCTAGCACGCAGCACGTATCCGGCACAGCGGCGCATTTTGCCGTCAAGAGGCCGCTGGAGGCGAAGCATGCTCGCCGGCTCCTTGATGACATCCAGCAGATGATGTCATAGCTTTGAAAAATGATGAGGCAAACCGTTTGGCTCGGCATATGGATGGCTGTACTAGATCGATCTAGGCTCTAAATCCCACCGGTAGACAGGCCTGGAGCATGTGGAAGGAACGGGGGCAACAGAGAGTATCGTGAGCGCTTCACTGTTTCTCCACGGCAATTGCGTACGCGATTGCATCTGGCTTGATGCATCCATCTGACTCGGGAAAAGAATTCCATGGTCAATTGGTTAAATGAGATGCACGAGGCTGTTGGCCGCAGCTCGTGCGCCTGAATGTGCGGTGTATGGTGTTGTTGGAATTGAAGGAAGCTGGATCTTCAAATGTAGGTGCTTTTTAGATAAAGCAAATCAGATCATCAGCTGGGTCACTGGAGCGCGCCCTCCTAGAAGAGGGTAGACGCGCTCCAGTGAGCGATGGCGGCTTCACGGTAGCAGAGCTCTGCCGATACCTCACGAGCGTTCCGCTTTCTGCCCCAGGGGGCGACATAGTCTGCCGAATATCGGGCGCATGCTTGGAAAAAACGTATACCGAATGCGAAAAAAAACGAATCATCCCGTATCGGGTTGCAACGAGCAGCAGATTTTCGGACACAAGCTCAAAAGAAGCTTGTATCGAATGCACAAACGTACGCTTGTACACGGCGTTACAGACCGCGTTCACGCTCAAGAACATGCTCTTGCAAATGTGACTGCTGCGAGTATGCTGCCACACGGGCGGCATCATGTGCCTCCTAGCGCCCTTATAGGTGCACACATCACACTCGGCATCCGGAGGATCGCTTGAAAAAACCATGATATCCAACGAAACGTACGGTGCATGCGATCCATGCAGCGCCCACGGTCTGGAGCGGACTCGTAACCTAGTGCTTGGATGCCGATATCTATCGCGCATTCATGGATGGATCGCCAGACTTATGGATCTACCAGTCTCGTCAAAGAAAATCAAATTTCCTTCGGGGTCCGATCGACGCTTTCTAATCGCTCCTGATGAGCGCCGCTCTCGAGGCTCTGCAGCCAGTCGACAATGAGTCGGTGAGCGATTGCTTCGCGGGGCGGTAGGTGCGGCGCCGGCGGCCTGGCCTCGGGCGCAAGCATCGCGCGCACTTGACCTGCAGAGAACCACGCCACCGACTCTAGTTCTCCATCAGATGGCCGCGGTTGAGGCAGCACCTCATCACGCGGCACCGAAGCATAGAAACCAAGCATCAGTTGTGATGGGAACGGCCACGTCTGTGAGCTTGCATAGCGCACTGCCTCTGGCCGGAGCAGGATGCCCGTCTCCTCGGCCACCTCGCGCACAACCGCCTCCTCAAGCGTTTCACCGGCTTCGACGAATCCGGCAATACAAGAGTAGCGTCCCGGTTGCCACTGGTGCTTGCGACCGAGCAAGCACATTGCATGTTCTGGTTTCGAATGGTCTACGCTCTGCGAGGCCACAACGAGCACAATCACCACAGGATCGATGCGCGGGTAGACGGAATGCTCGCAGGCGCTGCATTGAAGCAGACGGCCGATGCGGGTGCTCGATGTGATCGCTGGCGCACAAAGACGGTTTCCGCAAGAGGTACAAAAGCGATTACGATGATACCAGTCGGTAAGGATTCTTGCTTGCGCCAGCAGGGCAGCCTGCGCATCTGTAACGCTTACGGAGCGATCCCGGAGAGCAATCATGGCGAGATCCTCTGTGTCTATACCCAGTTTTTCCAATTGATCCGCGGCCAATCGGTTCTCAGAGTCGGCAGCTACCTCGAGCAGCGCGCGCAGGGTCCTCACTGCCACACCGTGGGCACCCAAGGCGCCGGTGCCCCGCTCTCCTGAACGCTCGGCCGCAGTCGGTGCACGCTCAGCAGCGAGGTGATCGTGCACATCTGCTACGAACAGTTCATGGAACGTGGTGTCCCCCGTCGATAAACAGTGCTGAGCGCTGGACCCTCGCTTCACCAGGCAAGGAAAGAGCTTTCTCAACATTTCGTCGTCCATTGTTCCTAAGAACCCGACGTAGACGCCGCGACGCACAAGGCGCTCAAGCTGTTCCTCATCCGAGAACACATCCAGTGCTACGAGCTCTGTCCCGTTCAGAGGATCAGGTCGTATTCGTACGAGGTGTCCGAGGCGCCAATCGCTCGGCAGTACCCAGATTTTTCGAGAAAACGGTGTCGACGTCGGCGTCTGCAAAGCGTGCGTACCGCTCTTCGAAAGCGCCCGCTCCCGATGAAAACTCAAAGGCGGGAACGATAAATAGTTCGGATGATACCCGTCTCCAGAAGCATTTTTTAAGGAAGCGTTTTCCGACAACATGACCAGGTGGTTTTGGCCAAGTACGCGGCTCTGTGCGAGAGAGACTCGGCCGCTTTTCCAGCGCAGCACCGTGCGCAGTACCGCTTTTCCGACCACACGTCCGGGCTGAAACGACTGTAGGCGTTGCGTCCAATCTCTCTTACCTACAAATTGCCCCGAACTCCTCCAGTTAAAGCTCCAGAGTCGCGGGAAACGTGGCAGAGCAGAGCCCCCCTGCCACATACACACCGGCGTAGCTGCACAAGCGCTCAGCCGCAGCCAGTGCCTTGGTGTTCCCGACGGATGCGCGATTCGGAGCCTAGCCGCTCCTCTCTGTGCCTGGGGGCCGTTGCCTCCGCTCTGCGACAACGTCCCGCTTTTGGTTCACCACTTGGAAGCGCTTTCACGTGCGCACTGGAGCTGGATCAAGGACCTCTCAGTTCTAATGAAGCTTCTTTGCCGAACCGATTGACGCCAAGATCCAGAAGAGGCACCAGCGCCGGCACATACGTCCACTACACCTACGGCACTGTTGTCAGGCGGCCGGCTCCACTGCGTCGCCTTCTTTCTGGACGTTTTTACTCTGTTTGTGTTCATCAGCTTCTTCTATGAGCTCTTTGTGGAAGCCAAGCAAATGCGGCAACTCAGCCCGTGCTCGGAAAAATACGTAGAGCCACATGCCGGTGCCGAAGGCCCAGACGAGGCGTCGTTGCCGCAGACTCGGCTGCGGTGGAAAGCTCCAGTGTTCGCCGTTGTGCACCCCGCCCATAGCTCCCTCCAGTTACAGAAGCTCAGTGGAACTTTCAGAGCGGTTCAATTCAAACCCTTCGTCGGCGTTCCAAAGCGAAGCTGTTGACGCGGTGCAGCGCCTGCGCAGCACCGATGTCGCTTAACCGGAGACGCACTGCGTCGTTCCATGGAGGGCGCGTACGTATGTGCGCCGCTGCGCGCGGTCGACGGGCGACGAAAAATCGTTCGACCTCGTCACTTGACGGCTGGCTCATATGCCCATATCTAAAGTTCCTTGAACTCGTTACGTCAAAAATACTCGATTCCTTTTGAAACATAAATTTTTCTCTTTTGTAGACGTCCAAGAAATATGGTTGGAAATCAGCAAGTTGCTGCTCACGGACTTGCTCCCAGAGGCTCCTGATTCTAGTGTCTCCATGCAACAGGGTATCGGATTCGGAGAGTAATCATCGCTGTGACCGCTCCCAGAGGGGAATCCGTCGCTGCTACGCTCGAAGAGAACTTAGATATATCGAAGTCTCTTGAAGTCGTCTTCAACCCGAATTTCCCTTTCGGCGTTTTTTGAATACGGACAACATCGCGCACCTCAAATTATCTTGTGTGCGGAGTACACTGTGCGATAGAAATTGAGTCATCTTATAAACTCCAGGCTTTCTCCTTCATGTCTTTGGCATCCTGGGAACGTCATTTGGGCCGTGGAGGGAAGCAGCGGGTGAGTCACAGAACGGAACCGCGTGCGCTTGCGCGCATGCATCAGACGTAGTACCCGCCGAGGCGACCGTTTAGAGGGAGCCCGTAATCGTAGGCTAAAGCACCGCGCGCGGAACGGAAGGAGGGCACCAACTTGAGCCTCCTGTATCCATCACGAGCACGTGCGAAGCAATGAGGCCAGCTTTTGAGCAGCAAAGGATAGCCCTCGGAAAGGAAAGAGGTTTGGTGGATGCATGGAAACACTGGATCAAAGCAAAGTGTTCCCGCTGCGAAGGGAGCGCAGACACTGGATACAAAGAAGCCTCGTGTATCGCATCCTCCACCCGTGCATGGAATCCGACATCAACAGCAGGATGCAGCTTTATTGCGACTTGGTCACGTCATTAATATCCTTCCAATGCTGGCAGCGTAACTGGAAGAGAGCCATCAGCGTATATCATGTTGGATATGAGAGCGAGGAAAAGAAAGCACCTACATCAAAACACTGCAACTCGGGAGTTGATGGCATTTTGAAGTGAAACAATCTCTATTGCATACTACCGTGTTCGCATACTGTCCCGTCCGAGTTTATCTGGATCTTTGTGACGAGCCTTTCGATCGCAGCCCAGCCAGCGGGGATGCCTCCGCCACCCAGACACACGCACGCACACAATACATTTCATCAAGGCCGCGGCCGCATTTAATGGAATTCCCTGGAAGCCTTTAGGGAATCTTCCGTGCCCAGCAGCGGCATCCACGCAGCATAGGGCTTGGGTACTGTCAACGAAGAGCAGAGAAAGTACGCCCCCCGCCTTTTGCCTTTTCACGCGAGCGGTGCACGCTTGGGTTCAGCCCTTCTTCAGGTGTTTTGCTGACTACGAATAAAACCTCCCCCGCGTGGCGTTCAACAACCAAAAGCGCGGGACTTGTTGGAGTAACCGTTGATCGCTTGTGACGGTTACGCCTGCACGCCTACAGCCCGCGGTCGCTGTTGGGAAGCGATCTACGCCCGCGACTCGACTTCTCACGCCGGACCTGCAGGAAGCGTTCCTTAGAGTTCAACGCTTTGTAAGGAAGCAAAAGGGCTTGAGTAGTTTTGCTGTGCAAGGGTAGTTCCCGGAACGGGCTTGAAGCAGAGTTTTCGTGAGCAGCGAACGGCCTGCCCCAACGTCAAGTTCTGGGCACGAGCGTCGCTGGCACTGTGGACGACCTACTACAGCAAGCGCCGTTGACGAATACGCATCAGACTATGCCCCGCACTCCTAGACAACAGTGGGGCACGTCCAGCTGGATGAACGACTGCGTTCCAGATTTGGGAACAAGAGCACCATCAGGAGACAGTGGAGGCGAGCAGAGCTTTACTGTCCCTGACGAGCCGCTCTCAATGTCGTGGCATAGCAGGAACGGCGAGGTTGCAATGGGGTTGGATGCTACCTCGCCTGAAGCCGCTATGGCACGTCAGCCAGAGCAGAGGGTCTCTAGAGGGCCAGAGCCGGGGAACTCTGAAAGGGCAGATGGGCGCTCTGCGACACAACGAGGGGACTCGATTTACTCCTCCGGAATAGATTCTGAAGCCGAGGGAGATGACACAGAGGAAGATCTCTCGTGGATCTCATGGTTTTGCTCACTGAGTGGAAACGAGTTTTTCTGCGAAGTCGATGAAGAGTTCATCCAGGACGACTTCAACCTCACGGGTTTGTCTTCCTTGGTATCATACTATGAATACGCGCTTGACACAATCCTTGACATAGAATTGCCAGATCCCGGTATCGATGAGCGACAACGAGAGATCATCGAGATGAACGCAGAATTTCTATACGGCCTCATTCATGCAAGGTATATTCTGACGAACCGAGGGCTGCACGATATGCTGGAGAAGTACAACAATGTCGATTTCGGTCGATGTCCGCGTGTATTCTGCAACGGCCAACCGGTGCTACCCGTGGGACAAAGCGATCTTCCGCGCACTGCAGTTGTGAAACTTTTCTGCCCCAAGTGCTGGGATATCTATGTCCCAAGAAGCGCTGCGCATAGTCACCTTGACGGGGCTTTCTGGGGAACAACATTCCCGCACCTGTTCCTGCAGACCTATCCAGAGCTTGTCCCGGAAAGGAACCCCTGTCGGTACGTTCCGCGCATCTTCGGCTTCCGCGTCAGCGAAAAGAGCAAGCAAGTTCAGCGAAACTTGGGCCTCATCCATCAAAACCCTGACCAAGATAATCGCTCACCGGCGATTTGATATAAGCGCGATCGGCACATGACCTGGGCGTGCAACGAAAGCGACACACAGCGGCCGTTCGGGGAGAGCGAGAACCTGCAAAGCACCCTGCGGCTCGCTTCGCAGTATCTCGAACTCCAGACTTACAACAGCTGTGCTGCTGAGTGCCCATGGTATTATTTTTTGCGACGTATCCAATGTCTTGTAAAGTTTACCTCTTTGGTTTATCGTGCACTAGCGTTTGGAGCAGGGCAAGCACAGCAGGCTCAACGCTAGAGCCAGCACGTGAAGCGAGTCGGCCGTTTGAATGCGCCACGTCGCCTACCGGTACCACTTGCCCAGACTCATGTGAGATTGATGTGGGACGGGTGCAAAACACAATCTCGCGCGTTCATACGAAAATTTGGGTCTCTTTCCAATATCGTGAACATCAGTTATTATAGGTTTTTTTCAACGACTCCTCGGTCTTCTACGCTCCGATCTCCGACTTTAGAAACGCTGGTCTCTCGTTTCACTTCGGCTTTGCAGCCACTAGTCGAAGGAGGTTTTTGGCGGCGTTCAAGTGTCGATTACGCTGCTCACTGCTATTAACGTCGCATTTCATGTGAAGGCGGAAGATGCGATCTAAGAAGATTCTTCGTATACGGCTTCTGTGCATCCATCGCAGCTGTGACAATTGACTGGGGTCAGCTGCTCTCAAAGCCCAAGAAACCTCCTCCTTCGGGAGCTGCACTGTGGCGTCTGGATACATAGTTTCTTGCACGGTGCACGTCATTGTCGTTCATAGCTGGTTCACTTCGAGGCGCTCTTCCGTTTCCGTGCGGATGGCTTACTCTGTGATCTTGAGATTCTCCTAGGCAATTTAGTTGGTGAGTACTTTGTTCACTGTAAGCTCAAGAGCACGCAATTAAATTCGATAGAGGATTTGTGGAACGCGATACTGTTCATGATGAAAATAATTCCGGAAGGAAAATCCAGCATGAAGAAGGAATCCAGAAATAACGATTCTTCTCCGCTCCGCTCGTGCAGAGCGGCGACAACTAGTCGCCGCTAACCGTTCGCTACAATGGTAGGATTCGAAGCCAAACACACACGTCGCGGAAAATGAAGATGCGGGAGCAACTGGGATCGTATACCCTGAAGGGCACGGTGCGAGTCTAGAACGCTGTTTCACTGATACCCACGAAGAGCAATTGGCTTAGCATTCGCGCGGTCCAAATATCCGACGTGCGGCGATCAACGAATTCTAGAGATAGGCGTGTGAACAAGTCGCCGAGCAGCGACCTCGAATTTTTGCTTTCTCATCAACCAAGCAAAGCGCATCGATCCGACAACGAGCCGCCTTGGAACAGAAAGACTGAAATCTTGCAAATTGCATAATTTTGGCATGCTAGATTTCAGGAAAGAGGTGGAAATGAGGCTTGAAGGTATGCAGTGGATGATGATGTCGATTATATTTCGAACCGCTTTTTGAGCGCGCAGCGAGTAATCTTGATTCCCGTGGTAGGGCGAATTCCAGTGGCAATATCTTCAGCGCCGTTCCGGAAAGTTAGCTGAGAGCACGAAACCAACGTAAAAATCATTGAATCTTTACTGCGGCTGTTCGAATGCCAAGGATGTGCATCAGAAAAAAGGCCTGTAAGAAATCGAAACGGTGCAGCAGAGTGTGCCGTTCTGTGTCGCATTCTAATCTGCAAAGCATGTAGCGCCTCAGTGTTGCAGTACTTGACATTCTAAGGCAGTTTGGAGCAACGTGGTGACCGCTGTCCTACAATTAAACCCTCGTTCCAACATGAGAATATTAACCATCGAGCGTTTCGACATGTGAGGCGAACGCGCTCACCTCGCACAGTAATACCCTCGGACAAACGGTTGCCGCGGCAGATATCGTCGGCAAAGATACTGAAGACACGACGATGCCTGCATTGTCTGAGGTTCCTGCCCCATATACAATGCGAGTTCATAGCGCTCATTTTCATCTGCTCGTGACGCGCATACTCTGGAGAATCGCTGCTGTGTCGCTCTCAGGGAGTCGTTCACAACCGCACAGAATGCGTTCGTTTCCAGGATCCTCTGGAATCATCAAGCAGCGATCAGTCGCCAGCGGCTAGTTCCAAGGCAGTCTCGCTGGCCAGCAGCCAGGCAGTGGCAAGTGCTGCTCGAGCCCATCATTTGCACCTGCATACCCAGATAGACGCCGATGAACAAAGATCCTCTCCTGGAATCTCAGAAAAGGGTAGAACCTGGTTAGACCAGCAAAGGTACGGGAGGCATAAACGCGTTCGAAACCAGCGACAGTCACTTGCTCCGTGACTAGATGTGTCAACACCAGACTCTTAGAGGCGCCCTCACGCGGTTCGGATTCCCAGGCGTACTTCCAGGCGGGTACTTCAAGGAACGTAGAGGCGCCTGTTTGGATCGAGGCCGCATCAATGTGAACGTATGGATCCGGACAAGCGGCGCCCCGCGGCGGGTCGCCGGGCAAGAGATACGCACGGTGAAGAGCTCGCATCGCCTCTGCGCCTGGCGAATTCCAAACGGAAACAGTCAAAAATAAGGCCTGAAGGATGATAGCCCCGCCAACGAGTAGCAGACGACAAAACCGCAGCAGGCGGCGAACGCGCCGTTTGCGCTCTGCTTCTTTCATCACCCGCCTGTATGGTCGCAAGTCTAGCTCATTGAGTGCTGTAGCTGCCTCCTGGAGTTTCTGTGACTCAATGGCGGTTAAGCCAAAATCATGTAAACGACCTAGAATAGTAGCAGCTGCAGCGCAAATGAGAGGAGTCACCGGAACTGCCGAGTGGAATACCGTCGACGGCGAAGCAGTGCATGCAATGTACGCGAGCGCGGGAAATGCCATTCTCCCGGCGGTGCCCGCCTTGAATGGAGCGCGCTTGACTAGTAACACGTAAGCTATGATTACCAAAGCGAGTCGAGAGATGAACGCTTTGCTGTGTGCAGTAAGGTACTGGAGCATCACACGGGTCGGAGCATGCGTCAGAATTCTTTGCAGGGTACCTGGTTCATATTGAAGCAGGAATCCGCCGCGCATTGCAGGAATCATTGTCGTACCCAACATGCCAAATGCCAGGAGACTTCCAATCAGCAGTGCAGAACATCGAGAAAGCAAGCCCAGGAGAAAAGTTTTTCCACCAGCAGAGCCGGTTAGGTCTGCTAGTATGAACCAAACCTGCAGAAAGCCCGTCTGTATCAGCGAGGCTGTGCCTACAAAGCTCAACACCGCTAAACCTGCCTTCGCATATCCCTTTAGGATCAGAGCTTGAACGGAGCTGAACACGACGATGCTGAGGCTCACAGGCGAAATTCGACTGGCACCCAGGATTACCGAGAACTGAACACAGAGCAGTTCCATACTGTACGTGCGAGCCTCGTCGTTGGAGAGGGCGCGCTGGCCAAGTACCAGCGACATCCATGATATGCTGCCGATGATGCAGCGTACGAGGATGAGGCAGGGTAACTTTGGTTCGATCCATGAACCCAGCAAACGAAAGAAAAACGAAGGTATTGGACGCTGCAGAGCCCAGTTCCGTGCACGCCACAGGCAGCCCACAACTCTGGCAGGCACGCAGCCCAGTGTCTCCATAAACACAGTGCACCAGTCTCTGAGGCTTTCGCGGCCGGTCAACCAGGTTCTCCAGTGCACGCAGCTGGTGCTGAAACGATCGCCTTCATAAATGCTGTCGTGTAGGATCTGGACATATGGCGCCTCTTCCGCCGAGTTGTACGGCACCAGTATAGCGTTCAGCACGATAAACACCCAGAGCATTGCTTCATATCTGCTAACGAGACTTTGACGCGGTGCCATGGGGAGCCGACTCACTGCACGCTGCTGTAGCACTGTTGCTTCGCAGGCGCAGTACTCTACGCAAACAGAACGCGGAACGCTCCAGACCCGTTTCGAGCCCTCGAACAGCACCACCACCCGTGTCAGTCAGGGCCAACAGCTCTAGGCTTCCCACGAGCCCCAACACCCAGGTTTCTGGGATCCAACACGACGCAGCAGCTTCCTCCGTTTCTACCGGCACCCAGGGGTTGCAAACGCCGAGGTAACAACCGCGCTGCGTGTATCCGCCGTCGACTGCTGCCTGTACATCTGCGCGGCTGCGTTCGATACAGAACGGCAACTCGTTCCGTTAGCCGGTGTTGCCGTTTGTACAGCGCTATTGGACTCGCGTGATTCGTTCCATGCATCGATATGCTATGATAGAGCGCATGGCGCGGCAGTGCTGAGCACTTCGAGCATATAGTCTGTAAGTCGATGCGTTGTGTGCGGCGCATGGTGCTGTGCGGCTTTTGCTTCACGGGTAGCGCTTTCCCGACATACTGATGACCAAGGATATCTGTCAGAGGCGCGTCCATGGCGAAAGCCCTCTGCATCTATGAGCAGCGAACGCGAAGCATGTGCACACGTGGACATCAGGCAAGAAGCTTTTGCGGACATTGCACAACCAAATATGCACATTTACTTGAAGTTCTTTCCAGTTGCAACAGGCTTGCCATCGTAATCAGGTCCCATGCCCTCGAACTTGCCCTCCCAGGCAAACAAATCATTAACAAGATCGCGATCCTTGCCGAAGACATCCGCTTTCGTCCACGTGTACAGGTCCGTGTCCTCGACTTCGGTTAGAGGTTCTGGTAACGAATCTCCGGTGCCTCGTACAATGAATGCCCCTCCAATTGCACAAGATCCGGGTTCCCCACTCGTACCGAATACAATCATTGAGCCAAACAGGTACTTGCGAAGGTGATCCATTCGCTGGAACCAGCCGTTCAGCAGATTCGCAGACATGAAGGTCTTGCTGAGCTCATGGTTGTAGCGGTATCGCACAACCCAGACCGAGTAGCCACTCGGGTCAAACATCGTATCCCAGATCTGGTTCATTACTTCCCGAGTGTTGTCTGCGTTGGAGTAAAGCCGCTTCGCTGCTTCAAGATTGAAGGAGGATTTGGGTAGAAGGTCGAATGCATTCTTAGGCTTTCGAGCCGTTTGGTCATCCTCAGTGACCTCAGCAGCATGATCGCTGGACTCATGCCCTTGGTTTCCCGCATGGCCTCCAAGGTCTGCATTCGTGCTGGTCGCCATTTTCAGATGGTCCGGGCGCTTCAGGCAGGGCTTGAAATCTGAGCCGATCACTTTGACAAACTCTGGTTGGCCGATACACGTGTAGAACCAGCGCTTGAGTGCTCGATATTCCATGAGAAGTTCGGGATCCAAAAGGTATTCGAAAAACCAGAAGAGGGACATGCTGACGGTGATATCCGCGAGTGTGATACGCTCCCCTACGAGAAACGTGTGGTCTGTGAGGTGGCGCTCAAACCCGCCGATAACGGCACGGAATTGCTCCAGCGCTTCTTCAAATCGTGTCTTGTCCGGCTTGAAGAATGCAGGGAAGATTGTCGGGTACACCAGTGGCCGACCCAGCGGGTCGATCCGCCCAAGCGCGACGTCACCAAAGGCAGCCACCTGCGCCCGCTGAACTGCATCGTCACCTCCCAGCATATCCTGACGATTACTAGACTCAAGAATATAGCGCGCTATCGCATTTGACTCGAACACTGCTTTGCCGTCGCCCAGATCTAGAAGCGGGACTTGGCCGAAAGGGTTAAGGCGCAGGAACTCTGGCTTTCGGTTATCTTCCAGAAACTTGAAGTCTGGAGGTACTTGGACCTCAGCACCGCAGTACTGCGCAGCGATCAACGCTTTGTATGCCCGTGGATTGTTCGGATATGTATAAAGTTTCATTTCGAAGGTGGTGTTACTTCAAGTCGCGCACCGTGCCCTAGTGTGCAAAAGCAAGCGCGGTAGTATAGACGGGGCATGGCGCAGGTGCGGGGCGTGCGCGACGTGTGGCTGACGTCCTTTTTGGTAATGAATTACCCTAATGCACTGTAGCGCAGGCGTAGCGCGAGCGCGTGGTGTGCCCTGCGTCCGCTTTATACAAGAATCACCCTACTCGTATGCAGCGCAGACGTTGTTCTGTTTTCAACGCGTTGTTAGCGCTATACAGTCTGTCCCGACGAAACCAACTATCGAAACCAACGGGATTAACGTCTCCGCCGGGGTAGTGGCGCGCAGTGCCTACACTGCCATACGAGGCATGGTGCTGCCAACTCGCTTTCTGGGTGCGGTAGACATGGGTCTGGGCCTGCGCGGTGCCCTCGCGAAGACTCAACGTGTCGCGCTATGGGTGCGTCTGCGGAGTCGCGGTTTCGCAGATGATGCAAGTGTAGGCTCTACGGGTACCGGCCAGGGGAGTCAGTCTGAAGAACGAGAGCCGCGTCGAAGAGCTGGACGCAGCACCCTGCTTGCGGGTCTTGAACAGCAGCAGCGTGAACGCGCACAACCGACTGCGAAAGAAACTGGGTTACCTCTGAATGGTACGGGGCGCGACACGACACGGACGGAACCCTCCCATGCTGCGTTGTACACGGCCAAAGGGGCTGGCGCACTCCAGAGGAGAGTATCCCGATCGCTGCTCGGTCTCGCTGAAGTTGCTGAGAAAGTGCGCTCGACCGCACGAAGTGCTACTGACACCAGTGCAGTGTCCGTGGATCTGGACGAGTCGTCCACACAAGTGCGGCGTCCATGGCGGCAGCGAAAGAGCCGTCTGTTAGAGGCCGTTTCAGATGCTAGGGAGTCTGCGAGGCGCGCGCCGCGGACCAAAAGGCAGGTTGCAGACTCAGAGTCTGAAGCAATGGATGTGTCGCCACGTCGGATGGCGCGAGCGTCGCGTCTGCTGGAGATTCGACCGCCGCAGTTGAGTGTTTCGCTGTTGCCACCCTCTGTTCGAGAGGAGCAAGCACGCGTCGCTTCGAGTTTGCTGGAGCGTGAGGGTCCGGCCGCAGTCGAGAAAGTTCGGATGTATGAGGAAGGACTCCACTCTAGACTGGAGGCTGATGTGCGGCGGCAAAGGCGGCGGCAGCTCGGCAAGTTCCTCGTGTTTAAGAATCGATATCTACCCGAATCTGTTTTCAAGATGGATCGCTACAAGACCGAGGATCTATGGGTGAACCATGCCGTCCGCATTGCGGAAAACATCGTCTCGAAGGCGAAAAACCGACAATCACCACAAACTGATGCAGCGGCGAAAACTTCACTGTGGCTGGAGTCTGTTGTAGCGGACTTGTTTCCAAAGGCCCGCAGAGCTCAAGAAATCATGCTCATGATACGGCTCTTACGGAAATCAATGGAAGATGTGCAACGATTGCCGCCTGAAACACGACAGGCGATATTGAATGGGAAACAGCGCCTCACACAGGATGCCCTAAAGCAACTGGGGGCGAAGTAAAACTGGTCGGCCGCACAGCGCCAAGAACAAACGCCTTTCAAAAGAAAAACGTTGCTGCCGGCAGCAGTGTACAGTAGTGGCGAGTGACCTGCCCTAGACAAAACGTCTCCAACTGATGAGAAGACGCGTCCCCGTCTTTTTGGACCGGCCATCTACTACTGCTTCAATTTTTTTCTCATATGGTTCCTTTTTGGGAGGTTGTCCAATAAAGTTGTCTCTTGTCAGCTCTGGAGGTCTTTTCTCCAGCACCGCACATTACGTTATATTGACAGCGGCGTTAGAGTCTCGGTCCACGAACTCCATACGTTTCTTGCCATCACAGGCTGTGCTTACTAATGCGAGTAGCCCTCGCACTTTCGCTCTCCATTCCATTTGCTCTTCCGTGAGCGGTCCGTACTTTGCTATTTCCTTACGGCTCCGCTGGCACTCTTCATTTGGACCCTCTGAAGTGCACAACCCAGATTATGTTGTGTATAGGACTTTCGGAACACATCTACAGGTATCGTAGCGAAAAGCCGTGCGCGCTCCTTGTACGTTCTCGTCGTTGGCGCTGACGTAGTCCGTTTTTGGGTCTTCCATCGCCCTGCCCCATACGCTACTACGAGCATCTGACTTTCATCCTATTTGAGGGCGCTCAACTGATTGAAAAAATTCGCGACCGCCCGCTGCTTACTAATATACAGATTCATACGCAGACGAGCCCACCAGGGCTTGGTATACTCCCCCCGCAGTGCATCCCAATGACGAGCACGAACTTCCATAAACTCCCGAAAAGCTTCAAAGTCCGCTCTGCGGCTCGTCACTTCGCTCAAGGCTTCAAGGTCCTCTTTAATTACTTCGTTCCACTTCTAAATTTTTTTCGCAACCTTGGTTACCGTTTCTCGGTAGTATCTCGCTCTTGAGGGCTATAACAGACGCGTGTCTTTTTCGCGTAAGTTGCCATCAATGCCATCTTCCGCACGCTTGGGTACAGCGAAGGTTATGATATTCGTGTTCGAGAGTTTCAGGCCGACACGAAACTGGTTTCCGAGGGGATTATACGTTCCATCGCCTGTCTTCTTGTGTTCGTGCTTCGGAAAGCGCATTACCGAAGACGGGATAGGACGAAGAACCCGCAATCGCTGATAATGTACACATAAGTATACCCCATCGTAACCGAATGTCCCCGTGAAAACATTTTTTTTGCCCCGTTTGGGACGATTAAAATCGAAATTATTCTTCCAGTAGGTGTCCCGGATTTCGCCGGTTACCTCTTTGTTGCTTTCATCGAGCTCTGGACTGATCTCATTCATGAATACGTAAAGGACTCTAGGGTCGATATTCACAAAATGTGAAATGAACTTGCATAACCAAACGACATTGAAGCGCATATGGTGGAGGGATTGAATGTCATTTCTCTAACTCTTCATTTTATCCACTCTCAGCTCCATTTCGCCCTTCCCTTCGAGTTCTCGGTCCAAAAATATGAACGAGGGTAGGATAAAAAGGTATCATATCTCTTAGTCTGTTCTAATATCTGAGTTTTTTTCTCTTGGGTTGACATGCCCCAAGACCGAACGATGTTTTGGAATACTTGCGCGCGTAATAGAAGCCCATTTTTTTTCCTGCGTGATGTCCTGTCGTCGACGAATCTGATCTCTTGTTCATACTGGGGATTATTCTTGATACAATGGATGATTGCCGAAACCCTTTCGCGAAGCAGGCCGGGGTACAGCGCAAAGACGGCGCGTATTACGCAACAATCGGGGTTAACGATATTATGGTTCCTCACATTCGTGAGGTACCTCACTGCCCTGTATTCGTAACTATCTGCGTCACCCCTGTGTCCAGTACCGTTGACGGGGTATTTGGCGTACATTTTTGAGAAAGACATGCACATGTGCATTTCTCATCGATGGTTCCGCATAGCAAAGAATCAGGTGGTTGATGAAAATACTTTTAAAAATTTTCCAGAAACAAAACTTTTGCGATGCGCGATACGTCGCGATGCAGCTCACACTCCAAGTGCTTCAGTCCCCAAGAAAGGTTCCAAACATACCTGGTGTACGAATCGACAATGTTTCTGATAGCGTCTGGCCACATTCAGTCGTACAAACCACCGATATGTTGGAGAAGATAGTACGCTACCACAATCTTGTCGTACAGATATCAATATGGCAGCCTTCGAAAAGGCTTCCATGTATTGCATCTTCCTCTTTACCTTTTACCCATTACAAGGCATTCTTTCTCGTTTGCTTCAAACACACGGCAACATCGGCAATCTAAAACTCTCCACTTCCAATTACAATAATCTAGTTTTTTGGGCGATAACACTTTCGACGCTTCTACTTTCAGAGGCGAAAGTAACATAAATAATCCTACATGAGGACTGAGACTCGATTGAAGCCAAAAATTTATTATTCCCCGATTTGATCGGAAGTACAACTTGCCCCAATAGAGCAGTAGCTCCAGAAGACGTCATTATCGCGGTTCTTTCCTTCGACAAAACACACGTCGTTTGAAGGGACGGCCAGATTTCGTGGTGCGTAACCGCGACGAACGATATCGAAAAAAAGAACAATCTCTAACAACGTGATAAAAAATACTATCCCCAACTACGGTAGACAATAAGAGCAGGAAGATTTTGCGTATTGTCAAACAGATACCGTTTAGGCGGAAGGTCCGCGGGCCGCGAAAAACCACCGGCGTGTCTTACGTGTGACATTCCAGTGGCGAGTGATGGGTCGAACCTCAGCATATCGTCGCAACGCATTTGATTTTAGGACTAGGACCAAGCCTGCAGCGTCTGGGCGACAACTAGGTCGCGGGGGACACCCATTATACAGCTCCGCACTATTGCGAGCTAAAGGTGTGCATGCACAGCTTGGCGGCTCGCAAAATATAAAGAGCACAGATTGGGTGTCAAACAAACCAAGCCTGTCCCAAAGAGCTCAGTGGTAAGCAAAAGCTGTTCTCTTCTCCAACAGCACCCACACCAGGTAAAGTGGCGCAACAGAGACGACTCACGGCAGGCACCCCCGGAAAACAGAAATTATGAACCAACCAGCACAGCCGAGGGAAAGTATTGGCGATAGAAAGTACAAAAAAAGGATAATCATGACGGACACATTCCCAAAAAGCGAATATCATTCCGAAAACACGGAAAATATGGAGAGTGGAAACGTCCTGTCAAACAAAATAAGCATAACATCGGAGAGAATACCATAAAGCGCATGCTGCTCTAGGCGTCACAAAATGGAGATTCGTATGCGCAGCGAACGTGGGACTGAATGGAATACACTAAAGGCTCCGAAATAAAAAAATCGAAATGATACATGCTTTGCGCAGAGATCATACCACCGGAGAGAAAAAAGGAGGGAAATGAGGGGGGAATGGGGGG